TCTCTACCCCAATTAGAGGGATACAAATAGGAATAGTACACAGCACCAAAGCCACAAGATTCACTGTATCTGTTTCCACCAAAACTGCATTTGCATCATCTTCTTCTCACATTACTACTCTCGCCCTCATCCTTTACTCTCTACTCTCTACTCCCTACTCTCAATGCAAAGTGTAAATAAGCCCTGGATTTTATCCTTAATTTATAGAAATGCTATAATGAATATATGTATGGGTGACTGTATGTGTATACGCATACTACAAATGCAGGATAACGAAATCTGATAGTAAATTACCTACGATCAGAAAACTGAACTGCAATTCAAGAAGCATGCAACTTGAGGTATTTCGCAATTCATAAATCTTGTTAAATGCTTCCCAACAGCCGAATTAAGTTTCCTGACGTAATGTATTACTTTGTATTCTGAACAAATTAGCAAGAGGATTGAGCTAATATGTTTTAATCTAACATTTAAGCTACCAGAACAAAGAAATACCTCATAAATTTAACATACAGTAAAGCATTGCACTTGGTGTTTAACTATAAATTAAAGATAAATATCAAAAAAATAAATTCAACCAAAAAAACTCTCCTTCTGGACAAAGGAATACAAATTCACCTCAAATGTAACACACGATAAAGCCCAAACAAATGGAGTTAAAATGTAAGACTATATCCATACCGAGAAAGAGGCGAAGAACTTTGGAGTAATACCAAATCTTTCGGGAGAAAACTTAAAAACCTTACCTAGATGCCGGAGTAGATCCCTCGTTTCCGTTGATTTCACAATGCTCGTCGTCCTGCAGGTTCAGAGGAAGGAAACTCGATCGAGTTTTCTACAAGGGAGAAATGAGATTATGCCCTAATTTGTCGAAGATACCTCGCGTAATACAAAATCTTTTTCGAGCTACCTTCAAAACCTTACCTGGGTGAGGTGCGCCGGAGTAGATCCCAGGGACGGATCGATTTCACCTCGCGCGTCGTCGTCGGCAGCTACAGGAAATCGGATCGCGGGCGACTGTGAGAAGCGAACGAGGGAAATGAACCAGATGCCCTAATTTGTCTAAGTGTGGGATGATATAGCGTTTTTGTCCATTTTGATCGTTTCTGGAATGAAAGCGTCAATCCAGTATTTTACTTTTTTTTTTTTTTTTAATTTAACTTTTCCAAAAATAAAAAATTAAATACCAGTAATTACGAACACTTTACGTAACTAATGTTATTTTGACCAAATTCTACCATCTCATTATTTGTTACGATATTTTTTGCGTAACGACAGAACCTAAAACGTTGACCGGGTTTTTTTTTTTTCGTCACGGATTTTGTCGTAACTAATATATCTATTTGTTACGATTTTATTGTTACGGACTCTCAACCCGTGGTGAATAGCCCTTTTTTTGGTAGTGTAATGTGATTGATAAAGTGACATAAATAATTGATATAATATGTTTGATAGAAAAAATAAATTATTAAATTAAATTTTATAAATATATTAGTATTATAAATCCATTTTAAAAAAACATGAAATAGATTCAATATATATTTCTTATATGTTATGCAATAATAATATAATATTATTATTGGTAAGTATATATCTATATATGTGAGTGTACTGTCTAATACTCCCTCCGTCCAACTAGAAAGTATACATGTTTTTATTTTGGGACGTCCAATTACAAAGTAATCATTTCATTAAATACCCTATTTTTTCCACAAATACCCCTACTTTATATCACATCATTACTTTTATACCAAAAAAGTAAGGGCAAAATGTCTTTCACTACTTTTATCTACCCACTGTAATTAAAATACTATTATTCCTTAATCTCCGCGCCAAAAGTAAATGTATACTTATTTAGCGGACGGAGGGAGTAGTAATATATAATAATATATCTATGTATATAATATAATATATATAGTTAATATAATAAAGAGAGATTAGTGTGGGAGAAACTGTAATGCAAATGATTCTTTTGTTCATTTTCTTCATTCATATGTACATATATATATATATAGGCAACATATAGGTGAATGGGTGGATATAATGCGTTCATATAAACAACACATAACATCTATGTATCTACTACGTATTGCTTTTCAGATGTTACATATCCTAACGTTATATTATATGTTATATATTATTTTTCTTAATTTTGGTGGAGTAATCCAATTTTCAAACAAATGAAAGTTTTTCATGCCATCGGCTGAAAACTCAAAAGATGATATTGACATAATTCTTTTTAAGAGTTTGTTTAAACGAGTATTATATATATATATATATTTTTTTTTTTTACTTACAATAACAAATATAATATAGTAACAAATCAATAATAATAATATATTTTTAAGTACTTATAGATGTCACTTATATAAAAAAGTTGAAACATAACTTTAAAAAAATTTGTAACAAAAAATAATAAATTCGTAACAAAAAGTTTTTACCGTCAGTAAAGGTTTTTGGCGATAAATGTGACTTTCGTAGTGAAATATAAATTTTTTGCAATAAAAGTTAAAGAAATATATATAAATACAAAAATGTGATTTCGTAATTTAAATTCTTTTGCTATAAAAATAAAATTTATAATAAAAGAATTTTAGCATTAAAATATACATGTTTTTTTGGTCAAATGATTTTAGTTATGAAAAATAATTTTGTAGTTAAAACTTTTTGTCATGAAATTAGAATTGTCTAGCAAAAACATTTTAGCAATGAAATTAATTTTGTAGTATATAATTTATTTTTAACAACGAAATTAATTTTTATTATTCAATGACATATTTTAATTGCAAAATTATTTCGTAATGAAAATTATTTTAGCTAATTATATATATATTTTGTAGTGTACACGTATTGCTTACAAGACAAGTAAAAAATACAAACAAAACCCCTAAAAATCGAAGAATAAAAAAACCATACCTTATTAGAGGATAAAAATTATCCTATCACTGAGAATAAACTTTTATTGCAATGTGGATATCAAAAAATATAAGATACATAGTATGGTTGTATTTATAAACAAACATTTCATATGCTCTGTTTTATTTTTTTAACATGTGATAGCTCGAAATTACGTGCGTTTTATATTCGTATAATGCGATATTTAATTGATTTTTTATTGAATTCTACTTAATTTCTACACAGATAGTTTATTTCCGACATGCAAGAGAAAAGAAAAAAAAACAATTTTGGAGAAAAAAAAAATCAGCATTAAACAATAAGTTACTCATGACCATGACTAACCATACCCATTTAATTGAAGGCCCAAAAGTTCAACTGCTACAAAAATAGGGCAAAATTCAGGAAGAAGACTATGATTTTATTTTATTTTTTATTTTTAATTTTTTTATTTTTTGTTCTTTCCTATTTGATTATGGAATAGATATTTTTTTAGTTTGAGAGATGATAATTTTTTGGTTCTTGTGTTTTGAAGATTCTTGACTTTCTTTATAAAAGTTCATTTTTATTATCAATATTTGTCTAATCCTGAGAATAATGTTTGTGATTGTTAGATTGATTAGATGTTTTAATACCGATATTTAAATTGGTCCGATAATCTAAAGTCAATTCAGGTAGGATATCCGTAACTGTATTCGCACTTGAATATGTGACAATCGGATTGAATAATTCTTTTCCGGGGGTTAGACAATCAAATCTAATTATTCCACTTAGGTAGTAATTGTTTTGAACTGTGTTTTTCTAAATTAGAATGCAATTAGACAATATTTCCTATGAGCGTAACTAGGTTTATTAGCTTAATTAGATATAGTTAACGGTCGTAACTTAAGTACCTACACTGTAAGAAAAAATTAGTTGTTAGAGTTTGTTGATAACTATAACCAATTTATTAATAGTCTAATAACAATTAATTTTATTTAATTGACGATAAAACACAAGTGTCATAACTGCATTATCCTTTGAGTTAGATATTCATTTAATTGTGATCATAAAGTAAGTGAAATATTTGATTGACCGTGCGACCGATCAATATGACAATGCCTAAAGTTAACACGGCCGTGTGGGGTCTAGGCCTAAGAGTAGGCCATGTTCAACTAACTACAACCGTGTTTGATGATAACACGATCGTTAACACGGCCGTAGTTGTATATAACTGTGTTGATTTTTAACAAATACGGCCGTATCAATGGAACTGTTAATGAGTCGAATCGAACATAATCTTATTTATTTGTGTTCATTTATCAATGTTTGCAAACAAAGCTTATGTTTATTGGTAGTGTTCGAATTCAGTTTGTTAAACAATGTCATCGTTGGAGCTCGTGTTATTGTCCGGCTTGATTAAGTTCTTTTTTTTTTTAATTTATTTTTTAATTAATAATTGTATATATTACAAATATATATTTTTAACGAATATTCGTGAACAAGTCTCGAGCTTGTTTATTAACAAAAATGAGCCTAATTATTTTAGTCAAATCTATTCATTTACGTTAGTCGATTCTACTCATTTATGTTTGTGAACGAGTTTAAATTGAGGTAAATCAAATGGAGTTCAGAAAGAGTTGGTTCATTTAACAATTCTAAATGTGGGGTTATAAACCCGGTCGTACTAAGACTGTGGTCATGTTGTACAATTTTGTTGTGATTGATATTTCTATGTACACATTTTGCAATGACAGTTAATTTTGAAAATAAGACAAAAATAATTAAAATTATTTATATTAAGATTACGGTTGACATTTTTTATAATATAATTAAGATTAATTAATTTTCATATTTACATTTTGATTTTTAGTAATAATCTTATAATTCAACGGTAACAACGCTTTTTTTGTTTCAACCGTTCGTTTGGGTATAGAATTGTCAACAAATCGAACCGATATAACTTAAAATATTTGTGTTCATTCGTGAATTCACGAATCCGTGTTTATTTGTTAAATAAAATTGTTTGAGCTCATGAATATATTCATGTTGTTGGGTGAATTCAAACACACTCTTTTAGCCTCCTCATTTGCGAATGACTGCAAAAGTGCGGACTGTTTCATTAATAAAAATTTCTATCGACATTGTTGGACTCAGGTTCATTCCAAATATTTACTGACGAACAGATAGATCTATTGGCCATAGCTTACATTCACGCAGGGCTATCCGCCTGCGCTTCGCATCACTCTACTTCTGTGTAATCCAAAAAAATACATATTCTGCTGCTTTGCGTCTCCGGAGGAGTCCGTATCGGCTTCCTCCGCGGAGGATATGGAGGCAGTCTCTGCGCAGATCCAGGGATTCTCTGAGACTTTCCTTGCATTTCATTTTACCAAACCTAACAGCAGACACTGTGTTTTCTTTAAATTTCGCCCTTGTGTTGCCAGAACACCAACTTTGCGATGTGCCTGTCGCGTTTCGGCGTTCGCCCAGAAGATGTCGGATGACGGTGGCGGTGAGGAGTATAGTCGATTAGATGATGATAACGGCGTGTTAGGTTCGGTATCCGAGGATGCTCTCTCTTCAACCCAGGTAAAAACAATGCCCGGGCAAATTCAAAATGTTTCTTTGTGTGTGAGGTTGGCACTTCTTATTTGGCTATACTCTTGGCATCGAGCTAACGATTTGGAAGCTATTTATTCTTACAAATGACACGATCCCGTTTCGCCGTGCTGGTTTTATCTAGATCAATAACATGTTCTGAAATATTTGATTGATCCTGATCTTAAATAAATATATATTTTGTTCTTCGGCTCTCGCTGGCTCCTGAACTGCGTCATGGACTCCCTGGAAATTGTCTGCTTGGGAAGATTGCATTCTAGTTATCCTCATTTTGACTGCACGAAGGAACATCTTATACAACTATTTTTTAGTGTGTCAAACATTATGCTATGGATATGCTCTGTGTTGATAACCTTAATTTCACTGAGTGTTCTGGGAGCTCATAGTTTGGACAATTGAACACTGCCTCTGTTTCGTAAACTGGTAAAATGGAAACATGCTAGGGTCCATGTTTGTATTTACTAGAAGGATAGGAGATATAGGGGCCTGCTTACTTGAACGTCTAAAATAAGGCGTGTGGCTTATATGGGTGTAGATATGGACTTGTGAATGGAAATGGAAGCAGGAAATTGATTGATCTGAACTGAAAGCATTAATTTCACAAACAATTTCATGCCACACTGTATTAACGTATCTCTACTCAAACTACTTCTAAATTTCAGATCCATAAGTAGCAATATATGTACTATTTTTTTTTTCCCAGATGGAGGGTATTTATTCTTTTCCATATTCTTGACAAATATTATTAGCTGCGGTTGTGCTCCACAAGCACATAGAAATTATATTGGTTTCTATAATAAAGTTCATTAAGGGATATGGTAAAATAGCTTCACGGGTTGCGTTTTCATACTCTTTCTCATGTTCTGAAGGGTAATTCAGATCTCAGAGAGTGTAGTGGAAAGGATATAAAGTTAATTACATCTTCTCTAGTGGCCTCATATGGAACCACAACTGGTGGGGGTACAAGGGCTGGACTTTTCAGAACGCCTATATCCGGAGGGGTGCAAAGTGCAACTTCAGCTCATGGTTTGCCTAGACCAGCCTTAGCAGTCAGGAATTTAATGGAACAAGTAAGACTTCTTTATTTCATTTATTTTGCACTTTTTTGTTCCCTTTATTTTGTTCGTACAACTGGAAACTTTCTAAAGGAGCATCTGACATCTCTTGACAATATCTTGTTTCAATCGGCATCAAAGGCAGGATTTGCCCACTTGTGTACTGTGATGTCTCGCATGCACCACCGGAGAGAAGGTTATCCATTTGGCTCACTTGTAGATTTTGCACCCGATCCGATGGGACGTAAGTCAAACAACTCGTGCTCTTATATCTGCATTAGGATGACCTTGTTGGATATTTGGAGTTTACCCTCTGCTGTTCCATTGCTGATATATCCAAGAATATTGTACAGAATGTCATCCTGCTGTTTCCCCTTTTCCCTCCATCTTATTTATTTTCTTATTTTGTTAACTTCAAGCCAAATATTGTAATTCTATTTTCTTTGCCTTAGATAGTGTTGTCTTTTTCTAACTGATCAGTATAAGTTCTTTCTTTCATTGACATTGGAGAGCTACATGTTTCACAAATAGGAAGAAGAGAATGTTTTCTTTCATTTTTGCGATAAACATTATATTACTTATGTATAAATAATGCCCCAATTTTCTATTTTAGTCTTAGTCCTGATTACATACATTTCATGTGATCCTCATGAGCTGAATATCCCTTTAACTAAATAAACTTTTCTTTTTTAAATTTTTTATTATCAAACAAATTGGTTTACCATATTCAGTAAATGTCTTGAGTTGATTGACTAAACTGTGTTCCTTCGATGGTGATATCAACATATTTTTTATATTTCTAAACATATAAAAATGAGTTGGGAGCTCTGTGAATTTGAATGACCTCCCCACACACATATATATAACTATGTATGCATATCATGCATCTCCAACTCCTGTGTCCACATTATCATCTTGGTTTACCTCCCTATTGCTTTTGGTATAATAATGGCTATATGGATTTTCTGTTTCTTTTGATGATAATGAGAGAAGGTATATTGAGTTTTGAAATCATTCATTGCAAAAGACAAACTTGTAAACTAGAGAGATTTGTCTAAACAATATATAAAAAGAGACTGAAATCTAATTTGAGAACTGAGGAATACTGTGTGGTATTCTTCTTTACAGATCCAATATTCTCATTCTCACCATTGGCTATACACACTAGGAACTTGTTAGCTGATCCAAGATGTTCACTAGTTGTACAGGTTGACATCTTCTTTTTTAATTGTTTTCATGCCACAGTTTGTTACTGTATTTCTTTAACCACAAATATCTTTAGATTCCGGGATGGAGTGGCTTGTCCAATGCACGGGTGACAATCTTTGGCGATGTGTACCCCCTCCCAGAAGATCAGCAGGTGGTTATCTGGCTCAACTGAAATTGTGAAACTTGTAAATTTATCTAATCTGGCAATGAAAAGTACTCTTGTGCTTCATGGGCATGGAATTTTTCAGGAAATGTTGTGGACTATGTTCCCTGCAGACATTGGAACTAATCTGACAAATGCATACCTGATAGTTAATTGTGATTAACTGCTTTCGATTGTGGTCTACAATCATTATTCTTGGAACCCATGTTGTATGGAAGTTCATATTTTTCTTTTTGCTTGCAATCTGAATCTATATTATTTACGTAGATTTAAATGCCATTCCTGCTTTTAATCCTTGCCTTTTGCTGGTATTTACTTGTTTAGGATATAGCAGAAAGGAATAATAGAAAAAGAGCTCCATTATAAAGATCTTGTGAATCAGCCCTATTGAATCCTCCTAGCCTCCCTTTCTTTCACCCACTATATATTTGGTGTATTTTGAAATAATCATTCAAAGATTTTCCTTGCATATTGCTACGGAGTTTTAAATGTTCATGTAGGTCTCTCACTTGATTTTTTATGTTTACAGAAATTTTTTTTCTCATTTTTATATCCAGGAATGGGCTCACAGACACTATATAGCAAAACACCACCAAGGACCTTCTCAGCAGTGGGGAAATTTCTACTACTTTCGGATGCAGAAAATAAGGTATACTAATTTTTGTAACAATGCTTTATTATATGATAAATCCCTCTGTTCTATAATTGCTGGCATTTGGATGGGTGGGTGAACCAACCAGAGTGATGGATGGGTGAACCAACCAGAGTGATGGATGGGTGAACCAACCAGAGTGATGGATGGGTGAACCAACCAGAGTGATGGCTGGCTCATGGTGGCTGAAAACATTGGCCATAACATATTATTGAACATCTCAGTTCAGTGGCTTTGCATAATGCAACTCCTTAATTGTTTTTGTCTTGCCTCAAGTTAGTGTTGTCTACATTGGGAAACCTGTGGTTTTATCAATGGAGTCATACTGCTATTGTTTGGATAATATGCAGATTCAGAAACTGCCAACTCATTCAACTTTCAAATTGTTTCAACAAGAAACTGATATGGATAATTAAACAATGTTACATGATGCAGTGATATCTATTTTATTGGTGGCTTCGGAACTGTTGCTTGGGTTGATGTTAAAGAATACGAAGCCCTTAAGCCTGATAAGATTGCTGTTGATGGGGGTGAACAAAATTTAAAGGTTTGTGCTTGGCTTTGGCAAGTTACATTTCATGTGTAGGATGCTCGTGATTAATATAATAGAATTGAAATGAAATGTGTAATATTCTTTATTAGGAATTAAATGCTATGTTTTCAAAGCCGCTTAAGGAGCTTTTGTGCAAAGAGGCAGAGGTGGATGATGCGGCTCTTATATCTATAGACAGCAGGGGGGTTGATATTAGAGTCCGGCAAGGTGCCCAGGTTCTCTCTCTGCCATATTGCTTGCTGCAAGCTGGATGCTTGCTTGGATGATAATTGTGATTGGCTTAAATATATTATCACCAAATTCTTGGCAAAGTGATTGAAATGGACTGCCTAACCCGCTTTTAAAGGCTAACATACAAGCACTTAGCATTGGGTTAAGCTGGCTGAATCGATCCTTTGACCAGTGATATTTTTTGCCGGGATTTCACAATAGATCGACTGCACTGCTATAATGATGTGTGTGTGTTTTGTGCAGTTTAATGTTCAAAGAATTTCATTTGAAGAAGGTCAAAGTGTGGAAACACTGGAGGAAGCAAAGCATGCGTTATGGAAACTGATAGATAGAGGCCGAGTTGAGAACTTGCATAAGTGAAAGCGCAGCCCCTAGCACAGATGCACGCACACACAGGCATTTGCCTACATCTGCACATACGTATAGCGTAGCGTAGTGAGACTTATTAAGCAGTTTGCGACTTGTAATGTTGAGTGTAGATGTTTGAAAGGTGAGTATAGTCTGTGTATGTATGTGAGCATCTCTCTCTCTCTCTCTCTCTCTCTCTCCACATGCGCAGGCAGAAACACAGGCTTAGCTCGCTAACTTATATATGAACAAATGGGAAGTTAGTCTGCGCAGGCAGGCAGGCAGGCAGGCAGCGTCATTGCCAATGCAGCTAGCTCGGTAAGATCATGTGCTTTTATGTTCTCTTATAAACATGTCTGGAATTTGTTCATTTCTTTACTCCTATCAAAGAATTATTATACTAGCTTTATAAATTTTCTTACAAACAAAGTTTGAGCAGTGATGGTCTCTCCTAGTGGGCATTTGTCAGTTCTTCCAATTATCGTACGTTGAATCACTTTTTGCTGTGTTCATAAAAAAAAAACTAATAATAATAATAACACCCAATTAATCGACTCCTTGCATACAACACACCTTCCTTCCCGTGGCAGTAGTAATAATATCATAATATTCATAAGCTGCTAGTCGGTGTCAGTGTCAATGCAATGCTCCCTCCCTTTCTACAGATGGGAAAAAGAGCATCGAGAAGAGGATTGAGTATCGAGAGAGCATTTCTTTAAATCGAGTAGTAGGTAAGATGTAATCGAGAAACAGCTAGGTGGTCTACACAAGATATCGGATTTTGGTTGACTTCACCTTATTATTAGCTTAGGGCTTAGGGTGCTGGCCTGTACCCGAGGGAGGGAGGGAGAGGGAGAGTAGTCAGTAGATAATGACGAATAAAGCCAAATTTTCATCCACAGCGCCCTCCTTGTCGCATCCAACTTACCGACGAGGCACCGGCACTGAAGTGAATTGAGGTCAAAGGCAGGCAAGCACGCTGCACTCGGAACAGAAACTCATATAGCAGGGATACAAACCCGCCCTTGACCCCAAAATCCACATATTCTTATGGCTGAGAGCAGCAGCGACAATGGATCATCATCATCCTCGCCGCCTATAATCCGAATCCCTCGAGACCATCTCTTCTCCATCCTGCTCCTCTTACCCATAGAGTCGATCTTATGCTTCGCCATGACCTGTAAAAGGCTGAGGTCCTTGACCTATTCTGATCCTCTGTGGGAGACTATCTGCAGGAGGGATTGGGGGCATGCCCCTGTCGACGCTCTCAACGCTTCTATCCGTCTTCCCTGGAAGAAGGTGTACCAGCATGTGTGCCAGTCCGACTCCTTATATTGCTACAGGCTCTTGGCTGATTGCCCCAGCCCTAGCCCAGACGGGCATCAGGCGCTACTACCCACCCCCCGAGCTTCTCATTCGCTGAATATTGTGTCTGGATGCCTGCTTCTCTTCGGCGGGGGATGTGACGGAGGTCAGTCTCTTATCTTCCTCTGCGAAACAAATTTGATGTATTTATTCATAATTGTCCATAGATTAACAACTAACTAACTGTTTATGGAGGTCAGTCTCTTATCTTCCCCCTTCGAAACAAATTTGATGTATTTATTCATAATTATCCATAAATTAACAACTAAATAACTGTTTATGGATGAGACTTTTATGTCTATGGTTCCATAGTGAACGCCAGTTTGTTTCATGATTAGCTTATTATATGTCTGTAACTAACTGTACGTACATGTGTTGTGTTTTACTTGGTTCTTGATGTTATTTCGTAGCATAAACAAGTATAGATCTTCTTAGGTGTTGTATGAGGGAACGGGGAACCCTTATCTTCTGTTTGCGAGTGGCCATCATTAACAATTGACTCTTTCTATATCAACTTCTAAATGTTTTGCTTGGCATCTATTATTGAATTTGATTCTCAATTTTAGCATAAGAAATTATTTGTCTATCCGCTGTCTCATTACTGTTTGAGGAAAAGCCCCACAAGTCCCCTATTCATTCAATGTCTTTCTTTCAAATTGGCCAGACTTATGGTAGCCTTTGGTTGTCTGGGGCAAGCTATACACTGACTTAATTGTGTTGAATGTCCTCTTCATTCTTCGAGTTACATTACAAGGTTACTCCAACTAAGTGCTGGTCTGGTTCTTGCTTTTGTTGCCACATGATTTTTATTTTGGCAACTAACTTTTTCTTGAAGGATCCTTCTCTGTTGTAATTCTCCTGCAGGCAGGCATCTTGATGACTCCTGGGGAGCATGCATCAGTGGCAACTTCAGAACAACTTTGAAGTGGCAGAAGACTAGCTCTGGCACTCCAAGTGGTAGGTTCGGTCATTCATGCGTTGTAGTTGATGATTGCATTGTCCTGTTTGGAGGCATCAATGACCATGGGGTCCGTCAAAACGACACATGGATTGGTCAGGTCACAGTCCATGAAACTCTTGGGATTACACTGTCCTGGCGCCTGCTTGATGTTGGGTCAACCACACCCCTTCCACCTCCAAGGGGTGCCCACGCTGGATGCTGCATTGACAATAAAAGAATGCTCATCCATGGCGGCATTGGACCTCCTGGTGTGAGACTGGGGGACACCTGGGTTCTGGATCTGTCGGAAGATCTCTATGTGGGAACCTGGAGAGAAATTGCAACTCGGACGCGCCCTCCATCCCGCTCAGGGCACACGTTGACACACATTGGAGGAACACAAACTATTCTTTTTGGAGGGAGGGGTATGGGATATGAGGTGCTAAATGATGTGTGGATTTTGGATGCTGCATCGTTCTCATCGTCGGGGCACTGGGAATGGGGACAGCTTCTCTTTGATCTGTGCAGTATACCACAAGGGTTGTCGCTCCCTAGAGTAGGGCACTCAGCCAACCTTATAATAGGGCGCAAGCTGCTGATCTACGGGGGGGAAGATTCATACAGGCATCGCAAGGATGACTTTTGGGTGCTGGACATCAGTTCGGGGTTGCAGTTGCATACTGGAAACCGGATGGAGAGCAGCAGCAGCAGCAGGAGAAGAAAAATTTGGAAGAGGGTAGAGTCCAGGGGCAACAATCCTGGCTGCAGATCATTCCACGGAGCCTGCGTTGATGGGTCTGGGCGTTTCTTGTATGTGTGTGGAGGAATGGTGGACGGACTAGTGCAGCCTGCGGACCCATCTGGATTGAGGTTTGATGGAGAGACTTTCATGGTGGAGCTTGTGCTGCAGCAGCAGCAGAAGCAACCTTATTCGTAAATCCCAGACCAGTGGCAGTGCTGGAGAGGGAGAGAGAGACATTGAAGGGATAGATAGAATGGGGATGGATGGAGAGCAGCTTGGTAGATGATGGATGATCGATCTCACACCAATTGGAGAAGGCGAAGTTTGTGTTTGTTGAGAGCGGCCACCTGTTTCTGGCCATCCTGTCCTGTAAGCTAGCTAGCTGCTTTTCTTCCTCCATTCCTCCTTGTGTGCATATGAATTGATACCATGATACATGAGGCAACAAGTACTAGCTGTAGTAGTAGGAAGTAGCTACTAGCTACTAGCAGCTAGTATGACGTAATGGTATCATCTCCCAAACATATACCTGCCCAGCTAGTATGCCCCTTTTGGCGGATGGAATAGAATTTATCTAGGCTAGGTTGGGGTGAATTTGATTGCAATTTTTTTTAAATGTTTTTCCTTTTTTAGTGTAAATATTTTATAATAAATAAAACTTTGATTGATGAAGTAAAACCAAAATAATAATTTAAGATTTAATAGAAAAAATATGAGTATTAGATTTGATTAAAAAAATATATTAATATAATTATAATCAATATATATTATTTATAAGACAGGAAAAAATGAAAAATTTATAAATATGTATTTATATAATTAGGGTGTGTTTGTTGATGGGTTTGGATTTTTAATAGTAAAATATTTGAATTTGAATTAGTTATTTGATTGTGATATAAATAAATATTGATATAATATTTTGAATGTAAAATAAAATTGTAGGTAACTGTTTGACTTGATATTTTTGGAATCAACCAAAAAACACAACTTTATAGCTTATATGATACTCCTAGAGTTTGTCTTACATTTTCATTTTCGTCCGTTCATTTTTCCATTTTAGTCAATTCCATAACAAAGTATTCATTTTTTCCATTTTAGTCAATTCCATAACAAATAACAAAGTATCAAAGTAATTGTAAACATTACAAATACCCTTACAATTTATCATACATTACAGTCATTACTTTTATATCATACAATATTTATTATTTTAATCAATTCTATTTTATTTATACTATATCTCAATATAATACTAATATTTTTAAAATTACGTGTAAAAAATAAATTGATACGTATTTATGAGATGGGGTGAGAATTATTTATCCATGTCCCAACTATCAACAAAAACATCTTTTATGCTTATGCGACGGAGAGATTATTTTAATAGTGAATATATTTAAAAAATAAGTCTCACTCACTGTAGAAAGACCCATTCGAAAACCCATTTGGAATCTTGGATGTTGTTACAATTGTCTTAGCAACAATTTATTAATCATAACCTCCACAAAAAAATTGGGCTAAGTCAAAACAAAATTCCACGCTGAGCCCACTCCTCCGTTGTTATCATCTATAAAATCAAAATCTATAGGGTCAGCTCCCTCGCAATCTCCTTCCAACCCTAGTTTAGCCCTGTGCATTTCCCTTTCCCTTCGCCTCTTGTAATTTGTTCGCGGCCGCAACGCACTACCATTACAACTACTTGTTCAGCAGGCAGGGCAGTCGGTCGGTATGTTGCTTGTATATTGGACAGAGGAAAGGAGGAATAATCGTTGTAACGGTGGTTGGGGTTGCCTACCCGGCGTTCCAATCCGTATCTTATGCGATTGATACAGTAATGAGTGAATGAGGACACACATATCTATTTATTATGTATGTAGGCAATTGATGTACGCTTCTGAGTGGAATGCTCGATTTTTTTGAGTATGATGACGCTCATCTGAATAGGAAGATCTGATGTCTATGCAACTTTCTTTATTACAATGTCTCTCCGTGCTTGACCCTCGTATGTCTAAGTCACCTTTCTTATAATCCTTCCATAAATATATATATTTACCGTAATGGAGCCAATGCTAGTTAATTCGAAGTCAGTGATGTTAACTTTTATTGAGTCTGAAAATCGCAACTCTATATTATGTTGATTGCGTATGAACTAGGACGGACTGAGGCTTCAGTTTTTGTGGTTGTTTAGGCAACCTCTATAAATGCTCCCCTTTGCCATATGTATGTACAACTTGTTTTAAGTATTTGTAGCGTCTGTTCTTTGTTTTCTTTATGGTCTGAAGATTTCCTGGAGTGATGAGATCAACAAATTCAGTTATCCCTGTCTGATTAACTGTGTTGAAAGGTTGTGATCTGACAAGGAATGCATCATTGTTGTGTCCTTGGTTATTTTGATGGCATATGCATTTTTCAGAGGCTGCAGTTATTTTAAGCTCTGTGATAGAGCATGTTGTACTTCACTCTTGATTGTTTAAACAAATTGTCATGCTGGAGCCTGAACAATTACGGTCTGCTTGCCCGTTCTGAATATAGCCAAATTAAGATTCTGATTTTTTGGAGTCTTGAAAAATTAAAAGATAGTAAAAGTTAGATATATGATGGGATTCTTTGTGATTAAAAAGAAAATTTATATTGTGATAAGTTTTGAAAAAGTTAATAATATAATAGTGCTAAAACTTTTTAATGTGCTGATACGTATCTTATTGTTGTACAGAGACAGACGATGGCATTTTAGCTTCCAGCTCTCAAATTAATTAAAAATGTCCGCAGCTGAGGTTTGAGCACAGCTTAGCTTGTTTTAGTGATTATGATACTTTCAAGTTTCTGTTATCCCTGTCTGATGGATAAACTTGTGCTGATACATTAGCGTCAGACTCTGAGCCGTGCATTGCTACCAGGATTTATCCACATCTTCTTACTTGTAATTTTGTATCATTTGTCTGCCCTTTGCCTTGTGCATATATTTCCAGCTAAATGTGTGTATGCTGCTGCGAGTACCTGTGATATGCTGAGTGGTTGACGAAGGAGCAAAATAAAAGGAATACGAGGAGAGCCTAAGAGGAGGGGGAAGGGTAGTCCATGTCGCCGAATGCTTGTAATAAATCTTGTGGATTGGTTTACGTGACTTTTTCTTCCTTCCAAAGGCATTCATTCAGTCAGACTAAGATGATGCCTTTTAAGGTGTCCGTGCTTCTCTGTAAGTGGTGTGGTTCGTGATCTTAATGACAAGTGTATTTAGAGGATTGAACTTAATATTTACAAGAATTACTTTTTTTATTAAATCAATAGAGATGTTTAATTATATATTATAACAAAAATAAATAATCAATAATTTGAGATAATTGAAGGGGCCAACACCCTTAGAGCGAAAATACAATGGATTTGTCTCAAGAGTGCTTTTATGGTTTATTTGCAACTCTACATCATATATGGCTACTGCATACAGATTTTTTCTGCAGTATTTGAAACTGCGCATTATGTTGGCATTTGATTTGCCAATGTGATGTGATGTGATCTCAGTCAGATTTGTGAAGAACTTCCAATGTCAGTAAATGTACAAAGGAAAACGTTTTGGACAGTGGCTGTTGCTGCTGCTATCTTGACATGACTGTCCTCCATTCCATCCGCGGAAAGACAGACAGGCATCCAGAGGTGGCGTGCGTGCCGCTACAGCCGAGAGAGTTGTAGCATGCTTGTCTGTGAGAAAAAAACAGGAAACCATGGCCTAGATTGAACTCTCTATCTCTATCTCTAGTGCAAAATGTGAGACGATGGAGAATGAATTTTTACATTTTTATGAGAGGAGAGGAGAGGAGAGGAGAGGAGAAGGGTAACCTTTGGTTATAACCTTACCCCACCCATGAAGCCACCGGAGGAAGTACTAAAGATGAACCTGATTGACAGCAGCAGGTTTGGGATAGATAGATTATGTTGTTCCAAATTGACTCTTGAAAAAACACATGGGATGGAGTCCTCTCCTCCCCCCTCCCCCCCCCCCGCTCTGGCTGCTCTGCAGATAGATAGATAGATAGATAGATGTCAGTAGAGCCCCAACATCCTGAGCTCAGCCACGTGGCTAGGATCAAGTTCTGCAACCGCCGCTGCTACATCCTTGTTGGCTTCTCGGTCTTCCACCACATATTCCTGAAAAAGCATTCATCCATTTATAATTTGTTCCGTCAAATAGCCATCAAACTGCATAAACTGTACACTAAACCTTCGTTAGTTCTTGCTTAGCAAGAACATGATAGTGGCGCTCGTTGATCCTCTGTCCACAGATTATTGCAATGAAGAAGCCATAGAGCAAACCCACCAACACAATTGCCAAAACTGCAAATACCATAATGGATAGTGATAGCCTCAGAATTTTGATGAGAGAAACAGAACAAGTCATAACTGTCATGATACCATGATAAGAAACAGGTTACTGCCTCACCACAAGAATGCATCAAGGACAATACTTTCTTATCGGTCTATCTACCAGAACCCTAACCACCCACCCACCCACCACCCCCCCCTCCCAAAAAAAAAAACGTAAAATTTACAAAGTTAGCATGAAGCCTAATAGCTGATGGCTTGAAATAAAGTGATGTGCAATTTTAGAGATTCAAACATCCTTTATTTTCAAAAGATGAGCCATCTGCTCAGACAGATAGGAGCAACTATTGGGAGGACAGTAAACTGTAGGTTGCCATATTTAAAAAGGTTGTATTTCAAATAAGATCACAAGGTGGCAGTCAAAACAGGAAGCAGAATAACGCCACCAGCTGAAACATTGGTTCCAAAAGCTACTGAACATCTACAGTTACAATGCTGTCACTTAACTCTTTCAAATTTCTGATTTTAACACTTCTCTCCCTGGTCACCACTTATTCTAACCAGCCTTGTCATCAATCCTCTGAGCCATGTTGGTTTAATTTGTCATGTACTACTACATTATTTGCAACATATGATTGCAGGGGATTAAATAATCTCCTGTAGTATCATGTAGTAAACACATCCAAAGCTGATTGGATAAAAAAAAAAAACACAAAACGATGTTTTAGATTTTAGTTCTAAAGTCAAAGTCAAACTATAATAATCTCTTTAGATTAACACCATAACATGATTGACAAAGCACAAAATTAAAAAACTGACACCTTTGAACAGCCAATATATTTCAAATTTGATTCTGTATAAAACATAAGACAGCGCTTACCTGCCATAGTATAAAATCCATATGGGTGTTCTTCATAACCAAACATCTCTCGCAGTTCTTCTCCATAAAACTTGTACACCAGCACCCCTAGAGATGCAACTATCTAAGGGAATATTAACACAGAATGCTAGTAAGAAATCCTATACACAAAGTTGAGCTCTTAAAACCAATAGCATTAGCAATAACAGTAATTCCTGAGAAAGCCCAAGAACTATGAAACTTAAACTACTATAAGAAAGAAGAAAATTTCTGATTTACTAGGTCACAGACATTCAACTGCCTGGGTGATTTAAAGATGAATGCTCTCAACAATCATGATTCTATCTGGTGTTGTTTACACACAAGTATATTTTGAATGAAAGCTGCAGATAGCAATCAAGTTGGTATGTAAAATGCTACACATTAAAAGGAAGACAATGAGACACACGCAGGATTATCCTCGATTGCCTCGGGGGTATAAAACATATAGGAACCAAAGCCAAATAGCACTTGAAGTCTTTGGCAGTAGTCTAGAGTAAGTGAAGCGACTACGTCTAAAAACACTGAAAACAGCACATCACAAATATTTGAAATGTAAGAACATCCAATATGACGGAACTCCAGACATGCAGTTAAAGTTCTGTTAATATGTATCTTTAAAAATTCCAGGTATGAAGCATATGCTCACTAACCATGCAGTTTCCCTAAATACCCCTCAGAGAAATGCAGTTTGAGGTTGGGAGTTTATGGTAAATTTAAAATGAGTACAATCTGCATAAAAAGTACACCTAGAAAATTCTAAGGCAACAAGTCAATTGACAAACATAAAAAGGGCTAGACTAATCTCAATTTGAATTTCCTAAAGAAATTATGCAAAACACTCAAAGCTATAATCTTACACATTATAAATCACCGCGATTAAATAGTTTTTGCTCACTGAATTTTATAATCCCATACAGGCTTTGAGTTTATCTTGAACTAAAACACAGACTTTGGCCACTAATGCCTAATGGAGGGTGATCAGTGGTGACCCCATGACACAACATTTATACCAAAACAGAACTAGAATCAAACATTCACTTTTTGCTGTCAGAAAAAGGATTTTTAAATCATCAAATTACATGCCTTGGAAGCAGTGATCTATCAGAAATAGTAATCCAGGAGTTCAGATATACAAACTGCTCAAGTTGTGGCTTCAAGCAATATTCACATGGAGGGAAACAGACAAATCTATAAATAGAAATGCAGAAGTAGCTGCAGTTATAGTGGAAAAATTGGGAATAAAGGAAAAACAAAGTACAGGATGCCTCACTCGTAAAACACCAGTAACACTTGATATCTATATGTTTAAATGAAGATTAAGCTATGAAAAGTGTTCCTACCAGCTGGACAACAACAAAAATGACCGCATGGTCCCTTGCAACAAGAAATTGGAACTTTAGTCTCAACCACCAACGATCAGGAGGAACATTTGCACGCAAAATGAACTTTGCCCGACATTCTGTACAATGAGCAAAAGCAAATCCCTCCTACATTGTGGAATAAAAAACACAAACAAATATATATATATATATATAGATAGATAGTAAATATTTATACTTTTAATAGGAAAATGTTCATTTGTTACATTTGATAGAAAAATATTGATCTTAAATGTGTGTGCCTCAAAATTCAATGAGTTGAAGAGCTATTTACAATTATTAATTCAGGAATGCTTGGTTATATCAATATCTTTTTTCATATTAATTTCTTGCATATATTAGATTGTAAACTTATGGTAGGCCAATAATACTAATATTTTCCAGTTTATCATTGTATTTGTAGCCTATGTTAGGGTACATTTCTTGATTAGTTTTAATGGAACATGTGAGCTAATCTTAACATGGTATAAAAGAGCAAATCAGAGCTAAGTTTTCTTTATTGATCAGATTTTGAGTAGGATTTGGTTTTGTGAGGTGAGCAAGGTTTGTTCAAATATAGTTGGGTTTGTTCAGATACATTTAATTGTCCCAATGAACTCTGTTTATTAACCATTAAATGAGAATCCTGAACAGAGAAGTATGAGACTGGATTGAAGTTCAAGCCTTGTTAATAACAAAAGGCATCAAGAAAGTTTAAATAGCATACCTTTGTTGACCTCCAATAATCAAGACACGACCTATGGACATACTTCTGGGTTCCTTTGCAATGGCACGGTGCAATTAAATCTTCTCCTGAACAAAATAATCACAAAATAAGCAATAACATAACAAAAGTTGAAAACTTCTTAAACTAAAATGTCAAATTCAGTCATCAAAGACTTCTTCATAGCCATGGGGGCACACATCATATAAATAAAATCAAATTTATTTATCCCATGATAGAGATTACCAAATGATTAGAATAAAGTAATGATTTACAGTTCCTTAGAACCAACTGTGACCTTCACTGTCAAAGCATATGCGGCATTGTGGTTGGTCTGCACATACTAGGGGAACTTCCTCGTCAATTTCTCTAACAGATGGATCAGATGCAGTTCCAGATGAATCCAAACCCAGATTTATTTCAACTGAGGCAGAAGATTCCTCTAGTCTCTCTGCTGTAGAAGGCTGAGATAAAATGGGGTCTGTTTCTGAAGAATTGTCAGTCATGTTGTTCTAACTGCATTGCTGAGAACTTTGCATGATATCAAATGGAATTTATCATGCTGACTGATGATATTTCCACAATGTATGTTAATTGAGAGCTTCCTGCATAAAGGCAGAGTAAAAAAAACTGCCTGAAAGAGTTCCATAGGTGATGACATTGCAGGTAGCTAATAGCAGTAATGTTTGCATCCCAAAGCTTGTGATACCCTGTGTTCAAGGAGAGCTCCATGTCTTGGGAATACAAAGCAAAGAAAAAAGCACACATCTTCTACTAAAATATTTTGAAAAAAACCTGTTTAATAAGGAATAATTATTAGAAAAACTCCATGTGTATCTACAAAAAAAACAATGGTAGGATGTGCTATTTCACTCTCATTTTAGCAGGAAGCAATTGCAGAGATCCGAGAAGGTAAGGGGGACCGAACATTCTCATGCAAGAAGTATTTCTTTATTGACACCTTGAATTGGAATATGGCAGGACTTGAAGACCTAAAATGGGATGTGAAGGAAACTTGGGTGTGTTTGGTTTGGGTTTCAAACACAAATAACACTATTCTACCCGCATCTTTCCAATCAAAATCCATTTATCCTCTCACAAAATATCATATCAAAATACTATTTAAACTATAAAACTCAAATCAAAACCTGAAATTCAAATCAAACGTTCTCATAAAAACTTGTAAGTGCATGGCTCCAAATCAAAGACCAATCTAGCAGCCAGAGGCAGTGTCAAAATTCAGTAAGGAAGTCAGTGACGATATAAAAAAACACAAAAGTACAACATTACAACTCTGATTTGGATATTTTATAATGTTATGCCAAATGCAATTTAACACTGCAAGGACGATGGCATATATATATGCATCTCGTTGCACTATACAGCCTGCGTGGGAGACATTAAAATTTTCGTTTTTGCGTGACGTCAGGGCACACTATAATCATAAACCGCTAGCGCACGGGTTGGTTGCCATGTACCCATCAAAACAGTAAGTCAAACAGATCGTGGAGACTGTGTGTGGGCGTTAGAGAGGATGGGGGAGGGGAGAGGCATTGCAGAATTCCCATTAAAATGATGACAAGAGAGAATATATTTAGAAGCATAAATAATCACATAAATTGATGCTAACGAAGAGAGATGGAGAGGGAATTGAAGAGTTGATGGGTTGAATAAGGAAGGAACAAACCTGGCGAATCCGGCGGCAAAGAGGAGAGGAGAGGAGAGGAGAGGAGAGGGGAGGGACCGCAAAGCAAAGGCAATCGGGATGAAGGCAGCTAAGCAGCAATTTAGGGGTTTTGAGAAAGGAGGCAAAACAGAAAGGTGGGGTGTTGGCAGGAGAGAAATGCATCCATGGCCACCCGCCAGAGAGAGAGAGTCAGAGAGAGGCGCGACCACCACCGATCCCAACATACAACTTACAAGACCGATATAACAATAATAATATTAATAGCAATTGTAATAAAATGAAAATGGGCTGGGCTGGGCTGGCAAAATGCATCTTTCCATGTCACCTTCCTCCCCGGGCCTCAACTGCACTGCACTGAAGTTAAATCGTCATTGTTATTTTGTAAGCATTGCCCCCAATCACAATCTATATCCATCCAAAGACCCACCGACGACGACGAGGAAGAAGAAGAAGAAGAAGGTTCATCCGAATCCCCTTCCTTCGTCTCTCTCTCTCTCTCTCCTGCCTTTTGCCTGCTTATTAAATGCTGATCGTTGCCGCCCATCTGTTCTAGGAGTCCAATGGCCGAACTGGAAGGCGTGACGATGATGGCAGCAGGAGGAGTCCAGGACCAACAACTACCGCCCCCATCTAGGGCTGTCGACCGCCTCAACCCTGCACTTCAGCAGCAGCTCAATCTCGACTCTGTCAAAACACGCGCCATCAGCCTCTTCAAAGCCATCTCCCGTATCCTTGAAGACTTCGATGCCATCGCCCGCACCAATGCCTCTCCCAAATGGTATTATTTATTATGCTATTCCATTACTCTACCCAAAAACAATCCATTTCAGAGTAAGCATTCAAGAATCAATGATTGGTATTCCCTTTTTTTCAATTTTGTGGTTCCTTGTGTCTTCAGGCAAGATATACTGGGCCAGTTCTCGATGGTAAATCTGGAGCTTTACAACATTGTCGAAGATATTAAGAATGTTTCCAAGGCTTTTGTCGTGCATCCTAAGAATGTTAATGCTGAGAATGCTACCAGTATGCACCATTTTTCTCCACCAATTCTCACTATTTGATGGTCTACATTTTTATTTTCCAGCTATTGGAACTTAGTATTATGTTCCCACTGCTTCATTGCCCATTATCATGGTAGATAAATTACATTCAACACAACATTAAAATTATTCTGGACTTTGTACCCATGTGACATTTTAGATCCAAGTTAAATAACGATCTTAAGGCTGAGAGAATAGTATAAATATATGTATATATATATATATATATATTTATATATATAGGCCCCTTGAATTCTACTTCTTACATCAAACACATTATATTGTTTGCAGTTCTTCCTGTTATGCTATCATCCAAACTCTTGCCTGAAATGGAGGTGGATGACAACATCAAGAGAGAACAGCTGCTACATGGTATGCAAAGTCTGCCAGTAGCTGCCCAGATTGAAAAGCTAAAGGTGGTTACTCTTGATGCCTACTCTACCAATGTTTTACATGACATCCACTTAAACTATCTGATTTCTATTTGGTGCCAGACTAGAATTGATTTGATTGGTGGAGCCTGTGAAAGTGCTGAAAAGATCATAGCTGAAGCTCGTAAAGCCTACTTTGGTACTCGACAGGGACCAACTCTTCTCCCAACCATTGACAAGGCTCAAGCTACAAAAATACAAGACCAAGAAGACTTACTTCGAAAAGCTGTCAATAATGGTGAAGGTAAATCTTCTCATTAAATTCCAGAGAATGTGTTGACTGCAATTTTTACCTATTTCTAGGAGAGTCCATGATGTGCAGAAGTTTATAAAGTTCTATTTCAACAAGTTTCTTCTTCATGGCGTTCCTTTATGTTTCTTGGTGGTCTCTATTTGAAATAATGCACATGATAGCCACTTGGCTGCATGCTCATAAATGATGTATCTAGCCTCGCATTGTTCTTACACTTTAATAGTATATTGACAGTTGACACATGCTTGTTAATATAAGAATTTCAAGGCATTCAATGTTTTGCCTTAGTGCAAGGTGCACCTATGATTCCTTTTATGTTAAAAGGATAGAAATCTCACTTATGTATTATTATTATTATTATTATTATTATTTTAGTCAGGGAAGTTGTTCTGTAAGAGTATTAGTTGTATTTATGTACACAATAAATAAATTTAAATTTTCTCAATGCGCTTGTTGTCTTGAAATCAAGAACTGTATCTCTAGCTTGTTATTGATAAGTGTTTGTAGTTTCCTCAGTTATGCTGTTCTTTGATTATATGCAGTTTCGTAGTTTGGCTTTCTCTGGTGACTTTCTCCGGTCCTTACAAGTTCAATTTTATATTTTTATGAACAGGTTTAAGAATACTTGGAGACCAAAAGCAAGTTACATCCTCACTTCCAATGCATTTGGTACATGTATTTGCAGCTGCTGATGGTGCCGCATTCTCAGATTCATCTGGTTTGCTGTTTCCTCTCACCTTTTTGTTTCATAATTCGTCTTTTTTCTCAAATTAATAATTTTTACCAAATTTTAATAGTTTACTCAGTGCGTGATAAAGTTGTTATTATTCATTGCAGGGATATATCAGAAGAATACGCCTCCACTTTTATCAACCCCCAGCAGTAACACTCAATTGTTTCAGGTCATATTTCACTATTGCTATATATATATGTGTATATATATATATATATTTAACTACATTGCTACAAATTCTAGTGAGCAATGTTTATGCAAATGCAACTGAATAGTTTTTTTTACTAACTTTACTCAGGTACAACCCTTTCTATGCTATAGCTTTTCACAACTTTTTAACCTTGTTTGAAATAAATGATGTGCCAATTTTTTGTTTCACTGATCCTTCTACACTGAGAGTGGAGAGAAGAAATCAGCTTGCCTTTTGAATATCACTTCATAACTCACAGGAAGACATGGGATCACTCTTTCAGTGTAGCGACAATTCTGACCACTTTCATCAATACGTACCATAATATTCTGAATAATTGATTCTTCATCTTTTATATCTTTGGTTCAAAGCTCTAAATATACAACCTAATTCTTTTAAGCTAATCGTCCATCAAACTCAGATATAATGCCAATTGTCAGGTATGATACACCTTATGCAGTGTCTGAATGCTTGGTCTCTGAATTGAAGTCTAGCTACTGCTTTCTCTAAAATTTTACATGAACAGGACTTGATTTTCTTGGGGTATATTTAGTAACTTGTCATATTTATTGATAATAGGCTTCTGGAGCACAACCTATTGGAAGAACAGCAGCTTCACCTTCTGGTGCTGCTGGGAGTGCATCTTTTGACAATACAACAGCATCACCTCTCCAATATGCTAATTCTCCTAGATCTGGTGCCACTATTATGAACACACCATCTCCTCAGCAACAGCAGCAGCAGCAACAACAACAACAACAATTGCACCAACATCAGCAGCAGCAAAGGCAGAAAATGATGCAGTTACCTCCACATCAGCAACCGCTTCTAAGTCAACAGCAGTTGAGAACAACCTCCATGGCTGGCTTGGGACAAGTACGTTTTTAGAGACCACTGTGAATTACATTTCTTTTGCTGAATGAATCCATTATCTTTCATACTTCTGGGCTACACATAAGATCTCATATGTATTGAGAGATGATCCTATTGTGATTCAAATTATGTGTGCAAGTCATTATGCTTTAGATGGTGAGTCTTGCTAGGAGTCCTTTTAGATTGAAATTTGAGTAAAATGTATTTGGTTGGATTTCAATTTGTATGCCTATAATTAGCTCTTATATATCATGCAAATTCTTGAGGATGTTTTTGGGGGATGAAAACAGTGTGCTTACCTGTATTTTAGTGTTTTAGGTTTTGATGGCTTTTTAGATGAAAATAGATGTGATGTTTTAAATAGAAAATGGTGTTGGATGTGATTTTTTGGGGGAAAACTGATAGATTAAATAGTATGAAATAAGTTTGAAAACACAGGTAAACAAACCAAGAGTTTCTAGCTTTTAGATTTACATGTTCCTCAAGAGACTGAGGAATTGCTTTTGCTGATGAATGCTTAAAGGTCGTATTCAGTTTGAGTGTATAGACTTGTAAGATTATATTGTCAAGTTTAAAATAAATAATATATTGACTCTAATAGACGTGCTAGTAAATTCTCAAAGTTCACTGATGTATTTTCCAAATTTAGCAATCTTTGCTTGTAACCATTGCTCCTGATTCCATACTCTTATATTCTTTAGATAGATGGATTTCCCCAGATTTTTGTTTTGAATAGGTTGTTTGGAGGTTGCAAAACATGTTTCATTCTTGTAACTTTGTTGGGTTTTGTTGATTTTGATATTCATTACATTCATGATGGTTTCATATCACTGTCCTATTTGTTTTGAGACATACTGAAATAAATTTGATTCTGGTCTTTATACTAGATCTTTTGGTTTTGGTGATAAAGGCTGTGGAGATTGTGTGTGTGTGTGTGTGTGTGTGTATATATATATGTATATATATCTTTATCTTACACAGTTCAATTGCTAAATATGTGTGTGCAGAATCAACTATCAAAGCTTCATGACTTGCCAAGCCAGACACAGCAAAAATTTCAGTCGGTAAATATATGTCCTATTATTTATTCTGTATGCTTTGGTTGAAAAGACATTTCTCAAACCTTCTTTTTTATCACTCAAAGGGGAAGCAAGAAAGTTTCTTAGTGCATGCTTCTGCTTTTGGATGTATAATTTTATGTCATTTTTACTTGTTACCTGAGATATTGCCTGCATATTGTCTGCTTCTCATACAGAGGACACCCTTCTGTAGTCTTTAATCACAATAACTGATAAGATTCTGTTGCATGGTAGGTGCATGGTCAGCATCATGTGCAGTTCTCTCAGCCATTGGCAGCCCAGCAACTACAAGGCAGACAGCTTACATCATCTGCAATGCATATGGGTCAAAACTCACTAAGCCAAGGAAACCAGTTGAATCGTCAACTGAATCAGTTCTCAAGCCCTGCAAATAGTGCATTGTTTAATGCCGCCCAGACAACACCATCCTCTCAAATGGTCAGATCTCTTCATCCTTTCCAATCTGTTTTCCTCATCCAATGGATTTGTTATTGTACTTATGTTATTGTGCTATTGTATAATGCTAAATATTTGTATTTTTGTACTACTATTAATAGCAATGGAGTACTTAATATAGTTTCCTGTACCTTCACAACTTGTTTCTATTATTCTATCATTACACATAATTGGTTATTCCTGCCGTCATGCCGTGCACTTTGAGCATTTTTGAAAAAATATTTTATTCAAAGATCTCTATAAAGTATCCCTGTCTAAAGTTGTTGGTTTAATGAGCGATCTTGTGACTAGTACATTCTTGCTCCGTGCTGTTTACCGTGTTTGTTCCATAGACATATTGTGTGCGACTTGTGTGATATGTACTTTTGTTGTGCCCTTATTATTTGTTTGATTTAGCATTTTTTACCTGTCAATTTGGTGCGTCAGTTTCTCTTGGCAATCATTGGATTGGCTGATTGGAATGGTTATATCAGAATGGTGTTACTTAACTTCAATTTCACCTATTTAAGCTGGTATTGGGAAGCCAATGGTGTTCATCTAACATTTACACTACTTTTTTTAAAATAAAAAAATAAAAAATAAATAAAGAAAGAAAGAAAATAATTAATAGATGTTCTAGGTTCATTTATTTAAGATGCATTTTCTGATAGATGTTAAATTTCTTTGAACAGTTTACGAGTCCCTGGTCTATTGAGGTTGAAGAAATCCTTTTTCTATTACCTTTTTCCAATGCTTGCTTAATGTGTGTTTCATAGTTGAATGTCCTAGTTCTTGGTTATCTCAATGCAACTTATGCTCCTTTTTTTCTTATTTGATTAACATGGTATTTATAGTCTCATCTATAAACACAGATCCCTAACATGTCAGCTATGATGCCATCGCAATCTCTCCTCTCAAAAATGCAGGTTAGATTTCAAATTCTGTAGCATTCGAACCTGATGGATGATATCAAATACTTGAGTATCAAATTATACTTAGATAGTAGAATAGGTAAAAAAGGAACATCTGAATGGTTGTTGAGAAGGAAAATGACTACAAGGGAGTGATGAATTGGTAATCTAAAGATAGTGAAGATCATGAAAAATGGCTTTGCTTAGATCTAAAAATGTACTGTCATGCATAGAAAGCCCAAATACAACAGTATCTACATGTCTAATAGGATCTATTTATACCCATGCATGCGATCCTTCATCCCTTAAACTGAATATTTTGGCACATTTCTTGAACCACGTGTTGTATTGATTTGCATGAGCTCTTCTAATGACACTTTATACTTTCAGTATGCAATTCCTGGTGGAAATCGGAATCTGCCTCCCCAAAATCTAAGCGACCAGAGTATGGAATGGCTTTCTGTCCTCTATGTGTGTGTGTGTGTGTGTGTGTGTAATATGTTGTAATTTTTCAGGTAGCAAAGGGGTGTGCTTGCCTCCACATGTACATTTGGTTGTGTTTTTATCTTCCTGTGTTTGAGACTTGACAGGCGAGTTTTGGACCACTTTTCAGTGTTTAACATGGGAGCTGGCAACCCTGGTGGGATAGTGGGCATGCAGCAGCAGCAGCAGCAGGGGGGTGCTTTTGGTGGGAACATTCCACAGAGTGGTCAGAACCTACAACAGAGCATGGTGCAAAACAACCCCCCACAGAATCATCCAAGCTTTCAGCAGCAAAGGCCACCGCCACAAAACCAGCAGCAGCAGTAGGAGTAGTGGCTGAGGAGGAAGGAAATATGCACAAGTGATTTAAGGAGGCGCATGTGTTATGTGCTGTTGGGAGGATTGGGAAGGTTGTCCCGGGGGCACAGCAGGCAAACAGTAGGGTGCCAGCGTGAAGGCCGGCTGGTGTGTTTTTGGATATTTCTACACTTCCTTTAGATAGATAGATAGATAGATAGATGGCTTTGGCCACAGTGGAGCGCTTATCTTCAAATATTGTCATTTTTACATTATGATGTGCTATGATGCTCTACCACTTCAGCAATTCCGACCCGAATTCTTTTAGTTAGTTGTGGGACTAATCTAATAGTATAAGATTTACACCAACTAAAAAAAAAAAAATAGTTTATCCTGTATTTATATAGTAATTTGTGAGAAATTTGAAAATACGTCCAAGTGTTTTTTTTAGGATTTGTTTGTTTGTTTTTTTTTTAATTAAAATTATTATTTTTTAATAAAATCTATTTTTTTTTATATCAATATTTTGTAAGAAATAATGAAAAGTTTATGATTAGTTATAGAAAATTATAAAAATATTTTGAGAATATTATGTAAACAACTACCAAGAGATAAAAGTAATTTTTTTTTAATAATTATATTTCTTTTTATTGAGATTAGCCGTTTTTATTTTTATTGAATTTAATATATTAAATATAATTAATAAATATAAATCAATTTAATTAAATTTTTAACATATTTTTTTATCTATATTTAAAATGTTTCACTTTTTATAAAATTAATTTAAATTAATTATACAATTAGTTTAAATTAATTATATGTAAATATATATTTTTTATTTATATTTTATCTATATTTAAAATGTTTCACTTTTTATAAAATTAATTTAAATTAATTATACAATTAGTTTAAATTAATTATATGTAAATATATATTTTTTATTTATATTATATAATATTTAATTATTTATAAAATAATATTTATATGGTATATATTTTATTAAAAGTATAATGCTAGAAGAAATTTTTAATTTTAATTTATTTTAAATTATATATAGTATTAACTTATATTTTTAAAATATTAATAATATTATTTTTATAAAAATAAAAAAATAGTATCATAATTTATTATTAATAATTTAATAACAAATAAATAGCGTATTTTGAGAAAAAATGTAATATTTGATTTAATAACTATAAAATAGAACCCTAACAGAAAAAACTAGGTGACACGGTTAACTCGAATTGAATGTGTTTATTTACTTGGCAAATTTGGTTAAATTTTCACTTTTAAAAAATACACTATATTAAATATGTATTTTTTATATTATATTAAAAAAAATTTATATTAAAAATATATATAATAACTATTGAAAATTTAAAATTTATTAGGTCGAACTAACTTTATCCACGCAGTGCCTAGAGCACGCTGACGCCCTAACTTTAGGGTGTGTTTGTTTTGGACATTTAATTAGATTTTTACTATTCATCCAATTTTTTTTCCTTCATAAAAACATCAAATCAAATACCTATTTTTTATTTTTTATATTATACTAAAAATCAATTTTACATTCAAAACATCACATCAACACCTATTTATATCACATCATACAACTATTCAAATTCAAAATTTTTACTATTCAAATTCCAACTCAAAATCCAAACCACTAAACAAACACACGCCATCTCAAACTATGATTTTGCTTCTAACTTTTATTGTTGTCGTTAATATTTTATAGTACTATTATTATATTATATTATACTATTACATACTGATAAATTATTAATCGGGGTGACTGCTCTCTCTGGCTCTGCTGCTCCATCCAATTCCATTCCTGCGCGTCCCTCCCTCCGCCTTTGCTGCTTGCTTGCTTGCTTGACTTCTCAGTTCTCAGCCGCCCCGCGCCGCCCCGCCCTCGCTCACAGATCGATCGAGAAAGATAGAAAGAAAGAAAGAAAAAAGCAGGCAGGCAGGAGGGAAGGAGAAATCGGCGTCGTCATCAGCACCATCAAGACATGGGGTCTGAATCGAAGATGGTGCATTCACCCTTGCTCACATACGCCTCCATGCTCTCCCTCCTCTCTCTCTGCCCTCCATTTGTCATTCTCCTGTGAGATCTATCACCTCTTCTTCTATGATGCAATTGCCTGTCTTATTCTGTGCTCTCCCCTGCCCTATAACGGAAATAAATTAGTGATAGATTTCATGTCTACTGCGCCGGATCTGATCTGTGCTGAATTTGAATATCAACTGCTTTCCTTGTGGTTCATGCCTTTTTTTTTTTTTTTTTTTTCATGATTTAAAATGCTTCCTGCCTCTAATCTCAACCAATCCACATAATGCCACCCATGATGCCCGCTTATGATATTAGCACAGCATAGCACAGCACAGCACAGCACATTCATGCATTATAACTTTACCTGATGATTGATGAACTGTATTTTCTGTCGCCAATATTATTATTCTCTTCTTGCCGCACTATGAGATTCGTTAATATGTGATGGATTGGAACTGCATGTAGATGGTACACCATGGTACACGCCGATGGCTCTGTCTTGCAAACATGGCATTACCTGCGGCAGGATGGTCTGCAGGGATTCATTAATATCTGGCCAAAACCCACGGCAACAGCATGGAAGATCATCGCTTGTTATGCAGCATTTGAGGCGGCGCTTCTGCTTTTGCTACCCGGGAAAAGAGTTGAAGGCCCTCTGTCGCCTTCTGGAAACAGGCCTGTCTACAAGGTATTTATTTAGCCTATCGAATGCTTCTTTATCACTTGGTTACAGAAGCGAATGAAAAAAAGTAGGTGTTTGTATCCTGTTAACGCCTTTCCATGCCAATTTTGGATGCCTTTATCCTATATAGCCGAAACTATAAGTAGGATCTTTTGAAAATCCAAAAAAAAAAAAAAAAAAAAAAAAAAGCTTACTTTAACATTCTCACAGGCTTTCTCCATCTCCGTTTCTTGCAGGCTAACGGTATTTTAGCGTATTCAGTAACATTGATCACATATCTTGGTCTTTGGTGGTAAGTCTATTCTCCCAAGAATCTGAAAGTGATTGTACATTGAATTTCTTAAGCATTATAAATGGTGAGTAGGGAATAATGGCCATTAGTATTCCTATTTTCTTAAAAGATGCTGATATGAAGGTCTAGCTCATGTGTAAAATAGCAGATAAGTACACTGTTTATTGCTACATTTTGGTAAATCTGAGTTCAGCTAATGTTTTCTGCTACGTTTCATGAGCTTAGGGTTATTCATGTTATGTTTACTACAGTATTTTCTGTATTTCATTTACTCTTTAGTACTAATTCTCACCCCCCTCCCTTTCTCTTTACTGTTTTCAGGTTTGAGGTTTTCAACCCCACAATAGTTTATGATCATTTGGGGGAGATTTTTTCGGCACTTATTTTTGGAAGCTTTATCTTTTGCATTTTTTTGTATGTCAAGGCAAGTCTTTATGGCCATATTGATTTAAATATGCCTTTCATCTGCTACTTGCGCATCTACATTTTTTTTTTAATGTCTGACACTCTTGTGTATCTATTCAAGGGTCATCTTGCACCATCTTCAACTGATTCTGGTTCATCAGGAAACATAATTATAGATTTTTATTGGGTGAGAATATAGCTACCTTCAATATTGCAATGTTTCTTTCACCTTGGGAAATTAGCTATGTCATTTGTTGATGTATGGCTTCAAAATAGAAGATTGACTAGAACATAGTTAGAGTGTTTCAGATAATTTATTAAGGATGTTGATTTCAAATATGTAGAACACACATGTGACAATATCAGGTTAGAAGATTTCATGCTCCTTTTTTGGCAGGGAATGGAGTTGTATCCACGTATTGGTAAGAACTTTGATATCAAAGTTTTTACAAACTGCAGATTTGGGATGATGTCCTGGGCTGTTCTTGCTGTGACTTATTGCATAAAGCAGGTAAATACTGTTACAGATTCTGATTACATTTTCCCAATATTGTAGAGTTGCATCTCTCTCTTCCTTGTTTGTCAAAAGTTTTTTGGCATAAAATGCCAGTTGATACATCTCTGAAATACTGGGGGCAATCATGGCATAGGATGGATCAGATTTTGTTGGTGTCTCAGTATTAGCAATATAACTTACCTTACATGCACTGTTCCTTGGTCTGTGGACCTTGTGCTACTTTTGTTGTTTGAAGCACACTGACTTATGAACCCTAAGTTTTGTTTTCCTGCAGTACGAAACTAATGGAAAGATTGCCGATTCCATGTTGGTTAATACTATAATAATGTTGGTATATGTGACAAAGTTCTTTTGGTGGGAAGCTGGATATTGGAACACAATGGATATAGCTCACGACCGAGGTCTGATTGTTTTTCTATTTTACCTCTGGTCATAATAGAATGTGCTTCCAGAAAGTTGTCTTCTGGTTAGTTTTTTCCTTTCAGAAACTTATTAATACGTTTGCAGCTGGTTTCTACATTTGTTGGGGATGCTTGGTCTGGGTCCCATCTGTATATACATCTCCTGGCATGTACCTTGTCAATCACCCTGTGACCCTTGGAGTTCAGGTATCTCAACCACATCCCTAAAGGAATCTTCAACGTGACCATTATTAAAATATGACTTCTGTACCTCTTTTTTTTTTTGTCATTTTAGTTGAGATCGGATCTACTTGGTAATTAAAAGCTTATTGTTTTCAAATTATCAGATCCCAGGAACTGGTATTGACTGAAAAATTTTAATCTCCTTTCACTGACTTCCTGTTTCCGATTTGGCTACCCTGGTCATGGGTGTGTTCCTTTTAATGTTTGGATTTGGATTTTAGGTTTGAATTTTGGTTTAACTAGTAATTTAATGTATACTTTATGAGAGAAAATAGCACATTTTTATTAGGGACCTAATAGTGAAAAACCTAGAAAATTCCCCAAAGAAACAGACTTTTAAGTTAATTAGCACCCCATAGCACAATTAAATAAATATTTTTATCTTTCAGATTTTCTTCAGTGATTTTAATAGATGTACACTATACTTGCCAAAGTAAAAAATTCTGATCTAAGTTTGACTGTGCAAACAATTCCCTATACCTAACATAAAAAAATCCAAAAATACAAAGTGAATGAACCTAAAGTAACCATAAGAGTAATCACCCGGCCCATGCTATCTGTTGTTTTGCATATTCAAAATGGAAAAGCAATTTTTGATCCTTGACTAAACTGAAAAGGATCAATAAAGTTCTCTTTGGCATAGTATAAATACACTGATAAATTTTTGGAATAATGTGTTTAGATGATAAATGAGAAATTAAGAGCATGCATTAATCCTTGTACCGGACTTTTATGTATCTAACATCTCATTGATTATCCTATCCGGTCGTGCAGCTTGGTCTCTATATTCTTGTAGCAGGCATTCTATGCATATATGTAAACTATGACTGTGACAGGCAGAGGCAAGAATTTCGCAGAACAAATGGCAAGTGCCTGGTTTGGGGAAAAGCTCCTTCCAAGGTACATTCGTACCTATAGTGGTACTTTGGCTGACTGAGTGCCAGATTTGCTTAGTTGCTTTATGATGCTATCTGGGATTGTTATTGCCATCATATTTTTGTGTCACTTTTTAGCCCATTGGCAGAAGACTAATTAACTAACCTATTTCATAGATTGTTGCTTCATACACAACCACTGCTGGAGAGACCAAAACCAGCCTTTTATTGACATCCGGATGGTAAGTAACAATCAGACTTCATATAATATATTCATGCCTAAAAAAAAAAAAAAAAGGAGTCCCGGCAGACTAGGCTGTCTGAAATTTGCAAAGTTGATCGAGAGTGCACTGCGCCACTAAGTCATTAGGTTTAAAATTGGCAGTAGTAGTCGTTGCTGTGCAGGTGGACAATGCAAGTATGGTTGAATGTAGCATATGAGAAAATGAAATCTGAAACCATAAATAAGATCATGACTGAACAATGTTGGTGGTTTATACAGGTGGGGCTTAGCACGGCACTTCCATTATGTGCCGGAGATCCTAGGAGCTTTCTTCTGGACTCTACCGGCTCTGTTTAACCATGTAAACTATTAAGAAACATAGGTTGTTCCATGTTTTGGAAAATCCTTTCTAATGACTTTTGTTTTCTGTTTTACTTTTGCAGTTTCTGCCTTACTTCTATGTGGTGTTCCTTACAATTCTTCTTTTTGATCGAGCTAAAAGGGACGATGATCGATGCAAATCAAAGTGAGTACACTTACACACTGATTACATTTGTGTTATAGAGTTTGCATTTCCAGCAAGCTTAGAATACTGGCTTACACAACTACCAACGCTGTCCTCAGTATCATACGTGCAAAATAGAATAATAGTCGGGTCTTGTGTCATTGAAGAACAAAATGCTTATTATCCTAAGAGCAGCTGTGACTTGACCTGACCCAACCCAAATAAATGGTGGCTGGCAGGTATGGCAGGTATTGGAAATCCTATTGCGACAAGGTTCCATTCAAGATCGTACCTGGTGTATACTGACCTGACCCCCCGCCGCTGCTGCTGCTGCTGGGTATCAGTGTCCTGTTTTTCTGTTGGGGTTGAATGTACTGTATTATGTAATGCTAATAATGGTCGTATCTCATATCTGGCCCAGTCAAGTCACCACCACCAGCGGGTGCCCTGTCTGCCTCTGAAATTGTTTTGCTATTTAGCGGTGTTTTGATACCAGTAGTGCATGTCCAAACGTTCAGACAGACACTTAATTAGTCAGTCAGTCCTTGTGCTTGGTTTAAGAAAGCTTCGGTACAGGACACCAGCTGCAATGTTTTATCACTTTATCTTGTGGTCTTCTTCTACTGCACTCAAATGACAAGCGGGATCAGAGCGAGTCTTTAAAATTTTATGGGGTGAACTTAAAATCCAAATCCAAATCCACAACACAACACAACCAGCAATGCTGCCCATTGAAACTCATCTCCCTCCACTAAGCCAACGTTGACTAATAGTCTGGTCTGAGGGTCAGGCCAGGCAACCAACAAACGTAAAGGCAGGTGTTCTGAAGCTGTAGAATTAGCCCACGAGAAACAAACAGGCAATGATTCTCCCACTGGTCCAACAGCACCCATTCTTTTCCTACTGACATTGCAATAACCCCAAAAATAAATGTCAATCAGGTCAAACATTCATGATGCTTTTGTTGAAGCATTTCATCCTAATGCAGATAGATAGATAGATGATGCAAACCAAGAAAAGAAAAAATGTTCCTATCAAAACATACTTGGAAGTTCCTGATAACATAAATATAGCCCCCCCGCAGACACTCCACATTTTCACACACCAAATTGACAGGGACAAACTTTTATGCATATGCAGCTCAAAGAGAATATGAGAACAGCCAGCCACACTGACACTGCTATGCAGCTCAGCTGTACCCGGACCGGGCAGAATCTGATAATCACAAGCATCAACTACTCATTTACATTTTTTTGCAATAGCAAACCTGATCCCAATACAGTAAATGACCATTTAAAAATTATCAATAGACAGGAAAACTTACGGAAGCTTCTCAAGGAAATTGTGCATTAACGTTAACCAAAAAAAAAAAGAACTGACAGAAAAATATGCACAAGACTCGACCTTGCTGTTGGCGTTGACCTAACCCATTCAGTGACTGAAGATCTAAGCAGAGGGTTTATTTCATGGACATTCCACAGATAAATGAAACGACTTACCTACTAGGAAATCTGGATTCCAATAACTCCTCCTCCTCCTCCTCAACAACAACAAGGGGGTCACACTTTAACCCTACTAAATAGCCAATTCTACATCTACAATTATAACCTATTTCTTGATACACATTACACTCTCAAGCACTGCTATCACTATTATTGTGATTGTTATTGTTGTTGGTGGTGGTGGTGTTGTTTTTGTTGCGGTGGTTGTTATTATCATCATCCTTGGTGGCAGCGGCAGCGGCATCATTGTCATTGTTGATCTGGTGATGGTTATTGTCACTCCCATGCCTCCTCCTCCTCCCATTCTTCAGCTGCGAAAGCTCGAGCTGCGTCTTCATGAAGTACTGCATCCTCTGCAGCTCCAGTTCCTTGGCAAACTTCATCCTCTGCTTCTCTATCTCCACCAACTGTTGCAGCTTTGCAGTCTCGGCTTGCTCATACACCTCACCAAATTTCAAGATCGCACAAGTCAGCTCCCTCATGGAATTCCTCCAGTTGCTCTCCTCCTTAACATTTCCTCCTCCGCCTCCGCCTCCATCACCTGCTCTTTTCAGCCTCACCACAGCAGCTGCTTTATTCACCGCCCGGGCTTCCCTCTCAATCATTGGTCTCTTGTAGTTTTCCGGAGGCAAACCATCAGAGGAATCGGCAGAATTATCTGGTTCAGACTCCCCGTCAGAGTCGGCAAGGTTGCGTTTCCGGTGGTTGTTGGGCTTCTGGGGCTGTTGCAGCCTCTCCGGCGGGGCGGAGGAAGACCTAAGCCCGACAGGAATCCCCATAGGGACCACCGCCCTGGGATACATACTACTACTACTAATAGTAATAGAATCGATAGGCGGGGTGGAAGAAGAGCTTATCTTAGCGGAAGGGCCGATCAATTCATCGAGCTTGTCGAAAAACTTCCAGGTACTGGGCCCGCCACCAGATGCAACCTTGGCCTTCTCAACCTTGTACTTTTTCTTGACGGTGTCGATTCGATTTTTGCACTGGATGTCGGTTTTGGGGGTTTTGGAGTAATCCTCGCGAGAGCTGACGATGTCAGCAACTTCTTTCCAGTGCTTCTGCTTGAGATTTCCCCGGCTGAGCTCCAAGTACCGTTCACCCCAAGCGTCGATCAAGACAGCGGTGGCGCCTTCGCTCCAGCAATCCTCTCGGGAGCCGGAGCCGGAGCCGGAGCCAGAGCCAGAGGAGGCTTTGTGGTGCTGAATCGGAAGAGCTAGAGTGAGGGAGTTGGAAGAAGGGGGCGGGGCGGCAGCAACGGTGACGGTGATCCTGCCGTTGGGAGGAGAGGGAGAATTGTGGGACCGGATTTCGTCGTCGTCGTCCATGGAGAGGTTAGATCTAGCGTTCGTTCGTTCGTTCGCTCGTTCGCTCGTTCGAGATCTAGGGAGAGAATTTTGGTTAGGTGGAGCGTAGGCAGGCAGGGGGAGGAGGCGACGGGGACGGGGACGGCGACGGCGACGGCGACGAGGATAGGGGGCGGTGCGGACGACGCCGTTTTAGGAATATGATGGAGTTGGACAACAATGATCCCATCCCATCCCCGTTCCCATTCAGATTCATTTATTATTATTATTATTGCTATTGCTATAAGTATTTTATTTATTTATTTATGAATTACGAGCCAGCCAGGCAGGCAGGGACGGCAAAGTCCGAGACGCAGGGCTGGCTCAGGCAGGCACGCCGGCCTCCCTTGGCTATTGGAATGTGGAATGGGTTAACCGTTAACGAACATACAGACATATTTACCTGGTATCGGTATCGTCTTAATTAATTGAATAGGAAAAAAAAAAAAAATTAGTATACATCGAAATTAATTTAATTAACTTTTTTATTTTATTAATCTTTGCATAAAATTAATTAGATTTTTGGATAAAAATGCTGACTTTGAAGGCCATAGAATCCTCAATAAGAGAAAAATTCACCATTTGTTTAGCTAGAAGTGGATCTATTCAATCATAACGTAAGCCTGTTTGATGGAGCAAATATCTGCATGCCAATTTAAATTGTATGGGAATGTAATTTATCTACATAAATAACACAAGAGACTTAAGATTTTAATATCATAACAGATGACGTCTCACTCACCTAACAATTTAATTGTTATTTATTTGTTAATAATTGGGAGTCTATCAATAATAAGTATAAAGTTGAAACATTAAAATGTTTCAGGTATTTTATAACTAATAAGTAAGTAATTCAAAAATATATTAATAAAAATAATTATAAAATTAAATAAAATTACTAATTATTAAGTATTATTGAATGGTAAATGTTACATGCATGGGAGAGATCAAGCCGAGATTTTTCCTTTCGTCTTTGTCTTTTTTTTTTTCTTTTTAATCGATGAAGATTAGTCTTAGGTCATAAGAGAAGAAATATATAAACTATTACTATTATATATATTAGATTGGTAACAGTATTATTATTATTACTACTATTATTTTTATTTTATTTTCTTAGGATTTTCTCTCAATTCGATTCCATTTTTCTAACAGATCGTCTCCGCCCTCCTTCCCTAATCCCACCAGCCAACCTCAACCTCAATCCGTGCCCAATGGCAAGGAGCAGATCGTCGTCCACCCGGTGGAGATACGTTAACCCTGCCTATTACTTGAAGAGGCCGAAGCGTTTAGCTTTACTTCTCATATTATTTGTCTGTGCAACTCTTGTCTTTTGGGATCGCCAGACTTTAGTTCGGGAACACCAGGTGCATTTTGTTTGATTCTTTAACACAATCATGATGATTTTGTTTATCGTTCGGAGTTGGAGGAACGCAGATCTTAATTTTGCTCTTTTTCTGTGACTATTAGTGTACCAAAAAATGCGATCTGGAGATATTTCGGTAGATTTTTGCCTTACTTTGATTGTTTCGGCTTTCCTCTGGTCCTTTTCTTTTAATTATTTCAATTTGAGTGCTGATTGTGGTGGTAGTTACTTGGAAAGTTTGGATTCTTCTTGTTGTGGATAACCAAACTAGATTAATGAACTCTATTTTCGAAAATTGGCCTTGCCACTCCGTTAATGGAAACAAGCACCTCTATTTAATGAAGCGGGTGGGAATGCCGAGCTATGTATTTCCACCGTGTAGAGTTTCTTTCGTGGAAAGCATACAGGTTTTAAGATTTTCACGTAACTCCTGTCTAGACTCGCTTCTAGCATAAACTCTGGACATAGCTGTTTGCCCTTGAATAGATGCAAATTATTTTTTGCTATATAGTTTATCATACATTAACTTGTGTAAATGTTTAAGATGTCCTTACTACGTTCGGATACTATAATCTAACATGAAGATTATATTAACCAATGTAATAAACAGACCCTATACTTTCCTAGATGAGCCAAGCGAAATTGTGGCCTTAAAACATAAAATATTATTAGCAAGAGTTGTCCAACCAAAGCAATAGGCCTAAATGACTGTTTATGTGCTGTCTATTGTGAAGCTGCTTGTTGTGTTTTACATGTACCCCACATAACGGATTGAAATTATAGTAAAGCTAGTCATGGTTTAACTGATGGGCGCTTGCTAGCAAGGAAAACACAGTCTACAATGCGATTATCGTGAATGACGATCCATGTATTATAGATATTATATATCATCATTCTTATGTAGGTTTAAGAGTAGATATCATAGTTATCATTTTTTTTTTCTAAGAACAATTCACACTATTATTGATATCGACAAATCATTATACTATTATGCAGGAGGAGGTGTCGAAACTCCAGGATGAAGTTAGTCGGTTGCAAAATATGGTGAGATTTCAATTTTTTTTTTTTAGTTTCATCTTCTTACTGTGGAATGTTGCTACTTTCCATTTCAAAAACTTGATCATCTACTTCACTTTTTACATTTTGTTCATTATGTTTACAGTTGTGTTTAAATTAAAAGTACATGTTGATACTATGTCTCTGTTCCCCATAACAAAGTCCTAATTTTTATAAATGCCTATGTTTTTTGGTTCTTTTGGACTATTTAAACTTTTTTCACCATAAAACTGCTTTTTGTGTGTGATTCTGAAAACTTGGTTTAATATTTTCAGCTTGAAGGGATAAAGTTTGAGCAGAAAGGGTCAGTAAAGACTAATTTAATCCACAAAGGTAATGATGGAAATAGGAATGCGGATATATCTGATGATCCAATTGATATTCAACGAAGAGAGAAAGTTAAAGATGCTATGATTCATGCGTGGAGTTCATATGAGAAATATGCTTGGGGCCATGACGAACTTCAGGTTACATTTTTAATTTGTATTGATTTAAATGTATATGATTTTGGTTATAGGTGGTAATGATAATTGTGGCTCTTCGCTTGAGGGTTTGGGCTCAGTCAATTTTTCTATATACTCTTTGGCCCTTAATATTGAGAAATTTTCACTTCCACGAAAAAAGTACATAATTTTGGATAATTTTCTACATCTATACTGTACTTTATTTTCAAAATTTCTGGCATAAATGTTGCAGCATTCCATCATTAGTTTTCAACTTTATTACTTCAGCTGCCTTTTATTTTCTTGTTGTCTCAAGTATTTTAGGGATTTATATATGCTTTTTCTACTATGCATGCACTCATCTTACAATAAGTTGTGAGGAGAATATGTTAAGATGGCTATGAACTAGTGCTATGGATTTTTGGTGCCTAGCCTCAAACAAGGAACGGTGTTGATAGCTTTGGTGGACTCGGTGCAACTTTAATTGATTCTCTGGATACGCTGTACATAATGGGATTGGAAGAGCAGTTCCAAAGGGCTAGAGAGTAAGTTTAGGGTAGTACACTTGATGGCCTATTGCTAGATTTCTTTACTCTATATTCTATCTTTTTTCATTTTTATTTGCTTTATTTGAAGTTGAGGTATCCATATTTTAAAGTATGAATCTCCTAGGTACGCAATCACCATACTGTATCTACTTTAGTTAAAAGTAACATCAATTGCTGTTTAAGATTGTATTCTATATTTTTCCTTGTATATAAGACCTATTCATGCTCTTTATATAATAAAACTAATCAGAGAATAATCTATGATGTAGGTTTACTAATGAGACCTCTATCGTAACTAGTATGCTAAGTAATCACTCCTAAAAAAAATAGAAAAGGGTATCTTTAATAAATAATCAGAGCTGTTTCCATGACCTCAAGGCAGAATTGCATGTGGTTGCACTGAATGTTTGCAGTTGATTTTGGATCTGATGCTGTGGATTGCTCAAAGAGTACAATCAATCTTATGACCTGGGTTATGATGCCTTTTACCTGGTTGCTAAGATTGTTTCTGTTTGTGTACTTTATATTCATTCATTGTGCCTTGCATCATTGGCCTTTGTATCAACTTCTTGTAAAAAATTGTCTGCCTTCACGGCAATCTCAATGAAGTAGTCTGTATGTAGCAATCACTTAGATATAATGCTTTGGTAATAGGTACGTGATGACAACTTACCCAACCTCTGTAGGTCTTTCTATGGTTTCAAATAATCACGGAGCATCTCATGCTTGCTTTGGAAATTTCACTCACATCTAGGAGTTTAGCATGGATATGAAGGCAATGTATATATAGTGGTTTATGTGGATGACATTATTTTTTCATGTAATTATGCAACTAGTCCTGCCTAGTCAAGTGACATTTAAACAATTTGATTTGATTTCTTCAGATTAAGAATACAGGAAATTGATGTATTTTCTAGGCATTGTGGTGATGCAATCATCAATGACATAGTTATATCACAAAGAAAATATGCTTTGGACATGTTAAGTGAAATGGGTACTTTTAATTGCCAAGTGGTGGATACTCCTATCAATTGGAGTGTTAAACTTAAAATTCTACCTGGGCTTGTTGGACCTTGGAAGATATTTTGCACTCATTGGAAACCTTAGCTATCTTGCTCTTACACATTCAGACACCACTTTTTGTGTGGTGAATATGCTAATTTTACTAGTCTCTCATGCGACATCCATTTGTATGCAACAATGCACGTTCTTAAGTACATTGAGAGAACTTCTAGTTTATGTCCAAATTCCTCAACATACCCTAGAAACCACAATGAAATTCCACAGCTCTTTAAATTCTTCAATCTTGTAATAATAAATAAATCTCACAGATGGCAGAACATCACCTGCTTATTGTTATGATGCCATAATTTACATCATGCATTTGCAACATTGGAAACTTTGTTAAGTTGAGCAATTAGGTAAATCAGAGTTGTTGAAACTTCTTAACTCGTAGGTTATCATAGTTTAGGCATCTTGTAACAAGTGATCGAAGAACTTTAATTTGTAGATATTTCTGTAAACTGTTGTTTGACACTCGACAAACTGTTCATGGCAGATGGGTTTCTCATTCCTTGGATTTTAACAAGAACTATGAAGCCAGCGTTTTTGAGACCACCATAAGGTTGCTTTATAAGGTTTAATAAGCCTTTAAATTTCTTATATATTCTTGTTGGCAATGTACATTAAAATTTTCTGATACATTTCATTGTTTCTCACTAAGGAAGAAAGGAAACCTTTTTGAGGCTACACTGATACATTTTCATTTCTTGTTAACTTGTGACTATCCAGAGTTGTTGGAGGACTACTCAGTGCATATGATCTCTCTGGAGATACACTTTTCCTTGAAAAGGCTAAAGATATTGCTGACAGGTTACTGCCTGCATGGGATACTCCTTCTGGCATCCCATATAACATTATTAACTTGAGCAACAGGAACCCACACAATCCTGGGTGGACGGGGGTAAGCTGATAGTTGTCAATATCTTTACCTGGGAATGCTACACATATATCCTTCCCTTATATTTTCAAGCCACATTCATTTTCTTAGTGATTGTGTGTGCCCTTGGTCCTGGCATTTATTTATTTGTCATATCCGATTCCTGAAATGCCATCAAATCAAAATTTCAACATTCTTTACATGCTTGTGACTGACGACGATCTTCTCTGTTGTACTGTTCAGGGTGACAGCATTCTGGCAGATTCTGGCACTGAGCAGCTGGAGTTTATTGCTCTTTCCCAGAGGACAGGAGATTCAAAATATCAGGAGAAGGTATATACAATATTTAATTTTCATTTCTAGGCATTAAATATATTGTCCCGCAGCAAGTCAGAAGTTACGCCCATTGAAGTGAAATTAGTGGTCTATATCCATGAAATGCAATCTGTATTTGGAACATCATTGTTGACTGATAAGAACTCATGGAGTGATTTCTCATAACCAACAAGCTTATGTGATTTGTCTTCCCTTGTAGCAAGTTTCATATTTCTGTATCTTGATCTTTCAGGTGGAAAATACCATTTTAGAGTTTAATAAAACATTTCCTCCTGACGGTTTACTTCCCATTTATATTAACCCGCATAGAGGGACAACATCTTATTCAACCATAACTTTTGGAGCCATGGGGGACAGGTCATTGTCATTTCTTTTCTTTAACTTGTTTAAATTTCTATCTTATAAACACTTTGGAATGTGGATGCCATCATGGTAACCTAGGGTGATTATTGGGTTTTCTAATATTTACTTCCAACACACTGATGATCAGCTTTTATGAGTACTTACTCAAGACCTGGATACAAGGAAATAAAACTACTGCAGTGAAGCATTATAGGTAATATGTTTGAATACTATGTGTGAAGGTATTAATATTCATCTGCCTTTACTATCATTCTTATCACATTTCAGATTCACTTCTGTATTGTGCATATGCGCTCCTTCTGCTACAAATATTTACATGTTTTAACGTCAGGGATATGTGGGAGACATCAATGAAAGGTCTTCAAAGCTTGGTGCGGAGAAGTACTCCGTCTTCCTTTGCTTATCTCTGTGAGAAAATCGGAAATACTTTAACAGACAAGGTGATTTGTTTGTTATATGTGGGCAATGAAGAGTGTTATAAATTAGAGGGATTTTGAAAAATCTCACATATTTGCAGATGGATGAACTTGCATGTTTTGCCCCAGGAATGATTGCATTGGGCGCTAGTGGTTATGGTCCTGATGAAGCTAAAAGTATGTTATCTTTGGCTGAGGAGGTACGCACCCCAAATTTTAGTCGTTGAAATCCTTCATGTGTTGACATGCATGTGAGGCCGAGAGTTCATTGGATTAGGGCTATGAGTCTATGTTTATGAACCCTTCTTCAGCTAGCTTGGACCTGCTATAACTTCTACCAGTCCACTTCGACAAAATTGGCCGGAGAGAACTACTTCTTTCATCAAGGGCAGGTATGGATTCTGGTTGCTCTTTTCAATCTTCATTGGAGTAGCTTATGCTAGGGGTCGTGGTCCTTGTTGTTTTCTCAGATGGTAATTTTGTATTCAGGACATGAGTGTTGGTACCTCATGGAACATTCTGAGGCCAGAGACTGTTGAGTCACTATTTTACCTCTGGCGTTTGACCGGAAACAAGACGTATCAAGAGTGGGGATGGAACATCTTTCAAGCATTTGAGAAGAATTCACGAATAGAGTCGGGATACGTTGGACTGAAGGATGTGAGCAGTATTTGTTTTTTTTTTTGTGTTTTTTTTGGGTGGGACATGCCCATCTGTGAAGCTAATTTGGGTTTCATCTGTTAGTATTGATCCATCATCTTCTTCTGCTTCCCCAGGTGAACACTGGGGTAAAAGACAACATGATGCAGAGCTTCTTTCTGGCAGAGACGCTGAAATATCTGTACCTTCTATTCTCGCCTCCGTCGGTGATCCCGCTTGATGAGTGGGTCTTCAACACTGAAGCCCATCCAATCAAAATTGTGACACGGGATGAGCAGGCAGCCAAGCAAGGAAAACGAATGGAGATGCGAGCAAGGGCCAGGAAAGAGGGGAGGTTTCATGAAGACTAGGAAAGTGTTGGGGATATATTTGTATTGTACTGAATTGAATTGAACTGCATTGCATTGCATTTGCATGGTCGAGACTAATCCTCTGGATAGGAAGTAGAAGAAACCAAGCGGGGAAGAGGAAGAGGAAGAGGGGAAGAGTCGGTGGGGGTGGTTTCTGAGATGTGATAAGCCAGCCTCCCCGCCCGCCCTGAGAGCGAGCATAGTAATAGTAATAGTAACAGTAATAATAATAGCCGTTTTGATTGCATTTTTACCTGTACCTCTCGGGGCTGGTAGGGTAGGAAGGATAGACATGTAATGACTAATGATGATATGCTCCCTTCAATGGCAGGCAGCAATGTTTCTTTCTTGTTCAACTCACTATTTACATACACACATGCATTGCAGAGAGAGAGAGAGAAAGGGAGAGGGAGAGGGAGAGGGAGAGAGATGTCAATCATATTGGGTGGTGGGTGATGATGATAATAATGGGTGCCACCCTTGTCCTAAGAATACACACGATTCTCTATGGGATGCACTGGACAGGGCAGGGCAGAAGTGGTGGTTGTTTGTCCCAAACCGTGATCCATTATCTGCATACTTACGAATGCTGACTTGCGGCTGCTGCTGAGTCGGAGGAAGGGAGGGCGAATCTGTCAAAACGGAAGGAAGGAGACAGTGGGAGGGAATGGAGGAAGAAGAAGAGGGCAGAGCGAATCGAATCTCAAACAGACAGACAGACAGACAGAAAGAAAGAAAGAAGCAGAAACAGAATCAGAAAAGGGCTGCCGGGAGTGGGAGTGGGAGTGGGAGTGGGAATGAATCTGCCTGCGAGACACAGAGAGAGACAGTCAAAGAGCCTGAGAGTGAGTGACACCCAAAGAAGGGGCAGTGCATGAATCAAATTCGAAACCCTAATAACATCACCCAGCCACCCACCCGGGTCCAATTCCAATTCCAATTCCAATTCCAATTCTTCTAAGCTCCCTTCACTTCACCTCGCCAGCATAGTACAGTGTGTATCTTCCATCCCATCCCATCCCTTCCCCACCTTCCTTCTTTCTGTCTCTGTCTGTCTGTCTGTCCGTCGTAATTAGTAAGCTACTGGGGTGTAAATGCCGGCCACTTCGCACCTTCTCGCTCGCCTTCGCCGCCCCAGAAGACTTCCCTTCTCCATTCCCACTATCACCATCATCCACCCCCCCGATCACCGCCGCCGCCACCACCACCACCACACCGCATTTCTCCATCACTCCTCCCACTCTCTTCCTTTCTCCCGTTTCCTTTCATCTCCACTTGTTCCTCTGCCGACTGCCTCTACCAACCTAGCCTCCCACTGCTGCGTCATCAGAAGAAGTTAGTCTCACTCTTACGCTACAATTTTCACGCCTTCATTAACTGTTACCTCTCTCTCTCTCTTTCCCTTTTCTTTTCAATTCATATATACATACATACATATATATGTGTATATATATTTACATTCACTCTGCTGCCATCTGCAGCTTTTCTCACCAGAGCTAAAAAGATTCACAACATTCTTCACGTAGAGGATCATGGGTAAAAACAAACCGTTTCTCTTTTCAGTTATTTTAATATTCTATTTCTTCAATTTCGTAGAAAAGCAAACTAATTTGGAATTCAACTAATGCTATAGAGACATCATGCCGATTCAACTCAACTGGTCTTTTCTATTATATCATTGTTTATAGCTCGTCAAACTTCTTTTCACAAGAAATTCATCCACTTATGTTAAATCATAATATGTACCTCCATGCATTATTTGTTTATTTATTATTATTATGTTTTTTCATGAGTCAATATTTAAGTTTGTTTATTTCATGTAGCCAGAAAGCTGTCACAACAGCACTTTGGTGCAACTTTCTTGTTTTCTCTCTCAAATTTGGGGTGTGGTTTTCTACCTCGAGTCATGTAATGTTGGCTGAAGTTATTCATTCTGTTGCAGATTTTGCAAATCAGGTCCCCCGCTCCCCCCCCCCTCTTTTTTTTTTTTTTTTTTCAATCCTCATTATTTGGAATACTTCATAGCTTCATTCAATAAATTCTTATTTGTCCATTATTGTGAATTGTGAATCTACTTATCCTTGTAACAGGCTCTTCTTGCATATGGGTTAAGTAGCTCACGGCGTGCCCCAGATGCTCTTCACCCGTATGTCTTCATTGTGTATCTATCTGTATCTTTAACTATACTTATAACTGACGTACTCCTTGTATTTTCTCCTGGAACACATTTGTGTTAAAAAAACTCACTTTAACCTTATAATACAAGTTATCAGTAACTATTTTTCTATAGTGATATTCCAGTTTTCTGATTTCAAGGTTCATCCATCAGCCGGAAACTTTTAGATTTCTTATGAGCATCTTCTGAGACTTGTTTCTCAACAGAATCATATCACCGTTGATGTTTTTGATCTCAGATATGGTTATTCCAAAGAGAGATTTGTCTGGTCTTTGATTTCTGCTGTTGGTATATTTTGCCTCGGTTCTGGTGCTACTATTGTTCATGGTGTTCAAAATTTGTGGACTTCTCAGGTAGTTGAGTGTTCAACTTCAATTTGGATGTCTGAAATGTGTTTCAACCTGCATTCTCAAAATAAGATTAGATTTTCCATGCTATGTTAATGGGGCATTATTAATGTCTTTTATTTCCTTTCAGCCCCCTGAACATATCGAGTATGCTGCTCTAGTGATTGGTGGCTCATTTGTTATTGAAGGTAGAATACATTGTTATGAGTAGACTATTTTGTTCACTTTAAGATAAAGGAGATTTCTACTATTCCTTGGGATATTTTCAAAATCATCTTACGATCAGAAGCTTTTCCCAGCTATTTCCCTCGTTGTTGCTATTCGTGCTGTTAGAAAAGGTGCTGCTGCAGAAGGAATGAAAGTGAGAGACTATGTTTGGCGTGGTCATGACCCAACTGCCGTAGCTGTCATGACAGAGGTGGGATCTTGTGTTTATTGGTGATTAAAAGTGATTGAATTAATGAATTTTAAGCGTGTGTTTATATGTACATGTGCTTGATCAAACACAGTGGGGGACAAGTGCTACATATGCTCTCCTCTCCATTTAAACTTTGAGCATAGTGTTTTTTTGTGGGGATCGGATAGAGCATAGTTTATGTTGATCAAACAAAATAATGAGTTGATGACATACAATCCATATAGCTGATCTGGCTTAATGCGTAACGATATAGATGGTGATGATTATATATGTAAGTGTGCTTCGTTAACATTTTGACCTGTCTTGTATACTGATGGAGATCAAATAAGCATTAGTGGACCAGAGATTTGAATTTGGTTTGTTGTGTTGTGTCAGAGAAATCCAAAAGGAGTAGACAATAGGGATATATTCTGACATACCAAAATAAATAAATAAATAGTAAAATATCTGAAGCATTCCGCCAATATAAGCTTGGAGAAATCTTACCGCTAGTGAATTACTTTCTTTCTTCAAACATGAAGTTAGATATTATATTTTTTTTTCTAAGGTGTGTGCTGCTATTTGCAATATGCATTTATTGTTGATGCAATTGGGGATGTTCTAAAAATGTTACGATACTGCCAATCAAATGCATGTGCTGGGGGATTAATTATATATATATTCTTACCACCAGTGAATTACTCTCTTTCTTCAAACATGAATTTAGATATAATTTTTTTCCGAAGGTGTGCGCTGCTATTTGCAATATGCATTTATTCTTGATGCAATTGGAAAAAATGTCCAAAAATGTTAGGATATATATATATGTCTTGGGCCTTTCTGGAATGATATCTTGAGTGCTTCTAAGAAATTGAAACTGTTAGCAGCTGCAACATTCATACTTAGCATGCATCAACAAAAAATGTCTTCCATTTAGTTCCATGATTTGAAAATGGAAGTCCACTTCCGTTTGGAAGAATCTGCAACTCTTTTATAAGAGATACTTGTGATGGTTGGGCCGTGCCAACTTGGGTTCTTTCATTTTGTTAAATTATTGTTAGTTATGCTTATTGATCTGCTCAACCAACACCCTCTCCCAATGTCTAACATAGTGAATGTCTAATCATGTTGATATTGCAGGACGGTGCAGCTGTCACTGGCCTTGCCATTGCAGGTGCATCATTGGTAGCTGTGAACAACACAGGAAACGCAATATATGATCCAATTGGTTCAATTATTGTTGGAAACCTATTAGGAATGGTAAGTAGCACAGACATCGATTTTGTTGATTGTGAAACTTCATAGAATGTTATGTGGAACCAATTTTCTACTTCAAGGTAACAGCTTTCACATCTTAAGTTTTCAAGATATAAATTCTGATTATTTATAATGGAAAGGTTGCACTTTGACGACTTAAAGTAACTATGATGTAATCAAGCAAAAGCATTACATCACCTTTTTGGTTGTGGTCTCCATTCTCCAAGTATCTTTATGATTCATCAAACTTCAGTTCGGCCATTTCATCCTGGTTTTATCTTTAACTTAGTGTCTGAAATTTCATAATGAGTATCAAGAAGGCTTGGTTGGGTGGTGATACCTAGAAAGCACGCTATTTTAGTGCCTTGTACTTCCTCATGCATGCTGATACAGTGAAGAATATATTTTTTAGTGTGAACTTATTCGCCAGGTTAAGCCTAATTAATGGATAATATATTGCAGGTTGCAATATTTTTGATTCAGAGAAACCGCCATGCTTTGATTGGCAGAGCAATTGATGATCATGATATGGAAAGAGTGCTTAACTTTCTAAAAAGTGACCCAGTACTGTGATGCATATATTCGACCCTCCTTTGCTAATTGATAACAAATTGATATACTAGTCAAATAAGCGTGACATTCTTTTGTAGGTTGTGGATTCTGTATATGATTGCAAGAGTGAAGTGATTGGACCCGGATTTTTTAGATTCAAAGCTGAGATAGGTGATACCTTGATTCATATATATGGGCATTGGAATGCTTTCACTTTGCAAGGCTGTTGGATATAAATATTTAATATGATCTCCCATTTTGTAGATTTCGATTCAAATAATCAAGGTGATATATATCTATATCATGATATTGTGTTGTAGATTTCAATGGTGTGGTGCTGGTGCAGAATTATCTTAACAGGACAGGGAGAGAAGAGTGGGCTACACAGGTGATTAGATTGTTCTCGGTTTCTTTGGACTGCACTTGATATATGTGTAGCCAACTTTTTGGTCATTTAAGCATTACTGATATTAAATTAATCTTCATGCTTGGATGAATAAAAATTAGTACACAAAGTTGATGAAGGTTGATGTTTCATTTTTCTTCCTTGTTTGAGCATGCATAATATGTTGATGAGATGAAACAGTTTCGGGAGGCTGCAAAGGAGAAAGATGATTCAGAGTTGCTCAAGATCATGTCCAATTATGGTATGTTACTGTTGGTAAAATAAAAAGATAGTAGTAGTAGTAGTTGTTGTTGTGTGTGCTGTGGTATGTAGCCTGTAGTTTCTTTATGGTGGTAACAGGTGAGGAAGTGGTGACTGCACTGGGAAGTGAAGTGGATCGGCTGGAGAAAGAGATTCAGGATATAGTTCCAGGCATTAGACATGTGGATATTGAAGCTCACAATCCTATCACCCTCCCCTCGTCATCTTGATTGTTGCTCAGGGTCGTTGCTTGCTAAGTACGAGTATATTTGGGGGGGTGGTATTGTATTGATATATTGACTCTGCCTCCAATGGGGCTTGATTGCTATTACATGATGAATGATGCAAAAGGGTTGAAAGCAAATGAATGAATAAACGAATGAATTGAGGACAGTATGCGGAGAATTTAGACTAGTGTTTGGGAGGGGAAGGGGTAGTTGTTCTTGCTGTTGAACTTGTCTTTGTCTTGTCTAGCCTCCGTTACAAGTGGCATGAGAGAGAAACTCGTCATGGAGATTCCATTCCCCAGTCAGCCATTATATTCAATTTTAATTGCAGCAAGGATTGCTTGCTTGTTAAGAGATTCTCTGTGGAGGCAGAGGGGGAGAGACAGGGGCATGAAATCATACATTAAAAGTAATTTTCATTATAGGAGGAGGGAGGGAGGCAAATCAGTCAGTCTGGTGTAGTGTAGTGTAGAGTGTGTGTTAGTGTAACTCAGCAGAAGCAGGAATAGGCAATGTGGTTCTTCTTTGACACGTATGGTGACAAAAATTCATCAGCAGGAGCAGGAGCAGGAATGTGAATGTTTGCTGGGGGGACAAGGATCCGTGTCCGCCCAGACGCTATTCGCCTGCCAGCCACATTGGCATAGAACAGCCCCGATATGGCTGGAACATAAACATCACTCTCCGAGCACATGTAAAAATCAATTGCCTTCTCCAAAGCCTCAGAATTCAGAATCCCTTCCTTTCTTTCCATGGGCAGGATAGACTCCTGCAGCACCAAGCATCATCAACAGGGACTTATTAGTTGCATCAGATTCAAACTAGCAAAAGCAGGTTCTTTGATTAGATTAGAGCATTCAATATTCAGGCAGGCAGCTACTACAACTACACAGCCTGACAGCCACGCCACGCCACGGCCACTTGGGAGTATAATAACAGTAGCAGTTAGTTACCTTTGTGTAGGTTTTTGGGAATAGGTCCTTGAGAGCATAGAGGTTGTTGTGCCATCTGGTCTGTGTCACGTACACCACCGTCGTGCCCTTGTCGAAACCCATGTTCCTCAACAACACTCCCACCTCTTTCGCCCCATAACAGCTTTTCTGCGGGCCAAGCTGTTGCCGGCACCCCTTCTTCTCCAACACTTCCATTCTCAGGTCCACTGCCACAAGCTGCCCTCCATTCGACGACGACCTCAGGCGGTTAACCATCAACTCAACCACTTCACCAACTTCTCTCTGGGGCTCAAGTGTTCCAAACATGCCCAAGCATGCCGCCGGCTCCACATTATTGTTCTTCCTCATGTTCACTGAAGGGAAGTATGTAACTATCTTTATATTTCCCCTGGCTCTGAAAATTGGTCCGATGTGTTCTGCTACATATTCTTTGGTAACTCGATTAGGAACCTTCACCACTGTAAGATTATGGCCCGATACCCCCCAAGGCATTGATTTAACAACTTTGACTGCGCTCTCTAGGCTCTCTATGAATTTTTCAACACTGTAGACATCTTCAAACTCCCTGAAAGTTACACAAGGAGAAAGTGCGTACTTAAGTGGTCACAGATGGGAAAAAGTTAGAGATGGCCCAACACACTGCTGTCGCCTGCCTAACCTATCATCACCGGTAGCACTTTGTCTAATTTTTGGGATAACAAGCACAGCCCGTAAATATCTTGCAACCACCACTGCATCAGCAATCTGTATACGGTGAGGGCAATGTTAGTTTGAGATGGAAGATCTAGGGCGCCCAAAAGATCATCCGAAGATAGATGTTCATTAATGAGGACACAAGTAGAAGTGATAGATGGGGTGAAGCATGCTTTCCATAGACTAAAGACAAAATAAGCAGGCAGTAGTAATGAGTTTGTTATGTAAAGACCAAGAGCATGCAGCACAGGTATCTACAATGCAGAACTTCTGTGGTGGCTGCTTAAGCAGCAGCAATCATCAGTATTATTGGAGCCAAGTTTATGGTTGGATTCAAAATACTCCCCTTATATTTGAAGAATGAACATCAAGGATCAACATAATCCATAAACCCAAAATGCTGGGGAATGCCCATCAAAAGACCGAAGATGATAATCAATGAAGAAATATGCAGAGGTTCTCACAGAACAAACAAACAAGATCGATCTGGAGGGGAATCAATTGGAGCATTCTGTAATCTAAGACAGCATAGCATAGCACCTAGCTAGGGTGATTAGGTGACGTAAACCTGGGAGACATGGAATTCCGGGCCATTAGTCAGTGAGAAGGTGACGTAGCCTCGCCATTCAACCGCATCATCTGCTTCGTTGTTATCATCAGACCAGACAAGACCATACGAAACGAATCAAATCTTTTATACTGTAGTACATTAATGCCAAGTTAAGAAAACTTGAAAAAAAAAATTGATGAGGTAATTTGTAACTCACCAAAAACTGGTTTCTGCCAGCAAGGCTTGAGGTTGAAACCCTCAGCAGGCGTCCGATTAAAGCCATCGTCATAGTCATCCCCTTTTGGTCCATCTCCATGGACTGAACCTTGAATGGGAGTGGTCGTGGTAGTGGTAGCGCTCTTCTATAATCAAACATTACAAAATTCTTTCAGTCAACAGTTGAAACGCGTACGTACACCGGTCAAGTCCATCTTGATGATGAACTCACTGGCTTATATCCCCGTCCTTGCTAAATTACAGCAAAGAAAACATCTTCCAATCGTAAGTTACTAATCACATACAAACAGCAGTAGCACTAGTAGTTGGAGGACCGGAACAAAATAGATTCACATCCGAAAAATAGCTAACAACGCAACAAGTGAAGTTTGAAAGGACAGAGTGGACACGAAATGAGAGAGAGAACCCTATACGGTTTGATTTTAATTTTAATTTTAAGTTTATTTTGGGATTAAAGCATAGCAATAGCAGCAACGTTCTGGTGAACGAACATAGAAAAATGTATTCTGAAAGGAATTCACAATTCGGCGCAATAAGCAGAGAGGGAGAGACGAACGCGAGGAGGAGCGTAGTAGTAATCGCGTTTAACCATGGCGGCGAGTATTAGGAACATGGTGAGGGTGAGGAGTCCGGCCAATACATGTCTGGGATCGGCGCCCAGGGCCAGTGCCATTGCCATTGCCATTTCCACTGCCAATTGAATTGCTTCTTCTTCTTCTTCTTCTGCAGATCAGAGCAGAGCAGAGCAGAGCAGAGCAGACAGACTTTCCTTGGGAGATGGGGGTACGTGTGGTTATCGCCGCTCGATCGAGTTCACTCAGAGTCACTCTTTGAGTATGTTTTGGTTGGAGGGTTTAGGTGTATGTATGGGAAGTGAATTGAATTGCGCTGAAGATGGAGCTCAGCCTCAGCCTCAGGTTCAGCTAGGTGGGGTGGAGTGCCGTAGGTATCAACTCAATTCAATGCTCATTGTCTTAGTCTTAATCTAAATCTAAATCTAAATTACACCGCAGCACTCCTCCCACCCACCAATCTCTCCGTCTCGTCTAATCTTTCTTACTTACTAATAGCAGTGGTGGTAGTGGTCTTATTCTTACTAATTGCTACTACTTACAACCTTTCTTCCTCATTTGTTGGCTTTTCTTTTTTTCTTTTTGTCCTTGGGTCTCTGCCTGCCTGCCTGCCTGCCTGCCCGTGTGGTTGTCAGTGCCATAACAGTGCGTAGTGCGGACGTGTTAGTCTCTCATTAATTACTACTACTACCACTAATTAATAGTGTAATAAAAGAGCATACACCATATATATCCTCTTTTCAATCCCAAACTAATGTTAACCTCTTTCCCCTGGCCCTGATCGGATCGTGGAGATCCCTTTTATTTTATTGAATCCGGGAATGAAACTTGATTCACTCCATCTATATCACCCCGTGCCCGTATACAAATTGAAATTACATAAAATAAAATTAATAGGAACTAATCTAATCCTGTTGTTTCACTTTTTGATTCAGTCACCATTAACATCTCGTTGCACAGCTTCTTGGGTAGTTGTTGCAGCGCCACTCCCTCCTGCCACGCCTGCCCCACCGCCACTCCTGGCCCCACTTCCCTCACATACACCACCACTTCATCATTCCATGGCCACGGATGCTTTGCTGAACACACACCACCACCACCACCATTATGAAGAAGAAGAAGAAGAAGAAGAAGAAGAAGCACAACAACAACAATAAGGATAGTTACTTAATTAGTTGCCCTTTTTCGACTTACATGGCTTTGGGAATCCTAATCCTTGGAGATACCCTCCTTCTCCTGCTCCTGCTCCTGCTCCTGCTCCTGCAAGGTTCACAACTCCATCTCCAAATTCATAAGCTATATCACAAGGCTGCTCCGTTGCCGTAACTTCCTTCACCTGCTGCACGCTGAAGTACAAAGGCGGGGTCGCATTGAGGATTCCTGAGAGCGGGAATCGACCACCTGCGATTAATTAAGGCATGCAAACAGACAAAACCCCACCGCTATCATCCATCCCCGTCAACACCAAAAATTTCATACGTAGAGGAAACCAAGCCAAGCCAATTGAGGTTAGGTAGGTACCAATGAGTCGCCCATAGGTTTTGCCATCCGTGCCCCTAAATATTGCCTGCAAGTTAGTGAAACCAGCACAGCACTCAATCCTAGAGTACCTCGCAAACTGAACAAAACTTCTCAAGGATAGGAGTAGGACAGCTCAAATAACAGTTGCATTGCATGCAGGTTATAGAAAGAAACATGACCTTCTGGCAGGAGTTGATCCAGGCAATTCCAAGTGGTGCTGCCCAATTTAAATGTTGTAAGTGCCGCTCAAATCCAAGAAATCACAAACTCAATTCTCACGGGGGTAGATTAGATTACCTCCGCTTGTCCGGCAATTCCAAAACTCCAGAGACCTCGCACAATGTCCACCAGAGAGTAGGCTAGATGCACTCTTGTTCACCAACTTGGGATCTTCATATCTTCTCCCAGCTATCTCCCAGGCCATTGATATAAGTCTACAAGATGTTCAAAGAAACAATTCATCTCCCCATTTCTTCACTTCACACTTACTTAATTGGGCATAACATAATGATAACTATGCTTAAGAGATGCAGAAAAAATTCGACTCCAGATGAATGAAAATTAAGAATTCCCTTGTCAATTCATTCATTCATGCCAATGCCATGGATAGTCGACGACACAAACCAGTGCACCGACCTTGGGCTTAGAAGGGACAGCAGGTGATGTCTCCTTTCCTCTGGGATGGCTTCAATCTTTTTCCTGACCAAATTAACCAAAACAACTACAGTTGAGCATGGTCCAACTACATAGGTAGGTGTATATCCTCAGCTAGAATCAATCTCAAACAACATTCTCAAAGTGTTTCACGTTTTTCCAACCCGAACTTGATGAAAAGACAAGTGAACATCGTGATTGACGAACTACTACTACACCAACCAAAGATAGGAGGCGGGGTTATATGAAGAAGGATCCAACGGAATGAGCTCCTTTGGGGGATCAAGAAACGTCACCACGTCTTGCTCGTCTAAGTAGTAGTCTCTTCCGCTGTGGTACTGCATCATTTCCACTTGGGCATTTGCTCGAGCACTTAATCTGCGTGTTTTGGCGGCCCCCATGCTTGCACGCATCATCGGCCTCCAGTAGCGTTGCCGAGGGAAGGAAAGATGTTGGGGCGGGGGCGGCAGCGGCTGTGGGTGCGTGGGCGTGGCAGTAGTAGCTCGGCCGTGGCAGGTGAAGGGGGTGGAGATTGGACATGCTTCCATTGTCTCTCCGTCGTCACACACTCACACACACACTCGTCAGCCGGCCCGTCAGTGGCAAAGCCAACAACCCTCCGCTCCCCACCGAGCCGAGGCAGTTTGTGAATCTAAAATGGAGTGAAGCCCGAAATAAATAGATATTTTGGAAAACACTACCGATATGGAGGCCGGCCCATTTGTTTGATTAATAGAAGATGCAACTAGTACTAAATACTAAAATTATAGAGCCCCTAGGATAAGAGGACCAGGGCCTGCAATGTTTACAGCCCAAATGAAATGGCTTGTGTTGTGTGGCGTGGCGTCCATATTAGGAAGGCAAGCAGCCGAATCAAATCACACAAAGTTTGTCGTGCCTGTAAAGCTCCTCCTCCTCCGCACCACGGTGAAACCTAGAACCCTATAATCGTATAGCAATGGCGTCGAACGCTGCTGCGGCTCCGTTCTGGAGAGCTGCCGGGATGACCTACATAACCTATTCCAATCTCTGCGCCAATATGGTCAGGCAGTGTCTCAAGGAGCCCTACAGATCCGAAGCCTTGACCCGCGAGAAGGTCCATTTCTCCGTTTCCAAGTTTGTCAATGGCACGCCTGAGAAACCAAGTATGTTACTTTGAACCGTCTTTTCCGATCCTTTCTTTCTTTATTTATTTCTTATTGGATGCAAGGTTCGTTCCCTTCCCCTCTTTCTTGCTGATTGATTTGTGAACCTTCTTGCCTGATTTTATCAGATCCTTCGGATTTTTCTTTTGCGGTTAATTTTTTATAATGGCCAATGTTAATGGAAGCCTTACTCCGTGCATCATGATTATTGATGCTAGAAATAATGAGAATTTTGATTGTTGGTTATCGAAGCGCTGATATTTTGGAACCTTGCTTTATCGACTCTCATTTATCTTTGACAATTTGTTAACGTGCTCGGTCGTTTCTATAAGAACAAAATATGACGCTGCAGTTCGAAGGATTTCCGCCTCCAGTTGTCTTCTATTGCATTGTAGTTCTTTGCTCCCGAGTGAACATTATTAAATGCCATCTATCATCTTGGGTTTCGGTTTTCCATATTCATCAGAACCCTTTTTCAGGCAGCAATAGTGTATTGGTTGATGTGAATGATTTTATTATCCTGCTTCAATTGGCGAATGATCATCCTTATAAAGTTTTTATCCAAACCAAAATACGTCATTGTCTCCTTTAGTTCTTTCTAATCAAAAGTGGCAGCTTTTCTTATGCTTTCTAGCCTCGCGCTTAGTTGTGGAATTGTATTTGAGTCCATCGAGAGGTATATATATATTTATTCTAATCACATCTTGTGTCTATTCATTTTGTGTGTGTGTGTGTGGTGGGTTGAATTGCTGTTTAGGCCTTAGGTATCAACAGATCTTTCATGCATAGGGAGTGATAGGATTGGAATACATTATATATTGTTTTTGATTAGGTGAAGGACCAAATGACAAGAGTTTGATATTCTTGCACGCATGCAAACAATTAAGTAAATGTGAAACAGTTGAGAATCTAATGGTAACAGCTTCTTACTGTGGAAAATAAGGGAGGGGGGAGCAGCATAAAATGTTTTGGCCTTTGCTCAGTGGTATAGTGGAGGGACTTACAATGAACACTTGTTGTAATAATCATGTTTGATCATATGATTCTTGGCATACTAGCTTGCTAGGCTGATGCATTTGTCGGGTACATGTGGTTTTCTTTATTCTTGGCCCATTGTGAATTGATATCACTTGTTGTCTTGCTTTGAAAAAGTTACTGCCTGCCTTGTTCTGACTGAACTTTGTTATGGGTTTGTTTGTTTCTCCAGCCATCCGGTCCGATGCATCTGAATGAGGCTGGACATAATGTGCAGGTGTTCTTTGAAGTCATCTAGTTGAACTGCAGCCTGTTTTTCTTTCTGATCTGTTTCCATGTTGTTTGAAACTGTCTGTGAGCTGTGATTCCCCGGCAAAAATGACAGTATTTGTTGCCTGAGATGGGATCCAATTTGATAATAAGAATAATGAGAGTGGATTGACTTGGATTTTATGATAATACCATTGACACTTGCCAATAGCTGCCTGCTTCTCTGAGGTTATTCACTGTGTTTGTAATGGTGAAAAAAATTATTTATCAATAAGGTTGGAAGTTGCACACACACACACATATATATATATATGCATATATTATATTGTACACGTATAAAAAGGTGTTGCTGGGTAGACAAGCATCGGTCAGGTGGGTGAGGTGGAGTTTGGATAGTTGTTCACCTAACTGCGGTGTGGTGGTTAGCCTCATGACTATGCAAAGCAAAGTCATTGTTGCTCTCTCTCACTTTTGGCCTTGAAGCTACATTTACTCACCTTCAGTTAAGACTGCAAAATATAATCTTTGATGCTGCTAATTCATTGGTTTTTACCGTGTCCTCCTTCCGGATTGTGACTGAGTCAATAATCCTCACGTATAAACGATGATGATTGAATGAAGTTCGATTGATGTTTTCACGGCTAATTTATCTTATATATATATATATATATATCAATTCGCAGACTGTTGACTCTCTCCATCAAAATTTTATATATGAATATTAATTATTATTGTTATTATTATCAACATACACATGTATATCCAAGCAAGCCCTTTTGATTTGCTTATGTTGTTTATGTTTGAATGAAAAAAGAGAAGAGAGAATTTGCCAGCAAGGTCCAACCAAGCAAGGGAAGAAAGCAGCCTGCGAGTTTATTAGGAGATGAGATGAGATGAGCTGAGCTGGCGGCCTGGCCTGGACTGGACTCGTCTCAACCCGACTCGACCCGACCCGACCCGCCAAACCCCCCATTCCCATAATGGAGTACTGATTTATTCCTTCCCTGTCCCTGGCCAGGCTTGGCAAACCTCTCCAACCCCAACTCCAACTCCAATCCATCAATCAATCACTCAATTCATTCATTCACCTCTAATCATTTTTCCGAATTTCATTCTGCCTAGATTCTCGCAGCCGGAGGAGCATTGCCTATTGGATTGGATCTCACTCTCCGGAGAATTACAACGCTTTCCTAGTTTCTTTTCCCTACTTAATTCTCTGCGCGCACCCCACCCCGACTTGGTTATGGCTTCCGCGAAATCGTCTCGGTCAAGGTCATCGCACTCCGCTGCTTCCGCAAAGGGAAACGCCAAAGATGCAGGGGCCAAACTCGAAGAAAACCTCAACGTTTTCAAGGCCGATAAATTCGATGCCGATGCATATGTGCAGTCCAAATGTCACTCCCTCGGCGAAAAGGTTCAACTTTTATACATCCTGGTTCATCTTGTGATGATCTTTCTTCATCTCTGTACTTCGACCCAAACTTGAAATATTGGACCTTCTAATTAATCGGAAAGTTTTTTGCTTGCTGACTTATTAACGTAACCTTGGGGCTATCCACGCTTTTTTTTTTCTTCCTCATAGTTTAATGGAGGGAATTTTAATCCGCAACTTAAAAAAAAAAAAAAAAAACTCTAAATCAGTTGAATGTTTTTGCTTCTCAAACAAGTATAGATGAAATTTCAGGATAATACCTTGTTTTAACACGAGGAGGCATAGAAAACTTATCTGTTGGAAAGTTGACAAGCTGAATCTAATATGGAATGAGAGTACCATTTTCTTTTCTGTGAAGCAGTATTACGGTCTTATAATTGTTGGAAGTGTGATTGAACTGAGCGTTTTAAAGCTTAGTGCTCGGAGTCTGATAAGTGAGATTACGGTTAGGTTACAGAATCTTCTTATGTTTGAAGAGACTATTCATTAAAATAGGCGGTTATCGTGAAATCCAAAAGGTTTGATACTTCACGGTTCAGATCAATAAGACATAGACACTTTTGTTTGACAAATAATGCTAAAGGTGATGGTTTTGGAAGATGGAATGCCTATGGTGTGTTTGTTTGTATTTTTATCTTTAGTTTGCACTATGCAATCTATACCGAAAGATTTTTTCCATTCAAAATATCACATCAAAAAACCATTCTTCCATTGTTATTATCGTTTTTAAAATCTAAGACACAACTAAACATTCAAAACACATCCAAACAATATCAGGGCCTCTTGATTTATCTAATCAAATATAAGCTGCTGTAGGTAATTTGTGTTTGAGTTTTGGATGTGAATACTTATTTATTTATTTATTTTAAATGGTGTTGTGATGTTTTAAATTAAAAACAACTGTTGTATGTAATGCTTTGAATGGAATTAAATGTAATGTTTAGAATGAAAATAGGTGTTGGATTTAGTATATAGCCTATAGGGAACGCCATCTTACTGTAGATAGATTGTAGAATTCATGAACAAGGATTTATATTTAAAGGATTGTAGAATTCACAAACACACTGAAATTTCTTATGACGATCTTTTGATTTATATTTAAAGGATTTACCTCACCATCCATCTATTCTTTACCTAATTTGTGGTTACTAACAGAAAAATGGATTCTACTGGTCTGGTGCAATACTTGACCATTGCAAATGACACATTAAAATTTGTCACTTGATTCTGTACTTTCTTGACCTAGTTACTTGAGTGGAAACACCACTTACTGGCCATGACTCTCGTTAGTAAGACTAGAAGTCAATATGTGCAGAAACACCAGTTACTAGTCTTTACTCAACCTTTAATTTAACTTAATTAATTTTTTTTTTTAATTTTATCTTAAACTTAAGAATAAATACAAAGTTTTGACCTCAGCCCTGTATGGTTATCTCACTTTTCATCGTAAATGAATATAATGCTAAATATTGATATATGAATATGTTTTTCAGGAAATAAGACAATTGTGTTCATATCTTGTGGATCTGAAGAGAGCTTCTGCTGAAGAAATGCGTCGAAGTGTATATGCTAATTATACAGCCTTCATTCGGTGAGTTATTTTGTTATGATGTAATGGGCAGTGGTAAAATGTTATTTATTTGCCCTTAGTCTAATTTTATTGTAGTGCTGTTGATTTCTTTGTTGCAAGCTATAAGATATCAACAGTGTGCTTCACTGACTATTCAACCTTTCTAATACTCTTTGAAAACACCACTATAAGCATATAAGCATTCAAATAGACACATATGTACCTTTGAAGATTGATCATTGCCCATATATCTTATCTTAAAGTCATTTGTAATGTCTACTGAGTATCTAAAGAATACTACCACGGTACCATTTTGTTTGCTAGTTTTATTTTTTGCACGATATTTTAGATGGTGTAATTTTGATATTCTTTTGACCATTTTGCCCTTTTTTATTTGGAATGATTTTATAAATTGCAAAAGACTGCCTCAAAAAAAATAAATATGAAACAAAACAAATTACCCACTATAGCATCTAATTAGTTGGATTGAATATGGTTCTTTAAATTTTTCATACTGGCAGCCAAGCAGTGAATCATTATGTATGCTACTGTATGTCTGTTAATATCAGAACAGCGACGCCTCTGAAAATAAAAAGAATTAGTTCATCGTTTCTTGTGCACCATTAATTTTTTATGAGTAGGTTTCTTTTGGTTTCAAATATTTTTCAGTACATGTCTTAATGGAATAATTTCTTTAATTAATCCCATCTGCTGCATGTTTCACATAATTAAATTAGATTGTTACTTTATCTTCTGATTAAATCTGCAGGACATCTAAAGAAATTTCTGATTTAGAGGGTGAGCTTTCGTCTATGAGAAACTTGCTATCCACTCAAGCAACCCTAATTCATAATTTGTCTGAAGGGGTTAATATTGATTCTTTATCTCATGCTATTCCTGATGGTTCTCCCACAAGTTTGCCCAATGATGAAGTAAGAGAGCTTTCTGATATAGAGAAATGGTCAACAGAGTTTCCCGATTTCCTTGATGTACTGCTAGCTGAAAGAAGAACAGATGAAGCTTTGGCCAGCCTTGATGAAGGAGAGCGCATAGTGGCTGAAGCAAAAGATAAGAAAACACTGGCACCTGCCATTCTTCAGTCACTTCACACTGCTATAATTGAACACAGGCAAAAGCTATCTGATCAGCTTGCTGAAGCTGCCTGCCAGCCTTCCACACGGGGTGCAGAGCTTCGAGCAGCTATCTCAGCTCTCAAGAAGCTCGGTGATGGTCCTCGTGCTCATAGTTTACTTCTCAATGCTCATTATCAGAGGTATCAGTACAATATGCAGAGCCTTCGTCCTTCGAGCACCTCTTATGGAGGAGCATACACAGCAGCACTATCACAGCTTGTCTTCTCTGCCATTGCTCAAGCAGCAAGTGATTCCTTGTCTATTTTTGGGCAGGAGACAGCTTATACATCTGAGCTTGTGATGTGGGCAACAAAGCAGACTGAATCATTTGCACTTCTTGTTAAAAGACATGCATTATCGTCCTCTGCTGCTGCCGGGGGTCTGAGATCTGCTGCAGAATGTGTTCAAATAGCCTTAGGGCACTGTTCATTACTGGAAGCTCGTGGTCTTTCTCTTTGTCCTGTGCTTCTGAAGCACTTCAGGCCTAGTGTCGAACAAGCTTTGGATGCTAATCTGAAGCGAATTGAAGAAAGCACAGCTGCATTAGCTGCTGCTGATGATTGGGAGTTAACATATCCACCGACTTCCATTCATCTGTCTGGAAGGACCAATACTGCTATGGGTGGCATTTCACATCAGCATAAGCTTTCAAGCAGTGCTCATCGGTTTAATGCTATGGTCCAGGTAAATTCATTTTGTCTTGATTGCAGGCATGATTCATGGTCATTTCCACTTATGTTATCAGAAATCTGCTTCACGAGTGTGGATTTGATTGTCAAACTGTTAACATTGCCCTAAACAACATGTGTAGACATGAACAGTTTCCTAGGCGTTGGATCTTTTCTGTTCTAATCGATTATTGTCGATGTGGTCGCTCTATCAGTTGAAGTCATTGGTGAAATCTAATTGGGGATCTTTATGGTAGACTGAGAACACATGGCTTGTGATGTATGGTTGTATTTATTTATTTTCTGTGTAAATAATGAAAGGGAAATATAAGATGAAGGCTACTATAAAGAGATCATTTTATGAAATATGCAACAGCACAACAATATTTAGGTGTTATGGTCTTGTCTTTTGTTGAAATTATGCTCTGAATATGGAGGAATATGGCCAAACTGTTATAGTTTCCAAGGCATATAGTTGATTCTAGTTGTGGGTGAAATCCATGCAAAATCTTTGATGTTTGTCTTGTTTTAGGACTTCATTTTCGTAAACCCATCTTTTACCCTTCTGGTTTTAAAACTGTATTTTGAACTACTTGCTTGGATTTTCTGTGGTTCATTTTATGTATGTGTCAACAACATTTATCAACTTCTTGGTAACGAGTATCAATTTTAGCACATGGTCTTAATCTTGAAGCTGGTTTTAACACCTTTTGGTTTCCCACACAGGATTATTTTGAAGATGTAGCACCCCTTTTAAGTCTACAGTTGGGAAGTAAAACACTGGATGGCTTGTTCCATGTTTTCAATTCATATGTAAGTATGCTCATAAAAGCATTACCTGGATCCATGGAAGAAGAGGCAAATTTTGAAGGTTCAGGAAATAAAATTGTTCGGATGGCTGAAACCGAAGCACAGCAAATGGCATTGCTTGCTAATGCATCTTTGCTTGCTGATGAGCTGTTGCCACGTGCAGCCATGAAGTTATCCCCATTAAATCCGGTGAATTACAGGGATGATACTCGTAGAAGGCCCATGGATCGCCAAACTCGTAATCCTGAGCAAAGAGAATGGAAGAGGCGGCTTGTTGGTTCTGTCGATAGGCTGAAAGATAGTTTTTGCCGGCAACATGCTCTTGATCTTATTTTTACTGAAGAAGGTGATAGTTATCTAACTGCCAATATGTATATAAACGTGGATGGCAATGTAGATGAAATAGAGTGGTTCCCATCTCCAATATTCCAGGTATCCCTATCTAATTGCAAGTTGCTTTGTGCAAGTTAGGCAAGCCATCTAGATTCTTTATGGATTCAATATATGCTACTTCTATGTGGGTTCTTATATATTAATTTACTCTTTGTGTTTGCAGGAGCTTTATGCAAAGCTGAATAGGATTGCTGGCTTAGCAGCTGATATGTTTGTCGGAAGGGAAAGGTTTGCTACTTTATTGTTAATGAGGCTCACAGAGACTGTAATTCTGTGGCTTTCAGAAGACCATACTTTTTGGGATGATATTGAGGAGGGACCTAGAGTTTTAGGTCCTCTGGGTCTACAGCAGGTTTGTAAAATTGAAATCCCCATTGCAATAACTTGTTTGATTTTCATCCTATTCTCATATATTTACATAAGTACATGATCAACTCTTGCAGTTCTATCTGGACATGAAATTTGTCATGTGCTTTGCTTCACAAGGCCGTTACCTGTCTAGGAATTTGCATCGTGTGATAAATGATATCATATCTAAAGCAATGGCAGCTTTTGCAGCCACAGGCATGGATCCATATAGGTATAACATTATATTGGCATATATAACCTGCACGCACCTGTTTACTTTTCTGTTATTGCCTACCTTTTTTTTTTGGTTTTTGTGTGTTTCTTCTTCCACTTGTAAATTGGTTAAGACTTGCGTGAGATATTGGTTTGAACGGTAAGCAGTTTTCTTAAACAGACTAATTTCAGTAACTTAAAACATAATTGAGGGTGTCAAAATACCATATTAAACATCTCGGGGAGAAACAATACCAATGTATGCATGTAGGGACTATTTGTACCAGTCGCCTGGTGTTGGCTTACCAATGTGCAGATTGACCCCATTACTGATCATTTAGTCTTGGACATAATACTGCTGATAAAATCTCTGAGTTCGGGCTTTTAGACTCGTGGTGGAGTTTAGTGTGAACTGTAGTAGGATGGGGGACTGGCATTGATAGAGATGTTGGTATATGAGACCCAGGCAAAAGATACTGTAAATAGAAATTTAATTTTATTTTAATGGAGAAAAAAGGATCCAGCTGAGGGAAACTGGTAGCTGGCTGTTCTTGTATGCGTTTGTTGTTGTTGACTAGGTTGTTTGGATGGGTGCAGTGCACTTCCCGAAGACGATTGGTTTAATGAAATCTGCCAAGATGCCATAGAGAGGCTGAGTGGAAGAGGGAAGAGTGCTAATGGGGAGAGGGATCCCAACAGCCCAACTGCATCAGTTTCAGCACAGTCGATATCTTCCATTAGATCTCACGGCAGCTCCTGAGAGTGTGATTTTGTGAAAGGATGGATTTCCCTGCTCTGCTTGCTACACCTATACATGATGTATCAAAGAAAGCTGCCGTGTTTTTCATTCTTATTCAACCAACAGTTTTATTGTTTTCGGTTTCTTTTGGTTTAATACTAGTTTTGCGGTATATTTTGTTTTGTTTGTTTAGAGTGTAGGAGGGGGTCTCTCGCTGGAAAAAGGCAGGCAATAATAGGGTCCGGTAGATTGCTTGGATTTGTTTTTGTTTGTTTGTTTGTTTGGTATGGTGGGAGGAAAGATTTGGTCCAAGGTGTGGTGTGGTGTGGTGTGGTGTACATGATGGATGTATGATGTTCACAGGAGCAGCAGTAGAGGACGCGACGCGGTGAAGTGGAATTAAAAACTTTGATCCATTATTGTTTTTTCGGCGGTGTAAAGCTCAGCTCAGCCCAGCCCAGCTCAAGAAATGATTTCGATTTTAGCGGGAAACTAGAGCGCCCCAGCCTCCCTCCTCATAGTATAAAATAGTAGTGTATCATATACCCGTCTGTCATACATTGGTATTGAATATATTATCGATATTGTAAATAAGATTTTTAAATATTTAACATTTGAATTTTTATTGTATCATATTAAATACCGGTAAAAAGGAAAAAAATAAAATAAAATAAAATTATAAAAAAATTGGATTTCGGATTGACCCGAACCGGCGGATTAAGAGGGGGCGGGGCGAGTTACGAGTGAGGCAGAGGGCAGAGGGGGGTTCAGCGAGCCGGTGTGTATTGGATTGGAATTTGGGGTTTCGATTGTACTATATGTAATGATGTACAGGGGGATGGATGGATGGATGTGTATGTATTGTCTTGCTGGACGCGCGCGCGCACACCCACACACAGATAACCAGCATAATCCCTTTCCTTCCCTCCCTGCAACTTTTAGCCGCTGCTGCTCCTCTCTTCTCCTTCCCCTTCCCCTTCAACAACACACGCCAGGGTCAGAGTCGGAGTCGGAGTCGGGGTGCCCGAAGCGTACTCGCCGGCCGTATACCATTACCAGACCGCCACCCATATTCATTCTATCCTTTCAACTCTCCCTCTCCCCGGCTCCTCCCACGTACCACTCTCTTCTCCTACAGTACTCGCTACTCTGCTCGGCTCTGCTCTTTCGCAACTCATACATACGTAGATATACTCTCCTCCGCTCTTCATCGCTCTCTCTCTCTCTCTCTCTCTCTCTCTCTCTCTCTCTCTGCGTTACCGACTTCCGCACATGGGAGTTCTTCTGCTGGGCTTTTGCTCTCAGGTCTTCTTTGCCTATCATTGTGCTCGATAAAATGTCTCCCGCCGCCAACTTCTTTCTTCTGCTACATGCTTTTCTCTCTTTATCTATATTAGCTTAGCACTTTCCAGTTTTTTCCTACTATTACAAACAATACGCACAAGAACCTTCTTTGTTTTGAATTTCACACTTCACTGCTTTGTAAAATAACTATAACTGAACTGGTAATTTCTCCGCTACTTGCCATACTCAAGTTCTTTGCTTTTTTGTGATATTCTGAGACCCGTTTGAATCTCTGAGGTAAAGGGAAGGACGTGGTCGGAAAAAATGATTAATTACTGTTTTAGTGGCTAAATCAAATCCAGTTCAAAAACATATTTTAACTCCAATTACTGCATGCCACAGATAACTATAGTTGGAGATTAGCTCAAATATGAAGGTTAGAAGGTTTCACAGGATGGAACTTGGAGTAAGATGTGGAAGGTCCAATCTTTTCAACCTCAACATGGCTTTCATCGGGTACAATTTTTAGCGTATGCATTTCTGCCTGCATACATTTCTGTAATTTCAATACTTGTAGTCGATGCTATCTTACATTCTCCTTACTTTATGAATACTTCATTTTCTTCAAGAGGAGGATTGATGTTTCATGCCCAACACTGAAACTATATACAAAGCTAGAAACACTTACACCTATGACTTGAAGTATGCCAAAGTGAATGAGAGGCTTGCTTGAGTTTTCTTGCCTTCTTTATATTTGTCCATAAGAAGCAAAAAAAATCATTTTCTAGTTAGGAAGAAGTGCTACTAAATTATGTCTCTACATACATTCTTTTTTCCTGGGGCATTGATAGTCTCTTTCCATCCTCTTGTTATTGAAGGATTGCATGATTGAACTTTGCTTTACTGTTTACCAAAAGAAGGCATGTGGGCATCATATGTTTTGGTCTCGAGACCTGGCATGGACTTTTCTGTGCTTGCAAACATTCCTTGTTGCCAAAATAGAAAATGTACAGCAAAACTTAAAGCTCATTGTAGAAGACCGGCTGCTCATTTTTATCACTCATGGATGAGACAAGGAAAGCAACTAGTGTGCTTTCCAACTTCATCGAGAGGTAGTACTTGTATAATTGTTAGTATTATCAGTTGTATTGATTACAAAAATATGTTGCTGAACACTCAAATGCTTCCAGTGATTTCGCAGATAAAGGGAGAATTCTCAAATATCACAGAAGTGGTTCTTTGGTGGTGCGACTCTACTCAAGGGAATATGAAAAGGCCGGTATCAAAAGAACTTATCGTTTAAATAGAGCTTTTTCAACAAATGACATGGTTGTGGAGGAGCCTTGGCTATGCCAATCACCCCTGGTCTCTCCTCAAATTGTAGAGGTAGGTACTTCAAGTAATAATGATTGTGTTACGGATGCTCTGAACAACTTTGATGGTGAGGTTAACAATACGGCATTCTTGAGTCAGCTAAGAACACCAGAGGATATCTATAATTATTCTGATGTTGATGTGAATGGGATGACGAATCATTCTCAACATGTTGACACTCTAAGGGTAGATTATCTGGTTGAGGAACCATGGCTCACTGAATCATCCATCTGTACTGATAATTCAACTATAGAAATGGTTTTAGATGCTTCCAGTGAGGATTTAGTCCAAAACAAGGTCGCTTCATCTGTGCATGATGAGGAACTTCAGTCCTCACCTGAGAGTTTTCTGCATGAAGAAGGCAGCAATGAGACAGCAGTGGACAACTCTATTTCCACTCTTATATTGATCAATTCATCCCTCTGTACCGTGCAAAGAATTGCTGTGCTAGAAAATGACAAACTGGTTGAATTACTTTTGGAACCTGTCAAAAACAATGTGCAATGTGATAGTGTATATCTAGGAGTTGTAACAAAGCTAGTTCCACACATGGGTGGAGCGTTTTTGAACATTGGGAGCTCAAGGCCATCTTTCATGGATATAAAATCCAACAGAGAACCATTTATATTGCCTCCATTTCACGGCCATATGAAGGAAATAGAAGTACATGAAGCTATGAGCAGTTTTACTGAGGTTAGGGGGTACTGTAACGAGGATGAAGAAATTGATGATTTGGATAATGACCAAAGTGAAGATGAATTCAATGATGAGGAGTTCAAAGGCCAGGAAAACAACTTTCACTATGATGTTTTAGATGTTATCAAGGAGAATGTAAATGGTAGTCTTGTTGGATATGAATGCAAGACTAATCAAGAGAGGTCATTAGAACCTCTAGATGAAGATGCAGAGCAGCTGGAGTCTAAAACGATACACCAGGCTGCTAGTCAGGGCGTAGAAGTAAGTAAGTGGGCACAGGTTCGAAAGGGCTCCAAGATCATTGTACAAGTTGTTAAAGAAGGATTGGGTACGAAAGGACCCACACTGACAGCCTATCCAAAGTTGAAAAGTAGATTCTGGGTATTCCCTCACCTACCATGATCCATAGTTTAATAGTTTCTGGGAAGACCATTTTAGTAGGCTAATTCTAAGTTTCTAACCACTGCAGATTTTGATAACTCGCTGTAACATGATAGGAATTTCCAAAAAAATTTCTGGGGTTGAACGTACTCGATTACGGGTCATAGCTAAAACTTTGCAACCTCCTGGGTTTGGCCTTACAGTGAGAACTGTTGCTGCTGGCCATTCATTAGAGGAATTGCAAAAGGATTTGGAACGACTGCTATCGACGTGGAAAAATATTGTGGAGAATGCTAAATCTGCGGCTCTAGCTGCAGATGAAGGAGTTGATGGGGCTGTTCCCATTCTGTTGCATAAAGCAATGAGTCAAACGCTCTCTGTTGCCCAAGATTATTTTAATGAAAAGGTGATTCATCAGCTTTTTAATTATTCAGTAAATTTCTATCCTTTTTCTCTCCTTCGGAGAAATTTTGAAATATCCCCTCCGCCAATAATTTATTATTGGTTGTCGTGTCAAGTTGTAATTGCATGGGCATGATCCTTATAATTACAGGTGAAGAGCATGGTAGTTGATTCTCCACGAACATATCATGAGGTATGGGAGCTTAAACAAATCTGTAAATATTATTCTATGCATCCCCTTTTGTCTCACTTATACTTGTATCAATAAGGATGCCTTGACCATATCTCCGGATGACACACATGATGGTGATATTGTTCATCCTAGTTCTCATATATGTGTAGGCCTCCAATTGTTGTTACATTGAGTGATAATCTGTAATTGGCAGCTTATTTGTTTGTTGTCAAGAAAATGATATATTATTATGCCTAATGCAGCTGGGAAAGATTAATTTTATTCACAGAAAAGTGTAAGGATAACGTGAAGTTTAATGAATCTATCATGCTCGCTAAATATAGATTCCTCTTTTTCCTTCTTCCTTCTTCCTTTTTTTTTTTTTTTTTTTTCTGTTCTACCTGATTTGGTTAGCTTATGTGATGATGAATTTCAGGTTACCAATTATCTCCAGGATATAGCTCCCAATCTCTGTGACAGAATTGAATTATACAGCAAAAAGACTCCTCTTTTTGATGAATACAACATTGAAGGAGAAATTAATAACATCCTTAGTAAAAGGTCTGTAATACTGGTATTATTTTTGAACCTGCTTGCGTGTTCCTTGTTTTGAACTAGCTATGTATCCATGATACTGAAATCAGCTATTTTTCTTCTCTGTATGCCCATGTGATTTACTGAAAATATATTAAAAGTCCTAGTTGTCTTTCCGTCTCTCTATCTCTCTCCCAAATATGAAAAGTATTTTGGCTACAGCCAGTGTTTTGAACCTCATAGCATTATAGACCAGAACTTTATGAAGTACTACTTTAGACATTTTATACATTATTTCTTGCTTGAAAGTTCTCATCATAGATGCATGGACTTGTCTTTTTTTGCTTCACTTCCAACGTGTTATCCATCCTTTCTTGTTTACAGATATATCTAATCAATTGAATCCCATCTGACTTCCCTGAACTTTCTTAGTCAAGATATTTTATTCAAATTACTCTGAAGTCGTGATAGTTCCTACATTAACAGGGTTCCACTGGATAATGGTGGTTATTTAGTGATTGAACAAACTGAGGCATTAGTCTCCATTGATGTAAATGGTGGCCACTGTATGCTAGGGCAAGGAACTTCACAGGAAAAGGCCATTCTTGAAGTCAACCTTGCAGCTGCCAAACAAGTACTTCCATCCTGATTTCAGTATATTTGTGTTTTACCCTTTTTCTGATAGGGAACCCGAAGCATGTTTCTGCTCGTATCCTTCAATCATGGCATGCTTCGCATACTTTCGAATGGTTATCATAGTGTACATTTTGTCTCCATTTTTATGTGCATGTCAAGCTTTGTTTCTTTTCCCCAGAAAATTAGAGGATATTATGCCCGTTTCATTCATGTAATTAAACACCCATGTGGATATAGTGTTTAGAAGCTATATACTGTGATGGGCATAATTTTGTTGCATATTTATAATACTTTTTGATAATTGGGTAAGGACGATCTATTATGATATCTAGTAGTGTTGTTATGTTCTGTTGCAATGTGATTTATGGTGTACTAGGCTGTGAAATTCATACTGCATTTTTTCTATCAATGCATTTGTTACTTCTGCTATCTTCATGGATGTTGTTTAATAAGTAAGATGTAGAAGTAGGAATCCTTCGCAAGCAGTTATCCTATATTAATGAAAATGACAATTATTTTTTGTAGATTCCCTAGTTTTGGGTTTTCCCACAATTTCTCTCTTTCTACTTTTTTGGACACTCTTGTATATATGCTTGAATAAAACAACTGGTTCCAAATTGACATGGTCATGTACTATTATTGTTTCAGATAGCTAGAGAGATAAGGCTGAGAGATATTGGCGGAATAATTGTGGTAGATTTCATTGATATGATGGACGAATGTAAGTTTGCTGATTACTGTTGGCCATGCCCTTTTCCTGCCCTTTTTTGTATCCTTAACATCATGCTTGACCTGAAAACTGAAATTGGTGGTTATTATTGTGGAGCATTCCATTTGAACCAAGGAGAAAACATTTTGGAATTCTGAAGTATGAATCGCACCTAACAGAACTCACATGTTGCAGCTAATAAGAGACATGTATATGAAGAAATTAAAAGGGCCGTAGAGAGGGACAGATCAACTGTGAAGGTCTCTGAATTGTCTAGGCACGGGCTTATGGAGATAACCAGAAAGCGGGTATGTAAGCATTGCAAAAATTGGACTTCCTTATTTTAATATCAAGTCCATTGATGTTAGACTTGTTAGAATGGAGAATGGCATAAACGTAATAGATAGATATTGAAGGGTTCTGTGATTTTCCATACTTGTAGAGTTACTACAAGTTACTTTCTTGTATAGAAGAGTGTTGGTATGCATGTGCTTTCCTGCAAGAATGCATTTTCACTCTAACTCTTCTTTGGGTGCCATGGTTAAATCCTGTGATCATCCCCTCCTCATTTTCAATGTGTAATTAGTTTGCACCTTTTAAATTACCTACTTTAGTAAGCAGTTTTAAGCCGATCAGAATGTTGTCACTTGTTAAGAACATGAAATTTTTTGGTTGCTTGTTGATTGCTTAGTCGCAGGTAACATATTATGATGACGATGATGATGATGATGTTGACACTTAACAGGTTCGACCCAGTGTTACATTCATGATCAGTGAACCCTGCACCTGTTGTCATGGAACTGGGAGAGTGGAAGCCTTGGAGACTTCATTTTCCAAAATTGAACATGAAATATGCAGGCTTCTGGTAATCATGTTACGCACTCACTCACTCCCTCAATAAAATCCCATATTTATTGAATAAATTATCTGTAGAAGTTTGGGACATTGGGTGTGTTCCTGGTCCTCCTAGGGTGATTATTTGTTGCATTATATATTTAATTGGGGAAGCTGTGGGCTAAAATGATTCATCTGATTTGATTTGATTTGATCCGACGTGATCAGGCAACAATGGATCAGAAAGCAGATGTGGAGAAGCCAAAATCTTGGCCCCGATTTATTCTAAGGGTAGATAGGCACATGTGCAACTATTTGACCTCAGGGAAGAGGACAAGACTGGCAGTGTTAAGCAGCTGTCTCAAAGTGTGGATTCTCCTCAAGGTATGAATATAGTTAGTTATTGGTGGGTCTTAGTCTTGAGTAGAAAAGGAGTGAAACGAATGGAGTTGATGCAGTAATATAGATAAATAAATAATGTTTGATCTGATCTGATCTGATCTTTGTCATTGTTGTTGTTGTTGTTGTTGTTTGACCTGATGTTATCAGGTGGCAAGGGGTCTCACCAGAGGGGCATTTGAGCTGAAGCCTTTGGCAGATGGGAATCAGCAGCAGCAGCAGCAGCCAAGGCAGGGTGCAATCTCTGTGCTGCGACCACCATCACCACCACAACCCTCAACGACGACAGATGGTGGCGTAAGCAGGCGGAAGGTGACTCTATTCCCCATCAGCAAGTGGAAAACAGGCAAGTGAAACACGCCCCGCCCCCCAGGAGAGGAGGTTTCCCAGTGAGGAGTAGTTCGGTGCTTGCTTTCTTTGTAGTAGCATATATATGATCTGATCTGTGATTCACTTCGTTGCATTGCATTGCATTACTTGCCGCTGGTAGTTGACAGTGATTCATTAAATTCTCATGTACCCCCAAGATTGTTGATTTAAATCATACTATTGTATCATCATCATCATAATAATAATAATAATAATAATAAATGGGTGGGGGCGTTTGAAATGCTTTAGAATGGAATAGAGAATGTGAATATAGAAGTAGCAGGAGCAGGAACAGGAACAGGAAGAAGAACAGGAGCAGCAGAAATGATATATTAAGGAGGAGCAGAGCCAGAACCAGAACCGATAGGTGTTATCTGGCGGCTAACACCAACACATACAAGAACCCAACAAATGGAGGAAGAAGAAGAAGAAGAAGAAAGGCACAGGCGCAGGCCGTAATAGAAAGAGGTATGAGTGACTCTGTCTGGCTCTGTCTCTGTTTCTGTCATATTCGTATTCGTTCATGCCATTAATGGCTCGACTGGTGCTGCTGCAGTAGAAACACTAGAGACTAGACTAGACATTGCATGACTGGAGTAGGGTACACATGTCACAGTTACCACTCACTAGATAGCATTCATTCATTCATTATATTCATATAATAATAATGATATAATGGGAAATCTTGCTGAGGATCTTTCTTTTGTTTCCTTGTTTCTTTCTTTGTATCTTTCTGTGCAACCCCACCCCGATATTACACCTGTTCCCCAATCTCTGAGTCTCTCTCTCTCTCTCTCTGCTGAGAATCCATTCCCAAAATTGAAAATAGGGAGGGAGGAGGAGAATCACGAATCCATATTTTGGTCGCAGCAAATAATAATCATTTCATTGAGCTTGGGGTCTGTTAGTTATTACTATATACTAATAAAGAAGCTACTTTCTTTGTCTCTAACTAATACTAGTAGGCAAGGGTGAGAGACACACACAGAGAGACGGACAGGTCAGGAGGAGGATGGTGAGAGAGTGATGAGATCCCAACAGATCAAAATGATGATACGCTTGATGATGATCATGACCATGCTTATGCTTTTGAGAGGGGAGAGGGGAGTGGCATTGTTGTAGCAACATGGAAGTAAGGAAGGAAGGAAGGTTTATAGTAACACGCTTAGCAGGTAGCACGCACAGACACAGACACTCACAAAGATCCTACTACGTTTACTAGTTCTAGTTCTAGTTCTACTAACAAACATTCATATTTCATTCCTTCATAGCCATACCTTGTGTGCTCCTTGCTCGCTCACGGCAGGCAAGCTACCATTGTCTAACTTGACGCTGTCTAAATGATGATGATGATATGATCGTTGTCATTTTTCCTCATAGCCTGCCTTTCAACGCTTCCTCCCTCCCTCCTTCCCTCAAGCTGGAGCTGCCTGCCAGGGTAACATACGCAATGCTATAATAATAATAATAAATAAAACTGATTAGATGAGTACTTAACTTGATGCTACACAAACAAATATGTACGTACTAACGACTCGACTCTACACTGTTATGGAAGGAAGGAAGGAAGAAAGGAAAAACAACCTACTCCTGCTACTAATAATAATAAAAACCACCAACATTTTGTAGAAAAGATGTTCTTGAGTCAAAACAAGAAAATAAATGTCAGGGGGAGCGTGTGGTCGGTCAATGCCCAAAAAAAGGAAAATCTGGGCGACCCAATTGGGCAGTATGATTCATAGGAATATACTATACTATTAGGAAATAAAAAGACGTGACAGACATGTGGTTACACAATCTGTCAGGTCAGCTCATTCACCCCCGCTACACAAACTAAAGATAAAGACGCCCTCCTCCTCCTTCTGGCTCCTATAACACCGTTGAGTTGAGTTGAGTTAGTCCGCAATTGCAATCATCATCGCAAGTGGGCATGGATGGTCTTACGAATTAAAAATAATACTTGTACACTAAAGTAATGGCGAGTGTATTTTATGTCGTCTATCTACTATCTAGAAAAGAAAAAGAATAAATATTTAGAGTGGGTTGCTCGCTCTTGTGTGCTTCTCTTTCTTTCCTTCTTTCTGACTCCACCACCACTACCATCACCACCACCACCACCACCACCCACGTAAAATACACGCTTCCTCTCTCTTATTCAAATATCCTAAATTGATTTGTGGATCATTTCATTTCAGTGGTGTGCATGTATCATTCATGTATGTTATTGTCTGTGCGCAATATAGTACTAACTAGTATATAATATAAAAAAGCAAAGTCCACCAGCCAGCCGTCCTTCAAAAGTAAACGCATTTTTATTTTGTTTTTGATAGATAATTGGTTGAGGAGAGAGAGAGATTGAGAGAGAGAGAGAGAGATCAACCTTAGTTTGTTTTTCACAGGTATTGCTCCATGTCAACATCACCCACTCTCCCTCTCACATCACAGCAAGGATGGAACTGGAAGGAGGATTAAATTGGATTGGAGGGAGCATAGATAGCTGATAGCTGATCGTAGAGAATCTTGACCACCACCCTCAACTCAACTCTCAACTCTCACCTCTCTTTCTCCTCCTCCTCTTCTTCTTCTTCTTCTTCTTCTTCTTCACCTCTCCTCCTCCTCCTCTTTATGTTTTCTTCCTTTGTCCTCTGTCGTCTCCGATGATGATCATCATACATGATTAATACTGCACCTGTACCTCTGGAATCTGTCGTATGTTCAATCATCAATCAGCCATGCTCTGGGATCCCTCCTCTTCATCCAATCATACCACTCCAACTCATCCTCTTCATCGTCATCGCCATAGCCACACCTTCGCCGCCGCCATCCACCCCGCAGCAACAACAGTCATACTCATCCTATTAATATTCCTCTCCCCTTCCCGCTTCGTCCTCACCTCCAATGCCGCCTGCGACCCCCTGGATCTCGATTCTCTCTCCGCCTTCAACCTCTCCATCTCTGCCACCCCTCCCCTGGACTGGTCCCCTTCCCGGGACTGCTGCGCCTGGGAAGGCATCGCCTGCGATGCCCTCTCCGGCAGGGTCACCAATCTCTGGCTGCCCTCCAGGGGCCTCGCCGGATCCCTACCCCCTTCCCTCCTCAACCTCACCGCCCTCTCCCAGTTCAGCCTCTCCCACAACTGGCTCTCCGGCCCTCTCCCCCCGGGATTCCTCGCCGCCCTCCCCCACCTCCGGGTGGTCGACCTCAGCCGCAATCGCCTCTCCGGAGGCCTATCCCCCTCCAACGCCCTGCCCGCCGCGATTCGGGTCTTCAACGTCTCCAACAACCGCTTTCAGGGGGCCATCGATTCTTCCTTCTTCCAGCCCAACTCGGAATTGGAAACCTTCGATGTCGGCAACAACAGCTTCTCCGGCCAAATCCCTCCATCCATATGCAGGCTGTCGCCCGGACTCCAGAGGCTCGATTTCTCCAACAATCAACTCTCCGGCCCCATTCCTCCTCAAGGCTTCGCCGAGTGCCGCCGTCTGCTCAGCCTCAGGGCCGGTTTCAGCAATCTCTCGGGGGAGATCCCACGGGAAATCTACGGGTTGCAGACCCTGGAGGAACTCTACTTGCCGGGCAATCAGCTCACAGGGGCGATCGACGAAGAGGGGATCGTCAACCTCGTCAACCTGCGAAGCTTGTCGCTGTACGGCAACGAGCTGGCGGGGGCCATTCCTCCCGGCATCGGGAAGCTGTCCAAATTGGAGCAGCTGCAGCTCCACATAAACAAGCTCACCGGCACCATCCCGCCCTCTCTGGCCAACTGCACCAGGCTCACCACCCTCAACCTGAGGGTCAACTCCCTCCAAGGTCAGCTCTCGGACTTTGATTTCTCCAGCTTGGTCCAACTTAGGACGCTCGATCTGGGCAACAATCTGTTCTGGGGTGGCCTGCCCCTAACCCTGTTCTCCTGCAAAACCCTCACCGCGCTCCGCCTCGCCACCAACAACCTGAGCGGAGAGATTCCGCCGGCCATAGCCAACTTAACATCCCTCTCCTTCCTCTCCATTTCTAACAACAGCCTGACCAACATGGCTGGCGCATTGAGAATCCTGGGGGGGTGCAAGAACCTCAGCACCTTGATCCTTTCCAAGAATTTCTACGACGAGGCGCTGCCTGGGGACGAAGAACTCGGGGATTGGGTCGGCAGCGGCAACGGCAACGGCAACGACACGTTTCAAAATATCCAAGTGCTGGCTCTCGGTGGGTGCGGATTCACGGGACAAATTCCAGCGTGGCTGTCGAAGCTGGGGAGGCTGGAGATTGTGGACCTCTCGTACAACAACCTCACAGGCTCCGTCCCGGGCTGGTTCGGGAAACTTCCCAATCTCTTCTACCTGGACGTGTCCCACAACCTGCTCACAGGATACTTCCCCATGGACCTCATCCAGCTGCCCAGGCTGGCCACCCACCCAAACTCTGACCTCGTCGACAGCACCTCCAGCAATCTGGAGCTGCCTGTTTTCGTCAAGCCCAACAATGCCTCCAACCTGCAATACAACCAGCTCTCAGGCCTGCCGCCGGCTCTCTACTTGGCCAACAACAGCATCCGCGGCACCATTCCCGTTGAGATCGGTCGGTTGAAGTTCATTATCGCCCTCGACCTCAGCAACAACAATTTCTCCGGCACAATCCCGGACACCCTCTCCAACCTCACCAACCTGGAGAAGCTCGACCTCTCCGGAAACAGCCTCTCCGGCGCCATTCCCGCCTCCCTCCGAAACCTCCATTTTCTGTCGTCTTTCAGCGTGGCATACAACGACCTTGAAGGCCCAATACCCACAGGAGGTCAGTTCGACACGTTCACCAATTCAAGCTTCGATGGAAATCCCAAGCTGTGCGGCCGAATCCTGCAGCGTCCTTGCAGTAGCCAATCCGCAGCCGGGCATTCGGAAAACCGAGCAGGGAATTATCGGAAGAAGACCATTGTGCTGACCCTGGTGATCTGTTCGGGCATATTCACCTTGGCCCTGCTCCTCTACTGCGTGTTTTCTAAGAGGAGAATCCTGCCGAGAGGCGATATTGAAGGAAAGGATATGGACACAATGTCGTTCAACTCTTCTGGGGTGTATCCTGAGGACGACGCCAAGGATGCGAGTATGGTGGTGCTGTTTCCTAGCAACAGTAAGAGTAAAATAGAGGATCTCACCATGGTTGATATACTGAGGGCCACAGACAACTTCAACCAGTCTAATATAATTGGGTGTGGGGGCTTTGGTCTGGTGTACCGGGCAACCCTGGTGGACGGCACCAAGCTTGCAATCAAGAAACTCTCCGGAGACATGGGGTTGATGGAGAGGGAGTTCAAGGCCGAAGTGGAAGCCCTGTCGACAGCCCAGCACAAGAACCTGGTTACGCTCAGAGGCTACTGCGTGCACGACGGCTGCAGGTTGCTGATATACTCTTACATGGAAAACGGGAGCTTAGACTACTGGTTGCATGAGAAACTGGACGGGGCTTCCCAACTCACTTGGCCGATTCGTCTGAAGATTGCTCGAGGGGTGAGCTGCGGGGTGGCCTACATGCACCAAATCTGTGAACCCCATATCGTGCACCGTGACCTCAAGTCCAGCAACATCCTTCTTGACCGTAACTTCGAGTCGCATGTGGCAGACTTTGGCCTAGCGAGATTAATTCTTCCCTATCACACCCATGTCACCACCGAATTGGTGGGCACCCTGGGCTACATTCCACCTGAGTACAGTCAATCATGGATAGCCACCTTACGCGGCGACATCTACAGTTTTGGTGTTGTTATGCTGGAACTGTTGACCGGCAAGAGGCCTGTCGAGTTGTTCAAGCCCAAAGTGTCGAGAGAGTTGGTGGTGTGGGTGCAGCAGATGAGGAACGAGGGGAAACAGGAGGAGATCTTTGATCCTCTCCTCAGAGGGAAGGGGTTCGAGGAAGAGATGATTCAAGTGCTCGACGTGGCCTCCCTGTGTGTGAGCCAGAATCCCTTGAAGAGGCCGACTATACAAGAGGTGGTTGATTGGCTCAAGGACGTCGGGGGAGGATCCAACAGGCAGTCGACAGAATGAAGGAGGGAGGGAGGGGCTTGTGATTGATTGGTTGATTGATTGATTGATTGATTGATTGCACATAACACATGAATAAACACAACTCTGAAATTGGTGCTGATAGATAGATAGATAGATAGTAACTGAGTGAATGTAAATCCCACAACCACCATACTTAGCTAGCTTCTTTGTCGACATTTTTTGTGAACTGAGTGAGTCGTTTCAGCTGTACAAAGATGAGTTTTTGCATCGAAAATAAGTTCTGGAGTGGAATTATAGAAAACTTGTACAGAACAGATGTTTATTGTGGAACGAACTAACTGGTACCACCAACCAATTTCTGGTGTGAACCTGCTGCAGCAGCAATATGAAGTCACAAGAGAAGAGAGGACTTTTGTTGAAGAAATTATAACAGCACCAATTGTACACATTATTAACAGGTGTTTTCGTATTCTGCAATGCAATGCAATGCAATGCACAGCACAGCATGCACTATTTTCATTAAGCATCTGCATCTGCATCTGCATCACATTAATTAGATTAAGGATTTGCAGCGTGAAAGTGTGCCATAGAATACTACTATCATCTATATATAACCTTCGTCGACGTGCTGCAGAATATGATAAATGAAACTACAGTAGAATTATCACCTCATTTATAAGGCCCCATCCCATCCTTGCATCCACCAATTAGTGGGAATCCTCCAAATGCTTTCTCCTGCTGCTGCTGTTGCACTCTATATTGCAAGAGACCCCAGAAGGTATATCGTCCACTCAGCATTCCACATGAAGATTATTTGCCTAAATCAGATCCACAGAAAGTGGCTGAGAAGAAAGTGATTGTCTGTTGACATTATTATTATTGTGGTTTGGTTGGTATATATACTATGGCCTGCCAAGGAAAAGATCGCCACTATCCTTTTGTTTATGTTATCATAATACTAGAGCAGAATTGATGCCAACACTGATTTATTAATTATATCATGATCGATGCTCCAACGTAACACTCTTCACCATCCACTCAACTCAGGTAACCTTCTCATTGTCAACCCCTCCTCATCCTGAGCTGAGCTGGAAGCAGAAGGTGTAGTAGTAACTAACACTATATAACTACAGCTTAAACTCTCTCTCTCTCTCTCTCTCTCATCAACACTCCACTCCTTGCTTTAGGAACTACATGCAAACTCCACTAATCTTGCTAGACTTGCCAATTGATGGAGTAAACCATAAGCATGCTGCACTTTTGTTCAACCCTCTCAAACAATAAGGCTTGATTGATGATAAAATGTTTGGTTTTCCCATGAAACACTGCAATCAAATGATTGGCTATCTATCAACAAAGATCTTTGTGTGTCTGCCTTCTTGGTTATCAACAGAATATTATTATAGCCAGAAAAATTGCTTGAATCAGAAATAAGACAAGGCATATACAACTTTGCTAGCAAGTTGCAACCCAATTAATTTAAGTTTCCACGGATGGGCATGACCATGGGTCTCTCTACTCCAATCAATCAAATAATCAACCATTTGGTTTCTGTTCTCATAGCCAGCCAGCCAGCCTACCTGCCTGCCTTTAAGTTGTGCAGTGTGTGATCTCTACTTTATACATATATGAATTATGATAGTGATGATATGAGAGAGAGATGATATGTGCAGTGAGTTCACACAGTTGTTGCTTCTGCCAAAGTTTTGGGACGAGCTCTTCCACCCAGCAGCAGCATTTCGCAATCCTGCGCCAACATACACATACATAAATATGTTTACACTCATTAATTCCTTGTATACTTCATACTATTTTATCTTCTCGTCCGTTATAGTAGTAATGCTATGCGATTCAAACTTGTCAATGAGATCACCTGTGCAATGGCCTGAGCACAAAGCTTTCCCGACAGTACAGCACCTTCCATTGATGCCAAGTATTTCTGCTTTGTATAGTCACCAGCCAGGTAGAATCCTTCTATGGGAGATCTTTGTAAGGGCCGACAAGGCTCTGTTCCGGGTATCGTCTTATATACAGACCTGCAAGATTGCACGAAATAAAACATAACTCCACGCACCAAGGTCGGCTATATATATACATATATATATATATATTTATGAACAATTTAACTGAGAACCCCATGTCTCACCTTGGAGTCTTGACAACATGGTACTTCAAAATCTTTGCTTTGCTCCCATCAGCCGCAATCTCATCTGGGAACAGCTTTTCAAGTTCCCTCATCGTCGCACCAATGATTTCTTCATCACTGCGCGCTATCCATTCTTCTGCAGGTGCAAAAACTAACTCCAGCATCGACTCCTTTGGGCTGTAGTATTCCTGAACAGAAAATCATTCATGTATGCGACAGTAATTGGAAGGCAGTATACCATAAAGAATAAAATGTAAAACAAATTTTAATAAATACAACATGCAATACCTTACAAGTTACAGACATGTCAGCATACACACTTAGAAGCGAACTCCTGCATTATAATTGAATAAGAAGAAAACTAAGAACATTGAACCTTTCAGAGCCTATCCGAAAGAGAATCCAGTACTTCTTGGTCGTGAATATCCGACAATTTCACATAGTTATGGAAGCCATTTAAAGCCCATAGCTAGTTTGAGCCACGAATCATTATTTTGTGTGTAAATCACAGCATTCAGATTTGTTTCCATCATCTTTTCACCGAAATAAGAACATTGTATTGACAGGTGTGCATAACCAACCTGCTGAAAAGTAGATGATCATATGTGTTTTGTAGTTTCCTGTCAAACCTGCAAAGGGATCAGCAATTGATGTAAGTACTGCTCAGTTTCATTCAAAACTGATACATAATTAAATTATTCTTGTGTATGCAATATGTTGGTAAAAACGAGCTTCAAAAGTGAACTCACCAGATATGAACATTTATAACTGGAACTCCAACTAATTTCTCCAATTTTCTGAAATATGGAATTGTTTTCCAGTCCTCAGGCAAAAGAAGCTTCAGTATATCAACTGATGGGGATAATGGTGATACATAAGCAGCCTGGAAACGACTCAAACTAATAGACAGAATATACATGATGCAGTCGATGAATGAAGGCTCTACCTGGAGTTGCAAATACATATGCATCTCCTTGAATAGTGTTTCCATCATTCAGAATAAAACTTCTGACACTCCCATCTTCATTTAGGTCAATCTTCTGTATTCTTGAATTTAGACGAACTTCTCCGCCCCTTGATTGAATATGATCGACGATTGGCATGCAAAGTCTTTCAGGCGGATTTCCATCTAAAAAGGCCATCTTTGAACCATGTTTTTCCTGTTGATGATTTTATAAGTGTATGTTTCTTGCATTTCTGCATACCATATAAATTAACCAAAGCATCATTATAATAAAGTGGCTTTGATATACAAACAGACTCCATAGAGAGAGACCTGCAAAAATCTGTTCAATGCAATCAAGATGCATTGCATTGAGAGCTCATCAGGATTTATGAAGTTCAGTGCTTTCGACATGGCAATGAACACTTCCTCAGTGACCCTGTCTGGTACCCCCTGAAACATCATAGAAATATTTAGCAACTATAACACCATTGCAGACTAATTCAAAACAATTTGCAAAATCCAAAATGATGGAATGTCTCATTTTTCAGCATTCACTTTGGAAAGTTGAAATTTGGAATGACTTCCAGTCAACAGAACATAAGGACTCACTTGTTTTCTCATCCAGTCTTTAACTGTTATTCCATCTTGAGCCTCAACATAAGGCTGGCCACCAACTATGGCTGGCAAGAGACCGATGGCAAACTTGACTTTCTCTGGCCAGGTAAGCATTTCATTGTTCTTCAAGATGGCCAGTACTCCTGGCACAGCATGCATGAAGCAAGAGAGTTGGATGATTTTGAAGGCTTACTAGAACACATATTGACCCTTATTCAATCAAGTTGAATTTTACCCAGTGATTTTTCATTGTATGTACTAGAAAATAATTGCAACAGAATCAAGTTTTTGGAATGCATAAGATGACTGAATAGTTGCTCTGTTTAAGTTAGCTTCTTGTTTGACAGGCATATTGAACCAGAAGAGAAACACACAACACACAAGTTTCACAGCATATATCACGTTCCACAGCTGCCATTTCTCAGCTCAGGAATGGAAACCTCATATGAATATGACAATGATTTGCAGCCTAATGATAACAGGTGGAAACAAACATGAAAACACAATCATGAATTTCATGTGGCAAAGATATGTGCTATAGTAAGACAACACAAAAGACAATATTTAACAAAGTCAGGTATGGGTATTCAAACTCAGGATGTTGTTTCATTCTGATTTTGCCATTTATATCATTCTACATTTAGCTAAACTCAAATATGCAAAGCCCACAAGTTTTGTAATCCCCAACAATGTGAAAAATTTCAGACTACCGAAAACCACTTTCCTGTCTCAACAATTGGCCTAAGTTAAAAGTTTTATTAAACAAATATTTATTTAAGACAAAAGGCATGTGTATTAGTAACAGTCCTCAAAGTTTACACAGAAATCAGCTCACCATTTAATGGTGCTGGCAGAGATTCAGGAAAATCGAATCTGCTGAATTCTCCCGGCTTGTTTGGCATAGCGAAAATCATGGAATGCTCTTTCCATTGCAAACGATCATTAATTCCCAGCTCCCCAAACAGGTTCTGGATATTTGGGTAAGCACCAACTAATGGAAAATAAATAGGTAAGTTTTACAGTTCATCATAAAAAATATCTGCAGAAGTTAAGGATTTGTCTACTAAAGGGAGAATATTAAATGAGTTTACAAAGACACTGTAGGATGTATAGGGCATCATAGTCACCATCACTGAAGATTAAAATCCAAAATTAAGCGCAAGTAAACTTACAAAATATGTGTAATCCAGTCTCATACCAGTCTCCATCTTCATCTTTCCATGCAGCCACCTGGGCTAAATAAACATGTTTCATCAACAAATGATTGTTGAATCTTTGGAAAAGATTTAAGCATTCTAACCTTTCCTCCAAGGACGTCTCTAGCTTCCAGTAAAATGGGTTTATGACCTGCATCAGCCAAATACTTCGCAGTAGATAACCCTGCCAAACCTACACGGTTGCAAATGTAAAAAATTAATATTACACAAAAAAAATAAAGTATATGGAATTGGAAAACATATGTGTGCATGTTAAATAATCTAATTCATTATACACACGACAGGCTGCCCAAACCAACTAGGAAACTATTGGTAAAGCATAACAAAATCCAACTCCAATGCAAAGATTATTTAAAACCAGTATAACCTTTCCCCTCGTTTTATATCAATCAAACAGAAACCTACAACAAAATCGGTTGTGAAAAAGAAAAAACACAGTTAAAATTCTTCAGATGAGGCATTAAAATATTAGAACCTCGTCTGGCTGTAGATTAAGAGATGGATATGGGACAATGATAATATTGAGAGCAAGTCCTACATAATCCTAAACGGGGAATCTTTCTTTGTTTAAGATGTTAGGCAACAAGCTGGGCACTGACAAGGGCACATCAGTCAATTTCAACTATTGATCTGTGATATCCAAACATAATGCTTTAAGTTCTGCACAAAGAATATTTTCAAATATATGAAGTCACATAAGCATTTAAGAAAAGAAAACATTAATGATAAAAAGATAAGCGCGACTTACATTTCCATTTAGTAGAATAGAGGAATTCGTAAGAATGGCAATATGAAAACAAAGTACATGGCAAAGGTAAAGTGAAAATGTTCTACCTGCACCAGCAATCACCACTTCCAATGGCTTTTTGGGACGGGAAGCAGTCCGAAATGATGATGATAACTGAGCAGCTTCCAAATAGTTGATAGTGTTCTCAAGCTCGGGTCTTGGATAGTCAATGCAAACAACCTACACCACAAGCACTGCATTATAGAAGCTCATCATCATTCGTTTAAATTCCAAACACACAATCACCATTCACTGTAGGGATAGTTAGAGAGCATACTTTCAAAGAGGATGCTGCCCTATTGTGCCTTGTTGCAAAAGCATCTCCAGAAGGAATCCTTAACGTAGTACCCACAGCAGAACTGCCTGGAAACAATAAGCCTTTTGTTTTTCGAAGGGTGCAGCCATTCCTCTTACACGAGTTCAAGCTCGAAACAGTGGGTATCTGATACTGCTTGCTTAAATCAAAGGCAGATGCTTGTAGGAATTGGGTCATATTCCAAATTTATGCTTTACTCCCGAATAGAAGTGGTCACAGTACAGAAACTGCAGTAATTTCAGCTGTCCGTAAGCCTCTATATCAAGGTCAAAGATTGAAATCAACATTGAATACATTGATACAAGGAAAACATCCAAAGCCCCTCATGGCAAAAATCATTTCAGAATTATAGAAAACAGAACCCCTTCACTCAGCAGCATATAATCAATATCTAGAATCTGATCAATAGCCAGCTGAAACTAGGGGTGTTGCCCCAATCTATCATTCATCGCATCAAAAAATCGAACCAAGAAATAGTTTTTTTTTCCCTCTTTTTTGTCCCTATTACAGAATCTGCAACAGAGAACAAGAATTGTATGCATGCTCCAAGAGAGAACAGCAGGTGGGTTATGAAAGCACATGTATAAATCGAGATAAGAGAAGTGAAAGGGGGCAAGATTCTACCTTGGGAGCAAATGCAGTGGTGGTGAATAGGAAGGACTAAGGAGCAAGAGCTAAGCATAGAGAGAGAGAGAGAGAGAGAGCGAGACAAGAACCACCCAGCGAGGGAGAGAGAGAGTAAATAAATAAATAGGCAAGGTTGGCCAGGCCGGCCTCGGGAGTGAAGTTCAACTTCAATTTGTGGTAGGAATACCGAATAGGTGTGGTGTTAGTTTGGGAGAGAAGAATTCTTGGCCTCTTATGCCTCTGCCAATCCACCAGGAATATGCTTGCTAATTAGTTATTATTAAATATCCTTCATTATTGGATATCAGTGTAATTTATTAATATTAATTTATGTGTCTCGTCATCAGCATCTAACATTTTCTATCTTATATACACTTACTTGACCGTCTCCAAGTAGCCATTCTATTTCTGCAGCTGCGCAGTTGATTTTCTATTTAATTTTTATACTAAAAATATATTTTTATATATTTCTCTTTTATATTATTTTATATTTATAAACTACCCCTCAATTTTAATTTATTTTTACTTTAGATTCATATACATATAATTTATATTTTATTTAAAAATTACATATATGAAATTTAACATTTATAATTAATAACTATTACAAATAAAATTATAAATTATTTTTTAAAAAAATAAAATTATATATTACTTTTCAGAAAATAAAATTATACATTATTTTTCAAAAAAAGTAAAATTACATATAATTTTTTTAAAAAATTATATATCATTTACTAACAAAAATTAAAATTACAAAATACACCAAAAAAAATATCAAAAATATAATAAACATTACAAAAACTCTACTCCAAAAATAGAGTGAAGGTACAATATTACTTCAAAACTGTACATATACTGAAAAAAATGAGAGGATTTGAAGATGTGTTGGAGCCCCTCCTCCTCCCCATGTTTAGTACACCCCACTCCATAAATGCAATGGGTTGGAGATGATCTTATTTATGATATATAAGGTTTTAAATATTATTATTTATTATTTTTTAAAAAAAAATATTATACTATTAATTTAATTTGTTGGGTGCAAATTCAAATCTCAGAAGTTGTGGTCCAAGTGAACTCCACTCGTACGAAACTTTTTGGAGAATATAAAAACAAATCCGTGTTGGTCCAGTCCCAACATAATTAATTTTTATAATCTTATACTCTCTCCGTCCATTGGAAGGGTGACATTTGGTTTTTGAATATAAATTTTTTAATATTAGTATTATATTGAATTACATTAAAAAAGACAAAAATACAATTACTAAATTAAATATTAATAATAACTTTGTTTTGAAATTGAAAAAAAAAAAATAGTAAATTGGTCGGAGGAAGTATCAAATACTATTTATTTGCTTTTACTATTTATACAAAAAATAAAAATAAAAAAAATCTCAGTGCATCTCTATTCACATATTTAAAGGTAGGTAGGTATAACTAAGGAAGTTTGGTTCGCTTAGACAATTTTCAATTCATAAACTCTATTTATCCAATTTTAACTCTAAGGGTGTGTTTGTTTGGGAGAGTGGATTGGATTTGCACTATTTATCCAAATTTTTTCTCCAAAAAATCAAATCAAACACCTATTTTTCATTTTTTTTTATATTATACTAAAAATCAATTTTACATTCAAAACATCATATCAACACATATTTATATCTCATAAAACTGTTCAAATTCAAAATTTTTACGATTCAAATCTCAATTTAAAATCCAGACCCCCAAACAAATACACCCAAATATGTAAATACAGTAATTTAACTTTAATCATAATTTTATTTTTCATTTTTATTTTTCAAATATTTAATTTTTCCAATTATTTTAAACAATTTTTTATTTTTATAATTTAAAATAATTTTTTTTAAAGTTTAAAAATAAATAAATTAATTAAAAAATTAAAAAAAATAAAAAATATAGGAGCAAGGCGGCCTTGGAATAAATAGAGTGGAATATAAACAGACAACTTCTTCTTCTTCTTCTTCTTCATTAACAAGTCTGGCCTGCGTAGCGTAGCGTCTCTGAATTGAGTTGACTGACACTGACGTACGTACGTACATTCATAAATTCGTTCCTGTTCATGTTCATGTGCGGTGGTTCAGTTCAGGTGTAAATCAGTGCTGTAAAGATTCATTCGATTCCCCAATCCAATCAAATCCAATAAAGCAACAGTTGGCACTCACTCACTCACTCACTCACTATTCTATTCTATTCAATCCCCTCCCCTCCCCTCAGATAAACAATTTCATGCCTGCCTTTGTGAGTGAGTGATGATGGCATTGCTGCTTGCTTGCTAGATTGGATTCTTCCTGCCCTGCCCGGGTGCAGGTAGTAAGCATCACCAGTTCACAACAAAAACGCTGTCTGTATGTATGTGTACGGCTGGCTGGCTGGCTGACTGAACCCCCAAGGACTGGACAGGACCGGACCATTCAATTATTGTTGTTATTTAGCGCAGCACAGCACGGGTCTTTGTTTTTTACTTTTCCATACATTCTTCCTCTTCCTCTTCCTCTTCCTCTTCTTCCTCTGCAACCGCAACACACATTCCACTCACTCACTCTCTCATTATCAATACTGCCCCCAAAAACACAAGACTCTGGTCGTGCATTGACAGAGACACAGAGATAAGCAAGCCCGCCTCGACTCCATTCCATTCCGGGCTCGCTCTTCTTCTTTTCCCCTGTGGTTTGTTGTTGGAAGAAGAAGAAGATTGGAGGTGATAGAGATGGGGATGGCGACGCTGCTGCTGCTGCTGCTCGTTGGTACTTTGAGCTTCGTCAGTGCGTACACGGATCCAACTGATGGTCAGGGATTTAATAATTTGCTCGCTTGCTTGCTTGCTGTTGAGATGACTGACAATGCTGATTACTACTACTACTTATTATTTTAATTAATATAATATGCGTAGGATTGTATAAATCAATGCTGTGAATCAATATCTATATTAATTTATGTATGCTTTCTTTCTCTCTTTTTCTTATCATTCTTTTCCTATATTATAGTAACTTTCATCTCTCCTTGTGTCTGTCTGTTATAACTTGTTAAGCAAGCACATGCCACAATTTTCCTGAACCTATTAGTGTTCATTCTTAAATTGTTTGTTTCGTCAAGAGTTTGATTATATAATATATTTACATGTGCACACAGCTGCCACTCTCAATCTATTGTATACAAGTTTGAATTCTCCCCTACGACAACTTACCAATTGGAAGCCGAGTGGCGGTGATCCTTGCACAGAAGCCTGGAGGGGAGTTGCCTGCTCCGGCTCCAGAGTCACCCAAATGTTACATCTTTTTTATTTCAACCTTCTTCTTTTTCTTTTATGTCATTCCTTTTATTCTCCATGGCAGCCGCACCACACTAGTCTGATTACTGACTAACTGACTGACGGACCTTTTCTTGTTTTTGTACCATTTTGTCAGCGATTTATCAGGACTTGGGCTTACTGGTAACATGGGATTCCAGCTAGATAAATTGACTGCTGTTACTGCATTGTGAGCCAGTTGAATTTCCAACAACTTCTTTTAACAGAAATTTGAGGTTCCCCTGACCTGATGATGATATGATGTAATCATGCAGTGACATAAGCAACAACAATCTTATAAACCAGATTCCTTATCAACTTCCTCCTAATGCTCAGATACTGTAAGCTTCATTCTACTTTGGTTTTTGTTTTTATTACTTTTTGTTTAAGAAAAAATAATGTAATAATTATTTAACTTTTTAGTATTATTTTTCAAATGACTTGTTTGCTGTTCATCTCTGTATTCATTCTCACAAAGCAGAAACCTTGCTGGTAATGGCTTCAGTGCTGATCTACCCTTTTCCTTGTCGTCCATGACTTCTCTAAAATATCTGTCAGTCAAGCTGCAAACTCGAAACATATTCTATGCTCCAAAATGACTTGTTGCTGACAAATTACAGCACTCTGCTATAACAGTAATGTGAGTCACAATCAAATCCAGGACCAAGTGAATGTTCAGTTCAACTCACTCACCGCTCTCTCCACATTGTAAGACCAGTTACTGCATCACACAGTATCTATTCCATTTTGGTTGCAGAAAATTTGGCAGTGCCTACTCTTTCATAACTATGGATATGTCTCAGCTATTATGATTCTATTGGTTTGATACCTGCTATATAGAAAGATAGATGTATTATGTTCATGCTTCAGGGATCTGTCTTATAATGCCATGGCGGGTGATATACCTCAGAGCTTCCAGTCTATGACAAGTTTACATGATTTGTAAGTGGACTACACTTCTCTTGTGATTTTAATTCCTCGATTACTAACTTGATCATCATGCAGGTATTTGCAAAATAATCAGTTTACTGGAACCCTTGATGTCCTTGCTGATCTTCCACTAAAGAATTTGTGAGTTACCTTCACACTAATGTACAAGTCTTCAGGGAAATATGTACATATATACGGAAAAGCTAGATCTGTGTTTTGCCACTTTCAGGAATGTTGAAAACAACCGTTTTACCGGATCAATACCTGAGCTCTTGAAAGGCATAAACCTGCAGTAAGTGCTTTGACTTACATTTAATTCCACACGCATTTGCTCTTGAAAAGATCATCAGTCTTGTGCTTTCTGATTCACTTAACAGTGCAAAAGGTAATTCATTCAACACTGGGCTTGCACCTCCTCATCAACCAGGAACTCCACCAGTCAGGGTGCCTAACAGCAGTCGCAGATCCACAGGCAATCAAGATAGTGAAAATGGAGGAAGTAAATCTGGTCTAGGCGCAGGTGCTATTGCTGGAATAATTATCTCTCTTTTGGTTGTTGGAGCTGTAGCAGTATTCTTCATCATTAAGTGGCAATTCAGAAAGTCGTCCACAGACACTGAGAAGCTCTACAACCATCCTTTTGTAAATCGAGCTTCCAAAGAAAGACAAGGTACATTGAGATTAGCTCTAAAATAAGTAGCTTACAAAATTTTGTTGTGCTGCTAGTAACGTTCTCTCTCTCCAACCCCTTATGTATTGTCTGCAGAGATTGATCCTGTACAAACACCATCCAGAACTGGAGCAAATGCCCATGAAAATCCTGTTGTTATAAATCTGAAGCCTCCTTCCCTGGCTCAGAGTAGACCATTTGATGACGAAGATGGTGCATTTGCAATGCCTGTTGTTTCATCCAACAAAGTCAATAAAGCGCCAATTGATGTAATGCATTTTTCAGTAGCAGACTTACAGATAGCTACGGATAATTTCAATGCTGAAAATCTGATTGGCGAAGGATCTATTGGCCGTGTTTACAGAGCCCGGCTGAATGATGGAAAGGTATGGTGTATTTTTACAGTTCCATAGAATCAATTTAACTGATTGACGACATGTTAGAAGATACTGGAAAGTTTGCTTCCCCCGGAATGATGAGAACCATCACTCTATCTACTGCACTCATGTCAACTGTCTAGTTAACGGCCTCGAACATTTTGGGGGACAGATTCTTGCCGTGAAGAAAGTTAATTCATCTGTTGTGGCCAATTCTGAAGATTTCTTGGAGATTGTGTCAGAGATTTCGAGGTTGAAACATCCAAATGTAACTGAGCTCGTTGGATATTATTGTGGGCATGGACAACACCTGCTCCTCTATGAGTTCCATGAGAATGGATCTCTTTATGAACATCTGCATCTTCGTGATGAATTTAGCAAGACTATAATATGGAGCAAACGTGTTAAGATTGCATTAGGAACTGCAAGAGCGCTAGAGTAAGTCTGATGATGGATTGACCGCCTATCTTGTTTAAATAATTTCACATCTCTATATCCATCCACCCTTTTTTTTCCCCCAATACATGTACAAATCCTGTTACTAATTTCCCTTTTACAAGCAATTTCCTGTTACTAATAGCTCCATCTGCCACAGGTACCTACATGAAGTGTGTGCACCTGCAGTGGTGCATAACAATATAACAACAGCAAACATTTTGCTTGATATGGATCTGAATCCCCATCTTACAGATTGTGGGTTGGCAAGATTTGTCCTTGAATCTGATCAGGTAGATATATTCAGGTTCTTACAACTTTTACCATTGGTTGGTGCAGCTTGGCCTTGGGATTGTTGATAGTTTATTGTGGAAATTGGACTTAAATAGGGAAGTGTTCCACCATTAGCTTGCCAAAAGGTACAACTGTCTTCCTTGCTTTCATTATAATCTTAATGATCTGCATGGAGCATTTGCAGGCACGGGGCTACAGTGCACCTAAAGTCAGCATGTCTGGCCGACGTACAGTTAAGAGTGATGTATACAGCTTTGGAGTTGTGTTGCTAGAACTTCTTACAGGACGCAAACAATTCGATGGGTGAAGAATGCTCCTTTTTTATATTATTATTATTTTTTTTTTTTTCTGTGTCATCAAGAATCTTGAGTGAGTGTGATTAATTTGTTTCGGGATGCAGGTCAAGGCCAAGGTCTGAGCAATCTTTAGTTCAATGGGCAACACCCCAACTCCATGACATTGATGCTCTCTCAAAGATGGCCGATCCTGATCTGAGTGGGCTCTATCCAATCAAATCTCTATCGAGTTTTGCAGAAGCAATAGCCTTGTGTGTCCAGGTAACTGTTGTGGTTCTCACTCTTGCTATATATATATATATTATTATGATTATCAGGTGTATAATATGAAGTGTGACTAACCAACCAACCAAGTGGCGGTTTCATTCCCGACAGCGGGAGCCGGAGTTTAGGCCTCCAATGTCAGAAGTGGTCCAAGCCTTGGGCGGGTTGGTGCAAGGAGCAAAGATGAGCAAGAGAACGCACGGGAGGCAGAGTGAGAGTGAGAGTGAGCAGGGTGGTGCATCCCGAGCTGCTGCTATAGTAGGGGTAGTAGATGGAGGAGTGTGCTAAACTTGCTTGCTAGATTGTGTGCTCATCAAGAGCCTTCTTGCCTTTAGATAGATGATAGATTATCGATCCAGAGACACTGTCTGCCTGCCATCAACAAGAATACTGAAATTTTGAAATTGTGATACTCCCTCCAGGCAGGGCAGTGGCCATCAGATATATAGATGGATATATAAATCATGATGTTGGAAGGCTTTCACAATTGGGGAAATTTATGGTTGGGTACTGCTGCTGCTGCTCCAGTGGTAGTGTTGGTGCATTTTGAAGGGCATACATAACATATTCAATTGTGAGGAGGATCCCATCATTTGAATTTGAAGATTCACATCAGATGCGATGTTTTGTTGTTCAACACACCATGATTATGCATGCTGTGCTGCTCACCTAAAACAAACAAGTAGTAGTTTACATAATGATGATGGAAGCAAGAAAGCATGGAGAGGTGTTTCATCATGATCATTATATACTATAATTAATTGATTAGCTAGAGAGGTAGAGATCACTTATTATTAAACCACAAAATAAAATCCATCATTTTGTCCCAAGCAACACAACACCTCTACTAATTATTTCAAAGAGGGAGAGAGAGCTAGCTACGTAAGTAACATGCACTCCCTTTTTTGACTCTTTTGACACTGCCGTTTATTGTTGTTGTTGTTGTTAATGTCTATTTGGAATTGGAATTGGAATTGGATAGGAAGGAGCTATCTCCTTTTCCTACATGTATAATGTATGTATATATACACATAGCAAAGCTTGAAAAAGGTTTTACCATGATGCTCCTCAAAGACAAACAAGAATCAAACAATAATATTCATGTCTGTCTTTGAAAATCTATGCATGGTAATAGGAATGATGATAATTACCATTTGCAGACATATGTGGGTGGGGTTGGAGTTTCTTGGATAGACAGACATGATGATGAAGAAGAATTATTGGGGTTAATTAATTAATTAATTTCCACCACATGGCATGCCAATTGCCATTGCCATTGACAGTGGGAGAGTTGAAAGTCTCCTCCCAGACCACTTATGCAATAAAGAAGAACACTAACAATAAGAATAATAACAACAATAATAATAGTCTGTCGTTCTATTCTCATCTCATATCATTATCATCCCTTTGAAATCGAGGGAGCTTCTTCCATCTCTTCTTCTTCTTCCTAGTAGTAGTAGTAGTAGTAGGTAGTAGTAGTAGTAGTAGTAGTAGTAGTATGCTCCTCCTATTCACATTGACTCACTCACTCGCTGTTCTCCTCTTTCTTTAATAAGAGCTCTAGCTCTTGTCACTCTCACTCTCACTCTGCTTCCCAGTTCCCACCACCACTTGCATTCATCAATCATCCCACTTCTTCTTTCTTCCTCTCCTACCTTTCCTTAGCCTCACCTCACCTCACCTCACCTGACCTTGCCTTCTTCTGGAATCTCCTCTCTCTCTCTCTCTCTCTCTCTCTCTAGTCTCTCCCTCCCTCCCTCCCTTACATTCCTCCAGAATCAGGCTGACTTAGAAACCTTACACCATTGTATTTCTACGGTACCAACCATACTCTTATGATTGAACTTGTCCATCTCCATCTCCATCTCTGAGTTCCTTGTGCGCGCGCGGATTGATCTCCTTCCTTGATTTGATCCTGGTCAAACCCACATGGCCCAGCCCAGACGTGGGATGCACTCCACAATGCTGCTGCTGTTGCATGCAAAATCTTATCTTGGTTTCCTTCCGACTCACTCACTCACTCAGTAATATTATTATATGTACATAGAATCCCTTGGTTGGTTGGTTGGTTCAAGATTGCATTTTTAGGAAATCGCCTTCCTTAAAAAACTCTGGAAATCTCCTTCGAATCCTGCCTGCCTGCCTCAATGCATTCATTAATCAGAGCTCTAATTTAATCTTTTTTCGTATCAAAATCCCCGATCCTATCGACCACTTCCTCACTCCAGCCCCCACTGAAATTGAAATGGCAAGTGCGGACAATGGCGGAAGATTTGGGGACACAGGAGTGATTGAGCTGACAGGGAAGGTCGTGGCGGTTGCACTTGTCCTCCTCTTCTTCATCGTCTTCTTCGTTTTCTGTCTTCACATCTACGCCAAATGGTTCTGGTACAGCCGCCAAGACAACCCCCCGACCACGACCCCCACCAGACGACGACAGCGACGCCGCAGCAGTCTGGATTTCGCGGGTGGAGACGATGAGATGGCGATTGTATCCTCCTCCTCCTCCGCCGCCGCCGCCCTGCGCCATGGCCTGGACCCTTGGGTGCTGAAGAGCATACCGGTTGTGGTGTTTGATCCCAAAGATGATGGGTTGGAGTGCGCGGTGTGCTTGTGTGAGGTTTCGGAGGGCGAGAAGGCGAGGCTTCTGCCCAAATGCAACCATGGCTTCCACGTTGACTGCATTGATATGTGGTTTGAATCGCACTCCACGTGCCCTCTCTGTCGAAACCCTATCGACTACGATCCCAATCAGGTGTTCAATCATCGTCCCGGCGCTGCTGAAACTGTGACAGATTCGGAGGAGAATCCCTCCTCCTCCTCCTCCTCAGGAGGCAATGTTAATGTTAATCATAATCATGTTGAGCAGTCGACATCTCCCAATTTCCCTACCAATGTGTTGGTCTGGGGAGATGAGAGTCAAGTGAGGACTTTTAGTCCTAATTGTACTGTGGAGGAGGAAACCAGCAGCACCCATCATCATCAACCCAATACTGGCGTTGAAGAAACAGAAGCAGAAGGTGCAGCTGAATCTGAATCTGAACAAGCTTCGTCGATGACCTCCACCTCCACCTCCACCTCCAGCATCAGCATTATTATTATTCCTAATCCTAATCCTAATCATACTAGGCAGATGAGTGAAGAAGAAGAGGAGGAAGAACAGAAGGTTCCAGCAGTGGCGGCCACGAGGAGGCTGAGGTCACTCAAAAGGCTTTTGAGTGGCGGGGGCAACAGAAGAGTAAACCATCATCCATCCAATGCTACTAGTCCAAGAAATTTGGATCTGGAACAAGGCAGGCAGGCAGCAGCAATAGAGGAGAGGAGAGGAGGTTGTTAAACTTGATGATTTCTTCTCCATACGACATACAGCTTGATCTGATGTGATCTGATGATGCATTTATTTAAGACAGCAGCGCAGCTGGGCGGTAATACTGAATGATGCCTGCAGCTAGTAGTTACGTTTTTAAGGTGTTGGATCAAGATTGAATTGAATACATACATAGATACATATATATAGAGAGAGAGAGAGAGAGAGTGACAGACAGACAGAAGCTTGTTGTTTTTGTCTCCTGATGGCACCTGTACCTGTCTAGACATTTACCAATCAAACATTCACTACATACGTGTATGTGTATGTGTATGTGCATGAGAAAGGATATAGGAGAGGAGAAGAGAAGAGAGGATTAAAGCTGATGGTAAACAAGTAAGGAAGGAAGGAAGGCCCCAAGGCAACCAGCCACCGAACCAACACAAGTCTTCCTTCTTTGAGCCAGGTAATTGAATGGTTCATTCTGCCATTCAATTCAACACACGCCACTACTTCCCTTCCCTTCCCTTCCCTTCCTTCACCCCACGCTATACTATACACTTACTTCCCATAACATTTTTCTTCTTCTTTTCTTAGGCGCTAGAAATAATATATATATATATAGAATTCAACATATGTTTGTTCGTTAGCTTCCACACTCCACACAATTCCCCATGGTTGCTGCTGCTGCTGCATCACATCAAAGCTGAAGGAGAGGGAGGGCCATCACTGCAGCAAAAATCAACACCAGCAACAGCAACAACCATGTCGGGAAAGATCGCCTCCTCTCCTGCTGCTTATTCAACTCTTTCGGGGCCTCTCCATTTTGGCCTTCCTCCTTGCCTCCGCGCTTCTTTAGTGTCGATCCAGACTTTTCATCTTGGGCAGGGGATTGAACTTGAACCACCTCCTCAGCCAGCTGCTCAGCTGCAATCTGCTCTTCATACTTCTCTATGTATTCTGGAAATAGCTTCCTGAACGTTGGACTGGAGCAAAACAAAAAGGCAAAAAAGAAAAATCACAAAACACAAACAAGCAACTGCAACAGTAGGCCGTAATTCATTTTCCATTCATCATATGTGCAGCAGCTCAACAAAATCATCCATCTTTTAAACAAACTCACATTTTACAATTGAAGGCCAGAGAAGCTTTTGCGAGCCTCTGCTTCTCTTCGTCTGTTGTTGAGACACTGCCTGTGGTAGGGCTATTGTCCATCTGCAAAAAGATAGATCACCAGAAGCATCCTTGTGTCAAAACTATTTAACAGAGAGACTTAAATTATTAAACTACAATAGGGCATCAATAAAAGGATTCAGCGTCAAACCAAAAAAACGCAAACTCGGGGACTGCAGCTAAGAAAGAAACTCACCATGAACGAAAGGAGCCCAGTCAATATACTGCACGCATATAAATTGAATACATCAGCACAGGAGACAAACAAAACTTGGTTAAAGGAAGAGCAACACATTCCCTGTTAATGGGTAGTACCTTGAGACAGACCACATGGGGTTCCAACTCTCTGGATGGACTGAAAGAGAATCCACATGAGTGGTGTGAAACAAGAAAATCATTGAGATTTACATAGCCATATTTCCAACTTACAATCACTCATCGATAGGCATATCTTCTTTTGTGTCATAAAGCGTCCATTCGGAGTAGTCATACTACAAGGTAAAGACCATTTCACTCAATGAATACACTATAAATACCCCAGAATAATATCTAAAAGTTCATCCATACAGTTTTCTAAGTGCAATGTTTATGGATGTAAAACAACCTAATTCCTGGAGGTTTAAATGGGTATTCTGGTGGAAATTTTATCTTCCCATAGTAATATCCACCTAGAATGATCAACAAAAGCAAAAAAAAAAACAAGAAAATTAAAAGAAAAGAAAAGAGTCATCAATGTCAAAAACAAAGTACAACTGAAATGAAACTTCATGCATGTGCCAAACACACACACACTCAACCATATCAGAAAGTGAAATATATAATCAAATAAAATAGAGGAACCAAAAACCTGCAAAGGGTGTTCCTTGACTTCCTTCCAACACATAATCTGACCAAAAATTCAGAGAACAGGATCATGTGATCAGATGAAATAGCCATTTGAATACATACTTGGCATTTGTCACAGGAACAATTTTCTTACAGGTATGGTCAAAGACAAACACTGTTTATAACATGATTTCATAATCAGAGCTTTCTAACATCAGATCATATGATACACTTATATATGCATTTCACGGTTCTCCCCGTATACATTGGGTCATTGATTTCTAACCCAGCCTCACGCATGAGGATTTTAGCACCCATTTGCATACAAATATGTTACTTGCAGCCTGCATTTGATAGGGTCTCATTTCTGGAATATAAGTAAAATCTCAAGGTTGAATCAAAATAATATCCTTACATCTATGCTACATATTTATATTCAAAGATATTCAACTCTCTTTTACACTAGCATAAAAAAGGTGAATGTTGCCAAACCATACAGAAACCAGAAACAGGAGCCCTGGAAAAAACAAAAATGAAAATAGACTTACGCCACTCAAGGATGTCATTTGGCAGCGGCCGTGCCACCACATTTGAAACTGGTTCCTAATATGAATAAAACAAACAATGGTTAGCATATAAAGACAGAATTTTGGCCATTAATAGCCATTAGGACAAGAACCAGAAATAAAGAACTGACAATGAAGTGATACACAAGCTCATTTTTATTGGGCGAGAAAAAGGGCAAGCCCAGAGTTTTGCAACAATTTTAACATTTGTTGCCAAGATGTTTTTCCTCAGAGCTTTTTAATTGTTTCAAAGTCAATATGAATAGTAAATGGAGTTTAACAGAAAGATAATTTGCTTCAACCTAAAGTTTCAAGAGGTGATAGAGAATTTACCTTACAGAGCGCTCTATACTCCTTTTGGAGGCGCTTAACACATGCTTTTTCAGCCATATTTATGTGTTATATCAACAATCAGAAAAGATAGAGTTTCAGCAGTTATTTATCTTGTGACCACCTCAAACAGGACGTTCCCCTGTCAATTAGAAGTAACTAAAAATTTGCAAAGGAATCTATCCGTGATTTCTAAAAGTAGCCAATAAACACGAAATACTATCATCAACTTTACATTAGTTCCAAGCAGAATATAAATATAATAAATCCACAATGTTGATATACAGCTCTAACTCCTGAGACATGTAATTGCAGGTGTGTCAAATCCTCCAAAGTTAATGATCTGAAGAACAAGAAGAAATAAAACATATAACTAACTAATTTACGCAACATGCACATTTGAGATCCACATACACTACAGCAAGTCGCAGCAACCAAAAAGTATAAGCTTGACCGAAGAGACTTTCATTAGAAACTGGTATGCCATCTTTTGGCTAATTCATGCACCCACTACCTGAAGCAGATTGTTACCAGAAGCAATTGAGTCCAGCCTTCCTGGTTTTCCTTTATTAACAGTAAGTATTAACATGCACACTGATCTATTGTAACTCGTGCACCAGTCACATTCTTCAATTTCTAAAATTCACCACTCTCTATAAACAACTAGTTTCTTGGGCATCCTAATTTTACTATTGCTTCTTGAAACCACTGCTCTAGGGTAGTAATTGTAATGGAAAATGAAATTTGAAATAAGGAAATTTGAACTCAGATTGCCAGGAATATGAAGGGACTTAATGTATGAGTGTTTGAATCCTCAAACTAATTAGGCATACCGAAAACATTTCCTCCAACTACAACTAACTTCACCACTCTTCTTCCCCAAAATTACACTACTGCTTACACCATTACCGATGCTATTTAAAAACGATCGTTTACACAGCACATTCATCTTCTTTCGGAAGTTGACTCGGATTCAAACGTTACAAAAACATTAGAAAAACAAGGCACTTTAACGATATAATACAACGCCAAAGGCAGCCGAATAAAGTGAATTCCAAGATCAAAACCCGAAAAATCGCCCATAATCGCAATTTTACAAATCAACGCATTCGCAAATACCCGAGCGCCCGCAACTGAACAACAGATAGATTTATTAAAAGAGATAAAAGTAATGCATACCGGCAGGGATCGGGAAAGGCAAATCAAATCAAATCAAATCCAAGGAAGTGAACAAGAGTTGTTGGAATATGACAAATCCAGTGCAAATAATCAGGGGAGTTGAACGGTTGAATTAATTGGCATAGGGTTGGGAGGCGTTGAATTTGAGGGCAGGGGGGCAGGGCAGAGCGTTTTGGGGTTGGAGGCGGATTCGGGATTCGGGATTCGCATTCGCATTCGCATTCGCCATTTGTTGGAGTTCAACGCGTTGGCTGTGCCTGTGGGGCGTGGGCCGTCCCGCCCCGTGTGTGTGTGTGTGTTCCTACGAGCAATTCTGAGAAGACAGCTTTAACCCTGCGAAAGTCGACGTGGCAATAGAGAAACAAGGGCAAATACGACATCTTGTTAAATGCTAGCGCTAATAATTTGACTGGGCAAAATTATCAGGTGCGTTTCACAGTGTATGGTAGAAGAAGTAGTAGTAGTAGTAGTAGTATTAGTTAGTAATTTTAAGTTGATTAAATTATGGAAATAGTAAAAATTTTATTAACGAAGATGCATACAGGTTAGCAATGGTGTAGATCCACTGCAACTGCAATTAATTAACATTAGTGTAAAAATGTTGGGTAAAGAGAACCCAAATCCATGGCAGTAAAAATGGGTTCAGTACAGTTAGCCTGACTCAAAGATTGGTAACAAAAATGGCAGGTCCGTCCATATGATGACTGTCAGTCACACGTCACAAAGGGGATGATATTCTTGTTCTTCAAGCTAAAACTCAAGCTTGTGCGTGTCTGACATTAATAGATAAAATACAAAGCAGTAACAATACGACAGGGCTTTGCCAACCCAAATAGATCCATAGCTTGTGATTGCTTGATTACTTTTAATTTAAACACCAAAGTTTTCTTCCCCTAAATCAAAACTTTGCAGATATAATAATGATGACGATCACGTGCCTCCACTGCATGCAGCTGAAATTTTGAACCTGGAAGTTTGCCGGTCCGGTCAAAGAAGCATCACCATCACGTGATCCAACTTGCATAGGATTCCAACAAGATCTTCCAAGCCTACATGTATATATGTATGTATGTATGCATAAATCTCAACTCAACACAAATCATCTTTAAATCTCATCATAATAAGCCTGCCTGTGCTGTTTTACCAAACCAACAATCTCCCAAATCACAAACATATATGCCCGCCTGGTGCCTGTCTGCCTCATCATTCCCTAATAATACACCTCCCCCTTCAATCATGAAGTTCCCTCACCTTACCCTCATCTCCTCTTTCTTTCTCACGCTTGCCATCCTTTTGCATTTTCACATACAGGGAGCACAAGCAGCACGGTTCCTTCAGGCGAAGAAACAAGCTACAACGATCACAGCATCATCATCTACACAGACGCTCCACGGTTTGCATATAAAAGAGAGAAATCCATACAAGAAAGTGAACTCAAGCTTCCGAAGAATACCTCCAAGCAGATCAAATCCTACGCAGAACAAGTAAACTTCTAGTTTCCAAAAGTTCGTGCCATTTTCCTCCATCAGATGTTTCACTCAGATATCATGTTGTCTTACCAGGTCCAAGCCCCCATAGAACCAAAGTGGATAACATTGTTGGCAGAAGAGCCTTTGTATGAGAACTGTGTCTTTTACAAAGTACAGTGTCGCCCTTTTCCATCTTCGAATGTATCCTATATTGCAATATTAACATTTTGTTGTTCAATGCAACTCCTAGCTCAGGCAGGGGAATACAACAGTTTTTGGTTATGTTTGCAAAGGAAATTCCTCCCTCTCTAATTTACGAGCTAAACTAACAACAAAAACAACACAAAAAATAAATAAATAAATAAATGAAAATAAAAAGGAAAAAAGAGGTTTGCTGACTACTCATGTCAGTTGAAATGTGCAGCCTCAACCACAGTTCCTAGCTTTCAACTTCTGGTCGAAAGATTTGATTAGCCATCTCTTCTGCGTTTCCTCTTGTTCTTAATAGATAATCCCTCACCATGAAGATCTTCAGTACCATGAGAATTCTCTGCAATGCCGCCAGACGTCTTTACTTTTTGTTTTTTACTTTTGCCTTTTATGAAAGTATCATCATCTTTGGGAAGGCCACTGCCTCCTGGCACCTGCTTATTTTCTGCTTTTTTGCGTTTAGCAGAACCTTGGTGAGCCAGAAATGGAGCACCAGATTTGTGAGAAAAGCTAGAAGAAAATCCATCGTAAATCTCCTTCCTCATGCCCTTTAGCCCTTCTGCCTGTGATTTGGAATGAGTGCTAGAAAGAAAATTTCCACTTCGAGAAGACTGAGTATCCCTAGGTCCAAAGGCTTCATAGAATTCTTTGTAAGCAGACTCTCTTGTGGTTTGTCTTGATCTCCATTGATCTGGCCGTTTCGCAAATCTATCATTACAAATAATGGTCAGAAGACTATTAGCAGCAAATTCTGTTTTAAAAAATCTTAAACTTGTTCCAGAGAAAAGAAACAAGAATCAACCAGAAGGAAAAAAACAAAACAATAATTTTATATCATTCTTAATGAGTCGAGGAATATAAATTAATGAACAGAAAATAATAACAAATATGAAGCTCTTAAGCAATGATGTATTGATGTGTTGCTTGAAATCAATACCCAGATGAAATATCTGGAGCCCAATAATTGTATAGTTCCCATGGCTCAAGATCCAAGTCAAGGACATTTCTAGTATTTAAATGTATGTCAGCCACTCGTTCTGCTGCTTAAACACAGCTTGTCCACAATCTAAGCTAATATTTTTCATATCACATAAATGCTAGCATCAACTAGAATATGCTAGTGAATGCTAGTGATGGGAAGAGCCATAAGCTAACCAACAATGTAACTGCCCGGATAAATTTAGTTAAGAGTCACATTCGTTCAACCTTTGCATGCCTGGGCAAAGACACAGAGCCTAAAGAGTTCCTAAACTTAAAAGGCACGAGGTCAAATAGAAAAGAGTAACACACAGAAAATTCAATAAAGCAATAACTGTGCTTACCCCTCGGCATCAAGTTTCTTTAGAAGGTAAGGACCCTGCTTGGTCTTGGATAGCTCTGTCTGGAATGGTAATAGTTCTGATACAATTGTCTCTCTCATGGACATATTGCTGGCGTTAAAGCACTTCTCAACAGTAAAAGAACCAGAAGGAAGCACAGATAGCTCTCCAAAATGTCCTTGCAGCCTTCAATACATTGATGCAATAGCACAGACAAATACTTACAGTTATTATCAAGTACGTGACATGTGTCTAATAATAGTAAACTAGAAGATTAATAACCATATACCTATATATGATATATTGTTATGTATAGCCTATGTTATTCTTAGGATCATAGTAGAAGATTTAGTTAGTTGCAAAGTCTTTCTATTGATAGCATATTACAAAAACTGTTGAGCAGCACAGCAATTGCATCAATACTGATCAAGTTGAGTATCATTCTCAACAACACAAATTAAAGCCACTGCAAACTAAAATAGTTGCAATTATAAAACAGGGAGGAGAATAAGGCAGTTTCTCAACGTACTTGATAATTAGCTTGCGCTTTCGCTTAGTTGAAGCATTTGACGTCACAAAAGCCTCAATAACACGTGCACCAGCAGGGTCTTTTGATGCTTCAAGAACCTGATTATCCTCTAATGATGTGATGCTTGTTATATAAGATTGGATAAACTCCTATAATGTAAAAAAAACAGCACTTAATGTCAGCACCTTAAACTCGTAAAAAACGGGATGAAAGCAACACCGATATCTGAAGCATTAAATTTCTAGATTAGACGATGAAACTTACACCAGGGGAAAGGGGGGAAAGGAAAAAGAAGCAACAAGAACTATAAAAAGTTCATAGATGTCTAAATATAATGCAAAAAATGAGAACACATGAACATGCATGTAAGAAATAGATTTCCATTCATAAACCAGGAAAGCCAACCGAATAATATTTCAACTCATACACTGGGAAATCTGAAAACCGTCTGTAGAAGCAGAGAACCAAGAACATGCATTTTGACACCACTTGGCCATTTCCAGTTGGCTTTATCACTGCAGTATAAGTAATTGTCAAGAAATAATATACGAGGAACAATGCATGCAGAGGGCTCGTTGGTCGAACAAACTGCATCAGCAAGGGCTTGACAGCACTGTTAACAAAACAATCAAAAGGTTGGTCAGACATTAAGAAGAAGACTATCTAGTTCACAACAAAAGGAATTTAGAGAAAGCTGAAGTCTGGGTCTACATGCTAAACTTATCACAAGATGGTCAGAGAGAACAAAAATATATTACAAAGAAAACAAATACCTTGCTCTCATTGATCTGGAGCCTTTGGCTTGCTGCTACAAGAGCTGCAACAACCCCAGACCTACCCATTTCCAGCATATCCTTAAATTTAGAATCAAGTTCCTCTAGCATCATCGTTATCTGTATTGAGAAGAATGTTACTAGATAATAATCACAGAACTAAAAGTTGCTGCTGAGACTACCATTAAAATCATGATAACTGAGTAAAGGATTTATGTATATGATTTCTAAGCAAATTTGAAAGGCTTGGTTGACATACATGCTCTTTATTTCTTGCATGAGAAATCAATGCTTGCAGAGCAAAGTTCCCACAGGGATGTGCTGACAACCTAAATAAAGAACTCTTGAAAACTTTAGTGAAGATTTCACTATATAGGGAATCAGGAGCCACTGCCACGATGACCTGCAAAAAGAAAATGCATTTTGAGGGGTGGAACTGTGGAAGTTATAAGTGAAAGTTTGCATAAAAGATGGTAGTGTCCTTTAGAATCAATCTACTATTTCACTTTCCATTATATATTGAAAGCCTACAGTAAAGATGATGTTGCCAAGAAGAATCTAATAGTATGTTCTTTTATCACATTTTCATATATTTCTACCATTCATAAAAAAAATTCCTCCAAAAACATCAAATCAATCATCAATTTTTCATTTTCTATATTATAATAAAAATCAATTTTACATTCAAAAGATCACGTCATATAACTATTTCAATTAAAAAAATTTACTATTCAAATCCCAACAAAAAATCCAAATCTCCAAACAAACACACCCTAACCAAACTTCCCCTTCACAGGAGGAAAAGGATGATACCACACTCCCAACTGTGATTCTTTCAGTAAGGCCTTACATATAAGCTAAGACTAATCATGTTTTACAACATATGAACACACATTTTGACATGGTATTGACCATTGAGTTGGCAATAAAAGGAGAAAAATGAGCCTAGTTGATATCTTCAAAAGGAGGTCATAACTCTTAAGATTTCATTACATTACTTAGTTGCACAGTTATTAGAACTGATTCTTGGGTTCCATTTGTATCTCAATATATTGTGTTAGAGTCGCATGCTGCAAGGTAATGCTTTTGAAAGTAGTTGAATACTAAAAACTGATCCTAAATTTCTAATATTCATTATATAAAATGTATTATTTATCAAATTATAAACCAATCAAACTTAAAAGATATTTTGTTGAAAATTATCACCTCCATTAGATGACTGTAAGCATTTTCTTCCACCAAGCGTAGAATCTTTTTAGCTTTTTTTGCTTCGATAAGGTTCCCTTCTACACCATTGTCCACATCACAGCTGAGGAGAATAGGTATTGTATGGAATAAATCTTGCTCACTTCCAGCAAGTAACTTCAATGCAGTCTGGAAGTAGAAATTTTAATTATGAAAGGTAAGACAAATACAATGAATTACATTAAGACTCTACCCTAAGTGATTGAAAGCCTCCAATAAGACAGATACTGTGGATCTCATTCCACCATAGAAGTGTAGCCAAATTACATAGCAATGCTTATCATTTAATATAACAATAGAGATTAGTATTGAAGTGGTCAACAAAGGTAAATAAACTAGACAGGATAAGCTTACAAATCCACACCGAAAATTAATTTGCTCCAATTAGCAATTCAATGCATTAAAAAGATGGGAACACATACCTGTAGAACCAAACTGCTGAACTGATTTACTTGAAGAACACCTATGTCTACTCTCGAAGGGTTTACCATCTCGGATATCAGATATTTTAATTGATTTGGGAAGGGTTGTGTCTGTTGAGATTTATTACCATCTAATTGAGATGACTGAAAATTCAAGCGTTCTGCCAGCACAGTTGATGATTGCAAGCTATGAAACTCCGGTGAGTCTATTGGGACTCCTTTACAAAGACAAAGAAGTCCCCTGATGACATGTGATCCATAACAATTGCATATCATATCAATAGGATTGACCAAAATTGCCTGGCAAGAAAGAAGATTGCAGAGGAAGAGAGAATATAGTAAATCAATTGCAAATACAACACATTCACGCGGTAAAGTACATTGCGAGAAATATATTTATTCAAAAGGAAATGTGCTGCATTATAAGCAGATCATATGCCTACTAAATATTATAATATAATAAGTCCAAATAACAAGAAGCACGTCCCATGTGGCATTTTAGCAATTTTGGTTAAGATACCAACTGCAATAACTAATGAGAATCGTATCATTAATGATACGCCTGGTACCTGAATTAATGTGGATAGCGTCTCTTCAATGAGAGAGTGGTTGTCATCGTCCTCAAGATGCCTTGCTAGAGACTTCAGGGCAGTTTCAACTACATGAGAACCAGACCTGTCCATACATATGTAGGCCAAATTGTTTCCACAGCTACGCAGAAAAGCACAAAGATTATCTAAAGAACATCCTTCAAGGAGTGTTTGCATAGTATGGCTGATGATATAATCAGTTGCAAGCTCTACTTCTTTCCCTCTCGCTTCTTCCAACGCATTACCACATATGACAGATCGCTCCTCCAGATCCACTTCACTTCCTTCAAGTACATTTGAGATCTCTGTAAAGTACTTGGCAGTGTCTGGGTCAACCTGCTTCCTGCAATCAAAGCAGTTTGAGTAGAAATTTATGTGGAGTACATGCACAATATTGAAAACACCCATTCCCTCACCACCAACAACAAAAAGCAATACCTGATAAACGATGCCTGAGATGCTGAAGCTGTATTTTCTTTTACTGATTTTCGAGATATTTTAGCCGTGCCAGGCACTCCAGCTGATTGAGTTTCGGTTGAAACACCTCCATGAAAGTGGGCATCTTTCTTACTTCCTTTCCTGCCCATTTTCCTTACTTTCATAGCCTGGATATGAGAAGATTTCTCTTCACCAGTCAAGAAGCTTTCCTGTGATAAATGAGTAGATTTATGTTTCCTCAATGGCAATGCTTTCAAACCAATGGCAACCATAGCAGCATGCTCCAAACGGCCCTATACCATGCATAAGACACTTAGTAAATACCCATATGTAAGTTGCAGGAAACTTGTACAGAAAGGAGGAAATCAAGCCTCTTTTAATTCTCTTTTGACTCAAAACATTCAAGAAACTAAATCCAAACCTTGGAAAGCTGAATGCAATCTAATAAGAAGATTAAAAAAAAAAAAAAAACTTAAGCTTTCCACTAAGATAATAGAAACAAAATAACCAAAGTCGATGGCAATTCAGCTACGGAAACGCATGGAGAAGCAAAGGAACATGTAAGGAGCATACAACGATTATGCAAATTCTAGCGAAAATAGGTAAAAAGACATGTGCTTGAATAGCACAAAGTATGAAAATCATAGAGCACGGACCGCAATGAGAGAGCGACGTAAAGTTTGGAAGAGGCGGTGGGCGGTGGACGGTGGACAAGCAGTCGGCTGGCCTGGCAGTGGCTCCTCCTCCTCGATCATTCATGCCCTTATTAGTGGTGTTGTTGTTTTGGTTGGGCCAGCCACTGTGGAAAGCCCATTAAGAAAGAGAGCCCAAATTCTTTTTAAGTGCAACATTATTAATTTATCCTCATGATGGATATATATATATATATATATATATTGTCCATCAAATTAGAAATGTTAAGTAATATACTAGTCCATATTGGAAACAGTTAAGTAAAGAAGAAAAAAGCAACACGTTTGAAAGACAAGTAGCTAGCTAGTCAAAGTATATATGCAAACATATTAACTATGGATTTGATTAGAGTGAACCACTGCCAGCCAGTCCAGTGGACAGTGGTGTACCATCATGTCCAATACCGCACTACTAGTTTATTTGACAATGATTTGTTTGTTATGAAATCCGATTCAAGGAAATAAATAAATTATTAATAATTAGAAACAAAGAATATCTGTCTGTTATGTTAGCTAGCTAGCTGCTACCCACCCCCTCCCCCCGAATAAGCCATTAATTGAGGAGACAATAATATATGTATATATATATATATTTGATTTTATCCTTTAATCTTTCGCACAATTGGTCTGCACTCCATACGGGTAGGGTAATGTTTAATTATAATTCAGTCTCTATTTTAAAATAATTGGTCTGCACTCCTTCATTTACATATTTAGTTTAATATTAGTCCCTATTTTAGTTTTTCTTTAGTAAAAATTGAATGTACCTCTAAAGTATTTTTAAATGCTTTCAAATTTATTTTATATACTTACCACATATTATGTTTAAATTTGTCCACGTAGCTCCGAATCTCCGGTTTAATAGTTTTCGAACCTTTTGTTACGGTTTATATATTTGTCAAAGTGCAAACTACTTGTTCAAACCGCCGGTTTACGGCTTCAACCGGCGGTTCGGCCATTATTTTTTTAAAAAATTTTAAACATGCACGCCGGCTGCGATTGTGGATTATAGAATGTTATGAGCGGGCGGCGACCGTGAAGAAGAAGCATGAGGCAAGAAGAAAAAAAAAATGAAAAAAAGAAAATACAAAAAAAAAAAAAAAAAAAAAAAAACGAACCCTTGTAACTATAGCTACGGTGGAATGTGGAGAGTGGATGTTCAGAGCTAAAATTGTATATTATATACTTGTAATTAAAATTACTATATATAATTAAATTATTATAAAAATAAAGATAATATTAATATTAATAAAAATAAATAATTATTAATTATATAATAATAATATACATTATTTTGTTTATTTATATTTTAGATTTTGTATTTCTTATCATACAATTATATTTAATTTAAACTATCTAATACACATTAATTTCTTAAAATTTAATTTTGTTTATTTTAATTTAAAATTTAATTTGATTTAATTACTTAGTAAATTTATTATTTTAATTACTTTTATGTTGTACAACCTTAGCAATTATTATTTATATGATTTTATATAATAAATAAATAATAAAAATATCGGAATGAAATTAAAATCGAAAATAATATTTTTGAATAAATTTTTAAATTTAGAAAAACTTAAAAAAGGAAAAAAGATATTAAAAATGAATGTACATAAATCGGCGGTTCAAACCGTAACCGTCAGTTTTTTAAACCGCAATCGAAACCGTCATTCAGAATGTTCGGTTTTGGTTTGACATTTTGATAAACCGTACTGACGGTTTGAACTGTTTTGGTGTACCTGATATAACCAGGTTGGAGGTACAACATAGCTGCTCTAGAATACTCACCTGCTTAGCCGAGTCATACCTTATGCTTATATGTCATTGACCAAAAATTGTTGTGTGCGCTACAGTGTGAATTAATATGTAATAGATCTAAATATTTTCAATTTGTGATAGCAATCATGTACTCTAACAACCAATATAATTCAATTTAGTCACTTATGACTTTATTAGACATCTACTAGTTGAGGTTGGACTATAAATGTACATATATCATACAACCTATCCAAGTCATTTTTTACTTGGTTAACCATTCATAATAAATATGTGTTGTTAACCTTTTCTGACAATTTGAGGTGTCACAGGAAGACTATGATAATGAACGCATCCTTAGTTACCGTCAACAAATGAATATTTTGAACAAAAAATTATTGTTCTCCAACCACATGTTATTGGAGCATATATGCTCTTTATTGAAGCATATGAGACTATTATTATAAGTAGTTAAGATCTGACCTAAGGTATATCGATATTTTATGTAGGTACATAAGAATGTGATATGGGTACAAACACCTACATGCGAGGTATAAATAATGGTTTCGTAGATATTATTTGGGTATTATCAGGTATCTTCAAGTGTAATTAATTTCAGTCATTTTTATGGAGAGGGTCAATTTGCATACTTGGTGAGAACACTTCCTCTCTCAGCCTTGGTGAACTAAATGTTGTTGTGTGTTACATTGTGGATTACTACGCAATATGTTTAAAAAATAATCAATTTGTGAGAGTAGTGATGCATGAGTAACAACCAACAAACTTAACAACGTCACTTCTTACTTATTTTGCCATCTATAGTAAACATGTGTTCTTTTCTTTGCTTACATATCAGGGAGTCGTGAGAACACAATAATGATAAATTTATCTCTGATTACTAAGAGCAATTGAATATGTTGAACCAAACACGATCTATTTTTCCAACCATATATAACAAGAGCATATATACGCGTTAACGGAGTATATGACTTTATATCGGAAGTACATAACAATTACACTAGGGTATATCTTTAGTGCATATATGCAACAATATCCTCGAAGTACAAACACCGGTAGTCAATGTATAATTGGTGGTTAATTAAATATTATATATATAGCTGTAGTTATTTTAAAATGAAGATGATATTAATCAATTTCCCAACGAATAAGACAATTAAAGCACTCCGTGGGACCACTACCTCTGTCTGTGAGGTATATGGTATATGCATAAATGTTTATAATGTGTATTTAAATAATTTATTTTTTATATATTTACTTTTTAAGTGTATTATTATAATTAGAATTGTTGAATAAGAAAAAAAAATGACTATATCTCTTTTTATTAGTTCTTTTAAAAAATTAATTTATTTATTTTTAATAAAATTATATTTATATTTATTTTATTTTCACGTTTTAGAATAAAAAAATAAAAATATTAATAAAGATTAAAAAAAAATTATACAAAATTGTAACATGTATATTTAATATAAATATTTGATAGGAAAAATTATTTAATTTTATTTTCTTGTAAATTTTATTTTCTATAGAATAAGGATTTGTTTGTTTTTTGAAAAAATTTCAACATATTTTTCTACAAAAATTAATATATTTACGCACATTCATGATGTTTATATTATCTATATATTTGTTTATATTTCACATAAAAAAGAAAATTCCTTCAAATCAAAACACAAAACAAACGAAACCCTAACCTTTATGCATAGTAAGTATTTAAAATATATAAAATATTATAAATAAATTTTATCACTAGTATTAATATTTAAAAACAAATTATCTTATATATAGGATTTTAAATATTTGATAGAATAATTATACATATAGATAGATAGATATTTATTGTGCTAATATTATATTGAATCATATGATAAAGTTTATATTATGTATAATATTTTTATAATATTTACGTAATATTTTATACTTCTTCCGTCCCAAAAGAGTTGTCTTATTTTTCTATTTTCGTCCATCCCAAAACAATTGTCTTATTTTCTTTATTTAGTAACTGGGTCTCCACTTTATAACAAAATGATTTCTACTTTTCCAAACTATCCCTAATTATTACTCTAACCTACTTTTAAAATCCTTAGAAAAGCAAGTCTTTTACATTTTACTTTATACCCCACTTTCAATTAAATACTATTATTTCTTAATTCTCGTATCAACACCCAATAAGACATCTCTTTTGGGACGGAGGGAGTATTATATTAAATATAATTATGAATTTTGTACAAAAATAATATAAATTATTAATATTAAATTTTTTTCATTTTATAGGTAGAATTAAAAGAGTAAGTAAACTAATATTGATAAAATGATATATATAATCATTGTTGTATTTAAAATCTATATATTTAATTTTCAATTGCAATTTTTTTTAATATAAATTTGTAACTTCTATTGATCAAATGAATATATATATACACATATATACATATCATGATTTTATTAAAATTCTACGTACCAATTTTGGATTGTATTTCAATAAATTAGTCACATTGTAATTTTTACATTATGTATATTTTATTTTACAATTAGATTCCGATAATACAATAACGTTAGTACAAATTTAGAAATCTCAATGAATATTAATAAATTTGAGGGGAAATAAGAGCGATCGATTGCATGAAGGAGGAAATATTTCAATATATTGTGGTATATGAACGAGAATGATGGGTATAAGATTTTCTTTGAATATGAGAAGTATGTAGTTGTTTTTTTTTTGTTTCATCCCATAATAAAACGTAATTATAATTATTTATTATTATTATTATTATTATTATTTTTAAATACACATACAAAAGTACACAAAACATAAATAAAGGTATATCAGTAGAACAATTTAGGTAAAGCGAAACATACTATAGGTAGAACGGAATGTGCTATAAATATATAAAAAAAATATTAAAAGTATTTAAATATATTTTAAGGTACATTGTATTTATATTATACTATTTAATAAAAAAAATAAAAAAATAAATAAAAAATTTAAATCAATACTAAAAAAAAGAGAGTACATATCAACTTTTTAATAATAGAGACTGAATGTAAATTCTACACTAATACAGAGTGCAGTTCAGATCCCCCTTGATCTTTTACAGAGGAAAGAAAAGAATATATCCCCAACCAACCAACCATCGTGTGATTGTGAAGCAATAACATAAAGTCAGCCAGTCAACACGGCCCACATCATATCATATAATTATTATTGTAAAAGTGGAGATGATTGGCCCCTTCCCTCCCTCCCTCTGCCACCTTTTCTTTTCTTTTCTCTTCCTTACTTTACACCTATGCAATGCAATATTTTATTATTATTATTATAAACAAGCTAAGGCAAGGCGTTGGAATCAAATTCCACGAGGTTCCAACTCTCCTTATTATTTTGCACCTTAATTAATTCAAAGAATTAATGTCGTAAAAATTTCATCAGTTCACCTCAGATGCCCTCAAGGCTCAAGCTAAAATAAAAAGGATGTTCAGATAAAATTATTGAAAACCAAACAAACGGATTTTAAGGATATTTACTCATGTTTTTCTTTTTACTTAAAAATTACAATTTATTTTTTCTTTATGATAAAAAAATAAATTTATTTTTGCTTATTTTTCTTAAAATTCATATCCGATCAAATAGACATGGAGGTAATATTGGTCTCCTTCTCTTTCATCTTCCTCTGCGGCCACATTCTAATTATTATTATTATTATTTATTATAATTCCAACTGGCTCAAAAAAAGTTGAATAATCAATCATGCCCACGTCCTTTTCCCTACGCTGGCTTAATAATAATAATAATAATAGTCTTGAACATCTCAAAATTATATATATGTATGTATATAGTGAACAGTAACGGTTCCCTTAATTAGGTAATTTAATTTGGTGTCCTCATCCTCATGATAATTGTGCAACTTGGTCTAAAACAAATATTAATTGTGCCATGCAGCTAGTGATTAATGATGGATATGGATGGTTCCTAGAAACAGCGTAGATTGTATGCTGATATTTAATCATTACCGGTAATTCTTAAAATATATTTTAATTTACTTAATTGTCCTTAATTAATAAACGTCTAAATCAGCATATATATATATATATATGATCTGTGGTCTTCGTAGAAAAGCTAAAGCTAAAGCTGCTGCTGCAGCTCTTTTTGATTAGTATTTAAAATCCAATAAACACTTGATCGATCAGTCCTTGTTGCTGTATAAATTAATTAATATTATAATATTAATTACGAGCAATCAACTATATTTAATTAAACAAGTACAACTAACGTATGTTATGTTATGTAGCTATATATAATATGAATTCACGTATTGCTAATGCTAATGCTAATGCTGGAATACAACTGCTTTAATTTAAATCAATTAATTATCTGTACACCAATATATATATATATATTTATGAATTATGATCGAGTTGCATCATATCATATCATATCATATCATATCATGGCTCCAACTAGTCATCCTCCAATCATAATAATACTAGTATTTATTATACATGCAACAGCAGCAGCAGCAGCACCTAAATGTCAAAAAGGTTATGTGCGCGAAATTAATTGTACATACATCTAAATGTAATTGTAATTAATCAGCATAAATTTATTCGTACATCTAAACTACTCCTATAAAATACTATATAATTATTGCATTAATTATTATTTTGCTAATATTAGGTGGACACCCTAAAAACAAAAGGCTACTGTTCTTTCTTTTGTGTTGTATTCCTTCCATACCATTTTTTTATATAAAAAATACCAAGTACAAAAAGTCAAATTAGACAAAGTAAATAAAATAAAATAATAAAATCCATTACCAAACGTGGTGTATGTTAATTTACTTGTATAAATCAGCACTCAGCTCATATCTGTTGCTTGCCAATTCTCCACTTCCCTCCCATCCATCCTTTAATCATGTCCCCTGTTAAGGAATCCCTCGCCGGAATCCTGAATTCCAGGAGGAAACTCTTCCTGCCCGTTTTCGCCTCACTCCTCCTCATTGCCGCCATAGTCGGAATCGTCGCCGGAGTTAAGTCGTCCAATAGGAATAACTCCGGCAACGATCATAGCTCCGCCATGAAAATCACGACCTCCCACGCCATCGCCCGATCTTCGTGCAGCAACACGTTGTACCCCGAACTCTGCTATTCCGCCATTGCTGATTCCCTCAGCGACGGAAAGCAAGTGAAATCGGCCAAGGATGTAATCATTCTGTCGCTAAATGTAACTATTTCGGCGGAGCAGCGGAACATGGCTGCCCTTCAGAAGCTGCTCGACTCCGGGGCGAAAAACTTGACGAAGCGGGAGAAGACGGCCTTGGGCGACTGCTTGGAGATGATTGACCGGACGCTGGACGAGCTCCACACCGCCGTTAAGGACCTGGAGGAGTACCCCAACAAGAAGTCCATCGAGGACCACGCCGACGACCTCAAAACCCTACTCTCCTCCGCCATTACCAACCAGGTGAGGTGAAGTAATTAAATCGCCAATTTCATCTACACATAACATATATAATCATCGAAATCGAAGCACTAGTGTGCTCAATTAATTGATTTGACAATACAATCAGGAGACGTGTCTGGACGGCTTCTCCCACGACAAAACGGACAAGCATGTCCGACAAGTGCTGGTCGGAGGTCAGGTTCTGAGGGTGGAGAAGCTCTGCAGCAACTCACTCGCAATGCTTACCAACATGACCGACACCGACATCGAGCGCGAGCGGAAGTCGTACGGCGCCGGCAGAAAGCTGCAGGTGGCCGATCATGACAGCCAGGGGGCGGGGGGCTGGCCGAAGTGGCTGTCGGCCGGGGACAGGAGGCTGCTGCAGTCACCGTCGGTGACGGCGGACGTGACGGTTGCGGCAGACGGGAGCGGGAACTACAGGACGGTGTCGGAGGCGGTGGAGAAAGCGCCGCAGAACAGCGGGAGGCGGTATGTGATCAGGATTAAAGCCGGAGTGTACAGAGAGAATGTGGAGGTGCCGAAGAAGAAGACCAATATAATGTTCGTGGGAGATGGGAGGAGCAACACTATCATCACCGGCAGCCGGAATGTCCGTGACGGCAGCACCACCTTCAACTCTGCTACAGTGGGTGAGTTGCACTTGATAATTCTTTCTACTTGTTCATTCTTCCAAGTTACATGATATTCTCGCATTTTTGGAGCAAGACATTTTCTTCATCTGAGATCCTATACTAATCTAGCTAGCTAGCAATTCCATTGACTATATTGGTAGATAAGTCCCATAAGCTAGCTAGCTACGACAATGATGCTTCATTGTTGACAAAAATATAGTACAACCTGCATGCATTATAGTGGAGTAGTTAGCATATATTCCCCCTCCCTTCCCGTGTGGGAAAGTGTTTAGCAATCACTACGCACTAGCCAACTTGAGTTTAGATAATTTGAGGAAAAGCTCCATTACGATAGATTCGATTCGATGGATGCATCTTGATTTTTTACCGTTTCCTTTCCTCGACGAATAGTAATGCCAGAGCCAGACCACCGCTGTCATCCACCTGATATGATGATGATAGCTGCGTGTTATACTATATACTATTTATTTTAGTTATATTTGGATATTATTTTATGCGGATCGAATTTCCTTAATTTTAGGATTAGAATTTCTATTCAATCACAATAAAGACTGACAACGACATTCTTCCCCACCGACAATCCTGACCGAAACATAAGTATTTAATTTATTACTTAATTTGGGTGATTTACAAGTACATACATGATACATATGCATCGTTAATTAGGTACCGCAACTTTCGGCGGATCCAGCTAACTTTAATTTGTGTGTGGTTGTGGTGGGGGCAGCGGTGGTCGGGGCAGGTTTCCTTGCCCGGGACATCACTTTCCAGAACACCGCCGGAGCGGCGAAGCACCAGGCGGTGGCCCTCCGCGTGGGGTCCGACCTGTCGGCCTTCTACCGGTGCGACATGCTGGCCTACCAGGACACCCTCTACGTCCACTCCAACCGCAACTACTTCGTCCAGTGCCTCGTCGCCGGCACCGTCGACTTCATCTTCGGCAATGCCGCCGCCGTGTTCCAGGACTGCGACATCCACGCCCGCCGCCCCAACTCCGGGCAGCGGAACATGGTGACCGCCCAGGGGCGCACCGACCCCAACCAGAACACCGGGATCGTGCTCCAGAAGTGCCGGATCGGGGCGACGTCGGACCTGAGGCCCGTGCAGAGGAGTTTCCCGACGTTCCTGGGGAGGCCCTGGAAGGAGTACTCCCGGACGGTGGTGATGCAGTCGTCCATCACCGACGTGATCGACCCCGCCGGGTGGCACGAGTGGAGCGGCACCTTCGCCCTCAACACCCTGTTCTACGGGGAGTACCAGAACACGGGGGCCGGGGCGGCGACGTCGCGGAGGGTGACGTGGAGAGGGTTCAAGGTGATCACGAGCGCCACGGAGGCCCAGAGGTACACGGCGGGGACGTTTATCGCCGGTGGCAGCTGGCTGAGGGCCACGGGCTTTCCATTCTCGCTGGGTCTCTGATCTGATCTGGTCTGATCTTGATGGATCGGATCGAGCTCCCTCCCTCCCAAGTTGTTGATAATATACTAGTAATAGATATAATTACATTACAATGCTGCCTGCCTGCCAGCCAGCCATTGATTCTCATTATTGATTGATATGTAGTAATAGTAGAGTAGTAGTATGTTGTGATTTTATCTTGTTAATTAATTGCTGCAAATAAGGAGTGGATGTGTGCTGGATTTGATGAGAGTATCATCGATCGGATCGTGTATTGTTAGATAAATAAATAAAGATTGTCATTGTTGTTGTAGTAGTAGGATTGTACGATAAAAACGCGGTGAAGTCGGTCTAGTGTGTGATTCACAGGTGGAGTAAAGAGAGAAGTTTGTAGATAGGAAAGGAAGAGATAGATACATGTCTGGGCCTTCGGGGAGGGGAAGGGAAGGGAAGGGCTACTACTACGAGTATGCATATGTACCAGTGTAGTGTAGAATGAACGAACGAACGAATGAATGCGCCAAGTCAATTGATCAAAAGGCATTTATTACTTTTTTGGGTTTGTTTAATATATAATCCTATGTTATAGTGTAGTGTGAACTGTAAAATCACATTTCACATGACATGATGATCCAGCAATTAGTCCCTTCATTCCTTGCACAATCGACGGCGTAATCTGTGGTGCCACTCACTACAACATACCCCATCAATTCACAGATCAGATCTAGATCCACAGACACGACAGAAATCACAAGTAGGAACGGGCAGAGCAGAGCAGCCCTGTTCCTGTCCCTGTCCCTGTCCCTGTCCCTCTCATCTCACGCCCTCCGTCATCATCATCATTGCCCCTCTCATAATTCACCTCCCCGCTCCGCTCTCCAGTTAAAACGCCTATTCATCAGCAGCAGTAGCCTGCCTGCCTGCCTGCCTGCCTTCCTTCCTTCCATATGTGTAGTAAACACAGTTAAGTAATTAATTCAATTCATCATCAGAGCATCAGATGCCCAATCAAACAAACTACCGCCAACCGCCTACTTCCAATTCCATCTAACCAAGTCAACTCAACTCAACTCTCCCCCCTCCACCATTCCCATCCTCACCTCCTCATACCATCATCAAGATATATATACAACACACACACCACCATCCATCAATTACCTGACCAGAACCTCCCAATGGATACAATCAACTCCTTCAAGGGCTACGGCAAAGTGGACCAGGTCGAACAAGCTGCCTTCAGAAGAAAAACCCGCAACCGCATCCTCATCCTCACCGCCTCCCTCCTCATCCTCGCCATCCTCATCGTCGTCGGAGCTGTCGTCGGAGTTTCACTCCACAAAAACAAAAAGAACAAGGCCCCATCTGTTCCAGCTTCCCTTAAGGCCATCTGCAACCTCACCCAGTACCCCGATTCCTGCTTCAACACCTTGCACTCTTCCAATTCCTCCGACCCCAAACTCATCTTCAAGTTTTCCCTCTCTGTGGCCATGGCCGCTCTCCATGACGTCTCCACTCATTTCCCCGACAACTACATCAACAAAACCGATAGCCCCTTAATCCAAGAAGCGCTCAGAATCTGCGGCACGGTGCTGAGCGACGCCGCCGAATCCCTCACCGACTGCATTTCCGCCATTGATGATGGCGACAAGCTTCAAGTCAGCGACTTGAGGACGTGGCTGAGCACCGTTATCACAGACCAGGAAACGTGTTTCGATGCGCTGGACGAGGTAAACGCCGATTTTGTTGACGAAATCAAGCTTCTGATGAACAATTCCACGGAGCTCGCCAGCAATAGTTTGGCCATCGTTTCGAAGGTTCTCGGATTCTTAGACAAGTTCAAAATTCCGATCCACCGGCGCCTCCTGGAAGCCACGGAACCCGCCGGCTTTCCGTCGTGGATTTCAGCTGGGGATCGGAGGCTCCTCCAGGCAAGCAATCCGAGGCCGGATGTCACGGTGGCGAAGGACGGTAGCGGGACTGTTAGGACTCTGAAAGAGGCGGTGGCGAAGATCCCCAAGAAGAGTAAAACGCGTTTCGTGATTTATGTGAAGGCGGGCACGTACGTCGAAAATGTAGTCTTGGACAAGTCTCACTGGAATGTCATGATTTACGGCGACGGCAGCACCCGCACCATTGTTTCCGGCAGCAAGAATTTCGTCGACGGCACTCCGACCTTCTCAACCGCCACATTCGGTAGCGAAGATTTTTCAAAAAAGTCATAGTTCTTTTTAAGTACTAATTAATTAATTTGATTAATCTCTTCTGAATTCTGATCCTCACCAGCTGCCGTCGGAAAAGGATTCATCGCCAGAGACATCGGATTCAAAAACACCGCCGGAGCAGCAAAGCATCAGGCGGTGGCCTTCCGATCGGGATCCGACCAATCCGTCTTCTTCAGATGCTCATTCGATGCATTTCAAGACACTCTCTACGCTCACTCCAACCGTCAATTCTACCGTGATTGCAACATTGCCGGCACAATCGACTTCATATTTGGCAACGCCGCCGTGGTGTTCCAAAAATGCGTCATCTCCCCCCGACAGCCGCTGCCCAATCAATTTGTGACCATCACTGCGCAGGGGAAGAAAGATCCGAATCAGAACACGGGCATTTCCATTCAGAGGTGCACGATGAGTCCACTGGACAGGCTGACGGCCCCAACCTACTTAGGTAGGCCGTGGAAAGATTTCTCCACCACTGTAATAATGCAAACAGAGATTGGGGGATTCTTGGACCCTGGGGGGTGGATTTCGTGGGTTAAGAACGTGGATCCACCGAGGTCAATATTTTACGCGGAGTACCAAAATACTGGGCCTGGATCAAGCATCGGCAATAGGGTGAAGTGGCAGGGGTATAAACCCAGTCTGACCGCAGCCCAGGCCTCGAAGTACAACGTACAGACATTCATTCAAGGCCCGTCATGGTTGCCAGCTCAGATGGTGACATTTGACTCAACCTAGCCTAAGCCTAAGTAGCATGATTGATTTTTGCACGTCCAAGTCCAACATCTTGCATCTATTGTACTGTATTCTTGAACTTGTACACTTTTTTTGGTTCGTCCGAATTCCATCATCAGTAACAGTATCAATATACATGTCTATGTGTATGTATTTATGTATTAATTGCCGGTCTTTCTTGTGAGCCTCCTCGGAACCATTTCGGGTAATGAACGGTATAGATCTGCCGAGAATGTCATGCCCATTTTAGAAAAATGATGTTGTACTTGGCGCTGTGACGTCTTGACAGTAAGTCAAACATACATATCATCGATTCTATTCCACTCTATCTATCGTAGATCTCAATCCCTTTTCGCCTTTTGCTCCTCCCTCCCCTTCCGTATCTGCCATCGCTCCCTTCCGTCACTGCTGCATTCATTTCTTCCTGCCAAGCCTGCTTTGATCCAGAAGAGGAATATTCTCAAGAAAACCATCCCCGTATACACATCTCCCACCAATCGACGCACTCGCACGCGAAACAATGCGGAAGTTTGTTGCGGAAAATTCCAGAAGAGTTTTAGCCCGCAGTAAATATTTGGCTGCCGTGTCGCAGCGTCCCACCGCCTCATATTCGCACTCTCCCTGTTCTCAGAAATCTCCGCCCCATTATTCTCCTGTCTCGCTTTTGCGGTTCTTGAGCACAATCACTACTCCTGCTGATCGTTCTTCTACGGAGACTATGGCTTCCGACTACTCTTCTACTCCTGTCCAGATTGATACCATCAATCCTAAGGTTGTTTGATGCTCCCACGGCACTTTTTGTTTTTAATCATGATTTGTATCGGTAGGTTTTGGGTTTCTTTTGGTGAATTGGCAGGTCTTGAACATCCTATCTGAATCTTGTTTATAGTGACTTTATTGTTTGATGCTCCAATTGTAATATGCTCCCTTTTTTTTTGTTTTTTTTTTTCCTTTTCAAAGCTTGTTTTTTTACTATTCTTTTCTTGGGTTATGTTTCTGCGAGGCAATGGGGCAGTGTAAGATGGTGGAAGCTTGACATTCTAGTTTTGATGATCGTCCTAATAGAATATGCCATCTTTTATACATTACTGGCTCCAGATTTCTTTTATCCTTTGCGATGCATGCTTCAACTGTTTGTCATGTATGATTGTTTCTGTTGACAGTGCATTTTTTTTACACCAATTATATGGGTAGTTCATGTATATAGATTTTAATTCAACTGCACCTCTCCAAATTCCTTTAATTACCAAGAGAATTTGTTAGTTGTTTATAGAATATTAGAATCTATTATCCATGTATAGAAATAAAGTTACACTCCATGGGAATACTTTATTCTTATCTCACTCCCAAGATGTATAGAAATTTGCTTTGGTGGTATGCTTCACTTTTTTGCTTAGATAACTCCTTTGGAAGGATGTTGATGGGAAGTTTTATAATGATAATTGAATTTCCTTTCCAGGTTTTGGAGTGTGAATATGCTGTCCGTGGTGAAATTGTTACCCTCGCTCAGGTGTTTGATTGTGCATGTTCTAGTTGCATTGTTACATATATGTCATTGTGGGTTATCGTCTAACCTTTTCTATTCCACAGAAATTACAGGAAGAATTGAAAAACGACCCTGGTTCTCATCCTTTTGATGAGGTATTGTACCCTTACAAGTATTGAAGAGTTCCAATTTGTTATCTCAAAGCCGAAAGAACTAATTGATTTGTTGTTGTAGTGTGCATTTTGAACTTGTGCTGTACTAGGGGCTTGTTGCTCTTGAAAAGCTTTTTGTTTAGAATCTTAACTATGCTTCAAATACTACTAGGATCATTTATTTTATTTTCTTGAGATAGTTTTGTTATGTTTTTGTAGAATTTGGCTGCTCATATGAGAATTTTAGTTTAGTTCTAATGGCTCCTTGATCCTGTAGATCTTGTACTGCAATATCGGAAATCCTCAATCTCTTGGACAGCAGCCAATCACCTTTTTCAGAGAGGTAAGAGTAATGCATTTAGGCAATCAGATATTTATATATTTTTTATGTAAAATTTCTTCCAGTTCTCTTGACAGCTTCAGCTCTAATTTCAGGTTCTTGCTTTGTGTGACCATCCTGCTATTTTGGATAAAGCTGAAACACAGGGTTTATTTAGGTAAAGTCGGCAAATTCCTTTGCCTAATGTGTGTATTGTATGAGTGGATTTGGGAATGTCATAGAAACGAGGGATGTGTACCAGTACGTGCTGATTGTTATGTAGATTGATTATATCAATACAATTAGATTTTGAGCCGTAATGAAGGTTTTCAATCTTTGTTTTTAAGTTTCAGAAATACAGTGGGGATAATGTCTAAAGTATTCAAACCGAAAAAGAGTAGCAACAGAAACTTAATCAATTTTCTGTTTCTGGATATGCTTTACTATTGATTAGAAATTTTTTTGGGTAATGCTAGTGCGGATTCCATAGAACGGGCCTTTCAGATACTAGATCAAATTCCTGGAAGAGCAACTGGTGCCTACAGTCACAGTCAGGTAACAATGAGCATTCTTTTAACCACCTTTGTGAGAGGACCGTGAAGTGATTTAAGTTGGAACTTTGTGAGAGAACATTCCTTTTATTCGATGAAACCAGGGTATCAAGGGACTGCGGGATACAATTGCTGCTGGTATTGAAGCTCGTGATGGATTCCCAGCTGATCCTAATGATATTTTCTTGACAGATGGTGCAAGCCCTGCTGTATGTTTAGGCTGCCTTAATACCATACATTTAGTTTTTCTTGATGAAAACTACCGCAACAACTTTCACAGCTGTTGGAAGTCACATTTCCATTCCATTTCAGGTTCATATGATGATGCAGCTGTTGATACGCTCCAAGAAGGATGGCATTCTTTGCCCCATTCCACAATACCCTCTTTATTCTGCTTCCATCGCCCTCCATGGCGGCACTCTTGTATGTTTCCATCTAGATTTCACATGAGAAAACTTCTCATTCAAATTTGAATTTGGTAAGATCCATCTGTTCCAAACTTCACATTTGTTGTTTTCAGGTCCCTTATTATCTTGATGAAGCAACCGGATGGGGAATGGAGATCTCAGAGCTAAAAAGTCAATTGGAAACTGCTAGGTCGAAGGGTATTGACGTCAGGGCCTTGGTGGTCATTAATCCTGGCAATCCAACAGGCCAGGTAACTTTGTGTTGATTTTCAACTGAGATTATTGGTCTTTCAGGACTTACTTACCCTTCATATTTGAGCATTAACTTTTCTTCGAAAGGTTCTGGCAGAGGACAACCAGAGACAAATTGTCGACTTCTGCAAGAAGGAGGGTCTTGTTCTTTTGGCAGATGAGGTGATTCAATTCTCAAGCCCCAGTTCTACAATGACGACTTCTTTAATCACGAAGTCAGAAGTGATTTTCTTTGTTCATGTCACTTCAGGTGTACCAGGAAAATGTTTATGTCCCGGACAAGAAGTTCCACTCTTTTAAGAAAGTTGCCCGGTCATTGGGATATGGGGAGAAAGATATTTCCCTAGTATCTTTCCAGTCTGTTTCGAAAGGTAGATTTCTGGTTCTGGTTCTGATGCTTGTGGTTGTTGTGGAAGGGATTCATTCTTTTGTTCTTAAGTATTGAATTCTCCCTTTGTTTCGGGTCTCCCCCAGGGTATTATGGGGAATGCGGCAAACGAGGAGGCTACATGGAAATCACGGGGTTCAGTCCAGAGATAAGGGAGCAAATATATAAAGTAGCATCAGTGAACCTTTGTTCTAACATATCTGGTCAGATTCTTGCAAGCCTTGTTATGAATCCACCAAAGGTAGGTGCTGCTGCTGGTGTGTGTTTACAATTCTAATTTTCTTTTAGCACAAGAATTTGGAAACAGTAATTCAGACAGCTGATATTGTCGATATGTTGTTATTGTCAGGTGGGAGATGAATCATATGAGTCTTACTCCGCAGAGAAAGATGGTATCTTGTCATCCTTAGAACGGCGTGCAAAGGTTGGCCTTTTAGTTTATTGATCTATTCTATTCTACTGTATTGTATTGAAAGCTGAGCTGCGCTTGGATCTTAGAAACTGGAAGAGGCATTCAACAGCCTAGAAGGGGTAACCTGCAATCGAGCAGAAGGTGCAATGTATCTGTTTCCTAGGATTCACTTGCCAAAGAAAGCGGTGGAAGCTGCTGGCAAGGCAAACACAGCACCGGATGCATTTTATGCTCGGCGTCTCCTCAACGCCACAGGAATAGTGGTGGTTCCTGGTTCTGGATTTGGACAGGTAAATAAATGATGAATGAATAATTGTCCGTTAAGAATTGCAAGGATGGATGGATGAATGAATGAGAAGAGTATTGAGATGATTACTGAATGTTTTGTTGTTAAATTTGTGGATGTTTCAGGTTCCGGGGACATGGCATTTCAGATGCACAATATTACCACAAGAGGACAGGATACCGGCCATCATTTCTCGCCTCGCCGAGTTTCACAAGGGATTCATGGATGAGTTCCGCAGCACCGGGTGATTGATTGATTGATTCTGAGCGAGGGATGGGATGGCTAAATAGATAGAGATATATTAGATAGAACCACAGCTGTTCTATGTTCTGCTCTGTTGGAGACACAGACAGATGGCTAAGAATAACAAAACAAAAGGGTCATTTTGAAATGAATCATCCTTTGATAATGTGAATTTGGCTGCATGGATTGAATTTGGATTATCTCTCCCAGTTAAATTAAGAAATAAAAATGTTGTGTCGTTGAGAGGAAACTCTAATATACTTGGTGTGTGTTCCTGTGGTCGTGCTACTGCTGTTTGCCAAGCTTCGTTAGGATACCGTCCGTGTATTATTGGGTGGGCCGAAGCCCGTTATTCTAACATGCAGAGGCCCGTGTTTATTTAATGTGTATATAAAGGCAGGCAGGCCCAATGTATTTATTTATATTCTAAAACTTAAACCCCCAACAAATACCAATTTCAAGGAGAAAGCTTTCAAAACCCTAAAGGCCGGCTAGCCGATTTGATGAACGATGGGCATGGATTCCTCCAGTGAGAAGAAGAAGAAGAAGAAGAAACAGAATCATACGATGGACCAGAACAACTCCACCCGGAATAAGAAGAAGAAGAAGAACAACAATATCGGCAAGGGGAAAGAGGAGGATCAACCAAAATGTCCGACGATAACAGACGATCGTTTTGCGTCGGCCCATTCCGATCCACGCTTCATGGAAGCCCCCAAGAAACGGTCCAAGGTCTCCATTGATTCCCGCTTCCGCCGGGTATTTACAGACAGAAGATTCACCACATCCAATGCTCCCACAGATAAGCGAGGCAAGTCCAACAAGAAAAACAAGGACACCGGCTCTCTGAAGCATTACTACCGTCTGGGACAACAAGAAGACGAAGGCGAAAACGAAAAGTCTCGAATTGAAGAGGAGGAAGATATAGGAGACGGCAATGCTGTTCGGGGGGAAGCTGACGGTGTTCTGAGTGAAACTGACAGTGACAAATCCAATGAGAGCCTAGAGGAAGATGACAGCGACAATGAACGGAGCTTGGATGAATCAACCTCCACAAGTAGTTCAGATTCAGATGTTCAGTATTATGATGAAGAAGAGGAAGATACGTTTTTGCAGCCGGAAGATGTCCCGGAGATTGATAAGGAAACACGCAGGTTAGCTGTTGTTAATTTGGACTGGAGTCAAGTGAGGGCTGTTGATTTGTATGTGTTGCTTAATTCCTTTGTTCCTAAAGGAGGTCAAATTGTTTCTGTTACTGTTTATCCATCTGAGTTTGGACTCAAGCGCATGGAAGAGGAGGCCGTGCACGGCCCTGTCGGGCTGTTTGATGAGGAAGAATCTGACGGTGGGGAGGATGATGAAATTGATAAGAAGAAGCTGCGTGATTATGAGTTGAGTAAGCTTAAATATTATTATGCTGTTGTAGAATGCGACTCCATTACCACATCGGACTACCTTTACAACAATTGTGATGGGCTTGAGTTTGAAAGATCAGCAAATAAGTTGGATTTAAGATTTATTCCCGATTCCATGGAATTTAAGCAACCGCCACGTGATGTTGCTACTGAAGCACCTGCGGATTATCAAGGTTTGGATTTCCAAACCCGAGCATTACAGCACAGCAGTGTTCAACTCACATGGGATGAAGATGAACCCCAACGTGCAAAAGCCTTGAGGAGAAAATTCACTGACGAGCAGCTTGCTGACATGGAGTTGAAGGAGATATTGGCTTCTGATGAAAGTGAAACGGATGAGGAAAAAAAGGTTGACAAGTATCGAGCTTTGATAGGATCTGGGGATGCTTCAGATGAAGAAAATGAAGAGGATAACAACCAGGACATGGAGGTTACTTTTAATTCTGGTTTAGAAGATATAAGCAAACGAATTTTAGAGAAGGACAAGAAATCTGAAACTGTTTGGGAAGCCTATCTCAGAAAGAGAAGAGAGAAAAAGAAGGCATCAAAGCATAGATCCAAATATTCATCGGAGGATGATGATAGTGATAGTGATCAAGAAGAAATTGCGGAGGAAGCTGATGACTTCTTTGTTGCAGAGCCTCCGGCCAATCAAGCCAAAAGAAGTACAAGTTCTAAAAAGGCAATTCAAGATGAAGCTGAAGCAAGCAGAGCAGAACTTGAATTATTAGCAGCTGATGATCAAGGAGCTGACCCTAACTTAAGGGGTTATAATTTGAAACGTAAGAAGGGAAAAGGAAAGAAAGAGAATGGAATTCAGGAGGTTAGCAAAATACCCGACGCCGACTTTGCTGATCCCAGGTTTTCAGCCCTTTTCACCTCTCCACTCTTTGCCCTGGATCCAACTGACCCACAATTCAAAAGGTATGTGTATCAAGCTAGCTACTATGAACTTGATTTCCCAGTTAAATGCTGAGTGTCTATTCTTTCATTAAATGATATGGTGGTACTATTTTCCAAGAAATATGCCGATCAAGATTATAGTGCTTGTGTAATTGTTTTTGTCATCTAAGGAAGTTTTGTGTATTTCACTCGCCACAAAGATACTGATAACATTTGCTGCTTGTATTTTGCGGATACAGGAGTGCAACTCATGCTCGGCAACTTGCACAGAAACAGAAAGAGAAGCCGGAGGATGTAGTAGGGCCAATGAATGACTCTGAAACTCCTGGGAACCAAGAATCAGATCAAGTGCCTGGAAGAATGAAGGGGAAAGTGAGGTCTGCTAAACTGAAATCAAAACGTAAGAGGCTGAAGCATTAAAACCAGGAAATCAGGTTCTTGGGTGTTGAATTCATGGAAGAGAAGTTTTGGTTCGGGGTAGGAGAGTCTTGAAGGTTATGCTTGAATTGTATGTTGTGAGGTTTTTGCTGCTTATTTACGAATTTTAGTCATATACAAGTGAGCCATCAAATGAAGGAAAGAGTTTGGAAATTTTGCAGTAGCTAAATCCAAAGTGTGAGGATATTGTATTATTGTTTGGATCTCAATCACACCATAATCATTTCAAAGATCACCAGTTTTTCAGTGCCATGTTTTTCTCACACATATATAGAAGGTATGTTTGTTGATCTATATCAGGGTAGTATGTATGTATAATTATGTACTATTGAAGTAAAGATCCTCATTCCCCTCTGTCCCTGGTATTAGATTAGATTGGATGGGTTGGGGGAGGACAGACAGGAGAGGAGGATGGATGGATGGATACCTTACCTTAACTTTTGGAGGATGTCAAAAGACGCTGCAGAAAGCAAAGCCATTTTTAATATTTGTTTGTGGTGCTCTAATCAAACTCCTGTTTGACTTTCTTGTTACACCCAACCCAAACACACACACAGAGATAGGCAATTCTTTTGTTTTGTTTTGTGTGTCCTTTGATACACCATTATAATGCTGCTAATTTCAGGTCAGGTGACGTGACAGGGGAGGGATAACAAATTTACATCCCATCTGAGAAAAATGAAACAATTAATGAATGGGATGGCATTACTGTTACTATTATTAGTTCAGTGAAATAAGCCAAGAAAATAGGTGGGGAATGACAGAGTAAACACCATAAGCAGCAGTAGAAGTATTAGTATTGTTTTTGTTTTTGTTTATTTTATTTTATTAAGGCCAAGCCAGTTAGGGTGAGGTGAGGTGAGGTTGAGGGAAGGGAGTTTAGTTTGGTTTGGTGGCCAATCATCATCAATAATGTAGTGTGGATGGATGAATTTATATATAATAATAATAGCAACGATTATGGACCATTAATCTCTCTTGCTTGATTCATTAATCACTCCACCCCGCCAGATAAAAACTCAAATCAATCTTATCATTTCATTATTGTTATTATTATAATACATACACTGTCATCCTATCATAACAGCAGTGATAATAATAATAATAATAATAATAATAATAATAATAATAATAATAATAATACCATTGGATTCATCATCCTCTCTCTCTAGAGATGTTGTTATGTTTACTTTTGGGAGCATTGAATTGGTGATTAATGGCTACAAGGTTGTCCCTTCACTCACCCCCCACTCTGACTCCAAGCCATGTCTCCTCCTCCTCAGTCAGAATCAGAATCAGAATCAATTCAGCAGCAGCAGCAGGCTCAATTACTACCAGTAGACTAGTAGCCATGTGTGGCAGCAGCAATCATCATCACATCTCACCAGCAAGATCCGATCAAAATCTCATCAAGGTAGTTAAAAGACTAGAACAAAACCTTTCAATTTCCCGTAGCAGTTTTCATAAACATACATACATGGTTTTCACCTTCCTGATGCTCCTGTGGCAGGTGGTGGTGTTTGAGGACAAAACATCCGGTATCGTCTGCTACAAAGATGAAAATGGGGAGATAGTATGTGAAGGCTACGACGAGGGCCCTCGTTTACAACATCATCATCATCATCATCAGATGTCAAGATTTGCTCATTCTGATCATTCAAGGTAATAAACAATCAAACAAATACACCCTCAAAACTCCCTGCTACATTTCATATCATCACCACAAGCAAGGGTGGAGATGACTCATATTGAATGATCACCCTTCCATTCATATGCGACAGCAATAGTGTGGAAACAGTGGAGATGCTGCAGAGATGTTTAGCACAAGACACAGAGACACACAGCAGTAGGCAAGCAGAAGCAGAAATGTTAGAAGAAAGATTCAACAAACTCAGGTAATAAGTAAATGTCGAGCCCAGGGTGGGTTTTCACAAATACAGACACCACTTGAATATGGAACATCAATAGTTGCTTTACTACTACTTCTGTTTTTGCATATATCATTGACAAAAATTTACAATAACAACCAACTCCACAAAATATACACACCATACTACAACATATCCCTTCCTCTTTGCTTATACACCAACCTGTCCTGTTTGATTTGTAGAATATACAAAGCAGACCAACGTTTAGAACAGAATCAATGGTACAAAAATGAATTTACAGCTTTGTCTACTAAAAATGGAAGGTAGGGAAGGGGGGAAGAATCATTTTTGAGGGGGTCAACTCATCTAAAGATTTAAGCCATGAAGGGGATATACATTCTTTTTCCTACAAACTGCATCATAGAATGGAAGATCTAGGGCCTCCCAAAGAATAGAAAGCTAGCTAGGAACTACAAAAAATAGACACACACACACATATACATACATATATGCATATACATGTATAAACATTAGTAAGTGAATGAGGTGGGGAATCACCTTCACCTACTCAACAGATGTCATACCTGGTGTATGTTCTGAATTATCTTCGGGCGCTTCTGTTTGCACTGTGTTATGGACAGCTTTAGTAGGTGACCATTGATCTGGCACCATCAAAAAATAGGTAGTCATGGCTTTCCTGAATCTCATCTTGTATTGCTTTGGAGAAATGACTGTGGGAGAGGCATTTTTGGGGCCTCCAAGAATTCCCGATGCTTTCACCCAGGTTTCCAAGTGCTTGTCCCACGTGTATTGCCTCATAAAGTCTATGATCCCGAGAACCAGCTCTCGCTTCTCTTCATCAACCCCTACTAATAGTGAGTAGTCCATTACATCAACAGACTGAAAAAACAATAGAGTGTTAAGTAGGGGATTAGAGATTTAAAAACAACAAAAGATAAGAGACCATGATATGCTAATTATGATACGATACTTACTGCCAGAAAAGCAGTATCATTCCACACTGCTCTTTCCAACAGTCTTTTGGCTTTATTTCCAACAAATATTGGCGAAGTAGGCATTGATTCAATCAAGTTTTGGTCCAACAAAACTTTGTTACTTCCAGAAGAATCAGCATTGTATCGTGATCTAGAAGATCCTTTGAGATCATAAAGTCGTGCCAGATTCCTTCTGAACAGAAGATTTTCCATTACCAGGAAGTCCATTTTGGTTTCCTTCCCTCCTTTAATATGTTTCGATGCAACCTTTTCCGACAGAAAACAAGAATAAAATAAAATACAATAAAATCAGCTATGGCCCTGTTGTTTTGACTAAGCATATAAAAACGATGCCTAGATACAAAACAAGACACTTGATAAAAGATCATACAGTTTTAAATTCAGTTGGATTTACCTGATAGATCCCAAGGATCTTTGCCAGGCATGTTGGGCTTCCGGTGCTTATTGATTCTGAAAGATATTTGAAATAATCAGGAGCAAACTTGATGAATGATTCGAGTTCAGTCTTGGTCACTTGTTTGATGATGAATCGATCATCCAAAGTCTTGGCGAAAAAGACATTGCTCTTCCCGCCTTGAGCTCCCCACTTCTTACAGCGGCTAAGTGATCTAATATAATCCATCTCAGACGGACAACATATTTTCCTTAAGGTTTCAAAGCGCTTAGCAAAATAACAAGTAACTGTATATTTAACCTTCCCAAGGGGTCCATCGTCTGAAAAACTCACTCTAGCATGCATAGCTTTCATGTATGCAACCGGATCCAAAGGGAATGAAGCATGAGAATCTGTTGAGGATGGCACGCTCTCGTCTCCTGATAAAGCACCTTTGTTCTCCGGCGCAGTTTCATCCAAAGATTGACTTAAATGAGTAGTCCCTGAATCATTGGAGTGCTGAGTAGATGACGAGGAAGAAGATGACAATGTGGAGTCTACAGCCTTCTTCTGTCTGTCAGACTCATCTTTCAGTTGGGTATGATAATCATGTGAAATGAGTGCAAAAGATATCATGCTTGTCGGCTCATCATCGTACACAGGAACAACCGTGTCTTTAACTCCCACGGGAAGAAGCAACCTGGCTCCACTTTGAAGTTCAGATTCCCGAAACGAAGAAATGTATACTGGATCATATGCATCCAGTTTCTGAACACTCCCGGAGAAGTTCTTATTGAATGTCCGATAAAAACTAAGAAATGGCATGCTTAACCAGCTCTTAGTATCGTCCACATTATCAGAAACTTTGGTGCAACTCTTGAAAGGCAATTGTGGTAACTTGAATAGACTAAGGTCGTCTCTATGGCTTTGCATGTCCCACTTGTCTGTTACGCTTGACAATGAAGCATCCACTTCAGCTAAACCAGAAAAACTCTTGTTCTTGGGGATCCTCATACTTGGATGACTCTCGCCCGTCCATGCGGCATCAAGAGTATCCGATAAACATACACGAGTCCCATCGGATAGAGTTCGGCGAACAGTAACACCTGATATCAGAGGATCAGATTCATCAATAGTCTTTGCCCCATTAGAAGGAGCCGGTAACTTTTCATTTCCTTGATCAAAGTTCACAGATTCATCGGAACTTTGATCAGCCATATCACTCGCCCCACGATCATTATTTTTTTCAGGGTTCAGATCTGCAGGAATGTATTCAGAAAAATCCAAACTTTTACTAGTCCTATCTGGGACATTTATGCCAAAAATCTTCTCTGCATCACCTAAAGGTTTCTGAGTAGAGGCAGCCTGACTAGATTGGTTCTCAACATCAGCAGCTGCACATACCAAACGATGGTCCCATATATAAGACTGGAAGATTAGTTGTCTTCTAAGTCGATTGAGCTCAAGAATATCAATGGTAGGTTCGCCTTTTGTTGGGCCCTTGCTTTGAATTTTCTGGATTGTTGCCTGCCAAAATCACATACACCCATGAGCACTTACATAGGGTGGGGAAGAAAGAAGCCCTATGACTTGTATTTCCACATGCCATGGTTCATAGCAAAACTCTCTAAAAACAATGTGAAGCTGCAGTTTTTTCCTTCAAGAGGATAGAGTGAACTAAATATGTAAGTTTGCCTTATCCATCTTTTCCAAGATATCTCAGTCAAGATGGCCCTTTTACCATGAAAACTAGACAAAGAAGGAATTTCAGAAACAGAATGCAGCTTTTACACACAATGATGTCCTTTGCTAACATGACATGCAAATACATACATACAAAAATGCTGTTATCCAATCTATAGGCACTAACAAAGAAACTCAAAATTTGAAACTGATCCCAGACCTCAAATTCTAACTTCTCCTTTAGCAATAGCCCTTCTAAATCTGGCATCTGAACAGCTGATTCAGGATCAGAGCCAGAATTTTTCCCTTTCAGAAGTTGAATGGCATTGCGCACCTCAGTGAACAGATGTTCTGCACTCCCAACTACCTGTTAGATTCATAGTTAATGATAGATCAATTCGAACATACATTCTACCGAAACCTGTAAAGAAGAACATAGTAAAAAAAAAAAGAAAACGGTCCATTTTATTTTACCTGATTCAATTCTTTTTCAAGCCACTCCTGGTTTTCATAGTTGAAATCAAGTTGGTGGGGAGGCAGGTACACTTGATGAACATTAATTGAAGCATAACGAAAACAGGCTACCATTTGTCCAAATCTGTCAGTATTGTAACCAATTGTTCTCAGTTGATTAATCTCATACCTCAGGTTCCATGCAGTAAAAAGAAATATTGTGCATTCATTTGTTGTTTTTCCTATTTTGAGGAACAAGCACACCTTCATGATGTTAATTCATAGTAAATAGACAAAGGAAATAAAGCACACGATCTTACCCATAAAAACGAAGACAATCTCTATGTAAAGAATGGCCACAACTTGCCACTCTGCTAGCAGCAGCATGGTTTGAAAAACTAAGCTCCAAAAACTTTCCAAATGACAATCCCCAGGCAGCATCAGACATCACCACCCTTCTAGTTGCAGGAGGGTGGCCACCAATTCTTGGACATCTCAGGCACCGATGCCACATCCATATTTTTCCATCTTGTTCTCCAGGTAAAAGAACATCAGATAGTTTTTTCACAGATATCATTAGGCTCCCTTGCTGGTGAGTATAACACTGAACATGAGCTTCAGCAGGCATCCCGCATGAGGGGCATACATAATTCTATCAGAAAAATTAGACAGTGTTAGTCCCATAGAAACCTATAACAGTTCAGACAGTGCGTTCCATGTTCAAAATTTCCCCATAAGCAAGAGAATTTTACCTGGTCAAACAAATGGTCACGCAGAAAACGTCCCAGTGGTTTGTCAAAGCTACCATAATATTTGATCCGGAATAGATGAGATCTTTCACAGACAGTTCCCTTCCAGACACATCTTGATGATAAGGAGACTAAGATGCTTTGATGGTCTGAAGGAGAAGGTGGGAACTCTTCTTTTAAAGCAGGCTGTTCCTCAGTAACTTTTCCATCAAGTTGCAAATGCAGTGGATCTGAAATATTTTTCTTACAATCATCAGAGGAATCATTTTGCATACTAAGTATGTTTAGATCTAAGTTATGGCCATTTCCTTCAACAGCAACACTTTCTGTTTCATAGCGTTTTGCCTCTGATGACGCTGCCGCATTAACAGGGCTTTGATCGCCAGATGCAGGGCAAGGAGATGGAGTGTTCCAAGTAGAATCCAGAAAGCTTTCTGCAGAAGACAAGACAAAGGACTTGGCATACTGAGAGCTCATAGGAGCTGGAAAGTTCTCGGAACAACATTCTTTCTCAGGCAAGGCTGCTGTACTCATTATCTTGAACAGTTCTGAAGTGGGAACACTACTAGACCTTTGTAGTTCAACATTGTGAGGTCCATGGTTGTTTTCACTTGTTGGGGCAGGTACAGTTGAGATTGATCTCTCAATATTGGATGGCTTTTCTGGAAGTGCCACAGTGATTGGGGAGCTCAATGGAAGTTCAGGCAGAGAGGCACCTTCATCAGCTAGAAAAGATGTCTCCAGAGCCAAGTGGTAAGCTGCAAAAACACCATATTGTACAACATGCTTCACTTTCTTCAGCTCATCCCCATTGGTACCCCGAAGTAATATCTGAAGCAATCAACAGTCAGAAAATCATCACAAAAGTTGTATGCAAGAAGAACCTGTGCAACATCATCTGAAATTATCTGCAGTGAGGATTAAGTCTACTCATTATAGACATAGTTGTCATGTTTTCTCAGAGACTGGCTTACCGTGCAACCTAGTGGCTTTGAATAGCCTTCAAAGTACATCAGTGTCTTCACCAGCTTCTTCCCAGCCTGACCAGCACTGCCATGCTCTTCTAAACATCTCTCCACATGGAATATGTCACAATATCCTAATTTATGTGGTGATAGATGATCGATAGAAGGCACAATTTGAGCACCAGTGCAGCGGGATATACGCTCCAAAAGTGATCTTTTGATATTTAAAACAAGTGATATGCCTTTTGCAAGAAGGTACTCTTGTGCGTATCGTGAAACTGATTTCTCCACGAGAAGAATGTTGGGATTGTGTGTTTCTATCTTTGCAACCGCCATTTTAAGATGATCCGTTTCCTTGAAACAATAAAATTATAAGCGCAAAAATTAAGAAAAGATATATATACATGTAGGTACAAACATAAAGTCATATTAATAAATCAGTCCATTATCAACGGCAACAAGCACGAAAGCAAAGAATTCCAGGACCAGTTACCGACTAAATGATTAAAAGGAAATGAAATTATATCAACCTGTTGCAACAGTGTATCCAAGCTTGAAAGGGCATTAGAAACCCGCTGATATTCAAGAGCTCCTCCAAGGATCAGCAAGCGAGGTTTCTCTATTTTGGATTTCATCCGCCGGTGAGCCACATTTTTCCTGCAGACAATTCCTTTGACCACAAAACTGGTAGGTAGTGCAAAATGTTAGTGATAGTATTATTTATTGCGTTGGAAATAAGGGGCATGGCATAATTATGGAAAACACACATCTGAATAGAAAGAAGCATGGAGAAAATGCAGAAATGTCCAAGGCCAATCATCTGTGTATATAGGTGATAAATGGATATGTTTCATTCTAGGGAATAGAGCTCAGCATTTCTGATATCATCATTTTGGATGCTGGGCATTCCTTTCAAGTTGAGCAGCATAGTCTGGGCAGGTCTAAGACCAAGTCAGACTCAATCATAAGGGAATTATTCCAAGCTATCCCCACTGCTGACAGATAGATATTGAGAGTAGAGATTGGCCAACCCAATTTGCATATTTCTAGAGAGCACAAACTACTTTTTAACCTATAGACAACTTTCTGAGGAAGCAACATTTACAACAAGACACATGTCCTGTTAAAAGTAGAAGAAATAAATTACAGATGTACAAGAGAGTCTAATGAGTTAGTAGGTAAAGACAATCACATAATGCACATATACGTACTTATACAAAAAAACTCTCTATCTTGGATTAAACTATTTACCATCCCAACTCTTTCCTAGTCCTACAACACCACCTCAATGAATTTAACAAACACTAAGCTCAACAAGGTTATTCTGAAGAAGACAGCAGTTTGTTTGATCATAAGGATATATTTACCTCTCATTTCGAAGCCCTGAAGCCAAACATTTAACTTTAACATAGCCAGCAGGGTCCATTTGCCCCCCTTTGCTTGTATCAGGCTTTAACAACATAACAGCCTCCCAAGACAATGCTGTAATTATTTCTAGCCAACTCTCCTTTTCATTTTTATCCTCTGTAGTAAGGAGATTCTCCACCTCCAACAGCTGGGCTACTAAAGCCCGAAAATGACCGCCAACCACACTCTTCATCGCTCTCTTGTGTTCCTCATAACTGCTTGAATTGTGCAAATATCCCCATTCTCCAATAGCATTCGCACCCTCATTTTCATTCTCCTCAACTACAATTGCTTCCTTCTCGTCTTCTTCATCTTCTGGCTCAGGTGGCACCCAAAGAACTCCATTCTTGTCGAAATCCTCAGGTTCACAGTTGACATCTCCAGCCACATATAAAGAAGAAGAAAGTGCCTCACATTCATCGCCAATGTCGTGTTCAGATTCTTTACTGACAATCTGCCTCCCCTCTTCTTCACAAGCTCCGGAATCATAACCCTGTTGCTGCACTGGGGAGCTGCTTGTACTTTTCAAATCAACAGCATATCCATCAGGATGAACTTTACATGACTTGTACTCACTGTTGATATCATCCAAGTGATCGTGACCACAGTAGCCACTGACTTGAGAATAAGTACTGGTTCTGGAACTGTAGAGAGGCATTCTATATTCTTCTTCTTCTTCGTCATCGCTCCTTTTCACATTAGGAATGTGCATGCACTATTAGTTTTTGCATATCACATCAATAAGCTTATACAATAAATTAGAAGAACAGTTTAACAATGCAGTAACTCAGAAGTATATTCCACCCAGTAGAACATCTCACGATGAAGTTTCGCTGAGGGTTAAGAATCAGCAAAACACAACCAAAGCATGTCGATATGGCAATTTCATTAAAAAAGAATTACAGTTATTCATTAAACAGAGCTTCTGCCGAACACAAACTCCGTCAAAGAGGAAAATCAATGTAGGATCACAATGAAAACAATAAGGCATTACAAAATATAGCAGGATCAGTGGACAGGTTCTTGAAAAGCAAGAAGACTGGAAAGCAACAATGTCATCCTTAATAATAATAACTTCTAGTTTTTGTAAGTATCATGTATTGCATTCACCATAATGCATACCACCACATGCCATAGAAACCAAATCATACAATCATGATGTCCATTAAAAGAGGTATGGGTATCAGAAGTTGGAATTCAAAAAACGTCAAAGGGGGGGTCCAGAAGCAACCTGTGTTGGGTATACCCAAACTGATTTTCAGGGCTATTATGTTCTGCTATATCCACACTATGATCATTTGCAATCACTTCTGAGACACTGCGTCTTTCCAAAGCTGTTTCTAATATTGCTGACTGATGAGGGCTGAGTTTGGCAGACAGTGAGATGGATGCAAATGCAATGCCATTACTACCACAAGTTCCACTAGACTTGGTGCTAAAGAAACTGGTTAACGAAGGTGAAGTACTGATAACATCCTGGGTAGAAACCTGTGGCCCATTATCAACAGAGGCCGTCAGACCTTGCTTCCAGAGCCTGAAACAGTAGTTACAGACCCTGACTTTATCCCATTCTCTCAATGATGCACTTGGTTCACTAGGCTCTGTAGGAACCCAATTCGAAGTGCATTTTGCACAGAAAATTCTCCCGCAGTGTCTACAATGATGCCTGCGGTTAAACAAGGTGAAATGTGCATCACATTCATAGCATACCATGCAACTCTGGTCGGGCATCCAGAAATCCCTCGACACATGTACTGTCTCGGACCTCCATGGGATCCATGATTTTAGCAAGTGTCTCATATCCCAAAAAAATCTCCTCGAATCATCCATTGCCCAGACTGCTCTCCTTTTTCTTTCATTGTGATGTTTTCATTTCTTTTGTAACTCTTAGCCTCCACAACTAACCGCAGAGCCAGAGTATCAAAGGCGTAATATTACAATGGCAAAACTCCACTATACAAAATAATCCACATAACATTTACAGTAAAGCACATTTATCAACAACCCTACACTGAATGGCGAGCTGCCCCATTCACAATCAATTCTCTAAACTCTCTCTCTATTTTAAGATACAATACAAGGGTAAAAATTCCTCAAGACCTTCAATTCCAAGGCTGGTTAAAATCCTCTGATCATATTCAAGTCGCTGATATTTGCTCAATCATACGGCAACCCGTTTATTGGATCAAGAATCCCCAACATCCAAGAATGAGGAAATACAGAATTCTCAATCGACCTTAATTTCGAAGTTCAAAATCCTCTGCCCACAAGACATACATACAAGAGGAAAATTCAGCCTGCGCTGTCGACGACATTCCAGCCCCCCCTGCCCACATTCAAAACCAACCTTTGCCCCCAAAAGAAATGTAATTAACAATCGAACCTTAACACCCATACAACCCCAATCGAAACAAAGAAAGATACCCAGTTGCGGGGTATATATAATCAATTGAGAATTCAATCCAAATGTCTTGTGTTTCTGTCGCGGTACAATTGACTCCGACCTGCGGAATATCAAACGAATCACTAATTCCTAGATCATTCCTTCCGAAAATCAACGTCCAAGTCCAAGGTATACAAAGGGGCTTTAATTGATCAATTATTATCATAAATAATCAAAATAGAACCGCACCGTAGAAGGATGCATGGATGCCAATGTTGAAAGGAAGAAATCAGCTGTGAGAAACAAGCATATGATATATGTATGTAGGAATGAATGCATGCATGCTTCCCCAACTCTGAAAAACACAAAATTAAGACCCTAAATAAAATCCCATCACATGATGACACGTGCGTGAATCGGTTATTAATCAATTAACAACTAATACTAGTATTCTTATTATTAATTTTTTTAACGCCTAGTGTCAAACAATTTCATTAGTAATTTAATCCCTCAACTTGGTACCATCACCAACCACCGACATTTAATTAATAAACACAAAACATACAAAATTAAAACCAGGGATGAATTCGATTCTGGTTTTGGTTTTGGTTTTGGTTTTGCTAAAATTAAGTATATATATAGGAGTATAAAATTTGCCTCAAGTTGGGCAGCAAGCAAAACGACAAAAGCGTAGCCATTTGTTGAGACTAGATGAGTGCATGTTGAGACTAGCGTATTTGGATTAATTCAATTCATGCAATGCACCTTCTCCTCTCTTTCTCTTTCTCTTTCTCTTTCTCTTTCCCTTTCCCATCAGTAAGACGGGGCTTTCAAAACCCTAATAAATAAATTCCCAATTTGCACCAGGCAGCTCATAATAAAGCTTGTTATTAGATTTATTAAAAAATTGAGGAATATCATATTGAATTATCTTCCAAAAAGTTTGCAGGAGAAAAAGAGATTGAAATACATATTAATTGAAAAAAAAATACTGGCAGCATTATCAGATATACTCCGTTAGATCTTGTTTTTATTTTCTATTGTTGTCTGTCACATATTATTTGTTTTTCTTTTTTTAAATATAATTATACACTAGAAGAAGTAATCAATTATGGGACTGATGGAGCAATAAATTTAAGTGAAGTACAGACAAACATTCTCAAAATATTTTTCTCTAAAATTCTAAAAAATACTAGTATATTATTTCATTTATAATTTTATCTTTTTTCAAATTTTCACCTAAAATTTGAATATTATTGTATTTTATTATCGTACAAATTTAATTTAGTTCAATTTCCCCCCATTTTCTTGTACGCTTTTTCCAACAGCTCCTCTGGTGCTCGGTATAAATAATGATCCAACCCCGACTTCGTTCCACCATCAATCGCAGCTTGCCTTGCCTGTTACAGTCTACTCTCTCTCTCTCTCTCTCTCTCAAATTAACCAAAGCTGCCATGTGTGGTGGAGCCATTATATCAGGCAGCATATCACCGGCTAGCCGATCCTCGCGCCGCCGGCTCAACAACATTAATAATCCCTCGGACTATCTTCCCAATTATTCCCAGAGGAGGTCGCAATTGGTCTTTGATGTCGACGAAGATGAGCAGGTTTTTGAGGATTACTCAGACGATGATATCGATAACCAGGTCTTCGCTTTCTCTGGTTTAAGAGGTAACAACTAACAACGCTATTTCCTTGGTTTTTCCCTTTCGAAACTGAACACCATACCTGATTTGGTCTCGAATTCAACCCGATCGATTTTGAAGGTTTGAAATCTGCTGAAAAATGCACAAAAAGAAAGAGGAAGAATCAGTATCGAGGAATCCGACAGCGCCCATGGGGTAAGTGGGCCGCTGAGATCCGCGATCCGAGGAGAGGCTCTCGGCTGTGGCTTGGGACGTTCGACTCTGCTGAGAAAGCTGCAAGAGCTTATGATTCTGAGGCCAGAAGGATCAGGGGCAGTAAAGCTAAAATTAATTTCCCTGAACAACATGAGCCATCAGTCCGTAAAGCTAAGGTGGATCAGCAGAAAACGGAAAACCACAATGCTAATGACTTGATGAGCATGAGAATGGAAAACGATAGTGACCATCGTCATGATCCATTTACTTTCGTGGAAGGGAAGCCACCGTTGAAGATGTATGGCTTTTCTGATCATTACTCTGACGGCAATGTTGAATTGAAGCCATACGAAGCAAATCAAGGAAGCAACATCTCAATTGCCAGCTTAGACTTTGGTAGGGGTGAGAACCCTGCAGCCATGAAGGCTTCAGAAAAATCTAGAACCTCGGCAGTTGCTGTCGAGGATAATTCCGCAACAGCAAAGAAAGCAAAGCCAAAGCCAGAGGACTTCATGTCTGGTACTGATGAGAGCACCATGGATAAATTCTCTGATGAGATGAAGCTCTTCCAAATGCCTTACCATCTTGAGGTCGACTGGAATACTCCTGTGAATGCTTTTGTGGATGGAGAAGCAGCACAAGAGGGTGATGACAGTACAATCAGTCTTTGGTCTTTTGATGATCCTCATCAGGTTATGCTTGGCAGTGCTTGCTGATTCTGCTTTCTTTGTCCTCGATGGCTGTCAGGACTCAGGAGCCGCCTTCTTATGTCTTAATAAGGCTGCGGTGTGCACATAGATTCAATGGTTGCTGGCTTGAGTTGAGTATGAGCCATGGTTGGTCCTTTAGTAGCAGGACATCTATGTATAGTTTTTTTATTTGTGCTTTAGAGCTTCAAATGGGAGATGGTTTGAGGCTACATGGGTGTAAGAATGTGCAGTTTGTTCCTAGGAGAATGTTAATATTCAACTCCATTTCATTATTCTACTTTTCTTTTTTTGGGTGTTTTTTCGGAAGGGCCACATTCATTCCTTGCCATCCTAAAAAGCCTTTCTTTGAGAAATCTTGAAGTGCAAAGGAAAAAAGGGGGAAAACCCCAAAAAGAAAGCAAGGAATAAAAAAATGTAGGAGGAGATAATCTGACAATCAGCAGGACATCAAATTCACCTCTTCTAGAGACACTATGATTTCATCAATGGCTGAAGGTGGAGGAGCAACCAGAAATGTTCCCAAATACACCACTCTGTTGCTGTTGTCAGAAAATAGTGTGGTGGAAAACATTCTCATATCTGCTCATATTCCTAGCCCTCTTCATCTTCCTCATGGGGATCCCTATTGTATGCACTGTTCTGATCTTGAAGCCCAAGATGCCAGATTTCTCCCTCCAAACTGTGAATATACAGTCGTACCAGCTCAACACAACCTCCCAAAACCTGGTGGTTTCGTCGGTCTTCTCAGTCAACCTGAGAGCTGAGAATCCAAACAGGGTAGGGCTGAGCTACGACAGTTCAAGATTCCATGTGCTGAGCCAGGGGTTGGTGGTGGGGCTGATCAGGACACCCCAGTTTCACCAGCCACCATTCAGCAAAAATGTCAGCATCCAAACCAGAGTTCTGTTCGAATGTGTCAACGTGAGTGCCATCATGTATAGGAAAGATGATTCTGCTGCAGAAATGATCAGGATACTCGGAGATGTCAGGGCGCAGGTTAGGATTTTCAACATCACTTTGCCCAAGATCCAGGTATATATATATATATTTCAATTTGTAACCTGTCCATCAGGATTCTTCTTCTTTTCTTGTTGTCGTTTGCTAAATGATTAATAATCGATTTGATGGTGCATATATTTTTTGGAATTTGGAAGGTTGCTTTGGATTGTGGTCTAAGTGTCAGTCCATCAGGATTCTCACTTAACAACATTAGATGGAACCCTAATCACATGGTAGGGATTTTTTTGGCTCAGCCCACCTCTAACATTTAAATTTGATTTTGTAGTTTGAAGGGTAGATGTGTAAATTAATTAATAATGATCATGAACATGAACATGTTTCGTTGGATGAATCAACAATTTCCAGATCGCACTTGCTCTGACTTCCCAGACAGTGTCCAAGAAATGTTCTGTGGCTATTCTTATGTAGCATCAACATCAACGTCAACTTCCACAACTGGGAGGGAATTTAGATTCAGGTAGCCAGGCTGCTGCTGCACCTGCAATTTTTATTTAATTCTTGTGAAAAATTGAAACAACAAATTGTACAGGGATGGGTGAAAGATGAAGATGTTGTATGCACTCATATTTACACCCTTTCCAAATTTAGAGAGGGTATATCTGTATTTGAATTGGGCTGGGCTGGTAAAGTCCAACTTTCATTTTGGGCTTTGTGTTTGTCCTGAATCTCAATACCACCAAACTTTTTTGTTTTGTTGTATGTATTTGTGGATGTTTCTGAATACAGGTCTGTTAAGATTCATTCGTCTTTTCACTCTCTCAGTATTTTCTATATGTTTATATTCCCTTGCAAGAGTAACGTTATTTTTATTTTTTAATAAAGAAAGAGAAAAAAAAAGTGATATTTTGTTATAGAAAGAAAATAGAATAAATTTGAATGACAATTAAAAAAAATATAAGTAGTGAAAATAGAGAAAAAAATATCTGTTTGTATATGTAAATTTAATGCGACAATAATAAAAATTTTGCAATTAGGTTCAAACATAAGAAAGAAGAAAATAAAGTCAACTGAGAAGCAATTAGAGGGATGAAGAGGGAGCAATGGATCCGACATCTACGCTACAGCCAATATATAAATTTCCAGCAATTTATTAATTAATATTGTAACCACGTGAATATATATATATATATATATATGTAAATATGAATATATTCCCTGGAAGCAACGCGTCCTTCATTCAACTGAGTTGAGGTTCTGCTGCAGACATGGAGAAGGAGCAAATGGCTAAACTACGAATAATGTTTCTGTTGCTGCTGTTTATCTGTTTCATGAATGGAGTGGTAGTGAGAAGCGGCGAGTCCAAGCGGAGAAGCGGGAAGGCGGCGCCGAGCCTCTTCATCTTCGGCGACTCCTTCTTCGACGCCGGAAATAACAACTACATCAATACCACAACTCTCGATAGAGCCGATTTCTGGCCCTACGGCGAGACTTACTTCCGCCGACCTACCGGAAGATTCTCCGACGGCCGCCTCATTTCCGATTTCATCGGTATATATATAATCCAATCACCACCAACACACACAAATAACTGCTGCGATTCATGTCCTGATTTTGTGTGCAATGGCGATGGTAGTACGTTGTACCGTACGCATTATATTAATTAACTCAATTGCAAGTTTGCAACTGCAGAACCAATGAGAGTGAATTCCTTTTTCCTAATTGTTGCTGTCATTTCGTAACATGACATGTGTATGTACTACATGTACTGATGTGTATATATATATATAGCTGAGCGTGCAAATCTGCCGTTGATTCCTCCATATCTACAGCCCGGACGAAATATCAAGGGAGATGGAGATGGAGATGGAGATGATGATGATGATGATGATGATGATGATGATGATGAGAAGATGAATGATTGGCAGAGACCGCAATACCATGGAGTGAATTTCGCATCTGGAGGGGCTGGGGCTTTGTCACTCACTTTTCAGGGATTCGTACGTAACTACTATTCTTCTCTTCTCTTTCCCCAATTTAATTAATTAATTCATTTAGTTAACCTAATTAGCTTTTCGATTCATCATCTGAAAATTAAAGACATGCCTATTGTTCCTCTCCCATTCAATTAGTATATAAAATTATTATCCCTACACTACCCTTACTAGCTGCTGCTGATCAATACATACTTCTAGATCATGTAGTTGGTAGGTGATTAATATACCACGCTATGCTATGCTAAAACAGAGGGATATATATATATATATATATACATGGTGGTGAATCGTATATACACACACGATTCCCCTTTATGTCCAAAACTTGTGGTTGAAGACTGTCTACCAGATCTTAAACATTCACATTTTGATCATTAAACTCCGATCCAGCTTGATCAAATATTAATATCTTCATGTTGATGTCTCAACAGATGAGGTATGTAAAGTGTTACGATTGATGGAATAAACTCTATTTTCATTTAAACACAATTAGGGTTCAATATTATATTTATACAAGAGATATATTAGGTAGAATATATATATCAATATATAAAATATATATACTATATATATATCAACATCCCCCCTCAAACTCAAGGTGGAACGGTGGAGCCCAACTTGAGTTTGCTCAAAAATGACTGAAAACGGCCGGGAAGGTGAGGTTTGGTGAATCCGTCGGCCGTCTGATCAGCAGAGGAAATAGGAGACAAGGAGATGCTTCCATGAGCAACGTGATGACGTACAAGGTGACAGTCGATCTCAATGTGCTTCGTACGCTCGTGGAAGACATCATTTGTTGAAATCTTCATGGCGCTCTGACTGTCGCAATGGATAATAGTGGCAGAGGGCTGAGGTACTCCAAGATCAGCCAAAAGCCAGCGAAGCCATAGAAGCTCGGCAGCGGTATCGGCAAGGGCTCTATATTCAGACTCTGCACTGGACCGGGAGACAACCGTCTGTTTCTTGCTGCGCCATGAAATAAGCGAGTCGCCAAGGAAGAAGCAAAACCCGGTGGTCGAGCGGCGATCAGAGGGATCTCCCGCCCAATCAGCGTCAGAATACCCAGTCAAAACTAAGGAGGAACGAGCGGAATAATGAAGTCCATGAAGAAGGGTACCTTTGACGTACCGGAGAATCCGTAGGACAGCAGAATGATGAGTCGTCCGAGGAGCAGACATAAACTGACTGATGATATGGACGGCATAAGCAATATCCGGTCGAGTGACAGTCAGGTAGATGAGACTTCCCACCAGCTGACGATACAAAGTCGGATCATCAAGGGGAACGCCGTCCATCGGAGTAAGACGACAGTCAGAATCAAGAGGTGTAGGAACAGTCTTGGAGTCAGTGAGACCGGCACTAGATAGGAGGTCGGAGGCATACTTGGCTTGAGAGAGATAATTTCCGTCGGAGGTGTCGGAGATCTCAAGTCCTAGGAAGTACCGAAGAGGCCCTAAACTCTTCATCTCGAAGTGACGGTGTAGATGAGCCTGCAACTCGGAGATTCCTGATGCATCATCTCCCGTAATGATCATGTCATCCACATAAAGCAATAAAATAGTAATTCCAGCTGACCCACGTCGAAGGAAGAGAGCCGAATCATGATCACTAGAAGTAAAGCCAAGCTGGAGTAGAGCAGAGCTAAATTTCGAAAACCAAGCTCGAGGTGCCTGTTTCAAACCATATAGGGCACGGCGAAGTTTGCATACCTTAGAAGAGGTAGGAAAACCAGGAGGAGGAGACATGTAGATATCCTCGGATAAATCACCATGCAAGAACGCATTCTTGACATCAAGCTGATGCAGGGGCCACCGACGAGCGGCAGCGATGGCGATAAGACAGCGGACAGAGGTGAGACGAGCAACCGGGGCAAATGTCTCCTCATAGTCGATACCATACTGCTGGGTGTAGCCTTTGGCTACCAAACGCGCCTTGTAGCGCTCGATAGATCCATCAGAGTGAGTTTTGATTCTGAATACCCACTTGCAGCCAATAGGTTTCTTGCCAGGGGGAAGATCAACCATATCCCACGTATGGGTTTTCTCCAAAGCCTGCAACTCCTCAGACATAGCCTGCCGTCACAACGGATCCGCATACGCCTCACGAAAGGACCTGGGCTCATGATGGGACAAGGTGGCAGAGAAGCAGTGATAATCAAGTAAGTGAGTAGGAAGGTGACTAACCCGAGTGGAACGACGAGGGCCAGGATCAGGGGCTGAGATCGAAGTCGTGTCAGGCTCTGGTGGTGGTGATGTATCGGAGTCGAGAGTAGGAGTAGACTCGGGGATCAGCTGCGGTTCAGGAGGCGCAACCGGGACAGCGTCAGGAGCGGGAGACAGAGACGAAGCCGTGTCACTGGAAGGGAATAGAGGTGGAGAGGACAAGGTAAAGAACGGAGACGAACGATCAAAGGGGACTCGGAAGTGAGACAAGGAAGAGAATTTGGTATCCTCCCAAAATGTGACATGACGAGAAATACGTAGCCTATTGGAAATGGGATCCCAACAACGATAACCCTTATGTTCTAACCCGTAGCCCAGGAAGCAACACAGACGCGCGCGAGGTTCTAACTTAGTGCGCTCATGATGAGGGAGGAGGACAAAACTGACACAACCGAAAGGGCGGAGAAGACTATAATCAGGGGTACGATTAAATAGTCTTTCAAAAGGACTGACATTACCTAGGACAGAGGAAGGGACACGATTTATAGCGTGGACAGCGGTGAGTGCGGCTTCCCCCCAAAAGCGATCTGGACAAGAGGCTGATAAGAGAAGGGTGCGGACTGTATCGAGGATATGTCGGTGTTTACGTTCGGCGCGACCATTTTGTGGAGAGGTGTATGGGTAGGAGCGTTGGACAGCAGTACCTTGATCAGATAAGAAACTAAGAAATGATGAATCAGTATACTCAAGAGCATTATCTGTGCGGAGAGTTTTTATGGTAGAGAAAAATTGGGTATGTATCATTTTAGCAAAGGTCATATAAATAGATGGAAGTTCAGAACGATGCCGCAGAAAGTAAATTCATGTAAAACGAGAATAGTCATCAATAAAAATCACAAAATAACGAGAACCATTCATAGACACAGTGGGCGAAGGTCCCCAAATATCCGAGTGAACTAAGGAAAACGGAGTATCCGCAATGGAAGTACTATGAGGAAACGACACAGCAGGTTGTTTTCCCAACGAACAATCCACACAATTAAAAGACTCAAACTTAACAGAACCCAAACTACCCTGACTAATCAAAGACCTGACTTTATTGGAAGATGCATGACTGAGACGACGATGCCACTGAAGGCAGGATGGTGTAGAGGTGGTGGCAGCTGAGATAGAGGGACGAGGGACCTGGAGTGACGTAAGTTCAAATAAGCGGCCCGTCTTCCGGCCCTTCCCAAGAGTCCGCCCGGTTTGCGCGTCCTGAACCTGTACACCAGTAGAAGAAAATATCACGATGAGACCTTGATCAACTAATTGACCAACGGAAATCAGATTTAAGGTTAATTGAGGGATACAGTATGTGTCGGGGAGGGATAAGGATGAGGTGGATGTATGTCCGGTATGGGTGATGCGCATATGGGTACCATTGGCAGTAAGGATAGGAGGTAAGGATGGTGCGGTGGATGTGGAGGTCATAAGGCGTATATCAGAGGTCATATGATTATTGCAAGCAGAATCAAAATACCAAGGAGAGTTACCTGATGTGGTAGACATGGCGGTATTGGAAGATAGAACCTGTTTAAGAAGAGCTTCCAGGTCCTGAATCGTAGGAGGCGCAGGCGCAGGCGCAGCAGAGGCTGTGACAAAGGAGGTACCAGACTGAGGTCCACGAGAATTCCGAGGCTTGTAGTTACTACTTCCAGAGCGAGACGGCCTAGTGGGGCAATACTGTATAGTATGGCCTAAAACATGACAGTAGTGACACTCCACCTTTGGGCAATGACCGAAGTCATGATCAGAGGACTGACATCTTTTGCAACGATGAGAACGACTCTGAGTAGGAGTTCGGGCAGTGACCGCAAGAGCAGAATCAAGCTGAGGAGCCTTAGCTAGGTGGAGACGAGTTTCCTCAAACAGAATCTCCTGAATAGCTGCATCCAAGGTAGGAAGTGGATGCCGATGTAACAAAGAGGCACGAACTGCCTCATACTCTGGACGCAAAGCCATCAAGACCTGAATGAGGCGAAGATGATCAGGACTGATCTCTGCTTGATCCAACCGATGCCAAAGGGGTTACACTTGGGCAAGGAAGTCGTTGATAGATTGTCCTGGTTCCTGTTTTAGATCGTGGAGAGTGCTCCATAACTGATAATAATGTGCCAAACCAGTAGCACGGAAGCGGACTGCCAAGAAATCCCACGCTGCCTTGGCAGTGTCAAATTAGGCAAGCTGAACATGGATCGCCGGAGTGGAAGTATTGCGTAACAAAGTGAGAATTTGATGGTTTTTACTATCCCAATCTTCCAATTTTTCAATATAAGATTCAACAACTGTGGTGGTAGGCGTAACTTCTCCTATAGAAACCGGAGCAATGGGGGCAACTATATCTCCCGTAACAATTCGCCACAATTTCCGACCTATCAAAAAACTTTTCATCGATTGTGCCCACAAACTGTAATTATCTCCGGACATAACAACATTGATCGGAATATGTACATCTATCTTTTCCATAGAAACTCAAGAGAAAACAATATCTCAAACCTCAAGCCGAAAGCCGAAACGACAGAAATCGAATCAAACCCGAAACACAAAAAGTCAACCGGATACAAAAAACTGCTCAAACGGAAGAAGTGAAGATACCATCGCGGAGGAAATCAAATTCCGAACACGACGGTGCAAAGATCGCCGCCAACGGCCGCCGCACGCGCCTCCACGCGCCGGCGAGGCGTCCGGCCGGAAAACACGTCGGGCGCGTGTGTGGCTCACGCGCCGCCGTTCGCCGAACTGTTCCGGTGTCCGGCCGGTCTCGTGACGGCGAAGACGATGGTGGTGGCGGTGACGGTCGGAAGTGGTCGGAAATATGCTATCTGGAATTCGTGGGTTGTTTCGATTTGGTCGGGAAAAAGCATGGCTCTGATACCATGTTACAATTTATGGAATAAACTCTATTTTCATTGAAACACAATTAGGGTTCAATATTATATTTATACAAGAGATATATTAGGTAGAATATATATATCAATATATAAAATATATATACTATATATATATCAACATAAAGCAAATTATTTTACTTTGATACACCAATATATGTATGCATGTATGATTATTGTAAATATTAATTAATAGGCAGAACTCCTAATATTCCTTGTAAGTTAGGTTCGTTCCCACTGCATTTTCACTTTAGACATAAATATACAGCTTTCTTACAACGTTTTTTTAGATACAATTAATGGCTAAGTGTAGTAGTGCCAAACCACAAAAAGTTGAAATCTTCAATCAATGAAATTACTAAAAGGAAACCCTAAATTTCGTAAGTATTCAGTCCTCTCTTTTTTAATTTCTGAGTTGATTGAGGTTGAGGGTACCATTAAAGCTGGTCATGAGAACTACTGGACTTAGAAATGGTGGGCCCAAAATATTATATATCAGTGGGCCAAAAGCCCAATGTAACTTCATAATCGACCCTATGGCCCCCCATTGGCCTTCTGCTTATGTAGTTATGTATTAGTACCTTGTTTTTTCGAAATTATTTGTTCTCTCTTTTACATGCATAATCCGACAGATAGAGGCATCCATTGAAATAGAAATTGAAAAATTCAGTCAGTTATGAATCCCATTCAACAAAATAATTAATACAATTAATCTCTGTAATTTAATTTCTATAAGCATACAGTACATATACATTGTTGGTATTCATATATCTGCACGTACTGCAGGTTATTGATCTGAGAACACAGCAAAAATACTACGAGAAGGAGATTGCAGAATTAAGGAACAAGCTGGGAGACGAAGAAGCAGCAGCAATATCATCGAGTGCCGTGTACATGTTCAGCATTGGCACCAATGACTATATCAGCCCTTTCCTCCTAAATTCAAGTGTGCTGTCATCTTATGCTCCCTCGGAATATGTGGAAATGGTGATCGGCAACCTCACCCTTGTCCTAAAAGTAATTATTAATTGAATTCCCATGCATATATATAGTATTAATCACTAGTCTAATTATTAGTTTGTACGTGAAACATTGCATAAATTAATAAAGTGATTATATATGTATGTATGTGTGCGTGGATGCAGGCCATATACGAAAATGGGGGCAGGAAATTTGTGTTTCTGAATCTGGGGGAACTGGGGTGTCTACCAGGCTTGAGAATACTACTACCGCTGCAAAATTACCCTGCTGGTGAAGGTGAAGGCGGCATTAATAATAACAACAATGGAAGAAAGTGCTTGGAGGAGGCTTCAGATTTAGCAAGACTGCACAACAAAGCACTGAGCAAAATGCTGTCAAGAATGGAAGAGGAACACTACTACTACTACCATGGTAATGGTAATGGTAATGGTAATGGTAATGGTAATGGTAATGATAATGGTAATGATACTGATGATGATGGGGGGTTGAAGTTGAAGTTGAAGTTGAAGTATTTGATCTATGACTTCAATGGGAGCCTGGGCCAGATGAGGGCATTCCCGGAGAAGTATGGGTTGAGGGAAGGAGAAAGGGCATGCTGTGGGAGTGGGCATTGGAATGGGGTATTCAGCTGTGGAGGGAAGAGGGTGATGGGTGAGGAGTATGAGGTGTGTGAGAAGCCCGGGGAGTTTGTGTTCTGGGACTCGTATCACCTCACCCAATCTGTCTACAAGCAAATGGCAGACCAGATGTGGTGCAGGCAAACATCATCCCCTTACAACCTCCGCAACCTCTTCTTCGATATTTAATCATGCAGGTAATTAATTAATCTACTGCATTGCTATTTGCTAATATAATACTCCATAATCGATGCATGGTGTTTAATTATATTCTAATAAGCATGAAAGTAGTAATGCTTGCTTTATTTTGGCTCTGGCTCACGTCACGTGACACGTGATATATATATATAATTAGTTGTTGTTATATATATATATATATATGCAATGCATGTTGTGTTGTGTTGTGTGCATGGGAGTGGGAGTGTATGTGATACTTACTAGTACGTATAATGATTGTGATTGTGACGTGCCGAGTCTGAACTGGAAGTTAATTAAAATTCCTATTCCTATTATATATACACAACTGTTACGGTATGGTATTAGTAAGTAGTACTAGTTAAAGTCGCTTGTCAATGTCATAGTGTTGTAGTGTATTTTTCTTTTCTTGTAAGTGGGGTGGGGTAGGTCGACTAGACTGACTGACTGACACCAATAATGAATGAATGGTATCTTGATTAATTATTTTGATTTTGCCCTGTCTGTGCCCGTCTCTCTCACTCTAATCTAATGTGTGTGGTAATTGAGACGATGATTTGATTCCAAATTCAAATTCAAATTCCAATCCATCGTCTGTCCATTTAATTTCATCCGCCCCTCTTTATTCGTAACTTTGTTGATTCGTGATACCATGGCATCATATATGCTACGATAAGAAGGAATAATAATAATAATAATAACAACAACAACCAATAAAAGAGAATATGAATGAATGAAGCAGGCAATTCCATTCCATTGCTGCGAGTTCCCTCCTAATAATTAATACCTCTCTTTAATTACTTTTACTTTTCACTTTCATTTTTGGATCGGATTCGGATGTTAATTGGGCTTGGCTTGATTGGGGTATGACTTACTTAAGTTATATAAAAATCAACATTCATTTAATTATTAATTAAGTAATAATCATCATAATTGACAAGTTGCTTGCTACTGTATGTGTATATAATTGGAAAGGAGAGTTGAGCAATTGCAAGTAATGAAAGCTATTTATTCATTTATATATCTATTAATTAATTAATTAATTAATTAATGATTATAAGGCATGATCAAAGTGGGAGAGCAGGTAGGTGCGATGTATTCATATTCATATTCATATTCATATTTGACTTGTGCGGGAGGGAGGCTGAGGCTGAGGCTGAGCATATGCTGTTCCCAACTGGCAGTGGCAGGGAGGCATATTCTGCTCTGCCACGCCGCCCATACGTTCCTCCTCTTATTATAATAATAATAATAATCATCACATAATCGTATAAGCAGACTTAATCTCTATTTCTCTTTCTCTTTTCTGTCAATGATTCATTTTCTAATCTCTATTTCTATTTCTATTGTATGTATGTATGGGTTCAAATTTAATTTAATTTAATTTAAACCATACCTATACGGCTATACTACTACTACTCAACCAACCTGCTTGAATTTTTGAATCCATAACATAACCTTGTGACTGATTGCAAGATCACCCACCCTCCCACCCACCGTGTCGATTAATTTGACCACTATTAACAATATGGCTGCAAATAAATCTAATGTGCATCAAATTTTATTGCAACGCCATTGTCCATGTGCTACAATGTCATCATTTCATACATACATACACACACACACACTACTTGATTGATTTATTGGTGAAATAAATGATAATAATAATATTATTTCCACCTCCATTCAATACACCACTAGACGTATATGTGTATCACAATCATAATAATAATAATAATAATAATCACAAGAACAATTACGTATATGCCATATTCCCTTCCTTCAAAGCAATTGTTTTTATTTTTATTTTTTGTGTGGACGCAGTCGTCGCTTGCTCATCTCTGCTCCATTTCCTCTCCTCTCCTCTGCTCTGCTCTGCTGCCGCCGATCTAAGCCCCCCGCAAGAAAGACTCGCCCTTTTCATTCTCTAATAATTGTATATTTGAGTTTCTCCCGTTTTTTATTTTTTATTTTTATTTTCATTTTTATATTTTTTAGTGGACATGATCCATCTCATTGTATAAATTTTCCTGACTACAGGATGTTGTAATTTAGATTTTGATTAAGATTTATACATGTATGTTGTGAGGGATGTTTAGGGATTGTGCTGCAGAGTTGACTCGGACAGACAATTATTTAGGCTTGTAGAACGGGGCTCCGGAGGCGGGAATGGGAACCGTGGCCATGTGTAATGAAGAAAAGCTTCAGAATAAGCTGGAGCTCAATTATGGTGATGGCTGCGGGAATTACTTGCACAAGTTCAGGCTCTATGAGACTCATTCGGTATATATTTTTTCCGGCCGATTTGTTGATTTTGTAGAATCTTAAAATTCGGACCTTGAGTTTTGTTTGGAATGCTGAAAGATTGCTGATTTCTTGGTGGAAACTGGTTTCGGTTTTATGCACAAGGTGCTGATTATTAATTACGGCTATTTGGTTTGTATTAAGACTTAAGAGCAACGGATGGTGGAGAATTGGCAACGATCTTAATTCAGATAATAAGCAGAGCCATTTCTAAATATAGAATATGTTAGTCTTTGCTTAATCTGGTTGAAATATAGATTTCTTGTCCATTTTAAGTTCCACAGGACCATTTCAAGAAAATTGATCCAAATATGATCTGGTTGTTTTATCCCCTATCATGTCTTTTTTTAAAAAAAATAAAATATAAAAATCTTTAATTGGATACATAGTGATCATTACTGTGGCTTTAGGTTATAGAGCTTTTGTTGGATTTAGAGTGGTTACTAAAAGCATAAGACTTAGAGAGATGGCTGTATAAAAGATTTATAGACACAGTTTCTTGTTCCATCGTACTAAAGTGGTGCAACTTCCTTGGTGGTGATATTGCACTTTAGGATGATTGACATGTGCAGGTAAGATGAGATGACATGGAAGTGGGAATCGGAATCAATCTGAGTGCATTGTCAAAATTTTTAAGCACGTGCATGTTTGTTTTTCTTATTGCATTTATTACAAGCATTCTTTGAATCTCTATCCTTGCTCCTAAATGTTTTGATTACATTTTGGATTTAGTATTGTTAATTAATTACTGTTGTTATTTTGTTAAGCTGCTATGTTGAGTTGTTGACTTTGTCGACTATTTTAAGACTCATTGCTAAAATTGGTTATAATAATTTAGGAAATTGTTGTCTTGCTCTCAATTGACATGTTATCTCATGCAGTTAATATTGTTGTCCTGAAATTTTGTGTTTAATCTAGTTTTGCAATCAGATTACTAATATGCTTCCTGATGTTGTAGAACTTTTATATGATTGGGCGGGACAAAAACCGAACAAATTGGAGAGTCTTGAAGATTCACAGGTTATATGTGTCGGAACTAAGCATCACCGAAGACTCCACATTATATTCCGAAGGTGAATGCTGCGACCTCCTAAAAAGGATTCATGAAGGGAACAAATCTACTGGTGGTCTGAAATTTGTTACCACTTGCTATGGAATTGTTGGTACGTTTATCATCAAAATTCCTGCCTCAACAAATTGATTAATACAACCCACCAAAAGAGGAGTTTTCCTGATTTTGCTTTATTTGATGACAGGATTCATACAATTTTTGGGGCCTTATTACATGCTGCTTATAACTAAAAGAAAAAAGATTGGCACAATTTGTGGTCATGCAGTATATTGCATTGACAAGAGCGAGATGATTCAGATACCCAATTCCACTCTGCTCTCACATATGGCTAATTCTAAAATTGAAAACAGGTCTTTGTCAATTCTGCATGTAAATGTAAATTTGCACTGTTATTATGAGAGAACCAAACATAAGACTAACTATACTTTATTTTCTTATGTACATTTAGTATTACTTATCATAAATGTTGTTGTTTGGCTAGTCACTTTTATCTTGATGCAGTATCTATTGCCAATTCTGCTCTGTGGAAGTAACATCTGTAATATTTTATGATACACCCTTCTGTGAGCATCTGTGTCATATGATTCTGCATGAGAATTAGTTCCTATACACTAGCATTTGACTGTTGATTACTGAAGCAAACAAATTTTCATTTTAATAGCATACAGCACTTCCCTAAGTGCAGTCTGAATAGTTAAATTGCTGTTAGTTCCCATTATCAGTCTTACCCAGCAAATGCACAGCGGCAAAACCATATGGTGTTATGATGTTAATTTAACATGTTGAATGACACAAGGTATCGCCAGAATTTTCAGGCAGACATCTTTTGCTTTCTGGTTCTATGTTATTTATCTCTGAGCTTTTATATTTACCCCTTTAACTGGATTCCCATTCACTTTAATTGCCTCTGCCTTTTCTCTTGTTGATAACTAGATACAAGAAGCTTGTACGTGCGGTGGATCTTACAAAGGACTTCTTTTTTAGCTACTCCTACCATGTTATGCTTAGTCTTCAAAAAAATCTTAGCAGTCATGAAACAGGGTTATCCCTCTATGAGACAATGTTTGTCTGGAACGAGTTCTTAACCAGTGGGATTCGGAAGAAGCTAAAGAATTCAATCTGGACTGTGGCATTGGTTCATGGATTTTTTAAACAGGTACTCAGTGATAAAAAAGTTCTTTATGGTTGATTCTATTTTATTTATGTTCCCTTTTATCATATCATATACTATTCCCAATACTGTACCTTGCAGTTGGCGTTCTTATTAACTTCTATATTCAATTAATTAATTGTTTTTTTTTTAACCATGGATGTCAGGAAAATTGCATTTCTTGCTGTCATAGGTTTGTTGGTTTCCATCCTTCATTTTTGTCTTTTGAAACTATTCCAAATGTACCTGTAGACTCATTAATTACTCTTCATAAAGATGCCACTTAACCTTTTATGTATATGGTGTTGCTTGGATTCATATTTATGTCGCTTTAACTTATTAGTATGGAGCACATGGTTTATCGGTATACTCTATGCGTCTTATATTTAGATTTCTTCATTCTTCTAACCATGAAGACTCATGTGATGTTTTTTTTTTTTATTTTTTTATTTTTTAAACAGATTAAACTTTCTGTATCCGGTCGTGACTTCAATTTAATCCTTATTGCTAGGCGTTCACGTCATTATGCTGGAACCAGGTAACTAAACATATGCGATTATGATACTATTCCTCAATGTTTCATAATATACATCTGTTTCATTCTATTGATTGGCTATATGTCCATTTAGTATAGACAAACAGGCAAATAAACTACTGTCTCATTGCCAAAAGATATCTTATACGTGTGTATGCTTGTGTGTTTTTTTTGTAAAAGCAATTTCTCATTTTGAGATCTATATTTCTTGTTTTAAAATAGTTCTACAGTATGTATTGTGCATGATTGGGATACTATATCTTGCATGGTTACTTGTATATCAAAAATAGTTTCTGATTGTGGATTTAAGGCCTGCATTGAACTAGGACGAATTTACAACGAGAATTCAAAGAAGTGAAATGTTGTTCCATCTGTATGCCAAACCTCTCAATGCCGCTTTTATACTACAGGTATTTAAAACGTGGGGTGAATGAGAAGGGGCGTGTGGCTAATGATGTAGAGACTGAACAAATTGTCCTCGAGGATGTGGAGGAAGGATGCCCCATACAAATATCATCTGTTGTGCAGAATCGGGGATCAATACCCCTCTTTTGGTCTCAGGAGACTTCTCGCTTGAATATTAAGCCTAATATCACATGTACGGTTTGTAATGCAGGTGATATAATCTAAATTGTTTTGCAACTTATTTTCTTCGCTGACTGTGTCTTTTTCAGTATCAAAGAGAGATGACAAGTATGAAGCCACCAAACTTCACTTTGAGAATCTTGTCAAGAGATATGGGAATCCTATCATCATATTGAATTTGATCAAGGTACAACATTATATTGAAGTGAGATTAGAATGTCATGTTCTTCCTTATCTTTATGTTCTTCTGTTAGCTGGATTAAATTCACAGTTAATACCTCATTCATTTTATGAGTAACAGACTCGGGAGAAGAAACCAAGAGAATCTGTCCTCCGGGCAGAATTTGCTAAGGCTATTGAAGTTATAAACAAGGACCTTCCACCTGAAAATAGACTGAAGTTCCTTCACTGGGATTTGAGTAAATACTCCAGAAAGTATAAGTCACACAATTTTTTCATTTCTTTTCTCTCAGTTACGTTATGCTTATGCATACAGCTTACTCATAAATATACTTGCGGATTTTACAGTAAAGCAGCTAGTGTCTTGCTATACCTGGTCAAAGTAGCAGATAATGCATTGGATTTAACTGGTTTCTTTTACTGTCAAGTGCTACCAGCTTCAAGGTGAGAAAAATGGAGAAACTGCTCCCAGTGTGACATGGTCATCTACTTTTGTCTGTGTGGAATAAATAAGCTGAATAATCTCACAATTTATTGAATGCATTTTATGCCTTGACTCTTGCACTATTTGTCAATCTGTAGGTGCTAATTTTTTGATGTTTGGAACTATATTATCGTTGTTAGAAATGTATACTGCTATTCAAGATTGATGTAGCTGTGCAAGGTTCTCTTTGCATGAGTCTTTTTTTTTTTTCCTTCTGTGAATTTCTGGAAGCCTTGAAAATATTATGGGTATCTATATTTGTATACAGAGACATTTTTTCTTTGTTTTCTTATTTGGCAGTTTTGTCTCTGGCTGATGTCACTTTTTCGGAGCTTTCTTAGGAACTTGTTGTATTGTCATTCAAAAAAAAAAACTCCACTTCCTTTCATTGTGCAATTCTGTGAACTACCAATTGACACTTTGATCCTGTTCTCGTTCCTGAACTTGATTGCCTATCTACTTTATTGCAGACAGCTTCAATGTAGTAACAACTGCAACGGCTATGGTACCGATGAGGATTTTGGAGCTGGGATTAATGATCCTCATAACTTGGATGCCAAAACTCCTAGGGTTCTTGATGGTGATGCAAATCAAAATCAATTTATCAAGCCTCCACAGTTTCAGAAAGGCGTTTTAAGAACAAATTGCATAGACTGTTTAGATCGCACAAATGTTGCACAATATGTGTATGGGCTGGTTGCCCTTGGTTACCAATTACATGCTTTAGGATATATTGATTATCCTAGCATTAATTTAGACTCCCATTTAGCTGACGAATTAATGACAATTTATGAAGCCATGGGGGACACACTTGCCCTACAATACGGAGGATCTGCAGCCCACAATAAGGTAAACACTGGATCTACAAAAGTTGAAGCAGTTTTTCATTGTTCAAAGCAGTTCTCAAGCAAGTTTTGCTCAATATTTTCCTTTAAAGTCTTGGCTGACCGCTTACTCTCTGGGTGGACTCAGCAGTATAGAAATGTTGACTTGCATGCATGCATGCCAAAATATTAATCTTTATCTGTTAGTAGCATGACACACACACACACATATATATTTTTAACAATGTAACAGAAAATGGATGTTTCCAAATTTTAATAATGGTCCATCTTGATTGCTCGTGTATAAGCTTACTGCCAGCTGTATTGGTAGTTTGTGGTATCGCTGTTATTAAATGTCTGATTGCTCCATCTTGATTGCTCGTGTATAAGCTTACTGCTAGCTGTATTGGTAGTTTGTGGTATCGCTGTTATTAAATGTCTGATTGCTCATGTTCTGTTATTTAACAGATATTTTCAGAGAGAAGAGGCCAGTGGAAAGCTGCAACACAGTCACAGGAATTCTTGAGAACACTTCGACGTTACTATAGTAATGCTTACATGGATGCCGAGAAGCAAGATGCCATAAATGTGTAAGTGAATTGTTCACAAATTTAGCAGACTTTTTTTTTTTTTTTATCAATCCAACACTTTGATGTTTTTTTTACTATTTTTTGTTTTTCATTTTTATTTTTTCGACAAACAATATATTACTATTATACTAACTGATTCTGAAGTTGTTAATAACAACATTAGGTTTTGATTTTCATGAGCAGGTTCTTGGGGCATTTCCAACCACAGCTGGGTAAACCTGACCTCTGGGAACTGGATTCTGATCAGCATTTCAATGTGGGAAGCCGTGGATCTGATTTTGGGGAAGAACATGCTAGGTAGTGTTCAGATGTGTACCTACAATCTCAGTTATACACCTGTCCATAATTCCAGTGAATTCAGCATCCAGCAGAAATTGACTTGTTTTTACAATGTTATAACTTGTTTAGTCACGCCTTGTCCCTAAAACACTTTATGATGCAAGTTTCGTTGATGTTGCACTTCTAGTTGTTTGCTATCCTTTCTTGGATTCTCTCTAAATTTACCCAGTCCACCATACATTAGCACCTATTCCTAGTACCAGTTTATTGCTATGGTTTGGTCCGCACAGAACATTTGAGTTTGATCTGAAGATCCATACCATTTATTCATATGCCATATATCAATGATTGATGGAATCTATTCAAGGGCAACCTTATCGAGTAACTCACTCAGTATGCATACATAACTGAACTTGCAGGTCCATAATCAAAAGGTCATTTTCTGATGGGAATATTCTTGGTGAGAGCAACTCAGCTATTGACGATGAGAAGGTTATGCTAAAGGAAATTTCTCTTGAACCGTTACCTGTAAAGGCTCAAGACTGTAATGTCAGTCTTTCTGAATCCAATCCAGATATTTCAACCCGTGTAAGGGATATATCTTATGTGAGGTATGTTGAATACTAGATAACTAATGTTTTTGTGATACATGCTAACCATCCATAAAGCTCTTTCCTCTGTAATTCATGAGAGATATGCCTGCTGTATATTATATTCCTTCTTAAAAAAGTGCTCATTGACAGCTTTGTAGAAGTAACTTGTACGTCAATTACTTGCTGCATGGTGTTTTTGTTTGTGTACTCAAACTTCTATCTCTGACATTTACATTTACTTCTATACTGTACTAGTATGCTTCTAAGCAAACTCTTTTCCTTGTTGTATTTCTGCTGCTTTTCATCATTTTCTTGTATGAGGGAGAACTATTAAGGATATTAGAAGGTTGATCTTGTGTATATACATACTAGATAATTCACAAAATTTCTGTCTAGTCAAACCATGCAATTGCTTTTCAACCATCCTGGATTAGTTTATAGTAAATACTTATGTAGTCTCCTATCCATAGAAGAAGGCAGGTGGTTTGCAGGAAAGTGCATCCCACATTAGGTAGTTAATTGAATCTAAACTGAATGGACATTGCATTTTGTGTTGGTTTTAAGGGCAGTGTTTGAAACACAGACCTAATGTTTTTGGCACTGCAACAATGTACAACTTTCCTGTAGTGTTGCATTGGATCTTTCATTCTCACAGCATCTATTTTGTAGATACACCCCAGGTATGTCACGCAGACAGCTTTTTCCCGACATGCAACCGGAGCTGAATGTTGACAACGACAGCATATGTTTTGTGGAACGTGGAGGTTCATTCAACTGCTCAAACTTTCTTGACATTGATAGGATTTCTTCATCAGGAAATTCATGTGAAGATGAAACATACGAAAGGTATATCCTTTGTTAGCAAATTATTTCATCTTGCTTACTGTCGCCATCATTTTGGAAAATACTGAGTATCAATCTTATCCTATTCTATTTGGTGATCAAAGATCAACTCTTATTGGATCTTCCTCTATTGGGTTGTCTTCTGGTGAAATCAGAGTGGATAGAATCCCGTCCTGTCCGTCGGGTTCAAGTTTGAAGGTCAGTTAACTTGCTTGAATCTTCTTGTTTAACATGCATTCTTGACACATAGTTTGTTGTTCCAGGGAAAGGAGGTGGCTGCTGGTGATGTTAACCACGGTGGTGACTATTCCCAGCCGTTTTTGCAATGGATTGCTAGTGATAATCTGCTCTTTCATTTTTGATACAGATACATATATACATACATGCATATTTGGTACTCTCAAAATTGTACAGGTGCAGTTTCTCCAAAGTTATGGGTCAATCATATTTATAATAATGTTATTGTTATTTTTCCGTTACTGCAATTCTTCTTCGTTTTATTTTTCTTTACCCCCTTCTGTGATTACAGTTCTTTGTAATCTTATTTGGGTTCGGTTCTTGATTGCCATATTAACTCTTACGATTGAAATTTTAGAACCACACTGTGAAGAAGATGATCAGAAAGAAATGAAACAGGTAGTTTGATTGGTAGGTGAATCAGTCCATTTCTAATACATGAAACTAGTAAGATGAAATGCAAGACTATTCACGGCAATAATGGCAATATAAATGCCCAAACATTAATCTAACTGCAATCTTGGACTTGCGTTGTGCTCAGGATATGGCAATCTGTACGGTCTTGGACTTGGAGGGCGGCGGCGGCAGCTTCTCCACCACCACCGTCAGCACCCCATTCTCACATTTCGCGCTAATAGCCGACAAATTGCAATTCTCCGGTAGCCGGAATTTCCTCATCAGCTTCTGCGCCGCCGGCGGCTTCCTCTCCAGCCTTATGTACTTGCATCCTTCTTCTTCATCCAATCCGTTCTCCCTTTTCCTCTTCCCGTTGCTCTTCAACACCAGCGTGTTCTCATCCTCCACAGTCACCTGCATTCACACCCCAAAATCATATTAATACCTTTTTTCTTTTTCGATAAAAAAATTCTTCAAACCCCAACAGCTTCTGAGAATTGAGAAGGGTTACTTTCCCGTACCTGAATGTCGGATTTGGACAGGCCAGGAACGTCTACGTAGAAGAGGTATTCCTTGGGAGTCTCCAGAATGTCCGCCGGAAAACCAGCGGATCCGCCGCCCGTTAGGTGTTGCTGGGTGCTGCTATCATTGGAGCGCGAAGCTGAGTGCATGAGTTTCTCAACCGCATCCGGGAAATTGAGCAGCTCGGTCATGGCTTCCACCACAGAGCTCATGGCTTCCGTTCCGAGATTCTCTCAAGCCTAGAAAGTGCTCGATGAAATACAGTTGCAGTGACGCTGATTCCTGATTGGGTTAGCGAGTCTCTGTTCTGTTCTGCTCTACTCAAACTCTTAAAACGGGTGAAGGAACGTTCGAGAGGAAAACTCCAAGAAGAGTCTAGAAGGGACGGGCAGTACCTGGATAAGCAAGCAAGGGGACACTTGGTTCCATTAAAAGCGCATCGTCATCCTCTTGCTACTATTATTGGAAGAACGTATTTTTATCAAACTATTCAAGACTTTGAATTACGTAAGAAAAAGTCAGAAAGGTCTTTTTTTTTCTCTCCCATTTTCCATGCCCAAATTTGTCTTCTAAATCACAAGTCTTTATGAATGATCACTGTATTTGATTGCAGGCAACGCGGCGTGGCAAGACAATGGATGTGGTATGACTGATGGAGGCTGTGTCTGTGGTACCATGAGGTGAATATCATCTTCCATCAATGAAATTCGATTACAGCTTTGAGATACCTAATGAGTTTAACTGCTTGGATTCCTATTTTGGGCTTGGGCTTGTGTTTGAGATTGGGTTAATTTGATTAGGGTTTGTAGTTTAAATTTCATGGACACGCACATTACCTGAACCTGAGCTGATAGGAATTTATGGGCCGTTGGTTGTGTTGTGTTATTTCACTCAGCATCCAAGTGATTATTGGGCCACCAAAGAGATGAACCCCCCAATGACACTTAGATTTTTTTTTTTTTTTTATTAAGAAGTTGAATTTGATCATGTGAATTCAGTGGAAGATGCCAAAAGAGTGTTGTTTCTAGGAGGCAGCAGCTCCCTGCAACTTGCTATAGATTAAGACTTTTCGTCTTTTGCTCAAGTTGCCCACTTCTTGTTGTTGCTTTCGACTTTTCCCCAACACAGTACCAAACACTGATGACTGACTGATCCATCAGATATAAAAAGGCCTAACCACCACCCCTATCCATCTCATCATGGTCGTCCATATATATTTATATTTAGTGATGTTCCAGAGGAAAAATGAATGGTGACCATCAGAGTAATAGGATTTTATTGTTTTGTTTTTTGGTTTAAATTTCAAACAGCCCCATTTGCTGTCTGTTTATATATATCCCACTTGCACATGTAATACAACCTTCAATTAAATTTTGCCTTTTTTGTTTTGAGACCCATCCCTACCGCATTGAAAGTGATGCCTAATTGTTTTATTTATGTCTCTACGTCCACGATTCCTCGCTGACATGAGAAACTTGCAAAAGTATCTTTTTGTATCCACTAGCAGTAATATACTCCTGCTGCCCTTTTGCTTTTAAACAGCATCAGCTGCTGCTCAATAACATTTATTGGGTGAGAGGACTTCTAATGCTGCCTTATATAGTGATATGTCATTCACAACCATATGCGTATGATTCAACTGTGCTAGATGCCTCCCCTGTTGATTCAACTCTTACCTCCATCTGCTCTTCTTAAGGAATTCATACACCTTGCAAAGATGGAGGTAAAAGTTTAAGTTTTGACAGATGGGGCAAAACATGTTTGGGGCAACTTGTTTGGATAACTATTCATATGTATGAAATAGACTGATTTTGACAAACTGAAGCTGTGAAAGCTGGATTCTGCTTTCTTCCCTGTTCTGAAACTAGTGGCGGGAAGGTACATCCAATAAAGTCATAATATTAAACAAGTTGTCAGAACAATTTATTCATATGATAATTGTTGATTCAAGTTGCTTCCTGTAGGGCCTACGAAGTTGTTGATTATTTCATGACCTGCTATTGTCAATTGCATATTAGTTGTTCCTTAGCTATATTACTACTCAATTAATGGGATTCGAATCAAATTGACATCTTCTTAGTTATTGCCGTGGACCACTTGCCCAGGAACCTTTGTCATTTTTGGTGCCTAAACATTTGTTGTTGTGGTCCGCGGTGCTACCAAATAATAGCCGCCCTTCTTGCTCATTTATATATAATATAGGCCAAGGAAAAAACTATAAAAGCTTAAAGGGAAATTGAGAAGTTTCTGGAGACAGCCTCCCTCCAAAATATCCTCCTTGTCCAATCTTAACCATTCATCTTTATCTCCAACCATCCTTGTCTAAGAATAAGAGCCGCCCCTTACATTCTTTATTAGGAACATCATTTAATGAATTTTTGAGCATACAACTCTATCACCCTTTCCCTATAAAAAACCATGAGCTGGTATGAATACAAACTTGCCGGGAGGCTGAGCTTATGATTTCTCTCTCTTTCTAAAGCTCGTGTTTGCCTGATTATAATATATATATATATATGTCTGCCACAATAAACATATACATATATTAGTAAGTATACTTCTTGAGAGTTCTAACTCAGGGTGGAGTAACAGTAATTCGTCCACAAGATCAAGTTTTTAGTTGAAATAGTCAGTAGAAGATGGCAACAGATGACAATGTCGGAATTGATTTTTATGCTGTATTGGGATTGCAGAAAGAATGCACAGCAACAGAGCTCAAGCATGCCTACAAGACACTTGCACTGGTCAGCATTTGAAACAACCCTCTGTAGAGTCTTTCTTTATCATATATAGTGCTTGAAATGCTCTTGGAACAACTGCATTAATATCAGCATAATCTCTATGTAATGAGAAAACATTAAGTTTTCTCTTTAAGTGGTCATTTGTGAGGATATGTGTCTCCTATGGCTGTGAACTTGAATATATTTTTCTTAAAAAAAAAAAAAAAAGGCAGCTTGTCTCTCCTGTTCTTGAATTTAAGTTTCGTGAATTGCTTTTTGTGTTACAGAAATGGCACCCAGATCGTGTCTCAGCTTCCGGGAGTTCGAGGAATGTAGAAGAGGCAAAGGGGAAATTTCAAGCCATTCAGCAAGCCTATTCAGGTATGTTGCGATCCTACCTATACCACTGTATGCCTCTTAAGCTTTTACCTCATGCATATCGATTTTGTAAAGATATTAATGATGCAATTTTCTCAGCTAAAGCAATATTCGTTCTTTTCTTGAACCTGATTGCTAGGAGAAAGAAATAGTATTTACTTGAAAAAGTTAATCAAGTGATGATGTATCATCTTCACAATTGCTTTGGATCTCGATGCACTGTTTGTTGCAGCATCATTTTACTTTAAATTCCAGATCAGCATGCCTCTATAAACTTCCCTTCCCATTTTGATGTGTGTATAGGTTATATATGTACTCAGTGCTCGTTGTCTAAAGCACACCACTCCTGCAAGTTGTATTCATTCGTAAATCATGACTAACTCACTCGATGCTGTTGTTCCCAGTTCTTTCAGATGCCAACAAAAGGTTTCTGTATGATGTAGGAGTCTATGACAGCAATGATGATGACGACGAAAATGTCAGTGCATTACATGTGACCCCTTTTATTGTTTGCTATTGTGTGGGCATGAAATCAAAAAGTCACTGTTATTTTATGGACCTCTTTTCTTCACACTTTCAAACTAATTATATCAGCTTATCCGATTATCTGTCGGTTGTCCTTTCTACAGAGGAAAAACAAACAAACAAACTTTTTATCATTGCTGTTGGATGATCAAAAGTTGAGCTATTACAATTTGACAAACGGATGATGCAACTTGTTGTTGGATGCATTCAACTCCTCTTTACAATTTGACAAACTTTATGGACCTCTTTTCTTAACATTTATTGTTTTTAATGGTTACAAGTTTTGTACGTGACATAAGTGTATAAAGTTGTCGTCCAAATGTGGTCCTGTGAGAAATGGCACATTTAACATGATGAATTTCCTCCCCCCAACAAAAAAGGGGTTGGGGGATTGATTGCTTTTCCTATGATTTCCTTGAATTTTAGTGTTCCATGTGAATGATTAAAAAGTGCTTTGCTGATGTAAACCCTTTTTTTTTTACGGCTTTCAATTTGCAATACGAGCACAAATAAGGGTTTTAATCTTGCGTATGTCAATGCAGGGCATGGGCGAATTCTTGAATGAAATGGTATCGATGATGAACCAAACTGAGTGTGATGTAAGTCCCTCTCACTTGTGTAACATTTACTTTTCTTTTCTCCTAAATTTATGCGAAGGTTTCATCAAGTATATGTAACACTGAGGTCTTGTCGGCTGGTGGGTGGCCTTGTGGAAAGTAGCCAAGATGAAACTATTCCATGCTAAAACTTTGAGCTAGCTACGCCATTACATATTTACATTTTAGCGAAGAAGCCTTTGGAGCATTTAGATTTTCTTTCTGTAAGAATCAACAACCTCCCATATCGGGTGTGCATATCAACATCAATTTCTAACATGGCGGGCTCAAGGGGTAGAGCAAGTTATGAAAGAATTCTTATTTATGTTGTATTTGGGGGGGTACACATGAAGCCTATGGCTGAGTGGTGTTGCAATATTCAAATGTAGTTGTATGGTTGACAGGAAGGAGACAGCTTTGAAGAATTGGAAGAATTGTTTGATCAAATGCTTCGGGGTGACATGGAGGCTATGTTTGGTTCTTCTTGTTCTGCTGCACCTCCCACACCTTCAACCTCCATGTCTTCTTGCAGCGAGACCTACACTGTTACCAACAAGAGGAACTCATCTGAGATGAGCCCCTGCAACCCGAGGGATGAGTCTGTGCAAGGCTTCTGCTTTGGAGCAGTCGGAACATATGAGAAACATTTAAATGGTAGGAAGAATACAAGGAAAGGGAGGAGGTAGCTTGTAGGAGACTGATAGATATCATCACCACTGGTTTATTCAGTAATTGTATCACCAATGAATGCAAGACAATGACCTCATGGATTATAGCTTGAGAGCATTATATCACCAGCTGAAGCTGAATCATTGAAGAGGATAGGGACAATGGTTGAGGCATCCCGAGCACGGAGAGACTGTTGCAACTGTTGACTATATTTAACTGTGGCCATGCCTCTTTCGTCTTCAGCTTTTGGTGTTGTCTGAATCTGTATTGTCTCACAGCCACAGGTAGTTTGGGCTGCCTGCTTGTTATGTTTGTCTTGAATTGGTGATTTTAACCAAAATGCCACTCTATTGAAACTTTAATTAGAACATCTTTCATCATTGTAAAAACATTTCAATTATGCATTTAGTTTGCAATTAATATTATAAACACATCTAATCATGTACATTGTCCTGAGTTAGTTACTATTCTATGAGTATATTTACTATCATTGATAATATAATACTTATGGATAATCAACTTATGAACTAATACAACAATCTCAAGAATCATAATTGTAACCCCCTGTTTTATTACTTAATATCCTGAATTACCAAATTATATATTACATCTGCAAACAGTAGCCTTTCACTGGTGTAGCTTTACATTTAAAGAATGATAAGCTAACATCAACTATATATTATTATTATATTTATTTATTTATTTTTAATCTTATTTCTATTTCCCTGGTGTTTGAATGACTTTGACTTGTTTGAATTCCAATTAAAAAATGGGGAGGCCACAATATGGTGCCATTTGTGTCCACTGCATTGACAAAAGAAAAGATGGGATCTTCACTCTTTGTTTTTATTTATTTGGTGACTTCAGCATCAGCACTTCTGCGTGTCTGATTCTTGAAGCTGACATGGTCCAACAAGTCACACACAAATGGCTTTTCTATTCGAAGGCATTGTAATGAAACCAATTAATTTTTTTAACACTCATTTTTCCCATTGACTGTGCAGACCTTACACTATCCAGAGCATTGCTGCTGAATGCTGACAAGCAGATGAGTCGATTCCAAAACTTTTTAGAGTTTGAAAATGTTCATTTGCAGCTGAAATCGAGTGCCGGCTGTGAAAGTCAAGTTTGATGTTTGGCCTGCCAATTATATAATTAGATGCTTGTCATTACAATACTACTGCATTTTGACTGACCTTGTTATTGAAATAGCTCCAGTTTCTCTATGAAATGAATCAATGATACGCCCATTCTTGCTTTCCAACTGTTTTAGACATTAAACCGTTTTTCAGTTACTTTTCTAGTCAGTGCGCTGACAGTTCTAGTTTGAAATCATGGCTGATCATTCGTTGGAGATGGAGACTGAAACTGAAACTTCATGGATGGATAATTGGGAAAGGCCAAGGCACAATACTCCTGCCCGATCTCAGCATATCTCCACTTATCCAAGCCCGAGCTCTTATATTTTCTCACGTGACCGGACACCATGGAGGAAGAGAAATCCTACTCCTGCCAGCCCTTTTGCCACAGATGATGACAGATTATGGCAAGGAGAGCTATCATGGCAGTTTGAAACAACAGGTTGGCGAGAAAATCTTAACCTTGGGGCGGCACTTAGTCCTTGGGCTGCCAATTCAACTAGCCCTCTATCCACCGGGAGCAGCAGGATTTTCAAAAGATCAGCCAATGACTACTATCTTTCGCGAGGTTTCCACACCTTTGGCAATCCCTACTACGATAATTCTTATTCAGGCTATGATCCATTGCCTTCAGGGAGTAGGCTGGGGCTCCAAAGTCATGGTGCTAATGGAGGAAGTGCTGAAGATCGTTCCCCTTTAGCTGATAAAGATGAGCTGAGCACTGCAGACAATTGTGACACTGAAGACATAGATCATCAAATTTGCTTGATTAAAACTCTTGATGACTATGAGCATCATCAGGAGCAACGATGGTTTTCTGTGTCACATGCTTTTTTGGATGAAAATGTCAGCACAGTCGATAGAAACAATCATTTTCCTCATGGATTAAGACATGATCATGAGGGGCATCACGACCATAATGCTAGCAATGCTCATCGGTGCCCCTTGCATTCAGTCAAGCAGTCGGCAAGTAATCTGAGCAGCGTTGATATTAGACATTTCAACTTTGTTCATGATCAAGAATCCATGATAGAGGATGACAACGAAGATGACGCAGTGGCACCAAAATCTGTTGGGCTTTTCAGCTTGTTTAGGTATTCATCTAAGCTGGATTTAGTACTCATAATGTTTGGCTGTTTGGGAGCTTTTATCCATGGAGGTTCTCTTCCATGGTATTCTTTCCTTTTTGGGAATTTTGTCAACAAACTTGCCAGTGGACAAGATCTCAATAAGCAACAGATGATGAAGGATGTGGATAAGGTAACACATTTTTGTCCATGCTCTGATAATATTTCAGATATATATATAAAGATTTGCAAACCTTTAAAACATTTACTTATTTGTAATCCAATGGTGGGATGCTTGATCACATCAGATATGTCTGCTTATGACTGGATTAGCTGTGGTGGTCATGGTGGGAGCTTACCTTGGTAAAGCACAGATTCTTTTCTTCTCTTCTGTTCCTCTTGTGTTACATAAAATTTCTGTCCCGAAAAAGCTAACTGATTTCAGTCTTCTCTATATGAACCAAAGAGATAACTTGCTGGAGATTGGTCGGTGAGAGAGCTGCTCATAAGATACGAACAGAGTACCTAAAATCAGTTCTGCGACAGGACATAGAATTTTTCGACACACAAATCAGTACAAGTGATATCATGCATGGAATCTCAAGCGAAATCGTACAAATCCAAGAAGTGATGGCAGATAAGGTTGACACTGATATTTGCCTCTAAGCTGCTTACAATTCATCGATACATGCAATTTCAATATTGTTTGCGAACCTTTGGAAGCTACTTTCTCAACATATTAGACCTGTCTCTTGTGCTAACAGATGGCTCATTTTGTTCACCATATATTCACCTTCATCTGCGGCTACATGGTTGGTTTCATGAAATCTTGGAAAGTTTCCTCAGCAGTTTTTTCTGTGACACCATTGACGATATTCAGTGCTACTGTTTATAAGGCCGTATATGGTGGCCTAGCTACAAAAGAAGAGGTAACAATAACATGAATGAATGCACACGACGGTGTACTGCAATAGATTCTTCATATAATGATTTTGGTGATATTGTCCTTTTTCCATCTTAAAGGGCTCTTACAGGAAAGCAGGAGGCCTTGCAGAACAAGCGATAGCTTCTATCAGAACTGTGATCTCTTTTGTAGCAGAGGATGTCATAGCTGAGAAGTATGCCAAGTTTCTTGATCAGTCAGTACCTATAGGGGCGAAGCTCGGCTTTTCCAAGGGCGTAGGAATAGGAGTGATATACCAAATTACATATGCTACATGGGCACTAGCTTTTTGGTATGGCTCTATTCTAGTCTCACAGAAACAGCTCACGGGTGGTGATGCGATTGCCTGTTTCTTTGGTGTAAATGTCGGGAGCAGGTAAAGTACTTCACTTGAATTAATGATCTTTTGAAACAATGGAGGCCTAATCAGTGGTGATTTCTTTTGTATTCTAGGGGCTTGGCATTGGCCTTATCGTATTTCTCTCAGTTCTCACAAGGGACCGTAGCTGCAAGCAGGGTGTTTGAAGTGATTGATAGAGTTCCAGATATTGATCCTTATAGTATTGAGGGAAGGAAACCATCAGGGGTACATGGAAAATTAGAATTTAAAGGTGTTTCCTTTGCTTATCCATCTCGTCCGACTATTCCTATTCTCCACTCTCTTAGTTTAGTTATCCCGGCATCTAAAACTCTGGCATTAGTCGGAGCTAGTGGGGGTGGAAAGTCGACTATTTTCGCTCTTATAGAGAGGTTTTATGATCCAAACCAGGGTGAGCAGAGTTAAGAGGCTTTTTCCATTTTCTAGCATAAAGAGTTTTGGGAGTATAAGATATTACCTTACAAATTCTCTATAATTTTTTTCAGGTTTTATAACTTTAGATGGTTATGATTTACGAACATTGCAAGTGAAATGGCTTAGAAAGCAGATAGGCATGGTTGGACAAGAACCAGTTTTGTTTGCAGCAACCATACTCGAAAATGTGATGATGGGAAGGGAAAATGCAACCAAGAAAGAAGCGATTGCTGCTTGCATTGCAGCTGATGCTCACAGTTTCATATCTTGCCTTCCATTAGGCTACGATACCGAGGTTAACATTGTTTTGTTTTGCTGGAGATTGAGGGACTCAATCATATAAAAGAATGCTAATAATGCTCAAAACTGTGTTTTCAGGTTGGAGATCGAGGGACTCTGTTATCTGGTGGCCAAAAACAACGTATAGCACTTGCACGAGCTATGATCAAAGATCCCAAAATCCTCCTTCTGGATGAGGCCACGAGTGCATTGGATCGCGAGTCTGAAGCCGTCGTTCAAAAAGCCATAGATAAGATATGTGTAAGCAGAACAACAGTTATCATTGCTCACAGGTTAGCTACCGTTAAGAATGCTCACAAGATAGTTGTGCTTAACCATGGTTCAGTAGTTGAAACTGGAAACCATCATAAGCTCATGAAGAAAGCCGGCGCTTACTATGATCTTGTCAAGTTGGCTTCTGAAGGAATCTCACAACCTGTGACAAACCAAAACAATCAAGTGAAGAAGTTGGATTTGCATGAGGACATATTAAGTGTAAGAAACATGTATGAAACATCGAAAACCAGTTACATGAGATCTGAGCAAGAAGCAAACGAGTTAGAGGAGAAGGAAGAAAATGTAACAAAGTTGGAAAGATATAAACTTGCAGATGTTTGGAGCTTGCAGAGACCAGAAACCAGTATGCTGATCATGGGATTTATTTTAGGTATGCTTGCTGGTTCAATTCTATCTATATTTCCTTTAGTTCTGGGACAAGCTCTGAAAGTCTACTTTGACCCCAACATTCAAAAGTTGAAGAAGGATGTTGGCAACCTCTGCTTAGTGCTGGTTGGACTCGGATTGGGCTGTATAATCTCCATGACAGGCCAACAAGGATTCTGTGGTTGGGCCGGTACAAAGCTTACTAGACGAGTAAGGGACTTGTTATTCAAAGCTATATTAAGACAGGAACCTGGATGGTTTGATGCTAGTGAGAATTCTACAGGGGTACTTGTGACAAGGCTGTCGACTGACTGTCTTAGCTTCCGGTCAGTTCTTGGTGATCGTATATCTGTCCTACTAATGGGCTTGAGTGCCGCAGCCGTTGGTTTAGGGGTGTCATTTTATCTTCAGTGGAAACTAACTTTGTTGGCTGCTGCAGTGACACCATTTACACTTGGGGCAAGCTATTTAAACTTGATCATCAATATCGGCCCAAAATTGGACAACAACTCCTATGCCGCAGCCAGCACCATTGCTGCTGGAGCAGTGTCGAGTATAAGAACTGTGGCAACGATTGGTGCACAGTACCGCGTAGTTCAGTCTTTTGATCAAGCTTTAGCTGAGCCTAAAAGAACAGCAGTCAGAAGATCTCAAATTCTTGGATTAGTACTTGGCCTTTCTCAGGGTGCCATGTATGGAGCTTACACATTGACTCTCTATTTTGGTGCCTATCTTGTAAAGGAAGGGGAGACAAACTTTGGAGTTGTGTACAAGATTTTCTTGATACTTGTACTCAGTTCATTCTCGGTTGGACAACTAGCTGGTCTTGCGCCGGATACTTCAATGGCTGCAACTGCCATACCTGCTGTCTTCAAAATTCTTAAGCGCAAGCCGTTAATAAGAAGTGATCACAAGAAAGGAAGGAAGCTTGAAAGCTCAAAGCCACTTGATGTGGAGTTCAAAAAAGTCACATTTGCATATCCATCCAGGCCAAACACTATCATTTTAAACAACTTCAGCCTCAAGATCAAGTCAGGAACAATGGTTGCATTGGTGGGAGGAAGCGGATCAGGAAAGTCGACAGTTACATGGATGATACAGAGGTTTTATGATCCTACAAAGGGGAAAGTTTTGATGGGAGCAGTTGATATAAGGGATCTCGACGTAAAGTGGCTAAGGAGAAAGATAGCCTTGGTGGGGCAGGAGCCATCTCTCATTGCAGGTAGCATAAGAGACAACATTGCATTCGGCAGGCCTAATGCGTCATGGGCTGAGATTGAAGCAGCTGCAAAAGAAGCCTACATTCACAACTTCATCTGTAGTCTCCCTCAAGGATATGAAACAGAGGTCTTTCTCACATCAATATGAATTTCCCTTTATCCTAACATATGACCTTTAAGAAGACAAAGATTCATTATCTTCATTTCATTGCAGGTTGGTGAGAGTGGAGTACAGTTATCCGGAGGGCAGAAGCAGAGAATTGCTATCGCAAGAGCCCTTATAAAGAAGTCGAAGATTCTGCTGCTAGATGAAGCAAGCAGTGCTCTAGACTTGGAGTCCGAAAAGCATGTCCAAAATGCACTTAAAAAGGCATCCCTGCGAGCCACCACTGTAGTGGTGGCTCATCGTCTCTCGACTATCAGAGAGGCTAATTTCATTGCCGTTTTGAGAGATGGTGCCATTGTCGAATATGGGGATCATGAAACACTAATGGCATCCCGCGGTAATGGCATCTATGCTGGCTTGGTTCATGCAGAAACAGAAGCACTGGCTTTTACTTGAGCTGTGCATATATGTATAAAAGAGCTGTCAAGAACATGGAAAAGCGGTAAAAAGTGGTTCTCATTATCAAATCAAGTGTTAATTTTCTTCATTGTAAAACCTGTCTACCTTCATCAGTTTGATCAATCAAATAGATATCAGAATGCAAGATCAATGGAATGTTCTCTCTTGCAAGGAACAGTAGTCATTGTATCGAAACACCTCAAGGGTAACCATACACCAATAATCCAGTTTAGTTATAGAACATAGAATTCAAGCCCCACAATTACCAAACATTAGAGGATCGTAACTCTGATGCATTCCCAAATCTATGTTCTATTCCATGCAATGATGATAAGAATGAATTCAACTTGTTTTGATTTTCATAGTGATTATATAAGCCTGCAGCCTGCTACTATTCTTTTAAATTCCCTTCAACCTTAATAGGCTTGAACTTTGCTGGTTTACTTCACCTGTTAACAATCAGATCAAGGCAATAAAAACATTGGTAGAACAAAGAACACCAGCTCAAAGAGTTCCCACAGGATCAAGAACAAGAGTTCACTATGGCATACAACATCAAATCAAGATAACATCCCAATACCATATGGGAGTTGAATTTGATTGTCGTTATCTACATAGTACACAATATAACCAGAAAAAATCACAGCTCTTTTAAATCTATATGACAATAGAAACGGCAGGACAAAATGAGGAAGAATGGAAAACATAGTGGCATTCGACTATGGACAATAATATGTGATGGTATTTACAATTTCAGTACTCTCTGAAAGTTAGATTCAAGCGGCCTGGTTTAAGATTTGTTTCCTCCAACAGACCCTTAGGAGCAGTGCCAGGAATGATGGAACTGACTCCATGAAATATATTCCTCGAGTCACCACCAAAAACTAAGACATCCCCTGATTCCAATTCGACTTCATCTGCCTTCTCAATGTCCCTGTGATCTCCAAACAGAAATTTAGCAGAGTCCCCAAGCGAGAAAGAAACAACAGGAAGCCCCTTGCGTATACTTTCTTGACTTTCATCCTTGTCCTGCGTAAGTAAGAATGGTTTTCAGTAACACTAGTTGAGAACTAGCGAGCTGTAAGAATTGCAGCAAATGCAGGTCACTTCAGAAATAATGATTTATATACATCCTGGGTGTGATGTGCGTTCCTTTTACAGTGGCTCAGAAAAGAAGTGGGCAATTGCAACTAAAAGAACAAGCAACGGATTGGATATTTAAAACATATATTATACTAACAAACATATAACACCAAAATCAGAATTGCAATGAATTGACATTCTGACCTGATGAAGACCAAGCCTGCCAGTCCTCGTGTAAAAGTTGATGATGCAGACGTTTGGAGACATAGATGGAATAACACTTCTAGAATTCTTTCCTTCATTGCGGGCATCTAAATAATCATGGCAATCCTGAATTGATTTTTTAACCAACCCCAGAAATTCATCAGGAATAGGTGGAGGTTTGGCTTCATCTACAGACCGTTTATCACAATATGTGCTTGTCTCAGGATCCCAATGCTTGCCAAGGCACATCATCTTCAAGTGTAAGGTTGCCCCATCACGGTAACCAGGTTGGTAAAAACCTCCAGGTTTCCGCCCAAGGTCTCTGCACGACTTTACCAATTTGACCTAAGTAGACACAGAGCAGAATTATTGAGGTAGAACAACAACACAATGACGAGCAACGAAAAATGCTTCATAAAGTCCATTTGTTAAACATTCATAGTAATCACTTTCACTAATCTAATGTTCACCCATGCTTCAACTTTCAGGGAGAAAATTACTTTTTTCCTCATTTTATTTTCATAGAAGGACTTAATTATCTTCAACACCATACCATAGACCAACAAACTTCCTAGTGGTTGCATTGTGAATTTTTTCATGCTATAGACAACAGAAAATCAAAAAATGAAACAACAGAAAATCAAAAAATAAAACAACAGAAGCACACTCCAGCGGTACAAAGATGCTGTAAAGATCATCTCACCTGATCCTTCAAGGCAAGAAAGCCCTTTAAAAGTATCATGCCAGGCCGAAAAACCTTTATATTTTCACCTTGCATACGACGCTTTGTTTCATTTCTCATAGCTTTATTCTTTACAAGCATAGAGGGCTTGAGCGTCACACCAATTTTATCTCGCACCTCACATATGTCGAACGATAATCCCTTGCTTTGCAACGGAGTATTCTCATACTCAACCTTACTCCTAGTTTCCTCACTATTCCTACTTTGAACCTCCTCAGATAATTGGCCAGCTTGGAAACTAGAGCCTATCCTTTCAGAAAGTTCACCTTCCTTACAAGTATCTTCCTTCTTGCCACAATATTGCACTGTCTGGGCCATCTTCATACCCAGAACAGGTTCGCCTGATATTGCAGGAACTTCATTATAATAACCTGGACCAATAACGGGTTCTGAAACAGATAGTTTGGGTGCTGGATTTGATGATATGTTTCCAACTCCAATGGTTTCAGAATTTGAGTAATGCTGCTGATCTGACATCAATGTATCGTCGAATTTCTGAGTCACATCATCAACCAATGCTGTTCCCAAGTCCCTGCCCTGACTATTGGCAGAGTCAGCTATTGAAGTTGATGCAGCATCACCAGAATGAGCTCCAACCTGAAAATTACAATAATAAAGCTTCCAATTTTGATCACAAAAAGAAGTGACTAGACCTGGCAAGTCTTCGTTAAACACAAGCTACGAACTACATATTTCAACAACTCAAAGAAATCGTATAGGCTCCAAAGTATCACCTAATTTTCATATATAAAACCTTTCAAACATATTTTGTCACTTTCCATTCTCCTAACAACTAGACTATTAATGGGTACAGGTATCAGTAGCGATCAGCCTATATCAGAGCTCGATAACTTACAGCGCTGTTACGAACGACGTAGCGACCCACAGATCGTTGAGATCGCCCTCGAGAGCCAAAATTCCTTCCGCCACTTCTAACTCCACGACTTCTACCTCCACGGTTGCCCCCACCACCAGGGTTCATCATGCAAGACGAGCGACGGCTAAAACGCAGCGGTTACAGACAGGCACAATAATAGTACTGCAGACCTAAAACCCGATAGAATTGCCACTGATTAGCGCGGGATCGAGGAGACGAGAAGATATACGCAATGTCTGAGAATTCCAAAAGGCGTCAGCAGTGAATGAAACTTGCGACACAGAGCAATCCACGGGTCGGAACCGCCCTACCCAAGTAGGACCATTTTCAAATATGGGCTGAACTAATTTTATAAATGGGCCTGAACAAATCATTTTGGATTATAGGCCCAACAGCCCAGTAATTAGCCGCACCATTTTTTAAATTTTTTTCTAATAATCAAAGCCTGTATACGGAGTAATTATTAGTATTAATTTTAGTAAATACAAAAAGGGCGATGATCGTGGGATTTGATACGTACGATAATTCGTAGACTTATTTATAGTCTGCACCGAAATTACGGATGGTGCAAACATTTGCGCCTTGCCTTCGCCGCAGGAAATTCAATAAATGCAACCCACCTTCAATTCTTCAATCATTTTCCCTTTCCTTTCCTCTAAATCTGGGCCTGCCTTGCCTTGCGATTAGATCGTTCAAATTCTGCTGCCCAAGTGCCATTCTTCACGATTTGTTGAAATTGCCACACCATTTGAACATCTTCGACTCTTCCCGACGCGCTGGCAGTGGGGCTCATATATTTGGTTTGTATCGTCTGATTTTCTGAATTTTGCCTTCTCTATTTGTTTTAGATTCAGATGTTTCAGATGATGGTGACTGGTTTTGATTCACACGGAGGATTTGAGCTTAATTGACGTATCTTGTGCGCAATGAATCGTTGGCAAAAATGCTCCAAGTTTTCATTAGCATTTGCGGCATTTTCCCTCTATTTGAATCAAGGCTGGGAAAGTAAAAAGAGAATTCAAGTTTGGGTTTTTAAGCATTTCTGGACCGGAATTATATAATCATGTGTTAAGATTTTTCAAATATAATGCAGCAGTAATGAAGAATGTACTTATGAGTTAGCGCCAAAGGTTTTTTTTTTGGTAGTTCAAATGAAGAGTAATGCAGCAGCATTTTCCTGATACTGGACATGTTTTTGTAAGTGTGTAAAATTCACATGGAAATGAGGATATTGATTGATGGAAAGCACATTACTTTTCACCCTATGATCTCATGCTCCTATTTGGACCAACATTATTTTTTTAATGTTTAACTTGAGTGTAAATTTGGAGTACTGTGTTCTTTAGAATTCATGTATCTATCTCATTATTAAGATGTTAGAAATTTTCCAGTGTCCTGTATTTTCTACCACATCTTTTACTATTATGACAATTCTCTGCTCTTATGAATTGACTAATTAATTTAGTAAAACTCTTACAGTTGTGAGCTCTTGAAATAAAGATGGTGAAATTGACTATGATTGCTCGTGTCACTGATGGCCTTCCGCTAGCAGAGGGACTGGATGATGGCCGGGATGTTCCGGAGAATGATTTTTACAAGCAGCAAGTTAAGTCGTTGTTCAAAAATCTCTCAAGGGGGCAGAATGAACCTTCCAGAATGTCTATTGAAACAGGGCCATACATATTCCAGTATCCTTTGGCAGGTTTAAGATTGAGTTATGATATATCTTACCTTTTTTTACCGGAAAGATCAAAGAGGGTTATGATAAATCTTATCCTTTATTGTTCACAAATGCGTATATATACAAGAAACTGGATCTACTTCAACATTCCACAGATTATGGAAACTCCTACGAATGCATATTTGCTATATATATATACATATATATGTATATATCAAAGGCTCTTATGGGCATTGCATATTTCGTGTATTCTTGATGAATTGGTGTTATGCTCGAGCAATGACCAGCTTTTATTTCTTAAAATTATTTTTCCGGGGCATGCTTGTAATGTAAGGTGTTTGAGTGATGCTTAAGGATCAGTTTGTTTTCAAAACTCAAAAGAACTCATTCCTATTTGAATTTAGAATTGTTGCTTCCATCTTGACTGAAAAAGTTACGACCTTAACTTGGGTTCCTAGTTATATTATTGAGGGTCGTGTTTGCTACTTGACAATGTGTGATCGTGCTTATCCTAAGAAGCTTGCTTTTCAATATCTGGAAGACCTTAAGAATGAATTTGAACGTGCTTATGGGAATCAGATCGAAACTGCTGCAAGGCCTTATGCTTTTATCAAATTTGGTGGGTTATTATCTTTCTTTCTTTCTTTTATACATCTTTTCTCTGTTTTTCAGTGTTTCTTATCATGCATGTCAAAGTAGGAATTTTACTTTTATTCTTCTTAGGTATATGATACTAACACTAATTTCATGTGATGTGCCAGATACATTCATACAGAAAACGAAAAAACTGTACCAAGATACGAGAACACAGCGCAATATTGCAAAGTTGAATGATGAACTATACGAAGTTCACCAGATAATGACTCGCAATGTACAAGAAGTGCTTGGTGTTGGTGAAAAGTTGGACCGTAAGTTGGCCTTTTCTCTTTTTATCTCTTTTTACCAATGCTTTTACTTCTCAGCCAAATGTCTGGCATTTGTTTTGAATTTGGGGACTGAATATGATTCTAAAACCAATCTACTTTCAGAGGTTAGTCAAATGTCCAACCGTTTGACATCTGAGTCCCGCATATATGCTGAGAAGGCAAAAGATCTGAACCGTCAGGTTAGTTAGTTTGTTTTTGTTGGTGTTATTACTGATTAAGAGTCCTAAATTTTATTGTTTGGTTGTGGACTGCAGGCATTGATTCGGAAATGGGCCCCTGTTGCTGTTGTACTAGGAATCGTTTTCCTCCTTTTCTGGGTTAGAAACAAGTTCTGGTGATGATACATCCCATCCGCCTGCACTATATCGGCTGTTTTGACCTCCTACACAATCTGCAATTCCTGATCCATGATTGTGATTTATCTTTCCTCATCACTATCAAAAGCTCTGGTCGGTCTCAAGGATTAACATTAACTTATCTTGGAGGATGCCTGATGCCACATATTTACCCATTAGCCTCTCTTAAAAACCTGACTATATCATGCTCGGTCTCATATATTTGTTTTCTGCACATATCTACACACCGTAAACATGTTGCCAAGATTATTGGTGAAGTTGGCATAGATGCTTGAGGAACAATCCTCCAAGAGTGGATCATATTTGCAATGGTGATTGGGGAGCTGTAGTCTAAGCTTGTCAAACCAAATGAGATCTTGGCTATCGATGATAACTGAGTTACCTGAATGCTGTTGTTTTGTACTGTGGATCTGCCGCCACAGCTTCTTGAGTAGGGCTTAGCTTTGTAGATTGAACAGCTGCTCAGATTTGTAGGATTTTTGTTCACATAAAGCTCTAAGATAACTTACTGTGCAACAATTTATATAGAAGTTAAGCTGAAAAGGAATTGTGTATGAATCTGCAGTGCTGATTATTTTCTTAGCTATTCATTTTATCATTTGATATAATGAGTGTTGACAATCACAGTGATAATCAGAGTCTTATGATTATTGGAAAACAATCAAACAATCAATGAATCCAGTTGATGCTGGACATTCTTGTAGCTGTAGATGGTGATCAGAGTCGTAGTTCAGATCAGGTAGACCACTTTCATTCCTTGTATGGTGCGAACAAAATGGATGAGTTATGTCCCCCAAATCCAAAAGAATTAGAGGCTGCTACTTTCACTTCTAACTCTTCCCTCTTTGATCCCACCAGTATTCTTGCATCCTCTGCTGACTGCATTTGCATTTCCATTCCCATCTTTAGAACACAAATGGACTCAATGTAAACACAAGATATAGCATAGCAACTTGTACCAGGCTTTCATTTGGCTGTTCGAAGTTGATATTCGGATGGATCAACCCCGTCTGTATCGCCTATATTACAAGAAAACAAACATCATCGCTGATCGGAAAAGCACCACAACTCCAAAAAGGTCTTGGAAGAACACTACCTTGACAGTCGCAACAGCTTCAACAGCACCAGCCGCGCCAAGTAAATGACCGATCATGCACTTCGTGGCGTTCATCCGTAGCTGCAAAAGAAACCGGAACAGGGCTCTGTAAAAAGATCCCAGATTATGTGATTGTTACAGTGACAAGCTCTTGAAGAAACCACCTGACTGTTTTGCCTGAAACATTGAACAACAGCACGGTATTCTTCCATATCGGATGGCATCGATATTGCATGCGCGTTTATGTAGTTGACGTCTTCCCTGGCCACGCCTGATTCCTCCAATGCCTTCTCCAGACAATGGACAATCCCACTCCCTGAATATCATCATCTATGTTAAGACAACAAAAATGTCGAATGAAATTAAGATAGACTGATGCAGTTATCACCATCAGGGTGTGGCCTATTTATGTGATATGCATCGCACGTGAAGCTTCCTCCAAGAAACTCTGCATAGATCTTCGCACCTCTCATCTGCCATAATTGTTTCAAGAGTTGAAAACTTTAGCTTCAAGCTGAGATTACTGGAAAAATCAAAGCAAAATACACACAACATCAAGTGTTGATAATACCTTGGCATGCTCTAGTTCTTCCAATAGCAGCACGCCGGCGCCTTCGCCTAGTACAAATCCATCAGAGCCCTACTCACAAACACCATTATTTTGAGATAAACAGTTCAGAACATATTAATCTGCAAAGCTAATGTGTTTTAACTCACCGCGTCCCATGGACGAGATGCTTTTGCTGGATTATCATTCCTGCAAGACAGGACTTTGCAGGCTGCCAATCCTCCCATTCCTGCAATAAAACTCATGATCTGAGGATGTTAAATGAAAACAAAAGAATGGTGCTCCAAGTGAATGCATACGAACCGATGGGAATAAGCGCTGAATCAGATCCACCGCAGAGCATCAGATCCTGCAAGATTTTGGATCATATATTGGAAATGACAGAGACAAAGTTAGTATGTAACTATAAACCATCTGCCACTTACTGAGTCACCTCTTCTGATATGGCTTGCTGCATTTAGTATACAGAAGTTGCTTGTTGCACAGGCTGCAGATATCGAATAATTTGGACCCATCCACCCCTGTAGTTATGATTCTCAGACACAATTTCACCAAACATGACGATATGTTTTGCTTAATGAACATACCAAATCAATTGCGAGGATCGCAGAGCCCATATTGATGGTTGCATAAGGCACACAGAAAGGACTCATCTTTTTGGGAGATATCCTTAATGCTTCAATAGAATCATTCAAAACCTGTTGAAATTTCCAACAAAAAGAAATAAAAGATTCGATCATTCTTGATCACTGTATCTTATGTAGCTCATGCATACCTTAAGGCCTCCAAGAGAAGATCCAATAATCACCCCACACTTGGACTTGTCTAACTCAGCCGAGACCTCATCCGTAATCCCACCATCCGCCAAAGCCTTCTTGCCAGCAGTCATCAAGTAAAGCATGAACTTATCAGCCCTCTTTGAAAGCTTCGGCGCAACCCAACCATCAGTTGAGAAACTCTTGATTTCTCCCGCGATTTTCTGTTTCCATCAAGATACATATATAAATGAATACATGCACTTGGTATCCTTCCTAAGCTCAAAACAAGATGAATTCGAGTAAAGTCTACAGTAGGAAATGGAGTGCAATCAAACGACTCGATCAGGCTGATGCCACTGACGCCGGCCAACAGCTTGTTGTAAAACTCATCTGCTTCATGACCAAGTGGTGTTACAACACCGAGTCCTGTAACTACAACCCGCCTCTTCTTCACGGCACCCTTCTTTTTCGGCGGCATGGATGGTTTAACAGGATGTTCAGCTTCTGCCAAGGTGTTATCTAGCAAAGAAAAGAGCTACTCTAATCACTTGTGTTTTCTTTTTCAAATTTGACTGTTTGATCATTTACTTTTCCACCAAATACATCATATCGAAGAACGATTTTAATTTTATCCGAACATACAACTAGATTATTATTCAGTGAAGTGAAAATTTATACAATGTAGTAGTTGCATGAAATTCCAAAACACAAGCTGATCAAACTATGCATCTCATAACACCATTTTTTATAAAAAAAAGTTGTTAATTATTTTACCAGCATGAGAAGCTGCCTGACACAGTTGTCTTTGCTCCGGGCGGCTGACTGGCCGGCCGAAAGAAGACAGAGCATTGTCTCCGGAGACATAAACACAAGAAACATTACAGCAGTTTTCCATTGGACAAACTTTCATCAAACTGTTCTTTCCAGAACCATACAGAGCAGACATAAAGCTCCCACCTCTTTTCCTCCTTATCGGAGCCCCGAAATCCCTCCTCTTAATCAGCTTCTTGGAGAATCTCCAACGCCTCGATGACTGGCCACAAATCTCCCATTCATTTGGCGCAGACACGCACGTTGTCACCATCCATGTGCAGAGTTGAGAAGCAACCATTTTGTTAATGAAGAACACAGGAAAGGTTCAATCTTGATTGTAAAATATAGCAGCACTGAAGCAGGAATTGCAGTTTAATGAATAAAAAGTGTAATAGGGACACAGCAAACTGTAGGGATTCTTTATAAGTCCCGGGAGCCAAACTCCCTGGCATCTAATACCATGGATGATCATGGTCAAGAATTACCGGTACGGCTATCAATGCTATGTTTATTTTGAGCTTTTTTTTTTTTTTTTTTCAATTTCTTTCTTACGAAATTCTTTGTAAAAATACACTATTTCTTATAACAAAATATCACATGAACCATTATTTAAACCAAAAATCCAAACACAAAGTACAAAGTCAATACCAAAGTAAACAAACATAATATCATTGAAAATTTTAGGGTGTGTTTGGTTATCTTTTGTGGTTTGATTTGGGAGAGATTTTTGTTAACTTTTATTATACATAGAATGATGAAATAATGTAGTGATGAATTATAAGGTTGTAATGAAGAGGTCTTTATTAATATTTGTGTAAATCTATGAGTAAAATATATGCACTTAAAAATGTTTCGAATATTATATCAAAAGATGTATATATCAATTTACATATAATTAATATATGTTCATAGTTATTCAATCGTGAGATGCATGGAGCTTCAACGTATTGGAGTTGACATGAATATTTGGGGCAGAGTAATATGAAAGTGTGAAGATGATACACAAGTTCAACCTTAATTACTGTCAAATTAATTCAATTAGTACCACTTTAAAGAGTCCCACAGGTCTAAATCACCACTCTCTAACCCCTACCCCATTAATATTTCATTTAATTAATTAAAAGGCATGATGATAACAAGAAACTTTCCAATCCCTATTCCTTCAATATTACACACATACAGAAGCACTAAGCTGTTTTTTATTCAAATAATTAATTTATTATATATAAGAAAAAGAAAAAAAAAATCATGAATAGTACATGTACCACGAATTAAGGGTTTTTTGTGTTACTTTGATTGAGTAATCTATGTTGTTGGAATTATACTGAATACTAGTAATTAAATTAATGTAGCATTAAAAAGTGTGGGTGGGCTGTCTTCAATGTTATTTAAGATCCTAAATCGTAGATTAAATTGAAAAAGTCAAGTCGTCTATAGACTCTCAAGAGTTAAAGATGCATCCATATTTCTTGATTTATCTTTCTTACTCAAAAATGAATATAATTTGCAATTCAATTGTGAATGATAGTTAACAAAATGAGACACAGCTTTAATTTATAGCTTCATTCCCTTTTCATTAATTGTAGCAAGCAATATAATGAAGAATTAGGAAAAGAAGAGAAAAGGTTAGTACATATATTAAGGGTGGATCTTGTTTCCAGCAGAATTGTCTGAATGAATGCGTGAAAGTAACAAACAACACCATGGATGCAGCATGAGTCGTCACTCATTCGTTTTATTTAATTTGTTTTTAACTTCTCTACACTTTAGTCAACAAATTAAAACAATTAATATATTGCTCAATGGCCTGCTATGCTAGCTATCAATAAAAAAAATAAAAAATTAAAGGGTTTCCTACTCTTGTATTAAAGAATATAATTGCAGTGATGGCTGGTTTAATCTGGTTTTGCTAGAAAGTGATTCTGTGGTTTTTAATTGTGAAAATGAAAGGAAATGTCGGTAACTTGTGATTAAAATAATTCTGTAATTATATTTGATGGTTTGGGTGTGACCTTTTGTCTTTTGTACAATTAATTATATGATTATTGAGGTGTAACTAATTAACTACAAGTCCAGCATTATTATATTGTCAATGGTTAAGTATTAATTATCTCGAAAGAAATTAGATGGATTCCAAGGCCTACCTTCATTTGCATTGAATTGAATTGAATTGAATTGATACAAACTACCATTGCTGCTTCAAGAAACCAATATTGTATTCAAAGATGTTATTTGTGGCATATTGGTTGGCTCCACAAACATGTGTATGTTCTGCTTTCAAGATTAATTAGAAGGATGAACAAATTTGCGGTTTCTGTGCATCAGTGTGCTGTGCTGATGTTCCAAGGCTTCGGACATCACCAAAATCTGCCACCATCCGAGAAAACATCGAAAAGCTACGAAATTCTTGCCCATTCGTTACGTGTTGTTCGTGCCATTGAACAAATCGAGTAGCACTCGAATAGAATCAAGCTCAATTCAAATCGTTAACGGCTCAACTCGTTTATAGAGTTAAACGAGCCCAGCACACAACGCGATTTCACTTGTAGTATATAAATTTTTATATCAAAGTTTTCATTTATTAATAAAATTATTATAATAAAATTTTTTTATTTTGATGATATATCTTTATTTGGTTTTTAAATTTTATTTTTCCGTATATTGATGTAATTAATAATGAGAATGGATGATTTGTTATGTTGGTTTGATATATAATATTCTTTTATATCAATTCAAAATATCATTTAATTTATTTTAGAATAACTGAACAATACTATAAATGTGAGATACACAAATTATTATATAAAGTAAAAGGGGAAATTTGAGAAAATTCCAAGTCATTTCATTTTAAATCACACACCTATGTATATATAAATATGATTTGTTTGTGATGAATGAATGAACTATTAATGTTGAATTTATTTGATATGAAATTTGAAGTTTAAGAATGATTGATGATAAATTGTTGATGGAAATACAGTGAACATGGACAAGTGAAAATTGTATTTTATAAACCGTTTTAGATTCACTTTATATAATTAATTTTTATTTATTTAATTCTTTTTAAAAAAAAAAAAAACTATTACATTAATTTTTTTTCCATAAAATGCTAAATTAAATACTATTTAAAAAAAGTCTAAAAAATTATAACAAATTATATTAAAATGAAGTCTTATTATATATTATTTTTATTGGTAACCGTCATTTTTTTCAATATAGCTACGTAAATTTTTTAATATTAATATTATATTGATTTATAATAAAAATATATAAAAATATTTTATTAATATTATGTAATATAATAAATTTTAATTTTATTTAAATATATTTATTGTTGATTTATAATGTAATAATCATATATATAATTATATAAATAATTAAATAGATTGCTACAATATAAAAAATAATTAAAATAATAAATTTAGTAAATAACTAAATTAGATTTTAAAGTAAAAAATAAATTATAGAAATATTGATGTATTAAATAATAACATAATTTAAATAAATATGATTATATAATAAAAAATTATAAAATTTAAAATATAATTAACAAATAATATTATAATATTGTTCGTTAATAATTCTTTATTTATATTAATATTATTTTTATTTTTATAAAAATTTAATAATATATATAATTAATTATAGATATATATATATTATTATAAAATACACCATTTTACCCCAATCAATAACAGGACATAATTTATAAAAGCATCTTTTAATATCATTTAGAGACTAAGAGGGCGTTTAGCTTTTAGCTTATTGAACACCTTTTAGTTATTTCACTAATATATTCTTAATTATCCACTAATTACATTCCTCCTAAAATACCATATCTATGTGGGACGGAGGGAGTAATATTTTTATAATTTCAATAATTAATAACAAAAATTATCATAAATTTCAAACCAAAATAAACAAAATTAAATATTTAAAAAAATAATATATCAATGTCTTTAATAGTCATTGTTAGAATTTTTTGGGGAAAATGATGAGATGGTTTTATTATCGTCAAAATAAGAAGCCTATATATAGGTCATACAAAATAGACTCGATAGACTCAAATCTAAGTAATCTAATCTATGAATAAGATCAAATCTAGATATAAATCTACTAAATCTAAAACTGAATATCTAAAATATCTCAATTTTATGTATAAACAGTTAATGTAAAACAACCGCTAATTGAATCAGCTATCAGCTAATAGTCAAATGCACCCTAAATAAACACCAGACTCAAACCTCTGCCGTTTTCGAGCGAGGCGTGCCTTGGAAGCTCTGAAACTTTGGGATATTCGAGCTCGCTGCTCCACCGATAACTCACCGCCGGTATTTACAGCCACCGCATTTTCCTTGTAGCTCATTCCCGAGCATTGAGATCAAGATTTACAAAATGACAGAAATGCCTTAATTATATTTAATTATATTAAATATGTAATACAATTATTTTAATGGTGTACATATCATTGTTTATTTTAGGACAGACAAAAATAAAAAACAATATTTTTTTATAAGACGAAAGGGAGTATTATTTATATTTTAATGTCAATAGGAAAATAGATATCATACTAATTTATTACATTATATATATAATACTAATTTATCTTAATTCGTATGTAAAAGTTAAATAAAAAATTTACTCCCTAACAGAGGGAGTATATATTTATCTGTTGAAAAAATAGCATAAGTCATGTCCTGTACTTTGCAAAATTTGCTGAAAAGATCTCTCGTTCTAAAATTTTTATTTTACCTACTAATGGTCAAATAATATTGCAAAAAATATTCATTTCGGCAGCCATGCTTAAACTACAAGTACTGTAAAAAATTATAGATAACAAAAGAAAAATTACAAAATATACTTCAATGTATTAATTAAATTAGTTACGGCTTTTTAGAAGTTCTATAATTTTGTAATAATACTTACCGTTTAAAGTATCATATGTTACAATCATTTTAATTTTAAATAAATTATTTAATTGTAGTAATTTTAATTTATAATCATTTTTATTAATAATTCAGAATTATTTATTATATTTTTTAAATTTTAGTAGTTACAATAAAATAGATATTTTATATAAAATTGACGAAATAAAGTATGTTTTGCAAAATAATTTGAAAGAATATTTTTAATATAATAGATCACACGAAATCCGACACCGAATGTGAAATAAAGTATGTTTGTTTTGCAAAATAATTTAAAAAAATATGTTTTATACTCCCTCCGTCTAAGCTAAAAGTATACACTTACTTTTGGCGCGGAGATTAAGGAATAATAGTATTTTAATTATAGTGGGTAGGTAAAAGTAGTAAAATGATATTTTTGTCCTTACTTTTTTTGGTATAAAAGTAATGATGTGATGTAAAGTAGGGGTATTTGTGAAAAAAATTGGGTATTTAATGAAATAGTTACTTTGTAATTGGATTTTCCAAAATAGAAATATGTATACTTTCTAACTGGACGGAGGGAATATTAAATATAGAAAACTGTATAAATAATATAAAAAGTAATAAAAAATGTGTAATATATTTTTTTTTATGAAAAAAAATGTATATTGTTTTTGAAAAAAAGAACACACCATAACATTTAAAACATAATTAATTAAAATTTAAATAGTTATTAAAATTATTTATTTTTTTATTTTTTTTTCAAAGCAAATTACGGAACGGAAAAGAGTATTATGAGCCGTCGATTTGAGGAAGTGCAAAGCAAGCTACAGATACTATCACATCTGAAGAGGAAAGAAAAAAATATCGTTTAAGTGTTCAAAGTTTAATATGAGAAGAACGAAAATCAATCAAACGAGGAAAAGAGAAGAAGAGATCATCCGGCGCCGGCGACCGAGAGCACCGATTTCACCTTAAGTGTCGGATTCCGTGTGATGTGTCTAAGCATCCCTCCCCGTGTGTTAGTTGGTTGGTCCTGAAGCAGTTCTTCAAGTATGAGAAATCATTCAATGACCTCGCGCATTGAATTTAAGTTTCTCGATTAAATTTATTGTTTCTGTGCGTTCGAAATTATATACAAATGTAAACTTTGTTACATATTATAAATACTACTAGATTTATATGTTATTTAAAACAGTAATATTATATTAAATAAAAAGTATTAGCACAATATTATTTATTAATATATTTTTAATTAATTATTAATAATATTATTTTAAAATTTTTCTATCTATAATAATCAGAACATAAAATTTGAAACGAAGAGAGTTTTATTTTATAAATTTCAAACATTAACCCCCTTCTATACAAAATGAACACACATGTAAATTATTGTTATATATTTTATTTATATTATATTAATATATACTTAATATTATCAATTTATATCGATCAAAATCAAATAATTACATTTTAACCTAAGATATGACGACGCTAACTTAGTTAGCTTATGATATAAATTTGAATAAGATTTACAATAATTAATACATATATGTATATATATTCAATGAACTATAAAATTTAATAGCATTTTTATTTCCAAAAAAATTAAAAATGGCATTACAAATATACAATAACTAAAATGATATGGTTACGATTTTGTTCATTTTTCTTTTGATGATTTCCTATAAATATTATAAATATAAAATAAAACATATATGGACATCAATAATATATATTTTATCTTACTTAAAAAAATTAACAATTTAACATAAAATAGTTTTTTTTTTTTTAATATTTTGACACAATTTTCATACCAATATAAAAAATATATTCATCCAATAGGTATAGTATAGTTAAATTATCTTTAATACCTATTTGATATTTAATCCTTTTTATTTTGTTGGAAATTTTGACCTAACTGAGATAATTCATCAATAAAGTTTGATAGTTGACCAACTTATTAGCACGGCCTATGGACTTGACCCAAACCGTTTAATGCAAACACTTTAACCGTAAACTCAAATTAAGTTCATCAAACGGTGAGACGTCTCTCGCTTGAGTTTTGGGTCAATTTATTTTTATTTATATTAATACTAAAATACAAGACAAAAGAAAAAAATTTTTTCACACAAAAAATTAATAATTATTATTTATTAATCTCAGTGTAAAAAGTAAATGTATACGTTACAAAATTCACATTAATATTTAAGAGAAATATTTGAAATTGGTTGTATATTTTTATTGCCCCGTCGATGATTTTATAAAAAAATTTATTTCTTACAAAATATCTAAAAATAATAAAAAATATTATTATATCACTTTCACAATTTCACATAATGTTTTTATAATTCTTAATAGCTAATATCAAAACAATCAAAATCATAAAAATTAAAAGAATAAAATACAAATATTAGCCAGACTTGTCAGGCCCGAACCCAAAATTTCATTCCAATAGCCCGGTCCATAGTCTCAATCGAATCCACAGAGCGTGGCCCATTTCTATGTCAATCTCAGCCCAATTCCATGTCGGGCCAGGCGTACACTCCCACCCACGTACATGGATCTACAAAAGCAGACCGGCCCAATCAATTCACGTGGCCCGGCCCGGCCGCGGCGTGACAAAATATTCCACCTCTGTTAATAATAATAATAATAAAAATGAAGGCGTACGTTTCTTCACGGGAATTCGGGGAAAATTGGGTTTGGATTTGGTTTTTGTTTGAATTTTGGAATTAGTTTGGATTTTGTTGTTTCTAAAATTTATATTGTATAATTTTATTATGAATTTCTATTATACCTAATATATATATTTAAAATTTTATTTATTTGGATTATAAAAAATTTTATTTTCTATAAAATAATATATATAGTATATATATATTTTTTTCATTTAATTATAATAAATATTAAATAAAATTTTAATTTATTATTAAAAAAAAAAAAAAGGGTTTGGCCCAATTTACCGTGCACAGTAAATTGGGCCAAACACCTGAAATTGCCCCCAACAAATTGAACGCGAAATCGGCAAGGAACCTAAAGTCGGCTCCATCGCAGTTCTCAGTGTTTGCAGTCGGTCGACGGCGGCGGAGTGCGGCGGTTTGCTGCGTTTGAACAATGCCAGAGCTTCCGGAGGTGCAGGCGGCGCGCAGGGCGGTGGAAGAACACTGTGTGGGGAAGAAGATCAATAAATGCACTGTAGCTGATGATTCGAAGGTAATCGACGGCGTCTCCCCGAAGGACTTGGAATCAGCGCTCGCCGGGAAAACTATAGTCGCCGCGCATCGGAAGGGGAAGAATATGTGGCTCGAGCTTGATTCACCTCCTTTTCCCACGTTTCAATTCGGTACTTTCCTTAAACCCTAAATTCCTTCCGTTACTGTTTTCTTCATCATCGATTAGTCCTTAATGTTATTGCCACTTTCGTTTTAGCTGATGATTCGAAGGTAATCGACGGCGTCTCCCCGAAGGACTTCGAATCACCGCTCGCCGGAAAACTATAGTCGCTGCGCATCGGAAGGGGAAGAATATGTGGCTCGAGCTCGATTCACCTCCTTTTCCCACGTTTCACTTCGGTACTTTCCTTAAACCCTAAATTCCTTCCGGTGCTGTTTTCGTCATCATCGATTAGTCCTTAATGTTTTTGCCACTTTCGTTTTCCAAATGTTGATTGTTATGGTGGCGCCTGGAATTATTCGATAAATTTAAAGCTATCACTACCGGAGTTTCAGATTTACTCCTTGCAGAACTATAGAAGTCTCCTGCATTTTCAATTTCAATTGCATGTTGATTATATGCTGCAAAAATAACAGAGTAAAAAACTTGATTGGATTGGAAGCATGCTTTCTGAACTGGTGGTTTGAAACTGAGATATGCTTCTTGTTTGCTTAATTTCTATGTTTTGATGATTCAAAGTGGGGGATAAACATTGGGGCTTTTTTTAGAATTGATCGTCATTTATTTTATGAAGGAATGGCTGGGGCTGTATATACCAAGGGAGTTGCAGTCACTAAATATAAGTGGTGACATATTTACGGTCGCAAGATTGGAACACGCTATTGAAAATTAACCCTAATGCATTATTTTTACGATAGAGGTGTGCCCGCATCCTGTTTCAGGTTGCTGAGTGGTTTCCTATTTTAGACACCCAACGAGAAATGAGATCTTCAATTGGTTTAAGTTTTATTCGGGAAGCTTAATATAATATACTAGAATCAGGAATTTACTGTGTATGATACGTACGTATATGTATATTTTGGAGTAATGCTATGGAGTTGAGAATCTGAGAATGGTTTCAAAACTGTGCAGGGTGGAGTTTATGTGGATGATACCAAAACTGATTCTAATATCATCGATTAAGATTCCAATTATTTTTGCTGTGTTCGACAACTTTCATGTACTGATGAAAATTTAACACGTTGGAGTAATATAAAACTTATTGTGTCTGAGACAATGCAAGGCTGTACCATCTTTATTTTTTAGGTTGTCAGTTTTCAAGATTGTGTTTTTACTGATTACGAGTTTACGGCAGCATGTGCTATTATTGACAGGTCTGCTGTAAAGGATACAGACGAGTGGGCCTCTAAGTATTCTAAGTTATTTGTTCAAGTGAGGTTCTGTACCTTGATTTTTTGATCGAAACTTCTAATTCTTAATGAATCAAACTGCAAATTTTTGCTTGTAATGGTGAAAGAAGACCTCATGCTTGTCCTATTTTCGTGTTCTCATAGGTCTTTAAGTTTTAGACTATGAAATATATATAATGCATTTGATGCTATTATTACATTAATATTAATCTGTGTTTCCATTTGTGATTCAGCTAGATGATGGTTTGGAATTCTCTTTCACAGAAAAGAGGCAGTTTGCTAAAGTCCGTCTAATAGACAATGTAAAGTGGTAACTTTACGTTCATCGTATTGTTTCTGTTCATCATATTCATCCTTCCAAGATATTTCCATAACAATGCTTCTCACAGCCGATTTCTGCTCCCCCTATCTCTGAGCTTGGTCCTGACGCATTAAAGGAGCCCATGACGGAAGATGAGTTCTACAGTGCTTCAATATAAAATATATAACAATAAATAGAGAATTGTGTCATCTATTATATATATTGATAGGGATATTGGATTTGTATTTCATTCATCCTCGCTATCTATCCTTAAGCTTGTAGCAGCTAGCACACTTTATAATTATTTTGTGTTGTTGGAATATTGTTAGGTTTGAAGAAATTATATACCTCTGAAATTACGAAGGAGGTTCACTTCTACTGCTGAAATTGATCTCAGGCTCATGTATATACTTGATTTCTGATTTGTTGCTCAATTTTTGTTTGAGTTTCTTCTTGTTGTTATGAAAATTTGACATTATTAGTAAGTACAGAAAACATTTTCATCTTGTGCGGGACTGCATTTTAAGATCATAGATCATTTCATACCAACTTGTAACTTGAGAGCAGCAGTATTGGTGTTTATCAATACACTTAGTGCACTCAAATCTAAGGTGTCACCGGCAACAGAAGATTGTGGGGTGCAAAAATGGATGGTGGGTGTAGCTTGTGGGGTAGGGGATAATGGCTTAAATCTGGCTTCATGCTAATTGTGAAATTTTGAAGACAGTAAGATGTGATTTCTATTAAGATCTTTAATTTTATTTATACATGTTCCTTGTTCGGTCATACCAAGCATTTCTCTCGTCATTTTTTTTTCCTTTCTATTAGCTATGTTTTTCGAAGATTTGTTCATTCTTCGCTTTTTGTTCAGTAAATTACCATTGTCCTTGCTCATTGATTGTTCGTTGTACACGCCCACCTTTGTTTGTGTTATTTTAATCTATAATATATGATTTCAGGGAGGCTCATCTAAACCGAGCCAAGTGAATGACGAATCGAATCGTTGTTAAAAAAAATCATGAATATTTTATATCTCAAATGAGGCAATGACTTGAAGTTATGGTTTATGAATGATAGATGAAGAGGAGAGCAAATCAACCTACAAAATCGGTTATCTATGTATTGTTTGCATGTCAAAATATTGATATTTTAGTAATGAAGAAATAGTCTGAATATTCGATGTATGTGCTGGAACTTGGTACTCATGTAGGTAGAAAAGTGGACAAAGACTTCTTCTATTATCTTCTCCGAGTAACGAATTTAGCCTTAGATGCTTTCATGACTTGTATCATTTTCTTTGTTTAGCTAGTTTCAACTTCTGTTTCCTACCTTGATTTCCACAACTAATACCTTATCCTAATTTATATATTTTTTTCTTGTTATCTGCAGCCAAGTCCACTTTTTACAAAGCGGTTGGCGGCTTTTAAAATGTGCCTTGATCATGGATCTGAACATAAAAAGCCACCAGAATAGTTGCCAATTTTACTTCAGGTAGCAACATTTTAGTTGAATATAAACACTACCTATATAAGTTTGCAATATAATAACAATTGTAAAATTCCGGTATTCATGTGTATGTATATTCTATTTGAATATGGGCACTATTTATGTAGTTGTTATGCTCTGCTTAATAATTTTCTCGCGGGCATTTGTTTGTTCCCCATGAATTGTGTTGGCATATTAAAGATGGTATGAACAGATTGTTTGCGAGCGGGTACTAAGTAGTCTTAGTTTAGAGAATATGATAAACTCTATTTCGTAATAATAATGCTTTGGGCAATTTCATGATAACAGTTATATGAAAGATTAGTGTTAACATGATTTGTGATTTTTTTACTTAAATCTCTTACTTCCAGGAGGTATATGTGAAAGCATTGGAAAAGGACTTCTCTGATGCACCATTGCAGTTTGATACAAAGGTGTTATTGGAAAAAACTCCAGCATATCGGTGGATTCAAATTTTCAGGTATCTTACTTCCATTATTTGAAAAAGTTGACATTTTATTTGGCAAAAAAAGATGGCAATTTCAGGTTGTTATTACTCCCGCCACGCAAAAAATTAGTGCAATATGTTTTTGCGTAGGATGGAGTAATATTTTTTTTTGGGGCTGGCTTGGGTTGTTTTAAAATTCAAGCCCGATAGGTCCGCCTAATTATGAATTGGGCTTGAAAATCAAAACCCTGCCCTGGCCCGGCACCGGGCCAGGCTAGCCACATACTAAATACACTAAACAAGGGTATAAAATTTAGAAACAAAATTACTCCATGCAAGTCGCGGGACGTAAACGAAAATAGTATATATGCATAGAAAACCATTTACCTTGGGTTTAAAATCGAGTTCGAAGGATCTTCGCGGATCCTCTCGTCTCCCATAAGCTTTACCTGCAAAAAAAAAAAAAGTTGAAAAACAAGTTAGTATAAAATTTAAAAACAAAATTAATGCATGCAAGTCCCGGGACGTAAACATGATTCTATTACTATATGCAAGATAATAAAATAAATGTAAAACGTAAATTAAAGAAAAAGTACGAGATTCTCCCTATTATGGGATCGGTCGTCCGATCATCCGGCCATTTTCTCTCGTATGCATCTGAAAAGATTTAAAATAGATATTAGTATATATATATGCATAGGAAACAATAAAATAAAATAAAAATCACTTACCTTGGGTTTGAAATCGAGTTCGAAGGATCTTCGCGCATCCTCTCGTCTCCTATAAGGTTTACCTACAAAAGAAAAACACTTAAAAAACAAGTTAGTATAAAATTTAGAAACAAAACTAATGCATGCAAGTCCCGGGACGTAAACATGATTCTATTACTATATCCAACATAATAAAATAAATGGAAAGCATAAATTAAAAGAAAAAGTACGGGATACTCCCTATTGTGGAATCGGTCGTCCGATCATTTTCTCTCGTATGCATCTAAAAAGATTTAAAATAGATATTAGTATATATATATATATGCATAGGAAACAATAAAATAAAATAAAAATCACTTACCTTGGGTTTGAAATGGAGTTCGAAAGATCTTTGCGCATCCTCTCGTCTCCTATAAGCTTTACGTGCAAAAAAAAAAACACTTGAAAAATAAGTTAGTATAAAATTTAGAAACAAAACTAATGCATGCAAGTCCCGGGACGTAAACATGATTCAATTACTATATGCAACATAATAAAATAAATGGAAAGCATAAATTAATAGAAAAAGTACGAGATACTCCCTATTGTGGGATCGGTCGTCCGATCACTTTCTCTCGTATACATCTAAAAAGATTTAAAATAGATATTAGTATATACATATGCATAGGAAACAATAAAATAAAATAAAAATCACTTACCTTGGGTTTGAAATCGAGTTCGAAGGATCTTTGCGCATCCTCTCGTCTCCTATAAGCTTAACCTGCAAAAAAAAAACAATTAAAAAACAAGGTAGTATAAAATTTAGAAATATAATTAATGCATGCAAGTCCCGGGACGTAAACATGATTCTATTACTATATGCAACATTATAAAATAAATGGAAAGCATAAATTAAAAGAAAAAGTACGAGATTCTCCCTATTATGGGATCGGTGGTCCGATCATCCGGCCATTTTTTCTCGTATGCATCTAAAAAGATTTAAAATAGATATTAGTATATAATTATATGCATAGGAAACAATAAAATAAAATAAAAATCACTTACCTTTGGTTTAAAATGGAGTTCGAAGGATCTTCGCGCATCCTCTCGTCTCCTATAAGCTTTACCTACAAAATAAAAACACTTAAAAAATAAGTTACTATAAAATTTAGGAACAAAATTAATGCATGCAAGTCCCGGGACGTAAACATGATTCTATTACTATATGCAAGAAAATAAAATAAATGGAAAGCGTAAATTAAAAGAAAAAGTAGGAGATACTCCCTATTATGGGTTCGGTCAATATCTTTCGAGTTCGAAGGATATTCGTGGATCCTCTCGTCTCCCATAAGCTATACCTACAAAATAAAAACACACTAAAAAAACAAGTTAGTATAAAATTTAGGAACAAAATTAATGCATGCAAGTCCCGGGATATGCAAGAAAATAAAATAAATGGAAAGCGTAAATTAAAAGAAAAAGTAGGAGATACTCCCTATTATGGGATATCCTTCGAGTTCGAAGGATATTCGCGGATCCTCTCGTCTCCCATAAGCTTTACCTACAAAATAAAAACACTTAAAAACAAGTTAGTATAAAATTTAGAAATAAAATTAATGCATGCAAGTCCCGGGATATGCAAGAAAATAAAATAAATGGAAAGCGTAAATTAAAAGAAAAAGTAGGAGATACTTCCTATTATGGGATATCCCTCGAGTTCGAAGGATATTCGCGGATCCTCTCGTCTCCCATAAGCTTTACCTACAAAATAAAAACACTTTAAAAATAAGTTAGTATAAAATTTAGGAACAAAATTAATGCATGCAAGTCCCGGGATATGCAAGAAAATAAAATAAATGGAAAGCGTAAATTAAAAGAAAAAGTAGGAGATACTCCCTATTATGGGATATCCTTCGAGTTCGAAGGATATTCGCGGATCCTCTCGTCTCCCATAAGCTTTACCTACAAAATAAAAACACACTTAAAAAACAAGTTAGTATAAAATTTAGGAACAAAATTAATGCATGCAAGTCCCGGGATATGCAAGAAAATAAAATAAATGGAAAGCGTAAATTAAAAGAAAAAGTAGGAGATACTCCCTATTATGGGATATCCTTCGAGTTCGAAGGATATTCGCGGATCCTCTCGTCTCCCATAAGCTTTACCTACAAAATAAAAACACTTAAAAAACAAGTTAGTATAAAATTTAGGAACAAAATTAATGCATGCAAGTCCCGGGATATGCAAGAAAATAAAATAAATGGAAAGCGTAAATTAAAAGAAAAAGTAGGAGATACTCCCTATTATGGGATATCCTTCGAGTTCGAAGGATATTCGCGGATCCTCTCGTCTCCCATAAGCTTTACCTACAAAATAAAAACACTTTAAAAATAAGTTAGTATAAAATTTAGGAACAAAATTAATGCATGCAAGTCCCGGGATATGCAAGAAAATAAAATAAATGGAAAGCGTAAATTAAAAGAAAAAGTAGGAGATACTCCCTATTATGGGATATCCTTCGAGTTCGAAGGATATTCGCGGATCCTCTCGTCTCCCATAAGCTTTACCTACAAAATAAAAACACACTTAAAAAACAAGTTAGTATAAAATTTAGGAACAAAATTAATGCATGCAAGTCCCGGGATATGCAAGAAAATAAAATAAATGGAAAGCGTAAATTAAAAGAAAAAGTAGGAGATACTCCCTATTATGGGATATCCTTCGAGTTCGAAGGATATTCGCGGATCCTCTCGTCTCCCATAAGCTTTACCTACAAAATAAAAACACTTTAAAAATAAGTTAGTATAAAATTTAGGAACAAAATTAATGCATGCAAGTCCCGGGATATGCAAGAAAATAAAATAAATGGAAAGCGTAAATTAAAAGAAAAAGTAGGAGATACTCCCTATTATGGGATATCCTTCGAGTTCGAAGGATATTCGCGGATCCTCTCGTCTCCCATAAGCTTTACCTACAAAATAAAAACACACTTAAAAAACAAGTTAGTATAAAATTTAGGAACAAAATTAATGCATGCAAGTCCCGGGATATGCAAGAAAATAAAATAAATGGAAAGTGTAAATTAAAAGAAAACGTAGGAGATACTCCCTATTATGGGATATCCTTCGAGTTCGAAGGATATTCGCGGATCCTCTCGTCTCCCATAAGCTTTACCTACAAAATAAAAACACTTAAAAAACAAGTTAGTATAAAATTTAGGAACAAAATTAATGCATGCAAGTCCCGGGATATGCAAGAAAATAAAATAAATGGAAAGCGTAAATTAAAAGAAAAAGTAGGAGATACTCCCTATTATGGGATATCCTTCGAGTTCGAAGGATATTCGCGGATCCTCTCGTCTCCCATAAGCTTTACCTACAAAATAAAAACACTTAAAAAACAAGTTAGTATAAAATTTAGGAACAAAATTAATGCATGCAAGTCCCGGGATATGCAAGAAAATAAAATAAATGGAAAGCGTAAATTAAAAGAAAAAGTAGGAGATACTTCCTATTATTGGATATCCTTCGAGTTCGAAGGATATTCGCGGATCCTCTCGTCTCCCATAAGCTTTACCTACAAAATAAAAACACTTAAAAAACAAGTTAGTATAAAATTTAGGAACAAAATTAATGCATGCAAGTCCCGGGATATGCAAGAAAATAAAATAAATGGAAAGCGTAAATTAAAAGAAAAAGTAGGAGATACTCCTTATTATGGGATATCCTTCGAGTTCGAAGGATATTCGCGGATCCTCTCGTCTCCCATAAGTTTTACCTACAAAATAAAAACACACTTAAAAAACAAGTTAGTATAAAATTTAGGAACAAAATTAATGCATGCAAGTCCCGGGATATGCAAGAAAATAAAATAAATGGAAAGCGTAAATTAAAAGAAAAAGTAGGAGATACTCCCTATTATGGGATATCCTTCGAGTTCGAAGGATATTCGCGGATCCTCTCGTCTCCCATAAGCTTTACCTACAAAATAAAAACACACTTAAAAAACAAGTTAGTATAAAATTTAGGAACAAAATTAATGCATGCAAGTCCCGGGATATGCAAGAAAATAAAATAAATGGAAAGCGTAAATTAAAAGAAAAAGTAGGAGATACTCCCTATTATGGGATATCCTTCGAGTTCGAAGGATATTCGCGGATCCTCTCGTCTCCCATAAGCTTTACCTACAAAATAAAAACACATTTAAAAAACAAGTTAGTATAAAATTTAGGAACAAAATTAATGCATGCAAGTCCCGGGATATGCAAGAAAATAAAATAAATGGAAAGCGTAAATTAAAAGAAAAAGTAGGAGATACTCCCTATTATGGGATATCCTTCGAGTTCGAAGGATATTCGCGGATCCTCTCGTCTCCCATAAGCTTTACCTATAAAATAAAAACACACTTAAAAAACAAGTTAGTATAAAATTTAGGAACAAAATTAATGCATGCATGTCCCGGGATATGCAAGAAAATAAAATAAATGGAAAGCGTAAATTAAAAGAAAAAGTAGGAGATACTCACTATTATGGAATATCCTTCGAGTTCGAAGGATATTCGCGGATCCTCTCGTCTCCCATAAGCTTTACCTACAAAATAAAAACACTTAAAAAACAAGTTAGTATAAAATTTAGGAACAAAATTAATGCATGCAAGTCCCGGGATATGCAAGAAAATAAAATAAATGGAAAGCGTAAATTAAAAGAAAAAGTAGGAGATACTCCCTATTATGGGATATCCTTCGAGTTCGAAGGATATTCGCGGATCCTCTCGTCTCCTATTAGCTTTACCTACAAAATAAAAACACTTAAAAAACAAGTTAGTATAAAATTTAGGAACAAAATTAATGCATGCAAGTCCCGGGATATGCAAGAAAATAAAATAAATGGAAAGCGTAAATTAAAAGAAAAAGTAGGAGATACTCCCTATTATGGGATCGGTCGTCCGATCATCCGGCCATTTTCTCTCGTAACCATCTAAAAAGATTTAATATAGATATTAGTACGTATGTATGCATAGGAAACAATAAAATAAAATAAAAATCACTTACCTTGGGTTTGAAATGGAGTTCGAATGATTTGCGCGGATCCTCTCGTCTCCTATATGCTTTACCTACAATAGAAAAACATTTAAAAAACAAGTTAGTATAAAATTTAGAAATAAAATTAATGCATACAAGTCACAAAACAACAAAATGTTACCAATAGTTGTGTTATTATTGGAAGTTGGAACCCCTCAACCAAGTCATGCTTACAAAATATCCATAAATCTTAGCTAGTATTTTGTTTTCCTTGAAGTGGATCGAATCGAGTAATTAATTACCAAACCTTGAGAAAGAAATATGTCTTTTGCATGTAATAGCCTCTCGACACTCAATCAAAACATAATGAACAATAAATAATATATCAAGAATAATAATACATAATAATTTCTTAAGAAATTAACCAACAACCGTATGTATGCTCTAATAATTTCTTTTTCTTTTTCATTCCATCAATATTATTTTATTTTTGGACCGCTGTGTGTAAATGAATTCCTGAGGGCTTAGGGCATTATCAAGAATTGAAATTCTTGATCGAATAAAAAAGAGAGTAAGGAAGAAATCATCTTACCATCATCCTCTCCTCTTCCACGATCTTGATTCTTGAACTTGAACAGGGAAGTTCCACAATCTTGATTCTTGAACTTGAACAGGGCAGCCTACCATGGCGAGAGATTGAATTGATTATTGAAGATGGCTGCGAGTAGGCAGAGGAGGAGGAGGAGAAGTGGTGGCGCAGCCATGGCCGGAGAGACTTGGGAAGGGACAGAAAGTGGGTGTATCCGTTGAGAGAGGGAGAGGGAGAGGGAGAGGGAGTGAACAGGGCAGTTCCACAATCTTGATTCTTGAACTTGAACAGGGCAGCGCGAGAGATTGAATTGATTATTGAAGATGGCTGCGAGTAGGCAGAGGAGGAGGAGGAGGAGTGGTGGCGCAGCCATGGCCGGAGAGACTTGGGAAGGGATAGAAAGTGGGTGTATCCGTTGAGAGAGGGGGAGGGAGAGGGAGAGGGAGAGGGGGAGAGAGGAATTAGCGATGGAGGATCAAACTGGGTTTCTTTAGTTGTTTTAAAATAATTTATAGAAAATTAAAAAATATATAGTTTTTATTTGTTAGTAAAAATATATAAAATAATTTTGATATTTGTATTTTATGTATAAATTAATTATATATTTATAATTTATATAAATATTAAATATATTTGATTACCTTCACTATAATAAACAAAAATATTTTTAAATTTATTATTATATGCTTAAAACATAGTTTGTTAAGTTTAATTTCAGTTAATGGAAATTAAAAAATTAAATTTATAAATTTAATTTTGGATCAAATAAAATCAATTTACAATGTAATTTGTAAATAAAACCAATTTACAATGTAAAATAAATTTTTTATTCCTCACAAAAATGTTGTTTAAGCAGAGTCAATCAGTTTAGTAGAACTTTTTTTTTATTATTATAAATGAATTAATAATATTATTTTAGAAATATATACATTAAATTGTATAGAGATATACTAAAGATTTTTGAGCTATATTTTTATATTTAAATTGATTTTTTTAAAGGAAATTTCAATATTTTCTTTTAAAAGCAGCACATAATATACATATATATATATATATAATTAGTCAAATTTTATTCTATAAATAATTTTAACAATTTCATAGTTCAAGTTTGAATTTTCTTTTAATTTCATTTGCCTTAGTACGACTACGGGTTATTGTTCAAAAAGACCGAAAACCTGAGATCCAAGCTTATACAGATGCAGACTGAGCGGGAAATCCAATAGACAAGAGGTCAACCCCCGGATATTTTACACTCGTTGGAGGGAATCTTGTCTCATGGATAAGTAAGACACAAAGGGTTGTGTCTCTCTCGAGTGCAGAAGCTGAGTTCAGAGGAATTAAAAGTGGACTTACAGATATGCCGTATTTTCTGTGACAACAAGGCTGCAATTAGTATATCGGAAAATCCAGTACAGCATGACAGAACCAGACATGTTGAGGTTGACTGACACTTCATGACGCTACCTTTTGTGCGATCAGAAGATCAACTGGCTGACATCCTTACCAAAGCAGTAGATTCCAAAAGTTTCACAAGGGTTCTTCACAAGTTAAGCATCGAAAGATCCGTCGCTTCCCTTGAGGGGGGGGGGGGGGGTTGGTTGGAAAAAAAATCATAACAATTAGAATATGTCAAAAATCAATCAGAAATAAATTAGAGTGTAAATTTATTTGTTCCCATAAAATTGTAATCACTTCTCTATGAAAAGAAGTTGTATAGAAGATTGAAAAAGAATATATAAAAATACAAGAGCAAATTAATCCCAAACCCAATGCTGCCGGCTTTGAGACATGACTACAAACAATAATCCATTAATAAAAGCATGAGATCTCAACAGACAGTGCTGAATATGATATGTATTAATAACTCAAACAAGCCACTCATAACTCTCTCTGTCTGTGCAGTAAGTAAAAGATCGACATGACTTTGGTACACGGCATATGGCATACAAGTACGTACTTACATACTGAAAAAGCATACAGGTAGTAGGGAAACCATCCCTAAAGAAAAAAAACTTAAGTGAAGAAACTCGACCAGACCTTCAAGGGAAGGCTTGCCTGGCTGACCACCAATTGTGAATAAACCTTCACTACTGGTAGTACATAAGCTGCTGCTGGAAACCGCCATCGTATATTGCTTGGCTAGCAGTAGGAGGCATTCCCTTCAGAGCATGCTGTCCCTGTGGATGCATGAGAGGATGAACCCCGGCCGTCTTACTCATCGCCAGTTGTCGCTCGTATGCTAAAATGTCAACTGCAGAGATTCCTGGCAAGGTGGCAGGAGCAGGTGGAGGAAGGGGGTTTGAGGCTGTTCCGGGTGGAGTTGGCTTGCTTCCCCACGAGCACTTCAGGAGAAAATATTGATTATCATTCTAAATTAAGAAGAAACAAACACAACCAAAAGGACCTAGAGGAAAATAAAGAGAGCAGCAGAAAATCTTTAGAAAGTAATTTTTCAGCTACATGACATCCACAATTTTTCAACAGAAAATCAAAATGGATCATTTCTCAGTAAAATTCTTCTTCGTAAAACTGTCCCAACCAAAAGAGGGAACTCATCCATGTAGCTAGCTATGTAGAGCTAAAGACAAACCTTAATTTGTTTTCCGCAGAGGAATGACTGAGCATTTCCCAACGAAATAGCCATAGCTGCCTCTTGATGGGTGCTGTATCGAACAAAACCAAATCCCTTATCTCGCTGGATCCTAACTTCCTCAATTGATCCAGCACCCAGTGCATGGAAGTGGCGATGGAGATCAACCTGGGTCACCTGCCAACAGAACCAAGAGAATAAAGCTTTACAAAGACGAAAAATCTCTATACAAAGTATTCAGGAAGAGAAGTGTTTTCCTAACTACCATTGTATCCATTTATACAAATTTAGCACATGCAGATTAATTGTATGCTCTGTAGAATTACATCTTTCTAGAAAAAGGGAAGAAGTGAGAGTGGAAGACATGTAAAGATAACATACCTCTGGAGCAAGGTTGCCAACATACACAGTGGTATACTGAGGGTTATTTTCAGGAGCATCACTACTTGCTGCCTCTTTAACATCTTCTGTAAAAGAAAGGCTCTGTGAGCATCTGTTATCTCAGGTGACATGGGCAAGCACAATATAATGCACAGAATGAATACAGCAACTTGACAACATATGACAATGTGAAAGAGACAATCTCATATAAGTAGGGAATATTGCTAAGCACATTCACTGGTGCAAAGATCTTTATTGAAAAAAGTGAACAGGCAAAGAAATTAAATTAAATGGCTAAACCAACTTCTTCTCAAAATCTATACACTCTGCTTCATCTTGTCATCGCCCTAGTTGCTTATGCAAAGTTGGTTATTGCCAAGTATATAAATAAGGTAGAAGAATTTGAATATAACATACTGCCAAAATTTTATTTTATCTAAAAGAAATCATGTTTAATATCATTTATATAACTACTAAGCTCTTTCACTCAACGATGTTGCAACTTGCGATTAATACCCAACCCTTATTACAGTAAAGTTTAGCCAAATTTTCTTAATATCAAACTCTTTCCTCCACCATACTGACCTGAAGAGCTATTTGTAAGTTCTACAACGCTTTTAGAATCTGAACTCTGCTTGTCATCACTGGTTCCAGCACCTTTTGTGGCCCAGTTGCAACGTATCTGTCTACTGCCAAGCCATTTTCCTGGCGCATCATATAAGCTATAGTAAGAAAACTAAAATACTTACTAAAAAACAATTCTAGTGTGCAAACAAAATTTCATTTAGATGCATAAAATATATTAAGAGAAATTCATCTAAATGTTCTCACCAGTCAAATCATTTATTGCACTTTGTGCATCCTGGAAAAAAAAAAAAAAAAAAAAAGAATCAGCTAAGCTAACAAATCCAAACTCACGATCACGAAGACATACCTGCTGATTCCGGAAAGAGACGAATCCAAAACCCCTGGAACGCCCAGTTTTCTGATCCCACATAACCCTTGCATCACTACAAACAACAAGAGGCATTCAGCATTACTAAAATTGGATATGCAACACAAAATCAACACATAGATACTTTCTCGAAATATGGTTCAGACAATTCTAAGTCAGTTTCCTTAATTTTTGAAAACCAGAAGCCCAACAGGCTAGTGACTGGTGGACAATGTACACATCTTTATAGATAGTATGCATCCACACACAGAGAGAACAAGAGGGAGGTAGGTACTTACGAACAACTAGGGAAAACAGAAAAGCAAGCATACAACATGTTATCAGTAACCTCCGGGCTCAGATCACCAACAAAAATGTTGAAGTGGCCTAAAGATGGAAAGGGAAAAAACTTCTGTTAATAAGAATACTGGCACACAGAATATGCTTTATACGAGATCATCAAATTAAAGCTCACTTGATGTATCCTCTCTCTGCCCACTTGCATATGCCCAGTTAACTTTGATGGGCTGACCAAACCTGATTGTCACAAAATTCATTATCATGTCAAGTTGAAAAGCAAACTGAGATCAAAACTTCAAAGATCCCAACTTACAGATGCCTTCCATTGAGCGTTAATATAGCAAGTGCAGCTGATCTGCGGTCAAAATAATGAATAAAGCCATAGGAGGACTGCATGAAGCAAAAATACATCCAATAAATGTTGGTGTCATAAAAAGAGCTTGTGTGTTGTGTATACACAAAGTGCACACATATTTATATTATCGGTTAAAAGAATACTTCATAAGAATAGCACCTTTTCTTTTCTAATGAGCTTACAGGCCTCCACAGGTCCAGTACTAGCAAAAACTTCTTGCAGAAGTGCTTCAGTGACCTGTGTGTGAATGTTCCCAACATACCTACATTTTCCCCAAAATAAAAGATTTTCAAGTACAAAATGATAAGGCAAACATTAACTTTGAAGACAGCAAATATCACATAATAAATGGACCGTAAATTGGGAAAGAAAATGAATTAAAGCACACCAGCTCTGTAGCATTTGAGTTAAGAAATTAGGAAACAAAAAGGACATGGACCAGAATGAATGACACAAATACTAATGCACAGCCACGGGAATTAACTAAAAGAAAAAACAACTTAAAATTCGACACAAAGACACAAGTTGCACAAGTGTGTAACAAGGAAGAAGAAAAGTGGGGAAAAAATGTCTGAACAACACTCACACAATGCGGCATGTAGTTGGATCAAACCCAGGAGGGATATTTCCACTTGGAATTGCCTCAATCTGCAAAATTGAAGGGCGAGGGGAGAAAATGAAAATAAAGGAAAAAGAAAAAGATTTCCCTAAAGCATCTGCATGTATCAACCAACCAAAAGGATAAAAATCAAAGAAGGGAAAGGGAAAAACCAACTCATACAGTATGGTGGTTGAAGTGCTACTAATGAAGTAAAATAAAAACTAAAAAGAAAAGGTGCAAAAAACTTAAAATGAATTCTCTCTATTTCTAACTACATGCCTCGAGTCAATAAATCTTTAAAATGTCACGTTATGCAATTAACTACATTCTATCACAATCACAGGGCAAATTCCCTTAATCAACAGAATACCAAGCCAGCCCTTCCATCAAAGCAGAATTTCATAATCTCAACCACCAATGATAATGATGCTCTAAACTTGTGCCATTATCCACACTTCTAAATGGAAAATTGCATCACTACTCTTACTCTACATCCACACATGTAATACACTATGGATATCTTTTTCCCTCGATATATTGAACTTATGTGCTAAAAACCTCTTGAATTTCAAACCCGACAAATTCCTTAGTGCAACTAGATTTGATGTTCGTTGAGTTTACACATACATCAATGTACTTATAAAGCTTTCACCTTGTTCCCTTTAAAAGAACAGAAGTACATAGACAGTTGATTAAAGAGTCTCCGAGTGCATTCAATAGTCACACGGGCAATTCAACCACTACTTCAAGAGTGTTTTTGTCATAGAAAATTCAATTGCAGTCAACAAACCCAAAACCTACTCATCAGCGCAACAAAAGAGTAGAGGAGACACGAAAACTCAATGGCAAGGCAATATCAATTCATCAAATCAAATGGTACACCCCAACTTGCTTTAGATAAGAAGAAAACTGACCACCCATAAGATCCCCATCACAAGAAAGAAATATCCCAGGCCAAGAATCAGCTAACTAAAGATTAACCCATCATCCACTTCAATAACGTAAAATCCACACACCCCGATCACTTTCCACAAAATTAAAATAAAATGAAGAAAAAAATGAAGAAACCTGCGGAGCAGCTAATATCCCGGGGTGATGATAAAGCGATTGCTGCTGAAGCAGAGCTTGTTGCATCAACGCCTGGTGCTGCTGCTGCTTCATCCTCTGATTCTGCATTTTTCAATGAATTAAACCGATAGCTTGATCAATTGAAACGATCGGATAAGAATGTCAGTCCTAGGGCTTGTTTGGAGAGAGAATGGCAAAGGTTAACACAATCGAACGGTGAAAGGCCAACAGAAAAAAAAGGAAAAAAAAAAAAAAATAGAGAGGGAAAAGAAAAAAGAAAAACAAAAAAGGAAAGAGTGCTTCTCACACTCATAAAATCGGAGCATTGAGCAGTGAGGGTAGGGCCTATTTATAGCAGAGCTTTTAACGGGTCGTATTGTATTATGTATTCGGCCCAATATCTATTTTTATTTTATTACTTTATGGGTTTGCTTGATCAGTGATTTTAAATTAATTTGAAATTAAGTATACATCTAAATTTTTATTTAAATAAAACTCTCTCCATCGTGTGGGAATTGAATCTTTTAATTAGGGACAGGGTATTTAAAGTAGGGATGTTTAATTAGTTAATAATAATGAGTTATGATATTATTATATTATTTTTTATGTAATTAATAATATTTATAATTTTAAAGTAAATTTAATATATATGTTTAAATATTTAAAAATATATGCAATATAGATATCAGCATAAAATTTTCTATAAACAAGTAAATAAAAAAATATTTTTTTATTTATAATTAAAATAAATCAATTTAAAAGATGTATAATTTTAAATATAAATAAAAATATTTATTTTTTTGAGGAGAAATAGAAATAAAGAGATTTTGAGTAAAGCTAAATCATTTACGATGTTGTATGGTATATAGTTAATTAAGTTGATTTATATTTGTTAAATATGTTTTGATTTAATAATTTTTACCAAAAATAAAAATATATCAGCTGTTATGGGACAAACAAATGAAAATAGTATCAATTATAGTAGAAAGAGAAAGTATTTTAATATAATATTTTATAAAAAAAATAATTTATTTTTATTAAAAACTTATGTCAAGTAAATAATATTAATTTGATTTAAAATATTAAAAGAATAAACTCTATGACTTCAAACATTATAACATTTTAAATAATATAGACAGAGTATTATCTTCGGAGGAGTCTTATATTTATGTGTAAAATAATTGTAGATTTATGTGTAAAGTAATTGTATTTATAATAATATATTTGTAATTTATGTAAAAATTAAAAATATTTTAATATTAATATATAATTACTTTTGATCAATAAAAAAATAAATATGACCAGAAGAAATAGTACTTTGAATTGAGACATTAAAAAATATAATATAAATTTTAAAGTAAGTTTGATTATGACCAAGATCTACCTCAAATTGAGGTTCTACTGTTAACAAGAGATACAAAGAGAAGCAATTTTAGCATAAAAAATCGTAGCTCAGGAGAGGAAGAGAGGACTTTTGAGAAATTCTCGGTCGCCAAATCTCCCAAGGAGAAATTATTGGTCAAGAAGGCAAATCATTTTAGAAGAATTTGAAGAAAAAAAAAATTGTGGAAGGAAATGAGTTTTTTTTTTTTTTTTTCTTTGTTTCTTATCATATATCTCATAAATATAGATTTTAAATTAAAATTATTATACCATTTAAACTAATTTTAATTTAAAGTACAACCTTTTTTTTTTTTTAATTAGCTAATGGTGTGCTTGACTAAAGACTCCGGGATTTACCTATTGCAACGGGTGACTTTCAAGTAATAAAATGAGCAATTAGAGATAAGCATATACTTCCCGGTCCAGGTTCAAATGGGCTTTTTGGAATTTTGTAATAAATTAAAAAATAATATTATTTTATTATTCAGTGATAAATGTGTAAGAAATTTTGATATTTCTAATTGTATTTGTAATAGTATATTTGTAATTTAGGTAAAAATAAAGTGTATTTTGGTATTAAGGTATAATTATTTTTGTTAAAATAAGAAATGAAACGAAAATGGTAAAAAATATACTTTGAGTTGGAAGGGAAGAGTATATGATATGTTGAAAATGAATTATATTTTAGATTGAATTTTGATTGATGTTTGCATGTGAGTCAACAACTCACAGATGTTTATTTGTGAAGTTTTGATTTTGATTTTGAATTTTGAATAGTAAAATTTTGAATTAAAATTGTTGTATTAAGTATGTAATTTGATGTTTTCAAAAAAAAAAAAAAAAAAAAAACTAGAATAGTAAAATAAAGGTAGAATCTTAAAAGTAAACACACTGAATGAGGTGGCCCAAGTGCAAATGCAGATTGATCCCTCACAGTAAGAATAACACTAACTGATCCTCGTGTGATAGTATAACAAATCCGTTGTAATAAAACTGTTGAAACGTGACTTGGATTTAGCGGTCTACCCAACCCTAAACCAAAGCGAAAGGGCTGTTTCAATTGGCAGGGTTCCTTTTGGGCTTATCCTAATTAATAACAAATAGGCTTAAGGTTTAGGGTGTTTTGGGGTGCTTATAAATAGACAACTATGGTTCTTAGTCGGATGACACATTGTAAATCTCTGAATCAGTATAATAAAATCTCTCCGGTTCCTGCCCGTGGACGTAGGTTGACGAACCACGTAAAACCTCTGTGTTCTTTATTTGCTTTCTTTCTCGTTTTCTCATAACAAGTGGTATCAAAGCCATATCTCATTGATTGAAGATGTCCTCGTATAAATTTGATCTGGAGAAGTTTAATGGATCGAATGACTTCACGCTCTGGAAGGTCAAGATGAGGGCACTTCTGGTTCAACAAGGATGTGCGGCTGCGTTGGAGGGAGAAGACAAGTTTCCTAAAGACACGAAGGAGGAGGTAAATAAGGAGATTTTGGCAAGGGCTCATTCCGCGATCTTGCTGTCAGTTACTGATGAGGTGTTACGGGAGGTTGTAGATCAGACAACGGCTTTTGGGTTATGGAATAAACTGTGTGAGAAGTACCAAAACAACTCTCTCACGAACAGGCTATATCAGAAGCAACGTCTTTACACCCTCCGGATGTCCGAAAGTACTCAGGTAAAGGATCATCTTGATACCTTTAACCGTATCATTCTTGATCTTCAAGGAGTTGAGGTTAAAGTAGATGATGAAGACCAAGCCCTAATTTTATTGTGTTCACTACCTGGTTCATATGAGAATTTTGTAGATACTATGCTATATGGTAGAACTACAATTTCTGTTAATGATGTGAAAGATGCCCTTATGTCCAAAGAATTGAAAAGAAAGGTTTCTCTGGAAGAGGGTTCTGGTTCAGGTCTGTTTGCAGGTAGGGGAAGACCACATGAGAGGGGTAACGGGAATGGGAGGTCGCGTTCAAAATCAAAATCCTCTAGCAAAGTTAAGTGTTATCATTGCAAGGAGAAAGGGCACGTTAAAAGGGATTGTCCACAAAAGAAGGGAAATACAAAAGTTGATTCTAGTAACAGTGGCAGCAGTGCTGTTGTGGTACAAGACAGTTCTGATGATGGGGACTTTGGTGAAGTTCTGACAGCATGTAGTGCTAGTACTGCTGATTCCTGGATTATGGATACCGGTGCTTCTCACCATATGACGTTCTCTCGTGATCTACTCACTTCTTTTAAGGAGTGGAATGGAACGGTGAAGTTAGGTGATGATGGGGTTCTAGCCATAAAAGGGAGCGGGGTAGTGCAGATAAAATTGCATGACGGTACTGTCAGGAAATTTGACTGTTGGTATGTTCCTGAACTCAGAAAGAATTTGATTTCTCTTGGGACCTTAGCCAAGAATGGTTTAAAATATCATGGTGAAGGTGAGTGGGTGAAAGTCCTGAAAGGTGCGCTGGTAATGATGAAGGGAAAACTGCAGCATGGAATTTATTTTCTACAGGGCAGTTCAGTGATGGGAACGGCGGCGGTATCTCAGTCCTTGGATAAACATGATGATAGGACAAATTTGTGGCACCGGCGATTAGGTCACATGAGTGAGTTAGGGTTGTCTGTGTTGAGCAAGCAGGGTTTATTTGGTGGAGATGTGATAGGTAAAATTCAATTCTGTGAGGCTTGTGTCAAAGGGAAGCAACGCAGGGTGAGGTTTAGTACCGGTCATCACACTTCAAAACAAATTCTGGAGTATGTTCATTCAGATCTATGGGGTCCCTCTCCGGTGAAATCGCAGGGCGGGTGTTCTTACTTTGTCACTTTCATAGATGATTATTCGAGAAAAGTCTGGTTGTACTTTCTGAAAACTAAAGATGAGGTGTTTGGGAAGTTCAAGGAGTGGAAGACCATGGTTGAAAAACGGACGGGTAAACAGGTCAAGACTCTAAGAACTGATAATGGGTTGGAGTTCTGCAACGCTCCATTTGATGATTTCTGCAAGAAAGAAGGTATAGTGAGGCACCGCACTGTACGACACACACCACAGCAAAATGGAGTTGCAGAGCGAATGAATCAAACCCTCATGGCGCGTGCTAGGTGTATGCGCATATTTGCTGGCTTGTCTAAGCAATTCTGGGCTGAAGCAGTAAACACTGCTAGCTATCTGGTTAATAGATCTCCATCAACTGCAATTGACTTAAAGACTCCTCAAGAGGTATGGTCCGGTAAACCCTCTGATTACTCTAATCTAAGAATATTTGGATGCCCTGCATACGCTCATGTGAATGATGGTAAGCTGGAGCCGAGGGCGGTAAAATGCATATTTCTAGGGTATGCAACAGGAGTAAAAGGTTATCGACTGTGGTGTACAGAAGGTAAAAATCCTGGTAAATTTCTTATTAGCAGAGATGTAACCTTTGATGAATCTGCTATGCTTGATCAGAGTAGAGGTTGTGAAAGTATTGCAGGTACAAAAGATTGTGGTGCTAACCAGAGGGTGGAGTTTGAGACTCCTGACAGAGTTGTGTTAGAGGAAAAGCAGCAGGATAATAATATTGATCAATCCGATCAACCAGATCAGTCAAAACCTCAAGGGAAACCGGTTGAGGGGGAAGCTGATGACGCTGGTACGGGGGTTGAAGATTCCATAGCAGCAAGAAAGGGAAAGAGAAATATTCAGAAACCAGCTAGGTTTGCAGGATGTGTCAATACGTGTGACATGGATTCTGTTGCTTATGCACTAGCGGTTGGTGATGATCTTGGCTCTGATGAGCCAAAGACATATAAAGAAGCTGTGGCGAGTAAAGATGCAGAAACCTGGATTATGGCAATGAATGAAGAGATGCAGTCTCTTGAAAAGAACAAGACTTGGGATCTTGTTGCACTACCAAAAGGGGTGAAGCCAGTGGGATGCAAGTGGGTCTTTAAAAGAAAGGAGGGAATTCCTGGTGTTGAACCTGCTAGGTTCAAGGCGAGACTGGTGGCAAAAGGGTTTTCACAGAAGGAAGGAATCGATTACCATGAAGTCTTTTCTCCTGTGGTGAAACACAAAACCATTCGGGTTCTTTTGGCAATGGTGGGTGCTTTTGATCTGGAGCTGGAGCAGCTTGATGTAAAAACAGCATTCCTTCATGGTAATCTAGAAGAACAAATTTACATGTCTCAACCGGAGGGGTTCTACAGTTCTAAAGGGGACCAGGTATGCTTGTTAAAGAAATCTCTGTATGGCTTGAAGCAATCTCCGAGGCAATGGTACAAGAGATTTGACTCATTCATGGTGTCTAATGGTTATACTCGTAATCAGTTTGATAACTGCGTTTACTCGAAGAAAGTTTCTACTGATTCCTTTGTGTATCTGCTGTTGTATGTGGATGATATGTTAATTGCAGCTAAAAATATGGCTGTAATTAATGACTTGAAGGCTCTACTAAAGGGTGAGTTTGAGATGAAGGATTTGGGTGCGGCAAAGAAAATACTTGGTATGGAGATCTGGCGTGATAGAGAAGCAAGACGGTTATGGGTTTCTCAAGAAAAGTATATTGAGAAAGTTTTGCAAGCATTCTCTGTTGAGCAGTCCAAACCGGTAAGTACCCCTTTGGCGGCACACTTTAAACTTGATCGAAGCACTATACCGGCTACAGATGAAGAGGTTAGTTACATGAAGACGGTTCCATATTCAAGTGCAGTTGGAAGTCTTATGTATGCGATGGTATGTACGAGACCGGATCTCGCTTATGCGGTTAGTGTGGTGAGCAGGTTTATGGCTAATCCGGGTAAAGCTCACTGGGGAGCTGTAAAGTGGATCTTGCGATATTTGAAAGGAGCGTCTGATATTTGTCTGGTATATGATGATAAAGGCCATGGTGATGGTCTTGTTGGCTATGCAGACTCTGATTACGGGGGTGACTTGGTGAAACGAAGATCACTAACTTGTTTTATCTTCACTTTGTTTGGATGTGCAGTCAGTTGGAAGTCTACTTTACAACCTACGGTTGCATTGTCGACGACTGAGGCGGAATACATGTCAATGACTGAAGGTATTAAGGAGGGTATCTGGTTACATGGTCTGGTGCAGAGTTTGGGTCTGAAGGTGGAGAAACCGGTGTTATTCTGTGATAGTCAAAGTGCTTTGAGTTTGGCTAAAAATCCAGTGTATCATGAGAGAACCAAACATATTGATGTAAGGTTGAATTTTATCCGTGATGTTCTGGAGGAAGACAAGTTTTCTATTCAGAAAATAGCTACAGAGCACAATCCAGCTGATATGTTGACAAAGGCGCTACCGACGGAGAAGTTTGAGCACTGCTTGAACTTGGTGAATATTCGTAGGAGGTAAAGCCCTCTCGGGGCATCTGGCAGGAAGGAGACGACTGAGAGATACTGACAAACCTTTGGCGGTTGGAGAAACTCCAAGTCAAGGTGGAGATTGTTGAAACGTGACTTGGATTTAGCGGTCTACCCAACCCTAAACCAAAGCGAAAGGGCTGTTTCAATTGGCAGGGTTCCTTTTGGGCTTATCCTAATTAATAACAAATAGGCTTAAGGTTTAGGGTGTTTTGGGGTGCTTATAAATAGACAACTATAGTTCTTAGTCGGATGACACATTGTAAATCTCTGAATCAGTATAATAAAATCTCTCCGGTTCCTGCCCGTGGACGTAGGTTGACACACCGTCACCGAACCACGTAAAACCTCTGTGTTCTTTATTTGCTTTCTTTCTCGTTTTCTCATAACAAAAACTATAGTGGGGACAAAATTAATTTGCTACATATTACAAAATTTGGTAGGAAATATGTTAGTTGGAGTGATTTGCAGAGAATAAAAGGGTGAGCTTTGAATTGGAACTGAAATAATAATTCTTTTTTTGTAATGGTAAAAAAATCGATCAAAACCCCATGAACAAATACAATCCACTTTTCTTTTTTTTTTTTTTTTTTCTTCTTTCCCTCGATCGATTGAATCAACTGATGAGCCAAACTACAAACTACTGATAATATGATAAATTTTGGCAATGAATTGCGACGAACTGTGATCCAGATCTCGATTCCATTCCATTCAGTGGCTATAAATTCAGGTCGATCCCTCTAGCTCCCTCTGAAGAGGACGACCCTGACCCTGACCCTGACCCTGGCTGTTCTTGATGGTGGTGGTACGGCATCCTCCCTGAAGCCCTATCCTTCCTCTTCTCAAGGAATCTGTGGATCGATGATCTTCTAGCGATTGGCATATCTGGAACATGCAGAAATCGGTAACCGATTGTTAGTTATGATGTAAGAGTACAATTCTGATGTCGTGTTTAATACGCCGCAGGCGAGAGTGGAATCGATTGCCTTACCGGAGCTGTTGGCTTCGGATTGAAGTGAAAATTGTCCCTGTGCTGCTTCCGAGCTCCGCGCCGGAGCTCCACCGACGGTGGAATTTGTGTTCTCAGCACCGATGTTCGATTTGATGACCGCAGGCTGCTTGCCGCTGCTGGAGGCGTTCTCGTTGCAGGTGTTGGACGAAATGTCAACCGCCTGTTTACATTGAGGCCGCGGCGGGAGCCTATGGTGGTTCGGCTTCTCCGGCACGGTGGTCACCAGAACGCCGCACGACATTTGTGAGCTGGTTTGTTTGGCAATTGAGACGAGCTCTCTCGCCTTCTCCATCGGATAATCATCGAACACCAACACCTTCCCCGAGTATAATATTGTGAGCTGCGAGGCCTTCTCTTTACTGAAATTATTGGGGAAAACCGAAGGAATTTCAGATTCTGCTGCAGATAAAAAGGTACGCACTGCACGGTTTTCTCAATCAATTGATTCAGTGCGATAAACAGGGACGAAATATATGATGAACCTTGAATCATTTTTGTTTGACGCGTCTGTTTCTTCTTCTTCTTCTACTACTATAGCTTGTCCTGCTGCTGCTGGTGAGATCTGTTGAGCGAATTTAGCCTTTTTATTCTTCTGCGAATTCACGATCGAGGAAGACGAAGAAGCGAGAGACGATCCAGATCCCGGTTTCACTGAAATCAAGCCAAAGCACACACGGTTTCATCCATGAACCCTAAAAGTAGTGTGAAATCAGAATTGAACAACTGGTTCCTTACCAATCGCTTCAAGGCTCTCCACTCTTCCACCGATTTCAATATTCAAATCTTTGAGACTGCCTTTTTCCTTCACATACCGACTCAGAAGATTGCAAGTCTGCGCAAAATTCGACCATCTCTCAGGCGCTTCAGAGCTCGACATCGATCCCTGTAAGTATATCCTATCCTCCTCTCTTATCTTTCTGCAAATTGGAACTTAGCTCGAACAGATTTCACAGTACCAAAAACCAATCTCATATCATTTCATCATATAAAGAAACGGTGGGGATTGAAGATTGATGAATTGCAAAAGGGTGGTTAGAGTTTTTTTTTTTTCCATGTTCTCCAAAAAAAAAGGTTCTTTAATGGAGGTAATAAGCACGTGAAAATTGCCCTCGCAGGGAAAGGAGACAAAGCCCGCACAGCAATTAATTAATTTAATTAATTGGTAGGTGGGGATCATTGACATTGACAGGCAGACTGAGTGGGCAGCCATGGTTTGCCTTGCTTGCTCTGCTGCTGTGCATACCATTACCATCCATTTCAACTCATCAATGGCCTGGATTGGATCCATCTCTGCCATATGCCATATGGATGGTGATGAAAGATCCTCCTGCCAACATATTATATCGGTTCTAGTATTTTCTTAATTTATTGCAGTCTTTTACTACTTGTTTGAATAATGATAATAGTAATTAATTCATTATTGTCATCTCACTCACTCACTGTTGTTTCTTCCACAGAATTCTCCCAGTCCTGAACCTGCTATGGTATCCGTCGCTTTCAGGCAAATTGAATGTGAGGAATTATTAAAGATCTTCCTTCCACGTGAAAAATTCATTTTTGTAGTGGTGGATGGATGGGTCATTGTCCCAACAATCCTCGCAAGGTACCATATCCTAATTCCTAATTCCTCATTCCTGTTTCCTGTTTTCTTTTCTTCCCCATATTTATCATAATGCTGCTGTGCTTACTGTTCATATTTCGGCCCTATCTTTTTCTTTGAAATTAATTAGTATCTCTCTTAGCTGCAGACTACGTGGGAGAGTATATTAGTATTTATTTACCATATTTTGGAATTTATTTACCATAACTGAAAGCTGCTGAGTATTATTATAATATGATGAAGGTATGGCTGTGAGTTTTACATGTCATTTGCCGTGTTCTTGTTGATCTTTTAGTAAGATATGGTGTTTGACAGGGATGGGGAGGGCAGTATTGGTATGTATGTCTTATACTTAGGGTACCCCACACCACCCCAACCCTCCAATGCACGTGCTTAGAATGGTTTGGATTACATTATAATACAGTATGTTTTATTACTATTAGCCTAGGCCTAAATATCATGCATGATCAATGTGTATTTGTATGTATATTATGAATTAAATAACAAGTTTGTAATTGAAAAGGGCAGATTTGGATCTGACTTCTTTGTAATTCAAACATAATAAAAGGTAAAAAATTAATAAATGCCACAAATAAATATCTACAATATTGGAATATTTTGTTCTAAAATGTTATTTTAAGTAAGTTTTGGATGTTGCACACTCATCAATCTTGCTGTTTATTTTGGAAATGAATTGAGTTGCTTATAAATTTATAATTAAATTGGATAAAATAATATTATTCATAAAAATAAATCCATCATAATCGTTTCCCCAACCCTCAAAGAATATTATATTGAGAATGTCTTATCAACCATTTTACCATAAGCTTAATTAGACATCAATGAATATTAATTATAAAACATCGAGCAAGACTAAGGGAACACGACGCTGTACTTGCAAAAATCCACGACCTCATGATGACAAATCTAACCTCTACACCACCGGACCATCCCTTACGGGACAATATATATACTTATTCTTCAATCTTCATATGGTCCTTCGTCTAACAATATTATATCTATTAATATATATATATATATGTGTGTGTGTGGACACACTATGACACTATTCATATTGGTAGATATGTATATTTAAAAAAAATAATGGTAGATTGGATATGCTCTATAGATGCAATATAAATGCTGAAAATAATATAGAGTGCTAATAACAGTTGACCATCAGCCATTTATCTAGTAGCATTGTTAAATACATGTGTGAAAAAAAAATTAAAAAAAAATAATAAATAATAGTGTAGATAGAGACTTTTTGAATTCGAAAAAAAATAATAATAATAAAAATATTATTATTATCTGATGGAATTTTTTTTAAAAAAAAATTAAAAAAATATTATAGATGAATAATATCAAAATTTCCAAAATATTTGTATAAACAAAGCGTAAGTGTTGATATTTTGTGATGGAAAATACGTATTTTATGGGATAATATTTGAGAAAAATTATAAATGATGAATACTAGTATAAAACTTTTAGAAAGTGTATCATAATAGAGATTAGCCTTCACATTATTATTGTAATTATTATTATTATTATTATTATTTGGGACAACATGATTACAATTTCAAATTTAAGGGTTTTTTTTTTAAACTTTAACTTTTACTATTTAAACTCTTGTATTTTTCTTTTAAATATATATATATATATTTCACAAATATCCCATCAAACATTCTATCAACCTCAAATCAAAATTTTGGAAACAAAAAATTATTTCTATATTTAATTCAAGTGGAATTTGCATGACCATTTATCATTAAGTGGGGTTTGTTTTATTGATATGGAGAAAAGCTATTAGAAGGCACAGAGAATTAATAGTTAGGTTATAATATAATAATCAGGAGAAAGGCAGTTATTACAGTTGCAATTTGTAACAACACAATCCAATCCCTCCTCACGACAATGGCGGATTTCCACTGCTAAAACACTCCCCAAACACAAACTCCTTTTCCCTCTTCCCTTTCCCCCTTTCCTTCCTCCATCTTCTTCTTCTTCAGAGAGAGAAAGAAAGAAAGAAAGAAAGGGAGAGAGAGCTACATACAGATACAGAGGCAGATTGGAGAAGAACAAAAACATACATATACAAAACCAAAATCAAATAAGAATGCAGGCTCAAAGCTCTGACAACATATTACAAGAACAACCATTCATGAAAATCTACCAATCTTAAAACCAAACCAGCTCTGGTTATTCCTTGAATTCTCCATTTTTCTATGGCCGCCATTGTTGGTGTTTGGCGCCCATTTCTGTCCTCCTCTTACATAACAATCATAATAATATCTCTGACCACAATCCTTCCGGCAGCACTCTCAAGCCCTGAGTCGGATGCCCTTCTGAAGCTGAAAGCATCATTCACAAATGCAGCTGCTCTTGATTCATGGCAGCCTGGAACTGAGCCCTGTGAGGTCAACCGGTTATGGGCCGGCGTCAAATGCGAGAACGGCGTCGTCTCCGGCCTCCGTCTCGGCAACATGGGCCTGTCCGGAAGAATCGATGCCGACGCGTTGGCGCCTCTTCCAGGCCTCAGGAGCATCGCCATTACAGGGAATTTATTTTCAGGCCAAATCCCTGATTTCCATCGTGTTGGAGCTCTCAAAGGATTGTACATTTCTGATAATCAGTTCTCCGGGGCAATCCCGCCGGACTACTTCTCCAAGATGGCCGGATTGAAGAAAGTCTGGTTGTCCGGCAACCAATTCTCCGGCCAAATTCCGCCGTCGCTGTCGCAGTTATCCCAGCTGATGGAGCTGCATCTGGAGAACAATCAGTTTTCGGGGCAGATTCCACCATTGGAGCAGGTAACTCTGTCGTCATTCAACGTCTCCAACAATAAATTGGAAGGTGAGATTCCATCTTCCATGAAAAGGTTTGGTTCCGATTCATTCGGAGGAAATCCAGGCCTCTGCGGCGGAGCTTCAGGCAAGCCCTGCAACCAACCTGCCGCGGCGCCGGCGAAATCCAATGGCAATGGATTTGGCATAGCTCTGTGGTGTTTACTGGGAGTCGCGGTGCTGCTTCTGCTGATACTCCTCGTGGTTTTCGCGGCGAAGAAAAGGAACAAGACTACCAATGCGCCGGTAATGGAAAATCTCAACCGTCCGGTTGGTGTCGCGCCTGCCGTCGTAAATGTAGGGAAGAAGGACACCGATGCGAGCAGCAGGAAAGCCACGAAGATGAGTGGCAACGGGTCGAGCCGGAGGAGGGACATAATCATCATAAACGATGACAAGGGGGAATTCGGATTGGCAGATTTGATGAAAGCTGCAGCTGAGGTGCTCGGCAATGGTGCATTTGGCTCGTCGTATAAAGCCGTGATGACGAGTGGATTGGCTGTGGTGGTTAAAAGGGTAAAGGAAATGGCGAAGATGGGGAGAGATCAGTTTGACGCCGAGATGCGACGGCTGGGGCGATTACGCCACAAGAATGTGCTGACGCCATTGGCTTATCACTACCGTAAGGAAGAGAAGCTTCTAGTTTCCGAGTATCAACCGAACGGCAGCCTACTCTTTGTGCTACACGGTACTCATTGCGCGCTTACGATCAAATTCATAACTCTCATGTTACTATATATGATCATCGAACACTCTGTAATGTATTTCAGGTGATCGAGGAGCTTCACATTCGGAGCTCAACTGGTCTGTTCGGCTAAAGATAGTTCAAGGCATTGCTCGCGGATTAGGCTATCTCCACGCGCAGCTCTCGACGTTCGATCTACCTCACGGCGACCTGAAATCGAGCAATGTTCTCTTGGCCTCAGATTACGAACCTTTACTCTCGGATTACGGATTGCATCACTTGATGGGCAACAGCCAAGCTGCACAGGCGCTGGCGGCGTACAAGGCACCGGAGGCGCAGCTGCATCAACAGATATCGCCAAAATGCGACGTCTACTGTCTGGGAATCATCATTCTTGAAATTCTTACAGGGAAATTCCCTTCTCAGTATTCCAGCAACTCGCAAGGCGGGACGGATTTAGTCCAGTGGGCAAGATCAGCCATTGCTGAGGGGCGGGAGGCTGATTTACTCGATCCGGATATTGCGCAGACCACGAATTCTATAGGTGCAGCGGTGCAGCTCCTCCGAGTTGGCGCAGCCTGCACAGAAAGCAGCCTGGATCATCGGTTGGATCTTGACGAAGCCATCAGGAGGATAGAGGGAATAGCTGTGGACGGGGCTGAGACAATACAGGTTGTGCCGCCGTCTCCAGTTTCATTCAGTCCCCGGCCGTGAGGCGCAGCAGGCAGGCGAGCAAACAGACTTATGGATCAGGTGTTTGAAGAAGGACTAGCTATGGCTATGGCTATGGCTATTTGTGCTTGTGCTCCATGGAATTCTCAGGAATCAGTTCCTATTCTGTAAGAATCATGTTTGAAAGTGATATACAGATTGCAATGAAATCTACTGTTGAACTTTGAACTCACTCAGCTAAAGAAAGCCTTTGTTATTGACAAGATTTAGGATGGATTCAGAAAGTGCATTTTTTTCATGGGAATTGTGATCATTTTGGGGGACCAATCTTTTTCCTACCACCAACCCTTAAAAAACACTAAGAAAGATCATCAAACATATATTGTTGATTCTATTATTTGGTACCACAGATTGCTGCAGCCTTCACTTTGATTATAAAAACCTTTTGGAAGAAAGGATTAATTCCTGAGACTCTTAAACTAGTGGGGAATGTATTGGGAGTTCAAAAAATGTTTACAATGCTTAGCAACTGATGAAGAGACCAAGTGTCCGAAGAGCAACAAAAACACAAGTAATAAAAGTGTCGACAGTAGCGCGAAAACTACAGGAAAAACACTGAGAACATTTCATAACATGTGCTGCATCCATCCATCCATTGTTGCAGCCATGAAAAAAGAGGAGAGAAAAAATCCCTTCCCAGGAGCTGTTTTCAGTTGCAAAGTAAAATGATCACTTCATATTATAGGCCTGTCTGTAATGTATTTTACAAAGAGATTCAGCTTGGGTATGCTGCGACGCATTCATTTTATTCTCTTGAGGCGTATTTCTTTCATATCTCTAGAACGATATCTGCGAAACAGAAGTTAGATTTTTCAGTTGCACTTCTGATGAAAAAACCAGAAAAAGAAGTTGATCTTGGACAGGGGGAAAAAGTATGTGTGGAACAACTTACATTCAGAATCAGTCTTATCCCATTTAGACCCCTTGTTGTTTTTATTAATATTATTATTATTATTATGCGACGATTCTTCCTCTTTTTCTGCCTTGACCGTATGTCTTTGTTGATGATTTCTATTGTCTCCTAAGTATCGCTTTGTCGATGACGCCCTGGAAGCATTCTGAGGGTATATCTTCCTGGTAAGCATTGTCCTCATAAGCTGCAATTTGTATTTCCATCAGGTTTGCATCAGATTTTGTATCTATATGCTTGTAGAGTGATCGATGTGCTTACCTTCTCCATTCTTGATTCTTGAAATGTATCTCTCAAACTCGGCGTCGGCGCAAAGCCACTTTGGCAGACAAACATTTTTTTGACAAGAAAAGCCAATGACTTCTTCCCAATTGCTTTCTTCTTCTTCTCACAAACATCCTTGCATCTCCCGAGTATAATTCTGATGGTTCGATCAATCTCTTCCTCGTCTTTGTCATCCGAATAGGTGCTGAATCTGTTGGAAGCATTGCGGTCTACTTCCAAGCTTGAAGGACAGTTGAGGAATCTATCCAATGGCAGATCAGCAATAGGCTCCTCGGCTTTTGAAGGTATTGCTGCGGCAGCAGCAGGCTTTCGATTCAAAAGCCTTTTAAGCTCTTTCTGCAAACTGTTAACCTCTTCAGCTGTGAATTCTGAAAAATCGGGAGAGGTTCCCTGCTCTTCTTGGGATATTTCTGCCACAGGATTTTCATACACTTGGATCTCTTGTTTATCACGATCATGATCATCATCACCATTTCTTAGATTTGTGTTTCCGAGCGTGCCAATGGTGAGCAGACCGCGGCGCCAATCACTTGCAGGCTCTTTACCAGCAGCAACAGAACCTATATATATATATGATCGATCAGTTTTCAGATTCCATTGATTCTTTCTTTCTACACTAACAATACAAAAGACAAGACACAATGAACATAAGACCAATCTTACTCGCCCCCGCGACAACATTAGGCCTGGTCTTATTCCCTTGTCCTTGGCCCCCTCCTGCATTGAGCTTGCTCTGCATCCAACTGAAGAACTGCACAAAATCACCAAAAAAGAACACAGCTCAGTAAACTCCAACTCTATCTAGCTAGACCATGATGCATTCCAGAAAACTGATCTAACCTTCATTTCAGAAGCACAGATACAGATTGGGTGTTAGAGACAGACAGAAGATGAAAACAAACAAAGGGGAGGAATTTGGTGGGAAAACAAAAGAAAAACTGATCAGGTGGTGAATGTGCAGTAGCAGATCCTAGAAGCCAATGAGATTTGAGCTTTGGGAGTAATAAATAAATAAAGAGATAGTATTTGTTTATGGTGTTAGTGAAGGGTGAATACCAAATTGAGAATTTCCCAAATCTCAACCAACATCCGTCCCTATTCATGCATGGAGGCATAAGGAAGGAAGAAACATTCTCATTCTCCTCAATTCAGATATGTATATATATATATATATATATTATATTAGCAGCAGCCAGCAACTCTTTTTCTCTGGACACATGGGTTAGTTAGGGATTAAGGGTTGTGGTTAATGGTGAATGAGCAGTCGTGGAGCCCCTCTAATCCAAGAGATTAATTGATTAACTTCAATGGCAGTCTTGGTCTTGGAGAAATAAACAAACCAACCCCTTCTGTACTACTTAGTGTTCATGTTCCCAATCCCCAAAATTCTTTGTTTAAGTCTTTTAGGGAGATTACTGCTGCAGGTTGATGGGGCGAGGCATCATCTTTAATTTTTTGTAATTGTAACTGTAATTGTATGATCTACTAATAAAAATAATTATTATTATTATCTGCATGATCTGCATGGACATTAACATGACACGAGGATTATATCTGTAACGCGTCGTCTTCGTATTAATATCGCCACTGGGATTGGTTAAATTAGCAGCTTCCTTAAAGTTAGGGAGATTATCTCATAATTACTATATTTTAATTTGGTCAACATATCATCTCTGGGAAAACCCAACTCAACCCAAAAAAAAGAATAAAAATAAAATAAAAAAGATCACTTTTTTTGGAATTCAGTGGCAATGGTTATGGTGGTTCGTTTCTTGCATGATACTGACTGACCGACTGTCCTCCTTATTTGGTCCGAAAGGTAACTTTGGTGCAGGGAACCTGCACAATTTGCCTCCACGATATGCACAACTTGGATCCCTTTTTTTAAAAAAATTATATATATATATATATATATGTATAAGGCAGAGGCCTTATTGGGAGGTTGAAGGCGATGATGAAGAATAGCTTATTGCAGTTTGACATCTGTCCCTGTTCAGACATGGAATGCAATGACAGGGCAACACTTGTACGGGCGGGATCATTTCAAGCTATGATGATGGATCTTTCTTGAATCTTGATCAATGAATTAAAGCGATCGTCAAGAATATAGTGTTAGATTGGTTCAGGGGGTGTACTGTACTGTATTGTATTGTACTGTATGTATCAATCAAATGGTAATAGATATATATATATATATATATATTTATCTAAAAATGTAAGTGTGTAAGAATGGTGGTAGAAAAGCCGCGTAGCCAAATGGGAGTGAAAACGTCATCGATGAAGTAGTCCTCACCCCCAACAAACAAGTTTCTTTCATCTTCTACCATCTTCTTTTCTTTTCTTTTGGTATAGAGAATTTCCAGATGGCCCTCGAGATGCATGTAATCTTGTGAGAGAGTGAAAGAGTGAGAGAGAGAGAAATCAAAACAAAGGATCACTCCAACCAAGAAAAAGAATTTAAACCCTTTGTTTTCTGCACCCAAGAAGGGGTAATAGGCCATGTGATGAAGGAGTCAAGTCGAGTCTCTAGGGGGGGGTGGGGTGGGGAAGGGGGACATACATACATACATACATATCATCTATCGAGACTTTCCATAATTGGAAACTCTTGTTGCCTAAAATGCAAGCAAAAACTAAACTTGAACTCAATCAAAGTGGACTAACTAAACTCACAGTCTTCTCTTCATACACTTTAATCCAAAACTAAATTTTAGGACCTGTAAGCTTCCCGGTGTACCAAGATTGTCGATTTGTATGAACAACGACTCACTTCATAACTCGTCGTGCTTTGAAGCAACTGCTGCAGCCAAAATCCAAACAACACATTGGCAATCTTCATAAAGACATGATCTTTTATAAGAGAGGATTTTGTCGTATGACCTGAAAATGCCTCATTGAAGAAAAAGGATATCTCTCTGGCGGCAGATTGTGGCGAATCGGAGCCATGAACACAGTTTCTTTGCAAGTCGATTCCGCACAATGCTCTGATACTGAAGTCACAAATTACTTCCATAAACCTTATTATAACGAACTCATAACTTAGTAATAATCAACCTCTTCGGATGTGTCACTTTTGCTTTGGTTGCATCGGTAGGTCCTATTAAATCCCGCCAATCGGCTACAGCATTTTCCTTCTCCAAAACCATGATCACCACAGATCCGCTGATCAATCAACAAGTATCAGAAGTTGAATCGATTAGATTAGCCGGGCACATACATAAAGCAAAGCATTCATTCTTGTTCTGTTGATGATGCAATTCCAGGACAATGCATGATCTTGATCCTATAGTTAATCATCCATACCTTGTCATGTATCGAACGAGGCTCGGAAAGAAGCCCTTGGAAGAATGCTCTGCATAAAAACGTGTCACGACATCCTCGTCTAACTTAAGCTGCATCTCCTGTGTAACGGCGAATCCAGAATCCAAAATGGCTTTCTTTATAGTGTCAACAAAGTTACCCTCCACCCCGTCGGGTTTCACCATTGCTAGAGTCTTCTCTTTCGCAGTATCAGCTTCAGCTGATGATCTACTGCCCCCAAGGCAATAACAGTTCAATTTTACAGGGAAAACATTATACAGTCGATCCATTCTATTCTATTGCGGAAAAGTGAAAGCAGCGCAACAGATTATGCAACCCTAGCGCAAACATAGTTGTGCAAGAAATCGACATCATACACGTTTAGGAATTATAAAGGTTGTAGCTACCCTGCTTACCTGCGGGAAAAGACAGCGAGGCAGAGGACAAGGAAGGGGGTGAATCGAAGATCCATCTCAAATCAATGGCAGCGCAGCTGATCGAATAACAAAACCAATGGTCGCTCGAGAGTGGGATTTTCGTTTGGCTCGCACTATCTGACGCGAATCGAATTAGTCCCCGCTCAGGTCACTCCTACTTCCTGCTACTCAACTACGGTTTTTGAATGTTTGACCGTAAATATCGATTTTATTTTTATAAAATATTATAGGAAGTAGTAGATGTTTTATTGTTTGTAATTTCTCTAAAAAAAAAATAAAAAATTAAAATTCTCCATTTAAAGACTTCACAACTTAATAAATTTCAAATATGTTTGATGTAGCTTACCAAACCCTTTTGAATAATTTTTTTTTTTTTTTATAGCACGAGAATTCGCAGTAGTACATTAATATAGGAAAAAATCTTATGAACAAGTTTCTTTCCGTGGTACCTAATAATATTTATTACTTAATTAGCTCGGCCATTGGCAATACAATTAGAAGAGAAATCATATATTTTCACTCATCTTACATTCCATTGCACCTATAAGAAGAGCAGTTACAAAGTATACATACATGGATGCCCACACACCTGTATCATCGTGTTTGCTTAAGACCTATTCTATTCGAAACAGTTAGTCGCCGGAGCAGACCTCGCAGCAGAGAGACATGCATTCGAAGCACGCGAGAGCAGTGCAGAGCTGAGTGAGAGCGATAGCGCACTGGTCGTTCAGCCGGTTACAACACTGAATGAAACACATGCAGCATACGTTATCTGCCATCCTGCCGCAGAAATCTGTTGCAGCTTTGAATATCTTTTCTGATGTTTCATAGAGCTTGGGTTCAGCTTCATCGGGAGGTACATTTTCAGCCGTGGCCGCTCTGTTGCCAAAGCCAATGCCTAGGCTCCGCAGATATGTAATCTTAGGCTCTTTGAAGCTTAAGTTGCGCACTTTTGTGTCGCCAGCCTTCTGCAACTACAAATTTATAGTTGATTGACCAAGAGAATGTGTCGAGCAATGGTAAACAAGATAAATATATGTAAAGCATCAAGTTTCTTTACTGCCATCATTTCACCAAGTTTTGACACCGTAGACAGCAATTCTACAAGGTATGTATTGGCAATGATATTGATCAAAGATAAGAAGCAAAATCTGTGTAAGGGATGAGAAAGCATACCTCTTGTTCTGTTTTCGACTTGGGATTCGCCTTGCCTCTTCCGGTCTCGATTAGGGTGAAACTGGTATACTCACAAGGCACCCCAGTGAGTAAGCTCAATTTTGTAGTCTACAAGAACAAATGCAAGCAGACCATCAGAGAAAAAAAAGATTTGGTGTTATTTCAATCCTCCATGTATATGCATGAGCTCTCTATCGATTATGCATTCTAGAAACTTGTAACAGACTAATGTCTAAGAGCTCGCATAACCCACCTTTTCCTCAAATTCTTTGCTCCCGGAATACCAAGCTTTGGCTGTGAGTGCATTTATTTGACTCCTAGCAAATACCTGATATTGAAAACAACATCAGTGGTCTATGGAAGTAGTTCTGCGCGTATTGTTTCCACTTTCAGAAGTCACCACTAAGAAAAAGGGAAGGCATCTAGAACTGAGTTGCATTAGAAGCTCAAAAGCACGACAGCGAATTTTAAATTTCCCATGGATCTTTAAAATGTAGCTCATTGGCGGTGTTGCTTCTTACTTTGTCAAGAGGAATGTCCTTTGCATCTTGCACTTTAACATTAATCTGAAAATCGGTAGCATCAGCTAAGGTACCATAAACTTTAGCACTCTCAGGAAAATTTCCATGATATCTTCCTGATATGAACAATGGACATCCTGAGGACAAGTCTGGTAGATGAGATGGATAAATCTGCATCGAAGAGAGCATGTTAGACAAGAAATATTCTCATTAACCAAAAGCATATAATGAGAAAAATAAGAGATAATAAAAGTGTCTTTGTGATAGGGTTGAATTCAAACTAGGTGAATGTCATGCCATACCTCGAGGGAATCAAGATCACTCAAGGCATCAAGGGATATATCAGCAAGAATTATTGATGTTGCATAACCGACTAGCCTTTCCATCCGCATGGAGACCGTATCTGGTGAAGCGAACATCAGCATTGAAATATGGAGAAGAAATAAATAATTTTCTAGTCTGAAGGAGTTTACGATCGAGTGACACTTAATACATTAATCCATATTGTTGCTAAATACTTACAAACAGTGATCATAAATAAATAATAACCAGCAGCTTATGAAATGTCTTTACATGTTCAATGTGTATAGTACTTCACATTGCCTTGTCTTGAAAACATGGACATCAAGGTCTATGACTGAGTTTTTATATAGGACATTTAAGATAATTAGCATTTTTATATAGGACATTTAAGATAATTAGCAGAAAGGATTCAAGAGGTGCATAATTCGTGTATTGAGTGGTATAATTAGTTATCACTCAAAAGCTCCATTGAATACTTTGAATGCACTTCAATCAGAAAAGGATATGGTATTATTCATCAAGAAGATACAAGCATAATTCAGATGGCAGAAGTACAGTGTTGAGACCAACCAATGTCAAAGGCAGCATCGTAGTAGCCCCTTCCCATTTGTGCAAGCATTTGCAAGAAATAGTGATTGCAGTATGAACCTGATTACATAAAGAAGACGTGATGCCCATGCCCAAAACCAAATGCACTTAACAATAGAAGGGAAAGAAAGATATGAAAACAGATGAAATATCTCACCTATGCCAAACGTGCAGATCCGTGGAGTAGTCAAGCACCCCTTCATGAGATGATCTCTCATTGAATCAAATATATCCTTTTCATCTTCAACAGCTCCATCAGTGACGAGAAAAATGAGGGGAAGTGATTTCCCCCTTTTTGAGAACATGCTGATGGCCTAAACAAGAAGATTATAGAGAAACATTGAATCTGACTGCAGATAGCTATAAAATATATAGGTAATAAATTCCCTCTTTTTGTGCATTAGTTCATAATTAAATGATAGTAGCTTCCAAAAATTTTGAGGCCAGCCTAGCCCTAAATGCTTTTCAGTTGCTCTAAACAATTTCAGAAAGGCATTCTACACAGCTGATAATAATAAGTTGACATATCTCAGAAAAGGGTTCAATGAAACAAAGTACATAAGTCTAGCAATACTACAGCAGCACATTATTAGTGGCCCAGTCCTGGAAAACAGTATCTCTGTTGCAGATGATGCAATTACTTAAGCCTCGTGTATCCATTCATACACAGGTCACAGCAGTATATGCTAAAAACATAATAATGTAACAAGAATTTCAGGGATCAATATATTGGTTCTGACAAACCTGGTTCAGAGGAGCTGCAATATTTGTGCCACCTTCAGCTATAAAATTATTTTCAATCCATTCAGAAGCTCTTTTTATCATTTCATTTGTTGCTGGTTCCAAAGATGGTGAAAATGATAAAGAACTTCCATTGAAAGCAACAATATTGAAAGCATCGCCTGGGCTAAGCTTCAAGAGAGCCACTAATAGAGCTCTTTTAACACTCTCAAGTGGTTTCCCTTGCATGCTTGCACTTATGTCAACCAAAAACACCACTTCCTTTCTGAAAACCTGAAAATCGCCAAATGACATGAGACATAGCCGGTCAGAGAAACCAAAATATACATATCAACTAGACATTGCTACATGAGCAAACTTCTTCACTAAGTTTACTAGGAAATCTGTTGTAGGATCTCCAGAGAAAAAAATTCTAGCACCTAAATGGTATCTTGTTCCAGAAACAACATTCAGAACCTACCAATGCATCCCGACAGGAAACACTGGAAAGAGTTCTAAACAATTGAATTAAAAATTTTAAGCAAACAAGAAGTTGAATTTAACTTTACAGGACAAGAACAAAAAGATATCTATGCCAGGGCCTGTTGGATATCAGAGCTAGTAAATAGTAGAAAGAAAAGAACTAACAGACCTCATTATTTTTTCTTTTCCCTGGGTATAGATAAAAGCAAAACATCTCTCGTTGATCATGATCTTGCAGAGATGGACTCTGCAACAATATACCACCAACAATTCCGCTTGACGAAATCTGAAGAGTTCAGCAGCAAGCATGCACTATTAGTTACAGTAAAGTAAATGCAATATCAAACCAGGTCCCAGCTCTTAATGATTGAAACAAGAAGATTTATGATACAGGGACATGTTCTGTAGTGCGACAATGAGAGAGACTGTGACTAGAGGAGTATGAAGCACCATAGTTCTTACGCTGTATGAAAAGATGAAGTCATTGGTGGACCAATATGAAATGTCTTTCTCATAACAAAATCTTGTTTTTACGGCTTCCGGACCTACTCTCTATCACAAAATGATAAAGGTCAAAGAAAACTAAAATAAAAATAAATTCATAGACCACTTTCCATGAAGTGCAGTTAACTGTATCTTAAATACCTTTAGAGGATGATTAGTACTTTGGCACAAGATTTCAGTTCCACCTCCAGAGTTCACATTCACTAAAATCTTCTCTTTTTTGTCTAAGTTCTTTATCATAGGAATGGTATAAGAAGGAAATGTGAAAGGCAGGTTGAGGCTAAATTGTTCATCTTGATATAATAATTTCTGGGTCCAGCTGACTTTTATTGATAGCACAGTCCCACCTTCTACTACCTATAAAATAAAATAAATGCAACATCATGAACACAACATACTGCCAGATAAAAAGGATAGATAAGCTTGGGTAACAAAATATTTACTTGAGGAATTTTCAGAGTGTATATATGGCCTTTAATCAGGAATCCATCTTTACTGCTGGAAACTTTTTCTTCATCTTCAGTATCTGCCAGCGAAGTCAATTTTGTATGGTATGACTTCAAAGGGCTTTCAACTTCTACACCTAGAACTGAACCCTGTTAGCCAAATAATGCTCAATGACAAGTAAAAAACACAAAAGGAAAAATTCAGAAAGTTTTTCCGCATGTTCAACTAAAATGATGTAGTACGCAACCACAAACATAAAGCAAGCATGTTAAGATAATCTCATTCACGACAGTAAATTAACCCGTTCAATACTCAGTTATGCTAGCATTATTCAAGCATAAAGTAGTGGTCAGAAATGAGTTTTGATTTGCGGATATGCAATTCTCTAATTTTATTGTCCCCGCTGATAAACTAATGGATCCAGCTTGCATTTACATCCTCATATAAAAAATAATAAAAGACTAGCAAAACTGACAGAGACCTACAAAACACATTTAAACAAGATTTCCCCATTTCTGTGAATTGCAGTTATTTGGCACGTAACTACTTAGCAGAATATGATATATAACCACACTACAAATCAGCCAAATTTCTCTAAGCATTCTAAAAGCAAACTATGCGAAGACCATCTTTCTATCAAAGCCAGCTGTATGAAGTGACTCTACATTAAAACGGAATGACATATGTTAACCTGTATGCCAAATTTAGTTCTAATGACATTTGATGCAGTATTTCTCACTTACGAATAATGTATATTAAATTTCCTGTTCTTGAATTTAGTTTGTTGCATAGTGCATGCTTGACTCTACCCAATCTTTCAAAGATTTACTTCCCAACATGAAGCCGTCTTTCAGATCATAGAAATTAACCAAGTTATCAACTTTATTTACCTGAACATATCTGTTATCATCAAATAACCATATGAATTCACATAATGGCTAATCAACAAACCATCCTTAACTCCTTCACTATCTTGTGGCCAAAAGAAAACACACTATGGAATGCTATTGCTAACTAATCAAAGAATGGCAAAGAAGCCTTCACGACAGTTCATTTTCAAACATATATTAATCTAGAAATCTCAAACAACTCCAAAAGTTGAGGTTTTTGGTTGTTCAGATTCATCCAAAATCATTATTCAATTCAGTGACGACACAAGCTTATAAAATATTCCGCGCATTACTGACCTGTTCACCTATGGGCACAGCAATGCGGCAGTAACAACTCTTACTCGCGGCAACACAGTGTACTCTCCACGCGCCGCTCACGGTAACGAACGCCGTGTCCAAATAGCAATCGACCTCCATCGACACGCCATGCATATGCAGCGGAATCAACACCGGCGGTTCGCACCTTCCGTGGACATACGGCTGGTAGCTCGGCACATCAGGATTATCCACCACCGATGGCTCAGTTATCTCGGCGTACGCCATCACCGCCGTGGGAAGATAATTCTCCTCCTCCTCCGCCTTCATCTCCTCCACACACGGCGGCGCCGAAACAACTGGCATCGCATCCTTGCCGTAGTAGATTCGCTTGGAGAGCTTGAGCCCGAGTGCGACCGCCTTGGAGAACTCCGCTGCCATTTTCGCGCGATGGATTACAGAATCGAATCAAGTGACAGAATGTGGGAGGAAGGTTTCGATCACAGAGAAACTGCAAACGACAACACTAGTAATAAACAACGCCGAATAACGCCGTCCGTCCGTCCGTTTTGTTTTGACAGGTTCTGATGAATCGTTGCAACATAAAACGGAACGGAGCTATAACGGCGACTCCTACATTCATTTCTAGTTACCCTAAATATACTTTAATTGCACTTTGCCCCAGCTTTATCACGTATTTGCAAACCCTAAACTACAATTTTATTATTCATTTATAATTAATTATTGAAAGCTGCAGCAGCAATCCAATAATTGACCTTTTACAAGTGTGAAATGAAATTAAAAATGTGAGGCTTTGTTTTTGTCCTTTATTCAAATTAATCATTAAATTCACAAAATTTATTTATGATTGAATTGAATTTTTTAATTCAAACCTAATTATTTTTTAATGGCATAGAAATATGAACAAGGTTATTACTTGCGTGTCATTAGTGGTGTTGGGGAGGCAGTAAAGTAAAGTTAAGCATGGATGCTTAACTCAACTTAGTGGGTGTACTCATCATTGTCTGCCACAGCTTAAATTTAATTTAATTTTATTTTTTTAATGATGGTAAATGGGTTATTTTAGAATGACGAGATCGGAGCCCCAAACCCAATTGACCTATTCAATATCAATAATCAATAATAAAGCAACTAAAATAATGAATGTTGGGTTGGTAATATTTAAGATGTTGGAATTGCTACCCAGTAAATATTCATTTAGTTAACTAGATATATTTTTTTAAAAATTAATTTAATATTTAGATAAAGACGTGGGAACAAGAATGCAATGAATTTGCGAACAAAACGTGATTGTAGAGCACAAATATATATATATATATATTATTGTCGTTAAGTTCAGAATCAAAGGCGTCATTAATGAAAGCGGGTCCATGGTCCATGGTCCAGACCAACTCTGAGCTGTATGTAATGAATTGTGGTCATGATGGTCATTCAAGTTTGCTCCATTGGATTATTTTCGATTTTGTTTGTTCCATAAATTGCACATCATCTTCCTATCCCATTTGGAAAAAATGAAGAAGGGCTGTGACAACATTAAATAATCAATCAAAGAAGCCCCCAATAATTGAATTGAAGGCAGAGGCTGTGACCACTTGCATTGTTCTTGAAATTGACTATTGCATGGCGACATATGCAAATAAAAATAATCAAAAAGTGACACGTGCCTAGAGGATATGGCTCGTTTGGGAAATTTTTAACTATGGATTGGGTCCCAATAAAATTGATTTTGTTAGTGACATGTTGGGGTAGGGGACTGAGACTGACTCACTTTTTGTAATTGTTTGGGTTGGGCGTTACTTGTTTGTCAGATACAACAATATTTTGTTACATCCTTTTACATATGAACTTGTTTATTGATTTTTGGTGTGTTATATATTGTTTGGTCGATTTCATTCACTTTCGTGCTGGCCTATATTTGGCACTGAGAGGATATTTTCATAATTTGTGGCCAATGATTAGACTATGATAATTTCATTTCCAAAAAAAATAAATAAAACAAGTGATTGAAGCAATTGGGCCACGAAATTAAAGTGTAAGGGGTTCAGCCCAAAAAGGATATTATTTTGTGGTTGGGCTAAATAGTGGGCCAAAAATGGGCCGGTCCGGAAATATAATTAACAATGGCCGTGGCAGTATATATATGTATGTATGTATGTATGTATAGAGAGGTTGAAAAGTGGTTTTCGTACGGACGCGGGACACGCGGTGGAGGGAGCGGCCAATTCTGACCAGGTAGGCTTGGCGGCGACGATGAAGTCCACCGTGCGGCGATCGAGTGATGATTCCTCGCAATTATTGGATGGAATTGCCAAGTCTATGCTGATCGGAATAAAATATTGGAGCCTTTGCTTACAATTTTGATGAAATGGCGTTTGCGCGGGTCGTTTTCGTGTTGATGGCAAAGCCTGCTTCAGTTTTCTCCGCAGAGTCAATTCAACGGCAGATTGTCTCCCCGAGACGTGTTTGAATCGCGTTTGATGATTAGCTCGATTGTCTTCCCCAGGAAATTCCTCGAATTTCTCGCGAATTCGCATCAGGAATTCGAAGTCGTCGTTGATTATCTAGGGTTTTAATTGCGTTCATTCCTAGGGATTTGATGTTGAGAACAATAGTCGCGACATTCCAGACGGTGATGGGATCGTCGTTGTCGCAGCAATCGGCGGTCGACACTGTCTCCCAGTGGCGGTCGCGGCCGCCGCGGGATTTGATCTTCTACGCCGGCCGGATTGAGATAAGCCGGTACTTTCAAGCCGTCGACATCCTCCAGCAATCGCCTAGTTCCAGAGCAACCGACGAGCTGTTAGCCACGGCCATGTCTCGGCTGAAAGGCGAGTTCGACACAGTTCTGAGGCGACACACCGATTACCACGCCGGACAGGCTTCCACCACGGAATGGAGCTCCGTCGCCGACAGCACAGCCAACGTATTCCGGTACGAAGACTACACGCTTCCTGAGGCACCGACGGATTACGAGATCGCATATCTGAGAAACATAGCTGCGAGAATGAGTTCCAGTGGTCGAATTGGGGAATGCGTTAGGGTTTACATGAGTGCTCGAGGATCCTATCTCGAAGCTCAGCTGAAGAAGCTCAAATTCAAGGAGCTAACCACAGCTGCCAATCGAAACAGATACGAGTGGGACGAGCTGAAGGTGAAGATGGAGCTATGGATTCAGCTTTCGAAGATTTGCATCAAGAAATTGTTCCACAGGGAGAAGCATATTTGCGACCAAATCTTCGATGGCATTGGGGAAGACAACTCTGCAAAAGACGATTGCTTTGTAGGAACTGTCAACGAATTTGCTCGAGACCTCTTCGGATTTGTCGAAACCATGAGTATGAGCAAGCATAGCTACGACAAAATGGAGACCATCCTCACGTTATACAGCACATTCTTGTCCATATTTCCGGACACCAATGCCCTTTTCCATTCGACGCCGGGGAATGGGATTAGAGTTTCATGTGCAGAGACATTGTCGAGGATTAAATCCGAGGTTGTGGGAATGCTGTATGAGTTTGAATACGAGGTGCTTCATGAGAAATCCGATGTCCGGGGTGAAGGAGGAGGCGTCGATCGGCTGACAGAGTATGCCGTGGAGCAGATGAACTTTGTTGTCCGAAACAGGACACTGCTGACAGCATTGTTCAATGCTGCGCCGTCTTTGGATTTTGGCGACACGATCATTCCTCAAGGGAGTTTAGGGGATGTAAGCAATCTCACGTTTATCCAGCAGCATTTGATACTGATCCTCGTCGTTTTACAGAGGAATCTCAAGGCCAAGTCGGAGACATTCAAGGATCCATTGTCGGGGCCTCTGTTTTTAATGAACAATGTTCATTACATTGTCCGGAGGATCGAGGCATCCCAAGAGCTGCAAGAAATGGTCGGCGCTGCGTACATGAATAAGCTTCGGGGGAACCTGAAATCCGCAACGGATACTTACCAGCAAATGATAAGCAGCAATTTCTTGAAATGTTTCGAGGAGGATGAGCTCTATACCAGCCGGTGCTGTTTCAGGCCGCTGCTGTCGAAAACAGTTTTCAGAAAGAAGCTGATGGCGTTCAACAGCGCATACGAGAAGCCGGAGTCACTGGGGACGATACCCGATCCGCAGCTGAGGGAGAGCATCTGCAAGTCGATGTGCTCGGAGTTGGTCCCGGAGTACAAGAAGTTCGTCGGGAGGTTTTCGAGTGATCCGGAAATGGCTCTCATTCTGAAAGAGGAAGTTAGATACTCTGCTGAGGATTTTACAACTTTGATCTTGAGGAAGATGTTTGCAGATGCAGAAGCTGAAGCTGTTGAATGAATTCGAATTCGATCAAAGATCACACAAAGGTATAGAGAGATCACAGGTATTGTTGAATTTGTTTTGTACGTACAGTAAAAAATTTAAATTTAATTTGCAAAAATTTACCACGAACTCGACAATTTTCGGGACAATATATGTATGTATATATATATATATATATGTGTGTGTGTGTCTAGTTTTTCTCTAGGGATAATAAACCACAACACCAAAGTTAAATATGTTCATGAATATAATTAATTATATTACACGAAATGGGAAATGACAAGAGGGATTTTTTTTTATTTTTTTTTTTTTCATTTTTTCATTTGTGGTTACAACATCGTCATTCGTCTGCATTAATGGCTGCACAAAATTTTTAATAATCAAGAAAATGACTTTTTCCTCCACGTTTAAAAACCCCAACTGTGTAATTAATTAATTTATTCATTCACCAAAATATTCCAGTTTGGCAAACCTAGCTAACTATATATATATATATATATATATAAAATGCTTTGTTCCATGTAATTTGAGTGATTAAAAAAATTATAAAATTTATAATTTAAAATATAATTAAAATATATAATCATATTTTTAAAAATAAAAAAAAATAAATAAAGAGAGAATAGAAATAAATGATAAGGGGCAGAGAACGTAGCTGGTTACAGGCCCTAATACTATTGATTAATTAGGGTTGGGGGTTTGTGTGTTTGTGTATATATATAAAAGCAAAGTCAAAGATGATTGAGTTTGAATTCAGACAAGAATTTTCCAATATATATATATATATAATTGTATTACTTACTATTTAAACTAAACAGATAGCTGAGAAGTTGATAGGAAGTTGCATAGGCAATTGCAAGAAAACTTGAAGACCCTACCAAATGTCTCTTGAGATTATCGTAAAAGGGACATTTGTGTTTGTTTCCAATAAGATTAATATTCATTGGTTGCCTATGATTAATGGTTATTTTGTAATCTTCTTCTTCTTCACACACCAATCATCAGACCACTAAATTTATCTGTTTTCTTCTTCTATTAATTCCATTATATTGTTGTTACTTAATTATTGACTAATATCAATCTGATTTTATTCACATACATTTTTATGGGTATTTAATTTAGGCTTTGTGTAGAACTAGTGGATATAAAGGATAAACTATTTCACTAATTTAAAAGTATAGTAGTATCTTAATTTCATTGTGATTGAAATTAAGATACAAACAAGACCCAAGTTTAGAATGAATGTAAAAATAAATAAATAATTGTTGGATGAAGAAGAAATTAATTAGACACATCATGTGAATTAAGCATGCAATGGAAGAAGACAAAGCCTTTCCATCCATCCATCCATCCATTTTGTTTTCTTTCACTCATGCTTATTATAAATTATAACTATGATCCAAAATACTTGTAATATATAAATTATGCAACGTGGCTATGCCAAGAACACACATGCTTGCAACCAAAACATGGCCGTGCTAAATACTCACTCCCTCCCTCCGTCCAAGCTAAAAGTATACAATTACTTTTGGTACGGAGATTAACGAATAATAGTATTTTAATTATAGTGGGTATGTAGAAGTAGTAAAATGACATTTTTGCCCTTACTTTTTGGTATAAAAGTAATGATGTGATGTAAAATAGGGGTATTTGTAGAAAAAATGGGGTATTTAATGAAATGGTAACTTTGTAATTGGACGTCCCAATATGTATACTTTCTGACTGGACGGAGGGAGTATATACTTATTTATTATTTTTATTTATCAATAATATGTAAAATTATGTCAATTTAATAAGATACGGGTTATAAAAAAAAAATTAGTAAAAAAAAGTATACAAAATAGTACTCTCAACGTCCCGCAAAATACGAAGTCTTTTGTTAGGGACACGATATTTTAGGCAGTGTAGGTTATTAAGTTGTTAATAATAAGTTAAAATAATATTTTATTATTTTTTTTTTATATGTGTAGTGTTGTTGGTATTTTAAATATTTTTAGAATTATATCTCAATAAAAATATATGCAGCATATCATGTTGTTAATACAAATGAATAAATATCATTAGCATAAATTAGTTTTATAAAAAATTAGGAGTTTTAAATGTAGATAAAAATATTTGTTAATTAAGGAGAGAAATAAAAATAAAGGAGTTTTGAGTGGGTCTTACGTGTAAAATGTTAGAAGTTTAATTAAATTGATTTATATTTGTTAAGTATGTTTAATATTGATAAATTTATCAAAAATAGAAAGAGGTCATCTTTTGTAGATGTACCAAAAAAAAATGAGGTCATCTGTGGAGGGAGGAATGATGCATATTTTTAGTAAAATGATAAAAGGGAAATATTTTTGAACATCAGTAAAAAAAATGAAAATAAGTTTAAATAACGAAAGACTTATAATTTTTCTTTATAACAAATTTTTCTTAAGTACTTTTTAATTTATATTCTTCGATATTATATTTATTTAAAAATATATAATAATTATTTACATGCTCAATTCATTCAAAATTTTTCTTACCTATTAACTCAATAATGTACTTTCCAAAATGTTTATATTTTATATGTCAATATAATTATTTTTCATATAGCATTTAATAATTATTTCATCTAAACTAAAACATAATATTAAAAAACACACTCTGATTGTGCTAGGCAATATTGTTTGGTGTTTTATGCTATAATGTTTAATTTTCAAAATGAAAATTTAAATTTAATAGTTTAGTATAAATCGGTATTAGATGCAATATTATTTATGAAAAAAAATTATTGTAAATGCCAAAATAAATTCATAAACACAAACAGATGCCCCAACAACATTACCAAATACTCTTCCGTTCCAAAAGAATTGTCTTGTTTTTCCATTTTCGAACAATTATCTTATTTCTTTATTTAATAACCTTGGTTTCACTTTACAACCAAATTATTCCTACTTTTTCAAACTACCCATAGTTATTACTCTAACCTACTTTTTAAAATCGTTGGGCATTCTAGTATTTTGCATTGTACTTTATACCAACTTTCAATTAAATAGTATTATTCTTTAATTCTTGTGTCAACTCTCAACAAGATATCTCCGTACAGAGGGAGTATATTTTAAACATGATATTATATTTATTTAAAGGTCTTTATTTCCCTTTCAAAAAACGATAAGTATAATAATACTTTATTTGTGTGTGTTTGTTTACTATTTGATTTTTTTTAAAAAAAAAAAAAAAAATTGTATATTCAATATTTATTTTTTATGAAAAATATTAAATCACTGATTTACTTTTAAAATAATATAATTAAAAATAATAATAATTTGTTTGTGTGTTTGTTTACTATTTGATTTTTTTAAAAAAAAAAAAATTGTATATTCAATATTTATTTTTTATGAAAAATATTAAATCACTGATTTACTTTTAAAATAATATAATTAAAAATAATAATAATTTGTTTAAAATAAGGGTATACGAACCTAATATCATTCATAAGTTTCATACTAGTTTACATACCTTTAAATAATTAAATTTTCACTATATAAGATTTATGGTCAAAACACACACAATATTTTATGGTGAAAAGACAAGAAAGCCCCTATGAAAATAGCAGTAAACTACAAAAGAAAGAAAGGAACAAAAACACCTCCATTTCCATTTCCATTTCCATTTCATTTGCTATGTTATGAAATCATTACACATTTCCAAATTAATTATTGTGTGTATCCAATAATTGAAGAAGAAAATCAAACACGACTTCCAATTAATTAATTAATTAATTAAACAGCATCATTACATAACATTAACAAATAAATTACTACTAAATATGTGTAGTAATTTAACTAAGACGACTGCTTTCACATGTCATCTCCAAGACAAATTCCATTGGTCCACGTGGAAGGTTCCCATTCGTCGCTAAGAAATATTCTTCCAAAAAAAAATTGAAAATACAAATTTGTAAATGTATTCAGACACCTCTCTGCCCAGATAATGCTGCGCTGGCAAATCCACTCAGATAAGGCCACCATATTTTCTCACTGTAGAAGATGATGACGTGTCCCCCACCCCTACCCCCACCCGGCCCCCAATTATTGAACTCTCTTTCCAAACAACGCACTTTCCTTTTCTTTCCAATTCAGCTCTATATATACACTCTGAGGTCTGTTAAATTTCACCTCTCTCACCCTCTCTCTCTCTAAAATCCCAAGAAAGGGCGAACAAGAATTTTGTGGGGGGACGTCCTCAAGAGCCAATTCAATTCGACTTTTTTTGGGTTCAACACCATTGATTGCTCGATATATACGATACCCAGTACCCTCAAGATTCGAGTTTTAGATCTTGCTCTGAAATATATCATGTCTTTAATGGAGGACAAGTTCTTCATCCCTGAGGAAGAAGAAGGCGAGTGGGAAAAGGAAAGATAGAAGGTATCCCCCCCCAAAAAAAGGCAATCAGTTGCTGTGTCGTGAAGCTTAAACGGAATATTCCTCCTCGAATAATTCTGTTTCACAAGTCAAGATCGTGCTTTTACGTCTACCCAGCTTCGATTCCGCCATTACCAATACATAAACATGCCGACGGGTGCTGTAATAAGCGAATCCATGGTGATAACTCCCTCCGGGCCGGGCTCGGGCCAAACCGATGTCGACTTCGCGAAATGCGATTGCTGTGGGCTGACGGAGGAATGCACCCCTTCTTACATCGAAACCATTCGCCAGAGGTAATAATAATAATTTCAATTAACTGAGGAATTTATTACTAACATAAAAGAAATTAAAATTGTGTATTTTTTGCTGCAGATATGGCGGGAAATGGATCTGCGGGCTCTGTGCAGAGGCGGTGAAGGAGGAGATGCTGAGGTGTCAGAAGCTGATAAGCCCCGACGAGGCGATAGCCCGCCATTTGAGCTTCTGCAATCAATTCCGGCCGTCGGATGAAAGTAAGGATATTAATAATCCGACGGTGGATTTGATCCGGGCGATGAGGCGTGTCCTGAGGAGGAGTTTGGAGAGCCCCAAGTCGTCTATGAGGATGAGGATGATGAGGTCGATGCCGAGTAGCCCAACAAACTCCAAGAACAGATCAGGTGAACTCATTAGCACTGTCGTCTTGGCTCGATCGGAGAGCTGTATGCCCACCTTCACATCTGCAGAAGAAGAAGAAGGAACCACCATTCTGTGACAGACAGACAGATTAGTACAAAGTAAGTAAGTAGTTCTCTAAACTTAGACAAGAATCACCAAGAATGAATCAGGGATGAATGGAATTGAATTGAATGAATCAAAGGTAGATGGATGGAAAGTCTTCACTAGTCTATGTAATATATATGTATATGTATATGTATGTATATTTGATCAGCAATTGTAAAACTGGCAGGAATGGATAATAATCATTTGATGGAATGACAAGAATAAAGGGTTATTGTTTGTTGTGCTGATTTTTGTTTTCACATTTGTGATCTCAAGTTGGGATCTTTTTCTTTTCTTGAATTTCTTTCTTTTTTGATGGGGTAGCTGCTGCTGCTCATTTATTGATCAAATGATCTTTCACCTAACAGGCATGTGATCCATGAGGGTATTAATATCCTCTCTTTTAAGAGCCATTTTATTGATGATGAAGACAAGACAGCCACTTTCTCCATTGTTGTTCATCTCCAATCTTATGAGCATTTTGATTTTGGGGATGGAGCTGTCAAGGGGTAGAGTAGAGGTTGCTCAAAAGTCACAATAAATAAAAAACAAACCAAGTCTATGGTTTGGTCACCATTTGTTATTTGCTTCTTAACTTATTTATTCAGAAAGACTGCAAGAAAAATGACAAAAATGGTGGTGCCATTATCTCCGGGGGGAAAAAAAAAAAAAGAAAAAAGTACATGTTGCAAGAACCAATCATCATAGATTAATGCCAGATGCCAATACAGACAGTGGAGTACAAGTAATAATAATAATAATAATGGTGTGTGCATTATTGTAATATTTTGTTAAACTACTTTTCTAGAACTTTAGGTGAAATATTATAAGCCAATTTTTATGATAATGACGTTTGGTTTTATCAAATAAAAATCCCTTTCATCCCTAATCCCCCTCCCCCCTCCCACATGCCAACTTGCCAAACCCTAATTCCCTCCTTTAATTAATATTGGTAAAAATCTGAGTGATTTTCTGTACACTGTTAAACAAAGAAACTACTTTGATCTTTAAAAGTTACCTTTTTCATATGCACAACAAGATCACATAAGGTTTTGCACTAAAGCAATATACAGTACACAAGAAATTTCTCTCCTGCAAGAATCATTCATGCATGCAATGTTATCCCCGAAGATCAAGAATCTTACACCAGCTGCCTAATGAAATCAATTAAGCCCAGCCATAGGAAAGAAACCAGTAGCCGATCCCAGCCGAAAACACAGAAATACCAGATATATGGCGATGAGGCCTGCCCCGAGCATCTTGCTGGGACGCATATGATTTCGGGGCAAAACCACCAATGCCCAAGTGAGTCCTGTCATGAGAAATGCTAGTGTGTAATACAAGCTTACATCTCGTGGGACTGTAAAAGAACCAGATTTCTCAGACCAGGCCCTAAGCAGCATCGAGACACCCAATCCGATGACTGTGTTGAACATGGGACCTGCATAGCATCCAGACATGGCAATCTGCACACCATCCCCGCCATTCATTGCCAATGCAACATTTGAAACCAAGTCTCCCATTGAGTTTCCCCAAGCCAACACCGTCAGCCCGAGGATTGAAGGGTTGACACCAATAATCAAACCAAATGCAACAAGCAGAGCCACGAGCTCGTTAGCTATCATGTAGAACCAAACAATGCTCATCAAAAACCCTCCTAAAACCCAAGGGAGCAAGAATTTGTTAGGAGGGTGCTCAGGCCTAGTGTGCTTGTATGCAAGAATACAGAGCATGCAACCAACTGAAACACCAACTAGATATGCAATTATCCGGCTCTGAGAACTGATATCGTTTTGAGTATTCCATAGAAATGCAAGAAGAATTGGTGCACATAAGGCACAGCCAACAGCATATACCTTAGACCAGTTCTCTTCGTCTACTAAGGGAATAGTGAGTCGCCTTGGAACTGTTAACGGCAAGTGCATGAGAGAACATAGCTTTGAAAATGAAAACAATGGCCGATGTGCTTCCGTATCTTCCTCATTCCATCCCCACAGATTCTTGTCTCCGTCATTGATCAGTGTCGCTTGGTTGGAGTATATTGCCACATTAGTAGCCCACATCCACTGCGGCAACGAAGCATGTGACTGCGCATTACTCTCGGTTTCAACCTCAAGCAATGAGCTAAACATGGGCTCATCCTCTTGATTTCCCATGGAAAACAGACTTCCTGCAACTGGAAGCAATGGAGTAAAGGCATCCAATTTCAGCCTTTGGGTATGGGTCCTCAACAGTTCATTAGCAGCAACGACAAAGGCATACACTACATAAATCGATACAAAAGCAGTAGCAGCCCACACAGTCACTTTACCAACAAACAAGATCAATGAAAGGGCCATAAGTGTAAAGATGAAAAACAAAATATCCCTTACAAAACACTTGTTATCAATCCGGACGTCCTGTTGCGCAACACAAAGTGAAACAGCCCCGACAACGATGCAAGTAACAAAAACTGCTCCTCCGAGCACACTGTTGAGCCCAACCTCCCCGGCTCCAGTCCCTACAAAAGCCGCAATACTAGCAAATACATCAGGAGCACCATTCCCAAGAGGAAGCAGAGTGACTCCAGCAACAGTTGGAGAGAGCTTCAACAGACTCGAAAGCTTCTCCAAAGAAATACAGAAATAATCGGCAGCCGTATTGCCTAATAGATAGAACAATGCAGCAAGCCAGACACCCAATACCAAAAAAGTCCATCCACTCTCATGGCAGTCACAATAGTAGAACTTAAGGTATTCCAAAAATCCTTGTGATTTACACTGAGGGCGTGCTTTCAAGAGCTCACAGCTACTATCGTATCCCTTGTGATCATGCAACCCCGAACAAAGTATAGAGTCTTCCACATCCATAGAATTAGAATCGGATGAATTTAGATTAATTGAAGACTGAGAGCTAAGCTCCATTATTTCCCTTCTAATACCTGAAAACCCCTTATCTAAGCTCGGTTTAGGGATCGATGACCGAAACCCTAAAATTCGATCCGATACCGATACGGAATTCCCATGGTTGTAATACAGGAGAAGGAGAAGTAAAATTAGAGTACACAATCCATTAAAAATCTCTCGAATTCGACCATGTCCTTTACCTTGAACTAAATTAAGTTGCCTTCCATTCCCGTCCCTCATGCCAGTAGCGAAACGCGGACCGAGCCCTAAGAGCACTAACAATGGCTCTTGCCTCAATTGAGCCCTTGCCGCCGATGTGTCAACCGAAGCCAGCGTGTCGATTGATGTTTTCCACTATGGGCGTAAAATTATTTTACAGTGGCTTTCTGAAAAAACCCTTCGTCAATTCCCTCATCACCAAACTTCATTCCAATTCCCTCATCAGCAAACCTTCTCCCGCAAACCCTAGGATGGTGGAGGCAGGCCGGCAGTCGCTATGCTTAGAGAAGAAGAGGAAGGAGGACGTCGGCGGTGATGAAATTGGATTGGGGAAGAAGAGGAAGGAGAGCGTCGGCAATCGGATTTGGAGAAGAAAATAAAAAAGAAAAGCGTCGGCGGCGATGAAATTGGATTCGGGGAAGAAGAGGAAGGAGAACAACTGGATTTGGGGTTGGGGTTGGGGTTGGAGATCGACGCCTATTCCCTCACCGCGGTGGGAATTTTAGTTTGTTGTTTTTTTTTTTTTTTTTTTAAAAAAAGAACCCTAATTTGAATTATTTATTTTAATATATAAATTATTTGATAAAAATAATAATTTGGATGAAGATGTGTTATTTCCTATTTCTACTTAGAACAAAAAATATATATATTTTTTAGTTCTTAATTTAATTTGTGTTTAATACTTAAACTATCCTGCAAAATTGATTCACTTTTCAGTTTTTTTTTGTTCTCTAGCCAAATTAGTTTTATTTTCTAATAAATTAATAATTAATCAATTAATAATTTAATAGAATATAATTTTATATTTTATTTGGTCATACATTTTATAATTAATTTAAAGTTTGATATAATAAAATTTTATTTTTAATATGATATAAATAAGTATTATTGATATGATATTTTTATATATTAAATTATTTTTTAATATAATATAAAAAATAAAAATATATTCCCCGGCCCGCGTGGGTGTAAGACAGAAATTAAGCTAGAAATTGTAGGAGGCAAAAACAAAATAATACTCCCCGCAACCACCTCACCTATCGCACATCATCAAATTTCTCATATCTTAGCTTATGTCATTTTTTTTTCTTTTTCAAAGATTAGATCTTTAATTTTATTTTATAACTTCTTAAATTTTAATTAAAGTCATAATAATTAAATTTAAAACGAAAGAATATAATCAAAAAAAAAAAATTAAAACTAACTATCATTATACCAAAATCAATAAATACTGATTTTAAAATAAAATAAAGTTTCATTAATTTTAACTCTAATTAAAGTATATTAATTATATTCCGACAAAATTAACCATAGTTGTTGAGATATATATAAATGTATTTAACGTAATACCTAATTTGGACCGAACATAACTGTATACAATCAATCCACATAGAAGTATCAATCAAAAAACGGTTGTGTTGCAATTAACAGGAACATGGATGCAAACATGGCGATATCCACAATCACATACGGTCGTGTTTGTTAAAATCAATATAATTTTTTGTAACAAGTATAAAATCACAATCGTATTATCACCAAATACGGATATGTTTGCCGAAACACCGTTGTGGTTAGTTGAAAAGGCCTATTCTTAGACCATATCTTACACATGATCGGGCAGGGGTATACATGGCCGCGCTGGGAAAGAAAATAGAGCAGGTTAAACACTTGTTTTCAAATATTATCGTGTTACATTGATACATGATCGTATTTGGTTGTTTAAACACGTTCAAAATTATACCACATTTAAACACGTTGTTTCGATGTTGTACATGACTATATTTTGCAATGTTTTTGTAAAAGATCATTCATCTCCGAATATGTCTTTTAGTTTTTATGCTTATTTTTCCTCACTTTTGAGTACAATGAAACTTAGTTTTTGCACCTACATTGCAAGAATTTTTTTATTTTATTTTATTTATTTATTTATTTATTTTTTTACTCTCTTTAGGTGATTTAACAAAAAAAAAATTTCACAACATTAAGGGGCATTTGGTATAAAGAATAAAATTACAGAGAAATGAGAGTAGAGAATTAAATTTAAGAGAAAATTAATTGAGTAGAAAATGAGAATTAATTATCTTGTTTGATAAAATAGAGAATTCAATTGAGAAATGTAAAAAAAAAAATTGAATGGATCGGATAAAAATGAATGATTAATTTGACAAAAGAGAGTTTTAGCAAATGAGAATTTATGAACAAATATTTTTGGTAATTTTTTTAATTATAAATTATATACAATATTTTGTAAAAATCATATTTTAGTATATTTTTTTAAAAATCATAAAAATTAAATATTTGAATAATGAATTAAATGTAATTTTTATAAAATTGAAATAATATAATTTTAAAAATTATAAAAATCAAATAGTACAAAAAAATAAAAAATAAAAAATATATAATGCAACGTGATTTCTCTCCATTTATCTGGATACAAGAGAGAAATAAAAACAGATAAATAAAAATGATTTATTTCTCAAGGTCGATTTTTCTACCAATATTTCTATTCATCTGCTGTCAATTCCCTGTACCAAACACTCCCTAAAGGGTTAGACATAGAAACTATGGAGTGACACGTAAAGTATGATCCTTCGATAAGTACAATTTTTCTTTTGCCAATTTGATAATTTTTAGTTAAGAAAAAATGAATAAATTTGAAAAAGTTACTTAGAACCACGTCATTGTTATGACGAACTTTCTATTAAGGTGTTTTATTTAATATTTTGTATTAGAATTTATATTTTATTTCTTAAAAAAATAATAAAACAAAAGTTGCATACTTTTTAATGTTTATGATTTTATTATTATTATTTGTTATTGAGAATTGTAAAAATATTATTAAAATATTTAATTGTATTATTTTATAAGAAAAATAAAGTACTATGCATATTTAAAAAAAAAAAAAAAAAAAAAGAGATTCAATTTGACGAAGGAAGAGAATGTTATTAAAAACTGTTATTAAGATTTTGTGAGAATAAATAAATCCATAACTGATGTTGGCATGATAATTAAAGAATAATAATATTTAATTGAAAGTAAATATAAGGTAGAATGTAAAAAACTAACAAGTGTTTTAAGGATTTTAAAAAATAGGTTAAAATAATAATTATGGATAATTTAGAAAAGTATGAATAATTTTGTTATAAAGTGGGAATTACGGTTGAAATAGGACAATTATTTTGGGACGGACGAAAATGAAAAAAACACAAGACAACTCTTTTGGGATAGAGAGTGTATATCATATTTATCACTATCAATAACTAAATTTTATTTTTCGTATTTACTTTTTAGAATAATTTTATATAAAATATTATTAAAATAAAAATTTTTATAGTCACATTATATTTTTTTGTTAATTATATTTAGATTAATAAAATTAAAGTTTTTTTACATTATTACCGTTTTATTGATGATACAATATTTTTTAAAAGAAATTCATTTCAAAATATAAAATATTCAGCAGAAAAAAAAATTTATTTTTATTTTTCTTTTAATATATCATTAAATACAAATAAGTAAAACAACAATCTATTATAAATATTATATAAATTAATCAAATTAATTAATCATCTAATACAATATTTCTTAAACTTCGTACCAAAAGAAAATAGACCAATAATGTGGAAAGGAGGGAATAATAAAATTTTGCTTTGAAATTTACTCTCTAATTGATATTAAAAGATGCTTTTATAGATTCCGTCATGTTATTGATTATAGTAAAATTGTGTATTTTATAATAATAATATTTCTTCCGTCCTATAATTAGATATTTATTTGCTTTTTGTACGTAGTTTTAGAAATATTAGTATTATATTGAGATGTAGTAGAAATAAAATAGAAATGATTAAAATAACCTTATTAGTATGTGTGATATAAAGGTAATGACATGTTTGTAATATATTGTAAATTGTAAGGGTATTTGTAATGTTAGGTAGATAGTACATTTATTAAAAAAAAAATTGATACTTTATTATAGAACGCATTAAAATGAAAAATGGATACTTTGTTATGGGACGGAGGGAGTAATATATTTATAATTAATTTTTTATATATAGTATCAATTTTTTTATAAAAATAAAAATAATATTAATATAAATAAAGAATTATTAGTAAACAATTATATTGGAAATGAACAATACTATATTATTTTTTAATTATATTTTAATTTTTATAATTTTTTATTATATAATCATATTTAATTTAAATTATTTTATTATTTAATACATTGATATTTTTATAATTTATTTTTAAAATTAAAATATAATTTAATTATTTAATAAATTTATTATTTTAATTATTTTTATATTGTAGCAATATATTTAATTACTTATATAGTTATATATATTATTATTACATAATAAGTCAATAATTAATATATTTAAATAAAATTAAAATTAAAATTAATTATATTAATAGAATATTTTTATATGTTTTTATTATTGACCAATATAATACTAATATTAAAAAATTTATGTATACATATTAAAAGAATGACGTTTACCAATAAAAATAAAATATAATAAGACTTCATTTAAATATAATTTGTTAGAATTTTTTGGATTTTTTTAATAAAAAATAGGAAAAAAAAAATCAATTTTAGTCTCAATATAAAAAAAAACTCATCAATTTTAGTCTCGTTATAAACCATTTCAATCAATTTTGGTCTCATTAAAAATAATTTCAGTCAATTTTGCTCTTACCATTAAAAAACTAATGGAAATTGCTGACGTGGACGTAACGGAGTTGACGTGGCATATGACTTGGAAATTATACGGCCATGTTATCACACGACCATGTATATTTCAGTGCACAATTATACATGACTATGTTGTTACACGGCCATGTATAATTGTACATGGCCGTGTAAATTTCTATTTTGATATAAAATTTTATTTTTTTTATATTTTTTTAAAAAAAATATTTTGAATTTAAAAAAATTGATGCAACTAAAATAATAATAATAATAATAATATAATTAAAATATATCGATTTTAATTCAAATATAAAAATTTATACGGTAGGATATATTCTTTTGAAATATTTTTCATTAAAAAATTTCCTCTTAAAACATCAAATTACACAAATATATTTTTTTTGTTACATATTATATTAAAAAATTATTTTCCTCCACCTGCTCCTGCCACCTTGCCAGGAATCTCTGCAGTTGACATTTTAGCATACGAGCGACAACTGGCGATGAGTAAGACGGCCGGGGTTCATCCTCTCATGCATCCACAGGGACAGCATGCTCTGAAGGGAATGCCTCCTACTGCTAGCCAAGCAATATACGATGGCGGTTTCCAGCAGCAGCTTATGTACTACCAGTAGTGAAGGTTTATTCACAATTGGTGGTCAGCCAGGCAAGCCTTCCCTTGAAGGTCTGGTCGAGTTTCTTCACTTAAGTTTTTTTTCTTTAGGGATGGTTTCCCTACTACCTGTATGCTTTCAGTATGTAAGTACGTACTTGTATGCCATATGCCGTGTACCAAAGTCATGTCGATCTTTTACTTACTGCACAGACAGAGAGAGTTATGAGTGGCTTGTTTGAGTTATTAATACATATCATATTCAGCACTGTCTGTTGAGATCTCATGCTTTTATTAATGGATTATTGTTTGTAGTCATGTCTCAAAGCCGGCAGCATTGGGTTTGGGATTAATTTGCTCTTGTATTTTTATATATTCTTTTTCAATCTTCTATACAACTTCTTTTCATAGAGAAGTGATTACAATTTTATGGGAACAAATAAATTTACACTCTAATTTATTTCTGATTGATTTTTGACATATTCTAATTGTTATGATTTTTTTTCCAACCAACCCCCCCCCCCCCTCAAGGGAAGCGACGGATCTTTCGATGCTTAACTTGTGAAGAACCCTTGTGAAACTTTTGGAATCTACTGCTTTGGTAAGGATGTCAGCCAGTTGATCTTCTGATCGCACAAAAGGTAGCGTCATGAAGTGTCAGTCAACCTCAACATGTCTGGTTCTGTCATGCTGTACTGGATTTTCCGATATACTAATTGCAGCCTTGTTGTCACAGAAAATACGGCATATCTGTAAGTCCACTTTTAATTCCTCTGAACTCAGCTTCTGCACTCGAGAGAGACACAACCCTTTGTGTCTTACTTATCCATGAGACAAGATTCCCTCCAACGAGTGTAAAATATCCGGGGGTTGACCTCTTGTCTATTGGATTTCCCGCTCAGTCTGCATCTGTATAAGCTTGGATCTCAGGTTTTCGGTCTTTTTGAACAATAACCCGTAGTCGTACTAAGGCAAATGAAATTAAAAGAAAATTCAAACTTGAACTATGAAATTGTTAAAATTATTTATAGAATAAAATTTGACTAATTATATATATATATATATGTATATTATGTGCTGCTTTTAAAAGAAAATATTGAAATTTTCATTAAAAAAAATCAATTTAAATATAAAAATATAGCTCAAAAATCTTTAGTATATCTCTATACAGTTTAATGTATATATTTCTAAAATAATATTATTAATTCATTTATAATAATAAAAAAAAAAGTTCTACTAAACTGATTGACTCTGCTTAAACAACATTTTTGTGAGAAATAAAAAAATTCATTTTACATTGTAAATTGGTTTTATTTATAAATTACATTGTAAATTGATTTTATTTGATCCAAAATTAAATTTATAAATTTAATTTTTTAATTTCCATTAACTGAAATTAAACTTAACAAACTATGTTTTAAGCATATAATAATAAATTTAAAAATATTTTTGTTTATTATAGTGAAGGTAATCAAATATATTTAATATTTATATAAATTATAAATATATAATTAATTTATACGTAAAATACAAATATCAAAATTATTTTATATATTTTTACTAACAAATAAAAACTATATATTTTTTAATTTACTATAAATTATTTTAAAACAACTAAAGAAAGAAAGAAAGAATACACCCAGTTTGATCCTCAATCGCTAATTCCTCTCTCCCCCTCTCCCTCTCCCTCTCCCTCTCTCAACGGATACACCCACTTTCTATCCCTTCCCAAGTCTCTCCGGCCATGGCTGCGCCACCACTCCTCCTCCTCCTCCTCTGCCTACTCGCAGCCATCTTCAATAATCAATTCAATCTCTCGCGCTCTGCCCTGTTCAAGTTCAAGAATCAAGATTGTGGAACTGCCCTGTTCACTCCCTCTCCCTCTCCCTCTCCCTCTCCCTCTCTCAACGGATACACCCACTTTCTGTCCCTTCCCAAGTCTCTCCGGCCATGGCTGCGCCACCACTCCTCCTCCTCCTCTGCCTACTCGCAGCCATCTTCAATAATCAATTCAATCTCTCGCCATGGTAGGCTGCCCTGTTCAAGTTCAAGAATCAAGATTGCGGAACTTCCCTGTTCAAGTTCAAGAATCAAGATCGTGGAAGAGGAGAGGATGATGGTAAGATGATTTCTTCCTTACTCTCTTTTTTATTCGATCAAGAATTTCAATTCTTGATAATGCCCTAAGCCCTCAGGAATTCATTTACACACAGCGGTCCAAAAATAAAATAATAATGATGAAATGAAAAAGAAAAAGAAATTATTAGAGCATACATACGGTTGTTGGTTAATTTCTTAAGAAATTATTAAGTATTATTATTCTTGATATATTATTTATTGTTCATTATGTTTTGATTGAGTGTCGAGAGGCTATTAGATGCAAAAGACATATTTCTTTCTCGATTAATTACTCGATTCGATCCACTTCAAGGAAAACAAAATACTAGCTAAGATTTATGGAAATTTTGTAAGCATGACTTGGTTGAGGGGTTCCAACTTCCAATAATAACACAACTATTGGTAACATTTTGTTGTTTTGTGACTTGTATGCATTAATTTTATTTCTAAATTTTATACTAACTTGTTTTTTAAATGTTTTCTATTGTAGGTAAAGCATATAGGAGACGAGAGGATCCGCGCAAATCATTCGAACTCCATTTCAAACCCAAGGTAAGTGATTTTTATTTTATTTTATTGTTTCCTATGCATACATACGTACTAATATTTATATTAAATCTTTTTAGATGGTTACGAGAGAAAATGGCCGGATGATCGGACGACCGATCCCATAATAGGGAGTATCTCCTACTTTTTCTTTTAATTTACGCTTTCCATTTATTTTATTTTCTTGCATATCCCGGGACTTGAATGCATTAATTTTGTTCCTAAATTTTATACTAACTTGTTTTTTAAGTGTGTTTTTATTTTGTAGGTATAGCTTATGGGAGACGAGAGGATCCGCGAATATCCTTCGAACTCGAAGGATATCCCATAATAGGGAGTATCTCCTACTTTTTCTTTTAATTTACGCTTTCCATTTATTTTATTTTCTTGCATATCCCGGGACTTGCATGCATTAATTTTGTTCCTAAATTTAATACTAACTTGTTTTTTAAGTGTGTTTTTATTTTGTAGGTAAAGCTTATGGGAGACGAGAGGATCCGCGAATATCCTTCGAACTCGAAGGATATCCCATAATAGGGAGTATCTCCTACTTTTTCTTTTAATTTACGCTTTCCATTTATTTTATTTTCTTGCATATCCCGGGACTTGCATGCATTAATTTTGTTCCTAAATTTTATACTAACTTGTTTTTTAAGTGTGTTTTTATTTTGTAGGTAAAGCTTTTGGGAGACGAGAGGATCCGCGAATATCCTTCGAACTCGAAGGATATCCCATAATAGGGAGTATCTCCTACTTTTTCTTTTAATTTACGCTTTCCATTTATTTTATTTTCTTGCATATCCCGGGACATGCATGCATTAATTTTATTCCTTAATTTTATACTAACTTGTTTTTTAAGTGTGTTTATTTTGTAGGTAAAGCTTATGGGAGACGAGAGGATCCGCGAATATCCTTCGAACTCGAAGGATATCCCATAATAGGGAGTATCTCCTACTTTTTCTTTTAATTTACGCTTTCCATTTATTTTATTTTCTTGCATATCCCGGGACTTGCATGCATTAATTTTGTTCCTAAATTTTATACTAACTTGTTTTTTAAGTGTGTTTTTATTTTGTAGGAAAAGCTTATGGGAGACGAGAGGATCCGCGAATACCCTTCGAACTCGAAGGATATCCCATAATTGGGAGTATCTCCTACTTTTTCTTTTAATTTACGCTTTCCATTTATTTTATTTTCTTGCATATCCCGGGACTTGCATGCATTAATTTTGTTCCTAAATTTTATACTAACTTGTTTTTTAAGTGTGTTTTTATTTTGTAGGTAAAGCTTATGGGAGACGAGAGGATCGGCGAATACCCTTCGAACTCGAAGGATATCCCATAATAGGGAGTATCTCCTACTTTTTCTTTTAATTTACGCTTTCCATTTATTTTATTTTCTTGCATATCCCGGGACTTGCATGCATTAATTTTTTTCCTAAATTTTATACTAACTTGTTTCTTAAGTGTGTTTTTATTTTGTAGGTAAAGTTTTTGGGAGACGAGAGGATCCGCGAATATCCTTCGAACTCGAAGGATATCCCATAATAGGGAGTATCTCCTACTTTTTCTTTTAATTTACGCTTTCCATTTATTTTATTTTCTTGCATATCCCGGGACATGCATGCATTAATTTTATTCCTTAATTTTATACTAACTTGTTTTTTAAGTGTGTTTATTTTGTAGGTAAAGCTTATGGGAGACGAGAGGATCCGCGAATATCCTTCGAACTCGAAGGATATCCCATAATAGGGAGTATCTCCTACTTTTTCTTTTAATTTACGCTTTCCATTTATTTTATTTTCTTGCATATCCCGGGACTTGCATGCATTAATTTTGTTCCTAAATTTTATACTAACTTGTTTTTTAAGTGTGTTTTTATTTTGTAGGTAAAGCTTATGGGAGACGAGAGGATCCGCGAATACCCTTCGAACTCGAAGGATATCGCATAATAGGGAGTATCTCCTACTTTTCCTTTTAATTTACGCTTTCCATTTATTTTATTTTCTTGCATATCCCGGGACTTGCATGCATTAATTTTGTTCCTAAATTTTATACTAACTTGTTTTTTAAGTGTGTTTTTATTTTGTAGGTAAAGCTTATGGGAGACGAGAGGATCCGCGAATACCCTTCGAACTCGAAGGATATCCCATAATAGGGAGTATCTCCTACTTTTTCTTTTAATTTACGCTTTCCATTTATTTTATTTTCTTGCATATCCCGGGACATGCATGCATTAATTTTATTCCTTAATTTTATACTAACTTGTTTTTTAAGTGTGTTTATTTTGTAGGTAAAGCTTATGGGAGACGAGAGGATCCGCGAATATCCTTCGAACTCGAAGGATATCCCATAATAGGGAGTATCTCCTACTTTTTCTTTTAATTTACGCTTTCCATTTATTTTATTTTCTTGCATATCCCGGGACTTGCATGCATTAATTTTGTTCCTAAATTTTATACTAACTTGTTTTTTAAGTGTGTTTTTATTTTGTAGGAAAAGCTTATGGGAGACGAGAGGATCCGCGAATACCCTTCGAACTCGAAGGATATCCCATAATTGGGAGTATCTCCTACTTTTTCTTTTAATTTACGCTTTCCATTTATTTTATTTTCTTGCATATCCCGGGACTTGCATGCATTAATTTTGTTCCTAAATTTTATACTAACTTGTTTTTTAAGTGTGTTTTTATTTTGTAGGTAAAGCTTATGGGAGACGAGAGGATCGGCGAATACCCTTCGAACTCGAAGGATATCCCATAATAGGGAGTATCTCCTACTTTTTCTTTTAATTTACGCTTTCCATTTATTTTATTTTCTTGCATATCCCGGGACTTGCATGCATTAATTTTTTTCCTAAATTTTATACTAACTTGTTTCTTAAGTGTGTTTTTATTTTGTAGGTAAAGTTTTTGGGAGACGAGAGGATCCGCGAATATCCTTCGAACTCGAAGGATATCCCATAATAGGGAGTATCTCCTACTTTTTCTTTTAATTTACGCTTTCCATTTATTTTATTTTCTTGCATATCCCGGGACATGCATGCATTAATTTTATTCCTTAATTTTATACTAACTTGTTTTTTAAGTGTGTTTATTTTGTAGGTAAAGCTTATGGGAGACGAGAGGATCCGCGAATATCCTTCGAACTCGAAGGATATCCCATAATAGGGAGTATCTCCTACTTTTTCTTTTAATTTACGCTTTCCATTTATTTTATTTTCTTGCATATCCCGGGACTTGCATGCATTAATTTTGTTCCTAAATTTTATACTAACTTGTTTTTTAAGTGTGTTTTTATTTTGTAGGTAAAGCTTATGGGAGACGAGAGGATCCGCGAATACCCTTCGAACTCGAAGGATATCGCATAATAGGGAGTATCTCCTACTTTTCCTTTTAATTTACGCTTTCCATTTATTTTATTTTCTTGCATATCCCGGGACTTGCATGCATTAATTTTGTTCCTAAATTTTATACTAACTTGTTTTTTAAGTGTGTTTTTATTTTGTAGGTAAAGCTTATGGGAGACGAGAGGATCCGCGAATACCCTTCGAACTCGAAGGATATCCCATAATAGGGAGTATCTCCTACTTTTTCTTTTAATTTACGCTTTCCATTTATTTTATTTTCTTGCATATCCCGGGACTTGCATGCATTAATTTTGTTCCTAAATTTTATACTAACTTGTTTTTTAAGTGTGTTTTTATTTTGTAGGTAAAGCTTATGGGAGACGAGAGGATCCGCGAATATCCTTCGAACTCGAAGGATATCCCATAATAGGGAGTATATCCTACTTTTTCTTTTAATTTACGCTTTCCATTTATTTTATTTTCTTGCATATCCCGGGACATGCATGCATTAATTTTATTCCTTAATTTTATACTAACTTGTTTTTTAAGTGTGTTTATTTTGTAGGTAAAGCTTATGGGAGACGAGAGATCCGCGAATACCCTTCGAACTCGAAGGATATCCCATAATAGGGAGTATCTCCTACTTTTTCTTTTAATTTACGCTTTCCATTTATTTTATTTTCTTGCATATCCCGGGACTTGCATGCATTAATTTTTTCCTAAATTTTATACTAACTTGTTTCTTAAGTGTGTTTTTATTTTGTAGGTAAAGTTTTTGGGAGACGAGAGGATCCGCGAATATCCTTCGAACCGAAGGATATCCCATAATAGGGAGTATCTCCTACTTTTTCTTTTAATTTACGCTTTCCATTTATTTTATTTTCTTGCATATCCCGGGACATGCATGCATTAATTTTTTCCTTAATTTTATACTAACTTGTTTTTTAAGTGTGTTTATTTTGTAGGTAAAGCTTATGGGAGACGAGAGGATCCGCGAATATCCTTCGAACTCGAAGGATATCCCATAATAGGGAGTATCTCCTACTTTTTCTTTTAATTTACGCTTTCCATTTATTTTATTTTCTTGCATATCCCGGGACTTGCATGCATTAATTTTGTTCCTAAATTTTATACTAACTTGTTTTTTAAGTGTGTTTTTATTTTGTAGGTAAAGCTTATGGGAGACGAGAGGATCCGCGAATACCCTTCGAACTCGAAGGATATCGCATAATAGGGAGTATCTCCTACTTTTCCTTTTAATTTACGCTTTCCATTTATTTTATTTTCTTGCATATCCCGGGACTTGCATGCATTAATTTTGTTCCTAAATTTTATACTAACTTGTTTTTTAAGTGTGTTTTTATTTTGTAGGTAAAGCTTATGGGAGACGAGAGGATCCGCGAATACCCTTCGAACTCGAAGGATATCGCATAATAGGGAGTATCTCCTACTTTTCCTTTTAATTTACGCTTTCCATTTATTTTATTTTCTTGCATATCCCGGGACTTGCATGCATTAATTTTGTTCCTAAATTTTATACTAACTTGTTTTTTAAGTGTGTTTTTATTTTGTAGGTAAAGCTTATGGGAGACGAGAGGATCCGCGAATACCCTTCGAACTCGAAGGATATCGCATAATAGGGAGTATCTCCTACTTTTCCTTTTAATTTACGCTTTCCATTTATTTTATTTTCTTGCATATCCCGGGACTTGCATGCATTAATTTTGTTCCTGAATTTTATACTAACTTGTTTTTTAAGTGTGTTTTTATTTTGTAGGTAAAGCTTATGGGAGACGAGAGGATCCGCGAATACCCTTCGAACTCGAAGGATATCCCATAATAGGGAGTATCTCCTACTTTTTCTTTTAATTTACGCTTTCCATTTATTTTATTTTCTTGCATATCCCGGGACTTGCATGCATTAATTTTGTTCCTAAATTTTATACTAACTTGTTTTTTAAGTGTGTTTTTATTTTGTAGGTAAAGCTTATGGGAGACGAGAGGATCCGCGAATATCCTTCGAACTCGAAGGATATCCCATAATAGGGAGTATCTCCTACTTTTTCTTTTAATTTACGCTTTCCATTTATTTTATTTTCTTGCATATCCCGGGACTTGCATGCATTAATTTTGTTCCTGAATTTTATACTAACTTGTTTTTTAAGTGTGTTTTTATTTTGTAGGTAAAGCTTATGGGAGACGAGGGATCCGCGAATATCCTTCGAACTCGAAGGATATCCCATAATAGGGAGTATCTCCTACTTTTTCTTTTAATTTACGCTTTCTATTTATTTTATTTTCTTGCATATCCCGGGACTTGCATGCATTAATTTTGTTCCTAAATTTTATACTAACTTGTTTTTTAAGTGTGTTTTTATTTTGTAGTAAAGCTTATGGGAGACGAGAGGATCCGCGAATATCCTTCGAACTCGAAGGATATCCCATAATAGGGAGTATCTCCTACTTTTTCTTTTAATTTACGCTTTCCATTTATTTTATTTTCTTGCATATCCCGGGACTTGCATGCATTAATTTTGTTCCTAAATTTTATACTAACTTGTTTTTTAAGTGTGTTTTTATTTTGTAGGTAAAGCTTATGGGAGACGAGAGGATCCGCGAATATCCTTCGAACTCGAAGGATATCCCATAATAGGGAGTATCTCATACTTTTTCTTTTAATTTACGCTTTCATTTATTTTATTTTCTTGCATATCCCGGGACATGCATGCATTAATTTTGTTCCTAAATTTTATACTAACTTGTTTTTTAAGTGTGTTTTTATTTTGTAGGTAAAGCTTATGGGAGACGAGAGGATCCGCGAATATCCTTCGAACTCGAAGGATATCCCATAATAGGGAGTATCTCCTACTTTTTCTTTTAATTTACGCTTTCCATTTATTTTATTTTCTTGCATATCCCGGGACATGCATGCATTAATTTTGTTCTTAAATTTTATACTAACTTGTTTTTTAAGTGTGTTTTTATTTTGTAGGTAAAGCTTATGGGAGACGAGAGGATCCGCGAATATCCTTCGAACTCGAAGGATATCCCATAATAGGGAGTATCTCATACTTTTTTTTTAATTTACGCTTTCCATTTATTTTATTTTCTTGCATATCCCGGGACTTGCATGCATTAATTTTGTTCCTAAATTTTATACTATCTTGTTTTTTAAGTGTTTTTATTTTGTAGGTAAAGCTTATGGGAGACGAGAGGATCCGCGAATATCCTTCGAACTCGAAGGATATCCCATAATAGGGAGTATCTCCTACTTTTTCTTTTAATTTACGCTTTCCATTTATTTTATTTTCTTGCATATCCCGGGACTTGCATGCATTAATTTTGTTCCTAAATTTAATACTAACTTGTTTTTTAAGTGTGTTTTTATTTTGTAGGTAAAGCTTATGGGAGACGAGAGGATCCGCGAATATCCTTCGAACTCGAAGGATATCCCATAATAGGGAGTATCTCATACTTTTTTTTTAATTTACGCTTTCCATTTATTTTATTTTCTTGCATATCCCGGGACTTGCATGCATTAATTTTGTTCCTAAATTTTATACTAACTTGTTTTTTAAGTGTGTTTTTATTTTGTAGGTAAAGCTTATGGGAGACGAGACGATCCGCGAATACCCTTCGAACTCGAAGGATATCCCATAATTGGGAGTATCTCCTACTTTTTCTTTTAATTTACGCTTTCCATTTATTTTATTTTCTTGCATATCCCGGGACTTGCATGCATTAATTTTGTTCCTAAATTTTATACTAACTTGTTTTTTAAGTGTGTTTTTATTTTGTAGGTAAAGCTTATGGGAGACGAGAGGATCGGCGAATACCCTTCGAACTCGAAGGATATCCCATAATAGGGAGTATCTCCTACTTTTTCTTTTAATTTACGCTTTCCATTTATTTTATTTTCTTGCATATCCCGGGACTTGCATGCATTAATTTTTTTCCTAAATTTTATACTAACTTGTTTCTTAAGTGTGTTTTTATTTTGTAGGTAAAGTTTTTGGGAGACGAGAGGATCCGCGAATATCCTTCGAACCCGAAGGATATCCCATAATAGGGAGTATCTCCTACTTTTTCTTTTAATTTACGCTTTCCATTTATTTTATTTTCTTGCATATCCCGGGACATGCATGCATTAATTTTATTCCTTAATTTTATACTAACTTGTTTTTTAAGTGTGTTTATTTTGTAGGTAAAGCTTATGGGAGACGAGAGGATCCGCGAATATCCTTCGAACTCGAAGGATATCCCATAATAGGGAGTATCTCCTACTTTTTCTTTTAATTTACGCTTTCCATTTATTTTATTTTCTTGCATATCCCGGGACTTGCATGCATTAATTTTGTTCCTAAATTTTATACTAACTTGTTTTTTAAGTGTGTTTTTATTTTGTAGGTAAAGCTTATGGGAGACGAGAGGATCCGCGAATACCTTTCGAACTCGAAGGATATCGCATAATAGGGAGTATCTCCTACTTTTCCTTTTAATTTACGCTTTCCATTTGTTTTATTTTCTTGCATATCCCGGGACTTGCATGCATTAATTTTGTTCCTGAATTTTATACTAACTTGTTTTTTAAGTGTGTTTTTATTTTGTAGGTAAAGCTTATGGGAGACGAGAGGATCCGCGAATACCCTTCGAACTCGAAGGATATCCCATAATAGGGAGTATCTCCTACTTTTTCTTTTAATTTACGCTTTCCATTTATTTTATTTTCTTGCATATCCCGGGACTTGCATGCATTAATTTTGTTCCTAAATTTTATACTAACTTGTTTTTTAAGTGTGTTTTTATTTTGTAGGTAAAGCTTATGGGAGACGAGAGGATCCGCGAATATCCTTCGAACTCGAAGGATATCCCATAATAGGGAGTATCTCCTACTTTTTCTTTTAATTTACGCTTTCCATTTATTTTATTTTCTTGCATATCCCGGGACTTGCATGCATTAATTTTGTTCCTAAATTTTATACTAACTTGTTTTTTAAGTGTGTTTTTATTTTGTAGGTAAAGCTTATGGGAGACGAGGGGATCCGCGAATATCCTTCGAACTCGAAGGATATCCCATAATAGGGAGTATCTCCTACTTTTTCTTTTAATTTACGCTTTCTATTTATTTTATTTTCTTGCATATCCCGGGACTTGCATGCATTAATTTTGTTCCTAAATTTTATACTAACTTGTTTTTTAAGTGTGTTTTTATTTTGTAGGTAAAGCTTATGGGAGACGAGAGGATCCGCGAATATCCTTCGAACTCGAAGGATATCCCATAATAGGGAGTATCTCCTACTTTTTCTTTTAATTTACGCTTTCCATTTATTTTATTTTCTTGCATATCCCGGGACTTGCATGCATGAATTTTGTTCCTAAATTTTATACTAACTTTTTTTTTAAGTGTGTTTTTATTTTGTAGGTAAAGCTTATGGGAGACGAGAGGATCCGCGAATATCCTTCGAACTCGAAGGATATCCCATAATAGGGAGTATCTCATACTTTTTCTTTTAATTTACGCTTTCCATTTATTTTATTTTCTTGCATATCCCGGGACATGCATGCATTAATTTTGTTCCTAAATTTTATACTAACTTGTTTTTTAAGTGTGTTTTTATTTTGTAGGTAAAGCTTATGGGAGACGAGAGGATCCGCGAATATCCTTCGAACTCGAAGGATATCCCATAATAGGGAGTATCTCCTACTTTTTCTTTTAATTTACGCTTTCCATTTATTTTATTTTCTTGCATATCCCGGGACATGCATGCATTAATTTTGTTCTTAAATTTTATACTAACTTGTTTTTTAAGTGTGTTTTTATTTTGTAGGTAAAGCTTATGGGAGACGAGAGGATCCGCGAATATCCTTCGAACTCGAAGGATATCCCATAATAGGGAGTATCTCATACTTTTTTTTTAATTTACGCTTTCCATTTATTTTATTTTCTTGCATATCCCGGGACTTGCATGCATTAATTTTGTTCCTAAATTTTATACTAACTTGTTTTTTAAGTGTTTTTATTTTGTAGGTAAAGCTTATGGGAGACGAGAGGATCCGCGAATATCCTTCGAACTCGAAGGATATCCCATAATAGGGAGTATCTCCTACTTTTTCTTTTAATTTACGCTTTCCATTTATTTTATTTTCTTGCATATCCCGGGACTTGCATGCATTAATTTTGTTCCTAAATTTAATACTAACTTGTTTTTTAAGTGTGTTTTTATTTTGTAGGTAAAGCTTATGGGAGACGAGAGGATCCGCGAATATCCTTCGAACTCGAAGGATATCCCATAATAGGGAGTATCTCCTACTTTTTCTTTTAATCTACGCTTTCCATTTATTTTATTTTCTTGCATATCCCGGGACTTGCATGCATTAATTTTGTTCCTAAATTTAATACTAACTTGTTTTTTAAGTGTGTTTTTATTTTGTAGGTAAAGCTTATGGGAGACGAGAGGATCCGCGAATACCCTTCGAACTCGAAGGATATCCCATAATAGGGAGTATCTCCTACTTTTTCTTTTAATTTACGCTTTCCATTTATTTTATTTTCTTGCATATCCCGGGACTTGCATGCATTAATTTTGTTCCTAAATTTTATACTAACTTGTTTTTTAAGTGTGTTTTTATTTTGTAGGTAAAGCTTATGGGAGACGAGAGGATCCGCGAATATCCTTCGAACTCGAAGGATATCCCATAATAGGGAGTATCTCCTACTTTTTCTTTTAATTTACGCTTTCCATTTATTTTATTTTCTTGCATATAGTAATAGAATAATGTTTACGTCCCGGGACTTGCATGCATTAATTTTGCTCCTAAATTTTACACTAATTTGTTTTTTAAGTGTTTTTATTTTATAGGTAAAGCTCATGGGAGACGAGAGGATCAGCTAATATTTTTCGAACTCGAAGGATATTTGACCGAACCCATAATAGGGAGTATCTCCTACTTTTTCTTTTAAATTACGCTTTTCATTTATTTTATACTAACTTGTTTTTTAAGTGTTTTTATTTTGTAGGTAAAGCTCATGGGAGATGGGAGGATCCGCGAATATCCTTCGAACTCGAAGGATATTGACCAAACCCATAATAGGGAGTATCTCTTACTTTTTCTTTTAATTTACGTTTTGCATTTATTTTATTTTTTTGCATATAGTAATAGAATCATGTTTACGTCCCGGGACTTGTATGCATTAATTTTCTTCCTAAAATTTATACTAATTTGTTTTTTAAGTATTTTTACTTTGTAGGTTAAGCTTATGGGAGACGAGAGAATCCGCGAATATCCTTCAAATTCGAAGGATATTGACCGAACCCATAATAGGGAGTATCTCCTACTTTTTCCTTTAATTTACGCTTTCAATTTATTTTATACTAACTTGTTTTTTAAGTGTTTTTATTTTGTAGGTAAAGCTTATGGAAGACGGGAGGATCCGCGAATATCCTTCGAACTCGAAGGAAATTGACCGAATCCATAATAGGGAGTATCTCCTACTTTCTCTTTTAATTTACGTTTTCCATTTATTTTATTTTCTTGCATATAGTAATAGAATCATGTTTACGTCCCGGGACTTGCATGCATTAATTTTGTTCCATAATTTTATACTAACTTGTTTTTTAAGTATTTTTATTTTGTAGGTAAAGCTTATGGGAGATGAGAGGATCCGCGAATATTCTTCGAACTCGAAGGATATTGACCGAACCCATAATAGGGAGTATCTCCTACTTTTTCTTTTAATTTACGCTTTCCATTTATTTTATACTAACTTGTTTTTTAAGTGTTTTTATTTTGTAGGTAAAGCTTATGGAAGACGGGAGGATCCGCGAATATCCTTCGAACTCGAAGGATATTGACCGAACCCATAATAGGGAGTATCTCTTACTTTTTCTTTTAATTTATGCTTTCCATTTATTTTATTATGTTGCATATAGTAATAGAATCATGTTTACGTCCCGGGACTTGCATGCATTAATTTTGTTTCTAAATTTTATACTAACTTGTTTTTTAAGTGTTTTTCTTTTGTAGGTAAAGCTTATAGGAGACGAGAGGATACACGAAGATCTTTCGAACTCCATTTCAAACCCAAGGTAAGTGATTTTTATTTTATTTTATTGTTTCCTATGCATATATATATATACTAATATCTATTTTAAATCTTTTTAGATGCATACGAGAGAAAATGGCCAGATGATCGGACGACCGATCCCATAATAGGGAGAATCTCGTACTTTTTCTTTTAATTTACGCTTTCCATTTATTTTATTATCTTGCATATAGTAATAGAATCATGTTTACGTCCCGGGACTTGTATGCATTAATTTTGTTTCTAAATTTTATACTAACTTGTTTTTTAAGTGTTTTTCTTTTGTAGGTAAAGCTTATGGGAGACGAGAGGATCCGCGAATATCCTTTGAATTCGAAGGATATTGACCAAACCCATAATACGGAGTATCTCGTACTTTTTTTTTTTTAATTTACGCTTTCCATTTATTTTACACTAACTTGTTTTTTAAGTGTTTTTATTTTGTAGGTAAAGCTTATTGGAGACGGGAGGATCCGCGAATATCCTTCAAACTCGAAGGATATTGACCGAACCCATAATAGGGAGTATCTCCTACTTTTTCTTTTAATTTACGCTTTTCATCTATTTTATTTTCTTGCATATAGTAATATAATCATGTTAACATCCCGGGACTTGCATGCATTAATTTTGTTTCTAAATTATATATTAACTTGTTTTTTTAAGTGTTCTTCTTTTGTAGGTAAAGCTTATCGGAGACGAGAGGATGCACGAAGATCCTTCAAACTCGATTTCAAACCCAAGGTAAGTAATTTTTATTTTATTTTATTGTTTCCTATGCATATATATACTAAAATCTATTTTAAATCTTTTTAGATGCATACGGGAGAAAGTGATCAGACGACCGAACCGATAATAGGGAGTATCTCCTACTTTTTCTTTTAATTTACGCTTTACATTTATTTTATTATGTTGCATATAGTAATAGAATCATGTTTACGTCCCGGGACTTGTATGCATTAATTTTGTTTCTAAATTTTATACTAACTTGTTTTTTAAATGTTTTTCTTTTGTAGGTAAAGTTTATGGGAGACGAGAGGATCCGCGGATATCCTTCGAACTCGAAGGATATTGACCGAACCCATAATAGGGAGTATCTCCTACTTTTTCTTTTAATTTACGCTTTCCATTTATTTTATTTTCTTGCATATAGTAATAGAATCATGTTTACGTCCCGGGACTTGCATGCATTAATTTTCCTCCTAAATTTTACACTAATTTGTTTTTTAAGTGTTTTTATTTTGTAGGTAAAACTTATGGGAGACGAGAGGATCCGCGAATATCCTTCGAACTCGAATGATATTGATTGAACCCATAATAGGGAGTATCTCCTACTTTTTCTTTTAATTTATGCTTTCCATTTATTTTATTTTCTTGCATATAGTAATAGAATCATGTTGACGTCCCGGGACTTGCATGCATTAATTTTGTTTCTAAATTTTATACTAACTTATTTTTTAAGTGTGTTTTTTTTTTTTTGCAGGTAAAGCTTATAGGAGACGAGCAGATGCGCGAAGATCCTTCGGATTCGATTTCAAACCCAAGGTAAGCGATTTTTATTTTATTTTATTGTTTCCTATGCATATATATATACTAATATCTATTTTAAATCTTTTTAGATGCATACGAGAGAAAATGGCCGATGATCGGACGACCGATCCCACAATAGGGAGTATCTCGTACTTTTACTTTTCATTTATGCTTTCCATTTATTTTATTATGTTGCATATAATAATAGAATCATGTTTACGTCCCGGGACTTGCATGCATTAGTTTTGTTTCTAAATTTTATACTGACTTGTTTTTTAAATGTTTTTCTTTTGTAGGTAAAGCTTATAGGAGACGAGAGGATGCGCGAAGATCCTTCAAACTCGATTTCAAACCCACGGTAAGTGATTTTTATTTTATTTTATTGCTTCCTATGCATATATATATACTAATATCTATTTTAAATCTTTTTAGATAACATACGAGGGAAAATGATCGGACGACCGATCCCACAATAGGGAGTATCTCGTACTTTTTCTTTTAATTTATGCTTTCCATTTATTTTATTATGCTGCATATAGTAATAGAGTCATGTTTACGTCCCGGGACTTGCATGCATTAATTTTGTTTCTAAATTTTATACTAACTTGTTTTTTAAGTGTTCTTCTTTTGTAGGTAAAGCTTATAGGAGACGAGAGGATGCGCGAAGATCCTTCGAAGTCGATTTCAAACCTAAGGTAAGTGATTTTTATTTTATTGTTTCCTATGCATATATATATACTAATATCTATTTTAAATCTTTTTAGATGCATACGAGAGAAAATGATCGGACGACCGATTCCATAATAGGGAGAATCTCGTACTTTTTCTTTTAATTTACGTTTTTCATTTATTTTATTATGTTGCATATAGTAATAGAATCATGTTTACGTCCCGGGACTTGCATGCATTAATTTTGTTTCTAAATTTTATACTAACTTGTTTTTTAAGTGTTTTTTTTTTTGCAGGTAAAGCTTATAGGAGACGAGAAGATGCGCGAAGATCCTTCGAACTCAATTTCAAACCCAAGGTAAGTGATTTTTATTTTATTTTATAGTTTCCTATGCATATATAAATACTAATATCTATTTTAAATCTTTTTAGATGTATACGAAAGAAAATGATCGGACAACCGATCCCACAATAGGGAGTATCTCGTACTTTTTCTTTTAATTTATGCTTTCCATTTATTTTATTATGTTGCATATAGTAATAGAATCATGTTTACGTCCCGAGACTTGCATGCATTAATTTTGTTTCTAAATTTTATACTAACTTGTTTTTTAAGTGTTTTTATTTTGTAGGTAAAGCTTATAGGAGACGAGAGATGCACGAAGATCCTTCGAACTCGATGTCAAACCCAAGGTAAGTGATTTTTATTTTATTTTATTGTTTCCTATGCATATATATATACTAATATCTATTTTAAATCTTTTTAGATGCATACGAGAGAAAATGGCCGATGATCGGACGACCCATCCCATAATAGGGAAAATCTCGTACTTTTTCTTTTAATTTATGCTTTCCCTTTATTTTATTATGTTGCATATAGTAATAGAAACATGTTTACGTCCCGGGACTTGCATGCATTAATTTTGTTTCTAAATTTTATAGTAACTTGTTTTTTAAGTTTTTTTTTTTTTAGGTAAAGCTTATAGGAGACAAGAGGATGCGAGAAGATCCTTCGACCTAGATTTCAAACCCAAGGTAAATGATTTTTATTTTATTTTATAGTTTCTTATGCATATATATATACTAATATTTATTTTAAATTTTTTTAGATGCATACGAGAGAATAGTTTGTATTTATTAATTTTTTCTAGATCATCCGGGACTTGCATGCATTAATTTTTTTAAAATTCTTAATTATCAATAAACATATTTTTTTTCTAATTATATTAGTTTAGACTAATATAACTTATTTTCTAATAAAAAAAAACACACAATTTAATTAAAACTTAATATAAAAATGTGGGCTGGCCTAGCCCGGTATAATTTTAAACCGGGCCATGCCTTGGTTTGGGTTTTCAAGCCCAATCCAGAATCAGGCCGGGCCTATCAAGCTTGAATTTTAAAGCAGCCCGAGACAAACCAAAAAATATTACTCTCTCCCTCGCAAAAAATGCAATTTTTTGCGTATCGGAATGAGTAACATCAGCCTGAAATTGCCACATTTTTTTTGCTAAATATGATGTCAACTTTCTCAAATTATAGAACTACATACCTTAAAATTTGAATCCACCGATATGCCGAAGTCTTTTTCTTTAAATCCGTTGATATGTTGAAGTCTTTTCCAACAATATCTTTGTATCGAATTGCAATGGTGCTGCACTAGAGAAGCCATTTCCCAATGCTTCCACATATACCTACTGGAAGTAAGAGATTAAGTAAAAAAATAAAAATCATGCTTACACCGGTCTTTCATATAACTATTATTATGAAATTTTCCAAAGCATTATTATTACAAAATACAGTTTATCATATTCTCTAAACTAAGACTACTTAGTACCAACTCGCAAACAATATGTTCATACCATCTGTAATGTGCCAATATAGCATAATTCAGATGGAAGAAACAAATGTCCGTTAGAAAATTATTAAGCACAACGTTACAACTATTTTAATCATTATAAATAAAATTTGACCCCTCTGTCTTATACAAATATATTCAACTCTATAAAAGTATCGTGCACCTAGTAAAACATAAATTTATCAATAAAAAAAGAAATGCTATCTTCTTCATTTAACATGATGGAAATTACAAACCCAAAGCATATTTGATGCCTACATGAAGATTTCCAAGTTGCAAATGGTGAAAGGATTAGAATACAATAGACACCATATTAGCACATTGCAATAGCTTAATCCACTAAAGTTTTAAGAATATCATTATTATATAAATTTCATTCAATCTACTTTCTTGCATCTACAAACCAACCAAATTCTGATATATTAACAGGATAGTAACAAATATAAGTAATAAAAAATTGCATCTTACTGATAATAATTACAAGATTAAAATACTTATGAACAGAATTGTGGCTTAGGAACATAATCTTATATCTTATATTTTCAATGCGGGTAGAAAATGAAAATTTCACAAGAAAAGTTAAAATACTTACAATTACATCCATAAAAAGAATAAAATAGAATTGCTGGCATATGATGTACCTTCTTCTGACTTCAAATTTTCTAATGGTGTCTGCACTAATACAAGATTAAACAAGCATGATTCAGTAGTTACTAACTTTAATGAATGTCATGAGATCATGTCATTTAGACGAAGGGTTGAAGTGGAGGGGAAATCAACTAAACTTGCCCAAACAGTTCAAACCGTCAGTTACGGTTTGTCAAAATATCAAATCGAAACCGAACTTTCCGAATAACGATTTCGGTTACAGTTCGACGGTTTCAATTACAATTTATAAACCGCCGATTACAGTTTGAACCTCCAGTTTATACATATTCATTTTTATTTTTTTTTATTTTCTATTTTTCTAATATTTTGAATTTTATTTAAAAATAATTAAGTTTGATATTAATTTTATTCAAATATATTTATTATTTATTTATTTATTATGTAAAAATCATATATATAAATAATTAATTAAATTGTTACATTATAAAAATAATTAAAATAATAAATATTTAAATTAAATTTTAAATAAAAAAGTACATACAAATAAATATAAAAATATTGATATGATAAAAAATTACAAAATTTAAATATATATAATAGTATTATTTTTTTAATATTATTAATAATTATTGATATTTATTAAGATTAATATTATTTTTATTTTATAAAAGTTTAATAATATATAAAAAAAAATGTAATTATAAATATAATAATATTATTATTAATATACACGATTTACCCTAAATTCCTAATCAATACATTTACACATACTAAATCATCGACAGCAAGCGACAGCCGCAAGCCAACAGGTTCTCCTTTTTTTCTTTTCGATGTTCCTGCTCCCTCCTCCCTCTTTCCTCTTTTTTTTCTTCTTCTTTGTCTGAGCCGCCCCCGGTGAGTGGTGAGAGATTTAACAAAAAAAAAAAAAAAAATACAAACTACTTGTTCAAATCGTAAACCGACAGTTTACGGTTTGGAAAATTCACAAACCGAAACCGAACCGTGGGGATGATAGTTTCGGTTCAGTTTGTGCCGGGTTTTGGTTTAAACTGTAAACGTCGGTTCGAAAACCGGCGAATCGGCGGTTCGAACCGACGATTTGAAACCGAATGGACAAGTTTAAAATCAACCTTATTCCATTCTAAATAAATAAAAAAAAAAAAAAAAAAAGATCTCTTGACATATATCGGTAATAATTAATCATGAATTGGTCCAACAAATTTAGAAAACAATATCTATCATGCAGGAATTTCGTAAATTTAATTAAAATTCCACATTGTTGAGTATATGACAGTAATCTTCTAAGTAAAAGAACCACAGAGAATAAAATAAATTTTAAACAAACCTTTCGACGAAACTTAACAAAGCAAGTTGGAATATTAAAACTGCAACACCTTATTGTGAATAATAGCTTAAATGAACTGCCACTTAGAGAACATAGAATTCCACTTCCTTCGTACATAATTTAAACAATATTTTACAAAACAACACATTATTCAAAAATCCCTATATACTACTTTCATAATAGGTATGCAATATGTGTTTCTTCAAAAGTTCACTACCATATGGACACTCTTACAGACTAATGTTTCAAAATATATGTTTTCATAAATTCAAACATCAAATATAACTTTCACCATAAATAGGCCGTTTGAAATAAACCACTACACCATTGGTCTTTGCATGGAAATAACAAACAAAGTGGCATGAAACCATATTTCTGGAAGTTCCCTAACAAACAAAGAGGCATTCATATCATATACCCTTCTTATGCATGCATCTGTCAAGAGGCTAAACAACAGCAAACATTTGAAGAGTAATGGAAATTAACCAACTTCATCAGTCTGGTCTGAGATCGATCACTAACAGTTAAGACTCATGACTACTTACTTGAATTATTAGTAGTACTACTATAGCTCTTTCTTTATTATAAATTGTAAGCATGGCAAAGAGATTAAGAAAATCTTCACCTTTTTCTTTGGTAAATGTCATAAGCAATAGTAGCAGCTGAAGTGATGCTCAATATAATAACCACAATCCAGGTGGCATCTCTTTTTGGTTTTAGTTTAACGGTATCAAGCCCACTTGGTGGGTTGTGACTATCAAATAAGGCCGCACTTGATTTGCCAATAGTAGTACCCATTTGGCCCCTGATTTAATTAATAATGCATGTAATTTGAATTATCTATCAATCTAAGATAAGAAACATGGGAGAAGATAATATATATATTCAGAGAGAATTGCTAAACCTCCAAAGCCTCTCAACGATTTCACCCATTAGTATTTGTTCCTCAACTAATTCAAGAACATCCTTAGCCGTGACGTATCCACACCTGTGTGATTAGAGCAAAAAAATAGTTATTTATGATCAGTCCTTGCAGAATAACAGACCACAAATGTATGTTTCCATAATTACAGTCCATGAACACATTATGGTGCATCAAATATCTAACATGAATCCAATCATCATAGATTAATGCCAAATGTCAATACCCACAGTGGAGTACAAGTAATAATAATAATGGTGTGTGTATTATTGTAATATTTTGGTAAACTACTTTTCTGGAACTTTAGGTGAAACATTATAAGCCAATTTTTATGATAATGACACTTTGGTTTTATCAAATAAAAATCCCTTTCATCCCTATTCCCCCGTCCCACATGCCAACTTGCCAAACCTTAATTCCCTACTTTAATTAATATTGGTAAAAACCAGGGTGACATACTGTTAAACAACGAAACTACTTTGATCTTTAAAAGTTACCTTTTTCATATGCACAACAAGATCACATAAGATTTTGCACTAAAGCAATATACAGTACACAAGAAATTTCTCTCCAGCAAGAATCATTCATGCATACAATGTTATCCCCAAAGATCAAGAATCTTACACCAGCTGCCTAATGAAATCAATTAAGCCCAGCCATAGGAATGAAACCAGTAGCAGATCCCAGCCGAAAACACAGAAATATCAGATATATGGCGATGAGGCCTGCCCTGAGCATCTTGCTGGGACGCATATGATTTCGGGGCAAAACCACCAATGCCCAAGTGAGTCCTGTCATGAGAAATGCTAGAGTGTAATACAAGCTTGCATCTCGGGGGACTGTAAAAGAACCAGGTTTCTCGGACCAGGCCCTAAGCAGCATCGAGACACCCAATCCAATGACTGTGTTGAACATGGGACCTGCATAGCATCCAGACATGGCAATCTGCACACCATCCCCACCATTCATTGCCAATGCAACATTTGAAACCAAGTCTCCCATTGAGTTTCCCCAAGCCAACACCGTCAGACAGAGGATTGAAGGGTTGACACCAATAATCAAACCAAATGCAACAAGCAGAGCCACGAGCTCGTTAGCTATCATGTAGAACCAAACATTGCTCATCAAAAACCCTCCTAAAACCCAAGGGAGCAAGAATTTGTTAGAAGGGTGTTCAGGCCTAGTGTTCTTGTATGCAAGAACACAGAGCATGCAACCAACCGAAACACCTACTAGATATGCAATTATCCGGCTCTCAAAACTGATATCATTTTGAGTATTCCATAGAAATGCAAGAAGAATTGGTGCACATAAGGCACAGCCAACAGCATATACCTTAGACCAGTTCTCTTCGTCTACTAACGGAATAGTGAGTAGCCTTGGAACTGTTAACGGCAAGTGCATGAGAGAACATAGCTTCGAAAATGAAAACAATGGCCGATGTGCTTCCGTATCTTCCTCATTCCATCCCCACAAATTCTTGTCTCCGTCATTGATCAGTGTCGCTTGGTTGGAGTATATTGCCACATTAGTAGCCCATATCCACTGCAGCAACAAGGCATGTGGGTGCGCATTCCTCTCGGTTTCAACCTCAAGCAATGAGCAAAACATGGACTCATCCTCTTGATTTCCCATGGAAAACAGACTTCCTGCAATGGAGTAAATGCATATCCAATTTCAGCCTTTGGGTATGGGTCCTCAACAGTTCATTAGCAGCAACGACAAAGGCATATACTACATAAATCGATACAAAAGCAATAGCAGCCCACACAGTCACTTTACCAACAAACAAGATCAATGAAAGGGCCGTAAGTGTAAAGATGAAAAACAAAATATCCCTTACAAAACACTTGTTATCAATCCAGACGTCCTGTTGCGCAACACAAAGTGAAACAGCCCCAACAACGATGCAAGTAACAAAAACTGCTCCTCCGAGCACACTGTTGAGCCCAACCTCCCCGGCTCCAGTCCCTACAAAAAAGCCGCAATACTATCAAATACATCAGGAGCACCATGGAATTAAAATCGGATGAATTTAGATTAATTGAAGACTGAGGCCTAAGCTCCATTACTTCCCTTCTAATACCTGAAAACCCCTTTATCTAAGCTCGGTTTAAGGATCGATGACCGAAACCCTAAAATTCATGGTTGTAATACAGGAGGAGAAGGAGAAGGAGTATTAAAATTAGAGTACACAATCCATTAAAAATCTCTCGAATTCAACCATGTCCTTTACCTTGAACTAAATTAAGTTGCCTTCCATTCCCGTCCCTCATGCCAGCAGCGAAACGCGGCCCCCGAGCCCTAAGAGCACTAACAATGGCTCTTGCCTCAATTGAGCCCTTCCCGCCGATGTGTCAACCGAAGCCAGCGTGTCGAATGATGTTTTCCACTATGGGCGTAAAATTCTTTTACAGGGGCTTTCTGAAAAAACCCTTCGTCAATTCCCTCATCACCAAACTTCATTCCAATTCCCTCATCGGCAAACCTTCTCCCGCAAACCCTAGGATGGTGTAGGCAGGCCGGCAGTCGCTATGCTTAGAGAAGAAGAGGAAGGAGGACGTCGGCGGTGATGAAATTGGATTTGGGGAAGAAGAGGAAGGAGAGCGTCGGCGATCGGATTTGGAGAAGAAAAAGAAAAGCGTCGGCGGCGATGAAATTGGATTCGGGGAAGAAGAGGAAGGAGAACAACTGGATTTGCGGAAGAAGATAAAGGAGAGCATCTGCGACGTGATGAAACTGGATTTGGAGAAGAAAAGAAGGAGCCAATGCTGGATTTGGGAGAAGAGAGAGGAGAAGATAGAGAAGAAGTGAGCGAGGCGCTGGGATTGTCCCTCACCTGCACCACACCCCCATCGATTCTTAATCGAAATTTTAATTCGAAAAGAAGTTGAGTGTGTTACAATTTTATCGACAGAGACAGACTGAAGATGGGCTTCGATTAGGGTCTGTTTGGTTCAAACGAGGGGATGGGAGGTGAGGGGTTTTAATAGAAGGGAGGGGAAACGAGGGAAAATAATATTAAATTTTAATAGTGCGTGTGGTTTATACGAAAGGAAATGAAGACTAGGGCAGAGAAAATTCTATTTTGTGTTTGGTTAAACAAATGAGATACCGGAAAATATAATAATTTTACTATTTTATCTCTGTGTTATATAAATAAAGAAAAATAAAAGTATTTAATAAAATTTGATTAATTTATTTATAAAATGTGATACAAAATATATTTGTCTAATATAATAAAAATAATAATTATATTATTACGGAAGAATCACATACTTTATACATTAGTTATTTATTAAATTTATCAATAAAGATAAACAAAACTTTTACGTATAAATAATAACATTATAACAAAAATTATATAAACTAAGTATATTATATTAATTAAACTATTTAGTTATCTTAGTTTTAATCTATAATTATTTTTATTATACAATTATTATTTTACTAGTACATTTTTTAATTACTTACTAATTATATTTTATCTAAATTTTCGTATATACAATAATATGTTCATATTACATGAGAAAAAGAAGTAAAATATTAATATTATAGATATAATTATATGCTAATTTGTAATTTATTAAAAAATTATTATAATTAAACTTGATTAAAAAAAATTAATTATAACTATTTCAAAATATATAATATAATTTCAATAGATATTAATATTTATTTGATATAATTAAAAATTTTGAAAGATGTTATAAAATTTGTAATAAAATATGTAAAAGGTATAATAGGTAATTAGATAAAAAGAAAATTTTGATAAAATCCCTCCCCTCCAAATTCTCCCAAATTGGAGGGGAAAAAATTAGAAGAAATTGACTCCCCTCTCCTCCCTTCTCCTCCCCTTTCCTCCTCTTCCCTCCCCTCCTAAACCCTCAAACCAAACAGACCATTCATTGTTCGTGCTCTAAGTTCTCCGTAAACTTCAGAAAAAAAAAATAAAATAAAATGTTCCAACAAATTTCAATTTTTCCAAATTTTTGCTGAATTGAATTAAAAAAGACCAAACTACAAAAGTGATTTTTATCACATTTAGATTCAGCTCCAACGTTGCACAAGAGAAACTTACAAGAAGTGATGAAATCGGATGCAGAGAGAATCGGAGCAAAAGCAGGAACAAGAGAGACGCATGGGAATTTTAGTTTGTTGTATATTTTTTTAAAAGAAAAGAAAAACAAAACAAAAAAACAAAACCTAATTTTAATTATTTATTTTAATATATTTTTTAGTTCCTAATTTAATTTTTGTATTTAATACTTACTTTGTCCCGCAAAATTGATTCATCTTTCATTTTTTAGTTCTTCCGTCAAATTAATCTCATTTCCTAATAAATCAATAATTAAACAATCAATAATTAAGAGTTAGTTTGAATTTTTATATAATAAAATTTTATATTTTAATGTGATATAAATAAGTATTTTTGATGTGATATTTTTATATATTAAATTATTTTTTAATATAATTATAAAAAATAAATACTTGTGTTTGAATAATATATGATATATATAAATTATTTTTGATCCAATTTAATATTATAATTATCAATTTCAGTCTCATTAAAAAAAATTTATCAATTTTTGTCTCATAAATGAAAATTTATCAATTTTAGTCATAAGATGGTTGACTAAGACTGAACACGGCCATTGTTGGATGACTGACTGGGCATCCCAAGCAGCCCGGCCGTATTAATATTTTTATATATTTTTAAAATATTAAAAATTGATTATTTTTTATATTATGAAATAATTGTAAAAAATATTTTTGTTGAATTATAAATATATATCAAATAATTTTAACCAAAAAGTGAAAATAATAATAAACATAACCTACAATATGATTATATTGAAAATATGATCGTGAACATGGCTGTGTTGAGAATATGAGCAGGAACATGGCCTAGAACATGACCATGTTGACAACATGGGCATGAACATGGTTGTGTTCAGAATACGGGCAGGAACACGACCGTGTTCAGAAGTGCAAGGTAATCAACATGGCCGTGTCCAGCCGTGTTGGCTACTGGGACGCTCAGTCACCTTTTGGACTAAAATTGATAAATTTTCATTTGAGTGAGATCAAAATTGATAATTATTTTTAATGGAACCAAAATTAATAATTATGATATTGAATGGAACCAAAAATAATTTTTACTCTTTTATAAATACAATATATTTATAATTAAAGTTATTGTATATTATTATATTTTTATAAAATAAACTTAATATTAATTATTAATTACGTAGAAACATTGTAACATATTTAACACTATTATATTGTATATTAATATTTTTAATTTTATAATTATAGTATTATATTGTCATTAATATATTAAATTAGTTTTATATTTATTATTATTATTATTTATATAAAAAATAAATACATATATAAATAAAATAAAAAACATAATTTACGATTTTTGAAAAAAAATTATTAAAATAAAAAAGTAAATAAATATAAATTAATGGTTCAACGAAAAATATATATTTAAATATTTATTCAAATGTCTCTGGAATGAAAATATAGTGTATTCAATAATTGAAAAAAATGAATGACATCGGAATGCAATATATTATATTTGATAATCGAAAAGAAAAGACGATATTAATACATATTTATTATGATAATAATATTTTTTAAAATTATATTTATAATATAAAAGTATATTTTAAAAAATTAATAATATTTTGCTAATATATTTTAGTTTTAATTATTATTTTTATTATAAATTATAATAATATTAATAAATATTATCATATTATTTATCATTTATACAACAATAGCAACAATAATAATAATAATAATTTTAAAAACCTATCAAAATCTCTATTGATCACCAGAAATTTTATACTATACAAAATTTTTATAATTTTTCATTAAAATCCATAGACTTTCTATGAATTGCTGAATACTTCATAATTTTAAAAAACTTTAAAAAGTATATATTAAATACCTCCCAAATTTAAAAGATTTTTAAAAATTTTGATTAAATACCTTCAAATTTTAAAAGATTTTGGATACATCCCCCAAATATGGGGTGAATTGGAACATTTCAACTCTATTTTTGTGCACCAAACTCCAAATATAGAGTCTGGTTCAAGTTGGCCTTAGGTCATCTCTAACCTATCAACTTTATTTATATAATTTTAACTTTTTAAATATACAGTTAGTACAATATTTTTACTATAATCATATAACTTTATTTTTTTAATTATTATTTTTAAAATATTAATTTTTCTATTATTTTAAATAATTTTAAATTTTTATAATCTAAAATAATTTCTTTTAAAAATTTAGGAAAATAAAAAATAAATTTAAAAATTATAATAAAAATACTGATGCATCCACCAAGTTACCCATTGACGCCCTAACAACACCAATAATTGATATTTTATATGTAAAAATTAATTTATACAATAATGTAAAAAAATAAAACAATATATGTAAATATTTAATGTAATATTTTTGAAAAAAATTAATTTTTTTTTGCAAAAATCACTCGAACAAACACTCCCCACGCGTATATTTCCATTCCACCATAGCCATAGTTATTCTATCTTCTTCCTCGTCCTCGTGTCAACCTGTCCTAAGGGCTTTCTTATCTTTTCCCTCAACCTCCTCTTTTGTCCGGTCCTAAATTACCTATGAAAGACTGCAACGTGGCCCAATCACAACCTCGTCTTCCTCTACCTATGACCTGAGTGTCTGTGTGTCTGTGTTTGTCCACTCCCATAATCGCACTCAGAAAAAGAATGAAGCTTTCTTCCAACCACCCCTTCCATGGCGTCTCCTGTGTCATCTTCTTCCTGTACCTCACACCGCTGCTAGTCTCATCCGACGGTCAGGACACCTTCATCGTCCACGTGTCACAATCCCACAAGCCCCCCGTCTTCTCCACCCACCTCCACTGGTACTCCTCCATCATCCACTCCCTGCCGCCGCACCGCCTCCCTTCCAAGCTTCTCTACACCTACGACCGCGCCATCCGCGGCTTCTCCGCCCGGATCTCCGCCGCTCAGGCCGACGCCCTCCGCCGCGTTCCCGGCGTGATCTCCGTCGTCCCCGACGAGCTCCGCCACATCCACACCACGCGCACCCCCGACTTTTTAGGGCTCAGTGACTCCTTCGGCCTTTGGCCCAACTCCGACTACGCCGATGACGTCATCATCGGAGTGCTCGACACCGGCATCTGGCCGGAGCGACCGAGCTTCTCCGATGAAGGCCTCTCTCCGGTCCCTTCCCACTGGAAGGGAAGCTGCGTCGATGCTCCGGGCTTCCCGTCCACGCTGTGTAATCGGAAAATTATCGGCGCCAGAGCTTTCTATTTAGGTTACGCAGCTTCTCAAGGTCTGCCAATGGCGGAATCCGACAGCTCCCTGTCGCCGCGGGACACGGAGGGCCACGGGACCCACACGTCGTCGACGGCCGCCGGATCGAGAGTGGTCAACGCTAGTCTGTTCGGATTCGCGGCCGGAGAAGCCAGAGGCATGGCGGAGAAAGCCCGGATCGCAGTTTACAAAATCTGCTGGACTTTAGGATGCTACGATTCCGACATCCTAGCGGCGATGGAGCTCGCCATCCACGACGGCGTCAACGTGATTTCCCTTTCCGTCGGCGCCAACGGCTACGCGCCGCCGTACGATTACGATTCAATCGCAGTCGGAGCTTTCAGCGCGGCGGAGCACGGAATAGTCGTCTCCTGCTCCGCCGGAAACTCTGGCCCTTCTTCCTACTCCGCCGTGAATATTGCTCCCTGGATTTTAACCGTCGGCGCCTCCACCCTCGACCGCGAATTCCCAGCGGATGCGATCCTCGGCGACGGGAATATCTACCGCGGCGTTTCTCTCTACTCCGGCGAGGCGCTCGACGACAAATTGTATCCGTTGGTCTACGCCGCCGACTGCGGAAGTCGATATTGTTATCTCGGTTATCTAGAACCATCCAAAGTCGCCGGAAAAATCGTGATCTGCGATCGCGGCGGCAATGCTAGAGTCGAGAAGGGAAGCGCAGTCCATCTTGCTGGAGGCGTCGGCATGATACTCGCGAATTTAGCTGATTCCGGCGAGGAACTCCTCGCCGACGCCCACTTCATTCCCTCGACAATGGTCGGAGAAATCGCCGGCGACAAAATCCGAGCATATGTCCGCACATCTTCGAATCCCACTGCTACGATTAGGTCGCGGGGAACCGTCGTAAGCAAATCTCCGTCGTCGCCGCGCGTGGCCTCATTCTCCAGCCGCGGCCCGAACTATCGAACCGCCGAGATTCTCAAGCCCGATGTGATCGCGCCCGGTGTGAACATTCTCGCCGGCTGGACCGGTTACGTCGGGCCAACGTCTCTCGACAGCGATGATCGCGAGGTCGAATTCAACATCATCTCCGGCACGTCGATGTCGTGCCCTCACGTCAGCGGCCTGGCGGCGCTGCTGAAACAGGCCCACCCCGAGTGGTCGCCGGCGGCGATCAAGTCCGCATTGATGACGACGGCGTACAACATCGACAACAACGGAAATAATTTAACGGACCTCGCCACCGGCGATGTGTCGAATCCGTTCGTCCACGGATCGGGCCACGTCGATCCAAACCGAGCGACGGATCCCGGCCTGATCTACGACATCGATACCCAAAACTACGTCGCATTTTTGTGCAGCATCGGGTACAATGCGCGGCAAATTACGACGTTCACTAAAGATTCGTCGGTCGTGGATTGCAACGCAATCGGGCTGAAAACTCCGGGGGATTTGAACTACCCGTCGTTCTCAGTTGCCTTCTCCGGCTTTAAAAGCGTCTTGAAGTATAAACGAAACGTTAGAAATGTCGGGACGGAGGCGAATGCCGTGTACGAGGTGACGGTGCACGCCCCGGACGGCGTGGAAGTGAGCGTGACGCCGAGTAAATTAGAGTTCAGCGAGAAGGAAGACACTCTATCGTATGAAGTCGAGTTCAAGAGTCGCACGGAAAGCATCGGATTGCTTGCAAAATCGTCGTTTGGATCGATTGAGTGGAGCGACCGCGGCGGCGGCCACCGTGTGACGAGCCCCATCGCGGTGGTGTGGGGCCTGCGTACGGCGGCGGAGATGTGAGGTTGTTAAGGGATACACGTTGTAGAGGTTATGTATGTAATGGTAGGTATTGTAGGGAAGAATCAATAATGGCATGTAGTATATATATATATATATATATATGAACTTTTATTTAAATTTACAAGAGGATAGTAAGAGAGAGCCCAATTGAGAATTAAAACTTATAATTTCATTACATGCAAATTTAAATTATTAAATTAATTAACACAAATATAAATAATTATACTCATATTTAACAAATAAATAGACACAAATCAAACCAAGCCAAACATGCCCTTATTTCTAACTGAAAGAATCAAATCTAATATATAATTGTATAGACTAATGTTGATTTTTAAACTCAATCCCTTTATTAAATTAAATTAAATAATAAATATTCAAAAACATATTCCCCGTCCAGCTCAATTACTTCATATTTTATTTTTTAGCCGTTACTTCATATTCTAAAAAAAATTAACAAATTAACAAATTTTAATCACAATTAAATCTTAACTAATTCAAATTAATCTATTTAACTTTTTACTCACAATTATTTCAAAATTTTATTTTTAATTACGTTCAATTAAAACTGATAAAAAGTAAACATAACTCAAAAATTAGACTAGGACATAATATAAAAAATTGGACTTTGATTGGACGATAGCTGAAACATTTTAAAAATAAAAATAGTTAAATTTTGATACAATGTTTTTTTTAAAAAAAATATTCAATAATTGATAAATTTTAACGATATATTTAATTTAAAATTTAAATTTTGGATTTACATGAATAAAAAGAATTTTTTATTTATATAATTTTTTAATTTAATATAAATACGTATTAATATAGTGTCTTAAATGTAAATTTAATATATATAATATATATATATATAATAGGTGCTGAAAATAGCAGGAAATATTATACAAAATCAACACAATATATATTTAAAAAATAGAAACATAAGAAAAATAGAAAAAAAAAAAAAAAAACAATATTACACGAACACTTGCCGACAGTTATTATTGTAGTAATTTGACAAAGTTAAGAGACTTGTGCCCCCTTCTTTTTTTTTTCTCACAATGCTATCAAATATTTTTGTACTAATCATTGTAAGATTCTTTTGTATATACAATAAATTATATCTTTGATAATATTTTGAAAATTTAAATATATGTAATTATAAATGAATAGTGTATTTTCACAATTTGATTTATTAAACCAAGTTGAAATAAAAATCGACACCACCAAACTTCCACAAACCTACCACCACCAACTCTCGCTTCACATTAAATCTATATTAAAAAAAAAAAAACACAATGGGAATTAGTAATAATATTTATTATAAGTAATACGTTCATATTTATTATTTATTGTCCTTCTTTTTTATTGTAATAATTCACATATATATTGTATAATATTGATATTATTTCAAATATCAGATCTTTTCATATATAAAAAAATCAATATTACACTTTAGACACATTTTGCTTATCTTTACTTTTAGGAGAAAAAGTCGTAAAATATATAATAATAATAATATATGAATATTACACTTTATACGAGAAAAGGTCATAATTATAATATGTCAACTCTATATTAAATTCATCTCTATCCGTATAGAGTATACATACCATTCAGGAGCTCCTCGAATTTCCAAGCCAAGCAAATATCTAAACCGTTGATTTCCAAGGGTCTTCAAAATGAACGGTTCAGATCTATCCGGTGCTCAAACTCCAGGGACCTGCTGAGAATCACCAAAATTTTTTATATAAATACGGATGAATGCTATCGGCACGGCTCACTCATCTTTTCTTCTGCCATTTCCATAACTCTCTGCAAAAATGTCTTCCTCAGAAGCTCTTCCATTGGTCGGGTCGACGGTTTCCACCGCTCCGAAACGCCTCACCACACCTTTCCGGTGGAATCTCCGCCGCAGACGTAGGCGACTTCCTACCGTCCGGCTAGGGGGCGAGAAGAAGCAGCGGAGCGGCGGATTTTCGCTGATTAGGGTTTGCCGGAAAGCGAAGCTGCAATGGCTGCGATTGAGGTACCTGAGCTTGATTCGGAAGCTGAAGAAACAATACGATTTGTTCGTGGAGGATTTGGTGGTTGCGACGAACACGACGGAGGATTATCGGAAGAGCCTCATTCTGGAAGCTTCCGTCGTCATCCCTGTCATGGGCCTCTGATCTGACCTAACCCTAATCTGAACTGAGCTTCTGGTTTGTATCTAATTTGGGGATAATAATTAACAATGCTTTTAATAATAAATTAATTTTCTGTATAAGAAAATCGATTTGGAATATCAAGTATATGTATTTGAATTTTTTATTTTTTATTTTTCACTATTCGTTTTATTATTGAAATGGCATAAATATATAAATTGAAACCACACTATTTTTCTTGATTGCAAAATTAAAGATAATAAATAATTAATTACTGTAAAAATTTTTTTTAAAAAAAAAAAAAAAAAAAAAAGATTTAGGTGAATAAATCGTTATCGCAAGAGGTTAGAAGCGCTTTCACGTTTACACTACTGCTTATTTGACTCCAACACGCTTTTAATTGAATTTTAAATAGGAAAAAAGAATAAATCAAAATAACTGTACTAGTATTTTTTCCATTTTGTTAAAATTATATATTAATATTTTTTAATCTGATAAATTTATGAATATAGTAAAAAAATTTAGTTATTTATAATTTTATTACTTATATTAAAAATAGTAATAATAAAAAAAGAAATTTCTTCTACTCATTTTATATATATATTTTTTATCAACTCTTAATAAATTTCACATAATATTCGATTTTATTGTTTTATATATATGCAATTTTAATATTATAATATCATTATTTCTTATTCTTATGTTCGACCAAGATTACATCAAATTTTCATTCACATAAAACATGTGATAAATAAATATTAATGTGATATTTTAAATATAAAATTAATTTTCCATATAATATAAAAATAAAGATTTGATTTAGAAAAAAAAAATTTCCACATATTTTTCAGACATTATTATATATATATATTATCTTTTTTCATAAATAAATATTCAAATAAAATATTTTTTTTATATTATCGACGTGATTCGGTGTATTCCAAATAATAAAATAATTAAATCAAAACGCTAACCAAACAAACACTTTCCAAATAATAATTATTATTGTTATGTAAGGTTATAAAGTCGTTTTCAATTCGTTTATTACATTGTTACATTGAATGTTACATAGAATATAATATTTATGTAATATTTTTTAAATTTTAAATAAAAAAATATCAAGTTAAAGCAGAAGCAATTTTATTTTGTATTTGAATATATTGTTATGCAAACAAAATGTTTTTATTTGATGTAATAAAATTAAAAATATATTTTCAACGGTTAGAATTAGGAAAAGCAAAAGCAAAAACTCTTTGTAAAATTTCATCCAACAAAAACCTAAGGTAATTAAGTATATGTAATTAAAACGGCAATTTCACTTATCACATGAAAGATGCAATTAAAGGCCTATCATCTAATGAATAATACAAACATGTGTATCTATCTACCTACACCTACGTATACCTATATGTATGTGCATGAAAGGATTATTATTTTTTTATTCAAAATAAATATTAAATAAAAAGATATTGTAAATTTATTTCCGGGATTGATGAAATGTTCGAACAATACCTCTTATATAAAAATGCAAAACGAATTAGCGGAAACAAAATTCAAATAAACAAATTAATCAAAAGGAACCGGAGATTAGAAATCAAAAATTCAAACGAACGACTAAGCTAATGAACTAAATTGAAAATTCCTTTGTACGCAATCGACCGACCGAGCGACCGACCGACGACGGCTTTAATTGGCATTTCTCTTACAACAACGATGATCAGATCGTCTTCTCCGATCATCTTCTCGGACAGACAGAGGCGAACACCGAACAGCCACGACTTCCACTGATCTTTCTCAAAATTTATTTTTCTTTAATCGATGAAAAAAACATCGAATTAAGACTAGACTCAAGTGTGAAATGATTCGAGGTAACCACGCCCCAAAGTGACCTTTTTAAGCCTCTACACCCACGGACTTGGACTTAATATGGGTTTGAGGGGGTTTGAGAATAAAAGATTGGGCTAATCCGTGGGCTGAATTAAAGAGTGGATCAACTTTAATGTTATCAAAAAAATTTGATGGATTAGATGTTAAACTATCAAAATTTTCAATATACTTCATTCGTCCCATTTTTTTATTTTAGTCCATCCTATATATTTTTTTTGGTAATTGTACTATCTGTCTAACATTACAAATATCTTTACAACTTAAAATATATTACATAAATGTCGTTACTTTATATCACACGTACTAATAATATTATTTTAGTCATTTCTACTTTAAAAGCAAATGAATATTTAATTATGGGACGAATGGAGTATATAAAATTTATTTGAAATTTAATTACAAATATTATAATTATTTACCGTAAATTTTAAATACATTGTATATATAAATTAGATTATAACAAATTAAAAAAATTATAAATTGTAATTACTCATAAGTTATAAAAATTCATATACTATCTTCTTTTTAGATATGGATTTTTGTGTACATAGCCACCGAACAAAGTTCTCTAACGTCATCTACGTGACGTCATTTAATACTCAGCAATGTTGGATACAGTCTCAGCTCAACGCAATTTCTGTGACCATTTTCGCACTAAACGGTCCGTAACAACATATTAGGAAATACTCCTTACACTTTTCTATTTTTTATTTGTTCTATTTATTCTATTACTTCATTTTCTTAAAAAAATTTACATATTTTAATCTTATTTTTAAAATTTTAATTAGACTAATTAGTTATTTTAATTATACAATAATTATTATCACTAATATATTTTAATTATTTACTTATATATCTCATAAATTGTCGTGTTTATAGTAAAAGAGAAACTCTGGTCGAAGTATCTTTGTAGCCCTTAAAATTATATAATTATTTTTTTACTGTTTGTTAAATTTACATATAATTAATTTTTTTATTTAATTTTTTTTATCAATTATTTAATAGATTTATCACAATGCCCCAATTTCACTCGTTAGATATTTCATTTTAGTAATTAAAATTTTATAAAGTTTTTGTTTTTGGTGCCTAAACAAATTTATAAAATGTAAGTAAATAAATAAATAGAAATAGAGTGTCCTAAATATTTGTAAATTGCATTATAATTTAAACTCGGCCATCACAACTTTCCGAGAAATTGACCTTGCAGAGAGTTGACTGACTCACTGCTCATCAAACTAACAACTAATAACATTATAGGAGTAGTATATTAAAAAAATAAAAAAGAAGGAAAAGTAAGCAGACAGGCCATCATCATCATCATCATGTTATTCACGAAAATTAATTTAATTTTACCAACGCTTGATTTCACACACAACTAAACCCCAACCCAACCCTACAACTAATATACTCTGTTACTGTTACTATTCACTCTATTTTAAATTTTATAATTTTTTATAATATTAATTAAGTTATTTAATTTATAAATATTTTTACTAAATAATAATTAATTTTGTTAATATATATTTTACTTAATTTCTCGATAAGTATTAGCTAAACATTTGCACGGGTGATTGGTGGATCCCAATTTCCTATGTTTTCGTGACACACACCTCACTGATAATGGATTTTGTTGGCAGCTTCAATCAAATTTCACAGAAACTAACTTCAATTTTATTTATTTTTAAAGAAATAAATTTAGTATTAATTTCCGATGGCTGCTTCTACTGTCATCGTCCTCACCTATAAATAAGTCGCAGCTCTGTGCTTACTCCATCAAACTCAAATTCCTCAAAAGAAATCCCCAAATCAATCGGAAATGGAAGCAACCCTAATTTGGTCTTCACTTCCGGCGATTTGGGTCACAATCCTCCTTCTCTACGTTATCACGAAATATCTGCAACGGAGAAAGCTTAATTTGCCGCCGGGGCCGAAGCCATGGCCGGTGATCGGAAACCTCAACCTCATCGGCGAGCTACCCCACCGTTCACTCCACCAGCTCGCGGAGAAGTACGGTCCGATAATGCACCTCCAGTTCGGGTCGCTACCGGTGGTGGTCGGATCGTCAGTGGAGATGGCGAGAACCTTCCTGAAAACGATGGACGTGACCTTCGCGTCGCGGCCTAAAACCGCCGCCGGAAAATACACGACCTACAATTACTCCGACATCACGTGGTCGCCGTACGGTCCGTACTGGCGGCAGGCGCGGAAGATGTGTTTAATGGAGCTTTTCAGCGTGAGAAGGCTAGAATCGTACGAATATATTCGTCGGGAGGAATTGAATTCGATGCTCAAGGAGGTGTTCGTCTCCGCCGGAAAACCTTTCCTGCTCAAGGACTATCTATCGACGGTGAGCCTGAACGTGATCAGCCGCATGGTCTTGGGAAAATCCGCCGCCGAAATCGACGTCGTGTCGACGGAGGAGTTTAAAAGGATGCTGGACGAGCTCTTCCTGCTCAACGGAGTGATCAACATCGGCGATCTGATCCCCTGGATCAGTTTCCTCGATCTTCAAGGCTACGTGAAGAGGATGAAGACCGTGAGTAAGAAATTCGACAAGTTCCTCGAACACGCCCTCGACGAGCACGAACTGCGGAGGAAGACGACGGAGAATCACGTCAGCAAGGACATGGTGGACGTCCTCCTGGACCTCGCCGGAGATCCAAACCTGGAAGTCAAGCTGGAGAGGCAGGGAGTCAAAGCATTCACTCAGGTAAATTGACGAAATTCAATCAGCTTAAATCTAAAAACTATTCACCATAACATTAAATAAAAATAAATCCAGGATTTGCTCGCCGGAGGAACAGAGAGCTCCGCCGTGACGGTGGAATGGGCAATTTCGGAGCTTCTGAAGAAACCCGAAATCTTTGAGAAGGCAACAGAGGAGCTGGATCGGGTAATCGGGCAGGGCAGGTGGGTCAAAGAGAGGGACATGCCTAATCTCCCCTACGTCGAAGCCATTGCTAAAGAAACGATGCGTCTGCACCCGGTTGCTCCGATGCTGGTTCCGAGGATGGCCCGGGAAGACTGCAGGGTGGGTGGGTTCGACATCCAGAAGGGGACCCAGGTGCTGGTCAACGTCTGGGCAATCGGGCGGGACCCGTCGCTGTGGGAGAAACCCGACGAGTTCTGCCCGGAGCGGTTTCTCGGGAAGGAAATCGACGTGAAAGGACAAGACTTTGAGCTTCTGCCATTCGGGTCGGGTCGGAGGATGTGCCCCGGGTACCCGTTGGGGTTGAAGGTGATCCAGTCCAGCTTGGCTAACCTGCTGCACGGATTCAATTGGAGATTGCCGGAGAAGATGAAGGTTCAAGATTTGGACATGGATGAAATCTTCGGACTGTCTACTCCGAGGAAAATTCCTCTCTCCGCCGTGGCGGAGCCCAGGCTTCCATTTAAGATGTATGATTCTCTTTGAGTTTGACGATGATGGTGACCTGACTGTGCCTGTGTGTTCTAATATCATCATCGTCGTCGTCGTATATGTTTCGAATTCAATAATGTAGTTCTGCAGTGCTTTCGAAATAATTAAGATTGTGTTTTGAGCCTAACATTGCTTACGTTATTCCAATCGAAGCCCATTTAACAGACCACCAATTTAAGGCCTGTTACATATATGGGCCGCCATGGTTTTCTTGAGCCAGGTACAGGTGATGCGGAAAGTCCTACTTCCGGAATTTAGGGCCGCCGCTGTCGCTTCTCTCCGGCGGCCTTTCTCCGATTGGCGGCAGACTTTAGTCCCTGATTTGCCACGCGTCGACTCGTTGGTCGGCGGCGCCGACGACAAGCACTGGCTCGTCGTGATGCACCCTCCCGATGACTGCCCTCGACGGGAAGAGATCATCCAACGATACGTAGCCACTTTGGCCATGGTTCTTGGGAGGTGATCGATTGTAGAAAACACCATTATTGTTTCTGAGTTCTCCGTATTTTTGTTTATATTAATGGAATCACAAGATAGGCTAATTGCATTTCTTGTTTCCTATAAAAGGGTGTCGAGAAAATGATTGGAAATTAGAATTGTGCTTGAAAAATGTGACATTTTGGGTAAACCCAATGTTAGAAATGCTAAGGCTAATCCAAAAAAAACCAAACAGAGACTCCATTTACTGGTTTGAGAATGTTGAATCATTCATGTTTCATATTGAATTGTTCTAATGTTGTTTGATCTTTGTGGTGATCGATCTGCCGGCAGCGAGACGGCGGCGACGGATTCCATCTACTCGGTTTCGACCAAGTATTACTATGCATTTGGCTGTAAAATCATCCCACAAATGACTGATAAGATCAAATGTAATGTTCTTGGAGCTTCACTTTCATTTTGAAAATGTTTACTTTGCACATTTTAATCTAATGATGTAATCCTCGACCTTGCAGTGCTTCCCCATGTCAAATGGGTTTTGCCAGACTCTTATTTACCTCCTAAAGAAAGTGGCTATGGAGGTGCTCTTACTCTTAACCAAATGCATATAATTTGAACTGTTTTCTTATGTCGATTTTAGCTTGTTCTCTATATTCTAACTCCTTTTGTTGGACCTCTTCGATCTAACCTTTTCTGTCATAATCAAGACATTCCAAACATTTGGAATGTTGGCTTAAGATCAACAGATTAGTTTTTAATTAATTGATCTCATCACTTGTTCTTCAGGGGAACCATTTGTCAATGGTCAAGCCGTGCCTTACGAAGAGAAGTACCACGCTGATTGGCTTCGCGAAAACCCCGAAAAGCATTTTACAGAGAGAGGTCCTTTGAGGAAGCCCGGAAGGAAAAGAATTGGTGCAAGGAATTACAATGAAGAGAAGTGACTGATCTTGTCGATTTAGGTACAACATGTTTTTCTTTCCTTGGTCACATGCTCAATTCTAGATTGACCGATCAAGATATTTAATTTGGTATGAATGTAGGTAAGACTAAACTTCTAACTGTAATAGATGAAGATATTTCTGAGCTACATATTATGTGCCACACAGTTTAACATAGAATTCATCCTACTTTTTGGTCAAGTGAGTTTGTTCTATTTTTCTAAGTTCCAATGTCCATTTTTTTCTATAATTAGTCAGCCTGTCTATACATGTTCTCACGGCAGCAACACACATTATTATTAGAGACAACACATTGTATATGTAAATATAATATAAATACATTTCATGAACTAACAATATATGCTATAGTCTCTTACAACATACACAACAGTTGATTATAGTACGTGACATACCCTTCTACAGCACTCATGTAATTATAAACAAACAATACATACCTTTATTACATACAACATGTGCTGTTAGAATAATATTTCAATCACAAGTCCCATTCAGAAGGGTCCAAAGATTTCGTCTTCCATGATTCTAAAACTTTGAAAAGTATTCAAGACTCCATATGTGATCAGAACGCACAGTGAAAGAACCAAGAAGTTAAAAATATGTATGTATGTATGCTTAAGATGATAAAAGAAAGAAAAAGGGGAAATGATTTAAAAACACCAAACAACATGTACATAAATCTTGATCAAAACTTGTGTGTCCCTTATCATTTCCCCTCTACTTTCTTGTGTAAATTAGTGTCCGAATTTACAGGGCGCGGCCTGATCCGATGCTTGTGTCTGTAACCTTTCTTCCTGTTCTTACAGTCATCATCTTTCCCCTCTTCCCATTTATCTTCTTCCTTGTTTCCTCCGCGACAACTTAATTTTGTTGCATCAATGTTCTCTTCCACAGGAGCAATGTAAACAAATGGACCGGTGAGGATGTCTGTGAATCCCCTGACATGCTCTAGAACTCTAACCACATGTTTCATTGCAGGCCTGGATTTAGGATTGTAACTCAGACACTGATGAGCCAGCGCCGCCACTTTCCGAGCACCTTCCGTGGAGTACTGCCCTTCGAGCCGTGTGTCCATTATCCTGTCGAGCTTGTGGTGGTCCTTTAAATAAGGCTTTGCCCACTCCACCAGGTTCTGTTCTCTGGCTGGACGGCGTCTGTCCATCGCGCGCTTTCCTGATAGTAACTCTAGCAGGACGACGCCGAAGCTGTAGACGTCGTTCATCGTTGTCAAGTGACCTAATCAAGCCAGGAAGACAGTTCAAAACTAGCTGATAGCCAGAAATTGTATGTGTTAAATATTTTTATTATTTGCGATATTTGGTTAATTTTAATTGGATTTTGCTGTGTGTATATATTGTTTATTTATGATTTACAGGAGAAAATTGATAAAATTGGTAGAATTAGACGGAAAAGAGCTAGAAAAGGCGACTTGAAGTTTATCTTATTGAGTTTATCCTTTAACGGTAGATTTTATTTAAATTTTGCAGATTACGAACCATTGTCACTAGCCTTGCCCATATACTAAAATCACAGTTTCTCCGACTCACCTGTCATCACATATTCGGGAGCTGCGTATCCGTGTGTCCCCATAACCCGTGTCGACACGTGCGTGTCATCGCCCTCCGGGCCGTCCTTCGCTAGCCCGAAATCAGAAAGCTTCGCGTTGTAGTCCTGTGGTTTCAATATTTCTAGAAATTTCGAAACAGGTAGAGCATGAAGATTTGAAAAATAGTTGAATCAATTTAAAATACCGAATCGAGTAAGATGTTCGAGGTCTTGAAATCACGATATATGACGGGCTTGTCTTCTCCATGGAGAAAAGCCAACCCCTTTGCAGCTCCAGCTGCAATCTTCATCCTTGTTAGCCATGGCAATGAACTGGTAAACCCTAATGAAACAGGACGAGATTAAATTGTAGTTTTGATTTGCTGATTAGAACCAAAATTGCATTGAATTGAATTGATTTGTTGCTCACTTCTGAATAATTGGTTCTCCAAATTGCCTCTAGCCATGTATTCATAAACAAGAAGCCTGTTTTCATCTTCCCAACAGTACCCAATCAGCTTCACCAGGTTAGGATGCCTGAGTTGCCCCAGTAGAATCACTTCCGTCTGAAATCAATTTCAAGAACCAATTTTATTTTTTTTTAACCAATGTTTTTCTTTTTAACAAAAAAAAAAATTAAAACTAATTTAATATAACTAAGAACAAACTATTTTTTTAGTCTCTTAAGACCTTTTTATCATTTTAATATAGTAATTGGAGTTTGTTGCTAATTAATTTTCTAAATGATTTTTTTTTTCTTTTGCAATTTTAGTTTTCCGGCGCCGAAAATGCCTACGTGACACCTATTTAGATACGTGTGGCAAGGTCAGCAACATTTGGTGGACACATAGATTTTTATTTTTATTTTTTAAAATTTTTAATTTTCAATATTTTTTGAAATATTTTAATTTTTACAAAAAAGATAAAATAAATAAATAAGATATTTTAAAATTTTTTTAAAAATCCACGTGTCCGCCATGTTAGCGATACCTGGTGGAACACGTGTCCTCCGTTGAGCCACGTAGGTATCTTCGGCACCGGAAGACTAAAATTGAAAAAGTTTTCAAGTTACGCGACCAACTCCCATTACCAGACTAAAATAATAAAGAGTGTAGCTACCAGAAAAAAAAAAATTAAAGTTTACCCTATTACAAATTACCAGCCATTCCCTGTGGCCCTGATCTCCCTCCAAATCGAGCAATTTGACGGCCACGGGCTGAGCGTCGAGGCCCGGCCTGAAGGTGTCGTGAATGAAGCCCTTGTGGACGGGGCCAAAGCCGCCTACGCCGAGGAAGTTGGCGGACGAGAAGTCGGCTGTGATGAGCTTCAGGTCTGCCATGGTGAAGATGTGGAGACTGGAACCAAACTTGGAGCTGGAGAGGTCACTCAAGCTCAATGGCGAGCCTGGATCGCTCAAACCCGACAGGGACACCCTGGAATCGTTATTCGGATTCGAAACTTGGCTCCTTACATCGAGATGGAGTCCGAAACACGATCGAAAAATAAAGATTGATCTCCAGGTCTTCTTCTTCTTCATCCCCATGATTTTATTTTTTTATTTTTATTGAATAACTTTTATTTCTATCTCTCACCTGATAATCTATTCGAATCAGGACTTACATATATATATATATATATATATATATAGAGAGAGAGAGAGAGAGAGAGAGAGAGAGAGAGAGAGAGAGAGAGAGAGAGAGAGATGAGGCAGGAGGAATTCTTCCAGGGTGATGACTACTTATATCAAGATCTGATTTTGTGGGGAGACCAAAGTGGCCATACAATAATACTAATAATAAATGAAACAAAAATAAAATTTTAATTAATTTCATTTCACATATATCTACTTAATTCGTGTTTCACCAAATTTGGTTCGATTGATTACGAACACCTTTTCCCTATCAATCAGTTCTTGTAATCTGTTTCCTTAAACATCATCCTGTCTTGTCTCTCTTGCATAAAATAAATAAATTTATTTTAAATAAAACTATAAAAGTATATAAAATGGACTAAAAAAAAAATAAAGTAAAGCTTGCTAAAAGTAAAATAAAGATTTTAAAAAGAAAGAATTTTAACAGGTTAAATGGGTAATTGAAATTTGAGTTATCAATGGCACAGTAGTAGACACACAGAATTTTTATTTATATATTTCCAATTGGGAAACACAATGATGGACAGATAGATTTATGCAAAGAATATAAAATAAAACAATCCTTTATTGTATTTCTATCCACACTATGAATTAAATAATAAGTCAACTATTGTATCGCCAACCTTATTATCTACGAACCATCACAATTAATTAATTAATTAATTCTTTATATCCATGTCGTAAATATTCTTGAGAATATATATAATACTATATATATGTCAAAAAATGCATTCATTTTTTAAAACATGCCTTGGGAATTTATTTGTCAAATTCTATTTCTGTGCTGAGCAATTCTTGTACGTGTGCATGATGACATTTATATATAGTTCAATAATATTAGGATTTTCTTATTTAAATATTTACTTTGCAATAATAAATAAATAAAAATATATAGCTCCCCATTTCATAACATTTGGTCCAATGCAATGTTTTTCTTCAAAAATAAATAAATAAAATGATAGTCCATAGGGGTTTGTTTCATTTAGTGGAAGTTATGTGCAATATTCAGATTGTGACATGACATTATATAAATAAATAAATAAATAAATTCTGGGCCACAAATTACAGCCTTTGATGTGGAACCACAACTTTGTTAAATTAATTGAAATTTCTAGTAAAACTTAGAAGAAAGAAACAAAAATATTATTAGAATTATATTTAATGTATAATTAAATCTTTTTAATTATAGAGTGTGTTCTTATATATATATATATTTAAAATAATTAATAATTTGAATAGTAGAAAATAAAATACGAAACATGCACCCATAATTTTTTTGAATGTCCATTATTATTATTATTATTATTATTATTATTATTATTGTGTGGTGTTTATTTCTTATTTTATTAGCCCACTTTGTCTTCGTTTTTCTTTTTTTATTTTCATATTGAAATTTGATCAAGTAATATTATTGCAATCCACCAAAATAGACATTTCTGTAAAGGCTCAAGTCACGTGTGTATTTACTTCTATCAGAAACTATAATAATTAATCAATTTTATGGCCACTATTTTCTATGATAAAAATAAAACGATAGTGGAGTGTTTGTTTGGAATTTTTTACAGAGGTCAGGAGGAATACAAGGCGCGTCTCCCAAACGCGGGAACGAATGGCGTGCCGACACCTGTCGGTCCATCTTCCATCATTTCACCATTTAATTTCTATGCAACAACGGTATTCAAATAAACATTCCTAAGCACAATACAACATTAAGCTCTAATTAAATAGAAATTTTAGTATTTTTATTTTTATTTTCTTTTTAAAAAGGATAAAAAACTAAATACTTTATTGACCATTTTGTGAAATATATATATATATATATAATATTCTCTCCGTTTCAATATAATACAATCATTATTGTGAAGTCTTTTTTACTATTACTCCTTTTGTCCCAGAAGAGAAGAAGGATTCCATTTATTTTTTTCCTTCCCGAAACATCAATGTACCATTTCCTAATTTAGTAATTGTAGTATATACATAACATAATAAATACTAATAAAAATATTTTCGTCTTTTTTACTACAACCCAATATAATACTAATATTAAAAGATCTACGTGCAAAAAACTAAATAACAGATGGAACAAAGAAAGTATCATTATTCTTTAAATTTCATGTCCAACTCAACTAATAGTATAGAGGAAGGAATATATATATTTATATAAAAAAAATTAATATTAATAAATAATACTCTCCTTTTCAAATAAGGTGCAACATTTGTTTTAGACACTGATTTTTAGGTGGGTAGTATTAAGTAGGATAATTTAGAAATTAGACGATATGATGAAGAGAAATTTATATTTTATTTTTTTATTTGAATGATGTAATGGGATAAAATATAGAAACAGAAATTAAATATAATTAATTATTTTTTATTTTAAAAATATTACAAGATGTTGCACAGTATTTGAGCCAATGTAGTACTACCAATTTACTTAATTTAATGTTATGCGCTTTTATACTTTATAGCCGCCGACATGAGACTAGGCGTCGTCTGTGTAGACCGAAGCACCAACACACACACACACACACGTTTAAGTCAGAAGTCATTTGCATTTGCATTTGAATTTGCATTTGAATTTGAGCATTACTAATTAATTACCAAAATGGATCGCTATGATAATCAAAAGGCAAAAGCAAAAGCAAAAAGCCCTCCAGACAGAGTCAATGCAGTCTTAATCCATAAATTAACTAAAAAAACAAACAAACAAACATTCATCGACACAAAACTGTTACTTACGCCCTTTCCTTCCTTCCTTCCTTACAAACACACTCATCATCATCGTCATCGTCATCCAGACAAAACATGTAGTAATAATAATGGATGATGGGTTCACAAAACTCGCCTTATCGCCTGTTGTTGCTGCCGACGCTCACTCCGACCAACCACCATTGATGAACATATATATATATATATATTACTATACACGCACATGAAAGAAATCTGCAGCAGCAAGAAGAAGAAGAAGAAGCTGTTGTTAGCTGGCATCCAGAATTGAATGTGAACCACAGTTAACTTAATGTCGAAATTTTCTACACTACCTGTAAATTGTCAATCAATATACAAGAACAGCAGAATTGGACTTAGACCGACAAAAACAGATAGATCAATTGTTATGTTATCTGAACACCAAGCTGCCATTTTGTTGCGTTCTCAATTTCTCTATGAGGTTCTGGTAGAACGATTTCAGCGCCTTAAAGTCATTACCCTGACAATGGAATGAAATAAACAAACATTGATGAGATTAGAAGAACATGATGGATACTCTGCTAGAAAAGGACATCGATTCGATCAAGAGACTTCAATTAATTCAAAGTGTTGTCGAAACGCACCTGGAGCATCACATAATACTGCTGCGCCAGCTCTTGAGGGCAACGGACACTCGGAAGACCTTTCGACACAAAATTGACAAGAAAATCGTTCCCAAATTTGTCATACATGACCTTCTGAGCCGTAACAATTTCACCAAACAAGACGCTCTGTCGAACAAGATAGGCACAACAATGTAAAAATAAAAATTTTAGGAAAAGGTGTATACATTACATACAGTCGACAAATATATGAACAAATAAATAAATGAACTTACAGTATTTACGTCACGAAACTCAAAAGATTTGTCCAGCACACTGTATAGGCAGCAATTAATTGCAAACGCTTCAACTGCAAAGCTACGGAAACCAGGCACCTGAAATGTATTTTCAGGTCAGTTTGGTGAAATAATCGAAAATGCAGTAATAGTAATCAATTTGAACTGCCGCGCCAATACCTTTTCCGGGTCAGGCGCAGTACACCAATCTTTAATCAGCCTGATGAATATTTGAACACAAGCCTGGAAAATACAGAGAGTTCTGAATAAGATGTCGATCTTAAAGAACCAGTAAATGACGAATCTAAGAGTGCAAAAACCAGGTTCTTGTCGGCGTACCTTTCTCACAAGAATATCCTTATGATTGCAACATGTGGATAATAATAGGTCCATCAAAAGCTTCAAGTATCCACTACTTTTAGGGGATCGGAAAACTGCCGAAAGATCATGTGTCGCAATAACATGTAAAAATGTAAAGAATGTTTTCTGAAGGTCTTGCAGTTCACGAATTTCCTGAGAAAAAAAGACCGATGATATCATTTGCACTTCGAATCAGAAATAATGCCTGCTTAGTTCTATGCAACTGATAAAAGAAACAATGACAAAACAATGATATTTACGAATCTGTCATACAAATTACAATGCAATGGCTCACTCCTCATCAATCAGGACTAAGAAACTCATAATAATGTAAAAAAAAAAAGGATCACCACCGATCATGTGTTGGATTGGAAACCTAATTAAGAAATTGCCAGTTCATAAGTATCAATAAAATCATACATCCACATACTTCCGCATTTAGGTGAAACGGGGCAAAGAAGTAAAAATCAGTGAGAAGTTATTGTTAGTCCTGTTTTTCTTGGATTTTACCACTCCATTACTTTACAGTGAAATAATTTAAAAAATTAACCACCACAAGAAAATAAGGACTTTTCAACAAACATCCATTGTTCGTCTATTCTAGCATCCTCACGACACTTGAGCAAATAAAGTAAACCAAACAACGCACTAGCATACCTCTGCGCAGCTGCCTGGTCCAGACAGAGTATCACTCCTGGGGAGAATATTAAATGTCCGACTAGCGATGATCGGGTATACTTCATCCAGTAACTCCCGAACTTCAGTACCAAATTTGCAGATGAGCTGATTAAGCAGCACAAAAAAATCCACGAGCTCCTTGGGCTGCACAATGGCCAATAATATTAAGGAAACTTTGTATACATATGGAAAGGTGGAGACACAAATAGAATGACTACTCTTTGCAATTTAATGCCAGTGTCATAAATCGATGAATAATAGATACAAGAAAGATCCGATCTTATGCACCCACCCTGTATAAAAAACTACTAGCGATACACAACATTAAATATAAACACTTGTGCGTACAATGGTAGATAATGTAGTCTATCAATGGGAGCTTTCAAAGAGAAAATTTGTGTCAATTAGAAGCTTTGGTTATAGAACACCGAATACAAACTCAGCCACAACAAACAAATTTAACAAATGGAGTATTCTTTTTTACCAAAATCTTATGAAAGTAAGGGAAAGTGCTATGATTTAAGAACAAGTATTGCCATTTGATGAATTCAACAAGTGATCAAGATATTATATATTTAATAAAGTTAATTTATATATTTTAGAATTGATTTGGGGATGGATCAATGGTGTAGAGCTTCCAAGCTCTCTACTTCAAACATTCAAAGTTCATTAGGCGATGTATAATATGTCTATAATATATATATATATATATATGTTATAGATTTAAGAATGCATCAAAAGACAATTTTCATACCTCACTTTCTGTTAGCAACTGACCCAATGCCTTTGGAAGGTACGGAAATATTAAAACTCCCAAAGTATCAACCATGCGATGAATGTAAGATATGATCTAACAACAACAACAAAAAAAAGAGAGTCACCACAATGAGTTTGTAACGTAGTAATCACAAGCAAGAGGTAGGTCCACAAGTCATACCTTAGACCGTAGGGGCTCTATCTTCGGGAAGACAACAAGTATTTGCAGGAGAATATCCAACGTCTATCAAGGAAACAAATCATTAGAAAATAAAGAATATACCAAAGAAAAAATAAACCTTTCAATCTCTAGCACGATGAGGAAATTATTGTACCACGATTCTATTTTGTAAGTAAAAATAAAAGTTCGCAAGACTTAAGAGCATGGAAGGAGTCACAAAACCAAACGGTATGTAGGAGAGAGACAACAAGGAAAGGCTCACATTTGTCCATGCATCATAAATACTGAGTGCATCTATTTCGGACGACAGGGAATTTGGAGGATTAGAGAGTAAAGTAGTTGGTAAGGATTAAAAGGCAATATTCTGACGTGTATTTGCATCGGAAAACCCAACAAACATAATCCACATAATGTAGATGAACTTATTACTACATTTATGATTAACTTAAAAAATAATAATAACAAACAATCTTTAATTCTAAAAGGTTGACCCTCGAACCTACCTTTTTAAACATAAGGCCAATTCCAGGGCGACTAGCTGTTACAAGTCGTTCGCTGAATCCCTGGATTACAAGTATATCACGTGTCAATAATGAATACAAATACTTGCCATTTCTTTGGTAGATTCCAGTTCAAAAGGAAACAAATAAACTAGTTTGTCAGCATTATAGATATTAGATTGCTCCCATATCTGGAAATTATCGATCGCTAATTAGCAGCATGATTACTCGATTTCATGATAACATAGATACATTTAATGCATCAAACCAAAAAGGAAGTAAAAGCTCCTGAAACTAAACTTAAGAAAAGGAAAAACAGGAAATAACCAGCCAAACGCACTAAACGACATAAAGAACACTAGAAAGATAAAAAATAACCTTGCTAAGAGCATTAATGGCCATAATTATGCGTTGGATGATTTCAATCTGCTCTTGAGACTCTTCAAAATTATGAGATTTGGCATTTAAAAGAGCCATCTCCACCTGCACACGTATGTAGATATTCGGTTAGTTTAAGTTTTCTTTAAACAGCTAAATAATAGACAATCCAATTTCCGCAATCCCAATCTAAACCTCAGTTTAAGCATAAAATTAAATATCGATATACAAAACACGATACTTGACCTGCTGACATAATGGAGTAAGCAGTCCAGAAAGATAATCAGATTGTTTCTCAAACGGCACATCTTCCATCCCAATTAAAAGGCCAATAGCCTGTACAACAACAAGCAAAATCTTAGATCAAAGCATAAAGTATTCGATTTCATTACATCATCTATTTTAGAGAAACTAACTCAACCTCAAAAATGTGGCTGCCATCTTCCGATCCCAAAAGGTCCTTCGAAGCAACATTGATTCTAGTAAATTGGGCAACCTTATCTTGTAGGCTCTGAAATTTAATACGTAAAAATACAACAAAACTAAATTATACAAATGGACAAAAGGCATCATTTAATGGCAAACACTACCAAATGGGGAATTACTACCTGCAAGATTGTCTCAATGTAAGGCACGAGCTGCGCTTTGAGCAATTTCACAAACCGAGTGAATAAATAACTTGCTCTCAGGCTCACATTGACATTCGAGTGATGTATACCTCTTTCATCGAGAAAAACACCCAATGCCATTGGAATATACTGCACATTCTCTGATACAAACCTCATGTATCGCGATACCGTATCCAAATACACAAATGCAACGAGTCTGTTTGAATGGCACGTAAATCTTGTTGTCAAGAGCAACGGGATTAACTCTCCGAGCAGACCACCACCGGTCCTTATCGCCTCATCAGTCAATGATTCTCCATAAGCAAAAAGTAAGGAAAGAGAAGCTTCAACCTCCTCTATATTTCTATCTCCCGAGGATGTAATAGCGCTGCCCAACGAGTTTCTAATAAATAATCGAGTCAGATCCGGCGCAACACGGCTGATACTCCGGAGGAGAACAAAAAAATCCTTACGAAACTCCATCATCCTGTCTTGTTCCTCCCTACCTACCTTGTCCAGCACATCAAGATTGTTGCGATAAGCAGGATCAAACTGAACGAGTGCGTGGATTATTTCTAATATTTTTCCGAGATGAAAAACATGACTCTCGGACAACGAGGAAGCGCTCTTCATCGTTCCCACATAAGCCGACAGAAACTGCACAATGCTGGGCACCAATTCAGCTTCGCAATGCTGCATGACATAAAAAACCGACGGCATGACCTCATTCAGAAGCTCTAACGACAGTTCTTTACCGTTTTCTGCATTCAATCTCTTCGAACATTCCAAAACTTCCGTTGCATACCCCGCGACCAAAGAAGCGACACTACAAGTCAACTCCGAGTCGCTATCCCCAGTAACTAAACTAAAAATTCTTCCCATCTGCAGGCTTTGTAATAGAGAAAGCTTCGATTTAAAATCCATCATCCTCTTCGCAACCACGGCAAGAATAACCCCAACTGCAGCTGCCCGAAGCTGATCCAGAAGTCCATCTGTCAAGATCAGCTCAAACAACAATCGAACAAATGCATCATTGGCAATCAAGCCAATGTCAATCCATGAAACAAACCTCCTCATAGAATCCAAAACACATACACAAAGCTCGTGGTTTGAATTCCGATAAACTGAAACTATATCATACCACGTCGCAACTATCTGAGGCACACATTGCACCCTCATCGCATCCTTAATCCTGCCCGACACAGCCACATCATCCCCGCTTCGCGGATAATCCATGCTAATCAACTCATCATCCATCACATTCAATATTCGACAAAACATATCGATGACACCAGCTCCATTGCTTAAATTTGGCAAGAAATCGACAAACACAGAAGGCCATACCATCGGATATTCGAAATAAATCAAAGTTACTATAACCTGAGCAAGCTTGTTCTTAAGAAACGCAGGGCCTTCCAATACGCTCACCAAATCACTGCCATTATCACCCGCAGATTTAGAACACGCCACAGAGATCAGAGACTCCCTAATAAAAGATTTCTCCTGCATTGCCATTGACGAATACTTCAAACGAAGCGCTTCATGGAGGCACTGCAAACACCAAAACTTCACCTGAACTAGCTTCGAAAAACGCAATTTCTCCACACACACGCTATGGATCGATGGATTCTCTTTAATTTGATGAATATAAGCAGCAGCTTGTTCTTTTAGACCCGAATTAACCGCGCCCGATTCATCAAACACTATCAAAATTGCCTTTTCCAGATCATCCATATCTCTTTAAAAACCCTAAACCCCCTAAAGAGATACAAACCCCTCTTCCCCACTTCACAAAGTTCCAATTGGCTAAAAGAATCAATTTCAAGCTCCTTCCGGGAATCAAAAACGATAAAACAAACAAGCCCCCTTACCTGAGATTATTGATAAATTGATTAAAGAACTAGCCTTGGGGTGGAATCAGCAATCAAAATCATAAACCCTTTCTTTTCCCAATTCAAATCCAATTCCCAATGAGATTTAGAGGTTCAAAACTTGTAACAATTAAACTGTATTAAGCGCATACGTATGACAAATTCAGAGACGGAGAAGAAGCTTGAATCGAAAGACCTGTGGGGCTTATATAACTCCTGAAAGAGGCGGATATTTTCGGGCCTTTTCAACCCATCACCATGCTTTATACCTCCCAACTAATACCAATTCTGCAATAACAAAGGCTTTACTTTCCTTAAAATACGTAAAATTTTTATTACTATAATTTTTATTATTATTGTGAAAATAACCCCTGATAGTAGTAATTTATAAAATTATTTACGCGTATAATGTGTACTCATGTTCTTAAGGGCGTGTTTGTCTTTGGATTTGGATTTTGAGTTTTAAATAGTAAAAATTTTGAAGTGAAATAGTAGATATGATTTAATATAAATAGATGTTTACTTAATATTTTAAATATAAAATTATTTTTAATATAATATAAAAAATAAAAAAAAGTATTTGATTATATATATATATATATATATTTTAAAAAAAAAAGAATAAAATTGATAATAGTAATAGATTTGATGCAAAATCCAATAAACGAACAAGTGCATTATTATTTGGATTTGATTTTTTATTGGCCCATTAGTCATTATTTCAGAAGCCCAACTCATTATAAGCCCAATAATATTCCTCCAGGCTGCGGAATGCGATTGTTTTAAAACATTATTATTATTATTATTTTATAAGGTTCTAGATGTCACACTATGAATGGAAAAGGCGAAAAGAAATTGGGAAAGTTAAAAAGAGGTTACATTCCCTCTCTCTTTTTTTTTTAATATATATATTTTTGTTATATACACAGTGTCTGTCTACGTAGATAATATGTAGACACCACGTATCATCAACGTTGTAATGTGGATGCATATTTTTTTTATGTTAAGATTTGCATGTCTATAAATTGGCTAATGTACTTCACAATGGATAGGCAAAAAATACTCGATCAATACTCTATCATATTTGGGTCTGCTATTATATCTCTCTATCTCTAAACACAATACTATATATATTTATATACATATATATATATATACACACACCCCGGTACACATACATACATATATTACTATATAAGTAATTATTACATATATATATAATATTATTATACTCACACGCCATACATACATATATATATACACACTTATCAATATTTATTATATAACAATTTTATATATGTTTGTTTTAGTTCGATTCGATTCGGTAAAGAAAAGTTTTATTTATTTTATTTTGTTTTATTTGAACTTAAATTTAATTAATAATCATTACTATTTATTAATAAATTTATGCGAAAACATCAAAGTATTGTTTATAATATTATAAATATAAAATATTAATTTAAATTAATCTAATTTATTTTTTATTACTCCTTCTTCTGTCCCACGTACCGATACGATGATTTAGCATGAGTGTAATTAGTAGATAATTAAGAATGTATTAGTAAAAATAATTATCTTATAATATAAATAATTATAAATTAAGATTAGAATAATTAATTAGTTTAATTAAAATTTAAAAAAAAAATTAAAAAGTTTAAAATGAAATTAAAGTGTGCAATTATTTTTCAAAAAAAGAAAGTGACATGAAATGTAGAACGAACGAAAACGACAACGTGGACATAGTATGTGGGACGGAGCGAGTATTATCTTTTTAAGTTTTTATAAATACTATCAATGTTTGCAAACAAACTTAGTTGTTAAAGTTTACCTTCATATTCGACTTATTTAACTTAGCTACCGAACTTTTAACAATCTAAAATAAATAATATATCCGTTGGTTTCACATTGTACGTAGAATCATGTATTTTAAAATTTTAAATAAAATTAAATATCTTGAATCTTGAAAAGTGATGGGATAGAATCTAGAATCTTTTGCCATCCACTGAGGCTATTCTCAAGTTACTATGGGCACGCTTAAACCAATTTATTTATTTAGTTTAATATATTTTTTTACTTTTAGTAAAATTAATACATTATCACTAAACTACTTTGAAATAAAATTACAATTTATAACATTATATATAAAATTCAATAATAAAAATATAAAAACTTTTCTACATATTTTCATTGAATAATAAAATATTTTATAAAATTTTAAAAAATACATTTACGGAGCTGATTAAATTTTAAGCTTTTAACTATGCAAGTTGCAAGTAGTTTGTAAAACAGGTGGAAGTGTCACAGCCGACCACGTGGCACCGACGATGTTCCATCGCCCGCCACCTGTCGTTTACTGGTATATTTATATAGATATAAAAAAATAAAAAATAAAATAATACCCATCGTTTTCGTGCTATTCTGGAATTTTGAGTGAAAAACATTCACGGGAAGATTCAATCCTTCTTTTATTGAAAGGACAATTTTGCCCTCCAACGAGATTGTGGTCCAATTTCGTTTACCTCAAATTTTGCCCAGTTAGTAGTCCAAAAATTAATTAATAAAATCTTATTTAAATAAATGATGCACAGATCCATACGGCACAGTTTTAGGAGGCCGTACAAATATACTGAATATTAATTTAATAAAATAAACAAAAAACAAAATACTATTATTTTGAAATAAATATTACTACTAAATATAAATATATAAATATTTGTTGAGAGTCAACGCTTTCCGGAAATACTGCATTCACAATTTCGATATTCCAGGTAATTCAGGTAAACTCTGAGGGTATATTGGATTTTTCACTTTGAGAATTTCCTTTTAAAAATTATTATTGCATTTGATATAAGAGGCTGGAATAGAACGCACGAGGAAAAATCAGAGAGAACAGAAGAAGAAGAAGGAAGAAGAAGAAGAAAGAAGAATACGAAGCCCTCTTCGAGAGGTTTTCCATTTCAATACTCGATTCAGCTTATTCTTACGCTTAGATTCTTCTCTCCCTCCAAATTAATCACCTGAATTCTCGTTTCTGTTCCTCAGATGTATATTTGTGTACAGGTTTTTTGTTTTTAAGCTACGATATTTCAAATTTGGTTTTTGTTTTTTTCCCCTCTCTGGGTTTGTATGTTACATAGTGAATCAGGGAAGCAGAAAACATTATTGGTTTAGGATTGTTGTAAATTGTGCCAATTGTGGGGTCTGGGCGCTGAAATTTGGGTGAAAAGGTTTGAAGATTATCGATTAATGGGGGTTTCGCCGATGGCGCTCTACGCAAGTCCACCTAGCACCGTGTGTTCCGCGGCGCACCAGATCAGCTCCCACGCGTCGTGCGAATTGGACACCAGCGGGCGGTCGGCGTCGTCGTCTTCCGCTTCGCCGTCGCCGTCGCAGAAGCCTTTCATTGGCGGGTTATCGTGCTTGTTCTCGTCGCCACAGGTCAAATCGGCGAGCTATTCAACAGGAGCCGAGGAGTTAGGTTCATTATGGCACGATAGGACGGAGGACTTGGGGTCCTCTTTCCGATACTCGTCGTTAAGCTCCTCCTTGAAACGAGACCAGTCTCACCAGAGTCCGGTTTCGGTGCTTCAAGGCCTGAATAATTCTATTGGGACCTGCTCGCGAAGCCCTCCCATGAAAATAAGTTCGGATTTGGGTTCAATCATGTCTCGAAGCGGAGGAATGTTTAACGGATTCGTTAGACATGCGTTGGGCTCTTGTGTGGATTATGATTCGTCGCCATTGGATTTGGATGTGAAGGACTTTGAGATGCCTCTGGTCTCAAATGCGATGATATCCACAGACGAGCTTCCTTTCAACATGGAGGATAGTTTCGTGGAGTTGGATTTTCCGCCTTATGCAAAGGATTTGCTTTCTAATGCGCAGTCTAGGCATTTGATATTTAAGGACGAGGTGGTTGTCAAGGCTTTTTATGAAGCAGAGAAGGCTCACAGAGGCCAGGTAGTTGACATTTTTGTACTATTAAGACACAATCATAATGAATTCTAGAATTGAGCTTTCTGATGATTTGATCTATGCAGAAACGTGTGAGCGGCCATCCATATTTGCACCATTGCGTGGAGACAGCTGTTCTTCTGGCAAACATAGGTTCCAATTCGACAGTTGTTGCTGCGGGCCTTTTGCACGATACTGTAGATGATTCAATTTTAACCTTAGATGATATTTTGAGGTTGTTTGGCTCTGATGTGGCAGATTTGGTCGAGGGGGTACGTAAATTCTTGTCATTCGCGTTTTAGCTGCTTTTCTTGATTCTGTGGTATAAGATGCAAGTCAAAGATAACCTGTTAATTCAATTTTGAGCATAAAATGAGTTATTTCCTGTAGGTGGCAGGTAGAGAATTTGTTACGGCTATTAATTCTATGATTGTGTATTTGTGTAATGATCCATATGTGAATTCGTTTTGCAATGGATGAGCATTTTTGGCTTTTGTGCTGAGGTTTCATTGATGGCCTTTTCTTGATTGAATAAGAACAATTTATGTGGAGTCAGGATGTTTATTTAGTACGGTTGTTGCGACTTTTTATGACTGCAGTTGATCCCCAGAACATTAAATTCTCGTCTTCATGCCAGGTATCTAAACTGAGCCAATTGAGCAAGCTTGCAAGGGATAACAACACAGCCAATAAAACTGTGGAGGCAGATCGACTGCACACTATGTTCCTTGCAATGACCGATGCTAGAGCTGTTCTAATTAAACTTGCTGACCGAGTGCATAATATGCTGACATTGGAAGCTTTGCCTTTGATTAAGCAACAAAGATTTGCAAAGGAAACATTGGAAATTTTTGTTCCCCTGGCCAATAGATTGGGTATCTCCACCTGGAAAGTGCAGCTGGAAAATTTATGTTTCAAACATCTTAATCCAGACCACCACCAAGAATTGGCTTCCAAGTTGTTTAAATCTTTTGATGAGTCCATAATAACCTCCTCATTGAAGAAACTGGAGCATGTACTGATGGCAGAAGGAATTTTCTACAACAGCTTGTCAGGCCGGCATAAAAGCTTGTACAGCATCTACTCGAAAATGTTGAAGTATGTCAATTTTTTTTGCCTTTTTCTTTTATCATACATGATTATATAGTTCTTTTAAATGGTGCACAGACAAAATCATGTTTGGTTCCTAAATTAACATAGTTACTTGTTCTGTAGTCTCCATTGACGACAATTGCATTCTGTCTTTTTGACTTTTTGTGAAAAAATTTGTTGTGTGGTAGAATTGTTCTCATGATGTATTTTGGTGGTATACTCTGCAGGAAGAAGTTGAACATGGATGAAATTCATGATATCCATGGATTAAGGTTGATAGTTGAAACTGAAGAAGATTGCTACAACGCTCTGAGAGTCGTCCGCCAGCTATGGCCTGAACTACCTGGGAGATTTAAGGACTACATTGTTTGTCCCAAATTTAATGGGTATGCTGCTCTGTGCAAAAGCACTGTCTCCCATGTTTAGCTGCTCCTTATTCGTAATCTAGGATAATATTTGCAGGTACCAGTCTCTACATACAGTGGTTGCAGGTGATGGTATGTTACCACTTGAAGTTCAGATACGGACAAAAGAAATGCATCTGCAAGCTGAATATGGCATTGCTGCACACTGGAGGTACAAGGAAGGTGAATGCAAACACTCCTCGTTTGTTCTTCAGATGGTCGAGTGGGCACGTTGGGTTATTACCTGGCAGTGTGAAACTATGAGCAAAGACAGTTCATCCGTTGGGATTGTCGATTCCACGAAGCCACCTTGCACATTCCCTACGCATTCCAAGGACTGCACATTTTCTTGCAAACCCCTTTGCGACACTGATGGGCCCATCTTCGTTATCCTCATTGAAAATGATAAGGTTTGTTCGTGCTCCTTAATATCTAGGTCAAAATTGTTATCTTCATTGAAATTGAATAAGATTTGTTCTTCACCGATGCTAAATCTGCCGAATTTACAGCTTGGAGAATGGTTTTTCTTGTGAATTAATTAAGGTGAGTGGCACCTTACTCCCATTGTTTCGACTTGCAGATGTCTGTGCAGGAGATTCCAGCAAATTCATCGGTGATGGATCTGTTGGAGACAGCCGGCCGAGGCAGTTCTAGATGGATTTCATACGGGTTTCCGGTGAAGGAGGATCTAAGGCCACAGCTAAACCGCAAGCCTGTCAGCGACCCAACCTGCAAGCTGAAAATGGGAGATGTGGTGGAACTAACCCCGACTATACCGGATAAATCCCTGACCGAATACCGGGAGGAAATCCAGCGGATGTACGACCGGGGCCTTACTCTATCAACTGCAGTAGCACCTTCCAGGGCAAGCTTCAGAACGTGACCCCAGGTCATTCTTTGCTAGTGCTACTTGGTTCATACATACAAATACATATATCTATGTATACACGCACATATATCTTGTACATAAATATACATTCTGCAAGACATTCATCTTTCACTGTACTGTTCCTAATATCAAAATGTGTGCATATAATTGAATTGCTCTGCTTCCTGCCTTGATGAGATCGATTTCATTCGATTTATATATATATATGTATATAAATATGATCGGTACAACACAGACCATTTGAAAAAAGATCGATGAAAATGTGGCTATTTCCAGAAGAAGTGTTGTACAGAATTCTGGCAGGAGATCACAAACAAAAGCAAGATCAAAATACCTGCAAGACCCCAAGAGGAACTCCCAATACTCAACAACCAACCACCATTAATCTCATCTTCAATTTTGTCTATAGACTGGAAATGAGAAGAAGACGAAGACCCTTTGTTCTGAGATGAACCAGTGATGGTTTTAATGGCAAGTATCAACCCTGCCACCACCACAGGCAACATTATACCACTAGAACTCCACCGCGACTCGAGGCGGCTCCGATTATCCGGAGACAGAACAATGGCTGATACAAGGGCTAGAACCATGGCCACTGCCCTCGGTGAGGAGCTGTTCAAATGTTGATGACAAGAAAAAACCTCCATTGTTGGCTGGTTTTCTTGTTGCCTTTAACTAGATCAAAGGAACAAGAAAACTAGAAACCTATATTTATAGAGATAGAGATAGATAGAGAAAGAAATGAGATGAGGAAGATTGATTGGGAAAGAAAAGAACATCTATGTGGAAAGATTGAATTTTGATGCAGGCAAAAAGTAAATTAAACAGCCGTCCAAAAAGGTTAAAACTTAAAAGTGATCCAAAACATTATTTGAAAAATGGTTCAAAGGTCATATATAGCTGTCAAATTTAAAATAAACCATAAACCAACCAAAAAAAACCAGTCCAAATTAAACCTTAAGTCTTCAATATTATTATTATTATTATTATTATTTGCTGAAGCAAGAACTTCCATTAATGGCCGCCATGGTTCCCTGCAGCAGCAGGATCATCGTTCCCGAAGCTTCCAGAAGCTTCCCACTGTGCTGCACCGCCAGCATTCTGATAAATCTGCGGATCGAAGTGCTGATAGCTGTAGCCGGCCGGCGGGGCAGACGGCGGCGCCGCCAATTGCAATCCAGGGAGGCCCTGAACCAGACAACAGTCCATGTCCTGGAAAGAGAAGAAGCTGTGATCTTCAGACAGCGGCGGCGGGTTTGACGACGAGCCGCCATAATTGGGGGCGAGAGTCATCACAGGGACAGCATTTTCAGGCCGGGCCAGCTGGATTAATTGGACATGTCCGTAAGCCGGCGCCGGTTTTTTTAGTCGGGGCATGCTTCCGAACCTTCTCGACTTTCCCTGTGCTCCGTCGCCGGACGCCGCTTGGACATTTTCCGGCTCCGGCATCGGCGGCGGTTTCCTCAGCTCCGGTGGGCGCCAGTTGTTGTTCCGACATTTCTGAAAATTGAATTCAGACAGATGAATGAGAATACAACATCAAATCCAACCTTCATATATATATATATATAAAATATAAAATTGCTTAGCCAATTTTTGTATTTATATTATCCTTCATTTTTCTAAAAGATTTTAAGTGCTGTTTGCGTAATATCCCATCATTTGATATTATTCATTTTTTAAAAAATATCATATTAAATATATTTTTTTTTTCACAAAATATCAAATCATTAAAATTCTTCAAAAACTTTCAAAGTATGATTCGACATTAAAGAAATCGATTACAAATTAAATGTGCGTTATTTGGATTTATAAATTTGTATATAATAATTTGATATGATATTATATATATATAATATACTTTTATGGTGAATAGTGTAAATTATATAGTAAACAAATTGAAAATTTCATTAAAAACAATGCCTATATATAACTTAAATAAAAGATGGATGTCATAAAAAAAATATCTATAATTTGTTTAGATATTTTATTAAAATACTGTTTAATATGATATTGTAAATATATTTCAAAAAAAATATAGTCTAAATTGCAGAAAAATTAAATAAGAACAAAATGATAGAGGAATTAAACCTGAAGATGACTGGCGACTTGCATTCTTGTAAGCCCGGGAACATCCATTAGATCAAGAATCTCTTTAGGAAAACACTCTATCACATGTATAAATCATCAAATCAAATCAAAACATGCATAAATCATATAATATTAAAAAAGACATGGTAAGTGTTTGCAATAAATAAAAAAAGAAAAAAGAGAGAAGAAATCCTTACTTCCTTCACCAAGTGTTTCAACCGCAGCGACAAACTTTTCATGTAATTCTTGTGTCCATTCTGTCACGGGTCTTTTCTTATTGTTATCATCGTTGTTTTTCAAAATTTCTTGATTTTCTAAATGTTCTTCGCGTTCTTCGTTAGTATTGTTATGTTTTCTTCCTTTCATTTTCTTCTTGCCCTTGTTGTTCTTTACTGCCACCATATTGAATTCTCCACTTGCAACATTATTAGCATTTGGCTCGATTTCCCTACATTCAGTTCTCAAATTTTCATTTATTTTCTTCTTCAACACACATTGCCATAAGAACGACAACACGTCCATTGTAGTTGGTTTCTTGATGCAAAGAAGGGCTCCATTTTGTAAAGCTCTTGAGGCTATGAGCGCATTGGCAGCATCGGACATTACTATGTAACAACAAAATACACGAGTATGTATGCACACATATATGTAATAAGTACGATATTCGAAATATAAGTAAGTAATTAAATATTGACAAATTTAATTATGTAAGTTACCAATGACGGGGATGCCCATGTTGGTTGCTTGCTCGACGAGCTTGAAGCCATGGAGATCGGGGGAGTTTATGTCCATCAGAATAATATCAAACTTTTGACTTCCATTCATCAGTGTAGTTATTCCAGCAGAAGCAAGTTCGACAATAGTAACTAATCAAAACAATCGAGAGTAAAAGATGTGTATATATATATGTATGCAACAAAGTTATACATTTTTATGTTAAAGATATATTTAATTAAAAATCTCACCAATTATTTAATTTAAATAAATCACACACACAAAAAAATGTATTGTGGTAATAATTACTCACTTTAATGTAAATCTTCCAAAAAGATATTCATAATCCTATCTACCTACCAAAAAATTTTACATGCCTAAAAATATTACATACCTTTTTTATTTCAATAATGTGAAAGAGGACTAATAAGTTTCTTAGCGCATTAGATCCGCAACGAATAAATCGATCATATCTAACTTTTGTCGATTATTTAATGGTAATATAAATCGCGGGAAATCAAGTTCCCATCTACGCGCGCACATAGGATACAAAATAAAACCACACCTAACTGATCTATTTCCGACTCTTTATTTGCTCGAGCAACAATAGATAATACAAACACAATAATAAGCAAGAATCAAATCTATGAACAAACATAAACAATCGATAATCAAGATATATATATATATATATAAGTTGATTTGAATGATTAAATATTATCATAAAATAAATAAATAAATAAATATACCTCTATATTGGCATAATTCAAGCATATTGGCAGTGCTAAGAAGTTCTTCAGGCTCATGATCCACAACCATCACATGAATTTGTTCCATCAATGTCAGGTAAGAATCAGAAGACGACGGTGAACCCATTTTATTTTTACCTTTATCAATTCAAAAATCCATAAGAAATAGTTATTTTTGTGACAAGAAATTAATTAAAATCAATGAAAACAAATAAATAAATAATTGGTAATTAAATCCAAACAAACCTATGGCAGTATCAGCAAATAATTGGAAGGACAATGGCGATGATAATGATTATGAATGACATATATATATATTTGATGAGTTGGTGTATTTAACTATTTTGGTAAAAGTAGTTAATAATTAATTCAAGAATTAATTGTATTTGTAACGCCTGAGGTTTGGTTCACATGCACTTTTTAAATATGAAAATAGAAACAAAAATCTATATATAATAATTTTAAAATAGGATTAATAAATTAAATTATATATGATGAGTGTATGTAATCAAGAAGCCATTTTTCTAATTATTAGTATAGTTGTCTGCTTAATTTAAAATATTTCATCAAGTCATTATATTTACTTAAAAATATTATTATTTAAAGATAAAATATAAAAAAATCAAAATATGATATCATATATAGTATTAAAAAAATATATAGGATAAAAATAATAATTGCATATATACAAAACTAAAATTGCAATTTTCCTTATTACACTAATCACCAATTTTCCTTATACTGCTGCTAAGAATGAAATTTAATAAATTAACACTACACTAATAAATTAGTGTGAATTATAGCTTGCTAATAATTAAATAAGATGATTTTCCTAATCAAATTTTGGATTACTTGAGAATATAATTTCTTTATTTCAACTGAGTTATTTATTTATTTTTTTTTAAAAAAAACTCAAACATTTTATTTTCAGCTTTCCATAAAACTATACTAATAATCTTTTTTTTTTTCTATTATATTAATCTTGAAAATTAAATAGTTATTTTATTTTATTTTTTTTTTTCAAAATACTAATTAAACATATCATCGCATTATTTAATAATGAAATATAAAATGTTTTCTAATTGCCATGTTTATTTTTTTTCAAATTTGCAATCAATGTTACTTTATCTATAAAATAAAATTTCATACTATTTTTTTTTTACTTTTGTCAACTAATTAATTATTCTAGCAAAACACGTTTAGTAATTAGACAATATTGTTATGTAGATCTGATTACATTTGAAAATTTATAATAGTAAGTAGCTTAAATGAAATTAATATCATTACAATCCATCTATTCCAATTCAAAGCTGCCTTTGGTAACAATTTTCGATATTTTTGACATTTGACTTTATTTTATTTTATGTATAAAGTAATTGAACGCGTAATCATATATTTGTAATTTAAGTAAAAGTTAAAGCTATTTTGATTTTAATGTATAATTATTTTTTTCAAAAAAATATTTTAAAATAAAATAAAAAAAATATTTTGAATTGAGACTAGGGAAATATATATTTGGTAATCCAAATGATTGCACAAATTCAAACCTGAAATCACCGTAAGCATTATTTAAGAAAATAGCAGTTTGTTTAGTTCTTCCATTAATTATTGAATTATTTAAAAAATAAATTATTAAAATAATTTTATGAACAATTAGATAATGGAGCAATACAGTATTTGTTTAGATAAATTATAGGAGATGTATGGTAATATTTTATTTAAATTATTGATGTTTTAATGAATAAATTAAATATATATTATATACATATAAATATCATAATTGAAAAATGCATATAAAGTAGATAGTAAAAGAACAAAAATGTGACTTTTATTTTGAAATATGGAGAAATTTTCGTGTATTTTTATTATTATATATTATATTTTTTAAATAATATTTTTTAGAATTTCATGGATAATGCACGCTCAAATATTATTGGATCCATTTTCTTAAAAAAAAAAAAAAAAAAAAGAAGAAAAGAGTGAACACACTTGCAAGTCATTCAAAATAAAAAATAAAAACCTTAAATTACGGCCCGGCCCAACCAAATTGAGCCCGAGGCCCATTAATCATCGTCGTCTTCCTCACGACCAATCAGCAGCATCAAATTGAAGCTACAGAAAAGCACTGTAACAGCTTCATTCACTCATACAAATGGCAGTCGGCGCCGGCGCCGGCGGTCTCGTCGACCTTCCAGAGCGAGCAAAACGACACAGGCTGACCTTTCCACCATAGCCCGACGACACAGCCATTGCCGCTCTGATCTTCCCCTCTGATCTCCCAATTACTGTCGTACTTTTTCAGCAGAGCTTTAGCTCCATCAATGGTGTCCTCCCCAAAAGGCTCTCCTCTGAACCCCGCCCCTCTCATCCTCTCGCACCATTTCTCCTTCCTCTCATTCATCTCGCTGCCGTTCACCAGAACCTTCGCCGCCTCCGCCTCCATCATCCTCCTCTCATCGCTCTCCCGCCCTTTGTACGCCGCGCTCGTCGACTCCAGAAACCGCCATAGCTGCTCCACCCTCCTCGAAAACCCCGTCGGAAAATTCCCGCAGCTGTTGCAGCTGCACTCCGTATTATTCTCGCTCAAAATCACACCTTTCGGCCGGAGGGTTTTCAGAACTCGTAAGAACTCCGACCGGTCGTCCGGTGCGCCGCCGTGGTTGAGATTGTGCAGCCGGAACTGCGCGCAGACGACCAGCGCCTCGCCGGAAGTGGACCCAATGGATTCGGAGCTGAGGTCCCGGAGCTGGAAGTCTTGGAGCTTGTTAATCTGCAGGTTTATGTTCATCTCCTTAGCGAAGACCAGGAGCTTCGGGGAGAAATCATAGTTCGGAGGTCCATCAGCAAAGGGGCTATCTCCGGCGGGAGGCGCCACCACCGTCAGGCGGACCAACGGCGGCGGCCCTCCCGTCCGGCGAGTCAATTCTTCTAACAGAGTCGGCCACTGGACGCCATGGGAGACTCCGATGTCGAGAATGTGCAGATTCGTCTGCTGATTTTGCTCGTCAAGAATCTGAAGAATCGAAGTGTTGGCAACGTTGTTAGGGATTCTGAACCACGGGCTTATATCGTTAAATTTAATCAAAGAATCCCGGAAAAATTTCGCGTTGCTGGAAGAAAACGTGTTTCCGGCGGCGGCGCCGCCGCCGGAGAGGTGGTGGGTCAGCGCCTGGAGGCCGTGAAAAGCCAATCGATGGTTAGCGTCGCCGTTGAGGGAGGAGAGGTCGTGGAGGACATACAAAAAGTGCTGTACCCGCGACGGATTCCTTGCGGCGATCGCCGCGGCGCAGGGGTTGAGGAGCTGCTCCGCCCACCGGCCGCTGCCGCCGCCGCCGGACTTGGCGGCGCCTCTCTTGTTGGGCGGAGGTTTTCTGGGAGGGGTTTTGTCGTCGCATGATTTTCTTTTGTTGGAAGAATTAGTGTGAGTTGTTGCGAGGGAAACGTCCGTAGCAAAAGAATTAGCGTCGATCATAAGTTCTTGTTCAAGATTCTGCGGATAAGCCCACCACGAATTAGTGGCGGCGCCGGTGTCGACGGCGGCGGCGGCGCCGTGGTCGGCGGTGTCGTCGTCGAGGAAGAAGGTGGGAAGATATGATACGGCGGAGTCTCCGAACCAGTCGAAGAGGTGGTCCGATGGATCGTCGTCGAAATTAGACATAATAATAATAATAATAATAATAATAATAATAATAATAATGTTAGTGCAAGTATTTTGTGTGTTTTAGGATTTTGATCTTGAATTGATGTAAGAATAAGAAGAGGAGAAATTAGAAAGATGATGGTGTGTTTAATTTAAAATTTGTAATTAGTAATTTAATTGAGACAATGAGACAATGAAGAGCATATTGATATTGATGTTCAAAGCATGGGGGTGGGGGTGGGGGTGGGGGTGGGCTGTTATTTTGGAAGTTGTGGTGTTCGTTTGTGTTCGAAATATTTATTAAATAATAATAATAATAATGAGATAAAGATAATGGGTAGGGTGGGTAGAGATGGGGTTTAAGAATAAATATACAAAAAATAATACAATAGAGAGTCGTTGTGAGAAAGAGACAAAATTATTTGTCATCAGACGGCAATAGGTAAGACTTTGCCTAAGGCTATTATAATAATAATAATAATAATAATAATAATAATAATAATAATAATTGTATTGTGTCGTATTGCTGTGGTCATGCATCATGCAATTTGGTCATCGTCTAACTAATTAATTCATATCATCATCATCATCATCATCATCATCATCATCTAACCACTCATTTCATTCTAAACAAAATGCGTATGGTTCATTGTTAGATTTGGAGTTGAAAGTTAATTAAATGGAATACTATTTATTTAATTTATATTTTACTCCTTACTTCATTTTTAATTTATACAATTTTTTTTTTTTGAATTGCTATATATATATAATTCATTTTTTTTTAGCAAACGAGTAATACTCCTTCCTAATCATATGTCACAGTTTTTATTTTTATTCGTTTCATATTTTATGTCATTTTATAGTAAAAAAAGAGAAAATAAAGTTGAATAGGTATATTAGTTAATACTATCATTATATTTTTCATTGCAGCAAAAAACTAAAAAGAAAAGTCTTCTAATTGATAAATCTATTTTATTCAAAATTATTATTCTATATTTTTAAGCAATATACACACACATCATCTAGTTTGCAAAGCGAAGTTTTCATGTAAGAATAGACATTAGATATCGTATCAAAACACACACAAAAAAAAAAACATTAATAATTTATGTTTATTAAATTGTTTAAAAACACATAATAGGACAATCATACATCAATCATCCAATTTTATTATAGCATATAAGCCTTTAGAAACACTAACTCATGGAGTATAGTATCTTCCGAACAACAACATTTATTTTGTGCATTATTAAGATTATTTTTGTGGATAGAAAGAGTTGGAAATTTCACGAGTTTAGGCTTTTATCGCAATCGGAGCTCCAAGAGTATAGCTGACAACACGACCATTTAATTTTACGGCTTTAATAGGATACCTTTGAGCCCTTAAAGGCGGATTGTAATTGCATGAGTTTTGAGGTATCGTAGCCTCAACATGACAATTATCTTCAACATTATCCCGCTCTACCACCGCCACGCTAAAGACATAGACAAATAGGCCTTCATTAACAATCGAAGAAGCATTCGGATCTATTCCAGATAATGGATTTTGACACTCCAAATTAGCAGTTGCTCCCGTAATTGGAGAATATGTTCCCACTGTCGCCAAAGAAGAGTTGTAGCAATACATGCCTCCGGAAAGAGTTACGCTTCCGGACGGTAGCAATTGAGCCGATATCATCGTGAGTGTAAGTCCGAGAAATACAAAAGTAATGATAAGTGATTTGGAGAAGGTCATTTTGTTGCTTGTCATGTATAGTTATGATAATGTATTTATAATTGACGATGAAGATTGTTGTTTTTTTTAAAAGCAAATGCATGCATGTATATATATTGAGAAAATATATATGTTGAACAACAAACTAATGTTAGGTATGGCAAATCTATGTTATATTCCATGGCTATGTTCCTACAAATTTAAGTGAAGAATAATTACAATAAGAATAGGTTTGGCTTCCTCAAAATTTCCAATTGATTGCATAAATATGCTACTATATTATTATGCAAATAGCTTCTATTTTTATTTTTATTTTTATGTACTTTGAAATTGAATAACAAGTATTGTAAATGGCAACTTTGGTAATTGGTGGGACAAAATTGATTAATAATAGCAACTCTAAACACATAAGAATAATCAACAGTCTTTTTCTTGTGATGCCCTAAGATATTTTGGCCTCACAGGTTGTATTGATATATACGTTGAGGGTGCAAATCCAAGTTTCATATTGAAAAATTTGAAGAAAAAATTATTTTTATAAGGTTCATATTAATTCCACTAAGTATAAAATCTTTTGGAAGTATTCTAAAAACAAATCCGTGCAACTTCGGTTCAAAATAGACAATATTATACTAAAAGATTACACACAATTCCCAAGAAATTGAATGAAATTCTCTTATATTTTGTTCCGCAGGGGATGACCTGGTGGTGTAAAGATTAGATACCAGCGTTTCAAATTAGCTTTTTCATTTTAATTTTTCTTATATCTTATTTACCCTTAAAGTTAATTAATTCTTTCACATATATTCCGATATTTTTTTATTACACTATTTTTTTAATAATTTAGATATATTTTATTTTAATAACTTATAAATTCATATTTATAAATTTAAAATAATTATTTTTTTATATATCAATTATCTTATTTATAACTTTTTTAATAAAGATAATATAAAAATATTAATATTATTGAATCAATTATATAGTATTTTCTATCACATAATATTTTTATTAAAAATGAATATATTTATTTAAAATTATAAATTTAATTAAATATATATTAATTTAAAAATAATCTAATAATACATATGCTAATAATTTTTGTTCTTTTATATTTATACTATTTCTAATGAAAAAAAAATTAATAAGCTTGCATTAATTCTTTACAAAATATTTTTACTAAAATTTTTCTAATTTTTAAAATTAATAATAAAATTATAAAAAAGTCTATCAACCGAAAAAACTCAACTAAATATTTTGAAAATAAAATTTAAAATCTCCTTAATTGTCATTTTAAACAACTAATATCAAACCGCTATTCTACCAAACACTTTAATATAAACAGTTAATCGAATCAGCTAGTCAAACCAGCTAATCGAATCAGCTAACAACTAATAACTAATATGTATCAACTAATTGCCAAACACTCCCAAAGAGTGTGTTTGACAAACAACTTTTTGAAAAACTTTTAGTTTATTAAAAAGCTTTTAGCTGTTTGACCAGTCAAACAACTAATTTAGCTGCTTGATAAATTAGCTTTTTTAAATAACTTTTTTGGACCAAAAAAGTTAATTTCTAAAAACTAACTTAACAAGCGTTTTGAAATAGCTTTTTAAGTTTAAATTTTTTTATTCCTTATATACCCTTAAAAATTTATTATGCATTTTACACAAGTAAATATATTTTGATTATTTATTAATTATATTAGAATATTTTATTATATTATAGTTTTAGTTTTTATACATTTAAAATAATTAATTTATATATACAAATTATTTTAATTGTAAAATATATAAATTTATTAAAATCAACACAAAATATAAAATATAAATATTAATAATTTATTTTTATATACATTATATAGATTTTATTTTAAAACTAAATTAAATAAATTAAATTTATTGAAAATTATAAATATAATGAATTAATCGATAATTAACATAATAAATATATACACGAAAAACTTATTATTTTATATTTTACATTATTTTCAATAGAAAAAACTATTTATATATATTTTTCAATAAAAATATATTATTTTTTTAAATCAAACTATAATAAAAAATAAATACTATTTTATAACACTTTTATAATTTTCAAAAACTAATAAGAAAAAATTTCAAACATTCTAAACTAAAAAGAATACAATTAAATATATTAGAAAAAAATAAAATATAAATATGCTCAATTGTCATTACGTATAAACAACTAATATCAAATAGTTGTTTTACCAAATATTTTAATACAAACAACTAATCGTATCAGCTAGTTAAACCAGTTAATTGAATCAGCTAACAACTAACAACTAATTGAATCAACTAACAACTAATTGAATCAGCTAACAACTAACAACTATCAGCTAATTGCCAAATACTAAAAAAATCTCCTAAAAATGGGATTTGTGCAATGTTTAGAAAATACAAGAGAGTGAATTATGCAATTTTAAAATTATAAGAGTAAATTGTGCAATTTTTTTACACCACAGGTGAATTATAAATCATTTTGCCAAAAACATATTAATAAATCAAAAGTCTTTTTTCTTTGTATATTGAAAATATGTTTTTATCACATTAAATATTCTTAAAAATATTTACTATATAACAACATATTTAATCAAAATACTAATTTTATATTTAAGTGTAAAAAATAGTGATATTTGTATAATAATAACTAAATAATAATAATAATTTTGTAATAATATGATTATTTATGAAAATAAAACTATTATTTTAAAATAGATAAAAATGATAAAAACAGAAGTATTAAATTAGGATAAAGTATTTTTATAAATATATGTATATATATATTTTCTATCACAATTTGTTCTTTTTTTTTTATTTTTTTCCAAGTAAATAAACAAATCCAGGGCATGTTTCTTTGAGGTTTGATTTTGGTCTACACATTATTTATTGCAAATAATTTTTTGAAGATCTTTTTTAGTTTATTAAATAATTTTTAGTTGTTTGATCGGTCAAAAAGCTAATTTAGTATTTGGTAAATTTGTTTTTTGGAATTAGCTTTTTTGACTCAAAAAGCTAATTTCTGAAAAGCTAACATTTTGAAATAGTTTTTTCTGTAAAAAAAAAAAAAAAAATTATTCCTTATATGCCCTTAAAAGTTTATTATACATTTTACACAAATAAATATATTTTGATTATTTATTAAGTATATTAAAATATTTTATTATATTATAGTTTTACTTTTATAAGTTTAAAATAATTAATTTTTATATATAAATTTATTAAAATCAACATAAAATAGAAAATATAAATATTAATAATTTATTTTTATATTAAAATTATATTATATAAAGTTTATGCTAAAAATAAATTAAATAAATTAAATTTATTGAAAATTATAAATATAATAAACTAATCCATAACTAACCTAATAAATATATACATGAAAAAATTATTATTTTATATTTTACATCATTTTCAATAGAAAAAACTATTTATATATTTCAATAAAAATATATTATTTTTTAAATTTAACTATAATAAAAATAAATATTTTTATAACACTTTTACAATTTTCAATAACTAACAACAAAAATTTTTAAACATTCTAAACTCAAAAAACATAATTGAATATATTAGAAAAAAAAAATATCTTCAATTGTCATTTTATGTATAAACCGTTAATATCAAACAGTTGTTTTACCAAACATTCTGATACAAACAACTAATCGAATCAACTAGTCAAACCAGTTAATTGAATCAGCTAACAGCTATCAGTTAATTGAATCAAATAACAGATAAAACCTATCGGCCAATTGCCAAACACGCCCCTAATATATTATAATTTAAAAAAATATTTTTCATTCAAAATATCAAATAACATAGCGTTTATGTTATATTAAATATTATTTCAATTCATTTTTGTTTTTAACTATTTCTAAATTTTAAATTCAAACCCTTAATGTTTATTATGCATTTAACATAAAATTGAATGCAATTTGCAGAATAATAGCATATCTATGGAATTAATTGGAAATTGTGAGAAAACCAAACCTATTCCTATCATATATATTTATTCTTCACTTAAATTTGTAGTAACATAGCTAGCCATGGAAGATAAGATTGATTTACCATACCTAGCAATATTAGTTCTATACTTTTTTCTCAATATATATACATATCTACATGCACTTGAATTTTATAGCACCAAACTTCATTATCAACAATAAATACATCATCACAACCATATACGACAATCAACAAAATGATCTTTTCCAAATCACTTGTCGTTTTTCTTGTATTTTTCGGGCTTACCCTTACAATGATATCGGCTCAATTACTACCTAGAAATATAACCCTTACACTTACAGGCGGCATCTTTTGCTACAATTCTTCTTTGGCTACGGTGGAAACATACTCTCCAATTATTGACGCAACTGTTGATTTCAAATGCGAAAATTCAAATCCAGAGATAGATTTAGATAATATTTTGGATAGTTTGGAAATTGTGCGGGCAGCCATCAATAGAGAGATATTTTACTTTATCATGATGGTGGCTGTGTTTGGAAGAGATGATCACAACATTGAAGATAATTGTCATATTGACGCGACTTTACCTCCAAATTCATGCAATTACGATCCTTCTTTAAAGATCCAAAGGTACCCTATTAAGGCCATAAAATCAAATGGTCGTGTTGTCAGCTATGTTCTTGGAGCTCCAATTGCTATAAGAGCCTAAACTTATGAGATTAGAATCTTTTCCTTTCAATGTCTATGTTCGATCTTGTTTATGGATTATGTTTATCCCAATAATATGAATAATGTACAATAATAAAGGGTTATTATGAAAATACTATCTTTTATTGATCAAGTACTTGGGGGTGTGTTTGTCTGAGGGTTTGGATTTTGAGTTGAGATTTGAATAGTAAAAATTTTGAATTTGAATAATTGTATGATGTGATATAAATAGGTATTGATGTGATGTTTTGAACGTAAAATTGATTTTTAGTATAATATAAAAAATAGGTGTTTGATTTGATATTTTTTGGAGGAAAAAATTAGATGAATAATGTATTTAAAATCCAATCCCCAAACAAACACACCCAGCTGCCTACAACATATATTTTATCATAAAATTGGATGATTGATATATATATATATATGATTGTCATATCATATATTCTAAATCCAATAAATGTGAATTATTGATATATATTTCATTCTTGAAATGCTTTGAAGTAATAACTAATGTCCATTTGCAAGAAGGATAACTCAATTCAAATATATAAACTAATTTGTAATTTTTTTGTAAAATGTTATAGGATCAATACTATTGAAATATTAATGTTTAAATAGTATTGGGCTTATTAATATTATTGAAATACTATCGAAATAGGATCAATACTATTGAAATATTAATATTTTATTTTTATTTATTTTTAAAAAAATGAATTCACCTAATGTTTTAACAATTGAGAAATCAACACTTGGATGTCCTTTAATTCTAAACATAGATAGGTCATGTTAGCCATATTTTAACCTAAACTTTTATCCAACAATGATATTCACAGTTGTTTATAATCCCTTTTTCCAATTGTTAAAACATTGAGGTTTATATTTTTATAAAATATTAATGTTTAAATAGTATTGGGCTTGTTATTAAATTAGTTTGGATTGTTAAAATATGCTTACATTTGTGAGATTGCAAAATGAATTGAGTTATCCTTCTTGCAAAAGGAAATTAATTATTTATATCAAAGCATTTCAATAATATAATATGGCCGCGCCGTAAAAATTCAGTATCCTGCTGACAACATTCGTGTGTTAATAGACAATTAGCGATATTACTACATACATTATATTATATATATATCAATATAATACAAATACATTACATAAATTAACAACACATACTATAGTTAATTTTAGCATATGATATACTTTTATACAAAACACGTTATAAGTATAAACAACACCACATATCTTTATTTTACACAACACGTATAACATGTACTATTTAAGACAAACAAATGATGTTTGTACCATTTATCGGTGCTAATTGAGAAAATTAACACTGTGCTAATTTCTTACTTTCTCAAATCAGCACTGTAATCGCTCTCCTAATTTAGAATATATATCTATCAATAGTCGACGTTTCTCAAATTTTAGAGTATATGAGAGGACAATACAATTATACATAATCATGTGTGTTTGTTTGGGGGTTTGGATTTTGAATTGAGATTTGAATAATAAAAATTTTGAATTTGAATGGTTGTATGATTTGATATAAATAGGTGTTGATGTGATGTTTTGAATGTAAAATTGATTTTTAATATAATATAAAAAATAAAAAATAGGTGTTTGGTTTGATGTTTTTGAAAAAAAAAATTTGGATGAATAGTATAAATCTAATCCAATCCCCCAAACAAAGACACCTATTAGTCCGTTCTTACGCGTGTTGCCTGATCCGTACCCATATTTACAGCACACGTCCGGTTTCAAGTTCAAATAAATGCATTATTATTATATTTTTATTATCTGATCATTATATATTTTTAATTACGACAACACATTTAATACATATAATAAACTAATAACGTATTGTATTTAATTAAAAAGTAAGCTTACATCGTCCACCACTGCCAGATTAGGCGCCATTGCTTAACAATAAAATATTCTTTGGGTGTATTATATGCAAAATTTTACTATTTATCCTATTTTTTTTTTTCAAAAATATCAAATCAGACATATATTTTTTATTTTTTATATTATACTAAAAATCAATCTTACATTCAAAACATCACATCAACACCTATATCACATCATATAACTATTCAAATTCAAAATTTTTACTATTCAAATCCCAAATCAAAATCCAAACCCCAAACAAACACACCCTTTATTTAGATCGTCGTTTCCGTTGCCTAACAACCAAAAAAACCCTTTATTTAGATCACCGTCGCCAACAAGGAATCTCGCCTTCGTCATCCACCGCCGGCGGTGGTGTCACCCCCACATACCTAGGTTGTTCCCCCCGCCTAGAGTTTGGACGACAGGAGATTTTGGACATTTTGTCTCTCATGCTCGGCCAGTTCGTTTATTTAAAAATCTCAAACTCGCAGCACGAACACAACCGTATTAGAGGAACACAACATAGAACTTGGGCGTGCCTAAGCCCCGGTACTATTCTGTTTTTGAACACGGCCGTGTTAAGAACAATACGACCGTGTTCTTTACATTTAATTTGAAACGTAAAATTGATTTGAGTTTTTATATAAATAGTATTTTTATATGATAATTTTTGAAAGAAAATAATGTATTTTTATTAAAAATTGTATAATATAAATAATTTTAATTTCAATTTATTTATTTTTTTTAAAAAACGGATATTACAATATCTTTAATAAATGGTAAAATGAACTAAATTAAATAAAAACAAACTACATCTAATTAGATAATTCAAATTTATTTTGGGTTTGTTTGTTGGTGATTCTTTTTAAATATTTATAAAAATGTATATATATATATTTTAAAAAAAAATTACATTGAAATTATTATTGAAATATTTTCTTAAAAAAAAAAAAACATTCAAAAACCAAATATCCCATTTCTACATTATTATTTACTTTTAATCATCTTAAATATAGAAGTTTCTAATGTTAGCAAGATATCCAATGCCAATACAATATTGATTAAAATTGTGTTTATATTTTTACTATTTTCTTTCATTCAATATGTTTAATAGCATATGCAAGAAGTTTATTCAAAATATATATATATATATATATACACATATATTACCTAGTTCGCAAAGCGAATTGTTAATAGACATTATTATTGTATCAAAACACCCCAAAAATAAAACATACATTAATAATTTATATTTATTAAATTATTTAAAAACATATAATAGAACAATCATACATCGATCAATCATCCAATTTTATTATAGCATATATGCTTCTAAGCCCTTAGAAGTACTAACCCATGGAGGATAGAACCTTCGGGATAACATTTATTTTTGTGCATTATTAACATTATTGGAATAAGCACAAAATACATAGGTAAGATAGAATATAGATAGCCCAATGGGAGAGTTGTAAGTTCACGAGTTTAGGCTTTTATCGCAATCGGAGCCCCAAGAGTATAGCTGACCACACGACCATTTGATTTAACAGGCTTAATAGGATACCTTTGAGCCCTTAAAGGAGGATTGTAGTTGCATGAGTTTGGAGGCATAGTAGCCTCAACATGACAATTATCTTCAAAATTATCCTGCTCTACCACCGCCACGCTTAAGGCGTAGACAAATTGGCCTTCATTAAGGAACAAAGAAGCGCTCGAACCTGCGTTTGGGATTGGATTTTGACAATCCAAATTAACAGTTGCTCCCGTAATTGGAGAATATGTTCCCGCTGTCGCCAAAGAAGAGTTGTAGCAATACACGCCTCCGGAAAGAGTTACACTTCCGGACGGTAGCAATTGAGCGGATATCATCGTGAGACTAAGTCCGACGAATACAAATGAAATGATAAGTGATTTGGAGAAGGTCATTTCGTTGATTGTCATGTATAATTACGATGATGTATTTCTAGTTCACGATGAAGAATGTTGTTTTTTTTAAAAGCAAATGCATGTATATATATATTGAGAAAATATGTTGAATGACATACTATCTAAACTAATGTTAGGTATGGCAAATCTATGTTATATTCCATGGCTATGTTCCTACAAATTTAAGTGGATAATAATTACAATAAGAATAGGTTTGGCTTCCTCAAAATTTCCAATTGATTGCATAAATATGCTACTATATTATTATGCAAATAGCTTCTATTTTTATTTTTATTTTTATGTACTTTGAAATTGAATAACAAGTATTGTAAATGGCAACTTTGGTAATTGGTGGGACAAAATTATTAATAATAGCAACTCTAAACACATAAGAATAATCAAGACTCTTTTTCTTGTGATGCCCTTAGAATGTAGATATTTATATTCATATATTGTTTTCTTGGTAAATTACATGAGAAGTTTATTTTAAATATATAAATTGCTAAAATATATTAGTATATAATCATATGTATTTTTATTTAGTCACATATGTTAAATATTTATCAACTCTTGCATTGAATATAATATTCATTTGCTGGTATGTAGTATCCTTTCTGTGAGATGTAGAGAATCATATCGGTAATATGAAAATTAATATTTTGTGTCGAATGTTAGTTTTTTTTTTTTATGAGTCAATAGCATGACAGAATCTATAAAAGCATATTTAATATCAATTAGAGACTAAATTTCAAAACAAAATTTTATTACTCCCTCCGTTCCACCGAATTGGTCTCTTTTCTTTTGGTACAAAGTTTAAAAAACATTGTATTAGATGATTAATTAGTTTGATTAATTTATATAATATTGTTGTTTTAATTACTTTTATTTAATGATATATTAAAAGAAAAAAAATTCTGCTGAATATTTTATATTTTGAAATTAATTTCTTTTTTTAAAAAAATATTGTATAATCAATAAAACAGTAATAATGTAAAAATAAATTAATTTTATTAATCTAAATACAATTAACAATAAAACATAATGTGACTATAAAACTTTTTATTTTAATAATATTTTATATAAAATTATTCCAAAAAAATAAATACCAAAAATAAAACTTAAAACTGAATTTAGTTATTGATAATGATAAATATGATATATGAGTTATGAATTTATTTATTCTCACAAAATCTTAATAACAGTTTTTAATAATATTCTTTCCATTAATCAAATTGAATCTCATTTTTTTTAAAAAAATATGCATAATACTTTATTTTTCTTACAAAATAATACAATTAAATCTTTTAATAATATTTTTAAAATTCTCACTAACAAATAATAATAATAATAAAAAAATCCCAAACACTAAAAAGTATGCAATTTTTGTTTTATTGTTTTTTTTAAAAAATAAAATATAAGTGCTAATACAAAATATTAAATCAAACACACTAATACAAAATATTTGATATGCTTTATGATTAACATCAACATAATCTATATTTTCTAGAAACTTATCAAAATTTAACAATTTAACAAAAAATTATTTTTATATTGTCAACACTCTTCTAATAGAAAATATAAAAAAATATCTCAAATTAAAATTACAAACAAATATTCTCTTCGCCCCTCCTTAATATATACATCTTTCTAATTTTATTCGTCCCGGTTAACGTATACATTTTTCTTTTTAATAACTATAGATTCAATTTTTATTTCAAATACCTCTATTTTACTATTACATCGTTACTTTTAGACCAAAAAGACAAAGATAATATTTTCAACTATTCACTATAATTAAAATATTACTTCCCCGTCATCCAATTGTGTGCTCATTTGACCAGACACGAGTTTTAAGAAAAATAGATAAAAATAAAAAATTTTACTTTTTTGTGTAAAGAAAAAATAGTAAAAATGATAACTTTTTACTAAAAATAAACGATAAGAAATTTGGATGACAACAAAAAAATAAAAGTGATAATAAAATTAGATGACGGAATGAGGACGTATTATATTATATTTTAAATTTTGCACCAAAAGTAAACATACATTACAATGCGGATAAGAGGGAGTATATTTTTATTTTTTATATAATATTAAAAATAATTTAATATATAAAAACATCACATCAACAATACTTATTTATATCACATTAAAATATAAAATTTTATTATACAAAAATTCAAACTAACTCTAAAGTGTATGACCAAATAAAATATAAAGTTATATTCTATTAAATTATTAATTGGTTAATTATTGATTTATTAGAAAATGAGACTAATTTGGCGGCAGAACTAAAAAATGAAAAATGAAGCAATTTTGCTGGGACGGAGTAAGTATTAAACACAAAAATTAAATTAAGAACTAAAAATATATATATATATATTTTGTCCTAAGTAGGAAGTGATTTAGGAAATAAAAACATCTTTATCCAAATTATTATTTTTATTAAATAATTTATATATTAAAATTAGGTTTTATTTTTTGTTTTTTTGTTTTTTTTTAAAAAAATAAACAACACACTACACGCGGCGAGGGAATCGGTGGATCTCCAACCCCAACCCCAACGCGTCTCTCGTGTTCCTGCTCTTGCTCCGATTCTCTCTACATCCAATTTCATCACCTCTGGTAAATTTCTAACGTGTTCCTGCTCTTGGAGCTGAATGTGAATGTGATAAAAATTACTTGCTCTATCTCTGCTTTTTTAATTCAATTCAGGGAGGAATTGGAGAATTTGAAATTTGTTGGGGAATCGGCGTTTTTTCTTCTAGAGTTTGCGGAGAAGGCCGCGTTTCGCTACTGGCATGAGGGACGGGAATGGAAGGCAACTCAATTTAGTTCAAGGTAAAGGACATGGTCGAATTCGAGAGATTGTGTACTCTAATTTTAATTCTCCTTCTCCTGTATTACAACCATGGGAATTCAGTATCGAATTTTAGGGTTTCGGTCATCGATCCCTAAACCGAGCTTAGATAAGGGGTTTTCTGGTAGTAGAAGGGAAATAATGGAGCTTAGCCCTCTTGCTTCAATTAATCTAAATTCATCCGATTCTAATTCAATGGTGCTCCTGATGTATTTGATAGTATTGCGGCTTTTGTAGGGACTGGAGCCGGGCTCAACAGTGTGCTCGGAGGAGCAGTTTTTGTTACTTGCATCGTTGTTGGGGCTGTTTCATACACAATTTTTTATTTTTCATGTAAAAAAATACTTTTAATCAAATTATATCACAAAACAACAAAACAAACCCAATCTAATTTGCAAATTATTAAAAATTTACCAAAAACATCACTAGAAGACTGCAATTAAAAAAAACACAAGACCATATATATTCAAATGCATGCATTCACAAGAGCAATCAAAGAAACAAACAAACAAACAAAGATATTCAAATAACATAATTTTTTATCACAAAACATCATATCAAAATATTATTTAAATTAAAATTCAAATAAAAAAACTCAAACTCAAATCAAAACCAAACAAACTCACTATCATCAAAGAAATCATCAAAACCAAGAATTACCGAATTCTAGAAATATAAGAAGAAACCATCAAAAGCCAAGGAGTAGCGAATTCTAGAAATATGCGAAGACACAAGACCTCGGAAACAAGAGAAATAGTCGAGTCGAACATGATGACACGAACTAGAATAGCCGGGGCAAAACAAGGTTGTAAAGACACATTTCCAATGCATATAGACCAACTATGTCCAAAATCCATATTGAAGAAGGGAAGGGAGTAAGGTCACCTTTTCTTAAATCCATTTTTCTTGCTGCGTTGGTAGAACAGATCGGTTCTCGCGCTTGCTAGATTGACAATTTTCGGGATTCTTTTCTTGCAGTAGTAGTAAGCATCAGAAATCCCAACTCCTTGCTGAGTGCACTCGGGAGCCTGCGCAGTCGAAAGAAGAAACTTAAACCTTCAAGAATTAAAAGTGAAGAAGAATCAGAAATGAAAGAAATGAAGCACTTGACCTCTACCTCGTGGGTCGCCCTGTCCTGTAAGCAGTCGCCATGCCCATGCCCCACCCCCACCTCTTCGTAATCCCGTCCCCCACCCCCTGCCTTGCCCTGCCCTGCCCTGCTCCAAGACCAACTCCTATCCCATTGCATTGCAGCCCCCCACAATCAATAATATTTATAATGTATGGTTAACGGCTACTTATCTAATTTAAATCTAATAACGGTTACTTACCTTATTTAACTTTTTTTAAAATTTATTTAAAAACTTACCTTATTTAAACTTTTTTAAAAAACATATTTAAAAACTTTCCTTATTTAAACCTTTTTTAAAATTTATTTAAAAACTTACCTTATTTAAGTTTTTTTAAAAATTTATTTAAAAATTTACCTTATTTAAATTTCACATTTTATCATTGTACCCTCTTATTTAATTAAAACATAATTTCATTTTTTTAATATTATATGTATATATATATATTTATATTTAAATTATATTATATTGGTTATATAAAAATATAATATTTTATTTGAATATACTGCTATAATTACATATATTTATTTATAATTATTAATTTTTTTATATTTAATTATATTACTAATGATACTTTAAATAGATTAATAATTTAAATTTATTTGTCTGGTGTATTAATTTTGTATTTTTAGTTTAAAGTATTCTTTTTATATTATATATGAAAAATAGTGTCGGTAGTGTAAAAAAATACCCCTTCCGTCCCAGCTAATTTGTCAATTTTAGCTAGGGGCACGAAGTTTTAGGTACGATGTAATTAGTAATTAATTAAGAAATATATTAGTAAAAATAATCATGGTATAATAAAAATAATTATAGATTAAGATTAAAATGACTGAATAATTAACTAAAATAAAAAAATTATGGATTATAAATTTTAAAATATGATTAAAGTGTATAATTATATTTCAAAAAAAAAAAAGATTCGTGAACCAAACGACCCTTATATCAATTATGTGTGTATAAATGTTAGCCACACATGTATCTATATCTATCCATATATTTGTCTATTTATATATCGACTTACAAATTCAGAGATAACCAACCTTCTATTTTCATCAGCTTCGATCTTTAGCCGTTCTTAATAATTACTTCTCTGCAAAAATTACAAATTAAAAAAATACTTTTCTGTCACTATATATATATAATGGTGGATGAATATGATCCTCAGGTGCGTCACCAACAGGCCAATTATCCTCGAACATTATGTCAATGGATTCCCCAAAGAATCAGGCGCCGGCGAGGCTATCTTGCTAAAGAATCTCCACTTGTCTTGTTCATTTATGATTTTTTAAATATTTTAATTATGTATACACCTATGTATAGTATAAGTTTAAATACTAGTAATAGTAAAAAGGAAAACTGAAGAAAAAAATCGAAGAAAATGAAAAGAAAAAAGTTAAAAAAAAAAAAAAAAGGAGGGGAGAGGGCGGCCGGTTACGTTTTTTCTTTTTTATTGGTAATAATTCTTCATCTTTCTTATGAAGTGATGCTTCCCATTTACCTTTGCCTTTGGCGTTCGTCTTCCTCCTCATCTTCACTTTGACCTTCGTCTTTCTCTTCTCGCCGCGCGTGGCCTCATTCTCCAGCCGCAGTCCGAACTATCGAACCTCCGAGATTCTCAAGCCGGACGTGATCGGAGGCCTCGAGAACGTCAAGCGAGAGCTCCAAGAGGTACCGTATTATCACTACCCCCTCGCCGTGCCGTTTAACTTATCGATTTCGTAAATTAATCTCTTATATATACACCATGTTTATTGTAAAGACGGTTCAATACCCCGTGGAGCATCCCGAAAAGTTCGGCATGTCTCCGTCGAAAGGAGTTCTCTTTTACCACCCTCCTGGCTGCGGAAAGACTCTCTTAGCCAATGAATGCCAAGCCAACTTCATCAGCGTAAAGGGTCCCGAGCTTCTCACGATGTGGTTCGGAGAGAGCGAGCGAATGTCTGGGAGATCTTCCAAAAGGCGCACCAATCCGCTCCATGCGTGCTGTTCTTCGACGATTTGGATTCGATCGTGTCCTCAACCAGCTTCTTACGGAAATGGACGCTAAGAAAACGGTTTTCATCATCGGCGCGACCAACCGCCCCGATATAATCGATCCAGCCCCAGCCGTCTCGACCAACCCATTTACATCCCGCTACCCGACGAGGAGTCGCGTTACCAAATCTTCAAGCCTTAATCCCCCGTTTCGAAGGACATCGATCTCAGACTCAGAGCCCTCGCCAAGTACACCCAAGGCTTCAGTTGAAAGAAACGAGTAGCTCTCGAATTAAGCTCGATTCGGATCGTTCACAGCTCGACTCGTTTATAGAATTAAACGAGCTGAGTGGGCAACTCAATTTAACTTGTAGTATATAAATATTTATATCAAAGTTTTCATTTATTAATAAAATTATTATAGTAGAATATGAAATTCGAGTCGAATTTGAATAACAGATACTTAGCTCCTCGCTCGATTTGTTTAACGGCTCTGCAAGTTGTTACATACATATATAAGTGTGTGTCTTTGGCAGGACATAGAACGAGAGAAGAACCTGCAGGAGAATCCGGAGGCAATGGAGGAAGGCGACAACACCGAAGACGAGGTGGCCGAGATCACGCCTTCTCATTTCCAAGAGTCAATGAAATACGAGCGAAGGAGCATAAGCAATGCGGACATACGCAAGTACGAAGCGTTCGCACAGACATTGCAACAGTCGAGAGGATTCCGCTCGGAATCCCAATTTTCCGACAATTCCGCCGCCGCTTGATCCGATCCTTTTGCAATTTCCGGCAGCGCCGACGTTGACAACGAAAATCTGTACATCTGCACCACCCTTGCTCTCTAATTTCTCAGTTTAAAAGAGCTCTTTATTTAAAGGTCATAGATATTTATATTCATAGATGAATTTTTTACATTTTGATGATATATCTTTGTTTGGTTTTTAAATTTTACTCCCTCCGTCCCATCTACACTGTAGACACGGTATTTTAGGAGGGGTGTAATTAGTAGATAATTAAGAATATATTAGTAAAAATAATTATAAATTAAAATTAAGATAACTAATTAGTTTAATTAAAATTAAAAAAATAAATTAAAAAGTTTAAAATGAGATTAAAGTGTGTAATCATTTTTCAAAAAAAAAAAAAATGATATGGAATGTGGGACGGATAGAAACGGCAACGTGGACATGGTACGTGAGACAGAGGGAGTATTTTTCAATATATTGGCGTAATTGATAACTAGAATGGATGGTTTATTATGTTCCTTTGATATATAATATTCTTTTATACCAATTCAAAATATTATTTAATTTATTTTATAATAACCGAATAATACTATAAAATATAGTGGTGGGATCCACAAATTATTTATATAAAGAAAATGGAAAATTTGAGAAAATTCCACATTATTGCATTCTAAATCACACCCCAAAATATATATATATATATATATATGATTTGTTTGTGTGATGAATGAATGAATGATTAATCTTGAATTTATTTTGTATGGAATTTGGGTTTAGGAATGATTGAAAATAGATTGTTAATGAAAATGCGTGGAACATTGGTTGCTGAAAATTTTATTTTATAAATTATTTTAGGCTCATTTTATATAATTAATTTATTTTTTTTGCTAGATAGCATTTTTGCCTTTCATCTTATATTATTTTATTTTATGTTTTTCCTTTTGTCTTTTTAATTAGTTAATTTTTTTTGATTTGTTGTGATGATTGGGAATATATATCTGTCGATGTTACAAAGGCACAAATGTGATAATTAGAATTAAGTCCCCCACTAAGACAAACATGGATTTCTATCATCATTAAATCTTGTATATTGAACATTATAATTTGTTGCCATTTTAGATTAATTACATACATCATCACAAATGGGATTATATTAATTAGTAATCAGCATGTAAATTTAGATTGTAATTAAGCACATGATTATGATTTGAAGTATAAAGATATATATATATATATCTATAAGCGTGTATATTTTTATTTGTTTAACATAAATAAACTCAAATATTTTTATACTTAGATTAAAAAATAATATAGTATTATTGCTGCACACTAAAAATCGGCTTATGATTTCGGCCAAAAGCCACCGAATTGTCCAATTCCGGTTAAACATATTTTGACAGCGCCAAACTTTTGATTAATTGGCCAACGATTGAAAAATCGACCATCAATGCCGATTATTGAGAATGGACGAAATTTGGATGGTTTTTAAATGAGCAAAATCATTGCATAACTATCCTTATGATTTCATGATCGAAATTTACTCATTTTCAACCGTTCAATTAGTTGTCTTTAAGACAACAATAACAAATTTAAGTTTATACTTAAATTACTATTTTGATTTTATGCATAATTTGTTTTTATGTATTTTTGTAATAATTTTATTTTCAGGCTATAAAAATCAAATTTAAGTTTATACTTAAATTACTATTTTGTTGTTAGATTTTGGCATATAAAAATTATATTAGTGAGTTTATTAAATCAAGAGTTAAGAAGAGTGTACTGTGGTGGTAAATAATAGTAAAAGTACATTAATAAAATAAAAATCATATATATAAGATTATAAATAGAAAATAAAAACGGAGAACATAATTTAAAGACAACATATATATTCACAACTCAACTGAAGTAGCACTAACAAGTTACTGCTGTAATTAAATTAAATTAAACAAAACTTTTAACTACCCACCCAATTGCATTAACTAATTAATTAATTAATTACAGGATTAGGGATGGATTAACGGTAATCCTATTCGACTATTCCTACCCAAATGGGTCGGGTCGGGTCGTCTCATAAACGGGTAATTCTATTCGACCATTCCTTCCCAAATGGGTCGGGTCGTCTCATAAACGGGTAATTCCTCCATTCCGATGCCGGAAAGGTTCTCCAGTTCGAACAGATCGGAACTTCCACAGCTTCCGGCGTCATCTTCTTCAGCTTCGTCGTCGTCGCCATGGAAGATGTGATTTGTGGTTTGCGGTTTTCTCACCCGATCAATTTCATACTCGAATTGATTTTTCCGGTGGTAGCTTCTCAGAAGGTCTCTGGCGGCCGCCTCCACTCGCCGGCTTTTCTTCATTGCTTCCGCCATCAGCTCTTCCCTGATCATGGCAGCGGCGGTGGTGGTGGTGGTAGGGAGATTGAAATTTAATGTCTGGTTGCGTTCACACGGCCGGCGGGAATCATCGCTGTCGTCGACGATGACGCTCACCGGAGAAAACCTGACGGACCTTTTTCCGGCGGTGGACGATTTTGATTTTCCTCGAGAAGACGACGGCGTTTTGCTGAGACACGATCGCGAGAACGACGACGCCGACGAACAAGTCGACGCGTTCGCAGATTTCGCCGCCGACGAAGAATCCGGCGACTTATTATGCTTCGCCGGATTATTCCCTCCGGCGAAGAGCGAGTTCAGGAATCCGGCGAGGCGGCCGCCGGGAGACACCGGCTGCTGCTTCACTTTCTTCAAATCGCTGTACAATTTCAGCGCTCGTGATTTCGTCTTCATAAACGATCCTCCTCCCGCCGGAATATTCTTCTCCGTTCCCTCTCCGCCGTACCGCCGGCAGTTACTCTCCAAATTCCCGCCGCCTCTCTCCTTCCCCGCCCCAGAACCGCCGGTCCGAACCGGCTTCGGCCTCTGAACCTCCTTCTCCACTGCGAAAACTCCGGTTCGAACCAGTTTCGGCCGCTGGACGGCGGCGGGGAAAGCGGATTCAGCGTCGGAGGAGGAGAAGAAGCCATAACCGCCGCTGCCGCTAGAATCAGAGGAGCTGGAGCTGGAATTAAGCTCCTTCCTCCAGAACTTGTCCGTTTCCAAATTATCGGCGGCGGCGGCGTTCTTCCGATTCCGAACATCGACCTTCTCGGAAACCTTCTTCTCCATCCACTTCTCGATCATACACGCTCGCCGGAAATTCGCCATTTCCTCGTGATCAGTCGTCCTGCCGCCATAGTTGTGCTTCATATTCTTCGTGGTATTTCTATCCTCCTCCTCCGCCGCCGCCTCGTCTTCCCCCAAATCAATCGACCGGTAAATCGCGTCCAGCAAGGACGACGAGAACGACGGATTACTCGATGACCTAAAGCACGAAATCGATTGCTGCGCCTGGAAATCCACCATAGCTGCTTCTGCTGCTGCTGCCTGTATATATATTATATATAATAGAAAGAGAGAGACAAAAAGAGTAGCGACGGTGCAGGTGGAAGAAATTGAAAGGGAAATTGTCTGGGCGAGGGAGGGGCAAAAGCTGCAAATAAGAAGCTGGAGAAGGTTTGGTATGAATGGAGGCAAACAAAATGATGAGAAAGAAGACACTACAGTGGATTGGGATTGGGATTGGGAATGGAAATGGGAATGGGAAGGTGAGCAGCCATAGCCATGAGCAATCAAAGCTTGGAAGCACGCTTGCCTGCTGCTGCTTCACTGTCTTAATGCCAGAAAAAAGGTGCCCTTTATTTATATTGGATTTCTGCACTCTTGTTTCTATTTATATACATATATTTTTTATTTTTAACTTGATTAATAGTAATTTAAAAAAAAAAATAAAAATAACGCATTGATTGTTTATTTTTATTTTTAATTTCACATTAAGAAGTATTTACTTTATTTTTTATTTTTTTTTAAAAAAAAGAATTTAAAATAATATTTTTAAAAAATATTATAGTTATGAATAGTATAACCATTCTACTCATAATTTGATACATTAATTTTTATAGTACTATAATTTATATTTAAATTAGTATAGAAAAATGTACATTTACTTTTATTCTGTCAAGATTTAGATTTTATCTACAAATGGAGGGTGTGTTATATACCATTTACATTGCACATTCAATGAACCAAACGTAATATATATTTTTTTATTTTACACAATTTTTTAATAAAAAAATTGTATCAAAATATTATTTAAATAAAAAAATTAAATAAATATTTTATTTCATATTAATTTCAAACCACATTCAAATAAACAGATTTTTTTTTTAAAAAAAAAATCAAATTAAATATTGAGTATGCTTTTTTTGTGGTTTTTAATTTGAATTTTTTTAATATTGAGTATATGAAATACCTATCAATACTATATAATAAAAAAATAATAATATTTTATATTAAATTATTGATTTTTAAAAATAGATAGATTATATATTATATTTTTTTAATAATATTAATTAGACAATATAGATATATATATATATATATATTTTATTAGGTGAATACACCCAGGATAAAATTGAAGCGAAGATTTCCGGGTTTTAAATATAATTTAAAATAAGTACATAATAAAGTTTGGACCTTACATGGAGTGAATTTACTCATCATCATGTATCGAAATATAATATAAAATTCTTTATACCAATTTAAAATTATTTACAGAATTACCTTTTTATAGCTTAGGAAAAGAAGATAGAAATTAGTGTGGGCATATGTACATGCACGTGTACTAAAAAGTTACGATGACAATACCTTACTTGGAGCAATAAAATATTTATTTATTAAATAAATATATATACACGCACAAACTTTAGGAGTGATAATAATAAATTATTATATAGATAACTAGATATGCATGTAAACATTTTTAAATGCAAGTAACCAGTGGGGCAAAAGGAATAAATAAATTTATTTATTTTTAATGTAACTGTGGAGTGATAATAATCATAACACAAAGTATGGTTGCACTCGTGGGCTCTGAAACACACTTTTACTTTGAGGGTTTGGATGTGATACAAAGTTAAGAGGATATATTCTAAGGGAAGAAAGTTCAATCAAGATTTGATTTTGATTGAATTAAAGGAAGAAAATAATACATATAAATATATGTATATAAAAGAAAAGCTTAGGGTATGATTTAAGAAAAGTGATAAGAATGTTCACTAATTAAAACTTGTATAAGTGTGATGGTGACTTAAGTGCATAAAAGAAGCATCTTTTTTTTGTCAATACAAGAAATCATTGATTCTACAAACCTATTAACTAATTAATATTACTGTTACTATTGCAAGACATGCATTTATTCACAATACCCTGATGAAAATGGCACAAAATCAAGAAAGCTCATGAGGAATAGAAGTCCCAATCCAAGAATAAATGATGAATTTATTTAGTTAAATACAATAGAAAAATAAAAGACAAATCTTTTGTACATGCAAGATTTGCAATCAAGATTTCAAAGACTAATTAGAGGCACTATCTAAAGATTCCATTCACATCAATACAAGAAGCCGCCTTCCCACAAGCACATGTATTTTTCACTAAAAGAAAATTTGAAACATTTTAAATTCCACTCCAAAAATGCAAAACAAGAGTGAGAGAGAGAGAGAGAAACATTATAGTGGGAAGATGATGTTTGGTGAAGTGGACATGATGAAGAATTAAGAACAGAAGAAGAAAGTTGTTCAATCTTGTCAGTGCTCATACAAGTTTTCTCTCTCTCTCTCTCTGTTATGATCCCACTATCCTCCTCATTAACAATAGCAAGGCCAAGAAGTATAAACCCTAAACACCACAGTACCTAACCTCCATTCCCTGTATGTTTTTGTGATTACAGATGGTGTCAGGACACATCTTGATCATGGAGGACTTAACAACACCTAAGAGTCTGTGTGTGTGTGTGTTGTGTGTCCTGTTAAGTTGTCAAATTAAGTGGGGGCCAAGAAAATGGAAACAGGACAAGTACTCAGTGCAATAATACACATATTTTCAAAAAAAATAAAAAAAAGAAAGAAAAGTCTATGCAGTCTGGTCTGGACTGGAGCTGGACCCCTGCCTGAGTTCTGCAAGTTCACCTACTTGACTTGAATCAAAAGCATGTGTTCAAGTACTTGATTTCATAATGCCAGACCTATTCTTGCTGTTAATAATGGCCAAAATGAAGCTATTATACATATCTACATAGTTAGTTCAGTTACTACATCAAAAACAGCAATGGGGTTTGGGTTGGGGTGGGTGGGCTATCATTAGTGGAATGCCAAATGGAAAAACAAGAGTGGTTGAGTGCTTTAATTCAAGTTAAAGACAAGTGTGGGGAAAGAAAGAAAGGACAGTCACTAAAAGAGGATGTGTTTGGCAATCCTAAGAAACAAGAACTCAGATCAGAGAATGATGGATGGATCATCCCCAACCTAATACAGCCAAACAAAAGACACCCTAACCTAAGCTTTATCTTTTTTGTTTATTAGTTTTTTGGTTCTTACAAAAGGGGAGCCAAACAATGGACAAATCCCAAGTTTCCCCCACTGCACTAACTAAGGGCTTTTCAGGGGAACCAACAAAGAATTAAAGGGCAAAAAGTGGCAGGCAATAGAAGAGTCCAATCCTGAAAGGGAAGTAAAGGGAATCAAGAAACCTGGTGGGAGTGAGTGATCCAAGGCCCAAGCATTTGATTTGATTTGTAGGGCTATTTCTTTACTTATTTGTTTGTCTTTTGATAAAGCAATCTAAAGAAAGATATGTCCATACTTTGCTATTCCCAACTTCTCTTTACCCTTTACTTTTTCTTCACCCTTCACTGTCTATATTAAGTTATGCTGTCCAAACTTCCTACACTTTGAGACTCTTTCTTGTGATGAGCTCTTCAATTCAAGTGCTTTGTCATTCTACACCTCACTATTTAGTATTTAGGATCATATTCATTTCTAGATAAGAATTAAAGAGGTTATTGTGTTATGCAATGTAATATATGCATGTACTTTCATGAAAAATTCTTCTACCCTACACAACCTTAGAAAAAAAATAGGACTCCTGCTCCATTCTGGCATTGTAACTAGTAATATATATATATATACACATATTGCCCTGAAATGATTCACAAATCTACCAAAATATGCATCTTGATAGCAGGCATAGACAAATGGAAAGAAGTAGTTCAATTGGGATCAGATCCTATATGGATTATTTGATTTGCAAGAGCTTATTTAATGGCTAGATGTTTGATTATCTTTATCTAGGGAAATAGAATTAATGTGAATTTAGAATTTCCTATCCCATGCCTGTTTTTGGTGAAACAATAATGTGATAGAGTTATAATATTTTGCAAAAAGGTTTCAAAAGATTTTCAGAACCAAGGCGATGAGATTATCAAACAACGAAATTAAGGTGTAAAATGCACCTTAAAAGATTTGGATGATGATGATAATGTAATTTAACACACCATAGTTTGCAGTCACTTGACAAACACTTCACAAATGATTTCGATCCTCTGCTCAGAGACCATGCTGTATAAAGAGATGATGATGAATTTAGGTTCACAGGTACTGCTGTTGTATCCGAGCTTTGTTTTCATCCCACCACGACCGTGCTTGCATTTCACCAAATCTTTCGCGACTGCATTAGTGTTTTCTTAACCAGAGTTAGTGTTTAGTTACATATTGGATGATGGTATATGTATATGGATAGAAAAAGAAAACACCACACCTGAATCGCACTCTCCTAAGCTCCCGAGCACCACTTGGCAAGGATCTGATTGTGATGTAGACTCCAGGCTCGTCTTGCTCAACCCATTCACTCTCTCCATCGCTAGCATTGCTCACTGAAAGTTCTCCAGAGTGGTCTATGCCCCTTGACGAAGAGCTTGATCGTGCTGAACCATCAACGAATGATGCCTCAGCTTTCGCAGCATTGGCATAGGAGGGCTCGGAAGTTGAACTGAGGCCAACCGAGCAATGATGGTGGCAAGGCTGCAATGGATGGCGCTTGATTGAGTCTAAGGATGAGTCTCCAATTCCAGTAGGGCAACAGCTGCCATGGTTCCAATGCTCTGTATTCAATGGAGGCGTTGTGGCACAATCCTCAGTTGATTCAAGCTTTGAGTTCTGGGGAAAAAAATCAACAGAAATTACCACTTGGAAAAAGCTCAAATGATAGCAATTCTCATTGCCACATCAATGGCTTCGACCTTAGTATTTAAACATACACAATGGATAGAAACATGATCCGATAATTTCTTGCAGGTTCAAAGTTAAGCATACCTCGCCTTCAGAATGGGGCGGGGTGGGAAGAGGCACTGCAGGGTGATTAAATCTCTGGACATTGTATAGTTCCATAACTCTGTCATGGTTCTCAGCCCACCACTGTTGAGCTTGCCACTTGTTAAAGACCTCTCGGCTGTAAACACAATCCGGCAAAATTTGAAGCCAAGACTCGTATAACAAAGCAGAAACATGGAAGAATTTGGAAATAAAGCATTATAGTTTTACACCAACTTAAAGGAAGTATTATGTGAAGTTATATGGTAATGAAATTTCTTTTGTTGTGCATTTGGCAGTCCATCGGTTCATTTACACAATAACTATAAGATAAATCCAATTTCAATCTAGTATAATAGTCCATCTAGCTCTAAAAGGAACAAGCCCATAGATCCAGAATCATATATGATGTTTCAAGCAGTAAAATTTGGAATAACATCCCACAAACAACCTAAAAAAAAGTCACCATCCTCAGATATTTTTCACTGACTTCCTGGCCCCCAGGATGCACAATTATTGTCTGATATCATTGGCCTAATTGTTGGCCCTGAAAAGATCCCAATCATTCATTGCCGTATTACAACTTTTCCATTCCCGGACATGACACAAAAAATGATGCTACTCTACAACAGCCTCACATGTCCTCCATGAATGTCAGACTTTTCAGAGAAGCCTTTCTTCTGAAACCAATTCAAGTTCAGCGCTTTGCTTTTATCAATCCGATCAAGACTAATTAATTTATTGAGGCATGTAACTTAACAAGTAAGGTTCTTAAAGTTGAGCACAAAAAGCTAATCATTACGCAAACTCAATAGTATAATAATAATAATAATAATAATAATTTTGTTAAAAGGGGTAAAAATAGCAAAAGCAAAATGACGGCTAGGAGTTCGGAAAGAAGAAAAGGGAAGATGATTGATTTTCTTTAACAAAGGTATTTCTCCAAATCCCTGAAACCAACTAATGGAAACCCATCTCCATCCCCTTCCAAAGTATCTTCCATTCTGATTTGTTTCATGTGGACATTGTAATAACACCCAAGAAACCAATTCTTGATCAGCCCCACCACTTTTCACAGGGGCCACCTTTATTCCATAATTTGTGGGGGTAAATGCAACCTAGTGTGGATAGATTCTCATGCTCCATCCCATCCAACAACATCACTATACAGTTGAGAAAAAACACACCAGGAAAACGACCTGCCAACCCCAATTTCTAGAACCCAAATCAACCCTTGACTACTCAAACAAATCACACCTTTCAGGTTTCAGATCAAAAGGCACATTGAAAGTACACATCTATCTCTTCATCTACATTGCACTCACGAAGAACGATAAAATTGCAGAGCAAAATTGAAATCCAATGAAAATTAGTTGAAAACAGTGACTGTAAACCGCAAGTGGTTACCTGAAACGAATCCTCTTCAGATCATTCCCACCTTTTGGCATTGAAACGAATGTAATCAACACCCCAGGCTCAACCTGCGCTACCCATTCCTTCGGCTCGTCTTCTTCCATAAACAAAATCGACTCAGTCCTACCGCTGATCGAAGCAGGGGTGGATGATCCACTGGAAAACGCCTTCAGCTTCGCGGTTCCCATTTCCTTCTTCGGTGTAGAGGTGCCTGTCCTTCTGTACGGCCCGAAGAACCTCTCGGAAACTGAGGCAGCGTCTGAGTCCAAGTAGTCTCCGCCTCGATTCTGCCGCGACGAACACGAACACGATTTGCAGGTCTTACAGGCACCGGAGGCCTTCACTGCTATGTCCTTGATCTGAAACCACGGCAACCGCTAGGGCTAACCGACTCGAGAATATGAATATGGAATTGAGATTTTACCTGCGAAGTTAGGGCTTTAATAGCTTGCTTGGTGGACGGAGTGGCGCCATTCTCATCGTCCTCCGTCGGCTCGCGCAGAGATCCGGCGGTGTTGAGCTTCGGGCATGCTATGCAAGTTAACATTCTACTAACCAAGCTCGAACAGAGAAGAATTAACAGCTTAGAAACTCGGAATCAGAACTGAAAAAATCACCAAACAAAGAGATATAATACAGATTCGGAAAACGAAGCGACGATTCATTCACGAAGAATTCGAGAGAATGTATAGCGGCGGAAGAGACGAAACCATGCGTGCGTGTGTGCGTGCATGTGTATATGTGTATGCACACTAAATAGTTGCCCGAATCGAGAGAGACGAGAGTGATGGAGGTTGCGTCAATGGCGGAATCATGGAGTACAAAACAAAACACAGGTTCTAGACTCAGAAAGCTGCAGAAAGGAATCAAGAAAAAGCCATTGATTATTCTGCACCAATTATTCAGAGCAAGCAGAATCGAATCTCACATCTTCCTCTCCCCGATCTCGGGTCTGAATCTGATTGGTGATTAAATGAGGAGCATAATGATGAGGAAAGAAGCTGTTAAGATTTTTTGGGTTCTCGATGCCCATTGCCTGCTTGCTGCTGCTGCTACTTCGCAGGGACGACAATAAAATACACAGACCTGTATGCATACATGATACATACAGAGTTAAGGCCTTGTTTGAATGTCAATTCCAAATTTCAGATTTATTTTTTATTTTTTAACTAATACACAAAAATATCAAATATAGAAGAGAAAACATAATAAGATGGATCCTATGGCTGAATCCAATAAAAACCTTTCACTTTAAGTACTCCCTCCCTCTCTCCGTCCAATAACAAAGTTTCAATTTTTTATAGCGAGAAATAATGTAACAATCCAATAATGACATTTTATATTTCCTAAAAATACTATTTTCCTTTTTTTACTGTAAAAATTATTATACATTGATATATTCTCCTTTCCAATTACATTTTATATTTATATCACTCTAAATGAACCATGTGTAACAGGTAACATAAGGATTACCTCGCGGTCACAAATCTATCCCATACACCGTCAAGTTATCTCTTACATTTGGAACATAGAAATAGAGATATAAAAATAGAAATATTTTGTTTCTTATCTTATTTGATTAAGGCATAGATAAACAAAATTGAAAAAGTATTGTTTATTTATTTATATTTTTTACATTTAATTTTTATGATTTAACTTGTGTTTATTTATTTATTTTATTTATCTTATTATTATTTAATTTTTACTTCCTCTGTCCCAAAAGAAATGTCTTGTTGGAAGTTGTCACACGAATTAAGGAATAATAGTATTTAATTGAAAGTATGTATAAAATATGATGTAAAGGACTATAATGCCTTTGTTTTTTTAAAGATTTTAAAAAATATATTAGAGTAATAATTAGAGATAGTTTGGAAAAGTAGAAATAATTTTTTTATAAAGTGGGGACCGCAGTTAATAAATAAAGAAACAAGACAATTGTTTTAGTATAGACGAAAATGGAAAAACATGACAATTCTTTTGGGACAGAGGGAATATGATATTTTACATTCAGATTTCGTAGAATATTATATCTAAATTATTTTTAAAATAAATTATCAAACTAAAAAATAAAATTATATATTTTTCTGATCCAATTTATTAATTTTTAGTGATGAGTTAATTTTTTTCAATTAGCAAAATAGTGTATTTTCTTTGTGTGCTGTATTTTTTTCTCATATCTGTTTTAGCAAACAAAATAATCATTTTTCATTCTTTATTGAATTTATTCTCTACAATTCTTTTTTTTTTTCTCTTTCTTTTTTTTTTTTTTTTGTCATTTCAATTCTTTGTAGCAAACCCAATAAGTTCGAGAAAATGTTTATAAACTTTGCCATTAATAGGTCGGTTTACTTAAGATATCTATAGATACATATATATATATATTTATTTATTTATTTTCAAAAACACTTGCCAGCTAAAATTTGTTTTTGTCATTAAATTGCTAATTATATTGTGAGCTCAAGAAGTGACTCGTGTGCTTATAATTCTACTATTATAATTCACTTTATAGTACAATTTTGAATTTATTTAATTTATATATATATATATATATATATGTCGGCATGCTTGAATTATAAACAACGGTAATAATAACAGTGGCAGATTGAATTGAATTCCACCTGCCACTATTTATTAATTACATCTCATTAATTGAATTCAATGTAATTATTGTATGACCAAATATTATAAGCTGCATTAAAAATTTTGAACGTATTTGATTTTTTATTTTTATTTTTATTTTTTGATCTAAAAAATAATTGGATAATAATCTTGACGTGGCCTTAGTAAATTGGAACTAATTAATAAAAATAATAATTATTGTAATTTTAAAATGAAAATAAGCTTTTTGGTAGCGTATAAAATATTGTGTTTATTAAGTGTATAAATTAATTGTCTTATCTTAGTGTATAAAATAATTGTCGCCTTTAATTAACTTAATTTATTAACACTATTAATTAAAAAATAGTACTGATTAATAATTTTATTTTTACAACTGATTAATCGTTCAACCGTAAAGCACGTTGCCACGTCATCCATAGTTATATAACTACCCGTTCGAGGGCCCACCGGCCTCCACCGCCGGTCAGTTCACGATGCCGATTTCCTCCGCCGTCGCCGCCATTGCTACCTCAGAGCGGGAAAAGCGATACAGGCGAAAATAGCATGATAAATACTAGGAGCAGCTGCAGCAGCTAGGTAACACGTACATCCAGACGACGTATAGATCGTGGATTAACGCCTCCTGTTCTGTGTGGTCGATACGATTCCCGAAATTTCCATTTGCGGATCGTTCAATTGATTTCTCAGTGCAGTGCAGACGCATCGAGGATGTCGAATTTGAGAAGGAGATGGGCCAGCAGAGACAAACCGACGACGACGACGCCGGATCCAGAGGAGAAAAAGCCCACGCACACGTTGAAACCGGCGGCGAAGCAGCGGAAACGATTCTCCTGTCAATCCTGCGTGAATACCTGCTTTTGGTTCATCGGCTGCATATGCGTCATGTGGTGGTTGCTTTTGTTTGCGTACAATTTGTTGCCTTCTTCCATTCCGCAATACGTGACGGAGGTGATCGCCGGACCGATGCCCGACCCGCCGGGAGTGAAGCTCAAGAAAGAAGGCTTGCTCGTCAAGCATCCGGTGGTTTTCGTGCCGGGGATTGTGACCGGAGGGCTGGAGCTCTGGGAAGGACATGAATGTACGGAAGGTTTGTTCAGGAAAAGACTGTGGGGAGGCACATTTGGGGAAGTTTACAGGAGGTAAAACATATGACACCTTCTTCTCCATAATAATCTCTTAATTTAGCTGAAAAACTACATCCACCGATAATGGACCTCTTCCTGTTGCTTTGTTGTTGATCATTTCCTCAGTTCAATAGCTTTTTGTGCATTTGTATGAGCTTTTGTTACATTGATAATGGATCTCTTCCTGTTGCTTTGTCTGTTGATGCTTTTCTCCGTTCAATGGCTTTTTTTGGGCGCATTTCTATAATCTTTTGTTGCATTGATGATTAGTATCTTCCTGTTGCTCTATTGTTAATAATTTGTCTCAGTTCAGTAGCTTTTTTGTGCATTTATATGAGCTTTTGGTACACTGATAATGGATCTCTTCTTCCTGCTGTGTAGTCGTTGATGACTTTCTTAGTTCAATAGCATTTGGTGTGCATTTATATGAGCTTTTGTTACACTGATAAAGGATTTCTTTTTCTTGCTGCGTAGTCGTTGATGACTTTTTTAGTTCAATAGCATTTAGTGTGCATTTATATGAGCTTTTGTTACACTGATAATGGATCTCTTCTTCTTCCTGCTGCTGTCATTGATGATTTTCTTAGCTCAATAGCATTTAGTATGAGTTTATATAAGCTTTTGTTACACTGATAATCGATCTCTTCTTCCTGGTGCTTAGTCGTTGATGATTTTCTTATTTCAATAGAGTGCGCATTTATATGAGCTTGTGATACACTGATAATCGATCTCTTCTTCCTGCTGCTTAGCCGTTGATTATTTTCTTAGTTCAATAGCATTTAGTGTGCATTTGTATGAGCTTCTGTTACACTGATAATGAATCTCTTCTTCCTGCTGCTTTGTTGTTGATGATTTTGTCTCAGTTCAATTCCCTTTTGTGCATTTGTAAGAGGGTTTGTTTCATTTTGTCTTTCTTTGTAGACCTTTATGTTGGTTGGAACATATGTCTTTGGACAACCAAACTGGTTTGGATCCTCCTGGTGTTAGAGTTAGGCCTGTCACTGGTCTTGTTGCTGCAGATTACTTTGCTCCTGGATATTTTGTCTGGGCAGTTCTAATAGCCAACCTCGCCCAGATCGGATACGAGGAGAAAAACATGTACATGGCTGCCTACGATTGGAGGCTTTCCTTCCAGAACACAGAAGTACTGCACCTTTCACATATACACCAATCCTGTATACATTCATAATCCTGTTTTGTATTGGTTTAAGCCGTTGTGTTCTAATAGCATATTTCTTCGAAAGGTGCGCGACCAAACAATGAGCAGAATGAAAAGCAAGATCGAGCTGATGGTCGCGACAAATGGTGGCAACAAGGCTGTGATCACAGCCCATTCAATGGGCGTTCTGTACTTCTTACATTTTATGAAATGGGTAGAAGCCCCTGCGCCGATGGGGGGAGGGGGTGGATCAGACTGGTGTGCTAAACATATAAAGGCTGTGATGAACATCGGCGGACCATTTTTAGGCGTCCCCAAAGCCGCCTCCGGGCTTTTCTCTGCAGAAGCAAGGGATGTTGCTGTTGCAAGGTATGCGCATTGGAAAATAGTCAGATGAATCGATGACAATTACAGCTTCTATGATCTTGCATTCATAGCCTGTGTGTATCCAGGGGCATTGCAGCTGGTGTTCTTGATAAGGATTTGTTCCACATCCAAACTCTACAGCATATAATGCAGATGACAAGAACATGGGATTCCACAATGTCGATGATCCCTAAAGGAGGCGAAACCATTTGGGGCGACCTCGACTGGTCGCCAGAGGAAGACTACGCTCCTAGCAGAAAAAAACATTACTTTGCATATGATGACAAGTCCAACCACACAGAAACTGAACCTCTAAAAAAAGCAAAAAGATATTATGGAAGAATCATATCATTTGGAAGAGATGCTGCAGAGGCAGACTCTGCAGAGATTCAAAGGACTGAGTTTAGAGTAAGAGTTTAATGCACTTCAATTTTGTGATCTTGAATCAATTTTTTTGTGAAAATGCAATTTAATTTGTGATCTGAATTCAATGATTTTGTGACAATGTAGGGTGCTGTGAAGGGCAACAGGGTCATAAACTACACTTGCTACGGTGTATGGACAGAGTACCATGAGATGGGGATCAGTGGCATCGCGGCCATAGCCGAATACAAAGTGTACACCGCCGGAGATATAATGGATCTGCTGCGATTCGTGGCGCCAAAAATGATGGAGCGCGGCAGCGCTCATTTTTCCTATGGGATAGCCGAGGATTTGGACGATCCCAAGTACTCGCACTACAAATATTGGTCGAATCCATTGGAAACCAGGTGAGAATCCAACAAAGAAACTAACGACACAATACATGATATATACTCATACAACACATCTTATAAATATGAACATACATGACATATGCTATTTGCTAGTTATTCATATGCTGACCGAGGAAATCAGTATGGAGTTGATTTTTCTCAATCAGTATGATAACCATTTCCGAGCTAGATGAGTTATAAACATTGTGAAGATGAACTATGGTTTTTTTTTTTTTTTTTCGCAGGCTACCGAGTGCTCCGGAGATGGAGATCTTCTCCATGTACGGCATAGGCATCCCGACGGAGCGAGCTTACATCTACCAGCAAAATCTTGTAGTTTCAGAATGCAACATTCCATTTCAGTTCAACACATCAGTTTACGAAGACGACGAAGACAGGTGCATAAAAGCCGGCGTCATCACAGTGGATGGCGATGAAACGGTGCCTGTCATAAGCGCAGGCTTCATGAATGCCAAGGGCTGGCGCGGCAAGACGAGATTCAATCCTTCGGGTATGAAAACATACATTCGTGAGTACAAGCACGCCCCTCCGGCGAATCTTCTAGAAGGGCGGGGCACGCAGAGCGGCGCACATGTTGATATACTCGGAAACTTTGCGCTGATTGAGGACATTATGAGAGTTGCTGCAGGTGCCACCGGAGAAGAACTGGGAGGCGACACTGTGTACTCGGACATCTTCGAATGGTCGAAAAACATCGATTTAGCTCTATAACTTAGCTTGTATAGGTGTATCAACATAGACATAGACATACATATATGCTTGTAAGTAATTAGACACAAGGTATCAGTTTTGAGCATGGCCTAACATTCTGCTGAATACAAACATCATCTTAGAAGAACAAATTTGAAAGGAACCTCACCTCACAACTGTCTTTGAAATGAGAATACAATGTAATGTATGATTTATTTAAGCAGAGTAATTTTCATAATAAATATATATATATATATATAATGTTCACATATTAACACAATCGTTCATAAAAAAAAAAAAAAAAAAAAAAAACTTCGAATAAAAAAAACTTCAAATACAAATAAAAAAAATCATTACGAAAAAAGTCAAATATTCAATCTAAATATATTTGATATTTGTTTACACAATTTTGTGTACCACACACCAATCATTTCATCTAAATACGCTAGGTGAACGAAATAATATTATATTTTACCCACTCTCAGGGATTGAAACAAGCCCCGAGAGCTTGGTTCTAGCGAATAGAGAAGCATTTCAAGCTGAGTATGTAGCAGCAACTAACCGTGCCTGCTAATGACTCAAAGGTTTACTTGAAGATTTGAATGAAAAATAAGAAAATAAGATTGAAGTTATGTGTCATAATAAAGCATATAAATATAAAATGTCATTACTGAAGAGATTTGGTTAATCGAGAGGAATTGAAGTTGGTATTCTGCTGCACTAAGGATCAGTTGTTGACATAATGACGAAGTCAATCAAGTTGGAAGATTTTTGCGGGTTGTGGGCATTGTTGGGTGTGAAGCTTGTGCAGCGTGTGTATGATATGACAGTTGGGTCTTTGGAGTCTATTTTGAATCTTGAATAAGTATTAGGGTCGATCTTATTTTTCCTCCTTGTTTCTAGTTGTTAGTTATTGAGTTGGATTCGTGTGTATTTCTATGTATGGCTACTTGCTTCTTGAATAAAATTATCACATTTATATTGTGATTATTTTCATTAAAAAAAAATAACATATTTGTAATGAAAACCAAAGACGATGACTTGCTTATGTGAACTTTAGACATTAAATTTAATAAGTTATATTTCTAATATTATCAGTGACAGAAAAAATAGATTTAAGAATGAAAAAGTTTAGTCACAAAAATACAATTTTCTTGTAATGTTTTGTTACGACTTGCTTGACTATGAATTACGAGGACAAAGGAAAAGAAAAGGCAATCATACTTAAAAAGATTATTATTGTTCTTCTTGATTCATTCATTGATTCATCAATATGTGTTCTTACATATTCGTTTGCACTTCCTCAGACACAAAGAGTGTGCTTGTTTGTAGGTTTTAATTTTTTTGTTTGAATTTTTGAAAAGTACAAAGCTAAATTTGAATAATTGTTTCACTTGATATGTATATTTCGAATATAAAATAAATTTGTAATATTAATATAAAAAAAATAATTTTTTTTTATATGATATATTTTTTAGAAAAAAAATAATTAAAATTATAAAAAACATACTGTAAAATCCACAAAAGAACACAACCAAAATAGTGAACATAGTCACATAGACATAATATGTTGTATGTTACATCATGTAATATTAGGCCTTGCTCTTAAACTTCCTTTGCGCCTTCAGATCGACCACAACAATCGAGATATTATCCTCCCTACCTCTCTGAAAAGCGAGGTTGGCCAAATACTCAGCAGCTTCTTGTGCAGCCGGGTCGACCGCTTGGCCCCTCTGCCCATTTGATTTAGTCCCGTTCTTCTTGTGCCATACCAGGAGCCGTTTACGTGCAACCTCGCACGCCTCCTCATTTGTCAGCACATCCCACAACCCGTCACTGGCCATCACGAGGCACTCGTCCTCTCTACTTCGGTCCATAATCATCACTTCGGGTTCGGGAATTATCCATGGCTTCAAGCACCAGTCACCTTAGCAAATTCGAAAGTTTCAGCTCATATATATATATATATATGTATGTAATGGCCTAAAATGGATGATAGACTTACCAATGGATCTTGAAATTGCCAGAATACCGAAAACACGATGCCCGATGACTATGCCGCCGGAGGACTCGATCCGAGCATTTTCATCCTCACGGTTTGGCTGCCAAGCACACGAGAACAAATTAACAAACTTAAAACAAAAAAATCCGCAGCTGTGAACGACTTACCTTGTGATCGACAGAAAGTGGGATGGCTTCTTTACCACGATAAAGGACAGCCCTCGAATCCCCACAGTTGGCGACTATAATATGCGATGAGCAAAGCACTGCAACTACTGCAGTCGATCCAACGGTTTCAGGGGCGACAGGTCCGAAGGTGCTAGTAGACGTTATCCTACAGGCCTTCCCTCCAACTTCGTCGTCGACTGTTGTGAAGCACCTCTTGAAGACCTCCTCCCATTGTGCCTTCCAACTCTCCATGTCGTTCCCATTCACCTGAAAATCCTCAATCACATTCCTTAGCTCGTCTGCAAGAGCTAAGTGAACGCGTTCTCCGCAGTATTTCGCAACCTAAAAAAATGAAACGCCACCGAGAATGTAGTATTAAAAATTAAGTTAGCTTCGCATAAGTCGTCAATGTAGAAATTTACAAACCTGATCCCCACCGTGACCGTCGTACACCCCAAAGAAATGGGAAGTCAGGTGGCTCAATGTCTCGCCTACACCGTCTGTTCCATGGTCGCCGATTAACATTTTGCTTGGGATTTTCATGAAGTGAGGCTCGGCGGTGACAACATCTTCCATCTCAGGCCGGAGTCCGCAAACAGAGACGGTACCCCATCGAGGTAGGCAGTCCGATTCAAAGACCTTCTTCATTGGTGTCTTGTTCGATTCAGGATTTGCCATGGAACACGATCGAAGTCGAACCAGAATTATATTGTTAGCTTGTTGATTCTGTCGAATGGTTTCCAAGTATCTTCACGTTAATGCTAAGCGTTTTCAGTTTAAAGTAGAAGACTAATAATTAATTTTGGGAGATTACTAAAATATGACAGTAATGTAACTACATATATATAAGTTATATCTTATCCAATAGTTGTTAATTATTTTAGATTTTTTTTAAAAGATTCTATCCTATCAAATCTATATTTGTTAAATCATAACCAACTAAAATTCTCTCTTGCCCCTAAATCACATTGAATTTATAACCATACTCACATCCCCACTTTATAAATAGTCTTTCATAAATATTTGATAAATATGGATAATAGCAAAAAAAAAAAAAGACTGACGAAGGAAGTAAGAAAGGATAGGAAAAATTCAAGATCTTGACTGAATGAGAGATGGAGATGGTGTTGAGATATTTTAGATATTTGATTTAGTAGATTAAAATTAGTATTATATTTGTTTCTTAATTTAGGTAGTGTTAATTAAAATTTTCTTTATAGCGTATATAATTTTAACTATGATCGTTATACCATAATTAGAAGACGGCGCCGTTGTTGCCATAGAAGTATTCCGTTTCGTGCCAAATCGCATACTTCTTTGTTCATTAGGATATCCCACAAGCCGTCGCTACTGTCGTTGTTCTTGGCCTGGGGAATAATCATTACTTCCGGATCTGGGATGATCCATGGTTCCCGATGGATCTAGACATTGCAAGAACTCCAAACACGAGATCCTTGTTCCATTGGATCACCTTGCCTCATACGGCTTCATTTCTCGCGTATTCATCATCTCGATGATATGTGGTATAAATTCACAACTGTAGTATCAGAGGCCATTGATCATCCATCCTCTGGATGATACGTGATATAAATTTACAACTGTCGTATCAGAGGCGATGGATCATCCCCGTTCCGATAGTGATGATCATTCTTTGGACCAAGGACAATCACTGTCTGATTCTTGCTGGCGACGGCTTAGTGGGGTGTCTTAACGAACGAAGAGTATGCGATTTGCCACGAAAGCGAATACTTCGATGGCACAAGAATAACGACCCTGTCAGGGACGCCTATGCTGGAAGCTCGAACAAATAAATTGGGAATCATCGGAGCCGCCGGAGAAACGTTGTTCATTGCTCGCCGGAGGAAGAAGCTGCCGCCGTCGACAGCTGAGTTGTAATCTGTCTGAAATTTTTAATTGATTTTTTTTCACCCAAAGAAAACATAATCCGTGAGGTGCAATTTGGAAGACTCGTAATAGTCTTTTGATTTCAATTTGTTTTCTTTTCAATTCAATTAAGGGCCTGTTTTCTTTGTTGTTCGAAGTTTAATTTCCAGAAATGCATTGCTTGTTAATCTATAATTTTTAGTTTCTATTAAGTTATTATTGATTTGACTTCTGTTTAAATTTGTTTCAGCTAGTTAAAACTTGTATTTGTTTACGAAGTTTGTTCCATAAACCCATGAATTATAAATTCACAATAGCTTTTCAAAATCATAATTTAGAAATAGTATTCAAACAACTAAATTTCTTAGATCATAGGAATGATTTTCTCCATAGGTTTAGCTTTTGAAAGAAGAAGACTTCTAATAGGATTTTTTTTTTTCTTTTTTCTAGATTGAATAGCATTTTAAAGAAATTAGTCATTTTTTTTAAAGACATATAAAAACTAGGAATGTTTAGCGGGGCGGGTTCGGGACGGATTCTGCAGGTTCTGAGACCCGTCCTGCTAGAAAATATTAGGCTCCGAGACCCGCCCCGCTTCGCTTCCACCCGGCTCCAGGACCCGCACCGCCCCGAACCCTTCGGATTCATGGCCAACCCGGCAAACCCGTTTTTTTAAAAAAATATATAATAATAAATATTTTTTTAACAATCGAATACTAAAACAAATAGCATTAAAAGAAAAAAAAATCTAAAAATAATCAAATATTGATCCATAAAAATAAGATAAATAAATAAATAATATATTTTTATTATATAAATATAAATATATTAGGTATAATAATTTTAAAAAATTATTTGGAGCAGGCGACTAATTGAATTTTATATTTAAAATTATTTAAGTAAATAAATAATATATTTTTATTATATAAATGTACATATATATTAATTATAATAATTTTAAAAAATATGCGGGTTCGGGTTGGAACGAATATTTAGTAAAACCTGTAACCCGCCCCGAAACCGGCCGGGTTTAAAATTTTAAATCCACAACCCGCCCCAAAACATATTATTTAGACCCGAACCCGCCACATTAAGAGCGGGTCCGGGGCTAACCCGCCCCATTTTGACATACCTAATAAAAACACAAAGTCTTATGTTAAGTATAAATGAGCTAACAAATCCCACAAATTTATGTTCGACTATAAACATATTACTAATTATCTATATAATTAAAAGTAAAACTAATCAAAATAAATATGGCCTGATGTTCGATAGCTGAAAATCTTTGTTAATTTTTTTACCAAAAAAATAATTTATCTTTTTTCATTTTCTAAATCCTTATCTTAAAATTAATAATAGTTTTGTATAATAAAATTTTATTATCTACTTTCAATATATATTTTTTAAAAACTAATTAGTACTTTTATATAATAGAATTTTACTACTACAATAACTATACTTTCCAAAAGTTTATCCAAAATAAATAATAATTTTCCATTATAAAATTTTATTACTATAAGTATTTTTTTTATAATTTTAAAATTTTGAAAAATATTTACAATATTTATACTTTTCACTAAATGACTAAATTGAAAAGGTTCTAGAGTTGTATTTTTATTTTTTATCACAATATATAGAGTATTTTTGCATGGCCAAGTCATTTATTACTGTTTTATCAATTTTTTTCCTTTTCGAAAAGAAAAGATAATAATTTAAATAGAATTGTATAAACCAATTCTAGTTTATAATTAACTTTGAAATTTGTTTAATTTTTATTTAAATAATAATTGGACAATAATAATAATAATAATTTTGAAAGATTACTTTCAAAATTTGTTCCTCTGAAATGATGTCATATACAGCCGAACTATAGCTATGTTCAAAACTGATTACTTGTGTAGGATTTTTAAAATATTTTAGTTAGTGTGTAGGATTTATTAAAAACTTTTATTTTTAGTTATTGAAAATTAAGTAGGATTTTTTAATATTAGTGTGTAGGATTTTTTAAAAATATTTTAATATTAGTTATTGAAAATTTTCTTAAAATATTTGTTTTTATTTTTAAATTTCTATAAAATGGTATATATTTTAACTAAAAAATTAGAAATATTGTAAAATGTAGAATAACAAATCATTGGCATAGATTAATTTTTAATTATTTTTTTTTCGATTACTTTATAATTTTAAAGATATTTATTCTAATATATTTATTTTTAATAAAAAAATTTACATTTTATAAAAGAACAAATCATTAGTATACTAGATTTCATTCACTCTTACCCAGCTCAAGCTCAAATTGGAGACAGCTTCATGAACCAAAATTCCTATCAAAATTAATGTTCGGCTACTTCGTTTTCCCATTTCATTTCTTTGGAGTGTACGACGGTCACAGGTTCTTAAATTTTTTTATATTGACGATTTACGCCTACGCATCGGAGGCTAACTTAATTTTAACTACATTATCGGTAGTGTAGTGTTCCATTTTTTTAGGTTGCAAAATACTGCAGAGAGCTCGTTCACTTAGCTTTGGTAAAGTAGACGAGTTAAAAAAATGTTAAAGATGCTCAGGTGAACGAGAATGCGACACCATAGCTTTTTAATGAAGAAGTTGGAGGGTATGCCTCATTTCCAAAATAGATTACCTTATGTCTACTGGCATCTCCGAACTTGTAACCCGTAGACTACAGTGGTTTGTTGATCACATATTATAGGCCCCAAGTGGGGATTTGAGGGCTGTCCTCTATCATGGTAATTGATCACAAAGTAAGTCGTTTACGGCTATGGATTTTTTCATATTTTTTTCTGAACTAAATAATGCATTTTTGTTTTAAGTGTGCTCGGCGGCCAAACTGTGAAGACAGGATGGATGTGCTCGGATCAAGTCCTCCGGCGGCAAAGTCATCCAACAGAACGAGAACCGAACATGTTCTTGCAATATAAAGATCCATCGGTAGGTCGATACTCGTGGTCATCCATTTTTTAGGTTATCGCATATAAGCCGAAACTTTCCAACTTGCTAAAGTGACCAGTACTTTAAAACCGTGGATAATCTCCAACATGAAGTAATGATTGTGGCTCAAGCCAGAGAAGAAAAGTGTCTCGTGATGTCCAGGAACATCTTGTGGGACATTCGAGGCGTGAGAGGTTGCACATAAAGCACGGAGAAGCCAAGGGTCGACCAGGCTGCACAAAAAGCTGCCGAATACCTAAAAAACCTCGTTCTTCAAAATATAAAGGCGCTCGTGGTTAATTTGAAATCGTCGTCGCAAATGACATAGACAACATAATCAATCACATGACAACAATGCGATTCACACGTAGCTGTAGCTTTGGTCGCTCTGATATATGTATATGTATATATATATATATATATTACAAGAACAAAAGGGCAAAAAAACATGTAACTATACTTCAAAGATGATTGTTCTTGATTTGCTAGTTCATCCACCAATATATCTTCTATGTTACATACTTTGCACATTGTCATACACATTTTGAAGCCCATGTGAAAAAATTAATGGGAGCGACCAAAGCTAGCGAATCCATATCGTTGACACGTAATTGATTACGTTTTAAGTATTGTCATGGTTGTTCATCTGCCGTCGTTTGCGATCCTACGATTTTCTTTTAAACTTTCTCTGCGCCTTCAAATCGACAACAATAATTGAGATGTTATCCTTGCTGCCCCTCTGGAGAGCGAGGTTTGCCAAGTACTCGGCAGCTTCTTGTGCAGCCTGGTCGACCACTTGGCCTCTCTGTGCAATCGGTTTGGTCCCATTCCTCTTGTGCCATATCAAGAGCCGTTTACGTGCAACTTCGCACGCTTCCTCATTTGTTAGCACGTCCCACAACCCGTCGCTAGCCATCACAAGGCACTCGTCCTCTCTGGCTCGGGACATGATCATCACTTCGGGTTCGGGGATTACCCACGGCTTCAAGTACCGGTCACCTTAACAAGGTTCGAAAGTTTCAGTTCATATGCAATGGCCTAAAATGGATAGACTTACGTGTATCGACCTACCAATGGATCTTGACATTGCAAGAACACCAAGAACACGGTACCCGTTCCATTGAATGACTTTTCCGCCGGAGGATTCAATCCGAGCATATTCATCTTCACGGTTTGGCTGCCGAGCACACGAAGAACGGACAGACTTAAAACAAAACTGCATTAGTTTGGAAAAAATAATGAAAACATCGGCACCTGTAAACAACTTACTTTGTGATCGATAGAGAGCGAGATGGCTTCTTTACCGCGATAAAGGACAGCCCTCGAATCCCCACAATTAGCGACTATAATATGTGACGAACAAACCACTGAAACTACGGCAGTCGATCCGACAGTTTCAGGGGCGACAGGTTCGGAGGTGCTAGTAGTAGACGTACCGGAGTCTTCCTTGGAGATAATCCTACACGCCTTCCCTCCAACTTCGTTGTCGACCATCAGGAAACAACTCTTGAAGACTTCTTCCCATTGCGCCTGCCGAGTATCTACGGTGTTCCCATTCACTTGAGCATCCGTAACATTCTTTAACTCGTCTACCAAAGCTAAGTGAATGCGCTCTCCGCAGTATTTCGCAACCTAAAAAATGGAACACGACCAATAATTTAGTTAAAACTTAAGTTAGCCTCCGACTATAGAGGCATAAGTTGTCAATGTAGAGAAATTCACGCACCTGAGCCCCACCGTGACCGTCGTACACCCCAAAAAAATGGGAAGTCAGGTGGCTTAATGTCTCGCCTACTCCGTCTGTTCCATGGTCGCCAATAAACATTTTGATAGGGATTTTCATGAAGTGAGGCTCGGCCGTAACGGCATCTTCCATCTCAGGCCGGCGTCCGCAGATAGACACGGTACCCCATAGAGGTAGGCAGTCCAATTCAAAGACACTCTTAATGCTGCTGCCTTTTCCGGAATCTTTTTCACTGGACAACTTAACAGAAACAACAGACGCCTTTATCGTATGGCCGCCAGAAGATTCTTCATTCGATTTAGCAGAAGATACGGTAAGAATATCCTCAGACAAACGCCGTTTTATGCTTCTTTCCTCAAAGCTAATGACCTTTGCGACTATTTGACCATTCCCGGTGCCTTGGATTTCAACGGAAATTGGTACGCTGGTCTGGGATGCAGTATTTAAAGGCACGGTGATATCCGAGGATGAATCCAGGGGCATCAACTCTACACTACTTACCGAGCTAGGGTCCTCCCCGACTGAGAGAGTTTCATCTTCTTCACTTTCACGAGCATCATGAGCTAATTGACTGTTTTCAGTTACCCCTCTCTCAAACAGCGCATTGGTTTCAGCTTCACTCTTGTTCATTTCAGGATTAGCCATGGAACACTCAGCATCCGAACTGGAACCTGAATTGTTATCAAGCGCAACTGCCCGATCCGACAGGAAGCTTGTTGATTCTGTATCCAGTTTGAGCTGAGTAATTTCAGTTCGGTCGAAATCCCAGTATCCTCGCGTGGTGTGTTGGAAATGCTAACTGTAACAGCAACTGCAGGGGGCATCTCCTCCATCACTCCTCCCAACAGCAATGCTCGAACAAACCTCGGAAATTCTTGAAAACATGCATTCAGCTGGCGATGGGATCAATGATTCTGCAAATTTGAAATCTAACCGAAGAACTAATCAAAAGGAGAAACAGGGCAACACTGCAAGAGTTTCCACAGCAGTATTTCCAACAAGAACAAGAAACAAGATTCAGCAGTTAAGGAAAAACAGTAGGAACATATTGATGATCTTGGAATCAGATCTAGCCTTACAATTTAGAATCTAACAATCCACAATTAGAAACTTCAAGAATTTGACACCGATTGTTTCTTCCAAACAGATCAGCTCATAGAGTAACAAAATCCCATTCCCACCACCAACCCTTATATAGATACACCAAAGCAGAGGGAGAAGAAAAGGACAAAATCATAGAAACCCTTATCCACAACTCCAAGAAAGGTAACCAGCGAAAAAGAATCTAGGAAAAAGCAAAACCAAACCCCTCAAGATTCACAAGCAAACCCATAAAGATTGCTAACTTTCCGCCACATGGAAGAGTGGTTCCATGGATCTTAGGCAACCCCTCCTCAGCCCCTTGAATAAAAATGGAAAAAAATCCCCCCTCCCCCAACCTCACCTTCGTTCCAGAAACTTTGCCTAAATAATCAAGATTGACTCTTCAAGAACAAAGTCCCGATGCAATTAAATCAATTATCAAATCCCTAAAAAACATTTAACCAAAGGGGGCAGTAAAATGTTGTTCAAGAACCAATTTTTCTCAAAGTAGATCAAGAAAGGAAGCCAAGATATCTTACCAAGCATTGAGCCGAACCACAGTAGACAGGCCAAAGGTTCAAATCACGCTGCTATCTTGGTAGATTTCCCCCTTCGTTTTGGGATTGGGAGAGAGGAGGAGGGGGGAGTGTGTGGAATAGCTTTTACTAAATGTAGAGTTTCACAGGACACGTGTAGACTCAATTATCTAACTCCAATCAATGCTTCTGGGCTGCAAACGAAAACAAAAACAATAAAAAATTTGCTTATATATCTATAATAGTATATATACAGGAAAAAAGAAAAAAAAAAAAAGACACAAAATACAATAAACATTTGAGGGGTCATGGACTCTACATGGGACAGACATCAAGAAGTCCACGTGGCCTCTCCTCACAGGGGCATCTTTCCCGAGGCATAGAACAAATCCAGTGAATTTTCACTTTGGCCCCAAAAGTATCCACACATGACAATTTTGCCCATACACATTACCCAAAATTACAATAAACCCACAAACCAATTATGGCTCAAAGAGAAACTAATTAGATAGAAACGCGTAAGTAGGAATTAAGAATTTACATATATGGATGTGGGTATGGATACGTGTTGCGTTTATGTGTAATGTGATGTGGTTTCTTTAACCATTTTCGATTATCATTTGTTATGAGTGGTAGGTAACTCTGTTAGATGGTTTGATGGGATTGGCTTCATTGTCATCACTAAAGCACACAAAAATTAAAAATAAAAATAAAATTGTTAGGTCAAAAGAACATAATTTTGAGATTAGATATGGAAGAAAGGTTTGAACATGTGAGTCATCTCTCCCTAATAAGAATTTAACAAAAAAAAGCAGTGACAGATGGGAGTGGGCAGAATACCAATGCAATAACAATGATTAATCTGCATAGAAAACATATATAATACTACATTCTAATCAAAGGCACACATTATCAAGGACATGATTTTTTTTTGACAACTATTTGCCTCATGATATCTATTCATTTTTCTTCCTACATTACTGGAATTCATGTGTCCGTACTCACTGTGTCTTAAAAAAATAATTGCATCATATGCACCCCATTTGCATTACGTCAAATCCGGCAGAATAGTCAAAAGAATGATCAGAATGAGAACGTAAAATATCCTTTTCTTGGTCAAGTATCTAATCACAACTAAGACATTTCAATAACGCTGCTGCCTCCCTCTCTGATATTTTGGTCACATTATCGTAGATATGAAAATTTAGAAGAAGTATAATTAATAAATAATTAAAAATATATTAGTAAAAATAATTATTATATAATAAAAATAATTATAAATTAAAATTAAGATAATCGATTAGTATAATTAAAATATATTAATATATTTGCACGGTTTTTTAGGTAATTATTTTTTTGTTATGAATGAACAAATTTGCCCTTAAGTATATGGTAGAGATTAAAAGTAATAAATGAATGAAGCATAAAAATATAAAATTTGTGTTTAAAAAAAAAAAAGAAAATAAGACAATAGTTGTTGGATATCCCAAATAGAAAAGTAGGACATTAGTTTGTGGACGGAGGGAGTATAATTATTTTTCAAAAAAAGAAGGTGACAAAATAAGTGGGTCAAACGAAATGAAAATATGGACATGAGAAATTGGACGGAGTAATAAAATTGTAACCCCACCCAACAATTTTAGCAGTACACTCTATCATTCATTTTCAGAACTTTGTAGATGCCCACTGAGTATTATCTGAACAAGAGTGATTAGTTTTGTAGCCATGACTTGCAGCATACATAACTTCGTGCAGCATGAATCTTGTCTTCTCTTATCATTTTTTATATATAAGCGAAAACAGAGATCGAAGCAATGAAATTTTAAGCAAATTGAATAATATTGTATGTGTTAAATCTTTTGTTTATAGTAGAACTATTAGAACCTGGTGTAAATTCACAAATTATCTTGACAAATCGAGGAGCCATTCTTTCTGAAAACGGCCCGTATCCATCGCCTGAAATGAAGAGTTGGACTAAACAACATGAGTAGAAGAAGAATGGAGTCATCCAGACATAGATCGGCACAATTAAATGCCACTATTGTGCAAGAGAAGCTACCAATGTAAGAAAGGAACAACTTTGCTGTACCTTTGAAATGTCATATTTCGGAATCGATTCTCCACTTCTCTGCAGTATGTATTTATGTAAACAGCATCAAATCCAGCTTTTTGAAACAGGGTCGATAAGAATTCTTCAGAGAAATAATATGAGAACTGCAAATATAATAACCAGTTTCAGGATGCAATAACAAACAGAAAATCAGGAATGTCCGAATGGAGCTCTTTCAGATACTCACAGTGCCATCCCCTCTATAGTAGAAATTATCACTGATCATCTGATTTCGGTTTGCTAGCTTCACCTGGAAGCTTTATCAGCTCAATTTACCGACAAAATTCAAGAAGAAAGCAGGCCAATACTTTAAAGAACAATAGAACAAGGATGCAGTAAATAGTTACAGTACCATTTTATAAAATGCCTTCTTAAGGGTCCAAATTCGAAAAGAATATATGCAGCTGTCCCATGCTTGAATGGTTCACTTTATCTCTCTCAAAAATTTCATTAGCCAACCTTCTAGTTAAAGATCGGTTTATTGAATTTGAATTCATGGATTCGGAAGCCTTATTGGCAATGGCAGGCAGTTCGTATAGTAGATATCATATGTGGACAGACTTACTTGAGAAGAATCTCCAAAAGCATAATCTCTAACTAGAACATGACCGTTTGGCTGCAACATGAGATAAATTCACTAATAAGAACTATCGGACCCAACATAAATACAGAAGAAAAAATTAAGAAACAGGAAGGAAAGAAACTTTGCTTAAATGCATCCTACCTTCAGTACTTTATTCAGGTTATTCAGCACAATTGTCATCTTGCTTGGAGAGACTGCAGATAGCATGAAAATCTATATCCAGTTTAGCAGAATTTTGGGAGCTCACATACAGAAGAGACAAAATATTTAGAGGGATCATTGCAAACAATACTACAGTAAAGAGTTGGTAACATTTATTCTTCTAAGTCAGAGGCCTTTTACTTACCAAGGTAACAACATCAACAGATGATGGTGGGATTTTGTCACAAAGTGCTTCACTTACGACATCACAGACAAACAAATTTATCCGGTTTGCATCGAAATTTGAATTTTTCTGCATTCATTGGGCCGAAAGTTAAACTAAACTACCAATACAACCAGTCAGGTTCAGGCTATTCAAGATAGTGAATGACTAAACATGTACAAAATGAATTTAGAATTCACACATATTATACTCATAGGAATTACATTAAGCTACAAGGAGAGTGAATAAACCTTAACAAGAGATACAGCCTTGGCAGAAAAGTCACAAGCATGAACACAAAGCTTTGGAAATGCGGCGATAAGAGGGAATATGGTATTCCCAGCTCCACAGCCAAGCTGCTATTCATTAAAGAGCAATTTCACTATGCATTTTAGGTCATTCCTACATCAATCAAAACATTATTTCTATGATATTGATATTAACAGAGAAAGAGGATAAGCCATGCTACATTATCCATGGGCGAAAATTCTCGAAAATAATCCCCAAATGAATTATGTTCAATGTTTCTATTGTAGATATTGTTCCAAAAAGAGTTAAAACAGAGTTCTTCACCTCCAAAAGCACTATCCCATCTTCACGCCTTGTTCCATCATCATGATCAGAAAAATAATCGCCCCAATCTCGCTCCAAATAATGCCTGTCCTTAAAAAACTGCAACAAAAAATGGGAGTTAAAAATGGAGATGCTTAAGTTAGACAGACCTTAGCCAAAAAATCCACAAACCCATCGGACCTTATTTCTATGGTGCTTGTAAAAGTTGTCCCAGCATTTAATCGACTTTCTGCTCAAGTAGTGTTCATCAAAATCCCTAAAAGTGCTTTTCGAGCAACTTAATTCGAACCTAACCACAGGGAAACTGGAAGAAATTCTTCGATAAATGCTCAACGGCGAGAAGAGAACCGTCGGCCTCGCAATTGCTGCCGTCATCTTTGCACTGCTAATTGAACTGCTATAAATGCCTAATGCTAATACATTATCCTGAGGGAAATTGGAAACTCCCAGCTCCAAGAAATTGTTCGAGAAACGACAATCGAACTATCTGAGGCACGATTGTCGTCTTCCCTAGCTAAATCCCACTCAATTCCGAACGTTAATCAATGCAGTGCAAACAATGGCGTACCTATCTCGATCCCCGCAGTTCTCCGGTGGAAGGCTGCTGCTGATTCTGCGACGTCATGAGTTTGTTTCGCGACATTCAACCAAACAACTTGTTCATAGTTATTGATATTGTCTCGAAGGGTGCTGGAAGATCGGACGGCTCTTGGTTCACTTCAGAAACAAACTGGTGTTGGCGCTAGATCGGACCTAATGCGTTGGGCTTTTTTTATCGGCCCAATATGAATTCGGGTCTAACTGGTCCAGGCCCAAAATATTAACCCATAAATTTTATTTAATCAAACAACAACCTACATTACAATTTTATTATTAGTATTATTCTGTTATCCAATTGTATTGCTCCTTTTTTTAAAAAATATATATATTTTTTTTAAAATAAAAAATCACTATTTTTTTACTATATATGACTAAAAACATAAATATTCTTATTAAAATGTATGCTTAAAAGTATAGAAGCACAATTAAATAATGGAGGAAATATGACTTTTTGCTATTTACAACAATATAGTGCATGGAGAAGTGTGATTTAAACTTGAAAAATAAAAATAAAGATAAAAATACAATTATTAGCTGGATTAACAAAAAAGGACAATGCATATCATTAGCTTTTCCTCAACAAATTATGCAGCAGATTATGCTATACATTAGGATTAAATTATGCTTGGGACAGATTGTTTAATCAGTTATTTTTTATTTCATATTTTTTTAATGAAAGATGAGAGACAAAGTAGTGATTTTTTTAATGAATGCATGTGAACCACTGCACTTATATAATCACAAATTCAAAATTTACGAGGCCCTAAATATAAATACTTTTTAAATAATAGTACGTTTTCTTTGTAAATTACATCCTTTGTAAATTACAAATAAAATGTCTTTAAATTTGATCGACCAAGAGAGTACTATTTTTCACAATAATATTATTTTTAATCATATATTAAATCAAAATATCAAATTCAAAACAAAACCAAGAAAACTTTAATATCAAATTCAAAACAAAACCAAGAAAACTTTTAAACTACTTCAAATAATACTGTTTCCAATTCATAACCTCCACAGTGATTGAGGACAGCAATTTAATACAAATTAAAGTGAGAAACCGCCCCCTACCCCCACCCCCACCCTCAAAAAGACAAAACCCCCTCCAAATCTGCGCAGAAACCAAATCCCAAAGAAGTCTGCTTACTACATCAGTACAGTAGTGCTGATTCCAACCATCTCCAAGTGAAGATGGATAAGTTTTCAAGATCCAAATCAAGCAGAGAGAGTAGTAGGGGGGTGCATCCAACCCCAACCCCAACCCCAACCACCATGAACAATCTGAGGAGTTACAGCACTAACACAAGCAACAGCAACTACAAGAAAGGCAGCAATGGCAGGAGTGGTGGTGATGGCTTTTCTGCAAAGAATTGGGGTTTCAATTTGGACCCTGAATTGCAGAGGAAGAAGAGAGTTGCAGGATACAAGGCCTATTCAATGGAGGGCAAAATGAGGGGTTCTTTCAAAAAGAGCTTCAGCTGGATCAAAACTACCTGCAACCAAGTTGTTCATGGATTTTGGTAATCACATCTTCATTTTGTGTCTGTGATTTGATTTTTTATTTTATTTGGGAGAATCTTTTAAGGTTCATGATTAGGGATCAAGAAGCCCAGATGATGGACACATATTTACATATTGGGTGTCTTGTTAGATGGACCATTGTCAGTTTCTGATTTGATCAAGAATCAAGATATATACATTATACATATACATATATGAAAAAATCAGATTCAATTCATATGCTCAGATCAAAGACAAGAAAATGATCATAGGACAAGTATAGGTTCATAATCATCACTGTTAATCAATCAACCAATGGATATGTTCATATTGTTATTTCAATGAATGCTTACACACTTTCTTCTCTTCCAAGGCTAATCATGATTCCAGGTTAGGTATGAGTTTAATGCCACAGCCATAGTTGGTGGTAAGATATGATTATAAACAAACTACAACTCACTTATCAACAGACCATTTGAATCCAGGGATTGTTATTCTCCAGCCAATTAAAGATTTAGTTACAACAAACTACTAGTGTCCATCATTTTTCTTTAAAGAAAAAAGAAAAATACTGTCAATGGCATAAGTGCCAATGGAGAAGATTTGAATGCCAGTTGTATCCTTGTGTTCTTTTGTGGATTGTTCAAAAAATTTCACTATCACAATTCTATTTTTTTTTTCCAAGCATTAAATCAAATATTTTTTTGATTTTTTATACTATACTAAATATTTATTTTCAATCAAAATATCACATCTAAATCTATTTATATTACATTTATTGGCTTATTGGCTTATAAGGGTGAAAGGCCACTTCACCTAATACCATTTGATTTTAGGCTGGAAGTCTAATATCAATTGGTTTGGGGGTTTTGGATATTGATCATGTTTGGATTTTCGAGATTAGTGCTAACAAATTAACATAAATGGCAGAATCAATAGCAAGAGGACTGACAAAAGCTAAAAACATCTTCTGAAAAAATAAATGAAATGTTCATAGCTAAATTAGAGTTTACCTTGCAAGTAAGTACACAGCTGAGCTTCCAAAGTTATCTCTCCTGAAAATATTGTGTCCTGTCTTTGATGGGGCTGTAGCCAATGATTGACTGTCTGATCTTGAAGACAAGAACTAGAGAATTAGAACAAACAAAAATGATAAAACTACTTCAATTAAATTGGTGTATAAATATCATACATGCAATAGCTTCTCAGTGCTTTGGTAAACAAACTATGTCAACTCCTCTATAGATGTACATACACTGAGGAAAGAAAATCAATCTCAATCAAAATTTTCCTTGCACTGAGAAGCTACTAAGAATACTACCGTATGGAAGTGCTAAGCTCGGTGCACTAAATCGTTGTTATTAGCCAACGTGTGCTTTTTCTGCAACCTTCCTTTTAAGTGTCTGATTTTGGCATCAACTCTTGCTGAGAAGCCAATCTTGGTGTGCTCACGCGCCTTGAAGCTCTCCCTTATCCACATTTTTCCGTCCTCGATGTGCTTCTTGTAGTACTTAATCTCTTGAATGACATGATGATCCAATGGGTTGAACATTCTCTGGAATGAAATGTGAGTGAGGTAGGGGAGATTAGACAGGATGGTTACTAAGAGGGTTGTAGACCAGTAAATAGGCGCCGGAGATAGAACTTCCCTGAGAATTCTGAAGGTGTTTTTCTGCAGGGCGTAATGCATCTCTCCGTAAATTAAAAGAAACAGGTACCATGTGGTGACACTACCCCATATGAGGAAGTGCTGGATCCATGTGAAATGGCTCATCGTTAAGGCGATTTGGCAATTGACGGCCCAAATAACACAAGTCATCATAGCAGTCCCGACTGCAGTCATGTCAGCAATCTGGCCTCCAGCGCGGAAAGCTTGATCATAGAAGATAATGATGTTCAGGAAGAATACTACGAGAGAAGTGTAGAGGCCATTTCCCATCCACCCAAATATTCTTGGCCAGTCGAAGAACAAATTCTTTGGACCTTGCTGATACAAAGCCGGGAACTGCATCATGCAGACAGGAATCAGTAACACTGAGATTGATAATTGATTTAACTATTTTTGTCGATAGTAACAGAATATTTTTGTTCCTAAATGTAATGAACAGTTTGGAAGTTTATACCGAGCTGGAATGTCTAACAGTATTACAGTACTACCCAAAATTTGTCCTATAAAATCATATATAAGGCATATGCGCCGAGAAGAAAACTAACCTGCAAGCACACTTCAGAGTCCACATCTTGCTCAAACACTCCAAGTGAGATAACGGGAAGGGACGTGAGGGCAACATTAAATAGCAGCATGTACCAGTCATCATATACTGACTGCCCAGAAAAACCAGTGAAAGCCTCGAAGTAGAAGATTGTAAGGCCAAAAGCAATGTTTTTGTAGAAAAAGTAACAAATCTGTAAAAATAGAAATTGTTGATCAAGTTAAAATTCATCAAAGATAACATTAAGGTCAGTGACAATACCCATATATTTAATTCATATCGTAATGATTACCATCTGAGCAATTCTTTTGTAGCACCAGTGTCCATGTACAACAAGAAGCCTCTCCAGAAATCGGAATTGTGCAATCGAAAAGTCACTAGCCATTACAGCCTGCAAAATTTGGCCAGTTTTTCATCTTATAAATGCATGTGCATTCAATAATGCTTCATCAGCTATTTACGCTCTATTTACTTATGTTATTAAACTTGTTTTCGCACTATTCATTAAACTTCTCTTTCTAAAAACCATCACATCTAAAAACCAATTTTTTGTTTAACATATTACATCGAAAATTAATTTTTTATTCAAAATATCACATGCAATTGGTATTTACTTCATCAAACACTTATTTTCTATTCCAACTTTTAACTATTTCTAATCCAAGTTCGGAAAAAGCTCTTTTCAGGATAGTGGAAACATTATGGGATTACTTTCTACAATCCTCATTTAATGATAAAAATCACAATCAAAATCAAGATAGATTCATCACTGACCTGCATTCCTTCACATCCACTAATGCCAACACCAATGTCTGCTTCTTGAATCATACCAACATCATTAGCACCATCACCAATTGCTAATGTGATCTTCCCAGTTCCTTGCTTTACTAATCTTGTGACCTAAGGTTAGCAGGAAGGATGATAACTCAAATCATAAGCATGGATTGAACAGTCAAAAGATTCAAGAAAAACATCATTCACTTCTCTTGGTGTCTATATCTTACCAAAGCTTTCTGCTTAGGTGAGACTCGACAGCATATCACAGAAGCACAACCAACCGCCAAATTCAAAAATTGATGCTTCATATCATCTTCCAGTGCATAAGTTAGAGTTTTCCCATCGATGATCAATGCAAATGCAGCATGTGGATCCTTTTCTTGCTCAATCATTTGAGTGGCATTGGAAATTTGCAAGAGGACATCCTTCTTCGAAGCCTTCCAGGAATAAACAAAATGGTTACTAACAGAAACTAACTAACTTTACCAAATATTGCTACATAATTTATCCCACAGAAAAACACTTGTTTGGCGTCTTGGGGTAGTGTGGCCACATCTGTTGATATACATATTTGCTTCATGCCTTGTCGGAGTAAACTACAAGCAAAGCTGCACCAAAAGGCCAAAAAAATATATATATTTTCAAATTAGAATTGTTTGGTTACTAAATCTATACAATAAGGAAACTATTCTGCTTTTGAGAAACGAACCCTATATTAATTGCAGTCTCCATTTTGTCACCTGTTAGAACCCAAATCTTTAGACCAGCTTGTGCCAATTTGTCTATACACTGAGGCACCTATAAAGAAACAGCAATGAAAAGTAAAACACAATGAGAGTGTGAGGCTTCAATAATAGATTGAAACTTTTATAGGATAAATATGACATACTCCTTTCTGTAATTTGTCCTCTACAGCAGTTGCACCAACAAGTATTAAATCCCTTTCCATCATGTCCGAAACCCGCTCAAGATTTGCTTCCCTATCACCACCAAATAAGGTTTTTGCTTTGGTGAACTCTTCATTCCAAGCAGAAAACTCTGCCTCATCAAGTTTCTTATAAGCCAGTGCTAACGTTCGCAATCCAGCTTCCCCATATTCATTCAAATGCTTCGTGGTGGATTCCAGATACTTTTTCCCATCCTTTGCTAGCCTATCAAAAATGATACTGAAAAAAAAAAAAAGAAATGACACAATGTCAAGAGGAAAGAAAGTGTTAGGGAGTTTTAAGATTTAAGAACTCTCAAGGTAAATAAATATTGCATTAAAATCAGTTTACTGGAGATGAAACTATGACCAGCCACATTGCCGGTCATTCGATTTTTAACAGTTCTTTTAAATACATACATATCCAATGGAGTGGGGGTGAGGCAGGTTCATAGTTTGGATGCTTGTACAGTACAGAACTCATCAAGTATGTACCTGTCAGCTCCTTTGCACAGGAGAAGTATCTGACCAGTCTCGTCCCTAACAATTACTGTCATTCTTTTTCTTTTGCTTGTGAAATTCAGCAGACCAAGAATTTTATACTCCCTGAATTTGCAGACAAATACAATTCAAGAAATCTCATTCACTGCAAACTGATTTGCAAATGATAAGTAGGTACTACTGGCTCTTGTTCTCACCTTTCAATAGGCTCATGAAAAGAAGGATATCTCTCACGTACAAATACACCTGCCTGAGTTCTTCTACAGAATTCAAATCCAAATTCTCTAGCAGCAACAAGAAACGCGCCTTCATCGGGAGATTCTGCTTCATAGGTGACAGTCCCGGAGTCCTCATTTTTCTCTGGAATTGCAGTGTGACAAACTGCTAGTATTCTGAAAAACAACAAGATATCATCCTTGTTGGGTTCATTAATAAAACTCCCATTCATTAGCCTGCTGTCCTCAAAGCTAAACCCCTTTATAGGAAGCTTTACCCCATCATCATCTTTTGAAGTAATAACAGACTCTAATCGAGCATCTGATTCCATAACTTCATCTTCTGTGTTTCCAATTTGCCTGTCCAACTCCATCTGTTTTGCAGCAGCAAGTTCGACATCACTAGCCCGGGTTCCGAATGCAGTACCAGCAATGGAGCATTTAAGAAAGTCCATTTGATTGCAGGTTAAGGTGCCTGTTTTATCGGATAGGATTGTGTCGACTTGTCCTAACTCCTCATTTAAGTTCGACGTCCGTGCCTCAGCAGGGGTTCCAGTCTCTTCATCATACATTTGAATATCCTGGTTTATGAATAAAGCTTGGAGGACTTTTACAACCTCAATTGACACATAGAGGGATATTGGAATCAAGTATCCATACAAGATAAGAGCAGTGATCAGATGATAAAAGCCAGACTTTAGTGGGTGGTCAGGATCATAAAGCCCTTTACTGTCCGGTACCTTTAAATACCACCACATTGGTGAATAATATTTTATTTGGAGAAAGAAACCAAGGCTGCTAAGGAGAGAGATGAGCACCAAAATACTGAACAGGACATATATTATTTTGTCCATTTGTTTCTCAATCTTACTCCTTTTAGAAGGCGATTTCGTGGAGTTCTGCATAACTTTGCTATCATGTCCAGTGAATATCACCACTCCATAGACATATTCTGTGTTCCGAAGCTTCGAATCACGGAGGAGAACCTGATTAGGCTCAATAGAATGCACTCGATCGTCATATTCCAATTTCCCAACAAATGTGTAAAGATTCGGATTGGGATCTTCACATTTGATTGTAGCAGTGAAATCCTTGAAAGTTGGATCATCATCCAGAGGTAATGTTACCTCCAGGGCTCGTTTCACTTTTAAATTTGTCTCTCCATCTAAGTTCATAGTTTCGACATAACAAATCCCATCTTCATAACTTGAAGATAGAAAAAGCAAATCAGCAGGGAAGAATTGATCTTTCTCCACTTTCACCACATCACCAACCCGAAGCTGCATCCAAGGTTTATGACCAAAAACACAATCTTTCTTATGCACCATGACTTTTCTTAAGTTAACCTTCATATCCTGTATAAACCGACGCCAATCTTCCAGAGCTTCTTTAGCCATACTCAATCCAACCACAAAGACCAACGGAGCAATCATGCTAAGAGGACCAAATGGCGATATAGGCGTCAATGATAAAGCTGCAGCCAGGAGAAAATACAAGTTGGCAACACGTCTGAATTGCTCAAACAAGGCCTTGGGGAAGAAAGTAATGATGTTGTACTTAGTTGTCGAAATATGATTCGATGCATATTTGAGGGGCTTTTTATCATGTAGATACGGCTGGTTGCATCGGACAACCCGTGAATAACCAGGTCCTTCAATGCCAGGCTCCTTATCTCTTTCAAAAGGATGTGGCCGATGGCAAGCAAACGTATGCAGATAGCCCCTGCCAATCTTCGACCTTATCCTTCGCTTAGGCATTTGTGACTATTGTGAAGGTAAATTCCACTTGTGCCGGAGAACAAACAATTTCCACACACACACAAAACTTCACTTCAGCAGGCAAGTAACAGGCCTTGTTTTGTTCTCCACGAAAAGTGAATATCCTGCCCAATCTTGCCACCGACAAACTTACCGAACACCGCCAATGCAACACCTGAAAAGATCAAATGTACCTTAAAGGTAAACAATCTATGCATCATAGAAAATTATTATCATAAACTCCCTCAAATCCCTCAACTTATCCATCAGAATTCCTCCTGCAAACCATGATTGTATCATCATAGTTATCCAAGATCTCAACATCTTCTCATAATTAACATATCTATTCTCTAATAAAAGAAAGGTTGAATCAAAGTACTAATAAACATACCAAACATTGCTGAATTCAAAATCAACAAGACCTTTCCAATCAAACAACAAACCGTAGCCTCAGATAAATCAACATAGCAAATAAATAAATAAGAAATCAATACAAAAGGCAGGTATAATCCCTCCTACTCAGCTCCAAACATCGAAACACACACAGCATTACTCAAATCGCAACGAAACAACTTTTGACATTGAAGAAAACCCCCAATTCACCAAAACAATAAAAACACATAAATATATACATTGTTATCATACCCGAGCAGCAAATTACATCAAAGAGAGGAATGTGGGATAAGCCCACATTAATCTGAGCTCGGTGATCCCAATGGCGGATATCAAAAACGTAAAAAAATATAAAATACAAAACAATTCCGAGCAAGGACGACGAGGAACAACCTCAATGGGGGGAAGAAGATTTTAAGGAATGGGAGAGAGATCCGAATTGAGCAACGGTAATCGACGACGCCACGCCCCGATTCTCTCTCTGTTCTGTTCTTCTACTTCATTCTTAGCTAGTAGTTTTTTTATTATTATTTTATATTCTTAGCTATTAGTTCATTCCATACTAAATACGCAAATCACACGCTATTAATTAATTAATTAATCATTAATGAATGACTTAAAATACTAACAAAATAGTATAAAATAAATAAATTTTTATAATAATGCACCCTCTGCATTAAAAAGGTTTCTAAAATATTCCATTTTTAAACCATTTTTGTATTTCTGTTACGAAAATAGTACAAATTTAAGAGAATTTATTATTATTATTTTAAACTAACAATTTTTAAAAATAAAAAATAAAAAAATAAAACTAACAAATTTTCCCGTATAAATCATCGCTCAAGGGTAGGACGAATCATGCCTTTCGTTTTATTAGTAATTTTTTTGTATTATATAATTATCGAGCTATTTAAATATACTTATATTTAATAAAATAATGACAGTTGTTAGTTGTTACTGTTATATTGGAATCAAATCATTACAAATTAAAAATATTATTATTTTAAATAAAATCTATTTTAACAATATAAACAAATGCTGGAGTAGCTCAGTTGGTTAGAGCGTGTGGCTGTTAACCACAAGGTCGAAGGTTCAACCCCTTCCTCTAGCGAATTTTATTTAATTTTTATTTTTTCCAATTGGGCCTCTTTAAATAAAGAGTATTGTATTTGGGCTTATGCTTCAGCCCATTAAGCTCAGTTATATAATTTACTTATAAATTAAAAAATTTAAATATTTAATTAAGACGTGGGTATAATTAATAATGCTAATACTATATTTTTTTTAAAAAAAAAAAAAAAATCCTATAAATACAATATTGAGTTTTCCACTTTAAACTTGGTTTTTATTAAATTTTGGATTATGTATTGAATTTATTATGCAATTGTGTTGAACTATAATGTAAATTTATTGTATACCAACCCAAATAATAATAATAATAATAATAATAATAATAATAATAATAATAATAATAATAATAATAAAACACTCTTCTGAACCACCTAGAAAATGAATTAAACTACAATATTCAATAACATGAATATTACAATTCAACACTTTTTTATTTATGAATGTGAATGTAATATGAGGGCAAAATGACATATACTATATATAACATTAATTATTTCTAGGGTAATAATTTGTACATGTCATTTTTTGACTCTTTATAGTTACTTTCCCTGATACTATATTTTTATTAAATTTGTACATGTCATTTTTTGACTCTTTAAAGTTACTTTCCCTGATACTATTATATTATTATTATTATTATTATTATTATTATTATTATTATTATTATTATTATTATTGCATGTTATATTACATAACAATTATTTGCTTAATTTATCATATTCAGCATATATATATATATATATATGTCAATCATTCCAAGAAAATATCTGTGTATTATATATATTCTTTTTTAAGTTTGATTTTAGCTTTTTGGACTTTTGTAGTATTTTTGCATATAATATTTTATGAGATGAAAAAAAAAATGTTTGTTTATATGGTAAATAGCGGTGGTTCGTATTATATACACTTGTATTTCACATCCAAACATCTCTATTTCTTTTATATAACTTATTTATATTAATCATATATATATATATAGTTCTTATTTATTAATGAATAAATTTATTCTCTGTAATAAAATAAATACATTTTTTAATATATTCTATTGAGATATAAATTTTAAAATATATAATAGTATATATTTTAAATTTATTTTTTACACTATATATATATGGTTGCAGATTATGTTTTGATCCCGACAAGTTAATATGGTGTTAATTGAATCAGATCAGCATATGTCTTACGTGTAACCAACATATATTTACCAATAATAGAATATATATTATTTTATAATATAATATATATTGTATTATAAATATACTGAAATATGTATAAATATATGTTATATTTACCTGCATAGCATATGTTCATTTGGTCAAATTAATGATGATCAAATTATTCTCTATAAAAATAATACAATGGGTCTTTTACGTGTAGAATTTCAAATATTAATTATTATAAATTGACAAAAATATCTCTATCAGTCTATTCTAATACAATGACACAAAAAAACACAAATGATGTCCTTCTTATTGGATTGAGATAATATATTTTATTGAGATATAAATTTTAAAATATATAACATCTATATTTTAAATTTATTTTTTATTTTTATTTTTAAACAACATATATATGTAGTCTCATTATTACGACTTTCAAATCCAAAATCCCTCGAAAGTCCAAACAAACAACCACAACCTTATTAATTCCATTAAAAATTTAAACAAACAGTGGCTATGCAAGCTTTTTTATGCGGTGAGTGTATTTTCCTTTATGTCACGTTTGTAATAACCTCTGTTGTCCCCGCACACACTTTTACACACACACACACTATATATTGCAAAAGTGACCATAAAGATATATATGTATACTAAATTTAGCACTTGTATTTCACCATCAAGATTCTTCTTCTCAACAATCAAGAAAACTACTACTGCTACTCTACTCTACTCTCTACTACTATGGCTTCAACTTACACACTAACAAACAGACATATATATATACATACATATTATATATATATATATATATAGAGAGAGAGAGAGAGAGGGTTATTTAATAAGGTGATGATTGGTAGAGTGAGAAAGAGAAAAAGGGTGTGAAGAGGCAGAAGAAATCAAGATTGTGAAACTGAAAAGCCAGTAGAAATACCTCATCATATTCATATGATAGTGATGATGAAAGAATCCACTATATATCTCACCTATATCTTTTTCATTTTTATTACATTATTTATCAAATACTCCATGTGTCCGATAACTAAATATTCATTTGTTTTTTTGCATATATTTTTAGAAATATTAGTATTATATTTGGATGTAGTAGGAATAAAGTAGAAATGATTAAAATAATCTTATTAGTACGTGTGATATAAAGGTAATGACATTTGTGCAATATATTGTAAGTTGTAAGGGCATTTGTAATGTTTGGTAGATAGTACAGTTACTAAAAAAAATTGATACTTTGTTATTGGACGGACTAAAATGGAAAAAAAGATACTTTGTTATAGGACGGAGGAAGTAATATTTTTATGTAATAATTGAGTATTCATTTATTTTATGCGCGTCGAACTTTGAATATTAATATTATATTTATATGTAGAACAAATTAAGAAAAGAAAAATAGAAATACTTATATTAGTGTTGTATAATAGAACAAATACAATGATATTTGTATATAAAATATTATACAAATTTAAAAATATTTTTAATGTTAAATACAATGACGCAAAAAGTAAATAAATATTTTATTAAAAGATGAAAGGAGTAGTACTCTTTTCATTCGAGCTAATTATGTAGTAATATTTGGAAACAGAAATTAAAATATAATGATATTTTAATGTAAATGTGATAAATATAAAAACTAAAGTTGGAGTATTATAAGAAACTTATTAAGAATTAATATTAAAGTAACAAAGTATGTAAGAAAAGTAGTGACAAATTGATTGTTATTTATTAAAATATAGATAACGAAATTGTGAATGAATAAAAATATTTATTATAAATTGATTATTCGTAAGATTAAAAGACAATTAAAATAGAAAAATTGGCATAATTATTTCGGGAGAGTAATATTTATAAAAAGTAATAATATAAAAAAAAAATTCTTTAATAAATTGTAATGAATATTTATAAAGTAGTAATATTATTCCCCCTCCGTCGACAAAAAAATGCACTCATTTGAGCTGAACACGAATTGTAATGAATATATTATTATATTGCACTACAAAAAAATATCAATTTTGTAACAAGATTTTTTCGTTGTTAAATCGGAAAATATCAATTTTGTAACAAGATTTTTTCGTTGTTAAATCCACTTTTTCCGTTACTAATGATATTAGAGACGGAATTTGAGATGGAATTACGTTAGCTACGTGAACTTTAAAAACAGAATTAAGTTACAAATATATTAGTTTTTTGTAGTGTTGGTTAATTATGATATAAAGTTAGTAAAAATAATTTAGAAAGTATAAAAGTTAATATCTATAAAGTGAGATAAAAAAATTTAATAAATTGAATTTGTAAGTAGTAGTGGCATATTGTAAATAAGTATAATATTAAAATGTATATATTAAGGAACATATAATAGTTATTTGCTATAAGTGAATAATACATACTTTTTGAAGAAAAAAATAAATTATAAATTTAAATTTAAGTGAATAATACATAATTCTTGATTTCTAAAAAGAAAGACAAATTTATAATTATCCATTTATATACTACTTAAAATTTTTCTAAAATTTCAAATTTTTTATTTTAATAGATTACAAAATTCAAAAATTAGTCAAAAAGTAAATTAAATAAATAAAGCCTGGATCTTGACGGTTCCATTTTAATTAATTAAATAAAATATAAGGTTTTTTCTTCTTTTTTTTACTTATAAATTTTTAGAATATTTGATATCATTAATTAATAATAGTTCATCCATCATTTCAAAATAAAGTTATCATTTTCTTATTTGATAATTATATTGTCTATTTAATATTATAAATATTCTTTCAAATTTACAATATAAAAAATAAATGACCATCTTGTTATGGACTTTTTTTTTTTTTTTTCTTAATAATTGTACTTCAATATAATTTTTCTAAAAAAAATATCACAATTTACATATTATTACGAAAAGCTCCTATTACCATTATTTAACTAATTCATATTTTTTCGAAGAGTAAATTTTAATATTAATACCCATTTTATATTGTATACTTATAAAATATTCAAACTTTCAAAAACTCTTTTTGTGTTTGATTGTGAGGTATTTCTAATTTTATTTCATTCCAAAGCAAAAAAAAAAGGCTTGTAAAAGATATCAAATCAAATATACTTTTTACTTATTATATAAATTAAAATTTAATTTTACATTCAACATACAGTATCAATTATATTAAACTAAAATTTTATTTTACTTTTAAAAATATCATATTAGAAATTTTATTTTTTGCAATACAAACTTTGCATCCAAACACACCTTATGTATTTATAAATTTATTTATTTTTGTGAAGAATTTGAACGTAGGCAAAAATGGTTTCTTGTGCATGGGGAGGGTGATACAGCGCCAGAGAGGTGTCCAATCAAATTCCAACACGTATGCAGACACCTGTTGCTCATTCAGACTAATTTCAATATTACAATCGGTCACCTTATTTTTATTATTATTATTTTTTTAATAAATATTATATTCATTTTAGGAGGCAACAAACCCTTTCTAGAAATTAGGGTTCTTAATTCTAACCGATTTCATTCAATTTGAACCGAATGGAAGATGTGACATGTAATAATAATATACTCTTCGTCATCCAAAATTAAATTCATTTGCTTTGGGATGAATTTGTTGTACTCCCTCTGTCCTGAAACTAAATATTCATTTGCTTTATGCACGTAGTTTTAAAAATATTAGTATTATAGTGGGATATAGTAGAAATAAAGTATAAATGATTAATATAACCTACTTGTGATACAAAGGTAATGATATTTGTGTAATATATTGTAAGTTGTATGGGTATTTGTAATGTTAGATAGATAGTACAATTACTAAAAAAAGGAAATGATACTTTATTATGGGACCGACTAAAATGAAAAAATAGAAACTTTATTATGGGACAGAGGGAGTATTTTTTCTTTTTTACACTAAAAAATACCGGAATAAAAAATAGTTTTTTTTACTTGTTTGTGCAAAGCAAATATTCATTTCTTATTTTAAAAAAAATTAATAATATATTAATCCAAAAGTACTTTTAATTATTACGTAAAATACAAATATACTATTATATTATTATTTCTCAATCTACTGTGAAACTCCAAAATACTCCATTGAGTTGAGACGAAATGAGTAATATTTTAAGCAGTATTCTTACATAGATTTTTTTTTTTTAAAAAAAAAATTACAAATTGGATAAATGTAAATAATAACAACATAACCTAATCCCAATAGTAAATTATAGCTGTTGTTACAGCGATAGTACATGGTGTACTAATATACATCACATGATATTATTACAGATAATATATTATTTATATTAATAATATTAATATAATATATCATATGAACTAACAACAAATAATATAGTTTATGGTATTGTTTATTATAATACATAAAGTAAAGTAACTATAATTATATAAAAAAAAAAAAAAATTACATGTATAATTTTAAATATTCAAAATATTTAATATTAATAATAATAGTAAGTGTGTAATATTAATTGTATTTTTAGTTGAAACCAGTGTAATTTTAATTAAGTTCTTAAATTCTGTTTTTTTTTTTTGGACTTGATTAAAAAAAATTGATTTGAATTTGATATTAAAAATATATTTTTTTAAAAAAAAATACAAAATTCAAATATTAAAATTTAAAATATTTATTTAAAAAAATCACCTTAATTATATTTATTTAATTAGAAATAACTTGCTTCTATTACACTGTATTCATACGTTAATATTTCATCTACAGAATATAAGATTATCGAAATAAGATTTCATATTACTGACTGATTGAAAAACAGAAACCTGAAAATTAATAAACACACTTTGAATTGAATGAAGAACACATCCCTTTTCATTTTTTACAAACTTTCAATTAATTAGATCAGAACACCAAAATAATTAAACCCTAATTATCATATGAACATTTTAATGGCTTCTCGAACACAAATCAAACCCTAATTTCGCAAAAAAACAAGATTAAACAACAAACCCATTGTCATCATCATCATCATCAGCCATTACACACCAGACAAATGCAGTTCGAAAAAAAGCCTTCAAATTAGGGTATGGTTCTGCAAATGAATTTCTGTCTGAAAACCCTAAAAAAATCGAAAACCCAAATTAAAACTTCAGTATTACAGAAACAATAAAATACACAAAAAAGCAAAATGGATGCAAACTGGTACGAAATATCCATCGAACGAAGCACAAAATCCAACGAAACGACCCCACAAACATGAAATGTCGAAAATGCCCCTCGCCACCTTCTATATAAACCCTCCTCCATTTCACACTCTTCATCGTCTTCGCGGCACAAACCCTAAGTTCCCTAAAGCTCCCTCCTCTCTCCTCCAGCTTTCCATCTTCACAAACCTCTGCAGATTTGCAGATTCCTTAATTAAATCTCAATCGTGTAATAATTAATCTCACAGACAACAGCTATGAACTCCGACAAAGGTCGCAGCTCCGCCGGTGCTCCCACACCCACCTCCACCCCTCCATCTGCAGGTACACATACACATATATATATAGATATAGATATAGATACAACATTTTTATACATATAACTATAAATTAAAAATAAAAATCCCATCTTAATAAACGATGCTAATCTGTGGAGGAGAAGGGAGGCAAAGGCGCGGCGGCGATGGCGGCAGCCGCCTGAAGGGTCTGGAAACCCTTGGACCTGACGTCATCCGCGAGGTCCAGGGAATCATCGGGAGCAAGTAATTTCCATAATCGAATTCAATTTTTTCACAAACATGCAGACCATAATTAATTAATTCGATTTGGTAGCTGCGGCAGATAGATCTGACGACGGCGGTTGGTTTTTTGCAGGCGGCCGCAGGTTGTTGCCGAACAAACTCCGGCGAAGGCAGACCGCCCCGCCGGAGATAACAATAACAATGAGAATAACAACAGACCGGCCGCCGGCGGGGCTCCGGCAGCCGGAAATAATAAAAAAGTAAAGCCCCGCATTTCCGGCCCCCTACCCCCCCCTGTAAATGCGGCCCCCCATGTTCCGGCGAGGAACATCGACTTCTCCCCGCTGGACTGTACCCAGCAGTTCGAAAGCACGTTTAATTTCGTGCAGCGGATGTTCCCGCTTGTAAATCCCCAAATTCCTCCGCAGCCGCCATCGATGGGTTCCTTGCCCGTGCAGGTTTCGGGCTCGCCGAGCGCCCCGGCGGCGGCGGAGGTGGAGGAGGCGGAGGTTGAGGCGGCGGCGGAGGCGGAGGCGGAGGAGGAGGAGGATCCGTGGGCGGCGATCGATTTGGGGACCTTTCAGTTCCCCGAGCTGCCGCCGCTGTGGCCGTCCATTGTCGGGCCCCCAGCCGCCGGAGGAAATCCGCCACCGAAGATGTGGCGCGACGACGGGAATCCGCTGGAAGTGGCGGCGCGGCTGCCATCGTCGGCTCCGGAGGGAGAGATACCTCCGGAGCTCTTGTGTGAGCTCACCGTGCCGGCGTATGTATTCCCCGACGATATCACCGAGGTGGAGCCCCTCGAGTGGTCGCCGGAGTCCCAGGGTCCGCCGCCCTCCGGCGGAGGCGGAGGCGGTGGGGGCTCCGGCCTCTCATTTCTCGGCGACGATTGGAACTTTCGTGATCTATTTTGAAATGCTCGTCGCCGTTGTACTGTACTTTATTTTTTTTTTAAAATGTATGTCAGAGAATTTTCTGCTCTAACTTTTAGAAGAATGTAATGAAAGTAAAAACGTTAAGTTAAAATTAATTTTTATTTTCTTTCTTTTTTTAATTATTGTTATTAGTTTCAACGAGTTTCAGATGTGTAATATTAAATTACGACTCTTCAAAATTGGGCATATGAATTTAGAACAAGTGATGAAAAATTAAATAATGGATTGTAAATGAATATGTAATAAAATTTAAAAATAAAATAAAATGATTGGTCAGTGAACTATAATCGCACTGTAGCAGCACCATTATTCCATGGTAACCTTTTTTAATGCTTACTTGGCTAAAAATTGAAGTTTCACTTTACAATGTCGATAATTTATAACTGAAAAGAAGCCATTTATTTTAGTAGACGACCCAATTATTAAATCTTGTAATTTAAATTCGGCGTCACCGCATATAATCCAATCTCAGATATGAAGGAATTTGAAGTTGTCTAAAAAATTGGTCATAAAAAAAATGTCCCTTTTTATACTTCTTCATAAATCAATGTCCCTTTTTATTTTTAAATAAAAATATATAAGATAATTTTGCCTATTTAAATACAAAAAAGTAATTACATTGAGCTAGAACAAAAATATATTTTTCTCACAAAAAAAAAAAAAAAAAATCTTAATTTTTGTAGTACCCAACAATGTAGGTATCATAATCATTATTCTCTAATTATCAACAATTATCCTAGCCGCCACCAAACTAGTTACTCCTGAAGCTGAAATAATTTAAAAAATAATAAAAAATAAAAAGGGAGAGAGAGAGAGAGAAGAACCGACTGGCGTTGTAACCGCTAACTCTCTCACTCTCTCTCTCTCTACACACATACATGAACATGACGACATCCAAATACTCACCGCATGATCTCATTCCCTGCCTGCCACACCCATAAATAACCAATACCTTACACACACACACACACGCATACATCCATATATTTATTAATTAAATACATTTCCTCCATCAAGCTGTATATGTATACATATTGACTGCTCTGCTCCCCAGTCTGTCAAAGTTGATTTGAGCAGTGAATGTAGTAAAAATCTCACTGAGGATAAAACAAACAAACAAACACATAACATATGCTATATACAAACATTAATTTAGAATAAGGCAAACAATATATACATATAATCTAAATATACACATAACATTCATTTAGATTAATTTTTTCCAAAGCTCCAAACTCTGTCACTTTTGGGCCATGTTTGCTGTCAGTGATTAAACAATCTGTGTTAAATTGGTTTAATCCTATGTAGTAAACATGGCCTGGTAAAAAGGAAACAATGAATTAAAAGAACTCATCAATAAATAGTTGAAGGGACCTCAGAAAAATACACAATAACAGCTTAGAAAAAACTGAATTCCACACAATACTTAGAATTCACACTTACATTAGTTACATAAATTGATGATGCAGTCATCAGATACTTGAGCTATTCAGAACATGTTCTGCAGAAAAAGAAATAGAAATAGAAAAGATGCATTTCAAGTTATGGGGTGGGGAGATCCTAAAATCAGTGTATAAATGGTAAATTGACATACAATTTTGCGGCAAGAAGAACAGAAACAGAAATTGCTCATATATTCAGGAAGCATGAAAAATAAAAAATACTATAAGATAGAAGTAAAGAAAGAAAAGCATTTACTATACTTCAAGGTATCTGTCTACACGTATGTGCAAATATAGACATAAGCATGCAAGTGTGTGCATGTGTGTCGGGGGAGAAAGAGCAACCTGCCAAGGAATCTATGCGAAACTGAATATGAAAAGTTACCGTTGGTTGGTGTTGTTTGTATGTAGTTATTGGCTATTTACCTTTTTTTTGTGAAATTTACATCTGTGACTGACACACACTTGACTAAGATTCATCTCCTATTGTGAACCAGTTGATTATAAATTTGTAAAGATAAAATAACCAATAACTACACGCAGACAATACCACCCAACCGTAAACTTTTTATTATTCAATGACGTAGAGAATGGAAGACAAGAAAAGCAAGTGTGTATAGAGAGAGGAACCTGCCAAAGAATCTATGTGCCGCTTTGCGCCTGACACTTGATTAAGATTCATTCCATACTGGAATATAAAGAAATAATAACTACACAGAGACAACGGCAACCAACCGTAAACTTCTTAAAATTCAATGACGTAGACAATAGAAGACAAAAAAGCAAGCGTGCATAATAGAGGGAGAGGAACCTGCCAAAGAATCTATGTCGCGCTTTGCGCCTGAAACTTACTTGATTAAGATCATACCCTGCTGGAAGATGAATTCCCAATAACTACACATAGACAAAGCCAGCCAACTGTAAACTTTTTAAAATTCAATGACGTAGAAAATGGAAGACAAAAAAAGCAAGCGTGCGTGTATAGAGAGAGAGAGAGGAACCTGCCAAAGAATCTATGTGACGCTTTGCGCCTGACACTTACTTGAATAATATAAAAAAAGACAACACTAATATAATATCAAAAAGATATGGTGGAAGAATATCATTAGTATCCCAAAAGATTGATAGCAGTCAACATCCTCGTAATTGCAACCCCATATTTCCAACGGTTTAGAAACTTCTCAATGATGTCAATTAACTACAAGCTGCTTACAGACAGCTGCCAAAGTTAACACGTGGCAAGTAACAGGGCTAGAACAATCTTTTGGGGGGCGTTTTTCATCTTTGAGAAGTTTCCATCACATTGGAAATGTAGATCGCAATTACAAGAATGTTGGTTGCAATCAATTTCTTGTTGGTATTGTCCGTGACGCAGGGAATGGGAATCTAAGACGGACAAAAGGCATGTTCATTAATATACAACGCTCTAACAAAATATCAAAAGATATGATGGAAGAACCATCAAAAGTATCTTTAGAAACTTCTAAATGAAGTCAACTACTTATATGCCGCCTGCCGACAAGAAACTACCAAAGTTAACATGTGGAAAGTAATGGGGCCAGAACAATCTTCTAGGACCGTTTTTCGTTATAAGAATTTATGTCATTAATTTGTTAGTTACGGAAAACCAAATAAAACAATGATTCAAGTACACTGCAGAGAATCTAAGACAGAAAAAAGGCATGCTCATCAATATACAACACTCTAACAAAATATCAAAAAGATATTATGGAAGAATCGACAATAGTATCATTAGAAACTTCTCAATGATGTCAATTACTTATATGCCGCCTGCCGACAAGCAACTACCAAAGTTAACATGTGGAAAGTAATGGGGCCATACAATCTTATAGGAGCATTTTTCATTATAAGAATTTATGTCATTAATTTGTTAGTTATGGAAAACCAAATAAACAATCATTCAAATACACTGCAGCCACACGTGTGTTGCTACCATCTAAAGCCTCTCTTGATCTCATGCTGATGTTTCAGACAGAGATTTTATGCAGCATGGCGGCACACCCAAGATGGCTTGTGGTTGCCTGACTCAAACATCGTGATGCCAAAAGCGAAACACATACAACTACAGCATTATATGCATCCCAAGACCAATAAAGGTAGTAGCGAAGGAGCTGTTTCAGAGATATCAACTGAACTCATTAACTTCACAATCACATTTCAGATAAATGGTTTTAAAAATAAAAATGTCGGTTGACTAATTACTTTACTATGGACCAAAACTGCTTTTAATACATGCACCATATCTCCCCTAAAAAAAAGGGAACAATTGTGCCAAGATTTGCTTTCTGCATTTGCACAATGAACTTAAACACTATCCATTTCCACAAACTTTTAGCCATACTTATAATAATAAGCATTTTCGAAGACACATTCAAATCAGAAAATGCATCTACTGTTTTTCCTTGAATAATGGCAACCCTATGACCTATCAGCCTTACATAGATCAGTATAATGCTACTTACAATGCATAGAGATGAATCCATACAATAAAAACTCAAGCATATTGATAAAACCACTCCTCTATAGAACAAAACAAACGACAGAATGAAATGGAGATGATGCTATCAATACACAAATGCAGCAAAGCCAAACAGCACCTTAGTCTGCTCAAATAACATTATTATCCATTACTACTTGTAATTAGAATGATTCACAACTTCCAGAGTTGGCCCTTCTACATTAACTGACCCTATATGATGCAATGGCAGGGGTTCATTAAAATAAGCCAGAAAATTTATTTGTAGCAACATTTCGATACCTAAAACACAAACAATCAGGCAATGCATGAGCAACAGAACGATAACCAATTTGATACCCCCAATTCTGCAGAAACAAATCCTAACGTAGTAATCCAAGATCAAAACATCCAGAAACATTTGCATAACTCATTCTAGTCCTCACTCCAAAAGCAGCAAATACTAATTTCAAAATCCACCGTAAGATTAGCTTACTTACAGAAACTCAATTGTCGCCCAAACACCTCAAAGCTAAAGCCCCCAAAAAAATTAAATAAATTATCTTAAAAGTATAACAATAATGCTGAAGAGATCAAATACGTACCCTTCCACCGGAAGGCTGGTCGAACAAGGAAAACCAGGTACAGCAGCTTTGCATCCCCCGACTACCAGCCGAGAACTTGAAATCTGACGAGGCTCCACTCGAGCATGAAGGATCCATTGGAATTATCGCATTTTATAGTCGGGCTTAAAACAAATCGAGTCAGACCCGTCATATATAAACACGAGCTCCGGCCTCGTAGGCCCATTTATTGCCTGTAGCTCTACGTTTTCTTCTTACATGAAAATATACTATTCCCAGTCATATACAAAGTAAACATATACTTATTTAATGAAATATTATTTTTTTTATTGAATGTATTAAAATAGAAATATACGTAGAAAGCATTATCTATTAAACTTTATTCAATCATTATTATTTACCAAATTTTTTTACTTCTCGAAATATCAAATTAAAATTTATTTTTTACTTTCTATATTATATTAAAAATCAGTTTTACATTTAAAATATTATATTAATATATATTTATATCTCATGTAATATAAAAATAATAAATATATATAATATATTTAAAAAATACACACTCTTGTTTGAATATAAATTTAATTTTTATTTACTTTGATATTATAATAATAATTTTATTTTTTTTCAAAATAATAATAACTTTATGTTATAACACCAAACCAGTGAATTCATAGTTCTATAGATTCATAGACAAAAAAGGGAAATTAAAGCAAAAAGAAGATTGTTATCTTTGTATATTTTGTAAAAAATTAAAGTAAAATCCAGTACAGTTCTTATAATTTACTGTACTATAAAAAATAAAAAAACAAACACTCGATTCCACAAAACATTCCCCAATACAAGAAAATCCATCACCAACAAAATAGAAAACCAAACTATATATAATCCATAAATTCAATTCACCTGTAAGTCAAAATCAAAAGCTGGGCAGGGGCAGGGGCAGGGGCAGGGGCAGCATTTGATTTGCTGCTGCCTAAAACCAAAACCACCATTGTGAAACTTAAGGAGCTAAGTCAAGTAGCAACACCAAACAAAAAAGGGGGCAAAAAAAATCGAGAAATTCGGCCTCATGGTTCTTCGAAAAATACACGAGGAGGGTTACGAAATGACTGGCTAAGCTAGTTGTCTTCTTCAGATTGTACAAACCTAACACCGCGCTGTTATTGCCCCTCCAGCAGCGCAGACGTAACCCAATCCGAAGCTGCAGCCCCCGTCTCTGCATCTAAATGTCCCGATGGAGACACTGGCGAAACCGAGACCTGTTTTTTTTTTTATTTTCAAAATAAATATGGCATGTTGCCGTGATGAACAATGTTGCGTAAGAAAACATGCCTAGGTATTGGAAATATTACTTACAAATCCATTTTCGAGCGCTCTGAAATCCAGATCCTCATCCTCCTCCGACTGTTCTTTGTCGAGCATCTTAGAATAACAATTTTGCAATGACTCAGAAGACGAAGAAATACAGTAAGAAAAATCGACGATTGTATAAATTGTTCTGGACTTACCTCTGCACGAAAGTACTTGACTGTTCTTTTGAAATCAGATTTCCCGGCAGCGCCCATGGATTCGACGACTTCAACATTCTTTTTCTGGGTGTTCAAGCGACGGGCAGCACCCTGGGGAAAAAGAAATAATCAAAAATTGACCTCAGGTGTAGCATAAATTAAACAACATCCGTAGCAAAATTTTTAGGGCTACCCACAGCAGCAGAGGCGTCACGGCTTAGTTGGGCAAACTGCATGCCGAGAGCTGGCTGGCCGCCAAATCGGGAAGCCGACTGAGCCCTGGTTCCAGAGACAGCTTGCCAGCAAAGGGTCGATCTCCAGAGGCTTCGCTTTGTAACTTTTATCCCCTGTACGGTATATAAGGTAATGCTTACACCATTCTACGGTTATCTAAGTACATAAATTAATATGGAGCTAACGATCAACATCAATGAAAAAGTTAATATGATACTCGTGCCAGCACATAAACTGTAACCGACCACATCCCAACGATTGCAAGCCATTTAGCGCATAACAAATCAATGAAAAAGTTAACACTGCAGTGTAATTTGCATCAAATTAAATCCATGGAATTAGGTTTTTAAATTCCCTTTGTGAATCTATGAGACCAGATCTCATTACCCTTACAAAAATGGACACACGCTAATAGTAGCAACACAAATAACCATTAGTGAGCTTATCAGCGGCAGGGCAATGTGAAACAACAAATTCTATAAATAAATAGTTGCAAGGTTTGCATTTTCAACTAATTAACATGAAATCAAGTTATACAGGCAACACCAAGGAATAGCCAACGGCCCCAAACTTGTTCAATAAAAAGCACACCTTGTTAGTTAGTGGCGAGTTTGGAACTTCTACGTCCAACAAGAATCCTTTAGGAAAAACCCCCTTCTCGATATCTCTTATCGTTGCCGTTATTATAGGTAAGCACACGGTCACAGCATCCTTGAAGTTACTCTCCTCACTCTTATCCTTTTTCCTGCAATAGCTTTGATAGTCACTACTGATGAACACATAAATCCCACGGAGCTAATATACATACAAATACAGATGCATACCAATCAAATGATATGGATATGGCCGGCACACCATTAACTACTGCCTCCCTAGCTCCGGCAACAACACTCGAATAAAACCTGCATTTATTGTATTTGTGTATATTAAAATAGAATTAGGGTAAAAAGAAACATGTAATGAATCATAGGGAGCGGGAACTGCAACTCACATATGATGGCCACAGCTCGAGCCCTTGTTGATGCCGCTTATTACCTAAATACACATGAAAAACAAATAAATAAATAAAGCAGACATAAGAAAAACCAAACAATGGTCAAGAAAATCTGCTCCTGAAGAAATGATATCACATACCAACAGAGGTTTCGACCATGAAAACAGCGCACCAGATAATGCCAATGACACACAATCGACCGGAGTTCCTGGATGATGCATATACGACAAAATATAGCATGATCGCCACGTCAAATGACCATTTGAATTAATAAAATCTCATGATTTCTTAACTAACAAGATGCTGTGGTTATTAATGGCATCCAATGGATAGGACAAATAACGGGAACTATTATTATTACATTGATCATCAACACGAATGGCAGCAAACATTAAGTAATCTAGTACATCATACCAGAAACTTCATACGCTACAGCACCCGTAACTTCGACAGAAGCCACCTCAACTGTCTCCTTGAGAGAGACTGAATGCCCCGACGAACATTTTTCCCTACAAACGAGCCGCGGAAATCAGCACAAATGTAAACACATCCTAACATCAATATTAGAAACACCTTATGGCTTCAGATCAGTAAGAAACTAATTTAAATCCATCAAAAATGTTTGTGATGAATATCAACAAAGCCATGAGAATCAAACATTGATCCTACAAGGTTTTAATTCCAGGCTTAAATCAAAACTTGAATTACTATCGAAAGTAGCATTAATTGGTAATGAAATTAGGGCAAAATCATTGATCTAACATAATTCCACAAACGAAACATGACTAATGAACAATCAATAGTTAACTCAGAAAAAATTAGGGAAAGAAACCGATGCACCAATCACCAAATTTAAATGGTGGAATCCACAGCGAAGCACGTACTGCAAATTGAAATCATACAAATCGCATCTAACACATCATAAACAACGCGAAGCGATCGATTATATCAGCGACAAGCAAGCATAAAAGGATCTAAACAATATTGCAAAAAAAAAAAAAAAAATTGAAAGAATACGAAAAACAAGCGAAGAGAACAATAAATTACGATTGAGGAGCGACAACGTGGACGTTGTAAGCGCCTTCGCGAACGAGAGCATCGACCAAATGCGAGAGCCCCGGCGACTCAATCCCGTCGCTATTGGTAACAAGGATGATAGGCTTGGAGGCATCCACATCGGCGGCAGGGTCGTTCTGAGAAGAGGCGGCCGGGGAGGAATCCTCGTCGGGCTTGTCGCCGGCGTCGGCAGATTTACGGCTGGCGAGAGCTTCCTGGAGATTGGAAACGAGGCCGGGAGGGAGGAAGTTGGTCTTGAGCGCAGGAGTGGTCATTTTCAGCGAGGAAACTAAAAGGGGCAAAGGAAAAGGGCGAGGAAGTGGAATCTGACGAAAATGATGATGATGATGAAGAAAGGGGGGAAGGAAGGATGTATAGGCGGGGTAGATTAGGGATGGGTAGAGAGAGAGAGAGAGAGAGAGAACGGTTCAAACGGATACAGTGGTATTTAGCTTTTGCTTTCCAAAGAACGAAGGAGGGAAATGAAATTGGGGAGAACTTCCATTGACGCGTGGCTCACACGCGCTGCAGTGGATGCGTGGGACTATTTCATGCTGTCTGTATATATTTCTCGTTACATTGTTTTTTCCGTAATTGATTTCGAGTAGTTAGGGTATGTAATATGTTCTTTTAGGCTATTTCTAATTCATACCTTTTATTTACTTTTTTTTCGTTTTTTTAACAAATTATTTATTTTTTTATTTTAATTCGTTTTATAATAAAGTTTTTTTTAAAAAAACTCTATTATCTATTTTAACGTTACAAATACTCACATTATAGATAATTTTTTAATTTACAATCTACTCTCTCCATCTCTTTAACTATCTATTCATTTTTTTTATTTTGGCCTGTCTCAATAACAAAATATTTATTTTCTTTTTTATAACTGTAATATCTATTTAACATTACAAATACCCTTCCAATTTATAATATATTACACAAATATCATTACATTTATATCATACAATACTAATAGGATTAATTTAATCTTTTTACCTTTATTTCTATTTTATCTCAATATAATATTAATATTTCTAAAACTTGCAAAAAAAACAAATGGATATATAGATATGGGACGGATGGAGTATTACGTCATTAGCTTTATTTAGTCTTTGTACTTTTATTTTTACTATATTTCATTATAATACTAATATTTTTAAAATCATGTAAAAATAACAAATGAATAAATAAATATAAAACTAAAAGAGTATATAGTTTTAATTTTAAAAAATATGATTGTTACAGTATTTTTATTTTATTTTAAATTATAATTGTATTTTTTATTTTTAAAAAAATATTTTTAAAATATTATATTTTACATATTATTTTAATAAAAAAAATCATATTTACATATTTACAATTCACATGTAGTTTCTATTATTATTTACATGATTATTTACTATTACATAATAATATGTTATTATATAAATAAATAAATAATAATAATAGTACCCCTTCCGTCCCAGATACCGTGTCTGCTATACTGTAGACACGGTATTTTAGGAGATGTATAATTAGTAAATAATTAAGAATGTATTAGTGAAAATAATTATCTTATAATATAAATAATTTTAAATTAAGATTAAGATAACTAATTAGTTTAATTTAAAAAAAAAATTAAAAATTTAAAATAAGATTAAAATGTGTAATCATTTTCTAAAACAAAAAAGTAATATGGTATATGGGACAGACAAAAACGGCAACATAAACATGGTATTTGGGGCCGGAGGGAGTAATATAAAAAACTTTAGTTGATGGCGAGTAGTCATCAACAATAAATGAGGAGACGGGTATAGATATTGTATTGACACGTTACATGTAGAAAAGGGACAATATTATGTCAAGTGGGTATAAAGTACCATTACCCATTTCTCTATTTATTTTTTATTCATTTATTTATTTTTTATTATAATGTGAGGGTTGTTAATTTTGAATAAATTCTCCTTCGAACTAATTTTTTAAGAACATCAACAATGAATGTTTCTTTAATCACATTTTATCAAATTGTTATTACTATTATTATTTTAAAAATATTAAAATAAGTATTTAGTTTTGTTTTTATATTATACAGTATTAAAATTAATTTTACATTTAAAGTATCATATTCATATTTACATTTTGCGTCATTGTACTTAACATTAAAAATATTTTTATATTTGTATAATTTTTTATACAAATGTATTCTACTAGTATTATAAGACATTCATCGAAGTATTTTTGTAATTTTTTCTTAGTTTGTATTATATTTTAATATAATAATTAATATTCAAATAATATGTAAAAAGTAAATGGAACATTTAGAGTCGGATAAATGTAATGTAGCATAACATACCAGCGTCCCATAACAAAGTATCTATTTTTTCATTTTAGTCCGTCTCATAACAAAGTATCAATTTCTTTTTTTTAGTTATTGTACTATCTATCTAATATTACAAATACCCTTACAACTTACAATATATTACACAGATATCATTACATTTATATCACACATACTAATAAGGTTAATTTAGTCATTCATACTTTATTCGTACTATATCTCAATATAATACTAATATTTTTAAAATTACGTGCAAAAAGCAAATTGATATTTAGTTCCGAGACGGAGGAAGTTATTTAAAACTAAAAATCAAACCCCCAAACAAACACACCATCGTGTGTGTGTGTATATATGTAATACAAAAATAATATTATGTATTAAATTGTAGTATTTTTTATAATTAATACAATATATACATATATATTGTATGTTTGACAATTTATTATATTAGATAAATAGAATAATTATTAATTTTAGAAAATAATACCATTATTTTGGAATTGGAAAAATTAAAAACAAATATTTTTTATATTTTTATATAATATAGAAAGTGTATATTCTTTCAAAATTCAACATAGTATATTATTTTAAACTTTGTTTATGGAACACATTTTCAATTATTTGACACTATTTATTTTTCAAAAAATATTTGTCTAATCAAACCCCTAATTTGATCTAACAAAATTTAAATCTAGTGTGTTTGTTTGGGGGTTTTGATTTTGAATTGAGATTTGAATAGTAAAAATTTTGAATTGAAATAGTTGTATGATATGATATAAATAGGTTTTGATGTGATGTTTTGAATGTAAAATTAATTTTTAGTACTCCTTCCGTCCAATTGAAAGGTTACCAGTTTTCATTTTCGTCCGTCCCAAAAAAAAGTTATCATTTTATAATTTAGTAATTGTACTACCTATCTAATATAATAAATATTCTTCCAACTTACACTATATTACACAAATGTCATTACTTTTATATTACACAATATTAATAGGAGTATCTTTGTTTTTTTCAATACAGCTCATTATAATACTAATATTAAAAAATCTACGTGCAAAAAGTAAACGGCAACTTTGTACCGAAACGGAGGAAGTATAATATAAAAAAATAAAAAATACTCCCTCCGTCCATGGATAAAGTATACATTTATTTTTGGCGCGAAGTTTAAGAAATAATAGTATTTTAATTATAGTGGGTAGGTAAAAGTAGTGTAATGATATTTTTGCCCTTGCTTTTTTTTGTATAAAAGTAATGATGTGATATAAAGTAAGGGTATTTGTGAAAAAAAATTGAGTATTTAATGAAATAGTTACTTTGTAATTGAACATTTCAAAATAAAAATATTGATATTTTGTAGTTGGACGGAAGAAATATATGTTTGATTTGATTTTTTGAAAAAAAGAAAGATAATAATAATCCGCAAACAAACACACCATAATAAGAAATAAGTATAATTTACATTGAAAAGGAAATTAAAACTTTTGCATTGGTCCCACTTCCAAGTCCGTCAGTCACTGCGTAGTAATAACGATGGGGCTAAATACTTTTTGACCGGACGTGTATGGGACCGCCTATGATGGCGCGTGGTCTTAGCCAGATCATCATTGTACACAACAACACGTGGCAGCAACCCATTCAATGATTTTATCAAATACTTTGAATAATAATAATAATTATTATTATTAAATAAATAAATTTTCTACAATCATCCGGTACCATATCCAGCTAGGATCCGCGTTTTCAACCATTCCATCTAACTTCAGTATTAAAATAATAACGTTATATATAAACAATAATAAAAAAAAAAAGATTAAAATAATAGTAATAGTAATAATCATAATAAATGCATATTATTTTTTTAGTATGCTATATAACTTTTTATTATTTTAGAATAATAACTAAATTTTGTATTGAATTGATTTTATATATTAGTAAAAATACTTATTATATATATAAATAATTATATATTAAATTAAAATAATTAATTAGTTTAATTAAAAATAAAATATTTAAATATTTTTTAAAATAATATACATAAGATATGAGATTAATATAAATGATAATATGGATATAATAATTGGAATTAAATAAAGAATAAAAAAAATATAATTTAAAAAAACAAAAGAATTGTATGTCGGTTATCCCAAAAAATAATGCGCTAAAGGCCCATTAGACTTTGGGCCATCAATAATTTTCCAAAATGTGATCATCCAAAATTCCTTGAATTTAATAGGTTTTTTTTTTTTTTTTTCGTCCAGTTATAATGTTTGTTTAAACATGATTTATATATATATAATAAGAAAATCATAAAGATTAATTATTATAAAAAATAAAAAATATTGTTATATTAACCAACGCAAGAGATTCACCCAATAATTGCATTTTTTATTTTATATTGTTAAAATAAATGATTATTAAATATTATTATATGAAAGTATACTAGAATTTAAATAAGAATATAATTACTAAAAATAATTATAAAATTAATTTAATTAAAATTTAAAAATTATAAATTATAAAATTTAAACTACAATTAAAATATATAATTATTTTTATTTTTATTTTAAAAAAAAATAAATTAGTAGTACCAATGAAATATTAAATATATTAAAGGTCGAATTGAATTGAATTAAATGCGAGAGAAATTAAAGGTGACTGATGCAGGAATCAGACAGAATAATGACAAAATAAGTCATATGATTTTGTGTAATTTTATAACACTGACAATATTGAATTGAATTAAATTAAATTAAATTAAATTAAATTAAGTTAAGTGTGCATGCACATTTAACAACTATAGCAATTTAAGATTTGTTTATTTATTATTATATATATTATTAAGTGCAGTAGGTCATTCCCAACATTTCTAACTATGATATTCTATTGGGGACTAATGTTTTATTTAATTTTATTAATCGCTTGCAGGTCCACTATATGAAAACCACACATCAACAATAATTTCAAATTAAATTATTGCATTCTCAATTTCAAATAAGTATTTAAATTTGGTTGCTAAGTAATTAGTTTTATTATCTATCTTCAATTTTATTAATTTTCATTAAATTTTTTCGTTTAAGAAAATTTAAAAATAGTTCAATTTAATTATCAAAAGGGATCAAATTAAACTTAAATTTTAAATGGAAACAAATGAAATTAAAATTGCACAAGTAGGGTTGTAAGATGAGGTATGGTGTAATATAGATTTGATTAATGTGGTGTGAGTGTTTTTTCAAAATCTACAAGTTGTTTTGTATTTTGGTTCGAAGAAATTTTTTTAATACTCCCTCGGTCCCAGAAAAGATGTCTTATTGGGAGCGTCGCGAGAATTAAAGAATAATAGTATTTAATTAAAAGTTGGTATAAAGTAAAAAGTAAAAGACTAAAATACTCTTACTTTTTGAATAATTTTAAAAAATAGGTTAAAGTAATAATTAGGGGTAACTTGAAAAAATAGAAATAATTTTATTGTAAAATGGAGACCACGATTACTAAATAAAAGAAAATAAGACAATTGTTTTGGGATAGACGAAAATGGAGAAATAAGAAAACTCTATTGAGATAGAGGGAAGATTAAATATAAAGAATTATATAGGTAATATAAAAATGATAGGTGTGTGTATTGTATTGTATTTTATTTTTTTTTATTGTTTTTTTAAAAAAATGTGTTTTTGGAAAAAGAACATCCCCTACATTTCAATTAATAATTATTTAATATAAATGTCGAGAATAAAATTTTATATAATACATTGAATAAAATTATGTTTTCTTTTCTTCTTCTTTTTTTTTTTTTTTTTTTTTTGCATATAATATAAAGAGTGATTAAATTAGATATGAGTATATAGCTACTAGATGTGACCTGAAAATGAAATGGAAAATGATGAAATAATAAAACACAATTTTGGTAAGAAAGAAGGGCACAATTAAACACACTCATTTTTGTCATTGGTGAAATTTGTAGGATTAGTTTGGTTGTGTTTTTAATAGTCACTACAATAATTGATTTTTTTTTTCTCCTTAAAATATATTACATCCATGTATATATATATTTATATTATATCAAAAAAATTATTTTTATCCAAAACATCTCGGTTAACAATATTTTCAATTCAAATTTCTATTATTCACAAAACTCACCAAAATATTTATTTATTCAATTATTATTATTCTAAAAATTACGGGCTTTGTGAGTTTGTTCTCATAATAATAACATATATATATATATATATATTATTACAAGTTGATAGTAATACTTTCAAATCAAATGTCTCTCTCTATGGCCACAAAAATCATATACAAATCAAACACTCTTTTTAAACATGGTGGGCTCTTTCTCAGTTATTTTACAAGATAAGGGAAAGGTGGAGGAGTACTCTAATGGAGAAAAAAAAAATAATAATAAAAAATAAAAAATGTTTATTATTATTATTATTATTTGCTTGGGTGTAAAGCACATGTAAGTGTGCAATAAAATTATAACATTTTATATTTGCATATATATATTTATTTTGGCAGAAGAGAACAAAAGTAAAGACAGAAAGTGCAGGTCAGAGGTAATACAAGAGATATGGCTTTGGCTTATTTATTTTATTTTATTTTATTTAACCTAATGGTGGAGTTCTTCTTCACTCTTCATTTCTCTCTCATCAGAACCACAAAAAAAGAAACCCACAGAGAGTTATAGAGAGAGAGAGAGAGAGAGACAGTTTTTGCAGGAGATGATGATATATGTTCTTTTATTTCCTTGTCATTTAATTTCTTGAAGAGGCTTTATTTCTTTCTTCCTGGAAATTAAATACATCTTTGAATTTTATTTTTTTTGCCCCTTTTCTTTTTTACAAATTTTTCTAAACTACAACAAACAAAGAGGAACTCAAAATTGTTGTAATCTCCCTCCACTTTCTTACTCTATTTTGTTTTAATTTCTTTGTTAGTCATTTTTGTAATTTAGATCTGCAGTGAAGTTCAATTTTATTTTATTTTTTTTTAAATTTTTCCCAAAAAGCAAAATGAAAACTTTATCATCAGTTCATCATCATCATCAGCAAGAGGAAGCTGAAATCATGTCAAATTTGACAACTTCAGCTTCACCTAATCATGTCAATAATAATAATAATAATAATAATGCTTTGAAGAGGAAGAGGAACCAACCAGGCCATCCAGGTACCCAATTTTCACCAAAGATCATGTTTAATTTTATCCAATCCCAAATCTTGATTTTGCAATAATTTCAATTTTCATGTATAAATTAAATAAATAATTAAACAAATTCTGTAATATATACATACATATATATATATATCTATTGCAGAGCCTGGTGCAGAAGTGATAGCTTTGTCCCCAAAGACTCTAGTGGCGACGAACAGATTCGTGTGCGAAATCTGCAAGAAAGGTTTCCAAAGGGACCAGAATCTTCAGCTACACAGGCGAGGCCACAATCTGCCATGGAAGCTCAAGCAGAGGTCCAACTGTGTACCTACGAGGAAGAAGGTCTATGTCTGCCCCGAGACAACCTGCGTCCACCATGACCCTTCCAGAGCTCTCGGCGACCTCACAGGGATCAAGAAACACTTCTGCAGAAAACATGGCGAGAAGAAATGGAAGTGTGAGAAATGCTCCAAGAAATACGCAGTTCAATCCGATTGGAAAGCCCACTCCAAAACCTGTGGCTCCAGGGAATACAGATGTGACTGTGGCACCATCTTCTCCAGGTATTCTTAGAGAGAGAAAAACTAGAGAGAGAGGAGGATGATGATGATGGATTGATGAGGTAATAATTTGATTTATTTTATTAATTGTTAGGAGGGATAGCTTTGTTACACACAGGGCTTTCTGCGATGCACTGGCTGAAGAAGCTACAATAACGTCATCAATGGCGGACACAGCCCCAATCCCTGTGAAGAAAGAGCTAATTCACAGTTTCAGCATCAGCCCTGAGACGATATTAAGTAGAATTCCAATTCTACCCCTGTCTTCATCCTCCTCATTATCGCCAATTACCTTTCCCCAAAACCCTAACCCTAGAATTTGCCCTCCCCCCCAAATCTCAGCCACAGCACTTTTACAGAAGGCAGCTGAAATCGGTGCGAAAACCAGCAGTGTCATCAGCACGCACGTGACGGGTCACGTGCCGGCGCCACCTGGAAACATCGAAACGACATGTCTGAACCTGGACATGTCGTCACGTGACGGCAGCCTGCTGCAGAACCTCTTCGATAAAGCTGCAATTTCAGGTACATTCACAGGTGATCCTAACAGCCCTCCGCCTCCTTTCACGACGGCGGCGGCGGCGATGATGATCGGCGGCGGCGGCCCTGGATTCGAATCTCCTTCCTACTTCGGCGATGATTTCTTGACCCAATATTCTTCCTCCAAGAAGGATTCAGACAGCCTGGATTTCGATTCAACGATGACTAGGGATTTCTTGGGATTGAAAAACCTGTCGCAAACTGATATTCTTAGCATCACAGGATTCGCCATTAATGGCGTCGACGGCCATGGTCGTGATAATCACCATCACCCACCAAATCCCCGCCAAGGTAATTAATTAGCCTTTCAATAGATATAAAATTATACATAAATGTATGTAAACATATATATATATATACATATGCATCTGCAATGTGTGTGTCTTCTTGATTAATCCGCCATGGAAATAAACCATATTGAAACCCTAGATTTACATATACATACACATATATATATATATAATACATGTATTGTACTTGAAATGGCTTCTGGTAATATATTGGGTGTGTCCTTTTGGGTGGGATTGGATTTGGAGATTTAAGTTTTTTTTTTTTAATTTAAATATTACTTCTTTTTATTTTCATTTTTGTCTGTCCTCTAAATTAATTTATCACTGTCAACAAATCAATATTTAATTATTATACTTCATTCAACATTTATATATTACTAACTTATTATCTCTTATCGTTTATTTTTATTTCTAACCAAATTTTTAAAAATACCTTCAATTACTTGTCATTTTTCAATAAAATATTTATTTTTCTTAAATTCCGTAACAGATTCAAATGAACTTATTTTTAGTGGAAGGAGGAGGGAGTATTTGATATTGTTCATATTTTGTGAAAAGGACATAATTAAAAACAAAATATATATTTTTTTCAAAAATTATTGTAAAAACGAGAAGAAACACATTCTAGCTATCATTTCCTTCTCTTAAAAATTTGCTTCTTTATATATATATATATATATATATATTTTTAATATGGAATATGGGAATGGTGTATGAATATGAAACATGAACAGAAATGGACATTGCCAAATTGGTGATTAATTCTGAAGAATTGGAGAATTACTGCAGTTGAAATTTATTTACTAATGTTGAAAAGTGGTCTATTTTACCTTAATTTGGCCGATTCTTGCCCAACCCCATTTATCTAAAATTTATTTTTTAGAATATATATATATATATATCTTTCATTTAATATTGAATATTTTTAACCTAAAATCAAAATAACTAGTATAGAATTTAATGGAATCTCCAAAACACTTTCTTATTTTTTATAAATTAAACCTTATCAAACAATCTTAGAACTGAGCTAACTTAATGATTGTATAATATTGTTTATTTTGGGTTGAATTTATTTTTGGATTTCTTCAAAAAAAAATCTCTAGTAGAGTATAGCTCTTCTTTTACTTTTGCAATTTGAGGCTTGTATTTGCAATCAATATATATTATCGACTCCAAATTCGGGTAAAATAGATATTGTTCCGCAAAATTTGAATAGGGTTAGGAATAATTCTTGAAATTTAGAGTAAATTGAGATAATATTCGGCCATCAAAGCTTCAAATTTTCCAAGATGTAAAATTTTAGGTTATGTTTTTCATCTTTTATTATTTTAATTTACCAACTAATATTGTCCACAGCTTTCTCATCCTATTCGAAATAATTCTTGTCCATTTCATATATAATAATAATAATAATAATAATAATAATAATAATAATAATCCAACAGTAGTGTCGGAGCGACGTGCCAACGGCTAGACTAGATATACCATAAAGGGAAATATATATAGCCACTAGTTACTTGGAATAGGATTTGCTTATTTCTTGAAATATATATATATATATATATGGCTACAATAATATCATCATATATATATATATGTATGTATTGTAATAAATTGAATGTTGGTTGAACCATACAAAATATTACACACAATTAGTTGGCACGGCATGAGAGGTGCAAAAGAGAATGTCTTAACAATAAATTCTTTCAATAGAAGAAATTATACTTTTATGGTGTGTTTAGTAAGGTAATTGGTAGCAGAGAAATTAAAATATTTTCATTTCTTTTGTTTGGTTTAGTTGAGTTAGACAAATGAAACTTGAGAAATAAATCATTTTTGTTTCTCTATGTTTATTTTTCTTATATATTCCGAGAAATTGAAAGAAATGATGTTGCAGTATATATTTTTTTTATCCTTTTTTGTACTATTTAATTTTTATAATTATTTATATTATATTATTTCAGTTTTACAAAAATTATATTTAATTTATCATAAGTATTTAATTTTTTACAATTTTTAAAAAAAATTATACTAAAATATGATCTTACAAAACTTCGTATATAATTTATAATTTTTTTTTAAAAAAAAGTTATCAGAAATATTTTTTTCATAAATTCTCACTCGCTAAAACTCTTTTTTGTTAAATTAATCCTTTATTCTTATCCGATCCATTCTTTTTTTTTTTTTTTTTCTTTACATTTTTCAACTGAATTCTCTATTCTACCAAACAAGACTCTGCTCAATTCCCTTTCTCTCTAATTCTATTCTCTACTCATTTGCAATTTCATTCTCTATACCAAACTTCCCGGTAGCACTTTGTTGTTAGTTCTTGTGTGTACTGTAATTAATTAACAAGGCTTTGTTTTGTTTTGTTTGATTTATAAGAAAATACAGTTTTATAATTTTTAAAAATATATATTATTTTCTAAAATCATGTTCATATAAATACTAAAAGATAATAAAAAAAAAAAAAAAAAAAGATGCAAAAGAGAAAGGGATTTTCAATCCCAATGTGCTTCCCATCAAAACTTGTCTCCCCTTTTAACATTATATATATATATATATGCATTTTTCTTAATTTTATTGCATTGGATTGTGTTGTGTTGTAAACATCACATTGGGATCTTACATTTATTTTACTAATATTTAAAAAAATGTTTCTATAGTTTATTTGATTTATAGGATTGAATATGTATATTATAAGTCGATTTGATTTATTGTATTTGTGTTGAATTTACATTTTTTTTAGATTTTTATTTAAATTATTTTAATTTAATCTTTTATAGCAGTGTAAGGTTATTTTATTAAAAATTGTACGAATTGAATCATAAATTTAAAATATTGGTTTGTAACACAAACCAAACAAACTTGCACATAATAATATACATTTATTTTAATTCAAGGCTTAACAACATTTTTTCACTATGGCGTATGTTGTTTGTTTACTTTGGTTACTTTCAAAAATAATATAATATTTTATAAGAGAATATATATATATCTATCACGATATTTGAAATAAATTAAATAGTGTCAAAATTCTATAAGTAAATCCCCAGTCAAATTAGGCGAACCATGTGTGGCAAGTGACCTGAGACGTCATGAATTTGAATCCCGAGGTCATAAGTCAAATCCCTAAACCACCGGGCCATCCGGGGAGGGGGACAATACATATTTGACTGTTAGTTGTGTGAAAGTTGGTTTGCAGCAGTGCAACCACACTCAAAATGTAATAATAATAATAATAATAATAATAATAATAATAATAATAATAATAATTTGTGGATGATAATGATGCAATTATGATAACAAAAAATACTCCCTCCTATCCAGATACCGTGTCTACTACACTGTAGACACGGTATTTTAGGAGGGGTGTAATTAATAAATAATTAAAAATATATTAGTAAAAATAATTATCTTATAATATAAATAATTATAAATTAAAATTAAGATAATTAATTAGTTTAAATAAAATTAAAAACATTTAAAATGAGATTAAATTGTAATCATTTTTCAAAAAAGAAAAGTGACGTGGTATGTGGAACGGACAGAAACGGAAACATGGACATGGTATGGACGGAGGGAGTAATAATAATAATAATAATGGTTAATTATTGGCAAATAAGATTACAACATGTAATTGATCCATTGAAAATTAAAGTAGAAATTTAAAAATAATTTGATTTGATAAGGTAGGTAGCTAGGAAAAGAAATGAAAGGTTTCACATCACATGCAAATAGTAAGGTTGGTGGGAACAAATCAAAAGTTAGAGGCCCATTATGTTATGTTGGATATATTTCACTACATACACCCTTCTATATCTATATCTATATCTATATATATATATATATTAGAAAGAGTTAATAAAAAATAATGAAGTAGATAAAATAAGTAAAAAATATTTATTATCTGTTAAAGTAAACTGATAAAATTATGTGTAAATAAAATGATTTATTATAAATAAATTATAGGAGTATCTAAGTTTAAGCAGATTACATAGTTATCACAAATAAGTAGTTTGTGGAATATTGGGCCTAGCCCAAATAAAATTAACTGGACTTGAACGTTTGCTGAGCCCAATATATGGCCTGCTTCTTTGTGGTTGGGGGCTTGGAGCTCACATTTTATAGAAATATTTTATTTAGAATTTATTTTTCATTTGAAATATTTCATTTAGTTTTTTTTTTCTATTTAAGAAAGTAAATTTTTTGTTTAAATAATAATGTAATACTCCCTTCATCCACAAACTAACCTCCTACTTTCCTATTTGGAATGTCCAACAATTATTGTCATTTATTATTATACACAAAAAATACTCTTTTACCCTTACTTTATTTATTTTTTCATTTTCTATACACAAGATTAAGGGCAAATTTGTCATTTTATAACAAAAATTCTAATTGTTTAAAAATATGTGTAAATATTAAATAGGACATTAGAAAATGGACGGAGGGAATATAATAATTTAATCCAAAATAAACCTAAGAAAGAACAACAAATTCATAATAAGGAGGAGCATTATCTACCTATCTATATTTAATATTCAAATAAAGTTTATTTTAAATAAAAATTAGATAAATTTGTGCAAGAGTACATTCTAAAATATATCATCAATAACTTATTTTGAAATCAAAAACATTTGTCATTATACTATTTGTATCATTTACTCTCTCCGTCGTTTCACAATCTATCCATTTTTTTATTTTGGTCAGTCTCATATCTAGTAATTGTATTATCTTTATAACATTACAAATACCCTTCCAATTTATAATATATTACACAAATATCATTACCTTTATATCATACAATACTAATATGGTTAATTTAATCATTTTATTTTTATTTCTACTTTATCCCAATATAATACTAATATTTTTAAAATTCCGTAAAAAAAACAAATAGATATAGAGATATAGGACAGATAGGGGTATTTTATAAGGACAAAAAAATAAAAAATTATACTACAATAATAAAAAGGTTTTATGTCAGGGAGTTTTCCGTCATAAAATTTTGATAAACGTGGGGGCAGTTGATGATATTATTCAACTTTTTGGGGTTAATAATTAATACTAATAAATTAAGACCAACTATAATGATTAAGGAATAATGAATAATAATACCTGTAAACTTACACTAATAAATTTTGATAAGACTTTGAGAATTTTGGGGGAAAAATTTAATACTAACGATATTCAATAGAATAATATTTAAAAAATATATATTGTTGATTTATATTAAATTTTAAAAATCGGTATATGTAAACTTAATCTAAAAGTGCGTTTATTTAGTAATTTTTTTAACTTGATTTTAATAATATTATAAACTTTTTTTTTTATTTAGTAATTTTTTTAACTTGATTTTGATAATATTTTAGACTTATTGTTTTATGTAATAGAATAATTTAATTTTATTGAAAATAGTAAAAAATAAAAATATATCCTAATTTATTGTAGACAACTGTCATATGAGTGAAGTGGGACACACGACTCATTTCCAATTTCCAATCACAATAATTAATTTATAATAATTATATTTAATCTCTTAAATTATTTATTAATATATATGTCTAATTTATGCTATAATTTACTCCAATAGTAACATCAATTATTTAAACATTTTTTTATAATGTGTTTTGCTTTGGAAATGTATACATACAATATTAATATTCAACTCATATTTTATTAATCATTTATTAAAATATTATTTTGTACAAAATCATACCGATTTGTTAATTTCGATTTTTTTTATTTTTTTATATATAATTTTTAAAGAAGGTAAAATGTCTCGTACATTCAAATTCATTTTATTTTATTAAAAAAATTGAGCTGATAAAGTGTCGGTGGAAGATTAACCTATTGTTTGACATAGTTTATCATTTTTTTAAAAAATAAATTTATTTTAGCAAATATTGATCCAGATTTTTTTTTCTGATGTGTTTGTTTTGTTTTTTTTTTTAATTTAAAATATTTTAATATTAAATACAAAAAAAAATATATCAATAATACAGAATGGATACATTTAATCAAGTACTTAGGTAATTTAATTCAAAGCAAGTCATAATAATTTATAAAAGCATACAAAAGTGATGAGATATGAAATATAAATCTAATAATTACAAAAATTGAATTATTATAGATGGGGGACCTGACCTCCTCCCTAACCCACGATTTTATTTTATGATTAAATAAAATTAAATTTTTTTGTGATATATATGAACTCCTTGACTTGTATGTATATAAAATCAGATTATGTGTTAATAGTTAAAACATTATAATGGTATTAAATATTATTTCAAGTATTGTAAAATTTAATATGGAAAAAAAGTTATACTTATTTTATTAGAATATATAATACTATTTATTAATTTGTTTAGAAAATAAAAACAGAGCATATGGGAGGGTGTGTCAGTGTCACCCAACATGTGGACTTAAAATTCTGTAAATTTGCGTCACGTTATAATAAAATAATAAAAAAAAAATTAATAATAATAATAAAAATCTATAAAATTGTGGAATCAAAATTAGGATATGTAGTAATGTTGTAACCATGTGACAATATGCTCCATATTCTCAACTTTATACATATATGACGTGTTTATTTTATTTTTATAATTAGAATTCTGATTTTTTTAAAAAAAAATATAGAAAAAATAAACAAATAAGAAACCAATAAAATTTTCATTGCCTCGTTTATTGCTACCTAAAATTTCTTCACAAAGAATTCAATGAATTTTCATTTATAGTAAGTTTCTTTACTCACTCTTCTTTACCAAAATTGTAATTTTATCAATTTTTTAATAAAAGTTTTACATTAAATCATGATTTTATTTATTCACAATAGTAAATTTTAAACGAGCTCTAAAAGCATTTCCAATGGCGCTGGGTTAACTTATTTGGCGTCGGTTCGAGACAACCGATGCCAAATTCAACGCCATTTTTTTGCGTTGCTTTATTTTTTATTTTTTTAATTTTTAAAATTATAAATTTAATTTTTTAAAATTTTTATTTTAAATTATAAATATAAAAAATTGTTTAAAATAATATGAAATTTTGAATATTTGAAAAATAATAGTTAAAACTGAATAAATGGAGTTGATGGATTGGAGATTGACTTAATTTATCTAAAGTCTGGTTTGGAATTATTCATTTTTTTTTTCTTTTAAAATCACAGAATTTTCTCAATCCAAAAAAGGTGAAAATATATATAATATTTATTAGTTTTAGTGTAAACTAAATTATAATAATACATTATTTAAAATTGAGGCCAAACAAATCCTAGGAAATTCGTAGAGAAGCATAATGAAATCAATTTTTGTAGGAAACAATAATAATGTAAGAATTACAATGAACTATAAAGTCAACCTAATTAATTCAGCAATTAATTCCCATAATTAGGTATGCAATAAATTCAACTCAACAGAAAGAAATTTTCAATAAATATCTCATTAATCAATTGGATTTTGTGCTACAAGATATTTAATAGTTGTTAAAATAAAAAATTAATTAATAAATGAATAAAAAAGACCTACACGTTTAATAAAAATAGTGATAACAAACTCTAATGTGTATTCTTTTATATATAATATTATATTTTTGTCGGAATTAATTATGCTATTATTTGTTTTTTTAATTGTTCTTTAAATTTATGTATGATCTATTCATAGTAAATAATTTTACTTTTTTCATAATTTTATTACTCTTATACTAACTAATGCTAATAATTTATTTATTTATTTTTAAATAAAATTCATATAATACTTATATTTTATCTTTTACTTTTATATAAAAATACTATTATTTATTAATTTTCATAAAGATTATATTAAAGCACTATTTTAATTAAAATTTTGAGATAAAAACTCAAATTCAAATAAAAAATAAACTTCAATTTCCAATCAGATTTCCATTTTTAATCTATGAAATGTCACAAATGCTAAAATATTTCACAACTGAAAATAAAAATAAAATAAAATAAACATTTCCTAAAGTAATGACAATCATATACCAAACAAAGCCAACAAAATTAAATGTTCATTTCCCAAATATTAGATACCAAAAAAATAAAAATAAAAATAAAAATAAAAATATTTATCACACCTGGAATAGAATCGATCGAATTCTCAAACTGTCCATTTGATGATTTTGATTCGCGGATCGACTTTGCACTTCACGTTCGTCGTCGCCGCCGCCGTCGCCGTCGCCGCCTTGCCGGCGGGGACTGAGATTTTGATTCCGTCGCAGATCACTCTCACTTTCAACTTCTTCGTCTCGATTTTGCCGATTTTCGCCTTCACCTTCGTCTCCAGTTCGATTTTCAGCGGCAGATTTTTGCTCTTCAGGCTCGATTTCACAGAGGATATGTCGGTCCCGTCGGGAATCGGAGAGTTCGAACTCGAAACAACCGCTCTCAGCGTCGTCACGTTTTTCCTGGCGTGAGCGAACGCCGGAAAAGCTCCGTCGCCTATTTCAAGGTCTCCGGAGAGTATCCTGACGGTTACCGGATCGTAGAAGAAGGAGATCTTCTTATTAGGGTTTCGAGCGGTTACAGAGATGTTGAAATTGGAGGTTACAGATGTGTCGGTGAGGTTGAATCTGGAGAGGCGGAGACTGTTCACCGAGAAGGACGGCCGGTGAGGTCGGTAAATGATGTAAAACACCACTCCGGCGACGGCGGCGAGGAAGATTAAGCACAGAATCGCGACGGTCGTCCAGAGACAGCACGCGCAGAAACATCCTTTGCGGCTTCTTCTCCGCGGCGGCGGCTGAGGGCGGTACGCCGGCCGCGTTGCGTTATATAGCTGAGCTTTGTTCGCCGGAAATGACGAATTTGCCCCTCCGTTCTCCGCCGCGCCTCCGCCGTTCGCCGCCTGCTTCGCCGATGGGTACACTCTGTCATTCATCTTTTTAATTTTAATTTTTTTTTCTCTGTTTTGCCCTAATTAACTTCTTTTAATTTCCACAATATATATATATATAACCTATACGTATAGAGAGCGAAAGAGAGATGCAATGAGTGAGAAAGTGACAGAGAAGAAGAGAAGAATATATACAGAGATATACAGAAATATATGTATATATATGTATAGGCGAAAATGGAGACAACAACTGCTTAGCTAATACAGCCTAATAACAATTAATGAATAGCTAGCAGTTAAGACCGCGTTTGGCTGTTTTTATGAAATGGGGAATTTCGTATTTTAGGTTTTTGGTCAACGTCAAAATTAGGTTAGTGATTTTGCACAAATTGTGAAATTAGGCTACGTTTTTTTATTTAATTTAATTTTTGGGCTTGCGAGTGATTTTTAACCTAAAAGGATGTTTGCTTCCCAACATCCATTTTCACATTTCTTCATTTATACATATTATTATTATCATCGGTCATTCACATTTTAATTTTATTATTATTATTATTATTATAGTAAAAATGGTTACCTTATTAATGCATGTGATGTTGACTTTAATTGAAAGCAAAAAATAAAAAATTAAAAAATTAAACTCTATAAATTGTTTTGTTAAGCCAAAATCATAGGGTCGTGTTTGTTTGTATTCTGAAGCTTGTAAATATTTTGGGGCAATCAATAAATGTGTGTTCTTTTTGCAAAAATAATCCAAACATTTAGTTCAAAAATTAATATATTACATATATTTATTATTTTTATATTACTTATGTAATTTCATATACTATTCTAATTATTTTACAAAACAAATACACCCTAATTTTCAATACAAATGTATTTCAGTGACAATATATTATTTTACACCCTAAGTAAAATGTATGTCGCGTATGATATTTTACATAAGAAAATTATTTTCAATACAATAATTTGAATGTAAATTATGTAAACCAACATTTGATTTAATTTTTTTAAAGAATATAAATTATACTTCCTTCGTCTATCAAGATTATTCCTATTTTCTTTGTAGCTTTTTTAAAATACAAAAATAAATAAATAAGAACACTTACAATCTTAGAGGGTGATGCTAACTTTTTGCTAATATGATTTTTTGGCGGGCCTCAGACCTAAATGGGCCTAATTGCACAGGCCCAATAACATCTAGAATTAGCCCGCCCAATACATAGGTGGATCAATAATATATTTATTTTTGCTACAGAGTAGATATTAATTTATTAATAAATAATAAATTCACCATACTGATGGATAAATTAATTTAATTATTACATGCCTCAGTTCATACTTCAATCATAGAGTTTGGTAGTTGAATTGTGTCACCCAATGGAAAATAAAAATAAATAAATAAATAATAGAGAGAATAGTAATAATAATAATAATAATAATAATAATAAGAATATTAGTATATTCCACCGACAACCCCAACTGGTAGTAGTTGTTTTCATCAGGCAATAATATCTGTCTATACCAATCTTTTCTCTAGTTACTTTCAAACAATCATGCCTTTAATTGAACTTCTACCAATTTTTTTTGTAACTAAATTCTTTCAATTTTTTAAAAATTACTAAATATAATGAGTTTCTTATTAGCTCAACATATACAATGGGTTTGTATGTTCATTGTTTTAGTTTGAAGAACTTTTCTAAATAAGATACAAAAAAAATATATATATATATAAAGAATTATATCGAAAAATATAAAAAATAATATTTTATATTAAATATTAATTTTTATAAGAGAATAATATATATATCTTGAAAATCGTATCGAAAAAAAATATATTGAGCAAATAAGCTTATATATTTAAATTATAATTTCATAGATTTAGACAAATTTTAAACGGTTTCAACTTTATATTTAAGAGAATTTTGATTAGTTTGAAAATAGTTAAAAATTGAATAGAAAATCATTATTCAATGTATCATATAAATAGATATTAGGCACTATATTTTGAATAAAGAATTTTTTTTTTCTTTCTCATTTGTCTTGTTTGAAAATATATATTTTTTATAAAGTAGATTAAATCAAAATAGTATTACATTGATTGATGAGTTTGTGTAATACTAAAAGAGTCTAAAATATTATAAATTTAGCTGATCAAATTGAAGCATATGTGATATGAATCTACAAATAAAAATATATAAGAATAAAACTAAATTGATATTTGAGTGATGACATAAACTTACAGTTTCGTAAGGATGGTCAGGTGGTGGTTGAATTCGTCACTTTGAGTTCATGAGTTTATCAAATTCACGACCTTTACAAAGTTTACAGGTCTCGTCACCCATCTATGGTTCGTCTGATATAAAAAAATTAGATTAAAAATATCAAATAAAATACTTGTTTTGTTTCAATACAATAGTCTTGTTTACTATTTTTGTCCGTTTCAAAACAATAGTCTCATTTCCATACAGAATTGTCACTGCTTTTTACACTAATACACTCACAATAGGGTAAAAATGTCTTTTATCAGTAATTTTTACCCACTGTCTATATAATATCAATATTTTTTAAATCTCATGCCAAAGACAATCCAGACTATAGTTTTAAAACGGAAAGAGTATTATTTAAATAAAATCTAAATCATCCACCCCAATCTCCATTGAAAAGAAATACACACACCCCATAATAGAGAAAACTTGTTTGGAATCTTGAAATTTCAAGATAACTGTTCTCCCACAAATGAATTAAGTTCAAATTCAGCTCTCAGATTAAAATAATCTGTTTTGAAATTATGAGCAAAGCCCTTTTCCAAGAAAGGGATTAAAAATTAAAATATATCCAAATTCCAATAAAACACTGAAAAATTGATGCCCAATTTAGTGTAAACAAATTTGTGTGATTGTAATTAGTTATTTAATCACCACTAACTCTATAAGAATGATAAAATAGGAAGAGAGTCTGACATATCCAACACCAAATTTCTTACACCACCTACCTAATGTTGACATGTGGGGACTTTCCCACACACCCCCACCCCACCCCACCCCCAAGTCCTAACTTCAATATTCAATAATATCCTTTCTTCCTTCAATAATATTAATTCATTCATTGAGTTTTAATGGCACATTTTGCCATTTCCCCTTCACTTCATTGCTTCACCTGTCACCATTTCCATCACAATTAATGGAATTCATTGTGTGGACTTTCACTACAATGTTCTTGCTTCTTACTAGGATATATATATATATATATATGGAATAATGGGTTTTTAGAAAATTGACCAAAGATTGGATCTTTTTATTTATGTGTATGTGTAAAAATATATATTAGTGGATGGGAGGGAATGGATGATCCATTAAAACAAAATTAGGGTTTAGTGAATTGGCCTTTTAGATTAGGTCTTGGCAGTGTCCTTTTCTGATTAATAAATGCCCAATCAAATCATAAGGAAGAGAGAATGTTCCAATTTCCATTAGGGTTTTTTGATTGATTTCTTTCTTGCAGAGCTTTTGACAATGGGGCACACTCACTGCACTGCCTTTCGACTCTTTCTTCAACTGTTGGTATGTTGACATTTGCCATTCATCAACATTTATTACAGGTTAATTACTCTCTCTCTTCTATTCCCTCTCCAAGATTCATTTTTTTAAAATTGTTTTTGGGGTTAAATCTTGTTCTTTGTCTTTTCATGGGGGCTGGCTTTAATTCTATCTCCTTTCGATAAAGTGGTTTATGAAAGGGTGTGTTGCTGGCTGGCTCCTCCTCCTTTACCTTTCTTGTCGATCAGTTAGTTTTAGCAGTGAGGAAGAAGAGGATAGATACTATTTCACTGTTAACACTCAAACACAGAGAAAAAAAGAAAAAAGAAAAAAGAAAAAAAAGTTGTTTCACAACGTGTAAAATTAAGGAACAGTTATTTCTTACACCTAACAGGGCTTTATGTTCCATTTTTGCTTCACTGTCTGGCCATAAGTTGTGCAGTACCATTGGTGGGTGTCTGTGAAAGATTTTTTTGTTGAAGATTTTTAAAATGGGTTGTGGTTTTGGAAGATGTTTGATCTTCTGCCATTGATGATTGGGAGATATGGAGCTGCAATTGATCAATTTCTTGTTTCTTGAATTCTCTTTGATTCTCTCTTCTCTGTTATTTCAAGAATCTGCTGGTGAGACTCTTCTCTGCTATTTATGTTTATGAATTCTGTTCTTTTAAGATTTTTCTTGATTTTCTTGAAGTTTTTGGGTATTGCAAAGTTTGAACTTTGGATAATCTATGAATGCGATCATATTTGATTAAGTTTGATCAGTTTTCTGTTTAGCTGCAAGATGAGGTTTTAAACTTCATTTAAAATTAGAATTTATGATTCCTAACTTCTTATGGTGAATCGCAATTTTAATTTGAGCACAAAAATGAACTTCTTGCAGGTCTTCATCTTCCAAGATTTTTATTACTGCAGAATGGTAACTTTTCTTTCTCTGTTTGCTGTTGAGATCACATTTTCGAAAGTGTCAGAAATTAAGTTCATGCTCTTGTTAAACTTGATATGATCAGAGAAAGGATCAGTCAGAGAAACAAATTCACAATTCAGAAACCATCACTTCAGGAAGAAAATTCACCACATTGCTGATTCTGAGCCACCTAAAGCTTCGAATCCATGGCGGGGTCTGTTCCTGGAACCCGAAGTTTATTTCATTCGATATTTCTACTGCCATTGATAGTACATTGCTTTTTCTTGTCGCGCAGGCCCTGCAATGGCGCCGGCTCCATCTTCCCTTCCTTCTTCGCGCCGAGAGCTGCCATTGCCGGCAAATGCAATTCCACCTTATCATGTATATGGTACACAACAAAGTTCATTTTCCATTCGATATTTCCATTAGTATTTTCATCTCTGATCATAGACAGGGACTTTTGGAGTTTTAAAATAATTTGGAAATAGTAAAATGTTAGGCTGCGGATCACGTGATGATCCTGCCAAGTCAGTATAGTGCTGATTGCTGATTTGACTGCATCAACATATGTCATACACATAACCCGTATATATTTACACATAGTACAACATATGTTGAGTTATAATATAATATGTATTGTATTATAAATATGCTGAGATATGTATAAATATACGCTGATTAACTATATAGTATGCCGATCTGGTTAGATAAGCACCATCCTGACTTGATCGAATCAACAGCCGATCGATTCCCAAAAAGTTAGTGTTTGATGTAATATTTTGTGAGTAATGATAGATATTTGATGGGATCCTTTTCTTATAAAAGTTATTGTTGATGAACAATACCAAAATTCCTATATTTATTTGGAGTTGGTTTGGAAAATTTTGATTTGAGTTTGATATTAACATAATATTTCATGAGATATTTTATGAGAAAAAAAATATAATGCAGAGTTCAAATAGTAAAATTTGAAAAATTTTGTTAAAAGGAAGTTTTTGTGTAAAATAACGATGCACGTCTCTACAAAATCAAACTTTTAAATGAGATAGTCATTGAACATCTGCAATTACTAATCAGTTCTTGTTACGTGTGTTCGCAAGTGTCCGGCCCTTCGCCAGCGGTATCTCCGACGAACTATCATACGACAGATGAAAACGGAATGATATTACCATCGCCTCCTCCTAATCAAGGTATGGAATCAATGAGTTAGCTTAGTATCATCACCACGTGTCATGAATTTTCTTCGAAATTTTTCTTGATCAGAATGCGCGGCTTTAACGTGCTCGGAGCCACTGACGTACACGCCTCCTGGCGCGCCCTGCGCCTGCGTGTGGCCCATCGAAGTCCGATTGCGGTTCGATATTCCTCTCTACATGTTCTTCCCATTGGTCTCGAAGCTTGCCGAAGGAATTTCTACTGCGATTCCATTGGATCGTCGCCAAGTTCGCATAATGGGAGCCGATGCTGCGGACCAACAGCTCGAGAAAACCACTGTCCTCATTAACTTGGTCCCTCTCGACGGCACATTCGACGCAGCGACTGTGTTTTTGATTTATACAAAGTTTTGGAGGAGACAATTCTCGATCAAGGCCTCTGTTTTCGGAGCTTATGAAGTCGTATATGTTCGATATCCAGGTAATTTTCGGAGCTTATGAAGTCGTATATGTTTGATATCCAGGTAATAGGCATTTGATGTCGACTAGAAGTGTTAAACGAGCTGAGCTTATGTATTTATTGTTTGAGGTCAACTCGAACATGCTATCGGTACAGGTTCGATCTGGTTCATTTAGAATTCAAGCTAAAATAGTGGCTTGAATTCGGCTCGATTTCAAATTCGAGCTCGGGTCGTAAGACTCGAACTCGAGCTTGTGTAGCTTCTGACATAAAAAAAGTTATATATATATTACATTATATAAATATATAAAATAATACCGATACTTTCTTTCTCATCCAAATTTATGTCCACTTGTTTTTTTTTTTTCATTATTAAAAAATATTTCCGTTTTCTTTTTTAGTAAATTTTTTTTCCCATCTTTTTTTAAATTTATATCCGATTAAATGAGCATAATTTTACATGAAAGAAAGAGTATGTCATTACTAATTAATTCAATTCAGCTGCCAACGAGTCGAGTTCGAGCTCAACTCGTTTATTTCTATAAACGAATCGAATCGGACTGTTAACAAGCTGAATTAACTTAGTTCGCAAGCTACTCGATTTATTTAACAGTTTTCAGGTCACCTCCATTGTACTCATTTTGTTGCTCTTAATTCACTTCGACGAAAACTTCGCAGGTCTACCGCCATCTCCTCCTTCGACGATCTCCGGTTCTGCCACAATTGACAGCCAACGGTATCCCGGAGGCAGCAATGACGATGGACCAATGAAGCCATTGGGAGTCGACATTCCGAGGAGGAAGAGAACCAACTCCAGCAAGAACACGATCATCATTGTCGTCCTATCCTCCGTGATTGCATTTTCTCTGTTCATCGTGTTTATTTGGCTGCTCTCGATGAAATACAGATCTCGCACAACGCCGCACAGGCAAAGTCACCTAGCTTTAATTTCCTCCGATCGAAAACCATCCGGTACGGCTTACATATCAGCTAAATTTCGATTAAATTTCTCGACAAGACGATCGATTATAGAGGCGTTTGACAAACATTTGCAGGCGGCGCCCGATTGCTGACTTTAAGAAGCAGGCCGAGCTCGGCGTCAGTGTCGTTCAGTTCTAGTCTTCTGGCATGCACGGGATCTGCGAAGATTTTTTGCATCGAGGATATCGAGAGAGCCACGGATAACTTCGACGCCTCGAGAATTCTCGGCGAAGGTGGGTTTGGACTTGTGTACGGCGGTGTTCTCGACGACGGGCGGGAGGTCGCCGTGAAAGTTCTCAAGAGAGAAGATCAGCAAGGCGGGCGCGAGTTTTTAGCGGAAGTCGAGATGCTCGGGAGGCTGCATCACCGAAACTTAGTAAAACTAATCGGTATATGCGCTGAAGATCAATGCCGATGCCTCGTCTACGAACTTGTTCCTAATGGAAGCGTCGAATCTCATTTACACGGTCGGTATATGAGTTCAAATATTCATTTCATCGTTTCTATCACCATTGTTGTCGTTATAAGATATGTCAGATTTCCGTTGAATTTCACAGGAGCCGATAGCCAAGCGAGTCCTCTCGACTGGTGCGCGAGGATGAAAATTGCGCTCGGTTCGGCCCGCGGTTTGGCGTACTTGCACGAGGACTCGAGCCCGCGAGTCATACACCGAGACTTTAAGGCGAGCAACATTTTACTCGAACATGACTTTACTCCTAAAGTCTCCGATTTCGGTTTGGCTCGAGCAGCGCTCGAAGAAGGCAACAAGCACATTTCGACTCACGTCATGGGAACTTTCGGGTAATCATCGATTCGATTTCTTCCTAGGGACTCGAACACGAGACGTCGTGGCTCTGATATCATATTAAATAACAGTCTCATTTAAAGTTTATCAGAGTCGGAACGTCCCGTGCTCGAGTTCTACTGACCCTTATTCGTCATAGTTCATGTGCAAGATTCGTATGCGACGCAAATTTGCACATTTGGACTCACATCATGAGAACTTTTGGGTAATTGTCTGATCAATTTCTTCCTAGGGACTCGAACACAGGACGTCGTGGCTTTGATACTATGTTAAATAATTGTCTCACTTAAAAGCTTCTCAGAGTCGTAAAATATGTCCCGTGTTCGAGTCTTACTAACTCTTATTTGTCATAATTCACGTGCAAGATTCCTATTTGGTTGATTATATAATAATTAATGATGTGTGTTCTTTCGAACTTTTTTCCGCAGTTACTTGGCTCCCGAATACGCAATGACGGGCCATCTCCTCGTCAAAAGCGACGTATACAGCTACGGCGTCGTTCTTCTCGAGCTACTCACCGGACGAAAGCCAGTCGACTTATCACAGCCACCGGGACAAGAAAATCTAGTCTCTTGGGCGCGACCGCTCCTCGCAGCAAAAGACGGCCTCGAAACGATCGTCGATCCAGCTCTAAAGCCAGAAGTACCTCTCGAAAACTTCTCGAAAGTTGCCGCAATCGCATCGATGTGTGTCCAGCCCGAAGTCTCTCACCGTCCGTTCATGGGCGAAGTAGTCCAAGCCTTGAAGCTGGTGTGCAACGAGTTCGACGACACGAGAGAGCCTGTCTCGACGAGCTGCAGCCAGGAGTTCTTAATCGACGTCGAGAACAAGAACATCGTCGGATTATCGACGCAGCTCGTTGACGACCTGGAGAGACGCGATTCTTCGACTTTTGACAGGAAAGTCGCATTATCAGCCGTCGATTTACAGAGTGCATCGGTAGCTTTTCACGAGCAGGGATCCGAGTCTTTTCGGAGGCAGTTCAATTCTGCTCCTCTGAAAGTCGAGAGGAAGCGATCGTTTTGGCAGCGTCTCCGACTCTCCCGAGGCAGCATGAGCGAGCATGAGCATTCGACGAAACTGTAATCGCACACTAGGTAACGAACAATAAACTCTATCTCGGTTTGCCTCTAGTTTACAATTCGTTCGATGTCGAAAATACCTGAGAATCGTTGTTTCTGTTATTATCTTGTTGATGGGCTGCGAACATGAAGTTTATTGTTGCTTATAATAAGATTGGAGATGAATTACGGTACTGTTTTCTATAGCGAAAATCGAGCTCGGAGTTTACTTGTTATCGGGTGATGTTTTTGTGTGTTTTCGCCAGTCGATAACGTGGAGCCTTTCGACTCCAAGAACATTGTAAAAATAACGTAATCGACATGCTCTGTTTATATCGAAAAGCTTATACTAACCTCAGCTGAAGCAATTCCGTGGTTCCAATGTTCGACTGTCCAAAACCACTGCTTGCTATAGTTTGATAAGTTTGTATCATTCTCTCTATAATTTATAAACTGGTTGAGATTACTTTGTGTTTTCGAGAATATCCAGAGAGTCTTACAAATTTTAAGTGATTTTGTGCAATAGTTTTAAAAATTAAAACTTTTTAATATAAGTCCAAAAAGTATTACAATATAGATTTTTTAAATAAATTATAAATAATTTTGTCTTCCTGATCATGGAATTTCGAAGTAGTTCAGTTTTGTTTATATAATAAATCTTCGCTTATTTGATATTATTTATTTTAAAAAAATATAACATCAAATATATTTTGTTTTTACATAATATTAAATTAAATTTTAATTTTTTACTTTTTTTTTTTTTTTTGTACTTCCAAAGTTTTAAAAATCTTCAAATGTGGAGGCACACAGCAAATGTGGCTTTTATAGGGGCTAATTTGAAATTGTGTATTTCTTTAGGGTGCAAAGAAGCAATACCAATAAACCAATGATGAGCGTACCTTGGCGGAGGGAATGTGCACTCGGACACTGCCCTAATTCACAAAATTCGCTCCCATAAACCCTAACCGCAATTTCTTGCATTCCTGACCTCGCCGGCGCTGGCCGTGCATCATGAGCCGCTACGATAGTCGCTCTGCCGACCATGGATCCTACCGCGACAGACGCGGGTATGTGCGTTCAAATTGCTGTGCCTATATGTGTGCTGGTTGAGTTGTTTTTTGTCTGTTTGATTGGGTTTACTTCCGGATGGAAATATATTACGAGTTTGCGTATGTGTGTTTGATTTTTAGGGATTCGGGGTTTGATTATAAAAGAGATTACGAGAGCAGTTACCACTCTTCATCCTCCGCTAGGAAAGAGTACGATTCGTCGTCGCGGAAATCGGAATTGGATGGATTGACTCCGTTCGAGAAGAACTTCTATGTGGAGTCACCGTCTGTTGCTGCTATGTCTGAAGCTGACGTGCAGGAGTATAGGCGGAAACGGGAGATTACTGTTGAAGGGAAGGATGTTCCGAGGCCTATTAAGAGTTTTCGGGATGTTGGTTTTCCGGGTATTAATTTTAGTGGTTTACTTCTGAGATTTGTGATGCTTGCTCGTTATTCTCTCGTACTGTGGCTTTTGTATTTCATTATATTATGTTATTGCATGCATATAGTTTGATTATCTTGTGCTGTTAAAGAAGGAAGAGTGTTTTTATCGATTTTTGGGACTGTTTAGGGCGAAGAATAATGAGATTTCTCTCTGTAGTATTTTTACTGTGTCATTGGTGGGAGTGGGACTTTTGAGGAGGCATGAAGTGGGTGATTGTTAGTGCAAAAGGAGTGAATAGGAAAACGAATTTAGTTTACTGTTGCAGTTTTTTATTGCATGAAATTGCCTTGATAATTATGTTTCTTCACATAATGGAATTTTTTTTTTTGGAATCTGCAATCACAAAGCCTATTGATGAAATGTCACCTTCCAACGCGCTGTAGCTTTTGATTGTTTTTAAATTAGTCTGCTGCAGGGGGAAATTATAATTAGGGAGTTAGTTATTCTTTATCATTTTTCTTGCTCAATTTTTTTTACTTGTTTTAATCCCTTAATAATATCCAACTGAAGAATATTTTCTCTTGTGAAAGAGTACACGCTGTTAGAATTTTGCCTAAATTATTTGATGGTATGAAATTGAGTATTACTTTTGGTTACATAGTGAAATTTGGTGAGGCTTGCTTTAGTTGTCTGAGTGTAATGAGTCAGCGATGTTCACTTGTATATCAGATTGACTCATTTTTTGTTATTACAGAGTATGTTATGCAAGAAATTGTCAAAGCTGGTTTTACTGAACCTACACCTATTCAAGCACAAGGTTGGCCGATGGCTTTGAAGGGGCGTGATCTTATTGGTATTGCAGAAACAGGGTCTGGCAAAACACTTGCTTATCTCTTACCTGCTATCGTACACGTTAATGCTCAGCCAATTTTAGGTACTGCAGGATTATCTATGTATTAATTTGATCTACCTCATTATGTGGCTGTATAAGGGTGGATATATACGCATATCAAATGCAGGAACTATTTTAAAAATTGTGATTTATTTAGCACTTAGTTGTTGACAGTTTTTCCATGAATGTTTATTTGTTTATTTGCTAGCTCCGGGAGATGGCCCAATAGTTTTAGTGTTAGCTCCAACTCGTGAACTTGCTGTTCAGATACAACAAGAAGCTGCTAAGTTTGGCGCATCTTCAAAGATTAAGAATACATGCATTTATGGTGGGGTTCCTAAGGGACCTCAAGTTCGTGATCTCCAGAAAGGTAGGTGGTGATAAGCTCAACGTGATTAAGAATACTACTGTATCGTGATGTTCATGAATCGGGTATTCTCTTTCGCTTCTTTTTTCCTCTACTCATGTTTTTGTCCAAAATCAGATCTCAGTCTTGCTAATTATAATGTTTTCACCTCATTAGGTGTTGAGATTATCATCGCAACACCTGGAAGGCTAATTGATATGCTGGAATCTCATCATACAAACTTAAGAAGGGTCACATATCTGGTATTGGATGAGGCAGACCGGATGCTAGATATGGGATTTGAGCCACAGATTCGGAACATTGTTGACCAGGTTAGCTCAAACTTAAGATGCCTTGACTATAACTGAATTCAATTCTGCCGAAGTTTTTATTCATTCATATTCTTCTATAGCGAGCCTATTATTATTTTTACTTCTTATCTATCAATTGTGCAAGCATGTTTGCTTATCCTGCTTTACGTCGTACGAACCTGATTATCAATCTCAATGGACTGTGCAGATTCGACCAGATCGCCAAACTTTGTACTGGAGTGCCACATGGCCCAAGGAAGTAGAACAACTTGCCCGGAGATTTTTGTTTAATCCATATAAAGCAAGTGATGTTTAATTTGTTTTGTTTTTTTCCTAGTAGTTATAATATGTGAAACATTTGCTCTACTAATTGTCTTCTAATTGTATATCCTATGTAGAACGGTTAACGATTCGAGCCGAGTCAAATTTTAAGTGTTCGTTAATGTTTGCGAACAAGACTCGTGTTTGTTCGTTAAGCTTTTGAGCTCGTTCGTAGTGTTCGAGCTCGTCTCGTTACGAATTTTTGTTGTTTGAACTCGTATTCGTGTTCGGCTCGTTTAGGCTCGTTCGAGTTTGTTTGAGCTCGTTTGTCTTATTTTTTTAAATTTATATATAAATTATAAAGAAAATTTAAAATTATTTTATTTATATATTTTTATAAATTATAATTTTATATGTATATATAATATTTATAATAAATATATTATTTAAACGGACGTTTGCGAACAAAGCTTGGGCTCGTTCGTTAACGAAACGAGCCTGTTTATGTTGTTCGGCTCGACTCATTAACGTTCGTGAACGAGCTTTAACCGAGCCGAATCGAGCCGAGTTCACGAACGACTCGGTTCGTTTAACAGCTCTAATCCTATGATAGCTCCATGGTGATCTGTGGCTGCCTGCATAGTTATATTTTTGGATTGTTTAGATCTGAATGAAAGCATGATTTCAGCCATGTCAGTTTGTGAAGATGTCCTTGTTGTGATTTTTTTATAACTAATCTGCATTGTTCTGTTTTGTGCTTCTCTCTTTGTCCGGGAGCAGGTTATCATTGGTTCACCTGATTTGAAAGCTAACCATGCCATTCACCAGCATGTTGAGATTGTCTCAGAGAGTCAGAAATATAACAAGTATGGTCAAATCTCAACTTGCCTGTCTAAATTATTATTTTTGCCTACAAGTTTCTCGACAATTGTGGTTTGGTGTTGGTGATTTGATTTTATAAATATTTTAGACTAGTGAAGCTACTGGAGGACATAATGGATGGCAGTCGCATCTTGATATTTATGGACACAAAGAAGGGGTGTGATCAAATAACCAGGCAGCTCCGAATGGATGGATGGCCTGCTCTATCTATTCATGGAGACAAAAGCCAAGCTGAAAGAGATTGGGTCCTGTCAGAATTCAGGGCTGGTAAGAGTCCAATAATGACTGCTACTGATGTTGCAGCTCGAGGTCTAGGTATGTTTTGAAAGGGGAAGCTATTGATTGCTTTTACTTTACTGCATTTCTGGGCAAAATATCGAAATGTACCTCTGGAGACACTTCTTTTCATGGACCTTCATTGATTTTAAAAATTGGGGTCGAGGGGTGGGGAGTAAGCTATATTATGCATTTTAAAACATAATGTACTGATGAATGTCAACTTAAATAGAAATCTATTGCATTTGGAACTGAAATGTGTGTTTAGATATATTTTGTAAGTGGCTTGGAGTTTCAAGGAGTTTTGAGAATAGTAGAAAGATTAGAATAAGAAATAAGTATTTGATGTGAAGTAACTAGGCGGTGGATGCAACAATGGTTTGTATAGGAAATGGGTTTTTTATGTATATATATTTAAATAAAAATAAGTGTTGGATGTAATATATTTTAGAGAGAAATTTGTGATGAATAGTGCCAAAACAGAGTTGAAAACTTGTGTAATCAGAGGCATGCTTTCTCAGATGTGGTTATGGTATTGATTTTCATTCAGCGTTAAGTTGATTATATAGAAGACACTTCCACGTGCTTAACTAACTACTCCCGTTAAACTTGGCAGATGTGAAGGATGTAAAATATGTCATCAATTATGACTTTCCCGGATCCCTGGAGGATTATGTTCACCGAATAGGTCGAACAGGAAGAGCTGGTGCCAAGGGCACTGCATACACTTATTTTACTGCTGCCAATGCAAGATTTGCAAAGGACCTTGTGAGCATCCTTCAAGAGGCCGGACAGAAAGTTAGCCCTGAGCTGGTAGCTATGGGTCGCGGTGCGCCTCCCCCACCAGGTTAGCTTCATGTTTCAGAAACATGTTCACATGTCTTTATTATACACATATCATATATGTATCTGTATTGTGCTGGTTCACAATTTCATGAAAATTTGTCATAATTCTTGGGGCAAAATTATTTATAACTTGCCTGTAGTTTTAGTAGTCTGCACCGTATTTTCTTGTGTTTTCAAAAAATTGCGAAAAATTTCATTTTCAGGGGATTTTGTGTAATATTTTTAAAAAATATATGTGCAATATTTTTATAAATGCGATGGAGGAGTCTCATGCGATTTCTAAATTGAGAGGAGTATGGTGTTGATTTTTCAAAGCACAAGTGAATTACTCCTATTCTTGGAAGAAACTCTGATTGTTTATTCTGGTTATGATTTATCTTGATAGCTTTTGGGGGGCGAGATCGTGGAAGGGGACACGGTGGCGGCAGCAGCAGCCGGTCTTGGAACTGAGTATGCTGTTGGTGCAATGTTGGTCATTTCTGAGAAGAGAAGAGAAGGTGCAGTTGTGATCCTCACCCCACCCCACCCCACCCCACCCCAGTATGCATGCATAAAGACCAAGTGGTGAATTTGTAAAATTTGTGAGGATTTTTAGTCGAATCTCATTATAGGATATGTGAAGATATTTGATTTCTATTCTATCTATCCATCTATTTTATTTGTCCATATATTTGTTTGGATCAAATATATTAGGCTTCCCTCTCTGTTACGTCTCTTTTGGGCTTTATTGAAGTCTGTCTTCAAATCAAAGTACATTATACTGGGCTTCTATAGTTTTACCAGTAAATAAGGTGCTTGTTTTTTTTTTTAATATTTATTTTTATTTGAACCTTTTATTTTTTAATTTAAAAGCAGACAAAATAGTTGGTTGAGAAGTATTTTGAGTTGATTTTCAAAAATTTTTTATATAAAAGAATTATCCAATTACAAAATGAAAAGCTACTTCCGCAACTTCAGTTCTTAAAAAAAAAAAAAGTAAATTCGTTACTATTTACTTGGGGACGAAGAGTTCTCAAGAAACGACGTCGTAGCCTCGGAAAAGTTAACGAAACGATGTCGCTTCTAAGCAAAAACCCAAATTCCCAACCCCGTGACTGGAAGCTGAGGAAATCAAGAAAAGAACAAACGCAAACTGGTCAAGGAATTGAAACAAGAGCAGGCAAGCAGGGCATCGAAGAAGATCGACAATGAGCGAAGAAGGACCCCCGAAGCTCTACACCAACAAACCCAAAAAATGTAATCTTCATCATATTCGTTTACTCTTCGTTTTTTTCTTCGAAATCGTTATTCAGGATATGTATATTTGTTGTAATCTTCTGGCTGTTTTGATCGGGTTTGTTTTGCAATAGCGAAGTTGAAAGCGTCTGCGCCGATTACAGCGTCGTCGTCGAATGGAGCTTCGGCTGCTCCAGCGCCACCACCACCTCCGCCGCCGCCGCCGCCGCCAAATCGTCCTGCTCAACCTCAAAAGGAGTCTTTTCTTCGCCGCTATAGGTTCCTCTGGCCGCTTTTATTGGCTGTCAATTTCTCCATTGGAGGTATGCTTTTTTCTCCTCTGTTTTTATGGAATTCACATCTATTCTGTTTAGCGTTTTGACTTTTGAAATTTCTACTAATTTATCATCACCAATTGTTTATAGTTTCTGTAAAAAAAGTTTATTAATGTCAATTTATGTGCACTCTGAACTTCAGTAAATAGTGACACTATTTGAATTATGAAATGCCTGATGATTGATTAATTGGGAAATAGATATCGATATGCTCGGAAATAGGGCAGGGCTGGGAATTATTTCCTCTGTCTGATTCTGATTCCACATTCATATGAGTAACTTTGCAGTTGGCTGTTCTTTTAAGGTTTCGATGAGTTAATGATTGAGTCATAGAAGTAAGGAATCTTTGTGTTTGGTTGTGGTTTTTGTGTGCTCTTCTGTTCTATGATATTTTGATTTCGAAAACTTTTGAAAGAAAATAAGTGTTGAATATGATGTGTCTTAGGGGGAATATATTTCTACTTAGATTGCATAGTGCAAAAACAAGGTTGAAAACACAGGTTTTGTTAGATTTCTAGGCCTTGTTCAATATTATATTCACTTTTTTTACTCGTTCCACTCCCGAGGTGCTTAATTATAAGTATGAGTAGAATGATTTAACAATTTGTGAAGTGTTGGGTCGTAAAACAGCGCAAAACTTTGTAATTTGTGTTCAGTTCCTATTGCCGGTTGTCTCGTTTAAGATTGGTCGTTTTCTTGTCACTAAATAGTCAAATGTAGGTAGAGTATGAATGTACAGTGCTTGAATTTTTCATCTGTATGTCTTCAGCAATTGAATGATGTCTACTCGTATGATTTCCGGAGCATTTTCAAAATATGATACCTTATTTATTCTCCCTAGATCACAGCAATCGTTTTTCTCTTTTTGCAATTCTGATGAAAATTTGTCCTTCAATTTGCTATGGAAGTTTGAACTTGGACAAAATTATGGAGGCTGATATTTCCAATCAAAGTTACACATGCACTCCATCCTCTCCATCCGTCTCAACTCAAAGTATATATTTATTTTTTTTTTGTAGTAAATTAAAAAATAATAGAATTTTTATTGGTATTGGAAGTGTGAAAGATAGTGTTAACATTTTTGTTCTTACAATACAAAGGAAATATATATTTTGTTAAAATTAAAGTATTTTGGTCTTTATATATGAATTATTTTTTTACTATAATAGGAAATAGATAATTTTGAGTGGGACAAAAGAAAATAGTAAAATGAGTACATTGAGTTGGGATAGAAAGAGTACTTTTACTAAGAAGTTGCTCTTATCGCTCCGATTACGGGTCTGATTTGACTCAATTAATAAATATCTATAAAAAAAATAGCAAATATTAATATAACATATAGTTTGTGATGAAAAGCTAATTGTTTCAAAATAATGTGGTATGCTATCTGCTTTGTAACAAATTGCTAGTTGCTTCATATTGATTTGCTAATTCAATCAAATCAACACGGTTCTGATTTGACCTCGTCTGGTTATGATAGAAGAATCTTCGATACATATAGAAAATAAAATAGTTGTGCTTAGCTAAACTTCAGATCTTATCCAAGCAATTCATGTGGATAACTGCAGAAATTGGTAGTATGTTTACAGCTTGGCCCTTAATTTCAAAGACTTTGCTCAAGAAATAATTTTTTTTTGGCCATAATATCGATATGTATTCATATGGTTAAACAAGCTGTGAATATCCTATATATGGGCACTACTCATATTATATATATGCTGCTTTTAGCGATTAATTCTGACCCAAAAATAGCACTTTGCAGCGTACGTTCTCATAAGGACTAGACAAAGAGACACGGATTCATCAGAATCGGAGATACCCGAATCCACCAGTTCTGCAACATCATCATCATCCTCTTCAGCAATAGTCGAAGTATCCGATACTCCACCAATCGTTAAGGAGACCATACGGCGGGCCCCGATTCCCGAGGATCAACAGCGTGAGCTGTTCAAATGGATGTTAGAAGAGAAGAGGAAAGTGAAACCAAAAGACCCTGAAGAGAAAAAGCGCATCGATGAGGAGAAAGCCGTTCTCAAACAGTTCATCCGAGCCAAATCCATCCCCAGCCTCTGATTTTTCGAATTTTTCGAAAATCCAGTTCGAATAAATCGAATTCGGTATGTTTATGCTTATGTTTCCTCCCTTCTTCAGAATGGATTCTACAGTTTGGTTAACACATTTGGGATTTAAAATATTTTGTTTATTATTATTTTTTATGACGTCGGAATTCGCATCTGCTGCAGAAGTTTGAGAGTGTTTTGTTTTATTGAGAAGATTGCTTGTTGGTCACTATTTTCATGCCTCATTTTTGTGGCATTTGAAGAATATTTTCTCATTTCTGTAAAATGGTTTTTATTTAACTGTTAGCTTTTTCTTGAGCCACAAAACTGTTAGTGCCATTGACTGATACAAAAGCATTTGATTGAATCTTGAATCCACAATTTTGCGATAAAGTTAGGCTATGTCTCTTTGGATTTAATTTAATTTAATTATTATTATCTATTTATTTATTTGTGTAATTCTCATATTTTATTTTATGTAAAAATATATATACTCCATTTGTCACATAAAAATTTTTAAACTGAAATACAAATCAAATATATTTGGCAAATATATACATCTAAAAAGTGTTCAATGTAATTGCAAATGATAACTTTGTCAAAATACTTTTATATATTTTTATTCTTCAATAAAATATTAGTACCTTTTAATTTACTATGTAAAAGATAAATATATAAATTTAGATTGAGCAGAAAGGAGTTTATTTTACATGATGAGACTCTCATTTGTGCTTGCTAATTCATATTATTGCACTTAAAATATTTCAATATCTAATTGTTTATTTCTTTTTAGGTTTGAAATCTGAATTTTAATTTAAATAATAGTTTATAAAAAATTAATATATTTTTATCAACAAAACTACACAAAGGGAATACTATTAATTTATATTTGAAATAAATAACCCTACATTCTTCGATTCTCACCTAAATTCCAAAAAAAAAAAAACAAAAAAACGAAAGGGTATATATGTCATTTCACAGCCAAGCCATTCTTATCCTATGCCCTTAGATGTACACCCTAAAATACAAAGTAAATAAATCCTAATTAAATTAAAATGAAAATATAATGGAAGAGGGTCAAGAAATGTGTATGCACCCCACCCCACCCCACCCTACCCCACCCATTCAATAATAAATGAGTAGAATGCTTTTTGCCCATATTTGAAAACATATTTAAATAAGTGATGACATCAGCATCACATATAGAAAAACCCCAAAATTATTCCTCTAAGATTCTTGTTTAACAATATAATTCTAAACTAAATAAATAAATAAATAGTAATTAATTTTTTATATGATGCCTAGTTGGGCAAATGATTGTTGCTTGTTGCTCACTTTGGATAAAATCATGATGGGTTTGTGCTCAAATACCAAATTTCAATATTAAAAATATCAAGGCAAACGTGGGTTAATCATTCCCTCATAAGTGACTTAATTCATTATTTTATTTTTAGTCTTCTCTTCATCCCCAACAGTCAAACAAATTACACACTCTCTCCCTCTATTTTATATCTCTATCATCTTATTTATACATAAATTAGGAAAATGATAAATTCAATCAATTTTTGTTTGAATAATATTTTTAATGCGATATTTTATATGAAATAATAACAATAATATATTTTTATTAAAAATAAGATATAAGCTAATTTGAGTTTAAAATCAAAACTAAGTATACCCTAAAAAAGTAGTAATATATATATATATATATTTGTATATATTTATAATATAGACATTCAATAAAATTATTTTTTAAATAATTCCTCATCATACAAGAAGAAGATCCACAAATTTCCCTATTAATAAGATAATACATAGCTTTGCTTTAATTATAATTGAACAAATAATTATAGCCACATGAGGGGCATGGACTCATTAGAATAATTTAATCCACAATTTTGACCAACCAATTCAACCTCAGGGTTCATCCTATTTTTCTATATCTACTAACATAAAAATAAATAAATAAAATAAAAATCTTAACTTTATAGATATTTATAATGAAAAATTAGACTTAGTATATAAATTATATGTATATATATATATATTGTGGGCATCTGTCAAATATTCAAATTATTAGCCTAATGTATTATTGTTTAATGAACCAAAAAGATCATGATCACTTCAATTAATTAATTAAATCACTACAAAATAAGCTATATGTAATTAGATTATTTTATTTTATATTATAGGGAAATTTAATCATTAGTTGGCTTTACGAAGAAGACGTCTTTAATTATCGAATGTAGGCTTCTTTTCTGACCCGCAATTTATATATAAACATTAATTGTACCTACGTTCAATACATTTTAAACCTTTTAATTTTCAATCCCAATTGGTCGAAAAGTAGTTTGAATTAAGATAAAATATATTAAAATATAAATTTTTATTTTTATTTTTATTTTTATCTATTTGTGTTTATTTGTGTGTCTGAGAGTTGAATTTTGAATTTTAAATAGTAAAATCTAAGAAAGAATTGTTATAATGTAATATAAATAAATATTGAATGTAAATTAATTTTTAATGCAATATAAAAAAATTATAAGTATTTAATTTAATATTTTTTGAAAGAAAAATTTGTAATAGTAAAAATTTAGGTCAAAATCTTCAAGCAATCACAATATTTGTTTTGTTTGAAATTGGATTAAAATGAAGTATTGATTTGAATATTTTTATTAAAAGAAAAATGCTATCTATTGAAAGACAAAATAGTGTATTTCTATTAGTAGAATGAATAGTAATAAAAAATAATTTGAATTTCAGATCATAACCAACACACCCATATTTTACACTATCTTGAAAATTGGACAAAAAATAAAAATTGATTTAAGAAAATAACTAATTCCAAAACATTTATTAGATTTGAATTTTTTATTTTATATAATAGTATTTGTATTATTTTCTTCAGAAAATTGAGAGTCCAATAGTACAAAATTGGTAAGAAAAACCAAAAGAAACAAGCTATCAATTCATAGTGTGACTAAAGCCAAAGTAAAAATACAATATAGTTTAGTGGTGTTTGCATACTGCAGCCAATATATATATATATATATATAATAATAATACATTCGTCTGGCTCTAAGAGTCATATTTACGGTTGATATTTGAATATTAATTATTATATCAAAATAAAGTACAGATTAAGAAAAAAATACAAAAATACTTTCATTAGTTTCTTGTAATGCTAATAGAATGACATTTGTAAAAAAAAAATTATACAAATACAACGGTATTTTTATTGTTAAATGCAAAAAGACTGATGAATTCAATAATACACACAGACATACATACATATATATATTATGTATCTATTATGTATAATTATCATCTTCTTTGATTTCACTAAAGACTTCTCTTTGTCTGAACAAATACCTTAGCAGAAATCAAGGAATCTTAATTACTGAAAATAATCGTCTGATTAATACAAGAAAAGGGTTCGAAGAAGAAATGGAGATCAGCAGTTTTTGGAGTTTGGCAGCCATTAACACAGCAGCAATATTATTACTATCATTATTAGTGTACACGAAATTGAGAAAAGATGCTGCAACGAATCCTGGCCGTCCATGGAACCTCAGATCATGCAAGATTCTGCCACGTGGCAGCCTCGGAATCTGGCCTTTCATCGGAGAGACTCTCCACTTCATCGCCTCTGCTTATTCCGACAGGCCCGAAGCCTTCATGGACAAACGACGTCGTTTGTGAGTTGAAATTCAAATTGGGGGAAAAAAATTTATTGCAGAAAACCCTAATTTCAAAAATCGATGAAATTGGTGATGTTTGTTGTTCAGGTATGGCAATGTTTTCAGGTCTCATCTGTTCGGTAATCCGACGATCGTCTCGACGGATGCAGAAGTGAGCAGAATGATCCTCCAGAGTGATCCCAATTCATTCGTGCCTTCTTACCCTAAATCGTTGATGGAGCTGATGGGGAAATCCTCGATTCTGCTCGTCAATGGCGCCCGCCAGAGACGAATCCATGGATTGATAGGAGGGTTTCTCCGGTCCGCCGGATTCAAAGTTCAGGTCACCGCCGACATGGAGAAATGTGTGCTGGCAGCCATGGCGGATTGGGGAGAAGATCGACCTGTTTACATTCAAGACGAAGCAAGAAAAGTATTAATTAATTAATTAATTAATTAATCAATTATTGTCTATTTCTGCAACAAATTATAAATATATATATATATATGTGTTATATTTATGTATATCATTTTTTATTTATTTTTTGGAAGATTGCATTTCAAGTTCTGGTAAAAGCACTGATCAGTTTGGATGGTGGAGATGCAAAAATGGAGGTTTTGAAGAAACATTTTCAGAAATTCATAGCTGGCCTTATGTCTTTACCACTCAAATTTCCTGGCACTCAGCTTTACAGATCCTTACAGGTAATTCTATTAATATTCAAATTAATTAGGGTTTCATCTACACACTTATTTAATTTAATTTTTATATATATACACCAATAAAATTTTGATATTTCATCCCCAGCTATTTACAGTTACATGAAATCACATCAAAACACTCATTTTCATAAGGAAAAGAAAAAATAAAACACCAAAACAAAATCAAAAGACACCCTTTAATTAATTCCTTTAAAATTTCAAGAATTGATTTTGGTATTATTACATATGTATAGTACAAAGATGACAATTTAATTATCCATGATATATATATATATATATATTAACATATGTCTTAACTCTAATTTGGCACTTGCTGAGTTTTCATTTAGGTTTTGCTGAGCTTGTTAATATATTCTCTTAGGGTGTGTTTGTTTGAAAGATTGGATTTAATTATCACTATTCATTCCATTTTTTTCCCCAAAAATATCAAATCAAACACCTATTTTTCATTTTTTATATTATACTAAAAATCAATTTTACATTCAAAACATCACATCAACACCTATTTATATCACATCATACAACTATTCAAATTCAAAATTTTTACTATTCAAATCCCAATTCAAAATCCAATTCCCCAAACAAACACACCCTAGTTTATTTGAATAGATTTTCAAATATGAAATCTCAGCACAACCATTCTCAATAAATCTGTTCTCCATTTTTTTGAACAATCTGTGTCTTGTTAACGTTTCACTTTGTTATTTGACAACTAGAACTAATTCATCACAACAATATATTTCCATTTGATTACTTCTTTTGGATTATGTGTGTATTTTTTATTTTAATTATTTTAACATTTTCTTTATAATTCAGGCGAAAAAGAAAATGATAGAGGTGATAGATGAGATAATAGAAGCAAAAAGAAAAAGAATTTGCAGAATGGATGAGAATAATAATAAGAACAATATGTATGGAAATGGAGCTGCAAAAGATGTTGCAGAAGCACTGATGATGAACGAAGATCTTACAGACGATGCAATTGCAGAAAACCTAATTGATCTTATGATACCTGGAGAGGATTCTGTTCCTCTTCTCATCACTCTTTCCCTAAAATACCTCTCTGAATCTCCTGCTGCTCTCCACCTTCTAACAGTAATTACTAAATTTAATTTTGTCGATAGATCGATCGATTGATCGATCAGTACTTCTAATAATTAATTAAACTCTATTTCTTCTAACAATGCTGAAAGATGATTTTTTTTTTTTTTTTCTTCAGGAGGAAAATGTTAGCATGAGGAGAGTGAAGGAGAAGAAAGGAGAACCCTTTTCATGGAATGATTATTTGTCACTGCCCTTCACACAAAATGCAAGTTATTTAATTTATTAATTAATCTTATATATATATATGGCAAAATTGCTTATAATTCATTTATATTTGGAAATATTTCATCATTCTTTATAATAATTCTAAAATCGTACGAGGCTCCATTATGTTTACGAAACATTGTAGCAATATTTTCAAAAATACGAAAAAGAGTTTGCAATTTTTAGGGTTTGTAGAAAATTTAGTGCAATATTTTCTAAAAGTGTATGATACAAGACTTTCTATACTATGTTTGTGTATATGTTATAAATAAGTTTGGGTAGATATGAATAAGTGATGATTGATTTTGGATTTTGTATTAATTTGTATGATATTAATTGTTGCAGGTGATAACAGAAACCCTAAGAATGGGGAATATAATAATAGGGGTGATGAGAAAGGCCATGAAAGATGTAGAAATCAGAAAGGGAAATGCACATTATTTGATCCCAAAGGGATGGTGTGTTTTGGCCTATTTCAGATCTGTTCATTTGGATCATCATCTCTATGACTTCCCTTATCACTTCAATCCTTGGAGATGGCAGCACCAAGTATTATTACTCATTAATTTTATTTCACATATCTATATATATATATATATATATTAAATTAAATTTAATACTTACTTCTTGATCAATAATAATTCAATATATACATATGTGCAGCAAAATAACAAGGAAATGGTGATGAGTAAATTTACACCATTTGGAGGAGGGCAAAGGCTGTGCCCTGGCCATGAACTCTCCAGGCTGGAGGCTTCCATTTTCCTTCATCATTTCGTCAATCGATTTGCCCGGTAATTTATTAATCAATTAATTTTATGTTTTTACACTGTTGGTGGACTCCCGTTTGTAGATAAATAAATGATGCATATCCCTAACAACTTAAACTTTTAAGTGAGACTGCCATTTACATCGTCTAACCTAACAATTTAAGTTTTTTGGTGAAACTGTTATTTACATCATCTAACTCACACTATTAAATAAATATTAAAAATAATATACAATACTTATTTTCGATTCAAAATATCATTACTTTTTACTAAAAACCAAACCCTAATTCTATTTCTTGATTATGTATATTGTATTGTGTGTTGATTTCATTTATATGTGGTGCAGATGGGAAGCTGAGGAAGACAGCATTATAAACTTCCCAACTGTGAGAATGAAGAGAAGATTGCCTGTTTGGGTCAAAAAGGCCACTTCAGATCAATTCAACATTTTTAAAATTAATTGAACATCTTGGGATTATTTCAATTTCTATATATATATATATATAGTTAGATCACACACATATATATTTTATATTGTTATTGTCATTACATTGCTTGTGGACACAAGCATACATACACACACAAACACACACATATATATATATGAAATGGGATTGAATCATATTTATTTTCTTTTGAATTTGTGTGTTTTAAAAGTATAAAAGAAATCCATCCAATTATAATGTGAATACACTGATTTACATTGTAAAATTTTGTTGAATGCTTATGTATTATACAATAAAAAAAATTATTGAATTACAGTATAAATCTATTGAGAACTGTAGATCAATTTGGCAAGTATTTTTTTACCCTTTCTGAAAAAAAAAAAGGAGAAAAAAATAATTTGGATTTAAATTATTGGAATATTTCTATATAGGGCTGTGAATTTTATGGTTGGGCAGAAGTGAACCATTTTATTGGGCTTTTTAAAATATGGCCCAATTATAATTTAATTTATTGGGCCCATGGTAATCAGCACTAGTGAAATTTTACAAAATCACCTTGCATGAGTTTGCTGCAAACTACAGCGTGATTTGATGCAATTGCAGAGCACTACTTCGTCCTTCACTGGTTACAGGTGCGAAATTCGGATTGATGTTAGTTTTACAGTTCAAACTTGCCGGATTTGTAGTTGTGTTAAACCAAGTGATAGTGTGCTATGCACAGCAGAGGATTGTAATTTGTAGCTCGTTGTTTTTCCTTCGGAATGAGCTGATGTTTGTTGTTCTTGTTGTTGAAGTCATTAATTGATGCAGTACCTACGTAGGATCGTGAAATTATTTTATTTTTATGTAATAATTTTTAGGTCAAAAGTGTTTCTGATCTTTGTAAATCCAAACTGAATGTGTTCCCCTCACAGTGTAAACTAAGCAATGTTAATTGGACTGTGTTAGAGTTCAGTCTGAGCAGTAGGTGTTGATAGGAAACTGAAATTGGAGAATCGGACTAAGAAATGTTCTTTTTGTAATTTGTAGCTCGTTGTTTTATCTTCGGAATGAGCTGCTGTTTGTTGTTGTTGTTGTTGAAGTCATTAATGGATGCAATACCTACGTAGGATCGTGAAATTATTTTATTTTTATGTAATAATTTTTAGGTCAAAAGTGTTTCTGAGCTTTGTAAATCCAAACTGAATGTGTTCCCTTCATAGTGTAAAATAAGCAATGTTAATTGCCCAGTTTTAAAGTTCAATCTGAGCAGTAGGTGTTGGTGTTGATAGGAAACTGAAATTGGAGAATTGGACTAAGAAATGTTCTTATGGTATTACTCTGTACTTGGCGATTGCTTTCTGCTCTTGCACAAGATAGAATGTTGTGTGGTAATTTCATTCCAGTGACAAAATCGATTGAAACGATTTTATTAATTTGGTAATACTGTCAGCACAGGAATATTATCATATGGTAAATTCTTGAATCAGAAGTTCTTTAAGAAATCCACTTCTATAGGGGGTACCAAACTCTCATTTGCTTTCATGCTCATTTGATCATTGATAAACTAGCTTCATATGGGGAAGATGGAAAAGATAATCTACAATATTCACTTACAAAATATGTAACTTATGTAAATTATGTTGTTTCTTACTTAAAAGCAGATGTGGTTGAACAGGATTACAAAGTAGTTTCACATGGGCCAGGCTCCAGGTACATAACTTCAAGTTGATTCCTGTCTGAAACTATCCGCACATTTTAATTCATATTGATTTATATTGCACATACATAGAAGCATCATGAAATTGAGCCCATTTAGAAAGCTATACTTGTGTGAAGTTTTATAACTGAAAAAAGATGAGTATTCAAATGTGTTCTCTTTGTCAAGGTTTCTTGATGGATTAATCAATGGTTGGTTTGGTTGTTCTGGCTTTTTTCTGCTGCTTTCATTCTCCTGTCAAACTCTTCCATTTCAGCATGACTTCTTGCACGTACCTGATAACATATATGAATATTAGTCATACCCAATTAGTGCCACTTGAACTTAGGAAATGAATCAGAATTAGGACAAAAGTGGGATATAGTAAGCTACCCATAATCTTGAGCGCTTCCCATTAATGGAGTTTTCCTGCATTAGGAATTTAAACTATTTACAACTTTACAACCTTATTACCAAACAGTGTAAATGTGCTTGTCTTTGTATGCTACAAGCAATACCTCATTACTTAGTGTTGGCAATACCAAATGGTTTATCCATTGTGAATCGACAACACCTATCCTTATATGTGGCTTCTGCAACACCAAAAGATTATATTACATGCTTAGAAACAATCACTAAATGAAATTAGAATAAATTAACAGTGGAAAAGGGTTGTATTAGATAGTTAGTTACCTCAACACATCTATAAAATTCAAAGTCAATTCCCCAACCATGAACTAAGTCATTCTGAATCATGTTCCAAACACAACTCCATATGTTACTTGAGAATACTGGAGCCATTATTTCGACAAACCTGTCAAACCATTTGTGTTCTAAGATAGAGTAGTAATTCCAAGAAATGCATAAAAACATTATAGGTAGAACTTATTTGAATCTGTACCCTGCACAAGGTGGCAAGAACAGACTCTGGCAATTATCTTCCACAGCTTGCCTGCAAGGAGAAAATTTTAGAAAGATAGAAATATATCTATATATATATATATATTACAACACACACACACACACACCAGTGGACTTCAACTCCATCTCTTTTAAGTGTCATCTTGTAGGTCAACCCTTTTGTTGAAGTTACTGCTGGCTGTGATATTTCAAGCCCATATTTCTTCACCACTTTTATGTACCTAAATTTGTTGCAATATTATGCAAAATTCAACCAATTTTTATGACAACATAATGTTGTAAAATTCTACTCACTCTTCTGCACTAAAATTCTCTACCCCAAAATCTTCATCCCATATGAATATATATTCATATTCTGCCACTATATTTGGATGAAGAAATCTTTTCACATACCACCTGCATTTCAAGTTCAGGGAAATCATTTCTGCATATCTCTGTGTGTCTAAACATTAATAGATAACAAAAAACCAATAAATAAAACACACCATTTAGTTTGTCTCTTTGCAGAGATATGTATAGCTCTTTGTGACCATTCGTTGTCCCATTCGCTTGCTCTCCCATCATAGTGAAACAACACTATTGTAAAATTCTCAGAGAACTAAAAAAAAATAAACAAACATTTCCTCTGCATCAAATCAATAAATCAAAGGGCTTGAAAAAAGATTCAAGCAGGATATCAAGAACTCACTTTGCTGACTATTTTGTTCACAATTACTTTCTGCTTAATCCCAACTGCTAATGCTAGCAGATACTTTGTTTTACTGGGATTTTCCTGCATTTGATCATGTAGAAAAATAAGCACAAACATATACAACACCAAAAAAATTAAAACACCGAAAACATTAGAGACAAAAAGACTTGCATTTTCCGAACATCCTCGGAGGGAAAAATCCGAATAAGGCTCAATTATGTCAGGGGGCAATCTTTCGGCTCCTCGTGGATTCATGGACTCATATATCTACATAGAAAACTTTAAAAGCTTTTCTTCTTAATGTTTTCAAGAATGTAAGAACATAGGATGTACTTTAGGCTGAGGATCAAACTTGTAGCCTTCATCGAATATTGTATGTTGCCAGATGGAATCTAGACCTTCAGTTACATAAAATGATGACAATTTTCCATCCTGCACAAAGTAGATCAGAAAATGTTCATATGAAAAACATACAAAAGGAACCAATTTCTTCGAAGAAACAGATAGGGATTTTGTGTTAGTGAAACCTTAAACATCGTACGGACTGATGATCCTAGGAAACATCCCACAAGAATGCTGATCAAAGCTAACAACATCAGCCATGGTTTTGGCAGTTTTCTGCATTTCAGAGTTCTCATCCTTTTGTTTGTATTCGAATTTAGGACAATCTGATTTTATTCAAATGAATCGAAATGGTTAGTGAGTGAAGGGTTTTTGTTGTGGATGATTGTTACTGTAAATCGGGTCTGGGGATTGAAGGGATAATAACATCAAAATAAGTAAGTTGCGGTGTGTAAACTAATTCAAATTCGTATTTTTACTTTACTTTTCTAGAACATTCTTTCCTATAATTCATTTTTATTGCCATTAATGTCGTAGGTATCAAGTCCCTGTCGAATAAGATGATTCGGTCAACATACCTAAATAAATGCCTATATGTTTTAGCGAGCGAGACATTCCTGACCGTGGGAAGGCCTAGGGCCGAAATTAAAATTGAGACTCTTAATATAAGATATATAAATAAATAAATTTGTAAATATTTTTAGATAAAAAATTATTAATAATAATAATTATTTGTATGTATGTATGTTCATGTTTTTTTACTCATTTATTCATTTTTATAGATATATTTTAGATATTATTTTATGAATTTGTTAAAAATAAATAAAATAATAAAAAACAACAATGTTGGTTAATAATAATAATTGAAAGAGTATTTTTGATTTATTACTTGTATCTAAATAAAGACCGATTATATATAAATATAGTGCACGTATCAATATCTATATATTCTAGATCTTTGTAGAATCTTGAATAGTAGATAACAAATTATTGTATTCTAACCAAAGATCACCACTTAATTTTGATAATATTTACATGATCATCGAACTATATAGAGAACAATACTAATAGTGATCGAATTCTAACTTCTTATGTTGTGAATGTGGGAGACAATAGCTTCGATCTCTTCCCTTTAATCATAGCTTTTGTATCCGGAAAGCACCCGGATTCGCTTAATTCTTCTACACAACCTTCTGTGGTCACATTCATAGGATAACTTACTAGATGTACACCTTCCATGTCCTTCACTTCATCTTCACTATACATTCTCCACATTTCCTCTCCAATCGACCTCATTGTCTGCGTGCATTCCAAGGAATGCGGCGCTTTAAAGACATCCTCAGAACGCCTAGTATGCTCGTACCATAGTGACATCCGAAATATTTGAATGTCCTCATTGTCAATGTTTTCGCCACTTCTTGATTGGTAGCACCCGATGGCTATCTCAGTGTCCCGTTGTCCATCCATAGACCGTTGGTTCACATTAGCCGAGCCGATGATCAAATAAGTGTCGTCCACTACAAAATATAGCAATGAGATAATGAGAGGGATAGATCATTTTTCTATCAGCTTAAACTTTTAGGTAAGATACTCATATAATATAGTATCAGAGCGATTTTTTATACTCCATTCGTTTCAAATCAAATGGATCCTTTGGGATTTTGTAGTAGATTAAGAAATAATAGTATGCCAGACATATATAAAGTAATTGTACGTGAATGATATGTTTGTAATTTAAGTAAGAGTTAAAGGTATTTTGGTATTAACGTATGATTACTTTTTCTAAAATAGAAAAATAATATTTTGAAGTGAGATAGACGAAAATGATAAAAATAGTACTTTGAAATAGATACCTATCATGAGCTTGGAGTGAACGTAAACCATAAACCTCCGGTGTTTCTGAGCGTTCCAATAATCCGTTGCAACGCGAGGGTTGTACGGAGGTACAAACTCCCCGTGCCTTTCCTTCTCCCTATTTGCAAGACAAAAGAAAAGTAAATAGTCCATCGGGTGGCCTCCCTCGACCTCCCGCAATGCTTCTCCGATGATTCTATACATCATCTTCATCGTCTCCCTCGTCCAATGTAGTATGTCCTGCACGGCCTCGCTCTCCGGAGGCCCTTCTGGCCACATCGGCATCACCACATACACCGTGAACCTCTCCCCCGCTCGGATTTTATTCGCCACTTTCAACGCTATCTCGACAGGAATCAGGTTCCTGCAGCCGCATTCTCTATTTTCTTCCCACAAATGGCATCCGCCGATGAAGTATTGATTTTCGATATATATGAACTTGTCGGCGCGCCGGATTGCATCTACATAGGCTTCATGGACGCTCCTCTCGATCCTGAGGTTTCTCGGCATCGGAGCTGCCGAGAAATGATCGATAGACCTGAAAACTTGCACATGCCAATTCCTATCGGCTACAGGGGTCGTGTAGTCGCACACTTCCTGTATCGGGACGAGCATTGCAGGATCGCATTGCTTCGTCCACCGTTGCTCGAAATTAACGAGCACGTCGATTGCAGCTTGACCCGTCAGGCGAGCGTGCACGTCGTGCCATGGCTCCCGAGGCCCGCCCTTGTGCAGGCTGGCGCCGTGGAGACTAGTCTGGTAGAAGTCATAGCAGTCGAGAGTTTGGAACAGGGTATGATCCTCCGTATCGAATCTCCCGTCGCAAAGATCGAATCCACCTAAAAAGCTCACGATCTCGCGGCGCCTCAAAGAAGACGAATCGACTGTGATCGTCTTCTGATGATGCGTGAACGCCGTGGGGAACTTGTCGTGCAGCCTCGGGCACAGCTTGCATACAACTTTCGTGTGCTTGAAGTAGGCCACGGTATCCTCGTCGTGCGTTTTCATCACGCCTTTGTTTCGAATGATTGGCAAAGACGTCTCGTCGTCCCACAGCATGATCCTCACTGCTACACCCTCCTCGGCCTTCTTCTTCAGCAATTCCCCGAGCTTCACGCCCCGCGCGTTCGGGATATCTGTCTGCGGATCGCGTACCTGAACCATTATATACACATCTTTAACTTACTCTGAAAATACTTCTGGTTTGTACTAAAAAGAAATTTCTAACTCACTAAGGCGATGTTTGGATTGAGCGACCAGCCGGCTATGTATACCAAATGCTTGGCACAATCAATCGCATTGTATGTATCTTCCCAAAGATTCCGCAGCGGCGATCGATGGCGATCGAGCGGGGGACAAAAGTTGGGATTATGGTGAGCATCCTGGTACAGGACAAGGCCACAGTTTGATCTTAGGGGGAATGAAGAATTTCTGATGCCTTGATATCTGCCGTCGATCTGTAGAACTTTGTTCCAGCTGGTTTCGGAGTCGGCAGGCTTGAACCAGAGGATGAACTGCAGCTTGATCCCCTTGCTGGGGTCGCCGTTGGGCTTGGCGAGAGGGAATATTCCGTTGATGAGGCTGGAATCTTCGATGAGCTTCCGAGCCGGGAGGTCCATCTTGCCGAGGAAGGCATGGTTTGTTTTTAGGGATATGGTGATCGTGGCGTCGGGTGGATGCGCGCAGAGGATTTGGAATGTTTGGTTCCAGACACGGCTGTGTTGGTCGCTGGTTTTCGCTACCTTGTGTCCGTCGATCTTGATCGTCACATAAGCGGACGACCTTCGAATTGTTGACATACACTGCAAGTTTAGGCAAGGCATCAGTAAATATTAAATGATCATCTCAAATAAAATAATATGTTTAAAAGTAAAATACCCGTCGATCGGCCAAACAGCCTACCAGCGGCTTACTACAGCTGGTCTACAGATTTCACCTAGCCTATTTATTAAAATAATATAATATAAGTTTAGTTTAAAGCATATTTAATTTTTTAGAATAAGTTTACACTTTATTATTATATTTGTAAGGATTTATATTTTTTTAAAAAAATAATTAAGTGATATTGATTTATTTTAACTATAATTATATATACATAAAATAATAATTGCATTTATATTTTTTAATAATATTGAATTTTAAAAGATAAAAAGTTAATTATTATATAAGCTTTTAAATAGATTCTTATGGTCTTTTTATTTTCTTTTTATTTTAGATTAATAACCTAGGCTCAAACTTTATAATCCTTTTATTTCATACTAATAGGCCAGATTCATGCTTTAATTTTTCAAAATACGACTAATCTAGTCTATTTACATCCCTATTTATATGTCCGTGCAGTCAACCAACATAATCCTATGTATGATGGATTTACACCACATGCAAATGAATTTTGCATGTGGACAATAAAGAAATAGGCAAAATTTATCTATCTGTCTCGTGTATATATATATATATATAAATATGTAATACCTTGAAGGGGAGAGAGGGTGTGTTGGATATGGCCCTGAAGATGGTGACATCGAGAGTTCCATGAAGGAACTTTGTCTTGTCCTCCTCCTCCATTTGAGTTTCTGCAAATGGTGAGATCAAGAATTGGTATATATATATATATATTTATATATGTATACAGTGGGATTGGGGTTGAAGGAAGGTGATGATAACAATATAATAGAATAGTGAGAGATATGGATGACTTAAGAAGGTTCACATTTTGAGTCTTAGAGGGAACTCAACTCAAACTCAACTCAACTCAAATATGTGTGTTTGTTTGTTTTCACTTTAAGGTCAAGTTTTAGTTTGGATTGGTTACTTATGATTATTGCTGACTACTTGTAATGCTGTAATGATCTCATCACATAGACATAGATAACTAGGCTCTAGTAGTTTGTTATCAGATGACTTGATAATGACAATAATTATATGAAGAATTAAGAGCCAGTAATAGTAATAGTCATAGTCATAGTAATAATAAATAGTAAAGGAAAGTTCTATTTATTGGAATATTATTTTTTATGGATTAATGAACCATTATATATAGTAATTTTATGATTACTTTTATGGTTGATAGATTTTACTAGTCTAAGTTCTGTGTCCTCTTAACAAGTAATCAAGCACTTTGTGTAATATCTCGATTTTGATATAGTTTAAATTAATTGATTAAATATGAGAAGTTTTTTAAGATAGGTGTAAATGAGGAGAAAATATATTAAATTTGCCAAAATACTTGGCACGAACAAGAATATGAACAAAGTTCAATTACTATACTTAGTGCTTGTCCGCACATGTGCGAGTTTTTCTAATATACAAAAAATAAAAGTATGCATTTCTTTGAAACTAATAATATAATTAAATCTTCTCTTATCTAGATTATATTATTACACCGCTATTATACTAAAATAGACATGACATGAATAAGATCTAGTCGAGTCAACAGTATATATATATTTATACATTAATACATTATATATATATTATATTATAACATAATTTTATTTTATATATATATATATATATAAATTACTGAACATGGGCTTTTCAACCATATGAACAACATGATCAGCCCACTACCACTCCAGCAATTGATCCATTTACTTCAGTTATATATATTCCAAGATTGACCAAATGTCAGCCGAAATGAGCTGTTCTTCCAAGCCCACAGTCACTATAATAATTCTAATATACATTTTGAATGGATAGAATTTCTACCACGTTTCATAGAGATTTTTCTCTTTATATTTGTAGCAGTAGCAGTAGCAGTAGCAGTACCAATCAATGATGATTGATAACAAAATTCCAATAGGATATAGTTGGTGTACTTTGCCCAAACTTCTAGGACAGCTATTATTATTTATTATTATTATTATAATAATATGATTATCTGAAGGTAGGAATAGTGACAGGTTTTGAACAGGGCACGTGGTGAGTGTGAGATATCAGTTTGGTATATGGGCCCACTGGTCTTATCCTTCTATTAGTCCAACAACAAAAAGCCCAAACAGCCCATCAGCCCATTAGGTGAACATTGTCCCAACTTTTTCCAACCAACACCTTCCACTATGTGATAAGTGTTTGTCCCAAAAAAAATACTCGCCGGAGTAATGGCCTTGTCGTATCTGTTCTTCTAACCGGCCAGATCCTCTTTCCTCTTTATAAATAGAGTATTTGATTTGACTTAATCAATCATATATATATATATATATATATATATATGGCAAATAGTGTATTCTATATAGTACTCGTCCCTTACGCTTATGCAAACGCTGTGTTCATGGACTGACATGAATTTTAATAAAAGTGATTAATAATAATAATTTTTTTTTTTTATAGTAAAAAATGTATAAAATTATAATAATTTTTTACTTGGAAAAGTAAAGAGAATATTTTTCAATGACAACCCAAAAAAAAAATAAATATAAATTTGAATGACGAACGGAGTATAACATAATGTTTATACCCCATCCCTCAAATTTATCTAATTAGTAATTTTGGACAAAATTAACAAATGAATATTTAACTAGTCTTTCCGTCCGAAAATTTTAAAATATTTGGTTCCGTTACGGAGATTAAAAATGTATATATAATGATAAAAGTAAAAAAATTGTGCAGACAAAGACAGTATTATTCAATATTTATTTACAACAAATATTAATATTTTTAGTACATTATTTCTTCATATCTAATTTCTAACCAACTTTTCAAAAATAACTCTAATTATTTTTTACTTTTATCATTTTTTAAATATCTTTGTCAGATCAAAATATTCTAAATTTACCAGACCGATGAAGTATATTATATTGTATTGTATTGTATAAATATATTTATTTTGTTTAAATCATTACTAAAAATATATATTGCAGTATTGTATTATCATATGCTTAGACCTATCTTATATACATTAGTTTTCTTTGTATATTAGATTGTGAGACAACTAGTTACATAAATTTTCAATTTGATGTGGGCTTTCATTGAAGAAAAATTTGTGATATTATTATTTATGAAATTGTGTTTACATTATTCCATAGTTAAAAGGAATATTATGTAACATGTGAAAACATTTTTATACATTATTATTTTTTTTTTTGATAAAATGAAAGTAAATGTAGAATATTATCACATTAATTGCATTTCATAAAAAATGTATCATTCATCCATAATTTTATACAAAAATTTTTTTATTCAAAATCTAAATTTTACATCATACACATGAATAATTTCAACATCAACCCATATGATCTAAATCTATATTTTAGAGGTGGAAGCTAAATTGATTTACTCTTAATTTTTTATTGTCTTTTATTCACAACAAAAACATTAGGAAACTTTTTGAGTGTCCAATAATAATAATAATAATAATAATAATAATAATAATAATAATGGTATAATATCCACATATTTTATTATAAATGCAAAAGATAATTTCTATTTTATTTATTGTATAAAATTTATTTGTATTATAATAAAGTATTTACAAAATATTCTCTCCATTCATACATTGACGGTATTTGTAAATATTTCCTTAATTATATACTCCTTTCTTCCCTTAAAAATTTATTCATTTTTTTTAATTTTGGTTCGTCTCATATAAAAGTATCAATTTTTTTTTAGTAATTATACTATCAGCCTAATATTATAAATACATTTTCAATTTACAATATATTACACAAAAATCATTATCTTTATATTATACAACGTTAATATGATTAATTTAGTCTTTTTACTTTTACTTTTACTTTATCCTAATATTTATAAAACTTCGTGTAAAAAGCAAATTGATATATATAGATATGGGACAGATGGAGTAATTATTATGCAAATAAATTTGATAAAATATCTTAGATATTATTTTTAAAACAAAAAAAATTCAAAAATCTTTTATTTTATAGTTTATAAAAATAAAAATAAAGCTCACTTTCCTTTTACAAATAGTAAAATGAAAATATTAATTAATAAATTATTTATTTATTTTATTAAGAATAATATTTAAGATATTTCGCCTCATTTATTTATGGCATAGTTAGTTGCATATTACAATAACGTTGGTATTCAATTAGAAATAATGTTTTATGCATAATTTAATACACTTATATAAAAAAAATTTACACAATATCCAAGTAGTTTTATGCATAACTATGTTATATACGGCCACGTAAAAGTAAAAATTTACTTTTAGCGCGGTATTTAAAGTAGTGTAATGATATTTTTGTTTTTATTTTTTGGTGTAAAAGTAATTATATAATGTAAAATAAAAATATTTGTGAAAAAATATAAAATATTTAAAGAAATATTTACTTTGTAATTGAACGTCTAAAAATGTATACTTCTGAATGAACTGAATGAATATTTGATAATTTTAACAATTTTAAAAATATTTTTAATGTTATCATATCCAAAAATAATTTTTTATATAATAATTCATCTAAATAGAAAATCGAAGTGTTTGAACAAATATTATTGAATTTGTCTATAATGGTAGCAAGTTTTGGGTTACAGTGCACCTTCACGTAGCAGATTAAAACCCTTGAATTGTTGGAAAGTAATTTATTATTGTGTGCAGTAGGTTCCACGGTTCTTATTTACACCGCCTCTGATTCGCCAATCGTCTTCCCCCTCCCTCTCTCTGTTTGCGTTTACCAGAACCCTCGAAGCACGGTTTCCGATTTCCCATAGCCGGCGCCGGAAAATGACGAGCTACGGCACCATACCGACGTCCTCTTCCCCCTCCGGACCGCCGGTCAACCTCGAGTACATCACACGCGCCAAGGAGCGGATCAAGGCTGGTCTCGGCACGCGCCGCCCCTGGCGCGAGATGTTCCGGTTCCACAGCTTCAGCCTGCCGAGATCCTTCCGCGAAGTGGTGTCGCGTGAGAAGACGAACCTCGGATACTTCCAGATGAACTACGTCATCGTCGTCCTCGGGATCGTGTTCCTCAGCCTCCTCTGGCATCCGATCTCGCTCATCGTCTTCATCGTGATGCTCGCGATTTGGTTGTTTCTGTACTTCCTCCGCGACGAGCCTCTGGTGATCTTCGGCCGCCTGATCAGCGACCGCGTGGTGATGATTTTGCTGTCGGTGGTGACTCTCGTCGCTCTCCTGCTCACGCACGCCACGAAGAACATCCTCGTGTCGCTGCTCGTCGCAGTGGTGGTGGTGTTGATCCACGCCGCGGTTAGGAAGACCGACGACTTGTCCGCCGATGAGGAGGCTGCCGGAGGATTGTTGAGGTGAGTCGCCTGCATCTTCCTCCTGATTTGATTCGATCTTATCCTTTCTCTTGCTTAGCTGTTGTTCATTCAATTCAATCATTGATCATCATCTTCTCGTAGCCTCGCCTTGCCTGTTATTGTTGACTTTGCGTTTTTTTCTCTGTTTTCCGAGTGAGTGTGTGTATTTCAATTTTTTTTTCGATGTTCTTCGTTCTTTGAGAAATCATGTAAAATCCAGCACTGAATAATTCTCTGCTACTGTGGCTATTTCTAAACCTCCATTGGATGATCTTCGTTCAATTCTGTCCAAACTTGTTCTTCTTTCCTGCATAAACAATTTGTGAATGAACTTGAAGAAATTCCCCTCTCCTTGCTTAGATTTTGCAGTAATTTCTCAAATAGGTTAAACAGATTGTTGCTGAAATTCACAAATAGCAAATGATTTTACCTTAATTGTTGTGCCTGCTACACGTATCCAAATTCCTCCATGGCAGTCTGGCACTGCCTGCTGTGCTGGCTGCCAACACCACCCATACAGCACTACTTATTGATGACGCTGACATGCCGGCGGCGGCAGTGGTGGAGCGCCGCCAATGCTCCGCCCTAAATAGTGAAGGACTGGTAGCGAAACAAAACACAAGCTCGTAATTTGAATTTGAATTTGAATTTGATGCAATTAATTTGACATGGAGAATGCATTTTAATTCCGTGTTCACTCATTCAACTTCAACTTCAACCAACCTCACAAATATTCATTCAAATCAATGCAAAATTATTATCATTGAAAAATCAATTATTCCAGGAAGTTGTCTTAAGATATTATCTAACAATACATTATATTTTTTCTTATATTTCAATATTTATGATTATGAATCAACACTCAATAATACAAATACACTCATTATATCTGCTTCCTTATGCCTACCTAGAAAAAGAAAAATAAAATAAGATAAATACATTCGAAACAAAACAATTCTTTTCTTAAGTAATAAATTGGTAATATCTCAAAAAATACACAACCACCCTATATTAATAATATATTTGGATCATAGGCCCAAATTTTAATGGGCTTATAATTGGGCCCAATATATATGTTCCATGTAGAATTATTCATCCTATCGCATCCCATCCCAGCCCACTGTTCACTTTGTCCGATCATCCCTTCCGCCGGAAACCGATATGGCTCATCCGCCGCCGTATGAACCGTATTACTTGGCCGCGGCGCCGCCGGAATACGGTTATTCCTCCAGCGACGGGAATGGAATCAATACGTTGTTCGTTTCAGGTCTCCCTGACGATGTCAAGGCGCGTGAGATTCACAACCTTTTCCGTCGCCGTCCTGGTTTCGAGTCCTGCCAGCTCAAGTATACTGGCCGCGGCAATCAGGTTAGACCTATTCCACCATAGCTTTCCCTTGATTTGTGTTAGTTTCTTTATCTGGTTGAAATTAGCTCAAATTGGTGATTTTGATGTGAATGTGCCTTTTTTTTTGAAGAATTTCTTTCATTTGCTGGATTAGTGATCGTGGAATTCGTTTAATTATCAGGTTGTGGCATTTGCAACCTTTGTGAACCATCAATCGGCATTGACGGCTCTCCATTCATTGAATGTAATTTTTAATTGTTTGTAGGAATTTATTATATCAGCTATAACTTAGAACTTGTCTATATACGTTTTTGAGATTTACTTATGTTGATAATAAATGATGCTGAAACATCTACAGGGAGTTAAATTTGATCCGCAAACTGGTTCCACTTTACATATTGAATTGGCAAGATCAAATTCTAGAAGAAAAAATAAACCAGGTTGGTTTACTTATCTCCACCTTTATTGCCAATGATAATATCCCCAAATATGATTATAATGATTTATTAGAATAATGTGAGGGGTTGCATTACCACTACCAATGGTTGATCAGCACTTAACACTGTTTCCAGGAAGTGGTCCATATGTTGTTATTGATAAAAGAGCGAGATATGAGTCCGGCGCAAGGGGATTGGGATCGTCAAGTGATGACGGTATTGCTCAGTTTATCATATATATATATATATATGTAGATATGTATGTATATGCACCCTGATCACCCTCTCCACTTCTTAAATTCAACTGGTTGTGAAGAGGGCAACATCTATAGGGGGAATAATTTTAACTTCTACTAAATTTGGATGACCTCTGAGGCTGAATAGATAAAATCTTGAGTTTAATTATGGGGTGGTTTTTTTTGTCATTTCTTTCATTGGTTAATGTTGAGTTTAAAATACCGTTGCTATATAATTAATAACTAACGACTCCATGAAGAGTGGTATTGTAGATTATGACATGATTGTTTGTGTTTACAATTTTACATGTGTTACCTGACAGACAGTGATTCCGATGCCTCACCTAACATATTCGATTCTGCAAACCAAGCTGATACAACGGTTGGCAGGAGGTTGGACATGTTTATCACTGCAAATACTTTCATTATGATCTTATCGGCAATTCTCCAGTGTCCTATGGATTTGAGTTAGCTCTTGTATAATGGTTCTTTTGAATCTGACCGATAGCGAAATTCTGCATGTTACAGCATTCAACCAACCACTTATAATGATGGTTTAGCTCCCGAGAATGTGAGTAAATTATGTACTGAAGTTTGTTTACGGCATTGTTTCTATTCTGCTGATTTGGTTCTTATTTTTTACGTCGGGCTTTCTAACATTTGAATATTTATTTTTAAGGAGCAGGCAGAGAGGATGGATGGTGCTTGCTCGACACTGTTTATTGCTAATCTAGGTCCAAAGTGCACCGAAGACGAACTGAAACGAGTTCTTTCTCAGTAAGTTGCAAACATTTTGGAATCCCTTCCTCTTACACTTGCAATCTCCATTGGCTTGGATGTTCTTATTCGATCTCCATTTCAGGTACCAAGGATTCAACAGCCTAAAGGTTCGTGCCAGGGGTGGAATGCCAGTTGCTTTTGCTGATTTTGGGGTATGCTCCTGTGAAAAAATCGAACCCTTTCTATGCTTCATGTACAGGGCATCCGCAACGTATTAAGGTTTTAATTTAACTATGGTAAAATTGCTCATAACTCTTATGTAGTTTCGAAATTCAGCGTAAAATCTTCTTGTACTTTAAATATTGCATGACATTCCCTAATATTTAAAAAAGCGTTAGCATAAAAATCCACTACCATGAAACCTCATTGTATGATGAGAAGATGATTTTCTATCTATATTTTTTATATTGCAGGAGTTTTATGCAATATTTTTTTGAAAGTATAAGGGAGTCATGCAATTTTTAAAGTAAAGTGGAGATTTACGCTGAATTTCGAAACCACGTAGAGTTTCATGCAATATTTTTTAAAATGTATGAGGCATCATGGAATTTTTTAAAGTAAATGGGGGATTTATGTTGATTTTCAAAACTATAAGAGAATTTTGGGCAATTTTGCAGCTGTTTTAGCTCACAAAAGTCTGTATGTTTCCTTCGACAGAGAGTGGAACATGCAACTGATGCAATGATGGCGCTCCAAGGAAGCACACTACCATCGTCCGACAGGGGAGGCATGCATATAGAGTAATCCACACTACAACATATCTACCTCCATTTTAGCTCATATAGCAACTACACTTGTCTAACTTATGGATTATTGCTTCAACAGATACGCAAGGTCGAAGATGAGGAAGCCGTGAAAATTATTCCAAATGATCGCAAAGTCTACTATGACTAACTTGGTAAAACTACAAACCCCATCTCCCGGCCATGAGTTGTACTCTATATTTCCATTAGAAGATTTGACTTCCGGCTCTATATGTATAAAATAGATTTATATGACATGATACATATTCTATGGTTTGACCAATTTCGTGTAGTTATGATAATTTTGCCTCCATTGCTATTAGAAGAATCGAATTTTCTATTTGATGATTATATACCGCTCTGAAGAAACTGATGCATATACTTCTCATTTTAATCGAATTGGTTATCAGTTTCATTTCTTAGTTCACAAAAATCAAAATGCCGCCGGTGCTACACACCGAAAGAAATTTATGGAAACTTGACTAGAGTAAGCATTTTACACAGCTTCATTTCATATCTTAATCTCGACTGGATTTGTCCGTCTCCGTGTAGTTCGATCTCCTGTTGATCGAAAACCTTGAACTACATACTACAGGAATGTCGTGTTGCTCATTTTGCAGATAGTGATCCGAACAGATTCTTCCACTTTGGCTCCCAGCGTCAAATCCAGACACAGACAGCTGGCTCAAATCTGCCGTCTCACCTTCAAGTATCCGTAGCACCTAGTTCACAATTTAATCGATTCAGGTCAGTCATCTTGATCTTTACATAGATACAAGAATGTCGTTGTGAGGACTATGTCATACCTGAGACATACGGGGCCTTAATTGAGGATCCCGGCGTATGCACAACGCTGCAGCTCGCAGCATGTTGTACACCTCGTGCTCCGAGTAGTTGCCCCCCAACCTCGGATCCACCAGTTCGTCGGTGGCATAAGCTTCCAGTAATGGCCTCGCCTGTCGTCCGGTAATACAATAATAATAACCGTGTCATAATCTAGACAACCTTACATATAGACAGTTGTTGCTTACCCATTCTGTTAGGCACTGCTGCCCCTTCGGCCTGTTAATGTCCACAGCTTTACGGCCTGTAACGAGCTCTACTAACACAACGCCGAAAGAGTAGACATCCGCCTTCTCCGTGATCTGCCCGCTCGCTGCATACTCGGGCGCCAGGTACCTGGAGAATACGATTGTCTTGAAACTGAATCAACTAAGAAATGAATGATCGAAAAAAGCTTTACCCGAATGTCCCGATTACTCTCGTTACGACTCCCGTCTCTCCGTCGGGTTGCCACCGAGCTAGCCCGAAGTCTCCCACCTAGTTGCATATAGGTTTAATCCTAACTCTTTATCTTTTAATTCACCGTTTATTGTTAAAATGTTGTTACCAGTGGTTCGAAATCATGTGTGATGAGAATGTTGTTAGGCCGCATATCGCGATGGACGATGCAACCCACTCTGCACTCTTCGTGAAGATACCGCAATCCCCGGGCAGCTCCCGTTGCAATCTTGTGCCGTGCAGCCCAGACGAGCACGTCTCGATGGTGTCCTGCATCGATCGATTCAACGCCATCGCTATAAACAGGTAATCAATGTAAAGTGTCTTTCTTTCAGTTACAGCGTTGCGTACCGTAGAGATGAGAATCAAGCGATCCGTTGCAGATGTATTCATAAACTAACAATCTTCTGCCGCCCTCGATGCAGTATCCGATCAACATAACCACATTCCGGTGCTGCGCGCAGCTCAAGACTTCGACCTCGGAGCAGAATTCTTGATCGCCTTGCGAACTCGCCAACTTGTGCTGCTTCACCGCGATCGTCTGCCCGTCCGGGAGGACTCCTCGGTGCACCGATCCGTATCCGCCTTCGGCTAAGAAGTTCGCCCGCGAAAAGAATCCCGTCGCTAGCTCGAGCTCGGCGTACGTGAACCACCTCGGCGGCTTCCCGAATACCGGCGCCTTATGTTGACATATCGAACACAACGGAGGGGGGCCGGGAGGGGCCGTTCTCGACAGGGAAATTACTTCCCGCAAACTGCCACTGAAGTCTTGATTCGACTGGTAGCTCGGGGATGGGTACCCGACGTCGTTTTCGAGTTTTGCGAGGTTTTCTAACAAACCCTTTTGTCTGTGTGCAGGGTTTGATCGACCCGAGCTCTCTGCGGGATGCTCCGACGATTGACGGTGTGAAGAAACGATCTCTGCCATCCATGGCTGAAACCTCAAGCTCGACGAAGATGACAAGCTTTCACCGTCCGAATCGGAACTCGATTCGTTTACGTCTTCTCGATCCTGTTTCGTCGGTATTAGCTTCTCCTTCTTCGCGCCTTCCTTGATATCGAACGGCGACGTTCCAGGGTCAGAGCTTGAAACTGAAAATGTCCCAGCTTCTGTGGCGGTGAATGTCTCAGGACTGCTCGAAGGAGTGACGAGAGGGCCGCGCGTCGGGTTCTTACAATCCTTCTGCTCGTCGACGTTCTTGGTCGATTTGTTGCTGTCTGAATTCGATGATTCCGGATCCTTTCTAGGCGAACCGAGTAAGTTCAGTCGAAGAACCTTCGGCTGCGCGCGCTTCATTACGACGATGTTGCATTGCAGCTCCTCCATGCATCGTTTCTCTTCCTGCTTAAGCTGCCTGTCGAAAAAATCGAAAACAATCGGGACATTAAGACATGAGGAGCTGCGGACAACCTTAAAGAGAGCGATTTCCGGCATTACTTGTCCAAGACAACCCAATTCGCGTGGTTTCTCTTCGCCTCGGCCGCGACTGCGCCACCAGGATTCCCGGAGATGATCTTGATCTTGACGTTGATCTGAAAATTTTTCAGACGGTCAGCATTCGTTGCTATCGAAAACGAGTCGAAAAACATGAATGGATAGATGGATGCACACTGACTTTGTTAGGATCATAAACGTCGTGTAGCTGAAGGATCATCTGTGAGCAAGAATCTGTTATGTCGGATTTTTGATCGGCGGCGGTGCCGGAATTTGACTTCCGGTGACCGCTGGCACAGTCTCCGGCGAACCTAGGGAAGCCCCACAACTTCCTTCCTGGTTTATGTACGGACAAAAGCACAAAATATCTTCAAATCTAAAACAGAGCTTCCCAAACTTGACAACAAAAAAAAACCCACAAACCAAAATGCATTCTTGCATATCATAGAACATTAAAACAAATACAAAACAAGACAAGAAAGTTGTGTGAGAAAAATTTACAAGCTTCTCTCAAATACTATGACCAAATCAAGATCAAGAACAAGAGAGAAAGTAAGATTACCTGAGGAGTGAGAAGAGATGACAACAAGAAGTGTAATGCAATCACCAGGCTGGACAACATGGGTGAGTGCCCAAACAAGGGCAGTCTTGGGAATCTCCTTTGAAGCCTTGACAGCCACCACAACTTTCTCAGGAACCCCATCACACCCCCCACCCCCACCCCCTTTCTTCAACTCTCTACTCATTAGCCCACCAAAGATCAAAAACACACACAACCTTCACCTTTTCCTCTTCACAAAGAAATAATTCAAGAAATCCAACACTAATCAATCCCCCTACTTAAACAAAATGTGTGCCTACAAGAAGAGAAGAGAGGAGATATTAGATATTAGGTGTGTGCATTATTAGGCACCCCCCACCCCACCCCCAACCCCAACCCCAACCCATGTTATGAAAACCATGTTCTGCTCTGGCTGACTTTCTCACTGCTCCTCTAAAAGAACATGCACAATTTTCACCCTTTGACGAGGACCCTCTCTCTCTCTCTCTCTCTCTTTTTCTGTTTCTCTCTCAAGGGCTCTAATAATAAAACATACGAACCTTTCCCTTCACTTTCTTTTCCTCCCCATAGTCAAATTTGAAGAAGAGATGAGATGATCAAGAAGATTCCAGAAATGGGCACTGAGCAAGATCTGCAAAGAGGGTTCTTTTCAATCTGAGGATGGCTTCCACTATTTGCCACATGACTACACTCACTTTTCTTTTTGTACTAAACACACACACATGCTTCCATTTGCATTTCCAATTCTATTTCAGATCAAATAGGAATTTTCAATCATCTTGGGGCTGTGATTGAAACACCAATAATTGTGATTGAAGGGACACCCAAAATCCCCCATATATATTTTCACCTAAGAATTGCCCACATCCATCCAAACCCTAATGGAAAGCAAGCAAGAAAATGAACCATCAATAAAAAGCAACAGAAAAAAAACCAGTGAAATGAAATGACACAAGAGTTGAGATTCTTTGCCTTTAGATCTCAATCTTTTTTTTTTCTTTATTGCCCAATCCTGCAAAAATTCACAAACCCCAATCAGTGAAGAACATTATCGAGCCACAGTGTTTATGGGATTTGCTATCTTTGTATCTCTCTCTAGCTTTATATATAGAGAGAGAGATTTTCTACCTCTTCTTTCACATCATAACAGCTCAATATAGAGGTGAAGACGACGCCTCGAGAAAAGGGATAATGTTTAAATGAATAATAATAATAAAAAAAAGATGTTGAATTAAAAAAATAATAAAATTAAATGTTGAATTACATTGATGCTGGGAGATTTCAGGTTCGAACAACCTTCACCAAACCCGAATCCTCAGTGATGTAAATGTCGTGAAAGAACAGTAGAATTCATCGATAAAACACTTCAACAAAATTAATGAACATTAAATTTATTATGCAGCTTCAGGGTTCTTATTTAGTGGGGTGGGGTGGGTGGTAGTAGTTAAACCAGGCGTAAGAGCAATGATTTACTCACATCTGTGCCAGTAAGAGAGGCCCAAACAAAACGACGAATTTGGGGAAATTTACAATGCAGTTATAACAGACGAAAATGTTCATAAATTTTTCGTGCTTGTTTTAGTGCAGGGTCTGAATTCTTGCCCCCCTTCTCTCTCTATCTCTTTCTCTCTCTAAAAGCACTGATTTTTACTGCCACCAGACATGGTCGATGTCGAGGCCTTGCATTGTCGAGAGTTTTTTAGAAAACCCTGGGCTTCAACTCCTGATGCTATATTTCAACCTATGGATGACATGGATTGAATCCGGATCTGAACTCCCTGGACTTGCCAAGAATCACCCTACTTATTTGTTATAAAAATTAGGTTCAGTGATAAAAATGGAAATTTTTTTATTATTTGCAAAATAAATACAGGGATTTGAGTAATATCAGATTTTAATATATACACATTTGCAGTGTAAAAGTTGAAGTTTGGCTATCAACCTTGTCTTTAGTAGTGATTATAAAAATATTAATAATTACATAAATATAAAAATTAAACACAACAGTACTGTAGACAATGTAATGATGACTTTCAGTGACATTAACCATAAGGACAAAAAAAAATTCTCCCATGTCATTAATTTACCACGATTGAATTGTTTGTATTTTCGATATAATATTTAAAAATATATATAAAGTGTGACAAATTTCGAATTTTGAAAAATTTAAATTTATTTATTTATTTTGTAATTCAAAGTTTGAAATTTGCATTTAATGATAGGCGCAGGTTAGCATTTGAATCAGACCCCCTCACAGGGCTCAGCAAAGACAGAGACAGACAGACAAACTGCACTCAATAATTAAAATCTGCCACGTCACTAGCCGTTAACTACCTCCGTCAAGACCCCGCTTTCCGAACGGCTCTCCATTCACGCCGTATCAAGTCCCCATGAACGGCGAGCAAACGTTTTCCGTCTGTCAGCTAACGTCCCGCCGTCACCCTGCCTCGCTTCACTGTCCCACGTTACCGCAATCAATGCCTGACGGCGACTTAACGGCGTCCTCCATTTCACGTCGCCGCTGTGGGGGCCCGCCGATTCGCGCCAACTTCCGAATTTGTAATTCTTTAAACTCGAGGGGGTTTTTTGAAAAACAAAATGCAATTCTTTTTTTATAGATTTTATTGAATTATCGAAATTGTAAAAATTTCGTAGTCTGTGTCTATATTTTTATTTTATTTTATTTTATTTTTATTAATAAGCTCTTCGAGGGGAATTAGGTTTTGTCCCTAGTCGTTTCCCCTCTTTCTTTTTGTCCTGTTAGGCTATTGCATTATGGGGAAAAAATATATATATATATATAATATTTTAATTTTTTCAATTTATTGATTCTATTGCCTAAAATCACTACAAATTGTTTCTCATTTCATTAACTTAATTAATTAAAAAGTTCATAATAACATATTTTGTTTTGAATGTTGTCATATGTATTGGGCCTAGACAATATTTATTGGGCCTATTCTAGTTGGGCTACAGTACATTAAATGGGTCAAACTCTATTAATTGGGCTTTCTAAAGAAGCGTATTGTAGCAATAGATTTGGGCCTCAATGAGCCCAATTACGTATCAAGAATGATAATCCAATCAAATTGGTTATATTATACATTCTTCATTTCGATATTGTTTTGTGCTTATATCTGTTTGAAACAAAAAACATATGTTTATTTAATATAATAAATTAAGGCATTTTTCATTTTTGTCCTTCCCTCCCGAAACAAGGATATTATTTTCTTACATACCTAACATAAATAATACCCTTACAACTTCTAATATTTTAAATAAATGTCATTACTTTTTATATCACAATGTAATATAGTAGGACATTTTTGTTTTTTCACTATAAATCAATATAATACGAATATTAAAAAAATTACTGTAAATATTACTTATCTTCTGGGACGAAAGTAGTATTGTTTATTAATAATTTTTTTATCACAATAAATATATTTTTTTATATAACATTAAATCAAAATATTTTTTACTATTTTTAAAATTGTTCAAACCTAGGTTTTTTCTCCTCGTTTCAAACTCAAATTATTTTATTTTAAATCAAATTCAAACTACAACAAAATAAATTATAAAACTTCCGAAAAAAAAAATCAAAAAAATAAATAGATTTAAATTAGACATATAGAAATAATAAAATAGTTACGTATCATTTGGAGAATATAATAATAAAAGCCATCATTAATGGAAATATATAGTGGTGTCATTTTATCGAAAAGTGTGTCCAATTTAAAAGTTAACAAGTAAAAAGAACACATCACATAAATCCCTTAACACACCAATTGACATTATTATTATTATTAATTCAATCAAATTTGATTTAAATTTATTTGATAAATAAGCTCAGCTGAATGCGAACATGAATTTATTAATTTCAACTCAATAAAAATTATGTATATAATATAATAATAATATTTTATATTAAATATTAATATAATATATACCCTTTCCGTCCATTTACCATATTTATATATTTATATTTTGGGACGTCCAATTACAAAGTTAACATTTCATTAAATACTTTACTTTTTTTCATAAATACCTTTACTTTACATCACATTATTACTTTTTTTTACTATTTTTAATTACTCACTATAATTAAAATATTATTATTTTTTTTTTAGCAAAAAGTAAATGTCAACCAAATTAAAAAATTGAAATAACAAACTCTGTACATTTGAATTACAGTAATTAATTGGGTTGGGATAGATGCATTGCAGACTCACATGACATGCAGTTGTAGTGAGAATCTTTGTCGCAATAATTAATATTGAATGACGCAATTACCAATTTCGACCCATTTAATATACTTGCTTAGTTGTTTATTTTCTTTTGTTCACTTACTTTGTGGTATTTGTTTTTCTGAAAAAAAAAAAGAAAAAATTAATTTTATTTTAAAATTTTTAATTTATTTTTTAAAATTTTAATTATACTAATTACTTATCTTCATCTTAATTTTAAATTATTTTTATTAAATAATAATTATTTTTACTGATATATTTTTAATTATTTATTAATTATATTTTTTATAAATTTTTGTATATACTGTAAAGGGGACACGCACTTGGAACGAGGGAGTATGAGAGAGCTTTTACGCTAATTATTTATTGCAATTCTTAGGTTTATACAAGTTTTTATTATCTTAACTTTGTATTATTAAATAATATTATATGTTTGCATTGAAAAACTTTTATATTTAAATAATATTTAATAATCTCTCCAACATTTTGGTCCAAATGGACTCTTTAGAATTTTATAATATTTTAAGAAATAATATTAGTATTTTATTAGTTATTGAAAGTGTGTATAATATTTTGATATTTTTGTCTTTGAGTAAAAATGATATGTTTATAATTTAGATAAAAATTAAAAATATGTTAATATTAATATATGATTACTTTTAGTAAAATAGAAAATGAATACTTTAAAGCTAACGAAAATAATAAAAATGGTGCTTTTATGAGTCGGGCAAGAAGTATAAAATTTATAAAAAAGAAAAAAAAAACGAATATATAGAGTGTATTTGTTTTGTGAAATAATTTTATAAAAAAAATCATGTAAAATATAAAAATTATGTAAAAAATATAAAATAATAAATATATGTAATATATTAATTTTTTTAAATATATATATAATTAACACCCTAAAATAATAATTAAAAAAATAGGTAAAAAACAAAAAACACTCATAATGTTTGTAGAGTGAAATTATTGACTTTTCGGTATATCGGTCCAAGAAAAAAAAAAATAGCAAAATTAACATTATATCGCAAAATTGTCAATATAAAAAAAAAAAAAAAAACTGAAAACACTAAAAATTATAATAATTAAAATTTTTAATATTCTCTTCGTCATCCAAATATATGCTCACTACATCATCCCTAAATTCGAGCATAATAAATATTACAAATAATAATAATAATGAAAAATTTACTAATTTAATTTGATTATAATAATAATATATTCAAGATCATATCAACTATATAAACTATAATTAAATTGTTGAACATCTGTAGATACACTAAAATCCGAAAAGCAACCAAGTTCACACACATCTAAGAATAATATTCTCTATTTTTTTATTTATTTATTTTTATTTTTTTTGACTTGTGTAACTTTTGTTGTCGTTTTTCGATCATTAGGGTATGCTCTTTTATCTTAAAACCTTTGTATCAAAGGAATTCTTCATAAATAATTGAACATATGTAAGAGCGGCAAAAATAATGGATTTATTTGTCCAATTTTTAATTTTTGATAATTTTTTTCAATATATATTTTATATTTTTACAAAAATTAACATTATTATATTTTATATTATCGACACATTTTTATATGGAGCATCACTTTTTTTTTTTTTTTTTTTTTTTTTTTTTTTTTTTTTGGTTCTCACAAACATAGTTATGTGGAGCATACTAATGATTTGATAGAAGAATTCACATTCTAATGAGATATTCTCGTTATGTTTACACATATTTATAAAGAATTTTAATATTATTTATCAATAATAATTTTTAAAAATATTTTATAAATATCATATCAAATATTTAATTCATATTTTTTAATACTTAAAAAATATTTATCAAAGTGTCCTTGTTTAAATATATTTAAATGATTTGATTAGAGACTACTTGTACTTAATAAAGTGTGCTTTATAGTTATTAGGTAGCTTTCAATGTTTCAATAGACTTTTACAATATAATGAAAATGATTTTACAATTTGTAAGAGTATATTAGTTATGTTTACAACAATGGTGTGTTTTTTTGGGGTTTTTTTTATTTTGAATTGAGATTTAAATAGTAAAATTTTGAATTTGAATATTTTATTTTTGTGAGTTTTAATATATTAATATTTTATATATTATACAATAGAAAAATGAAAACATATTTTTGACCTTAAAATTATTTACTTTTTAGTGATAATATTTATAATATTGTGTAAAATGTAGGATATATATTTTTTATTAAAGTAAAAAAAAAAAAAATCTTTTACTAAAATAGGAAACATGATATATTGAAGTTGGTCATATTAAAATAGCAAAATAATTATATGGATGGTGATGAAAAATTATAATATATTGTATTTTTTATAATTTATTTTTTTTGGCTCATGTATTTGTAAACGCATCAAAAAACAAACCAAATAATCAAACTCTTCTATCAACACTTAAAAAAATTAAATAAATAATTTTTTGACATAAAAATCGATCCAACAAAATTAGGTGCAGTTCTCATGTCTTTATATATATATTTCATATTATTATTTTGTCTTTATTATTATTATTTTTTATATAAAAGTAATAAAATAATGATAAATATAAGTATTTGTAAAAAAAATAAAGTTTATGGTTACTAAACAAAATAAAATAATTATTTTATAATTGGACAATTCAAAATAAAAATATAGATATTTAGTAAATGTAATATATTATGATCAAATAACTGGCACGAAGTATAGTTGCTTTCGAGTAAAACGACACCAACCATTGTCGAATTTGGAGCTGAATTAATGGGCAATGATTGACTACCTATATAAATATATATAGCAATAAATTTAATGTCACGGCATTTTATTGATTTTTGGACTGTATATATATTATGTTAATCACCAATTATAAATGTATATAAATTAATTTCTCATGTTTCCTTATAATGTGTTCACTTAATTTTCTCTCTACATATAAATATATATGACCTAAAAATACAATTTATATTATTTTTGCTTTAAATATATAAAATTTTAATTTTTTTTATTTAGGATATTTCAAAATTATTATAATAATTTATTTAGATTTAATTTTTTATTTGGATCCTTTTATATAAATCTGTTAGTGTGATTGTTTGAATGACTAACCAAAATAAAAAAAATCGCATGAAACAAATTAAATTAACATCAAAACTGGCAGTAGTAGGTAATGAATTTTTTTAAAAAAAATTGTACTGTTTAAGAATATATTCAATTGTTTAATATGTGTGATTTGTAGTATATTTTAAGATGTCTTCAGTGTTAGGATCCATTTCGACATAAATTTTCAAAGTTTTAAACATTTGAAAAAAATATATATATATATATAGTAAAAAAAAAAAATATTATGTACAATTTGAAAAAATAGTGAATAAAAAGTACAAAAATATCTATATAATATAACCGTAAAAACTATTAGTATAAAAAATTTTGACGTGTCTATTTTGAATTTTTTATTTATTTAAGTATAAAATAAGAACAAGATAAAATTAAATTTTCTAACCAGTTCGCAAAGGACGAACATATCAATATAGGCTTTCATATGTAAATATATATAATATAGATGACTGATGAGGAATAATTCAGGCAGAAAAAGAAAAAAAGAAAAAATAAATAAATATATATATATAATACTTTGATTGGACAAAAATTTTAACAAAAATAAATAATAATAATATTTTTATTTTTATAGTAAAAAAATATAAAAGTATAATAATTTTTATTTAATAAGTAAATCAAAATATTATTTTTGATGATAACACAAAAAAATAAAAGTGAACGACGAGAGTAATATTTATATATGGACACACAAGTCTTATATATACGTAGTGCGCATGTGAGCGTCATCACATAATTGAGGACTAAGGAGCAGGAAGCTTTTTGAGCGATGGCTTCCGCAGCACCTTCATGGGGTAACCATTGATTGCTGCATTGCTTTTTCGATTCCACTTGTTGTTGTCAAGTGAATGAATGATTTTTTAACCCTAATTTTGGCTCCGTTCTGATTGCTAACAAGCTAGATTGCGGCTAAAGTTGCTGTGTGAATGAATTAACAGATACTTTTTAAAAAAATCTTATTGGTTCTTCTGCTGAAATGGTTATGGAATTCACAGGTGGAATTGTTGACGTTGAACTTTTGAGGAAGTTGAGAACTGTATTGGACTTCGCGAATCTATTCATCGCTTGTGTTTTCTCTCTGGTTTTGCTTATTCGTAGGAGAAGGCAGACTAGAGAGTGCAGACGAGACTGGTTTGATACAGCGGTTGCGAGCTGTTGTGCGGTCGTGTGCGTAGAGTATTTCGGAGCAGACATATATGGTATTATTGTTAAAACCAATTATGAACTGGATGCTATGAATTGGTACTTAGTGTGCTCAATTAGAGGACTAGTTTGGATTCTGCTATCTGTTTCTTTGCTCGTTCAAGGATCCAGTTGGATCATTTCTGTTGTGAAAGCTTCGTGGTGGATAATCTTTTTTGTGGTCGTTACGGTGTTGAACGTATTGAATTTGGTAGAACTGCATCGTCTAGAGATTTTAGAAGTTGCGCCTTGGGCGGCAACATTTTGTCTTTTTGTTAATGGCGTTAGGAGTCTACGCAGGCTTATTTCTCAAGAAGCTGCAGTCAATGGCAGCTCCTTGGAGCCATTGCTGGGGGAAGAGAGTGAGAAGAGTGAATTTAGTTTAGGCAGCGCATCACTGTTTGGTCAGCTGTCGTTTTCTTGGATCTGTCCTTTGCTTCGGTTGGGTAGGTTGAGGCCTTTGAATCTCGATGACATCCCGTCTCCAGGATCCTCTGAAGACGAAGCATTTTCAGCAAATGAGAAATTAAACAAAGCATGGAATGCAGTGGAGAAGGAAAAGGGCAGTTCGACAAATCTGGTTTTTTGGGCTATTACGAAGGTGTACTGGAAAAGCATGGTGATTGCTGCCACATTTGTGTTTCTCAGGACACTTTCCGTAGTGACCAGTCCATTGCTGCTTTATGCTTTTGTCAACTTCTCAAAGCGTGAGAACAAAAGTATGAAGGAGGGTGTTTCCTTGATAGGATGTCTGGTTTTTCTCAAGATTGTGGAGTCCTTGTCCCACCGGCACTTCTATTTCTATGCCCGCAGAACAGGCATGAGGATGAGGTCAGCTTTAATGGTGGCAGTGTACAGAAAGCAGCTGAAGCTCTCATGTGCAGGAAGGCGTAAGCACTCAACTGGAGAGATAGTGAACTACATTGCAGTTGATGCTTACAGAATGGGAGAGTTTCCAGTGTGGTTCAACATTGGTTGGTCTTCAGTACTTCAGATTTTTTTATCCATAGCTGTCCTGGCTGCAGTTGTGGGGCTTGGTGTGCTACCCGGCTTAGTTCCATTCATCATCTGTGGTTTTCTCAATGTGCCAATAGCTAAAATATTTCAAAAGTATCAGACAGAATTCATGGTTGCTCAGGACAGGAGGCTGAGGTCCACATCTGAAATTCTCAACAGCATGAAGATAATCAAGCTGCAATCATGGGAAGAGAAGTTCAAGTCCGTGATTGAATCTTTCAGAAGGAATGAGTTCAAATGGTTGTCGAAAACGCAGTACATGAAGGCGTTTAGCACCGTGTTATACTGGATGTCACCAACTATTGTTGCCTCGGTGATCTTTTTCGGGTGTGTCATCTTCAAGAGTGCTCCATTGAATTCAGCCACTGTGTTCACAGTGCTAGCTGCACTCAGAACCATGTCCGAGCCTGTCAGAGTATTCCCTGATGCACTGGCCGCATTGATTCAGGTTAAGGTATCCCTTCAGAGGATCAACTCTATTATGCTTGAAGATGAACTCAAGCAAGAAAATTTGCTGGCACAAGATTCAGACATCTTAGTTAACATTCAAGGTGGTTGCTTCAGTTGGGACACACAGACAGCTACTCCAACACTTACAGACATCAATCTGGAAACAAATCCGGGACAAAAGATTGCGGTCTGTGGGCCGGTTGGGGGTGGGAAGTCATCCCTTTTATGCGCCATCTTAGGTGAAATACCAAAAATATCAGGAACTGTAAGTCCATTGTTGATTAACTGGTATTGAGCATATCATACTATCTTGAGTTTACATCTTGTTGGTTGCAGGTGAAGATCCTCGGATCAATGGCTTATGTAGCACAATCCTCGTGGATTCAAAGTGGAACAGTGCGCGACAATATTCTCTTTGGAAAGGCAATGGACAGGGCAAGATACGAAGAGGCTATTCGAGTGTGTGCTTTGGAAAAAGATATTGAAAGCTTTGATTATGGAGATCTCACAGAAATAGGCCAAAGGGGCCTGAACATGAGTGGAGGACAAAAGCAGAGGATTCAGCTGGCTCGAGCGGTCTATAATGACGCCGATATATATCTTCTTGACGACCCTTTCAGCGCAGTGGATGCGCACACTGCAGCATCCCTTTTCAATGCAAGACACGAACATAAACACTATCTTCTTACATGCTGTTGCACAAACTTGATCCAATTGTTTCATGTCTTTCTGCAGGACTGTGTAATGACTGCTCTAGCAAAGAAGACAGTGATTCTAGTGACTCATCAAGTGGAATTTCTCAACAATGTCGATCAAATATTGGTAATATAGTTAAATGTAACTAACTGCCAATGTCGAAATGATTGCAGGACTAAAACTTTTTAGTTTGCCATAACTGTGTGGTAACATGTCTTAGGTTGTTGAAGGAGGACAAATCACTCAATCAGGAAGCTACAACGAACTTCTGGTTGCAGGAACCACATTCGAGCAGCTCGTATTTGCTCATAAAAGTACAGTAGGCTCATTAGACGCATCATCCGGATCAAGCCAATCCGAACATCACACTACACATTTGAATCAAATAGACCATAGCAACAAGGCTTCTATGAAAGAAGAAAGACACATGGAAATCACTTCAAAACCAGGGAAACAGCTAACAGAAGAAGAAGCTAAGGAAGTTGGCGATGTCGGGTGGAATACATTCACAGATTATGTTTCGGTATCAAAGGCATTAGCCTGCTTTTCTGGCATTGCAGCTAGCCAGTTCTTCTTCGTGGCCTTGCAAGCTGCTTCGGGTTTCTGGCTAGCATTCGCCATTCAGAAGAGTATAACCAGTGTCATTGTTGTTGGAGTGTACACTCTCATTGCATCCCTCAGCACACTCTTTGCATTCATGAGAACACTGTCTTCGGTTCTTCTAGGACTTAAAGCATCTCGGGCCTTCTTCTCTCACTTTACAGACTCCATCTTCAGTGCTCCAATGCTCTTCTTCGACTCCACCCCAGTCGGGAGGATATTAACGCGCGTAAGACAGTAATATTCTTGCACACTTTTCATAGATTCTACAAAAACTCATACTTGATATTTGCTTTTTTTTTTTTGTTATCACAGGCATCATCAGATCTAAGTGTGCTGGATTTCGACATTCCTTATGCACTGGGATTTGTAATAGCTGCAGCAATGGAGCTCGTAGCATCAATTTCCATTATGGCGACAGCAACATGGCAAGTTCTCTTTGTCGGCATATTTGCTATGGTACTTTCACAATACATGCAGGCAAGAATCAAGATACTAAAAACTAAAAATCATCTACCATGATCCTGCTTTTAGTGCATAAACATTTATAAAATTACAATTCTTGAATGAAGAGATACTACCAAAAATCAGCAGGGGAGCTGATGAGAATCAATGGAACAACAAAAGCACCTGTCATGAACTATGCTTCCGAGACAGCGCTTGGAGTTGCCACCATTAGAGCATTCCGAATGGCCGATAAATTCTTTTCAAACTTCCTGAAGCTTGTCGACCAGGACGCAAAAGTTTTTCTAGCCTCAAATGCCGCCATGGAATGGCTTGTATTGAGAACTGAAGCAGTTCAAAACCTCACCTTATTCACTGCTTCTGTGTTCATAGTCTTAGCTCCAAAGGGATACATTCCTCCAGGTAAAGAAAATGTTATTTAATTTCTAGTTTCTTTATGTTGTAGAGACACTTCTAAGTGCAATAAAATTCGATTCTTTTCCACAGGGCTCGTGGGACTCTCCCTTTCATACGCCTTTGCATTAACCGGGACACAGGTGTTTCTCGTGCGATGGTACAGCAGTCTCACTAACTTCATCGTTTCTGTCGAACGGATCAAACAGTATATGAACATACCACCAGAGCCACCAGCAGTCATAGCTGAAAAGAGGCCACCATTTTCATGGCCTCAAAGAGGCAGAATACAGCTGCAGGACTTGAAGGTTAAATTTTTTTAGCAATGTCACTCCATTAACAACTTGATCTCCGAAAACAATAACATTGTTCATCGTTGTTCAGATACGCTATCGTCCCAATGCTCCAATGGTTCTTAAAGGCATCACATGCACATTCAGAGAGGGGGCAAGAGTGGGAGTGGTGGGAAGGACTGGAAGTGGGAAAACAACACTGATAAGCGCCTTGTTTCGACTTGTCGAGCCTTACAGTGGACAGATTCTTTTAGATGGTGTGGATATTTGCAGCATAGGTCTTAAGGATTTGAGATTGAAGCTGAGCATCATTCCTCAAGAACCCACTCTTTTCAGGGGTAGTGTTAGGACGAATTTGGATCCATTAGGCCTTCATTCTGATGACGAGATATGGAAGGTTTGATGATGCAAACAAACAAAAATGTCCCCTTTTTCTTAATTTTGCAGTTATCAAGCTTGATTCTAATCAAAGATTGGTTTTTGCAGGTACTGGAGAAATGCCAGCTGAAGACTACCATTAGTGAACTCCCAAACTTGTTGGATTCTTCAGGTAAATTGTAGTTTATTTTAGTGTAATTGGACTTATTTGAAGCTAAATATGTTGAAACTTAGCCAAATTAAACACTAAGCGGAGATCTTTCGTGTTAAATAATTGAGATAAGAAAATAAAGCAATTAAATCCGACTTGATTCCATTAGCGCAATCGAATTCGGATCTAATTAACTAAGGATTTTGTATTATTCAAGCCCACGTCGCAGCTTTAGACCCGACTTACAACCCTATATATATCTATTGTTATTAATTTGGCATCGTCATTTACTTAAATACATTTAAGCTCAATCATTTAATATAGGTTTAATCGAAATAGCTATGTTTAGTCCATGATTAATTTTTTAATCCAACAAAATGATGTTGGGACTAAACAAATATCTGGATGGAGATGTGTGGATTGTTGTAGCCTACAAAAGCTTATAATAAAAGAATGAACAAGATTCTAGAAATATTGCTCGCCTAAGGAAGGGTTTATATTCTGGAAATCGAGCGTGACAGCATCTAAAGAATGGTTATGTTTATAAATTTAAGATTCATTTTACAAGTTTTTAAGAAATGAAATTCATGTAAGATTTTGTATTATAACAGTAGATTTGAGTTGTGTGTGATCAGTGGGCGACGAAGGCGAGAACTGGAGCATGGGACAACGGCAGCTATTCTGTCTAGGAAGGGTTCTTCTGAGGAGGAACAGAGTCTTAGTTCTGGACGAGGCCACAGCTTCAATCGACTCTGCAACGGACGCCATTCTGCAGAGAATAATAAGAGAGGAGTTTGCAGAATGCACAGTGATTACAGTGGCGCACAGAGTCCCCACTGTCATCGACAGTGACATGGTTATGGTCCTGTCTTATGGTACACACAGACACATATAGACATAGTTAGTTATATACCCCAATTGGGAATTCATACGTTTGGGTGATTCTGAGATCTTGATGATGATGACAGGTGAATTGGTGGAGTATGATGAGCCTGGAAAGCTTATGGAGACCAATTCTGCATTTTCAAAGCTTGTGGCTGAATACTGGGCCAGCTGCATTGGGAATTAATTATGCAGCTTCAAGGTAATGATTTTAATTTTAATTAATGAAAATCAGACATTAAAATCCAACCTCTAGTATTATTATGTTTGGCTTGAACCCTTTTCTTGATCAATTTCAATCCCCTTTTCTTTGGTTTATAGACACAAATTTTTGGTGAGTTTTGGAATTTTGAAAAAAAATAGAAGGTTAGAATTTGATTTGATGTTTTGAAGAGAAATAATTATATTTGATGTGGTATTTTTTCAAAAATAAATAATATCGGGTATAAACAGAACTAGTTATTTATTAGCATCACTCACTACTTTTATATGATGCCACCTATGTATATTTAAGAATTTTACTTGGTGGGATCAAAGCAGTGTGTGTTTATAGGTGAGGTTACAGTGTTATTTCATTGAGTATATAATTTCAATTAACATAACACAAAGTAATTTATATTTATGAAGAGCCATATTATATGAACATATTTCCTGTATTAAAAATCAAAGACACTATATGTTGTGTAAACAATTATATTTGTATTATTTACTTAATTTAGCACAAATTATAATCATCTTTTGTAATAATCAGATGAGAGACATTGGAAATTGCTGCATTATTCAGCTGCTCAATAACAGCCGTTGGTTTGTGACTTGGCTGATCGGACGGTTAGTTTGCTTTATTCTTCAGCCTTGTTGAAGGTCATTTTAGTCAACATAATAGTCCTACCATTATGTGTGAACTAAATTTCAAATATAACTAACAATAATAATATCATATATTAAAACTTAATTATTTCCTTCATATTCATCGTAAACCTTAAATTAAGATGAGTGGTTCATATAAAAGGACCTTGGGGCTCCTTTATTCAGTCTACGGCCCATCTTCGCATTAGAAAATTTAGACAGTTTCAGTTTTTACATTCGTTTTTTACCATGAGTTTTATGTTCTCCAAAAAAATTTCCGTCCCTATAATTATTTTATTTTATTATTATTTTTGTAAATTTACAAAAAAAAGAGCATAATTAGTGAAATGGAAGGATTCAGTTCAAATATCCAAAAAAAAAAAAAAAAAACAACAAAACAAAGGATTCAATGCCAACAAAATTGTTCATAAAATGGATAATACAATAAATTTATGTCTATTTTTTTTCTTTTCTTGCCTACAAAATATATGCATTTTATTTATAGCAAATATATGTCACTAGCATGTACATATTCAATTTATTCAAATTTTCTATCATATCATCTCATGTACATTTCAAAATGGCTTTATTTTATATCACAATAAACTAATATAATAATATGTTCATTAATATTTGTATCCATCTCATATAAATATATTTTTTTTTTTTTTCTGTGTGTGGACAAAATGAGTCCTATCTATATAGAGGTATTATAAATCTTGGTAGAATAAATTATATAATATTTTAAAACTATGTTGTTGATCATGATATGAGAGAAAGTGCATAACACAATTGATTGAACTAATAATACATCTATCAAATCACATCTAGGAAACCGTTAAAATGGTATTAAAAATTTGTTGGAATTCAAGGATATAGAGTGCGATCTTTTGCATGTCAGACAGATGTGGTTAGAAATTCTATTTACTATTTTTGAAGTAATAAAACATTATTTCTTTTTCTTTACAAATCAAGTTATAATATAATGTATACTAAATTAAAAATATTTAAGATTATACTAATATATATATATGCATATTTCAAATTGATCCCATTCTGAAATAAAAAGTTGAAGCATAACGTCAATTTATCCCTCAACTACAAAACAAACAGACCCATAATTGCGTAATTATCCAAAGAACCATTAACTCTAATTCCGTGTTTAGTTCAATTATGGAGTACTATATTAGCCCAAACAAAAGAGCCAGAATATGGAGTACTATATTAGCCTAAACAAGAGAGCCAGAAGTTAGTTATAAGGGAAAAAAAATGTACAAATTAATAGAAGCTCAAAAAATTGGAACACTTATACAAAAAAATAATAATAATTAAAAAAAAAAAAGAAACTCTATATATATCCAAAAAAAAAAAAAAGGGACCAAAATCATCATCATCATTTATCATCATCATATCCTCTCTGGTCCTACAAAGAGGGCATGGAAGTTAATACCAGCCCTGAAACTTTTTATCTCACAGTAGATATGATAGCTAAGAACTCCATTTTACCTTAACCAAAAAAATATAAAAATAAAAAAGAACACTAAGGGCAATATATAAGACATCTTCAGTTACCATCACATACCTTCCTCACTTCTACCCAAGCCCGTTAAAAATTCTAAAAACAAATAACAACGGTGGTGGTGCTGGTGCTGGTGCTGGTGGTGATGGGCGGCTGCCGCCGCCGCCGTCTGATCTGGTCTCAGGTACAATGCCGCATTGATTGGGTCTCCGGTGAGTTCTATGCGGGGATGCTTGTTCTGCACAGGGCAATCGATTGATGTGAGAAAAATGAGAGGAAGCTTGAATTGGCGGGGGAATGTGAGACAGGGAACTTACGATTTTATGCATAGTACATGTACAAGCTGTTTGCAGCAGCGCAAGCGATGGAGTTTTCAGACGGGTGCCAGGCGAGGTGGAGGAGCTTTGTAGTGAAGTCGAATGAGTTCCCGTTGGCTTCAACTCCGGGATTATCAGCACCTGTGATGTACAAGTGGAAGAAGATTTAAAATTAGAATTAGAATTAGATCCGTAAAGAAAATTGGACTGAATTGTGTAAAGAAATGAGAATGAGATCAGAACCTCTTCGGACGACGCGAGAGATGCTGGTGCTAAGTGATCTTGATGGCCTTGACGGGGTTTGGACTTGCCTCCTAACGATGTTAGAGAAGAAATGTTTGTGAGTCGAGCAAATTGTTGAATCGAAGCTTTTAACATGGTGGATTGATTAATTACCTCATTGGATTTTTGCTTGCTTCCAATGTTGTGGCTTCAGTGCTTCCGGGAGAGCAACCAAACACGCGGAACAAATTGCTGAAATTGGACAGAAGAGATCGATTGTTCAGGGATATGGAGATGGAAAGCATTGGTGAAGATTAGATCGAGTAGTAGTATGACAAGAAAATATACCTATAAGAACCTGTAGCGACTCGCTGGCCGTCGCCACTTAAGCAGCACTCGAATTTGTCGAAAATGGAGTCATTTTCATACAGGTCACACAGCTGGAGATTATGAAAGTATATTTTGAAATTTTGAGTGATATTTATTGGAAAACAGAATAATAGATGCCATTGAAGTGTATTAAAGAGTACCTTTGGTCTCAAATACTCGTGAACCTGGAAGGTCGACACTGGCCGAGAATCCATATTGATATCCCATAACTGAAATCAATTGGATTAATCAGTTAATGATCAAAAGACATTCCATAGCAATAGGCTATCGATAACTGAAGCTAAATGGATGAAAATAAATGATCGTCACTATGACTATATGTCAATGCTCCAAGGAGAAAATAGAACTTTCTGTGCCCGAATTAGTGAATGCAGTTAAGTAACTACTAACAGAATACTTCCTATTTCCAGAAATTTGATAAGAGTATCCGTAGAGTGAATATAATCCAAATTCACAGTATGTAGTTCACCAATCTCATCTAATTTTGTCACTACAGACACATTGCTTATTGCCATAATCTGTGCCAAATACGAGAATTCAATTTTCAATGTTATCATCTGCTAAAATAAAGGCGATGAAAGACAAGAAAAGTCCAAATAAGAGGCAGAAACAGTTTGAACAAAGAGCACAACATTTTGAACTATGTGCATAGAAAAGCAAGGTAAAAGAGAACCTTAAGAGTCATGTAATCACGACTCAGTATATATCTGCCGTCCTTTGAAAACTTAATATCTGAAATCGAAGCAATTATCTCAGTGAAAAAGGATCTTGAGCCAGGTGCCTCTTGTTCCTCAAATCTGTTTTATATAAGAATGTCAATGCCTCATCAATAAATCACAACTTTCAATAAAGGTGGATCAATGTTAAACAATGTCTTGGAAACCAAAAGAATGAGCCTCACAACCATCGAACATTATAGTACTCACTTCCTAACTGGAAGATGATTAAAAAAACAAACAAAATGAGGGTATTGAGCATCCAGAACATTACAAATATGAAACAAATACTTACAGTTTTGAATGTGAATCACACAGTGCAGATTGCCGCAAATCAATAAGACGAATTGAACCTTTTGAACTACTATACCCTAACATGTTGCAGTGACTGGGATGAAACTCTGCTGATGTTATAACCTCTGTGATGAGAAACAATGAACAATATATTATTGAGTTAGTGCGCAATTGGAGAATAAATAAATACAATTTGTTTACAATCAATACTTTTTCCAGCAGCAAAAATGTAATAAATAAGTCTTAACTGCGTGGAAAATGCTAAATGCATGTTCAACATCCGCCAGAAATAAAAATAAAAGAGAACCAAAATAATCTCAACTTCAAAGAAAGAAAGGGGCAATGACAAAGACAAGCAACAGGGTTAAGAACACGACATGGTATCTTACCAGTAAGATCCTCCATATTTGTTGGCTTTACATCAACGATATTGAAACTTTGATTGCTTATTTCCAAGTTCCAAAGATTTATTCGTAGATCATCAGCTGATATAAATGTTTCCCCATCACTGGAGAGCATAAAAGTAAAAAATAATAATTAATTTAAACAAGATAGGGTATGGATGGTTTGATTGATAAACTAATCAATAGACGAGAGTTTTATTTTGTATCTTTCAGAGTGAAGATGAAGGGAAAATAGAAACAGGAGTTCAAGAAGTATACAAGACACAGTTAGATTCCTTTAGATGCTCCTCTGAGTATAAATTTCTCAATGCTGAATTTTTACCAAAATATGTATTAGAAAGATTGTAGTTGTTTATAGTGCATAAAACATAGGCTGTCTAGGACACATCATGTGGTGCATGTAATGCAAGTAGCTTTTTGAATGATGAACAAATTGTATTTACTAAACATGCTATTAATAAGTAGATAAACAAAAGACCAAAAAATTCTAAGCAATAATATATATATATATATATATATAATGTTATTCATAGACTCTAGGAAAACACAATATTGTTTACTACATTTATGGAGAACTTGAGAATGAATAAGACAATCTTTTAATAAAACTACTTTCAAGAATTTAAACTATAGAAATTTATCAAAAGATTTTATTTTTTCTTAAAAAAAAAAATGTGCATTGAGAATACTAGCTCTCTAGAAATGGTAGAAGTTAGATAAATGACAATATATATATATATATATCAAAACCTCAGACTTCTATTCCTTTAAATAATGTATCCATTTGATAATAGGAAAAGGAGCTTGTTGAAATTTGATGGATGATTAGAAATTGGAAACTTTGAAAGAATTCCCAAGGAAGAAATTAAATGAAAGGGAAAAGAAGCAAAACTATTAAACAACAAAACTTACTAAGCAGAAGAGAAAGGAAAAACAACTAAAAAGAAGGATACAGAGAAGATTAATTGAGTGGCAAGGGAAAAGGAAAAATTTATGCAAAGAATGAAAAAAGAGGAAAAAAATATCAAGGACAAGGATGAACTTACCAAGAATCGAGAGAGAACTTGAGAAGACATGAATGAAGGCCAATAAAATATTGATGGTTAAGAATGGCAACAAACTTGCACAGTGGTACACAGTTACGCCAAAGAAAAAGAAACATAAGGGTGCACCTCAACACATGCCACCTCATCTATGGAAAAGATTGCTGAAGAACCCAATACAGGCTCACAAGAAGGTGATAAAATAGACCATATTGCTCTTTCCCTCCCTCATCAAATCAAGGAAAATCCTTACAAGTAATTATTTCAGCATAATCATGCACGAAAATTAAATGAAAACTCAACCAAATTTTTTTTATGAAGTTATTCGGTGACCACTAAATAAGCATGCAAAAGAGTAAAGGAATTGAGAATTCAGAAATCATCAATCATCAATGCAGATGGATAAAATATCAGCCTTGCATTGAGAATAACGTGGAAAAGAAGAGTCAAATGCAATATTGTAAAGGCAACAAGATGAAATAAGATAGCTGATTACCTGTTATTTGAGATGGAGTTAATATGGTAATCATGAGCATGAGCATATACTCTCCTACATCTTGCAAGAAGGCTAGTCTCACTGCTTGTGACCTACAAATCGTACCGGAAAAGAATGAGAAAAGAGAAGAGGAAAATAATAATAATCATAATCATAAATAAAATATTAGCATTTAACAACAACAACATATATTGAAGAAATATCCAAAGAAACTTAATATAATTATCATAACAGTTAAAATCAAGCAAAAGTTATTTTAACTTTTAAGAGAACCCAACAAGCTAGAAGAAATGGAAACACAGAAATTTATACTAGTAATGTGTAACTCAGTTAAGTACAACTACCACTGGTAAACGCAACGATGGGATGCCTCCAGGTGGAAAAGATATGTCGTTGCTCAAACTGTTGTAGGATCTTTCTGGATAACTACCATTGGCAAGAAATGGCTTAGGACTGGATGAAACGCTACTACTGGCAATATTTCCATTTCCAGTAGACTTAAATGAATCTGCATTCATATCAGCGACTTTCTTGATTTTCTTCTCTTGAACCTGTTCAAAACCAAAACATAAAATCATTCAGAGAATAGAAGCCAAAATGAAATGAAAGAGATTGTTGAGTCATTGACAATTTTTCATCAGTTCTATTCAGAACTTTTATATATTCTTTTGATTTCCTCAAACATAAATCAGTAAAAAGTAAATAGAGAAGGAAACATCCAATGCCATGTTATCTTATACATGTGATTGCATTTTCCATATAAATTTAAAATCCCTACAAGTACACTTGGAATACATAATAAGGAATGATGGTGAAAATAAGTTGGGCTTTAATAAGTAAGCAAAAGTTAGATATAAACTTGAAACTTTTTGTATATAGGGATTAATGCCCTGCTGCATAAAGACATGGATAGAAAACTCTCTTCGAAAATACATCAGAAGTAAAGATAGAAGTCAAAGATGAAAAAAAACATTCACAGTAAGAAATGTGATGATCAAAGTGTTCAAATAAGTACGCAGAAAAGGAAAATATAGAGAGGATGAGTGCAAAGCTGAATATTCTAACCATAGTCAATAAATGGTACCAAAGAATAGCTAGCATTATAATTTTCATACTGCCATTATAGAAGAAAAGGATAGTGATACATCACCTTCCAAAATTTAATGGTTTTATCATTAGTAGACAGAAGAAATAGTGCACCATTAGCTGGCTGGCACCATCGAATCTTGTTGATTTTCTCCTCGATCTCCAAACTCTTGAGATAATCAAACTGAAGATAAAAAGATACCCAAGCAAACATTATATATTCGTTCATATTAATGAGTAGCTTAAGTAGGAAAGCTGAGATTTCAAAGAGATACCTCAGGCTCATGGCTCTGAAATTCAGTCTTGTAACGAAATTCTGGATGGCGAATAACCGGATAGTCCATCCTCTCTAGTTCCCTCCTGTTTCTACCATGCTGCATATCAAATGAAAAGCTAGTAATAAACACACAGATTTGGTGTAAAATAGATTCGTTAAAGCAATTAAATCCTCACCTCCTTTGTATCAGTCCTCTCAAACAACACCACCCTTCCACCACGGTCGCCAGTTGCTAGGTGATCGCCAGTTTTGTCAAACTCAATCGCAGAGATTATATCAACTGAGACAATAAAAATATAGCAGTTATATTATAATAGTTGAGAATTTGTTATACTTTAAGGAAATTACAACCTGGCCGAACAATGAAAGAATGGCAGTAGTAAATTAAAACTGAAATATACATTATAGTACATACATACATGCATATAAATATACTTTCGCATTATAAGGAAATTACAAGAAGATAAAAATCTCACTCAAGTGTGAAAACAATCCACAGAATTTTCCATTTTCAGTTACTACAAGATATTATTGCAGATTCATTGTCTTCAAATTTCCTCTATTGTTGTGATCAACCCAGGAGCGCATCGTATTATTCAAAAAAGCCTAAAGTGCATTTTGGGGACTCCAATGCAGATTAAATCGTGTAAAGCAGAATAAGGAAAAATAATAATAAGAGATAACTTCGCTTTTTACTGAAACCAGCTTTGAGCTCACATTATTTTTGTCTAATTGCGCAACTTCAAAATACATTTGCAAGCCGACAACGCATACTAAACAAAAAGCAAAGTTACATATCTCAAAAACCCAGCATTATCACTTGTTCAGTTAACATTGTATACTTTTTCGAAGTCACATATCGTCATTCGATACACGTCACTAGACACACGTCATTCTATTGAACCCAACAACATAATAGAATAGTCAAAAGCTCCTTTAGAAAAAAGAAATAACACAATAACCTTTAGTCGAAAACTGACAACATATATTCCCATTGGTTGACCAATACAACCTCAATCCCAGCACTAAGACGTAATCGAAACCATAAATTCAACCATCGCCTGTCGTTTCTTAACACACCATCAATTACATCACAATTTCATAGACTTAACAAGCTAACTCCAACCTTATCCCAACATAAAAACTGATGCTTGCAGTACAAGTCATAAAATTAGATCCTCTGAATGATGCAAACTGAAAGAAGGATTGACAAAACGAAACCACAGTAGCTTATATTCAAAAAGGCTCTAAAAAATCTCAATCTCTTTACCCGAAAGAAAAAGCAACAACAAGAAGAAGAAGGTGTAGAAAAACCATAGAGAAAGCTTAGCATTGAAGTCAATTCACTGCACTCTACACTACTATCCCTAAAATCATCAAAACACACAGATCACACAGTTAAATACCTACCAATGAATTTCCATCAATCTCCACTAAATCAAGCGAGTAACAATCCAATAAAAAGGATCAAAATCACAATAACCCAAACCCTAGCCACGAGATCCAAACTCAAAGCAGAAAAATCATTCCACCATTCATTAATTCATCTAATTTACCTTCCTGCACTTCCTCTCCGGCCGTCCGCTCACCGAAAACCTGCGAGAATCTCCACTCGAGCGGCGCAGGGGCACCAGCCGCAGCTGACGACGACTCTCCACCGTCCTCTCCGTTCATTATTGTCGCCAATAGAAACAAATCAACAGCAAAGGAAACACAATCAGAATACAAAGAAAAAAACAAGTGATTCTTCCACGCCTCCCTTCCTCCTCCTCCCCAAATTATTTTCACTTCATCGAAAGAATCAAAACACCGCCCGATTTAGGTCTGGGAATTGGAAGAAGATCGGAGCAGCAGCTGTACGTCGGATTCAGATTCAACCATTTTTCAAGAGTGTGCATATATACATCATCATCATCGATTAGTACAAAAAATAATAATAAATGAAAAAACAATGGAGGATTCTGATTTTCTCTCTCTACGGATAGAGATACTTTCTGTATCTATGATGTATGTCTGTCCGTATGTGCGTAGGCTTACATTATCTATCTTATACTTATTCACACAAATACATATATAACGTCGTATATTTATTTATTTTTTATAATATTATCGTATTTATTTCTCCGCTTATTTTATTACTGATGGCGTTGTTCGGCGCTAGCGACTTTACCATTTCTTGCACTCCCTTCAAACACGCTTTTTATTCACTCATTTTATTTACACTTTTTATGCATAAATTTCTCAATGGGCTCCAGAGTTGGACTTCTAATGGCATATGATAAGGATGGCTTAGTTGTGGAATGACAGATATACCCTTTCTGTATTATTTATTTTTTTATTCATTTCTTTTTAGAGTTTACGTGAGGACCCTTTCTGTATTATTTATTTTATTAATTTATTTTATTTTATTCATTTTTTTTTTAGAACTTACGTGAAGGTTGAAAATTTAATTATAAATTTTTTTGTCGAATCTAATACCCTACAAATTAAATTGATAAAGTAAGTCATACTTTTTTTATTCTTTGATAAAATGAGAATATTTAATTAAAAAATAATCAAAATTTGAATTGATATACATAAATGTTTGATATAATATTTAAATAAATTAAATTTTTCTATGAAATATTTAGTTTAATATTTTTTTTTAAAAAAAAATATAAAGTTAAAGTCACTGCAAATAAAATTCTAATAAAAATATTAATAGTAAAAATAATCGCACATACTAAAGTATTCTTTATTTTATATAAATTACAAATATATTATTTTAATTAATTTATAATTAAATACAAATTAATTTATAATTAAAAAAAATATATAGAGTTAAAGTCACTGCAAATACAATTTTAATAAAAATATTAATAGTAAAAATAATTGCACATACTAAAGTATTCTTTATTTTATATAAATTACAAATATATTATTTTAATTAATTTATAATTAGATACAAATTAATATATAATTAAATAAAAAAAAAATATTTTAAAAATTATTTTATACATTTTTACTAAATAATAATATACTATTATTTTATAATTTTTTCTATAATAATGGAAAAAGATACTTTTAGAAGTGGAGTGGAGGTAGTATAATGAGAATAACGTGGATTGAAAACCAATGAAAAGTTAGAACAAACACAACTTTTTAGTAAAACAACAAAATATGTTCCAAATTGGGCCAACAAAATTTAGGGCCATTGACCGATAATTAAAAAGCTACTTGTGGGCCACCTATAGCAGCCCAATTAATAAAATCGCCAACTCAAAGAAAAGGCTATTGAAAGTTTAGGAAAAGAAAATGAAAAGCTGAAAAATAATTCAAAATTCCACAAATCAAAATCAAAATCATAATTCAATAATAATTTTAATGTGACTCAATTAGTAATCTTTCTAGCTAATTAATAGCTACTGAGTTATAACCGAATCACTTCCCATACATCAATGAAATACCTCCACCATATTATTATAAAATACTTGAGCATAATTTTTTTCAAAAAAAAAAAGTAATAATCCCCAAGAACACAAAAGCAAAATATAAAGAGCACTTTACTTGTCTTTCATCTCCTGTTCTACAATATTTATTCAACTTGTCCGCCATAAATAAAAAATCACATCTAAGTTTGTTCACTTTGTGTTATTTCTATTCTTATACCTGTTCAATATATCATTTTACTCTAAAAATCCTAGCATCTAATACTACTCATTTATCTTATATTGAAACATCAAATTCAATAACTATTTACACTATTAGGGGGCGTTTAACACGGAGAATGAAATTGTAAAGAAATAAAAATAGATAATGAAATTATAAAGAAATGAAAATAGATAATAAAATCGAAGAAAAATAGAATTGAGTAGAGAATGACAATTAATTCTCTTGTTTGGTAAAACTAAAAACTCAGTCGAAAAATATAAAAAAAAATTACAGCTATATGAATAGTCAAGTAAGAATAAATGATTAACCGAATAAAAAAAAATTAACAAATGAGAATTAATAAAAAATATTTTTGACAATTTTTTTTAAAAAAAATTATAAATTATATACCATATTTTTTAAGATTATATTTTAACACAACTTCTTAAAAAATCGTAAAAAATAAATACTTTAACAATAAATTTAATTTAATTTTTGTAAAATTGAAATAGTATAATTTTAAAAAAAATATAAAAATTAAATAGTACAAAAAAATAAAATAAAATAAATATACTTAATATCATTTCTCTCTCTGTATCTCTGCATGAGAGAAAAATGAAAATAAAAAAATAATTTATTTCTCAAGTTCCATTTAATGATCGCCATTTTTATTTCTCTGTACCAAACACAACCTAACAGCATCAGAAACACCAAAAATCAGAGTGCTAATTTTAGTTCGAATTATCACCACCCATCACCTAAAAAGATTTAAAAGCCTAAATAAAACAAGTTACCATTTTTTTCTGGCTGTCACAGTCATGCTCAGAATTTTCATCGAGGCATGTTCTGTATAACAATGGCAAGATGTTAGAATCAATCAAACAAACAAACAGGCATAAGAAAAAGATCAGCAGAATGGGTGCCAAATCGAAAATAGTATCGGAAAATGGAGTGATTTTCTAACTGGTCTTTCTTCACACAGACTTTGATGAAAGTGGCTGAGTCACAACAACTCAACTAATGAAAACTGACATCGACATGAAGCTCTGGATATGAGAAAACCACACGGTTATCATAAATAGAAGTGTGTGGACGACTGTGGAGTGGTGTCAAGATCAATGTGAACCAACCAACCACATATTATAATAAGAATAATACAATCAAACCAAACAAGGCTACATGGAAACCTCGCGAGCCTTGTACATGATTATATAAGCCATATGCCAATCACCTGAAACCAAGGAATGAACGAGCTTTGTCATTGAATTTTGTATATTGATTGACTCAGAGATGATTTAAATAAGAGAGATTTATTTTCTTTTTCTTTTTTTTTTTTTCTTTTTTTAAGTCCTTACCGCCCCCTGAAAGCCTAGTGATGTCTTCCTCCCGCTGTGGGATTGGTTTGTCGTCGTCAAATTGTATCCACTTGCCTGTCGGTTACAAAGGGTTGAGTAAGTGAAATGAATCTGATGAGTGAATGACAAAAAGTAATTAGGAGGTTTTGAGAAGACTAACCATTCTCTTGCTTGACCCAAGCAACGTAATGTCCAGAATCAGCACTTCTGCCCTTGTGTGTGAGAACAGCAACCAAATCGTATATTCCTGTCAGGTGCTTTTCTTTCTCAGCCGGAACACCTGATATCAAAGTTTACATTAGAATATGTATGGTAGAAGAGAGAAATCTCAGGTAGAATGACCATGTTGATCTTCATATCGTCAAGCAAGGAAGGTAAATTGGTAATCACAACAAATAATTATAAATCTCTTCCTAAATCATTGTTCTCTGTAGTAAGTAAATTTCTCTTTTAGCATTCTAAGGTTTCAGAACAGGATTTGTTAAGAAATCCCGAACGTCTTTATGGTAAGTACCTTCCCCAGTAGCAGACTTGGTTGAATCCCCACTTCCATTTGATGGCCCCTGCACGAAATAAAGTAACAACTGAACCCAGAACTTAAACCTACAGGAACACACTTTAATCCATGTATGTGATTTATTCTAAGGTTTCTGTGACCCACAAATTCCTACCTCAGCATCCGTCATCTTGACATCATTATCTGCTGCAGTGGAGGTATTCTCTTTAGGTTTCAGGCCAAGCTTCTTGCCTTCTTCATCCCTTAAGAGCTAAATATGCAGTTTCAAATCAGTAGAAGTTAGAAGCAAATGAGCAAGTCCAAGAGAAAATAATGCATGATCTGCAATATTCACAGTTCAAACGAATGCATGGAAAAAGCTTGTACCCGTCGAGGAGCTTCCAACCTCTTGCGAAGATCTTCCGAACATAAATCATAAACATCTAACTCCAGAGGATAGTCCACTTTCTGCAGAGACATGCAACTTATTTATCAGAAAGATAAGAGCCATCAACAGATTGCAACCTACATCTGGGCGACACAAACTTGGGATTCATACTGCACCACACACTAGTAGAAACTACCAAATAATTGAAATAAAAATTAATCGTATAGTAGATCTATTGAGATAGATAACCACATTACCCGCAGAATTTTTGCCTTCTGGTTTGATTCTCGTTTCCAGAAAAAGCGTACAAATTGAACAGTCAAGTATCTGTAATCAGACAGAAAGCCTAGTCAACTGCTTGGCGCAACTTGCTCTGTAGAACATTTATTTCACGAGCCCCTACAGAAACCATAAAAAACAAAAGGTACCAGTGATTATTGAACACCAAATTGTAATACCTTGGTAAATCGTTTATGCTAGAATCTTTTTTGTAAACAGCAGTGCGTCCCAGAGAAGGAGAAGACTTCTCCAATTCTGATTTAAGACCCTGCACATTGAAACCAGTAAGGAAAATTTTTAGCTACAATCTTCAGAAGAAAAGGAAGGAGCATGCCCAGAAAAGAGGCACAGGAGAATTGATGCAAGCAACCATGTTGAGAATTGGTAAACTCATAATTGAGGAATCCCATCATTGTGACAGTTTCTGATATCAAGGTGTTTCAGAAAATAAATTCTCGCTAACAATAATGCAAAAGGCCGCAAACCCAACTATCAGAATAAGAACAACTAGGCATACCTCAGTATTCAAATATTAAAAAATAATGAAGGCAAGTTCAAAACAATTAATTGGGCTCATAAGTGTTCGTTTTGATCCATCAACAGTTAGAATTTTCTGATAACATAAAGGAAGCAACTTGTATCCAAAGTGTACACATCATTTTTGACTGAGTTTCCTTACTCAAATTCATGCCTCGCCTCACAATCTCTTCCCCCAGAAAAACAACCTTCCTACACCAGGTCATCACTATAATGAAAATAAATAAGCATATCGCATGCAATCTTCTTTTGAAATTGATACCACACAATAGGTAAAACATGATGCAAAGCATATACTGTTTGCACAGAAGGATCACTACAAGACCAAGGAAACCAATATGAAAAATCAATGAAACCAGAGAAGATGAAACTTGGTACTGTAAGGTAATGTGAACAGACACCAATTCAAACTTACATGTTTTAGCCCTTCATGTAGATGATTCACTTCCTGTGATATATGGCATTTGAGCGAATAAACTGTCTCTGATTCAGTACTTTCTTCACCACTTTCAGCACAATAGACCCTAAATGCAAGTCATTAACAGAATATACAGGTTAATGAGAAGATGGTACCAATATTTCCTACAGAAGAGTGCAATTCGGTCATATGTTACTGCTTTGCAAAAATAACAGAGCAATGAGAATAAGATGATTCTGGATGAGAATTAAAATAAGGTGTATTTTTGGCCCCTTTATAGATTCCCCGAAATAAAATGCAAATAGGTTGGCTGAAATCACACTGGGGCTATTAAACTACAAGTCTTTGAAAAGATGCTTTACCAAATTCTGTGTTAGCATATTATTACTGCCTAAATTCATATATTACTTTAGGGGATGGAATGGATCTGAAAGTGTTCCCCATCTGACTGTTGCACTTTCAGGGTAGCATTGTAAGGTAGTTATTCATACTATTTACCAGTCTACATGAAAATTACAGAGTACATCAAAGCTAATGGTGGCAAAAAAAATAAAATGAACAGTTTTCTAACAAGCAAGTATGAAAAGGCATAATGTTGTAGAGCTATAACCAATGTCAATCAAGCATATATTTGGCAATGCCATAAATTAATAAAAATATATTAATCTCTGATGATAACCAGAAAATCATCCAGATAATAGGTACGCTATATTCAAGTGCATATTTCTAAATACAATAACATAGTTAACAACTCTGTGAGAAGAAGCCAAACTAGTGAGGAAACATCAACAATTCCATCTGAATTATTAGAGAACAGAAATGACAGTAATTGAACAACATTGCATGATTTTTCAAAAGTTATAATACACAACAGGTGCCACAATCTTACAGGAGAAAAGAAACACATGAACTCTGAGGGGGGGGGTACCTGCTAACAAGGTTGGTACCAAAAAGTCTCTTTACAACCTCAGAATCTTCACTGCGAAAGAAATACCATGACATACCAAGTACAACATTCAGGTTAGACAATGCAAACTCGAAGAGCTACAGGGGGAGAAAAAAGGTAAAAGAATGAATCCCTGGCAATCAAGGATATTCAATGGTTTTAGCGAGCTGATTTTGTTGAAATGATAAATGATATTAATAGAAGTATCAACACAATTGCATCCAGAAGCACTGTTTAATTCAGATGAGGCATCTTAGTTACCTGGAACTAGGGGATTTAAGAGACAATGAAAGAGTGAACAAAAGTTGTGTCCAGCATTCTTCAGCATCCTACCAATAAAATTGATTCCAGTTAAGTAAGTTCATTGAAATTAAAAGATAAGTTATGTCACAAGCAGGTATACCTGTTGCATGTAAATTCCATTGTGAAGCTGTGCAAACTGAGGATACTTACTCCGCAATGCCTATGAGATTAAGTATTCATTCAGTGGATGTGATTTCTTTGTAGATAGTAGAATGCGTAGTATGATCAACAATATAAACCCAAAAATCATTGGACAAAAGACAGTTTAAAAGGACAATGTGATAACAGCTTGATAGTTCAGACTTCTAAAGCAAAATAGGTAATCAAGCATTCAGGGAACAATTTTAAAAGCACCTAGAATCCTTTATCTACCTAGACCATCAAGCATTCACAGCCAATCTAACATAAATAAATAATCAGAAAAAATGTCTGATAACTGCGTGCCCACAGCCAAAAATCTCATTGGTGCCACTAGAATCCTTTACCTACCTAAACCATCATGCATTTGCAGCAAATGAACGCTAGATAAGCAGAAACAAATGTCAGAAAACCATGAGCATATAGTCAAAAATCACATTGGTGCCACTAGAAAACCATCAGCATTTGCAGCAAATCTAACGCAAATACATAAGCAGAAACAAATGTCAGAAAACCATGAGAATACAGTCAACATTAGCATGGGTGCAACTAGAATCCCATACCTACCTAGACCATCATGCATTTGCAGCAAATCTAGCGCAAATAAATAAGCAGAAATAAATGTCAGAAAACCAAGAGCATACAGTCAAAAACCGCATTGGTGCCACTGGCTTGACATTTTTATCCAGGTCATTAAATAGCTCTCGTGTTGCAACAGTAAGTGAATGAGAAGGCGAATCCACATCATTGCTTCTGACTGGAGGGGGATACCTGAACATACAGATAGATTGCACATGAAAGTTCGTGTACAATAAGATTACAGTGGTGAAACTACATTAAACCTTTTTCACTTATTTGTTTCCTGGGAAAGAGACAACTCACTTAATCAGAGCAGATTTCAACTCAGGGACAGAATGCAGACATTGCACTGTGGAGTTCATATAACAGGTGTTTCCCAAATTTAGTAAACCAGCAGAATGGCCCTACAATATATATATATATATATATATCAAAGCATAATCATTGAACAACTTAAATTTGCATGAACATGTTAAAGGTCAAATTAACAAGCATGTGCAAGTGATTTTCCCAAGGAAGTTAACAAAATATAATGAAGTAATCCGCAAAGTTATCTCTTATTTTGGGAGTGCTAACATATTCAACGAGCAAATTGGTTTGAAGAAGCACCAGCAGTTGAAACTTGAAAGGATTTTTTTTTTCCCTAAGAAGTACACAAATTGGTTTGAATAAACACTTCATAGTTTCCCGTACGATGGCCCAGGACGCAGGGGTGGTTGTGATATTTTGGAATGGGACAGCATTTTATTTGGCAGTGTTTTGGATGTTAAATACTATTGGATGAGTTACTCTTTATTGGCATTGGAAGCACATCACATTGTTGAAGGGTAAATGACTCGCAACCTTACATATTTGGCAAATAAATTGTACTTTTAACAGCAAATTGGACCATTATTAAAAGTTTTCAACATTTTTTTCACTCCATCTTTCATCTTATTGTACTGTGTTAAAATATACACAAATCTACAAAGAACTTACCACTGCATTAGGTACAACTTGTATCAGTCACAAAAGAATAAAATAACTGTATAAAACTTACAAGATCAACAACTTGTTCTTCTTCTGGCAAATCTTCTGCAAAAAGTGGGCCCTTTTCTGGGGCCTTCACAATCTCATCTGCAGTTCCCATCATCATCAATTTCTGGCCCTAAACAAAATGAAATAAATGCATATTAAGAAAAATAAACTTCATAAGAACAATCATAGTAGTCTCATTGAGGGGAAAAAAAAAGCTAGCTTCATCTAAGTGGGAAAAAAAATCTGTTACCTCCTTAACTCCTACTTTTGACCAATCTGCATCGTCCTGTATGGAAATAGAAAATTGAACAGAGCAATTACTTCATGCATGACACTTTTGAAAGAAAATGGAACAGTAAACGTTCAACATGGCACAATGATTTTAAACATTGTTTATTTACCTTTAACAAACCACCTTTGACCATAATCTTCTGCCTTTCAGGCGGAACTCCAGTTAAGTCATACAATTGGCACTTGAAAACGTATGGGGGCTGGGAAGTGTCAATTTCCACATTGGAGAACACCTCCTTTTGCCACTTCACACTCACTATAAAAATTAAGCATCATTAGCTTAAGTAAATAGGTTTCACCAGGTCACTTCAACATTATTCACAAGATAAGTGAAAAGCAAACAGGCTAAACATGAATTATTCCACTGACTTGACATAACCTCTCCATAATTGCTAAAGAATGAAACATGAAAACTCTGAACTGTATGGTATCACAAATATCTTTGCAATAAGTTGGCCTGGCTTGACCTACACAAGCCAAATCCACTTCGTATCTACAGTCCACTCCATAAAGATAACATTTTCTTATCATAAGAGATTATTAAATTGCACTTCACCGCTGTGCCCATCTACCATACCTACCATCTATGCCCAGAGCATGTGCATTTAGCTTCACCTTTAGTCAATCACTCTTGCAAGCATACTGTGTACATGACCATGTTATACCCAATGGTGCTCTGTAGTGTGTCAGCCACTCCTGTACAGCGTGTGCTAAACTACTTCCGTTATTAAGCTACAACCAAAGGCGACTTCAACACTCGTTCATTTTTTATCCAATGAACATAAAACTTTACAAAAACCTCTTTCCTTCATCAGCATTTGAGGATAAACAATCAGGCAAAATGACTGGTGCTTAAGTTAGTAGAAAATAACAAATACGTTTATAAACTACAATTCGGCATATCAAAACCTACCTAGATTGCCTGTCGGGGAACTAAACAGACCACGGAAATCTTTCCAAACAAAATAGATTACTAGCACCATTAAAACTAAACCCTTGCGCGAATCACCCTCGGCGATGGCGACAGATTTTAGAAACTAACGAACAAGTCGTAGATGCGGCGAAGAAATTTACTCGACGTTTCCATCAGTTTTAACAAAATTAAAGGAAGGAAAGCAGCTAATCTCACCTGTCAACATGATTACGATGAGCTCCTGTGCGGTGAGGATCGAGAGAAATCGGTGTGCCGCGTGTTGTGCGGGCTCTTGGCTTGCGCGGAGGGTAAGCAATGAAATGGCATACGAAGGATATATATGTGTGAATATATATATAGGGCTGTATTTTCCTTTCTTCCTAATTCAATTGATGTCTTACAAACCAACGTATTCATACGGTCTATTTTAGGGGAGTTTTTTTTTTTTTTTTTTTACTTTTAATAAAATACAAATGAATAATAATAATATTCTTACGAATGTTTAAATTTGATTTATATTTTTGGATTTATTCGGGTGTGTTTTTATTATTTTTCTTTTCTTTAAAAGAAAATATTAATGGTGCTAATTAGCGCTAGCTGATAGCTGATTCAATTAGTGGTTTGAGTAGGTGATTCAATCTGTATTAAAGTATTTGGTACTGTTAAAGATATTGATATGTTATTTTTTAAAATATTTAATTTTTTTATTTTGATTTAAAATTTATGAGATTCTTTGTTATTAATTATTGAAAATTATAAAAATATTATAAAATATTTATTTTTATTTTTATTATTTAGATTTGAAAAAATTATTTTTACTACAAAATAATAATTTTTTATTAAGATTATGTAAACTATAAAATAATAAATCTATTGCATATATACTTTTATAATGTTAATTATTATTTAATATATATAAATAAATTAATAATTTTTTTTTCATTTGATTTAATTTTAAAAATTTATATATTTTACAAATAAAATAATTTATAAGTAATAATTAATAATAGTAATTATTTTAAATTTACAAAAATAAAAATATAATTTAATAAATTAAAAATATTCAAAATAATTAATAAATACTGCTATAAAAAATATATTTATATGTATAAAATAAATAATTAAGTTTTAAGGGTAAATAAAGAATAATCAAAACTAAAATGAAAAAGCTTTGGTATATGAGCTTTTGAGAAATTAAAGTCCAAAAAGTTTTTTCAAAACGCTAATTTACCAAACACCTAAATTAATTCTTTGACTGGTCAAACAGTTAAAAGCTATGTTTCTCAAACGCCCTCTAAATATTTATTTTTTTTATTTTTATATTATACTAAAAATTAAATTTATATTTTAAACATTATTGTCAATATAAATTTAAGTATACAATTATTCTACTTACGAGTGAATATGATAAATATATATATATATATGTGCTGAAACTAATAAATGTGAAATTATATCAAATAATGAAATATATTATCTATATGTAATTCTTATATTGTGTTGTATAGATAACATAATATATTGAGTGAACTATGTAGGATAAACAACATTTATAGGAGTGTGTTTTATGTGGCTTGGAGTTTTTGAGTTTAGATTTATGAATAGTTAAAAGTTAAATTTGAATAGTTTTTGATGTGATATAAATAAATATTGATATAATATTATGAATGTAAAATAAATATGTAGTATAAATAATAATAAAAAAATTAATTGTTTGATTTTAATATTTTTTAAGAAAAAAAAATTAAATAGTAAAAATATATGATAAAATGCACAAAGTAACACAACCTAGATGTTCGGAGTTTAAACTCATAATTTTAAGGTAACGAATTTACTCTCAGACCACCGCGTAATCCCTCACTGAACAAATAGTTGTGTTATTTTTTTTGATGTAAAATGTGTGATGTTTGGTATTAGTTGACCAAATGCAATTGTTTATGTTTTTTATATATATATAATTTTTAAAATTTAATACTCCCTCCGTTCCATAAGTAAATAATTATTTGTTTTTTCACATAATTTTAAAAATATTAGTATTATATTATGATATAGTAGAAATAAAGTAGAAACGATTAAAATAATTTTATTAATATGTGTGATATAAAACTAATGACATTTGTATAATAAGGATATTTGTAATATTAGATAGACAGTATAGTTACTAAAAAAAATAGATACTTTGTTATGGAACAGACTAAAATGAAAAATGAGTAGTATTTCTCATTATGTAATTGGATTTTTTTTTTTATACAATTAATTTATTTTGTCTGATAAAATATTTTATTTAAACTAAAATTTAAATTTAAATTCTAACAACAAAGTATATGGTTTTTTTATAAATGTATTGTTTATGTTGTATTTAGAGAATTTAGTTAAGTAATTTAAAAAATAATACTATTTTGTATTAAATTATTTATTTTTTAGTGAACAAAATATATACTCCCTCCGTCCCATTGGAATTGAACCATTTGATTAGGGACACCGTATTTAAGGTGATGATGTTTAATTAGTTAATAATAATTGGTTATGATATTATTATATTATTTTTTTATAATTAATAATATTTATAATTTAAAAGTAAATTTAATATATATAATTAAAAAAATTAAAATATATGTTTAAATATTTAAAAATTATATAGCATCTAAAATATATTCCCTCCGTCCCACATACAATGTCCACATTGCCGTTTCTGTCTGTCCACATACCATGCCATTTTCATTTTTTGGAAAATGATTAAACATTTTAATATCATTTTAAACTTTTTATTTTTTTTTAAATTTTAATTAAACTAATTAGTTATCTTAATCTTAATTTATAATTATTTATATTATAGGATAATTATTTTCACTAACATATTCTTAATTATCTACTAATTACACTATTTCTAAAATACCGTGTCTACAGTGTAGCACACGGTATGTGGGACAGAGGTATATGCAATATGGATATCATTTTGTAGAAAATAAAATATTATATAATATAAGTAAATAAATATTTTTTTTGTTCATTTATAATTAATATAAATAAATTTTATAAAAAATATGTAGTTTTAAATATAGATAAAAATATTTATTTTTTTTATGAGAGATGTAGAAATAAAGAGGTTTTGAGTGGGTCCTACGTCATTAAATATGTTTTGGTTTAATAATTTTTACCAAAAATATAAAAGTGTCGATTGTTACTGGACAAGACAAAAATGAAAATAGTATCAATCGTGAAAATGAGTATTATATTAATGAGTGTGTATATTATATTTTTTAATAATATTTATAAAGATTCATTTTATTAAAAAATTACTTCCTCCGTCATCCAATTGTTTGCTCATTTGATCGGGCACGGGTTTTAAGAAAATATGTAAAAAAGGAAACGAAAATAAATTTAGATGACAATAAAAACAAAAAAGCGAAAATAGATTTGAACGACGGAGAGAGTATATATTATGGGAACAAATCCTCTCTAATTAAATAATAATAAATTGATTAATGTAGCTACACTCTACCTACTGTTCTTGCCTTTATTAGTTTTGCATTCACTTAATCATATTTATTTACTTTGTATTATATATATATATTTAAAAATTAATCATTATATATTTTATTTTATTTTTTAAATAAACAAAATAATATTTTGTCAGAAAACAGATAATAATAATAAAAAAGTAAAAATCATTATAATAACTATTCAATGAAGAATCTGTTTAAAATTTATTAATATTAAAACGATATTATATGATAATAGTACAATTGACTCGTAGTTAATAAAAAAAAACCCAAAGCAGTGTCATTAATGATCTCTATTGGTACAATACAACATTAAATAACAGTTATTAATATTTTTAAATTAACTACAAATCATATTTAACGAAATCACTACTAAAAAAATCACAAAAACACAAGTATTAAAATACAAACCAAAAACACACTAGGATGTTTCTTTATGGAGTTTTGATTTTAAATTTTAATTTTGAATAATAAAATTTTAAATTAAAATAATTATTAAGGTGATATAAATATATATTCCCTCCGTCCCGCGAAAGATGGAGTCTTTTGTTAGGGACACAGTATTTTAGGTAACGTAGGTTATTAAATTATTAATAATAAGTTAAGATAATATTTTATTATTTTTTTATATGTGTAGTATTGTTGGTATTTTAAATATTTTTAGAATTATATCTCAATAAAATATATGAATATGAATATCATTCTGTAGACAATAAAATTTTATGTAATACAAACGAATAAAAAAATATATTTATTTATTTATCATTATCATAGTTTTGAAAAAAATAAGAAGTTTTAAAGGTAGATAAAAATATTTGTTAATTGAGGAGAGTAATAAAAATAAAGAGATTTTAAGTGAATTCTACGTGTAAAAAGTTAAAAGTTTAATTGAATTGATATATATTTGTTAAGTATGTTTAAAATTGAAAAACTTACCAAATATTGAAACAAATCATCTTTTGTGGGATGTATCAAAAAAGAAAACTGGGTTACCTAAAGACTCCTCTGTCATAACAAGAATATCATTTTCTATTTTTGTCTCTCCCTAAATAATTGTACTACTTGCATTGATAATAAAAAACCTCTAAAAAGAATTAACCATACACAATTTTAAGAATATGTTTGTTTACAATTTCAAACACAAATTTATACCTTTCAATTCATAAGAATTTTTGATAAAAATATATTTATTTTACAAAATATCAGATCAAAATTTAATTTAAAAAACAATTCAAATCAACGCTCCATTATAAAAAAAATTCATATCACAATCAAAATTTGTTTACTCATACAAAATAGTTATTGGAATACATTTGCTCCGTTTATATAGTGATTTTTGAAAATTTTTAAATTTTCAAAATTGAAAATAAAATAATAATAATATTTTACAAAATAAAAATATATTTAATTTAATATATATATTTTTAAAGAAGAATAGTCCCAAAAGTTATTTTTTATTTATGACACGCAGCCGTTGTTTTGTAAACATAACCATTTGATTTATTTTTAATTTAATTTCGTTACTATTACTTAGTTTAGATTATTTAAATACATACCTTATGATAATTATAATTTATTGTAAAAATATAAAAGGAGAATAAATAAGATAATCCGACGACGGAGAGTTGAAAGAAAAACCCAAATTGAAAGCATTTGTGTTGGTGGGCTTTATTGGTAAAAAAAAAATAAAAATTAAAAAAATTGAGCTTTGAAATCGGGAACCCAATGTACGGTGGCTCCGGGAAGATGGGCCGCGGCGGCGGCGGCGGAGGCGGAAGCGGGAGGAAGAGGAGCATTCACACGCCGTCTAGCAATCGCCTTGCACCCGCCGGTCGTCCGTCAATGGGCGGCGGCGGTGGTCGCGTCCCCGGCGGCGCATCGACCTCCTCGCCGTCGACTTCCTCACGGCAGGTGGAGGAGAGTTTCAGCCTTGTCAGGGAGAATAATTTGAATTTCGGTATGGCGATAAAACTTGCACCGGACCTCGTCGAGGAGATCAAGCGCGTGGAGGCGCAAGGTGGCACGGCGCGCATCAAGTTCGATGCCAACTCTAACAATCCTAATGGAAATGTGAGTGTTCCAAATCTAATTTGAGGCACGGCTGGTGAATCTTTGAGTTCATTTCCTGTTGTACATAATGCGGTTTTAGCTTTGAATCCATTAATGGATGAGCTCAAGTGGATCATTGATGCAGTTTTAAGCTCGATATTTGCTTCTGACGTTCAATTAACTGTGCATCTTCAAGTATAGAATTAGGGTTTATTGAGAATCTGGTTTGCTGTTTGGTTATGTGCTTGGGTTTTAGTGGTCAAACTCTAATGAATTGTTTTTATAAGGATTGATTTACTGTGCTTTTAAAGGTGCTGATTTCTGTTAGCTGCTTATGCTAGAAATTTATTAAGGGCGCATATGAAGGTCATTCGATTCGTAGGCTTAAGGAGAGAAAGACAGAGACAGTAGCATTTGAGGGTACGATCTAGCCGCGAAACTGAGGTGAAGAACAACATAGTTGGTAGCAAGGAGAAATGTGATAGTTTTAGCTTAGTAAAAGTTCTTCGCGGACAACTGTTACTCAGCAAATAATTTCTGAAGTTTGAAATACTGTTTCATTGGCCCATGTAGATTACTATTTAGGAAAAGACTACTGAATGCTGAAATTAGCAAGAAATGTTCATTATCTGAAAACAGAAGTGTGAGAATCAGCCGACCCTTCGAACTCAAAAGTGGTCATGTAATGGGTTATTACTTCCATTGTTGGTTCTTTCTTGATTCATATGTTCTATTCCCAGGATTTTTTCTTTTCTTTTTTTTTTTTTAAATTGCATATAGAGAAACCAGCTGGCCTTGGTTGAATGCCTCCACAGAAGTTGAAGGGCTTCAAAATTTACTTATAGGCATAAGCATGATATGTATCTTTCTTTTCCATGTTGTGTGGGTAGCTTATGCATTTAGGCATATTTCCACAATAATATTATTAATCAATTAGTTATTATTATTTCCTTTGCTTAAAACTTTTGAAAGTAGGTTATCGTTCAAGTGCATGGTAAGATGCCTTGACCTATGGATCCTATGTTCATAAATTTTAATGCATTGTGATCTAGTTTGTATCTGTTGTGTGATGAGATAAATATCTAGAATCGTTGACTAACACCCTGTTGTTTCCTGGTTCGTGGTTTTCTTAATGCTTGAAAGTTTGATTTGTTTCCTTGTTTCTTTAGTTGATTAATTTTTCTGTTTGATGATATTTTGAACAACTTGTGATGAGAATGATTGGGTTAGGATAACATTGTTTGACTGTATCTTTGAAACCTTACACTTAATCGCATGTTTTCGTGCCTCAAACTTGTTGTACTGGATCTTGTTGTGGTATCATTTGACACGTAAAAATTGATTGATAATAGCACTTGTTTATAAACAACAATGCACTTCTGTTGGGTACTTTTGCGCAGCCTATGCATAGAAATGTAGCTCCAATCTGGTACATTTTTCTACAGGTAATTCATGTTGGAGAAAAAACCTTCAAGTTCACATGGTCAAGGGAGCCAGGGGACTTTTGTGATATATATGAGGAACGCCGAAGTGGAGAAGATGGAAATGGCTTGCTTGTAGAATCAGGAGCTACTTGGCGTAAGCTGAATGTAGAAAGAGAATTAGATGAGTCAACCAAAAATCAGGTCAAAAGGCGGTCTGAAGAAGCTGAACGTAAACTTAAATCAAGACAGTATGCTCTCTTTCCCTGATCCACAAGTGATCTTTTTTCAATAAATTAATTTATTCTTTCTTCCTTTTTTCTTTTATTGACTCTTCTATTTTTCGGGCTAGTTTAGTATGTGGGATGAATTAAGTGGCAAGGCTTATTTGTGAAATAATTACTCACATAATTAATGCAGTTGAAGTATTATTAATTTTGTTGGATTCTGAAGACGCATGCTCATTTCTTGAAGTCTTTCTTGTTTTGGAACCATTTCTGTTTTACCACTCAATTCCTAAGTCATTGATCTTATTACAAACAAACTGTGTAGTTCTGTTCAATTTTTTGAGTTTCCCTGGTTGAAGTTTCTTCTGTGCATCTTTTCAACTGCAGAATCTGGGTGCTCAAATTAATCTATTTTAGATGTTTGATTTAAAGCAATCACCTACTTGTTGGATAAGTGCAAAATTTAAATCCCAGAGTGGGAATCATATAAATGAGTGCAGTGTGAGAACACATATAAAGTGTCACAACTTTTTTGTTTTTGTTTTTGTTTTTGTTTTTATAACATGGTAGCTAATCCACTTTTAATAATATATATATGTATATATTAACTAGCAGAGTTCAAGTTTTAGACCCTAACAATCCATCAATGCAGAAGCAGATGAGGGATCTTGTTGTTGCTGAAAGTAAGTCAGTTCTTTCTTGGGAATTCCTTTTTCAATTTGCTTCTCTGATGCACCTTTGTTGACTTGTTTTTGCTGGTTTTAAATCTTCAACTTTAGAAGGCCAAAATATAGATGTGTTTGCTTGTAATGATAAGAGTATTTTGTAACTGTTTGCAATCAATATTTTTGTTGCCTTGGGTAACTACTTCTAACTACATCCATCTGAAGTTTTGAAGATTCTAACATTTCATGAATGTGAGCCATTTATTTTATTGTTCTTCACAAAAAGTTAAATTGATATTTCCTGTAATCATGGGATGGAAGTGAAGGTCCTTCCCGCCTTAGCAATACCATTAGCTTAACAAAAATAAGCTAGTTATTATTTAGATTCAAGATGTGGGTAAATAAGACTAATTGTAGCTAAACTTTTCCCATCTTTGACTTGGATGGACTGTTGTTGCATGTTGGGTAATATTGTAAATTTGGGAATAGAAAATTGCTTACTACCAGTATCTATTATTGTAGGGTTGAGATACTAGCCATTGATCTGTTGTCTGTAAACATAACAAATGGAGCAAAATTATAAGCTTTATGTTATTTGGTGACAGCTTTTCTGATTGGCATTAAGCATCTGAATGATTTCTTTTCATGTTAAAATTGAATGTCTGACAGATCTTTTTGTAGCTTGTCTTAGCTGATTGATTGAATATTTTTGTTTAAATATCTTCATTTGGTTCCTTTCAAATTCAGTTTATGATTGCTTGGCCAAGAAAGGATCTCAACCATGGGCAGCCATAAACATGATCTATGAGTTCATCTACCATTGTGAATTTCGATTACATAGCAAAGCATATACAATGTGCTCAAGTCCTTGGTGTGTTCTTTTTGTGTTTTGTTTTGGGTTTGGGCTTTGATTTAAATAGTATTTTGCTGTGATGTTTTGTGAGAGAATAATTTATTTTTACCACACTATTGAATTTTTCATCCTCTTCTTGTTGCCATTTAAATTATTCATGAAGAAGTTGCACGATTCTACTCATGGGTGCAAGTTAAAATTTTGGAAATTTGTACATAGCATGCATAAAGAATTGGGATATTATATTTGCCTTCATGGATGTTAGATTGTAGGATTCATAAAAGGGCTTGTGGGTTCTCCTAACTTGAAAACTGTTGGTTTATTGGATGGTAATATTAAGATTACCTGTAGGTCATAGGATGAGAAGAATTGTTCAAATTATTCAGGGTTCCCCCTTTGGATAAAAGGAAAATGTAATCTTTGTTTGGTACTTTTTCTGTTTTTGGTAATTTTCCTTTGTGCACCTGATATAGAAACATAAAAATGATTCTACAATAAAAATATTGAATATACTCGGATTGCCTCTATGTTTTCTATTTTTTATTTTGGCATGTACTTGAAAGATGACCCGTAAATATACTGTAAAACTTACTCTCAGGACATTTTTGGGTCACATTTATGATGTGCTATAAGCAACTAATTTACAGGGAGATAATCAAAATGTAGATAAATTATTTCATTTGCTATACTTACCTTAATTTTGTGTCAAACTGAAAGGCATCATAACAATTAGGTTAGTGCTATGATTGAACTATTTTCTTGGTTGGTTTTAAACTTTCTTGTTTCTATTGTTAATAGCTCTATGATTTGGGTGTTGGCTTATGAGCAAATGTAATTTATTTGGTTTCCCAGCTAATAATACATGGAGAAATTTCAAGCACAGGAAAGAACCTCCTTTCAAAAAGCCGAAATCTGAACCACCATCAGGTAAACAAGGGCATAAAATTTGATATTTCTATTTTCTAAAAAATCATATTTTAATTATTGTTATTTCTCTCTCTCTCTTTTTCTTTTTAGGTGTGTGTGTGTTGAAAACTTGAGGCCGTTTCCATTGCATTTATTGTAAAGTCTACTGATAGATATATTTCTTTCTTTAATGTCAATTTATGTATCATCGTTTATATCGCCATTTTATGTCTAACAGCTGGTGGGCCTCCCAAGTCCGTCTTCAGATCTGGTTTGTCTACAACCCCGTCAAAGGGTAAGCTTTCGTCTGTCTCTCCTTTGTCTTCCCAGCTGGAGCAATTTGGTGGTCCATCATCCCCCCTGGCAGGTAGCAGTTTTGTGAAGGGACAGGCCGGTGTACCCGATACACTCACTCAAAACACAAATAGACCTGCCAGTGCTGACAAAGAAACGCAGAGCAGAATAGCAGGTAATGCCACCCGCGACAAATCTAAACACAATCAGAACATGGCGACTAATCCTGCTGATTTGAGAAATCTGATGATTTCCTTACTTTTGGAGAACCAGCACAAGGGTATGAACTTAAAGGTAATATGTTGAATTTTAGATTTCTTAATTATTTGCTAATATTCTTTTTTTGTTTTAATTCTGCCCATTGAAGAAAAGAAAGAGGTGGAAAAGTTGCAGAAAATGGAGGAAAATCTGCTTTATATCATAAATTTAGCAATTAGTTTACTTTTATTATTTTTTTTCCGGGCATTCTTCTTTATTTGAACTTCGACCTTCGGTTTTGATATATTTTCAATCTCAGGCCTTGGAGAAAGCCATTGGAGATGCTATGCCCAGTTCAGTTCGGCAAATCGAGCCTATTTTAAAACAAGTATGCAGTGTATATTCTTCATGAAGTTTTAGCATGATCAACAAATGATTTATATTTATCTAATTATGATGGTCAGATTGCAACTTTTCAAGCTCCAGGAAAATATTTCTTGAAACCTGGAGTGGAGATGGACAGCTTGAAGAAGGGTCCCCCTCAAAGTGCTAGGTATGTTCGATCCAAAAGGTTTCTTGAGTGTATTCAATCCCTGTGCTTGTTTCTTTTCATCTCTCTCTCTCTATAAGTCATGAGCGCTAGTGCTATTTAGTAATGTTTAGTGTGCATTATTCATTATGAAGATGGAAGATAAGTCTAGCAGGAAGGTGTCTTCAATTCTTTGAGCTTGGCTATAATCCACATAACCAGTTTGGATTAAGTTTTGAAAACATGGTGATGCATTACAAAATTTCTCGTATGATATTGTTTATGTTGTATAATAGTACCATTCAGTGTATAATAGAATTTCCATATGCTGTTCAGTATTCATAAAATATGCATTATGCAGCCATTTTCATTGGTTAAAATTTGTTTCTTTTTTCAGCACCAGTTTCTAGATTTCATTATGTTTTCTTTATATTATTCATATTTAGTACTTTGGCATGCTGTTCGGTCATTGTATTTGACAGCAAACATTTTTTTCAAGTTTCAATCCTTTTACCAACTTTAGAAAGTTATAAACACAAAAACCTGCGAGTGTAGTGTTTTTCCTAGCAACTGTAATGGGAACTTCCTGGAAGTACAACACAGATCGAAGAAGCTTCTGCTGTCCATGTTCAAATCAGAGTTTTCATTGAGTCTATTGCATGAAAATTGTTGATGGCATTATGCTAGTGCAAACTCTTGCTTATGATTGATGACCAGATATGGGTTTTTCATATTTTCATTATAACCTTTTGCAGATATACCAATCATGAGAAGTTCTTTCATCAAGTTAGAAAGTGCTATATAAATAATGTTAACTAGTAAATAAAAAATGCTGTCTTTTAAAAGTCCGAAAATCATGTATTGGAGCAAGGTCAAAAGTTGGATGCATGGATTATAATGTTTTATCTCATGCATTATAACATTGAAGTATATATGGTTGATTTATATACATTAATACATAGTATTTTTTTTCATGAAGTATGGTGGCCCCAAAGCTTTTTACTATTACATTGTGCTCTTTGGTTGGAATTATATGTCCATTACTTCTACAATCTTAAATTTTTCATTCATACTGTTCCATCTTTCTTTTGGGGGTTAACCTCTGGTTGCTACCTTGTCTCTAATATTTTCCCTTTGCCTTCAGCTCCCCAGAAATCAATCATGAGCAATCACCAGCACCCCAGAAACATAATCAAACTTCTGCTCAAGATCCTAGCTTCTCCATGAGGACGGCTGCAAATGATGAAGAAAAGGGTGAATTGAATTCTACCCCTGTACACACCATGGACGATGTAGAAAAAATTGATATACTACAGAATTCACCAGAACAGTTTAGTGACAAAAAACTTTCTGACCATAGTGAAGGGGTTGCGGGCAGCTCTAGTGACAATGGAAGTGACAGCGAGAGCGACAGTGACAGTGACAGTAGTAACAGTGGCAGCGAGAATGGTAGTCCTAGCAAGAGCAAGAGTAAAAGTCAAAGTCCAGTGGAAAGTCGGAGTGGAAGTAGTGGGAGCAGTAGTGATAGTGACAGTGATGCATCATCTAGTAGCAAGCAGGCATCTGACGAGGATGTAGATATCATGACAAGTGATGATGAAAAAGACTCCAAGGATAAATTGGGAGATTATGATCCTCCCCAACCGAATTCTCCTGTACCATCATGCCACCCTGACAATGAATTTGTTGATATTGAGAATCTTGAAAAGCAGGACGATCATGATTCTAATGTGGATGTGGTCGATTCTCCTAGGAACTCACCTGAAGATGACCACCGTGCTGAGAAACCAGCAACTATGTATCCATTTCCTAGTGAAGAAGGTGAAGTACCTGTTGAAGAGATCAAACTTTCAGTAGCTGGTAACAATGGACTACAAGAAAGACAAACCTCTGACATATCTGAAGTTGCAGTTAAAGATGGATTTAAGGAAGGTCGATATGGTGCCCATGAAGGATTGTCAAAGCCCAAATCTAGAAGACACATTGATGATAAGCAATTTGATGAGAAGGCTCACAATAGAAAGAAGTCGAAGAAGAACAAACCAAGCTTACCAGTCTCTGGGACTATCAGCTCTATTTTTGGTGAGAGCCCTGAGAACTCATCCCCTGATAGGCCTCTGGAAGGTTCGGAGGAAGGACTCATTGATCAAACTGTGACTGGAACAACTGGGGATGCTACTGACAATCTCAATTTGCAAACAGGGGTCAAACAAGTGCTTCCTGCTGGGTCTGTATCTGATTCTCAGGAGCCACATCACAAAACATTTGAATCGCATGTGCGCAATGAGCTCAGTTCTGGAGAAAAAAGACCCACTAGACGCTACAGCTTGGATCATGTTAGACACCCTGAAAGAAGCCTTGAGGGTTTTCGAACACATAAAGTTGGTAATGCAGAAGCACTAGGTGAAGATAATTTAGTCAGTGAGAGAAAGCCAGTGAAAGTCAGTGCTGAGGGTGTTGGAGATAGACATGGGACCTCAACAAAACCCCATTTCCGAAAAACTGATAATTCAGGGAGGGTAGAGGAGGCTGTTGTTCATTCTAATGTGCAGATGGGGAATTTTCACAAGGAAAATGATACAAGTAATCAACGTAGATCTCCCCTTATGAATGGCAAGGGTGGAATGCTTCGACGAGAGTATTCTGACCTGGAGTTAGGTGAATTTCGAGAGCCCCCAAATGAGGTGACACCCGGGCTTAAGAAGCAATATGAGATGAAAAGGTCTGATAAACATTTGAAAAGCACACAAATGGATTCTGAATGTTTGGAGTCAGAATTCAGTAAGGGAAAACCACCCAATGCGATGTCTGCGGATTCAGGAAAATTTATTACACCAGATCCAGAAGGCTCTCAGATTCCAGATGGAGCATCTAGAAAGAAGGCTCCTGAAAATCACATTGATGATTTTACAAGAACTCGGCAAAAGGGTAGCCGACCTATGCACCAGTTTAATCAATCCCGGGGAGATCACGCCGAGGCAAGTTCCCAGAACAATAAAGCTTTAGAAATTAATGGCAAAAATAGATCTGTTGAAGCTGGAACAGGTCAAGGGGGGAGCTTCGATGGCCCTGGGGTTGCTTCTGGGAAAGTGCATGTTAAATCTTCCGAGCAGAAGCAGCATGATCCTCTTAGAGGAGCTGGTCACCGCACAGCTAAAGGATCCAAGAAGCAGAAGTCCAATTTGGTGAATGGCTCTAATGATAGGCGAAATGAGACCTCTTCATCAAGGAACTATGATGGCTCACAAAAAAGGAAAGAGTCCTCATCAGATGAGAGCTGTTCTCCATACACCAAATATGAAAAGGAGGAGCCTGAACTCAAGGGCCCGATAAAGGATACTTCTCAGTATGTTTAAGCTTTGTCTTTAATTTATATACTTAAGGCCGTTTGCACTGTGAAAATGGCACCATTGGCTTAGATTTGTATGCCATTCTATTTTCAGGTACCAAGAATATGTGAATGAGTATCAAGAGAAGTATGAAGACTACTGCTCCTTGAACAAAATCTTGGAGTCAAACAGGTACTTTCAGACCCTTCATGTCCGACTCCGTGTCCAATCAGTGTAACTATTAACTAAGCTGTCTGACATTTGTAGGAATGAGTTTCTTAAGTACGGGAGGGATATGGAGGCTTGCAAAGGCAGGGATACGAAGAGATATAATGAGATCGTGGAGCAGATGAGGGCATCTTTTCGCCAATGTGGGGAGGTACACATTTTGTCTTGTGATTTTGCAAATTGCATCTATCTGGTTTCTATCTGTCAATATGTTAGAATCCTACCATCACGACTTCACTTATTATACGAGTAGAGACATCTGTATGAACTAACACCTTGACTCATACGTCAATATGTTAGAATCCCTCCATCATGACTACACTTATTACACAAGTACAGACATCTGTATGAACTAGCAGCTCGATTCATACGTCAATATGTTAGAATCCTACCATCATGAGTTCACTTATTACACGAGTAGAGACATCTGTATGAACTAACACCTCGACTTATACGTCAATATGTTAGAATCCCACCATCATGACTTCACTTGTTACACAAGTAGAGACATCTGTATGAACTAACACCTCGACTTATACATCAATGCGCTAGAATCCTACCACCGTGACTTCACTTATTACACAAGTAGAGACATCTGTATGGACTAGCACCTCGATTTATACGTCAATGCGCTAGAATCCTACCACCGTGACTTCACTTATTACACAACTAGAGACATCTGTATGGACTAGCACCTCGATTTATACGTCGATATGTTAGAATCCTACCATCACGACTTCACTTATTACACAAGTAGAGACATCTGTATGAACTAACACCTCGACTTACACGTCAATATGTTAGAATCCTACCATAGTGACCTCACTTATTGCACGAGTAGAGACATCTGTATGTACTAGCATTTCGATTCATGCTTCAATATGTTAGAATTCTATCATCATGACTTCACTTATTGCGTGAGTAGAGACATCTGTATGGACTAACACCTTGACTTTTACAGAGACATCAACGGCTGAAGAAAATTTATAATGTGCTTCATGAAGAATTGAAGGTTTTTGCCATTTGCGTTTACTAACTACGATTCCTAAATTCTTTTTTCGTTCTTACTCGATCCGTCTTTCTATATTCCTATGCAGCATCAGAAAGAAATGATTAAAGATTTTGCTGCTGCATACAGAAGAGGAGAACGGGCTTCTTGAATATTATTGCTCGTTGGGGTACATATCTATCTAATCTTGTCGCAAAATTTATTGTCTGTTGTCTGTTGATTGTGGGTTCAAGATCCACAAAGGTGGCTTGTTTGTTTATGTAATATGGAAACGTGAAAACTAAAGTAAATTTGTATATATGTGACTGTAAAATATCGATTTTCTATGTTTTTTGTGGTATAGCTATGTTGTTCTATGGTTTCTTGATAGGCCAAGTTCATTCGTATGTGCAGTATTGCATCCATATTGATTAGTTTTTTTAACAGTTCTTTGTGTTTCTTAGCATTCCCATAATGATTTATAGAGTTTTTCGTAATCCTTTGGATCCAATTTGGTGGTTACACGATTCTTAACCATCGTAGCACGAGTAATTGGTGTACCTGACAAAAATAAGCATGGTTTGAAAATCCTTGGTTGGAATTAATAAATTAAATATATTTTTAAAATAAATAATTTTATAAATGTATTAATAAATAAATATATATGAAAATAACAGTATGGTCTGATGGTTTAATTTTGAAATGGTTATATTACAATTAGACAATTCTAATATATGCTACAAAAAATGTACTCCCTCCAATCCCAACATCTTATTTGGTATGTGTCAAAACATATGCAATATTTCTGAAGTGAAAATAATTAATTATATTTAATTTTTATCTCATATTTTATTTTATCATATCACTTAGATACAAAAATAAAATATACAATTCTATTTTCATCATATCATATAATTTTAAAATTATCCTACTTAATACTATTATTTAAAATTTTATGCTCAAATTAAATATTTTACCTTGTTTGAAATAGAGAAAAGTACTGTTTATATTAAAATTTAAATGAAAATTTTAAAATAAAACAAACCCTAATGTCATCTAATTTACTTAAGGCGAAACTGTTGGTGGTGAATGGGCCTCATGGCCCAAATCTGTTATAAAACTGACGGATAAAAGAGCCCATTATTTTCAATTAGGCCTGCCCATTTAACCGTACGGCTTTGCAAATATCCGAAGAAACAGAGTCGAGGGTTTTTGCAGTAGCGCGCTGGGGGAAGCGAAATGGGGAGAAGAATATTGAACGATGCTCTGAGGACCATCGTCAATGCCGAGAAGAGAGGTTTTGCATCGGCTGAGCTCAAGCCTATCTCCAATGTCATGGCGTCTTTCCTGCAGATCATGAAGTACAGAGGCATGTCTGAATCTGTGAGCGCTTATGCGCTTTTCCATCTTTTGATTAATTCAGTAGGATTGGAAAACGAAGCGCGGCCGATTTGTGATGATTGATTCATCGAACATTGGATTGTTTCATAACTCGTTTATTTACTTGATGAAATGATAGGTTACATTAAGGATTTTCAAGTGCACGATCCGCATAGGGTTGGGCGGATAAGCGTGGAGCTGCTGGGGAGGATTAAGGATTGTAAAGCGCTCACTTACAGACAAGATCTTAAGGCTCAGTATATTGAGAAATACAAGACTCGTACTCTTCCAACTCGTCAGGTTTGTGTGTTTTCTTTGCAATTCCATATACACTAATTGAAATCAAACATTGAGCTTAGCTGATTGAATGCGGAGTTCTAGTTGAATTCAGCATTAATTTTGTTCAGTGAAGGTGTCAGTGGTCTGTTAGATTGGTGTTGAGGTTTTAGGTTTATTAGTTTATCATAAAAAAATGGATCATGTGATGATCCTTAGGCTTGACAATTTTACGGACAATAGTTGATTTCAAGTATGCATTCCTGAGCTTTGTGCTCTGAAAAATCTTCTTTTATCTCTATTTGGTTGTGTCAGAACTATATTTGCAATCTTACTGAATATCTGTGTGTCAGTTTTTCTTTTCGGATAGTTAATTATTTTTCTTCCATTACTTCCTTCGAACCTTTAGCAATCAAAACTGTTATGTGATTATCTGTTGGTATATTTGATTATCAAGTTTGTTATGTGAGTTTTGTTTTATGGGTAGCGAAAAATTTATCGTCCATTACTTCCTTTGGAGCTATAGCAATCGAATAAAAGTTTATTTTCCATTACTTCCTTAGGAGATATAGCAATCAAATAAAAATTTATTTTCCATTACTGACTTTGGAGCTTTAGCAATCGAGTAAAAATTTAGTTTCCATTACTTCCTTTGGAGCTTTAGCAATTGAGTAAAAATTTATTTTCCATTACTTCCTTTGGAGCTTTAAATATCGAATAAAAATTTACCTTCCGTTACTTCGGTTGGAGCTTTAGCAATTGAATAAAAATTTACCTTCCGTTACTTCGTTTGGAGCTTTAGCAATTGAATTTGCCACATGATTATCTGTTGGTATGTATATTTTGCTGTAATTTCCTAGTTTGGAAGGTAAGACAGACGATAGTGATTGGATTGTTCTTGTCATACAGTGGGGATATGTTGTTATTACAACACCAAATGGAGTTTTAGACCATGAAGAAGCAATTCGACAAAATGTTGGCGGCCAAGTGCTTGGATACTTCTATTGACGATCCGACAATGGGGTGCATTGCAAAAACAAAGTCCCAATTGGCTATGGAAAACTTGAGTTGAATTATGAATGGTACAAGTAGCTTCTTTCAGAACAACTCATGTCGATAATGCTTCTTTTTGCGCGCCTTTTCGATTGTTCCTTTTGAAATGCAATTTTCAAAAGCAGCTAGTTAGTTCATGGACGAATGGCCAAATTTCGGATTTTCTTTTAGCCCCTAGAGCCTCATCAAAAGTGCATTTGCATTATACATCCATTGAATTTTTAGTAATGATGAATTGTTACAGATTTGCCGGAGACGACAATACATACATATAAAAAATTTGGGAATGATATAAATATGTATTGAAATGATGTTTTGAATGAAAAATTAACTTTTAGTATAATATAAAAAATAAAGAACAGACATTTAATTTGATATTTTTGAAGAGAAAAAGTCTGATAAATTTGACAAAAGATTGATGGTTGTTTCAAGATGTTTAGACAACTAAAATGAGAATGAGCAATCATCTGCCAACAAATTTATAGCCTAAACACTTTCTGGCCTAATTTTGCAGCCGATTGTACTCGACCAGTATCAACATCAAAGAAAAACTCATAATTCAATAGAAAATCATATTATATGCTCCAAGGAACCATAGTGAAAAAACCCACGACACAAAAACCAGTAAAAAATGAAGCAAAGCATATGTGTCGAGCAAGCCCTCATCGATGAATATCATCATATCATAGCATCCAACAAATATATCAATCCCCTTTTGATACACGGATCGAACATTCCTTGGCCATCATTACTAAAATTTCAATAACGAACCAAGTTAATGCCGCCTCTTTCAACAAACCATAAATAAGACCACTCTATTGCACAAATATACACAACTGGAAGAACTTTCACCTAATCATATCGAATTGCAGCATAAAAATCACAAATTTTTATGCTAAACACGTTCAAAAATTTAAAAAAACAAAATAAACTTTTAGGATCTATAATTTAAGAGAAGTGGGCATTCATGATAATCTGGATCGAACATTCATCCGACCATCGCTACACTGAACACAACCGGAAGAACCTTTCACCTAATCATGTAGAATCACAGCATGAAAATCATATCTTGATGCTAAAGAACTTCGAAAATCTAAAAACTACATAAAATTTCCGGATCCATAATTCAAGAGAAGAGGGCATTCATAATAGCAAACTATATAACCTTGAAGCCCCAATCCACATTACATATATAACCTTCCAAACCGATACGATCGGCAAATATTCATTCGAACCAATGTCATCATCATGGCAGAGTCGAATTTATGCACAATGGATACCCACGATATCAAGAAGTTCATGTATCAATCTAACACCAGATTATAGCAGAAATTAAGAGCCCCCCTGCATTATATATAGAACAGATAAAGGCATCCAATAATCTCAAATAGTACCCTATGTTCAGTTCATCCACGCGCCTTGAGCTCCGCAAGGCGCCGGCTGAGATCGTCCTCATCGACCTTCTCAGTGTCCTTGACCGAAACTGCGTGCGCCGCCGGTTGCGGCAGGCCGACGGAAACCTCGAGGCCGTAGTCATCGGCGACCTGCTGCATAAGGCTGTTGACCTCGCCTTCAGGCGTGGAGAGCGACGTGCTTCCGGCCATCGAGCTCTCCATGAACTCAGCCTGAACTTCCATATTGACGAACTGCTTCTCGAACTTGTCCATCGTCTCCGACATCTTCTGCAGGTTTCCGGTCGCCAGCGTCGATTCGAGCGATTTGACGATGCTCCCCATCGACTTGCTGATCGCGGTCATCTTCGCCTGCGTGTCGAGCCGCGCGACGACGGCGTCGAGCCGCGATGCGAGGCGGAGGTAATTCATCTGTTCGTTCCGCTTCCGGATGGCGTTCTCAGCGTAGATCCGTGCGCCGTCCATGTTGCCTTTCTCGATCGCCTTCTTCACCTTCAACTTCTCCGATTTCTCCTCCTTCTCGCACTTCCGCGCCTGCCTCTGCAGGCTCTTCGACGTGAATTTCAGATCCATAATCTGTTGCATCAATTTCTCCGTGTTCCCCATCGCCAATCCTCTCAAACAATCCAAAATCCCAAATTCCAATCTACACACGATCAAATTGGGGGAAAGCCGAGAATTTTAGGGTTCTTCTCACACTAGGGTTCTGAAATATTCGGGCAGATATCGGGTCGGGTCTGATTTCGGGTCGGGTGTACGGTAAAAGATGGCGTTACCGTTAATCTATTGACCCTCGAAACTGTAAAACGCACCCTACAGTGCGGTGCAATTCTCACTCTTCTCAAATTACGACTTTTCGAAAAGCGTGAAAAAAAAAAGGGTTAAAAAATGAATAAGTCGTATTTTCAACCCTACAATTGTTTACTATATTCCAAATTCCAGATATCAGGAAGAAATGGGCGGCAGGAGAATGGTGAAATTCCTTCACCTGGTCATTAATGGAAGACAGATCTATATTCTCTCTGCCAACGGCGGTCCAACTCTACTTAGAAAGAACTACAGTAAAATAATCCTGGTTTTCTTCATCATCCTCTCCTTTCATTTTCGTCGCCATACCGAGCCAAATCTGGAATATATGCGCCGCTGACGGAAGGTATGGGTGCGGAAATTGTTCCTTTCTGCAATCTTGTTATAATCGCGGCCACAGGAATCGATGAGCATTGTTTATTGTGCCTCAAATCGATTTGATTTAAATTTCATTTGTGTATATATATATTTACAGGCGGAAGAAAACAAGAGAGCCAGTCTCAGTTGCCACGTGTAGTTTTCTCTTCCCCAATGCTTGTGTGTCAATTATAGGTGCACCGTTTGCCTTGGTTTTCGTTTGTGCAGCCACCTGTCTTCCCAATTTCCTAATGTTTTGATATATGTATATTTTTTGACAAAAACAAGAAGATCCTGATGAAGAAATGGAGAGATTTTGATAATCTCGATTGAAAAGCGTGAGAGTTTATACGGTTTTGGTAGCAGAATAGAATAGAGACCGGTTTTTGTGATCTTGGTTTTAGCTCGATTGGTGTTTTGTAAGCCCTTCTTGTAGCTAAATTTGTTGTACAATTTTGTGTGAAATTTTCTTGTTGAGGTGAATTATATTGGGGCTTTTGCGTTGGAAATGAGCGAGAATGATGGGGACGAGGGGGTTGTTTTTGAGATAGCAATTGTTCTTCCTAAATGGGGTGAGATCAAAGGGGGGGATGCGAGTGATGATATTACTGATTGTGTTGAGGTTCTTGTTGCCGAGCTAAGAAAGAAAGGGCTGATTGTGGAAAGAGTTCTTGGCCTTCAAAATGAATTCGTCAAGGTACATTCTTAAAATTACTGCTCTCTGTATTTCATCTGCAAGATGGCTTCAATTTGTTTCGATTTGCAGCTGGCAGCTCCAATGGAGATTTTGGGAAAGGCTGCAGCAGAGTTGCAAATTAGAAAACGGACTTACATAGGTAATTGCTAGCTAGTCTTGACATGCCTTTCATTTTTTATTGACAATTTGTCTTTTGATTATTGAGTAACAACTTACCATTGCTGATATTTGTTCTGGGAAAGTTGTTGACTTAGGAATCCTCTGGGTACTTCACTTATGTAATGATGCTATTGCTGTTTTTCAGGAATGGAATTTCCATTCCAATGGGATGAGGCTGAAGCTTTTGTTAGACTCCCAGATGGTTCTTTGTTCAGTTGGTGCGAACGTTTCCTTTGCTACAAGCACCTAATAAATGGGATTGTGAGCCACTTGCTTGTCCCTTGTTCTTTTACATGATTGTATAGCTTTCTTATATGTTTGATTTTGTTAGTTCACAAGTGGTATAGATGTACAACTGTGTTAGAATTGATTTTATTCGGCGCTTTGCATTCAGTTTCAGTTTCTTGTTTGTGCCAACTGAAGGGGTGTTATGCAGGTCAACAATGAGAAATCTGTTGTACTGAAATTTGATAGTAAAGAGGTTGATTGGAAGCCAGGGGAGCTTCTAATCCGGAAATTGGAATCAATAGGCATTGTCAAAGAAGTATTTCCATTGAATGGTACAATTAGCTCCATTTTGTTCAATAGTTATTAAAATTATGATGCTAAAAGATATTAATTGCATACATCCATAGATGAAAAGAAGAGGAAGCAGCTTCTTAGAAGTTGGGCTATGAACTGGTCGGATTTCACGTCGCAGCCAATCGATGATATTTGCTCGTATTATGGCATCAAGGTAGATATTAATTAAGGCATTGTCGTGTTATGTGGTATTTTGGGGTTGGTTGCTCATTTTTTAATTCTTGCTCACTTTTGTTGAAATTGTGTGTCGTGTAGATTGCAACCTATTTTGCTTTCCTTGGAATGTATACGAAGTGGATGTTTTTCCCTGCATTGTTAGGGCTCACAGTGCATTTGATTGATTTCGGGTAAAATCTTGAAATTTGTTCATTTTTTGATTTTCTAGTGAAGTTTTACACAAGTTGCTGAGCTCAGACTTGCATTTTTCAGATCATTTCAACTGCTTGTCCTCCCTATTTTCTTCATATGCCTCATATCATGGGCTGTCTTGTTTTTCCAATTCTGGAAACGAAAGAACTCAGCCTTATCAGCTAGGTATGTCTATGGTCCTTATTTTTCCAAGTCACACTGTTCTGCATAGTGCTTTTCGTCTCAAGAACTAATTGACTTTTGTTTGATTCAAATCTTCTTATTTTTATGCTCTTGAGGGATGCAGGTTGCAGATATATTGCTCGGTTGGTGTGGAATCTGAATACAAATCTTTGCAGACAGAACAGAAAACATGGGATTCTCCCACCGAACTCATGAAGAAACAAAACACAGACAGACTGAAAGAAAAAGCATTTTTCCAAAAAGAAGAGTGGTTTGGATGGCTAATGAGATTAAGAAATGACAGTTTCATCATACTGAGCATTATATGTCTTCAGCTACCTTTCGAATTGGCTTATGCGCATCTTTACGAGGTTTTAGGTTCTGATCTTTCGAAGTAAGCACTCAATCAAAGTGCTTCTTCCTTTGTGTAAGCTCAATATTTACATTCCCTGTCAACGCCCTTGTTTTTAATAACCATTAAGCATAAAGAAGAAGCAACTGTGCCTGAAAGAAACTAGGGTTGTTGACCTGGGAATTACGAAGCTTAAAAATTCCTTACTTTTATTGAATCTCAAGCTATTATGTTAATATTCGCTATGTTTCAGGTTCTTTCTGACGGCAGTTTACCTCATAGCTATTCAATACTTCACAAGAATTGGCGGCAAGATCTCAGTGAAGCTTATTAAATACGAAAAGAATGAAAATTTGGAGTACCGAGCAAACAGTTTAGTATACAAGGTAGTGAAACAAAGACTCAAGGCATAACATGCTAGTTTTGTCTCATGAATTTCGACCACTAAAGTCGAACATTACTTTTTCCAGGTTTTTGGCCTTTACTTCATGCAGTCGTACATAGGGATCTTTTATCATGCTCTACTTCATCGGAATATCAAGACCCTCAGGCAAGTTTTGATCCAACGTCTGGTAATATACGAGGTATATCAAATTTGAGTAGCTTTCTTTTACATATTCCACTTTAAAGACTATGCATCTCTCTCTTATACTTTATGCTGGTTAACATATTTAAGGTGATCGAAAATCTGCTGGAGAATTCTATACCTTATATATCATACAGCTTCAAGAAATTTAGAACTGTCCGGAACAAGCGAAAGAGGGAACACGAGTCATCAAGGGACAAGCCTCATCCCATCCCAAGGGTAGAGAAAGATTATCTTAAACATTCTTATGCTGCAAGTATTGGCAAGGAAATTGAAGATGGACTTTTTGACGGTAATCGATGATGACTTCTTACATGACTGCTTTACGACAAGAGATTTTCATATTTGCCTACGGTATCTGGTTGAAAAGTAATTAATATGTGATATTATGAACTCCATTGCTTCTGGTGCAGATTTCCTGGAGTTGGTATTGCAATTCGGGATGATCATGATGTTTGCTTGCGCGTTCCCTCTAGCATTTGCGTTTGTAGTAGTGGTAACTATTAATTTCCGATTTCTTTTTCTTCGAAAAATGATGCAAGAATCTTCAGTATACACAATGATAATCCTGTCTTTGATAAAAACAGAGTAACTTAAACTATTGATTTCCAATTTGTTTTTCTTCAAAAATGATGCAAGAATCTTCAGTAGACACATTGATAATCCTATCTTTGATAAACAGAGTAACTTAACGGAGATCAGAACAGACGCCCTTAAACTACTCGCAATGATGAGAAGGCCGATACCTCGTTCAGATGCAACGATTGGAGCATGGCAGAATATTTTCCAGGTACAGTACACTCTTTCCTCAATCAACAAGATCACTACATGAATTGGCCTTCTAACAATACTTGCGTGTCCGTATCTCAGTTTCTCATAGTGATGTCGATTTGCACAAATAGCGCGCTCCTCGTATGTTTGTACGATCAGGAAGGGAACTGGAGTTTGTCTCCCGGGCTTGCCGGGATCCTCATCATGGAACACGTGCTTTTGTTCATTAAATTTGGATTCTCTCGGCTTGTTCCTGAGGTATCCGGGAGCTCTTTACTATCCTATTGCAAACTTTTGACTCTTTTGACTTATTCAATAAATTTCTTTGACAAGGAACCGGCATGGGTAAGAGCTGCTCGGATGAAGGAAGCTACTGAAGCAGAAAAGATGTGTTGCAAACAACTCCTGAGGAGTATTTCAGGCGACGAAAAGATTCCCCGCGAAACTAAAAAGAACGATTAGGTAAATTTTTCTTGAGCTTTGCACTACATAATGGGTTCATCGGAACACTTTCTTGGCCTTATAAGAATATCTGCACTAGCTGGAAATGGTAAAAAATCTTCTCGCATCTGTGTAGGATTGTGTTGTTTGTTGTGTCTCGACTCGGGTATTGCTGTAAAGGTTTTTTAGGATAAAAGGATGATAAGATTTCTAGCTATTCTTTGAGCTGAGACTAAGAGTGAAATATGATTTGCATACAGTTGTTGATATGTGCATAAAAATGTCAAAAGATTGTGTACATTATTCTTGGATTCTGATCAATGGTTCGGATCTTAGCCGTACGAAGCTTTGCTTTTAGTCGGCAGATCTGAACCGCTGGCTGACCTGGCGGGCGTAGGCGGCAACTGCCTTAGCCCATCTTCGGATCCCATTTTTGACCTTTTGGGAATCCAAGTGTTTGAGAGATTTCACGGCCGGGTCGATGGTGAAGGACAAGCACCCGGTCGAATATGAGTGCCTTGTTGCTTTGTTGGTGTCGTAGTAATTCGAATCGAATTCTTCCTTCAAGGATTTGGATTTGGAATTGGCTGTAGAATTCTTCTCCATCAAAATCTTGCACTTCTTAGTAACGTTGTGTGTTTGTTTATATATAGAATTTTACCAAGGGAATATTATTGGTTTGGTGGCGTGCAAGAACGTGCTGCTACAATGAATTTGAGATCTTTTACCAAATCAACAAAATTTAAATCCAATTGACTTATGTAAATATTAACATAGAAACGAATTTCTTCTGCAAGGAAAATGTTCGGAAATAAGCTGTATTTCTTGTTGGTCAAGCACAAATACAAATTCCTAAACAAGTTTCAATTATTCTTCTTTAAAAAGTTTCGACTTTTCCCCAGCCCACAACTTTCTTAGCTTTCGAACAATGAATATTCAATCTAAGACAACCTAAAACAACCAAGTCAAGATGGTCTGCATGCTTTACAACTCAAAACGCCACCCTATTACCTTTCCAAAAGTAATACTTTTGTCGTCTAAATTTTGTCCATTTGACTGATACAGGTTGTAAGCAAAATAAATTAAAAAAAATAAAAAAAAATCCTTTTATAGTAAAAAAAAGGTTGAAAAAATTGATATTTTTCTACTGAAAAACAAGAATATTTTTGTTATGACAATAAAGAAAGAGGTAGATGCAAATTTCAAAGACAGTGAATTTGTTGAAGGGATTGGTATTGATATAGGTATTAAACAAGTAATAGAAACAGTGTAGATATGACAAAGATGAGAGAAATAAAATAAAATAATTGCATACAAGACGTTGAATGTGCCAAGGTACAAAATGTATATAAATAAAGAAAGATCCAACAAGATGTGATGCAGCTAGAAAGTTTGGTATATATATATATATATGTATATCAAGTCAACAACAAAGCCTAGCAGGGAAAATCTGGAACACAGAAGAGCATAGTATCGAGCGACAACAAATAAACGGTAGGATCAGGCAATATAACCATAAAAGCATCCGAAACTTTCAAGATAATAACTTAAGTTCTTCCCAATAGAGGCAAGAAAAACCTGTAAATGTTTTAACTTAAAGCATAAGATACCATTGGTACAGAGCTGCGTGACGGTGACAACAGCAACGGCAAAAGCTTGAAGCATAAAGATCGGAGGACCTAAGCAGCTTGTCTGTTCCTCTTCTTGACACCGGACTTTGCAACTTTGAGACTTCTGTTCACCACACTTAATCGAGCAAGTGCCGCCTTCTTCAGATCTGGCCTGTAATAGTTATCAGCCACCTGCACTCAAGAATCGCAGTTAGTAGGGAAATCTTAGACACCGATAGCAAAAGGTTTGCTAAATTAGTCACGAAGCAATTGGCCAACAGTTATAGAAGCATTTTCATACAATTTCTAATTCCCAGTTATAAAATATCATGAGACACAAATTTGATGAATGAATACCAAAATTGGAGCACAAATTTATACCTGGTTCGTAACAGCCTTTGCCATTCGGCTGAACTCCTTTTTCATGGTAGACTTGTGGACTAAACTGGATGGCTTATTCTGTTTCTTGGTCTTTGTAGTCCCCAACACAACTCCTTGATCCTTGCCAGGTTGAATGGTCACTGTTTTCTTGTTCGCCAGCCCTATTACATAATAAACATAGATATCATGTTACGGCCATCAATAGTGCAATGCAGATTATAACACGACTTAGAAACAGTTATCGACAATCAACATTCACTGAGAAATCATGGCAGAAATAACTCTACATACTCAACTTTCGATGGAAAGTAATCAAACAAAGAGTTCATCATATCATCGATGATCTATAGCAATAAAATATGCTGCTGCCAATATCACTTCTGCATAACCATAACCTATTAATATGAAGTGTAAGAAATTACCTACTGATAAATGTCCCATCACAATAAACATAGAAAATTAGAAATCCGTCGATAGTACAATGCAGATTAAAACACAAAATCTAAACAGTTGCCAACAATCAAAATTTACTGAGAAAACATGGCATAAACAACTCTAGATACTCAACTTTCGTTGGAAACTAATTAAACAAAGGCTTCATCATAGCATATTTGATCTATAGCAATAAAACATCCTTCCAGTATTACTTTGGCATAACCAAAAACTATCAATATGGTCAAGAGTATGAAATCAACAACTGACAAATGTTTCATTACAATAAACACTATCAAAAGCTATTAAATCATAATAAGAATCGAAACACATGAAGTGAAATTTCAGTACTAAATTAGAATCGCCAGATTGCACCAAAATAGTTCGAATAATCGAAAAGTGAACACGCACAGCATCAAATCACGCATCAATATATAGAGAAAAAAAATAAAAAAATAAAAATCAACCAGAGTGCTTGTAGGAGTGAACGTTGTAGAGATTGTTCGGCTCCTTGCTAAACTTGACGCTAGCAGTTCCGTTTCCAAACTCCTTCACCAAAAAGGAGTTATTCTTCTTGACGATCTCCCAAATCAGCTGCCCCGGAACCGTCGCCATTGCTAACAACAAACAAGTAAACCCTAAATCACAGACAAAAATTATCCAGCTCAATTACAACTAACATACACATAACGTACTAAACGCCTACAGACACAAAACTTACTGTCTGAAGATTGAAAGGATCTTCTGCGGGACGGCTTACACAATGAGGCCACAACGAGCAGCCTGCGACATATATGCGGTCAGATCCAAAACCCTAGCTTCGTGAAATGACCTAATTGCCCCGCCTCCATTTGAAGACAATTCGGGTAGGTCTGTGCCCGCCCGGCCCGGTGTTAATTTAGGGGTTTGGATTTAAAATTTAATTTTTGGAATGTAATATCAATTTTTAAAATTTAAATTTGGTCGGATCTTAAATGCGATTAAATTAATAATTAAAAAAAATTATATTATATATATTTATAATTATTCATATTCTCTTAATTTATAATTTTATTTTTTTTTATTTTATTTTTCAAAATTTTATTTTCTCACTAATTATTTTTACTGTTTGGTCATGACTGATTTGCAAAGTATTAGGTTAGTTCCGGGTTTATTCAGTACAATTTCACGTCATAAAAAAAAAATATATATTTAATATTTATATATATTTATTATTGTCTCTCAGTCGTTCAATAGTTTGCTCATTTTAATTTAAAAAAAATAGATTAAAATATAAATTGACAAAAAAAAAAAAAGAAAAGTAAAAATAAATGTGTATCTCGAATCCACCCTTGTCATCTCTAACTTATATGCTACCAATTTTATTTTTGCAAATATGACATTCAAATTACACATGCTTATTTACATAAAATTAATATTCAATATGGTTTAAAAAAATAAAAAATTAAAGGATTAAAACATTAGTATATTTTTTTAAAAAAATTTAATGGCACCCAAATGAAATCAGTAAAGACGGTCTAAAATGTCACATTATTACTATTATGATCATATACAACGGAGGTTTTTTTTGTTTCTAAATGTACACTACACATCTTGTAAGGTAAAATGCAACACATTTTCTGATCCCGGCTGTGATTTCAACCAAAATTTTTACAATATCGAACATATTTATACCAATCTCATCCTGCAAAAACCGACGCTCCGCCGTCGTCACCGTCATTTACCCGTTAAGGGCCGCGTTGATTCGACTGAAAACCACCTTCAACGGGACGCACGCCACCGAAGGGCCGCCGATCTTCTCCATTGTCGGCAGCTTCGTCTCGACCTGTCTCTGCAGATTAGTCAGCGAAGACAACCTCCTAACCTTCTTCGACGACGGCACGTTCCTCCTCGATTTCGTCGTCGGGATGCCTCCGCGGCGCTTCTTGCTCCTCGAAACCCTTCCATGGCCCTTCCGTTTCGTAGCTTTGACGGTCGGGTTTTTGTAGTCACGCTCGGAATTGCTGCTGTGACACTCGGAGAAGACGAGCGGATCGTCGTCGACCAATGCTTCGACGGTGACCGGGTGGCCGATAATCGCCTGACCGGACGACTTGCTCATCAGAGAAATGAACGGGACGTGCTGCGATCGCGGGCTGACCCTCACCTCCACCGCGACATCGTACAGGCCGGACGCGGGAATGCGGTGTCCTGGCGGCGAGAAATCAAAGGCGTCGAACTTTGGGTTGACGGTGAAACGGGACTGGCGACAGGGGAGTACCCTCTGGGGTGTTGTCAATGCGCGGGACTGTCTTTGAGGGGCATTCCAGTTCCAGCCGCGGGTTTCCGGGTTGGCTCCCGTCTCGGCTTCGTCATCGTCGGTATCGATTTTCCTTGGTCTGGAATTCCTCTTCCCTTTCAGCTGCCATTTGGAAGCACCTTTTTCTACAACAATGGGTCCAATGTTATGAATATCAGCAGTACCTGAACTGGTCGAACCAGTCTCATTGTGCTCCTCATTTCCTAACGACGCAGTTTCGACGTGACTGCTTTGGCTCGATTGTGCGCCGACGGAAATCTTCTGAGGTGCCGTAGATACGACACCCGACAAACCTGCCGGAATTATATTCAAAAGCTGAGTAACTATAATGAGAAATCAATAGCCACTTATCAATACATGGGAGATAAAACGAACTAATAAACATTACATCAAATACTAATTTTTTACTATTCCCAAAGTTCTCCAAAACTTTCAAAATTTCAATATAAACATAGTCATAATCTTCGAAATTGACAAGAAACGGCCGTAAAAATCATACCTGCGGAGTTCTTTTCTTCATTAAGGGAAGGATCGCTAGAATGTCTAGATGTGTTCAACGAAATTGGATGATCACACGAAACCCCGGTACTATCTGAGTTGTTGTTGACGACAACCGAATTGTTTAACTTAAATTCATTAGAGTCTAATCCAGAAACCTTCCCCTCGGGAGCTCCTGGAACAGAAGATTCAGTTGGACAGGGCATTTTTTCAGGAACAGGCACCATTGCTGTACACTCCAAAACTTTGGTCAATGTCCGGCGTCGACTTTTCCTCTTCAAGGTGTCATTAGCAGCACCATGCGATCTTTTCCTTTTTGGTGATGGTAGAACACCCATCCCGAGGTCCTCGAGCCCTTTCATGCGCTTTGCTCCCATGATTCCGTCGTCCTCTGAGTCATTAGGGGTTCTCCATCTCTTAGACTCTTCCATAATTGCATCTGGATTGATAACCCCCTCGAATGAAACACCAGATTGAGAGACTTCTGGCGCCAAATATAAATCCTCTTCGGGGATATTCAAATCCTCATGAATATCTTGATTCATTTCATTTGATTTGAGAGTAGGCGATTCATCAGCATGCTGTTGCTCCTCATCTTGTGACTGTAAGTTTGGGCAAGCTTTTTCAAGGCGGATGCGCTCCAACTCAAGTGCCTCAAGAATGGCTTCTTCTCTTCGAGCATATTTAACTGATTTCTTAGAAGGATGTGATACTGATGCAGATGCTTTAGCTTTTTCGATACAGTCATTGTACTCCCCACAGCGAAAGGGCTTCACCCTTTTTGATCTCTCGAGATTATACCAGTCCCTGAGATTATATCAGCACCAAATAGTTAGGCAAAACCAACATTTCCGACAGAAGAACAAGAACAGCTTGTTTCACAAATACAATGACGGCAAAAAATTATATATTTGAGCCATCAACAAAGTGAAATGGGAAACATCTAGAACAGCTAAAGCAAGGGTTTTCCTAATGGGGGAAAAAGTCTCGAGTGACACAAACCATTGCGTCAACTTTATGTCGCAAATGCAATATTAACATCAGCTGATCAATATTTAGGTAATTCACAGTACAGATAATGATCAAATGAGACCGTCAAAGCTTATATGCTGTCAGTTTATCAATGGCCATTTCACAGTACAGATAATGATAAAATACGAGCAGGAGGTTTCCTTGTCATTTGTCCAGTTAAAACTAGAGCAACTTTGCCCTCTTTTGAAGGGCCATCGTTAACCGACAAACAGACACAAATGGATAAAACTCAACTCAAAACTAGCATCTTCGACAAGAATTCCAACAGCTCACCACCATGTGCTATTAATATTCACACCGCATCAGAAATACCTAGAACCAACCTAAGTACACTTCTCCAACAGATTCAACACCCTATTCAAGAACTCCGAATCATGCAACAATACCACCACTTGTGCAAACTAAATCCACTAAAACAGAATTGATTTGGCTACAACAAAACCAACATTAGTTCGTTGTAACAAAATTTTAGCCGAAGGAACACTAACATAACCTTGACCAGCTGCACTAAGATTCAGTCCACAATTACAATGTTTCGAAGAAGTTCAAACAAATGCAGAATGCAACTGTAAAAATGGTTATAGAGGTAAGGCGAACAGAAAGCTGAATAATCAATGTACAGTCTCCAATCTCCTCCCGAAAACTCCAAGCATCGAAACCAAACTTCTCCATGATTCATAGACGCAGAAATTATCCACACAGAAATGATCCAATCAAGTAAAATCAACAACTGGACTAATAAGGATACTTACACACTTGCATCTTCTCTACCTAAGAGCTTAACAGGAGTCCCTGCTCTTGGTGTAGAGATACAGCCGTCCGGCAATTCTTCCGGGCCGACAATCCGGCCAGGCCACCACGATCCATTCCTCCGACGAACCCAAACCAACCCCCCAACGGTCGCATCAATGCCCTTGTTGGGGTCCTCCCCAAAACTCCCCATCGATTTTGATCTCCGAAACCAAATAGGAACAAAATCAAACCACAGAACATAAAGCCCTAGTTCTTCACTTAATTGTATTTCCGAGACAGGATTTCTTGCGCGCAAAGAAAATCACTGGAAGAAAAACCCCCAAACCCTCCCGAGAAAGCGTGCGCAATAATCCAATGTCTGTAAAGGGTAAAACATCAAACAAAAACCAGAAAACAAAAATTGCACACAATCAATCCACAATAAGCTGAGAAAATCGGGCAGACAAGGACGGAGGAATCAGATCATTCCCAAACAAAGATTGCAGAAGCAAACACATAAGAGGTTAAACTAAGTAACAGATCTCGCAAAACGAAGTCCTCTCCCAGTTCACGCACCCTGATTTTCAGAGAATATTTTAAAACCCTCGCAATTCCATCATTTCATTTCCGCATGATTGCGGCATTCGGTGGGAAAGCTTCAATCGTTTTACTTCCTTTTCTTCCCCTCCAGCCACCCCAAGCCGTTTGTGCTTCACTACTGCCAAACCATTAAATGCAGATAAAGCAGAAGAAACGGGAAGGATTTTTCATCGGCGCCGCCAGTGGCTGAAGCGGTGAGGCTGATGATGCAACATGCAGCACAGAGTTCAGAAATATGACATCGATGATGGCACACCTTCGACTGCCTTTTACAGCAAAAGCCAGACAACCTCTTGTAGAGAGAGTGTGTGTGTGTTTTTCGGAGAGAGAAAGATTATACATATATATCTCATTTTGCAGTGTGAGGTGAAAAGAATATAAAAAGGAAAAAAAATGGGGCTGTAATCAGGTGCGGTGAGGACTATATTGGTATCATGCACCCTTGGTCTTTCCGCGTCGTAGAAAGTCAATGAAGAAAATGGACGGTTTTGATTGATTCACATCTGAAACGAACGGTGATTAAGGCGTCTGTGACCAACCCTGAGTACGCCTGGGTACAGATGATAAAGCTAGGGTTCTCGTCCAGTCTGCTTTGTTAGGTTTTCTTCCATTTTCCCCGGCTGAAGTCGTTTCCGTCGGGATTTGTGTTACTTTGTGCAATTGGAAGAAGGAAGAGGGGAAATCGTGGAATTGGAGCAGTAATCGGGCAGCCATGACTGGTATAGTTCGTGGGGGATTTTTTTTTTTCTCTTGTTTTTTTTTTTTTTTTTTTTTTTTTTTTTTTTTAATGTTGAATTTCTAGGATCGAAGCTGATGAGTGTATTTTGCAAAGGTTCTGATTATCATAACAGTTACAAATTTTAGTGTCTTATGTTATTTTTATTTATCCGATGCTGATCCGATTTGGAATTGTAATGCCGAAAAGTAGCGTGCGTACTGTTGCAAGGAGGGATTGAACACTTTTTGTTTTTGTTTCAGTGGCATTAACTTGTTTCTCATTTTATTGAATTGCTTCGTGGCCGCAAGATGTTTTGGATCATTTATTTGATTAGGGTTCAAATTTTGGAAGTTAATTTTTTGACGACGCTTTTGGCAGACTATAAGCAGGAACAAGATATGGAAATTGAAGCTTTAGAAGCCATTCTCATGGATGATTTTAAAGGTTTTGTTCATGAAGTCACATAATCATCTTTCTATGAGAAGTATGTGTTCTTCAATATACCTTAGCTTTGTAATGAATTTTAGTTTAATCGTTATGCCAGAAATTGATCCTAATGAAAGTGGCCTAAATACTTCAAACCGTTGCTTTGAGATAACTGTTTCGCCTCAGGTAAGCGATTTCGCATATCCTGTTCGGAGATGATTGATATCAGATTTCTTCTTAATGCTGCCCTTCATTATTGACAGGATGATGAAGCAGATGAATCAACTAAGTCGCAAGGTTTTACAGAATGTGTCCTGTTTTTCTTGTTACGATCTTTAGCTGGTGCTTGTTCATACTAGATACAATAATGACTTATTCAAATGCTCTTCCGCAGTTCGATTGGCTCTGATTTTCTCTCACACAGAAAATTATCCAGATGAACCTCCACTTCTCAATCTGAAAAGGTTAATTGCACAATAATTATCTCATGTTCTCATTCATGTCTATGTTTTTATACTCCTCTTTATCTTTTCCACCAGTTTGAAAGGACTTCAAGCAGAAGATCTTAAAATTCTGAATACTAAGCTGGCGACAGAGGTTAGGCATTTTAATCACTCTTTTGACTCCATTAAGTGACTGTATTTAAACACAACTTCCTTTTTACATTAAGGCTGTCATGTTCGTGTGTAAGAATTTGGTTGAAATTAGTTGTAGCAAACGTAATGTTTGGAAATGCATGTGGTAACTGGAGGAATTCAATTTTTCAGCCGTTTACTTTTTACTCAACAGTATGAGTGCTATGATTGTAATATGTTGTCTTTTAGCTGTATTGCTACCTCAATTTATTATAAAATGCTATTGATCAGGCGGCTGAAAATCTTGGTATGGCCATGGTCTACACATTGGTTACATCAGCTCAGGAGTGGCTCTCTGAAAGATTTTCTGAGGATGCTGGGATTGAGGATGATGAGGATGACGAGGCCACAAAAGATGAGGTGTATTTATTTTCCCGATGTTTGTTATTTATTTTTATCAAATGCCATATTTCTTATTTTGAAATTTGTGCAAAATATTTCCTGTCACTTTATATGTCATGATTCAACTTCCATCTATAATCATCCAACTCTAAGACGTCAACAAGAATGTGGGTCGTTTTGCTTTTGTACAGTACCGCATATGGAACATCATATATTGGAGCTAAGCTCATCACAAGCCAATCGCTTGTTTGCGTGCTTGTTGAGTTTTACATTGTTACAATGGTTAAACTTAGTGTGAATATTACCATCAAGTTAGACCTAAAATGTTTTCCGTTGGTATCTTTTCAGATTATTATACCACATGGAGAACCGGTTACTGTTGATACTTTTTTGGCCTGGCGTGAGAGATTTGAAGCAGAATTAGCACTTGAAAGAGCCAAGTGAGTCTAAGAAGTTTTAATTTTTTGGGATTTACATGGTTCTGCCCTTATTACGAGGCAGAAAACATCTTTTTGAGAAAACAAATTATTAATTTTCTTGGCGTTGAATTTGAAGATATATATATATATATATATGTGATTTTGTATAGCATTTGACCAGTAGATAATATGTGGTTATTGGATAGACATGGAATTGCATATTTTCCGTCACATTAGCAAGATTATTGAACTGGGTGCAAAAAGCAGCTTAGATATTTTTTCACTTCTACGCTGGTTGTTATCTTGATAATAGTTTCACATTTGCCCATTTCAGGTTAATGCCAGATTCAGCACTTGCTGCACCAAAGGAGAAAAAACTCACGGGACGGCAGTGGTTTGAAACTGGAAGAGCTTCCATGGTACATATTTTCTTGACATCATTTCAATTATCATCGTTTATCAATCCAACATGTCAAATGATTATGTAACTAAGCGCATTATTTGATCTTCTGTTATTACTTGTGCGTGTCTATGTATATTCTTTTGTATATTAATTCTCGTCTGTTTGCCATTATGATTATTCGAACTGTGCTTCTCTATGGATCTTCTGCTTTGGTCCAAACATGTGATTGAGAGATAACTAGAAGATAGAGAGTGTGATATGCCGGGAGTTAAATAATTGATATCTGCTGTGTATAATATCGTCTACATTGATAAAACAGTTTAAACCAATCCATCCATCAATGAAAATGATCGGTTGTGCTCGATTATTCCTTGCAGAAAGGTTCTGCCCCCGTTGCTGAAGACAACTCAGATGAAGATGAGGAAGATATCGATTTTGATGATGACGACTTCGATGGTATAATCATCCTTTCTTCAATACCCCCATGTCACCCACCCCCCACAATTTCCCTCCTGACGCCTCTACTTATGTTCAAACAGACGACGAGGAAGATATGCTCGATCACTATCTTGCAGAAAAAACGGACGCATCTGCTCATTCATCAAGGAGAGCTAATTAAGCGAAGTTGCGGATTTGATGATATTTATCACTCCGAAACTGGTAACAAGTTTGGCATCCCGACGCAGGCCCTTACGGTATACGGAAAACTTTAATGTCCAAGTCAAAAGTCTCCGTGCCTCGACTGTAAGTTATTTTCAGCGTCGGCAGACGAGGTTAGACAAGATGAGCAATTCCCATAACAGCTTGGAGATTAAAAGTGTTGGCATGAGCAATTTTGTAAAACTTAAATGTTCACCATTACCCTTTCACATGTATACTTCCATATACCGTAACGTGAGATATCTATGATGGTTTGATTGTTCGTTTTAAGAAAGTCGAGAGATAGAGGATTTTGGAATTTTCGTTTTTGTGAGAGTAATTAAGCATTTAATATGATATTTAGGGAGAGTAAATATGTATTTATTGTAGTATTTTTTATTTTTTTGTTTTTTTGGGGAGTGGGAGGGAATTTAATTATGAATAATATCAAGAAATCATTTTAATTGTATTTTTAAAAATTTTGAATGGTTAGATTGTTTAAAGGTAAATCAACTGATTAATTCTATTCGGTTGTGTTGTTAGTTTCATTTTGGCTGTGTTATTGTTATGCTCTCATTTAACAAATTTTGTGATGTATTCATGTGCCCATGGATCCTATATTAGATTAATTTTCAAAAATTTCTTTAAAAATTACATAGGCTTAATTTATGAATTTTATTTGAATATATCTGTTTTATAGTCATAGCCAAATTATATTTACATTAATTTTAATTTAAAGAGAGAAAGTATTATACTATATATTTTTAAAAAATGAATTTATAACAGTGAGATAATGGGTTCAGGCTCACACAAATTAATGTAATTGTTAAAACTTCCATGATTTACCTTAAAATCAAGGACAGGACAAAACTTCAGTGGGCTGTTCAACACTCGATACCCAAAGAAAGTACCAATCTCTGTCACAGGACCCATACTATTTAGAGGGAACTATAGTCTATAGAAAAAGAAATATATATATATATATATTACTCCATAGCTAAAAAAAAGGGGGTATAGTATTAGGTAGTGATGTTTAATTTTAAATTAATATTCCAATAAAAGAAAAAAGAAAGAACATCTGTATATAATGTTCCATATTATACACATTTATTGTTCCATATTATGCACATTCCTCACAGTAGTAAGTAGAGAAATTAATTTTTGATTTGAAAGGAGGCAGAGAGAGGGCAATCAGAGTTCTGCACAATCACCATATATCCACAAAACCATACGGAATCCACTTCGAGTTCAGAGAATCAAGATCAAGGAAGGAATGGTGATGATGAATCATCGTTGTTGTTGTTATTATTATTCAGTTTTACTCTTCTTACTCTTGATGCTATGCGAATCAATTTCCTCCGACTCGATTCCGGCTTCGAATGACCCTTCTGGAATCCCCAAATACTTCCTCGGCTTCGCAAAGCAACCTGAGATCTTCGATTGGATGGTAGGCGTCCGGCGGAGAATACACGAGAATCCTGAGCTAGGGTACGAAGAATTCGAGACGAGTAAACTAATCCGAGACGAATTGGATAAGATTGGGGTTCATTATAAGCATCCTTTTGCTGGTACCGGCGTCGTCGGGTTCATTGGGTCGGGGAAACCTCCGTTTGTTGCTTTGAGAGCGGACATGGATGCCCTCGCCTTGGAGGTTTGTAATTTCATCTCTATTGAATAAATCTCTTCGATGATTCTGCTTGATGTTGCTACTTTGGATTGAACTTCTGGTAATTGATGCTTTTGTTGGATGAATTTGGTGAGATTATGTAATTGATTAGTTTGATATTGATGTCGGGATTGATCTTTGAAGGTTGTGATGGATTTGAATTATGTGGAGCAAAGAATAGGAGTCGAATGTGCTATTTTGGTATATGATTCGTATTGTAGATTGGATTTAGCGAAAAGAGTGTTGAAAACAACAAGTAGTGATGAACTGAATTGAGGCATTGTGTGTTAGGTACGTTTCAATGATGTTGAAATTTCGGGTTATTTTTTATGTAGGAAATGGTGAACTGGGAGCACAAGAGCAAAGTTCCGGGGAAGATGCATGCTTGTGGACACGACACGCACGTTGCAATGCTCCTTGGTGCCGCGAAAATGCTTCAAAAGCATCGCGACTTTCTAGAGGTCCGCAACTCCAAAACTTCAAACATTTCTTTGTTTCCAACAATCCTCGCCGGTTGATGAGATCATATGCATATGTGTAGGCTATATTTACATACTTTTTAAAAAACACTCGACATTATTCATTTACACTAGATTTTTCCGTTTAAATAGAAACTTTTGGGGTTTTGGAACAAGTCGAGTATTGATGTGATATTTTGTAACAAAGAATCGATATTTGATGTGTATTTTTTGGAAGAAGTTACTATTTATTTGTATGTGATGTTTAGTAGTAACCAATGCCTATTTACATTACATCAAATACCTAGTTGTAATTAACTTTTTTAATTTCTCCAAAAACTCTACGACACCTCCAAAACATATTTAAACACAACCCTGTATTCTTTCATCGCACTCGTAGTCCTAATGGTGCTTTCTATGTTGTCTTGAGTTGGACAGGGGACGGTGGTTCTGGTTTTCCAACCGGCAGAGGAAGGTGGAGGAGGGGCCAAAAGGATGATAGAATCTGCGGCGCTTGAGAATGTAGAAGCCATTTTCGGTATCCATTCAGCCAGTATGTTACCGGTGGGTATAGTTGCCGCTCGGTCGGGGCCTTTACTTGCAGGGAGTGGTGTTTTTGAGGCTGTAATAAGCGGGAAGGGTGGCCACGCCGCCATTCCTCAGCAGTCCATCGATCCAATACTTGCTGCATCGAATGTCATTGTCAGCTTACAACATCTGGTTTCCCGAGAAGCTGATCCTCTCGACTCTCAGGTAGTTACGGTTGCCAAATTCATCGGAGGCGGCGCATTTAATGTCATTCCAGATTCTGTAACCATCAGTGGCACTTTCCGAGCTTTCTCGAAAGACAGCTTTCAGCAACTCAGGCGGCGAATCGAAGAGGTATTGTTTTAACATTTTCCAAATCATATTTTTCCGTGTTTCTTTGGATTGAGATTGAAAGTTTGAATTTTTTCTTAAAATAATATTTAATATGATATTTTATAAAATGTCCGAGTGCAAATAGTAAAAGATAGGGGTAGAAATTAAGGAACTAACCCCAAGGATCCTAAATTTTCGTCGTAAGCTACATTATGGTGCTATTTTTTTCGGGGAAACATGAAATTTTAAGTGTGTTTACTTCGTGATGTTTTTTAATTTTGATTTTGATTTGGGTTTTTCGTAAGATAAAATAGTATTTATATATATATATATATGTATCGCTTGTAACGTATGATTTAGCGACTAAAATGATAAGAACTGTCATTTATTCTATCAAAATGTATCCTAGCATTAGGAAACAATCCTCGAAAGCGATTTTACGAGGGATTATGGGTCGATCTCACTTGTGTTTCGTTTCTTCATTGAATTTTCAGGTTATAATCGGGCAAGCAGCCGTGCAACGTTGCAATGCAACGATTACTTTTGAATCAAAAGATCAGATGTTCTTCCCCCCAACGGTGAACGACAACGACTTGCACAAACTTTTCCACAGGGTCGCCGGCGACATGCTCGACAGCGCTGCGATCAAAGAGATGCAACCGTTGATGGGATCCGAAGATTTCTCGTTTTATCAGGAGATAATCCCGGGCTACTTCTTCTTCGTTGGAATGGAGGACGAGACCTTAGAACATCCCGTAATGCCGCACTCGCCCCATTTCAGAATCAACGAAGATGGGCTCGCCTACGGCGCCGCGCTCCATGCTTCGTTGGCTGTTCGATACTTGTCGGATCGCCGGACGTCGGCGGCGGCGCCTCCGGGACACGGCCATGATGAACTTTGAGGTATGCTCTCTGTTAATTTAGATCATTGCTTGAATTTGATCATGGTCTAAAAAGTTTTAAATTGTGTGTTTATACTACTTGTATTTTGATTTTATTTCGATGGTTTGAATAGAGTTTTTTTTTTACTGTATGTTTAGATGTAAAAATATAATGGTAGTTGTGATGATTTAAGTAAATTAATGAATTACATATGAAAAAGTTTTTATTTAATGTGTGTTTGAACTAACCATTTTCTTGTGTACATTCATAATTTAGTGTTGAAATAGGTAGCATTCCACATTCGGTCTCATATTTTATGTAACTTCTAATTTTAGAAAAGAATTAAAAATTTAATTATTTTTTAATATATAATCTTTGTATTTTAATTATACTAATTATTTTCTAAATTTTAGTTATTAATATATTTTTAATTATTTATTAGTAACATTCAATTATGGTAAAACTTGCCAATAGACTTTGATTCGTTTGAAAATTTACACTCTAAGAAAAGTAGCTTAGCTATTGCATGTTCTCACGTTATAATATATATATATATAAATCAATCAGTCACACTTTTTTTAAATTTTGTATGTCAGATATGATTCACTTAAATTTTGTTTATCACATATTATTCGCTTAATACAATTTTTTTATTATTGTAATTTGTCGGATTCGAAGAAGAAAATTCTAATAAGTATTATTAAAAACAACAAAATATATATATATATATATATATATTTTATTGTTGTAGAGTTATAGTCTTAAAATGGTAGAACTGAAGCTCTTAAATAGAAGCAAAACCAATAAACCAAAATCCACAGCTACGCTACGTCAACAAAACTGAAATACAATTCCAAATCACAAAACAAGATTAAATAGAATCATAAAGCTAGAAACCAATTAATCTTAATTATAGAACGAAACTAATTATTATTATTATCGGTCAAACTAGCAGCCCGACCCGATCCATGGCCCGCCCCGCCATGGCTGGGCCCACCCGTCTTCACAGCTTCAAAATGCATCTCTTGTAGAATCTTCTTCACCACAGCATCGCCATTGCCATTGTCCGCCCTGGGAAGCCGACCTTCGCTCGCAAACATGAACAAGAGCAGGATGAACATAATTCTGAAAACCTTTCTAACACTTAACAATGATCTTTCCATGGATAATTAATTAATGAAATCGAAGAATTAATAAAAATGAGAATCTGGAGCTTATATATTGTTGTTAATGGAGATGAGGAGGATGAGAGGGGTGAGTGCAGAGATGGAGTATTTATAACCAACCTTCCATGCACAACAAGATTATAATTTTTATATTTATATATACAATATTATTATTGACTAACCTCAATTTCGATTACTACACTACAGATGTGTGTGTCAATATATATATATATATATATATTACAGCTTTACAGGGTGGGTCCTTTGGAGAAGAAGGTTCCAAGTTTGAAGGTCAACATAAGTTTGTTTATGCAGAATTGTTAGTGGGAAGATTCTGGAGTGAGATTATTCATTCCATGGGATTATTGTTGTTTATTGTCTGATAGACACTTTTTTTTACCTTTTTGTCTTAATCTGGCATCACTGCCTACGCAAAATTAAACATACTTATAAATGTAAATGTAGTGGAAATATAGATCCATATACATACGATCGAGGAAATGGGGGATCAAGAAATATATATACACACACACACACTAATTGGAGTCAAAATTCAGTTGGGATTTCAAATTTTCAACTCAAATTCCAACTGAAACTCTATCAGTGTTCACACACAGAAAGATGAAGATAATAAATATTGATGGATGGATGGATGTCTTTAGGTACCAATTTTATGACACACACAAATTACTAATTTGGTACACTAGACTAGTGCTCTAAAATCCAACTCCAATTTGTTCATCTCAATTGGTATATATTATACGTTCTTTTCAATTATTGTATCATAAACTCTTCCTATCATTTAAACCAATTTTTTTTTTTTTTACACCAGTTATCTGGAATAAATACTTTGAATTGTGTGAATTTATATTTATCAACTATAATTATATTTATATTTAATTGTGTAAACGGGTAATATAAATATTAATAAAATTAAATTTATAGAATATACTCCCTCCGTTCCAGCTACAAAGTATACATATTTATATTTTGGGACGTCCAATTACAAAGTAACAATTTCATTAAATACCCCTTTTTTTTTTCCACAAATACCCTTACTTTACATCACATCATTACTTTTATACCAAAAAGCAAAGGCAAAAATATCATTACACTACTTTTACATACCCACTATAATTAAAATACTATTATTTCTTAAACTCTACGCCAAAAGTAAATGTATATTTTATCGTGGACGGAGGGAGTAATTGTTAACATAAATTTTTAAATATAATGATATAAGTAAAAGTCAAAACTAATTGAATTAAATAAATATATAATGGGGATTATCATGCTGATTTTTCACGTCAGCACACATTATATATATATAAACAACATTAGTATTACAGACCTCACATGTTGTGCATAATAAAAGCATGTATTAATTTTTTAATAATATATAGTATTTGTATAATTGTATTTGACTCAGATTTCCCCGATTAACCTAAATTTCAATTCAATTCATTCCAGTGAGGCCGTCCCTGGCCCAGGCGAAAAGGGCGACCGCCCAGGCCCAATCTAAATGGGGTTCGTAATTTATTTATGTTACATATAAATTATTTATATATAAATATTATTTGAAATGAATATATTAGTAGAAGAGTATTGCTTGGTGGTAAAGTTCTATCTATATTAATTTTGAAGTTTTGAGTTCAAATTCAAGTACCTTTAAATTTTAAAAATATTTTTTTATACATTAAAAAGAATTAGACAAAGTTAATTTTAATAGTATTATAGATATTTTGCATATAAAAAATGATGAAATGTATTTTATTTAATTATTTATATTTTATTATAGATTAAAAAAAATTATTCATACATATTTATGGCCCCTAATTTCATTAGACTCATTTTTATATTATTTTGGTGATGAGAATATGACTTTTAGTTTATATTACCTCCGTCCTATATATCATATACCATGTCTGCTGCACTGTAAACACAGTATTTTAGGAGGGGTGTAATTAGTAGATAATTAAGAATGTATTATTAAAAATAATTATCCTATAATATAAATAATTATAAATTAAGATTAACATAACTAATTAGTTTAATTAAAATTTTAAAAAAATAAAATTTAAAAATTTAAAATGAGATTAAAATGTATAATTATTTTTTAAAAAAAGGAAAGTGACATGATATGTGGAACGGACAGAAACGGCAACGTTGACATAGTATGTGGAACGGAGAAAGTAAGGGAATGATACGCAATTTTTAAAATTTATGTTAGAAAAAATATGTTTTTTTATAAATACCTTTAATTTTTATTTCGCCCGTCAGGAACGGCCCTGATTCGGTTCAAATATCCCCCTCACCCTTCATACACTCACCTAAAACAATCTCTTACGTTACCTGTATGTTCAAATCTTACACCAAAAATATATATATACATCTACAAAAATTCCTATGATCAAAAGCCAAAGAATCGATGAGAATATCGTAACAAAGGATCCAAAGCATTGGGAGAAACCTTCCTCGCAAACAGGAAACACAGATTCGTAGGCTGGTCATTGTAATAACACGTTTGATCCTTACCAATCTTGTCGAAAAACTGTTTCGACACATCGCCGGCGCCGAACGTCGCCGGGTGGGCCCCACCCCTCGACCAATCGACCCACGTCAAGCTCCGATTTGCCAACTCCCGCGGCGATTTGATGCTCAGCATCGTCGGGAAGTAATGCTCGTCCACATAACACGGCGGCCGGCAGAACTGCTCGAACGATGGGTAGTAATCGGTGTCCTGAACGATATCGATCGCAATCTTCCGATTTACTTCGAACCATTGCGACCCTTTTCGCCAATTGGTCAGGTTCACTTTCGGGAACATTCCCGCATTGTATCGGCCCCGGCCGTTCCCCGTCGGGTCGTCGAACGAGCCCATGAAGCTGTACCGCGACCGCGCGATGTATCGGTAGACGATGCTGAAGTTTTGGAGCGGGATGCAAGATTCCGAGAGGAGGACGAACCACTCGTTCGAGACGTCGAGGAGCGCGTTCGCGAGGAGTCGACGCTCCGCGTCGCACATACTCATCATCCCCCATTCGGCGACCTGCGAAAAAGCAAAATCGATCGACGGTTTTAGCTCGACACGAATGCAATCGAATTTGAAACAGATCCGTTAGCGGCGGTTACTGTACTAAATTTTAAATTCAGTACCGTACCGACAGTGCATCGATATTAACATAATATTAATACAACATATGAACTAACGCCACTATGATATAGAATCAAACAACAATACAACAATTGATTTCAATATATGACATACTATTATACAGTACACTTAAAAAAAAACTACCAGACAATACATGCTTAGCACATGTAATAATATCATGATATAATCTCGCATAGCACATTCAACAATTGATTTCACCAAATGGCATTCTCCCTCATCTCAATTCTATGTATTTTTTTTTTTTCACCATTTTCGACTGTCCCACTTCAAAATATCTCTTTTCTATTTTAGAAAAAATAACTATAACACATACAATTACTTTTATACAGGGCAAAAAATGTCAAAAACTCTTAGACACTTCTATTAACTAATAAAATACTATTATTTTTTAATCTATTACAAAATTCAAAAAGTCCTTTTGATTTGTAACGGAAAGAGTAGTATATTTATAAATATGAACACATATTGCCTTTACTTCATACAATATATACGGTGTGAAATAAAGACATGAGTTGTCTAATTTACTTCCAAATCAGCACGGTAATCATTCAGCAATCCATTACCTGGCTCGGGATCTGCCGGTTGTAAAAAACCGATGATGTCCGAAAGTTGGGGCGGTAGGAAGGCGACGAATGAACATAAATCGAATAAAGCCCCTCATTCCCCTCGAAAAATCGTTGCCACAACGGTGCCAACGGCAACGGCCCTCTTGTAAGAAACATGAACGCAATTTTCGGCGTTCTTTTAAAGGGGTATCGGGGGATTGTCGGCACCAACGTGGCGCGCCAAAAGAGCTCGGCATCGTTCATTTCATGCCGGAGATTCAACGGCGGCCGGATCCAGCTCATAATGCTGCCGGAATCACGAAAACATGGCTGAAATTTGGACAATGAAACAGGGGACTCTGTCTGAAGCTTAAGATAAGGGCTAATGTAGAAACTTAGGAATGAAAATGAAATGCCTAATCCCAAAAGAAGCAATAGAAACTGTAATAATCTCAGCGGTAATAAGGGCCTGTTTGGCTGTGCCGAATTTCTAAGGATTGGTTCTCTGCCTTCCTCAAGGGAATCGTAACTTTTCACCCTTGTTTGCATCTCTAAATTCAACAATCGGAAATACCTCCCAAACAGAGAACACAAATCCTGCGGAAATTGTAATAATCAGACGGTTTCCGAAACCCTAATTTACGCGAAATTTGGGGAAAAGTTACACAAGTATAGAATGATGTTCTAAATTCAAATTTCTTCGACAAAATGAAACGGAAATTATCAGAAGGATTGTGAAAAACGAAGATGATGTTGTTACCTGAAGGAGTCTTCGGACATGGAGCTGGACCTCGAAAATCAAACCTAGTTCGGATTGAAGGAATCAATGTCGAGGAGTCGTGAGATGATCGACGATTTAACAAACAAAAACGCGCAAATAGAAAGCGGTTTTCGGTGGAATGAATCTTCCTTATTTCATCATCATCGTCAATCGAAGGTTGCAATAAATACGCGTCAGGCGAACGGTCAAGGGATGAAATTCGTGAATCATTCCGGCGTTTGGACAACGAACCTGTAATCTTCTCGCTTCCAGAATTTCCACGGCTCTTTCTTTCTTTCTTTTTTTTTTTTTTAACTTTTCTGGCGATTAATCAACAACAACGAAGAATGCAGCTTTTGATGATCTGTTGTGTGCCGATTTGATGGGAAAAAAATTTGAGAGCTGAGAGAGGATTCGGGAAAAGGAAAGATTTTTGAAACGTGGGTCGAGTGAGAAAAAGGATGATGTGAGTGGGAAATGGAAGAACCTAGGAGGTGAGGTAAAAGGATTTTGGGGGATCCTGGGAGGTCGAAACCGGGGTGGATCTAGAACGTTGGTTGTGTGGAGTTTTGAAGATGGACGGTAGGGATTTTATGGGAGCTTTAGTCCGGGGCTGGATGAGATTTTGATTAGGTGTACAATGTGTCGTCGATAGATTTGCGGCTGTGAGCAACAAATTTGTTCTAATTTACAAAAATATATATAAATAAATATTAATATGCGAATTTTTAAAATTTTAAATTTACTAAAATTTTAGCAAAAATAATAAATTAAATATTACTTTCGCCCCAATCAGAATGTTATGATTGATTTTTTTACTTCAATTTTTAATATCAAGTACAATCATATAAAAAAAAAAAAAAAAACTTTTTTAACAAAGATAGATATAATATTTAAAATATTTCAATATACTTCAAATTCAACCATTGTTATTTGAGAGAACTTTGAGTAGATTTTAAATTGAACTTATCTAGAGAATAATAAATTGTAATCTTGGGTTGGATACGAGATACAAGGAATATTGATATTATATTGGTAATTCGTAAAAAGTATGAATAAAAGACTTTTTTGTCTTTGTGATTGTATTAGTGTAAAAAGTAATGGCAATTGTATAATAAAAATGAAAAAAGTATTGGTAGTTTTATGGTGATACGATTATTTATGGAAATAAGACTATTGTTTTAGGATTGACAAAAATAGTAAATAAAACTATTATATTGAGACGGAAGGAGTATTTATTTCAAAAGAAAATTAATCTCTTGTACTATATTAGAATAATTTGTAAAAAGTATTACGAAAAAATATGATTTTATTTACAAACATAATACAACTCGTAGATTAAATAAATAAAAAAAATTAATTTAATGGATATTAAAGAAATGATAATCTAAACCAACTAAAATCGAACATAAATAATAACTTTAACAATTACTATTATATTGTAATTTAATATTTATTACATTGTACTCAATTGAACATTTGTTTTTTTCAAATAATACCAAATAAAATGATAGTAAGGCCGTAATTGGGCCCAATATGATGCAACAAGACATTACTCCATCATGTATTTAATCTGATCTGATCTAATCCTCACCGTTCATTTTCCTACCAAGAAGTTCGGCCCAAAATGATATTTTGGCCCAATATGCTACTACAAGCCAGACATATAATCATCTATTTGATCCGATCATGACCTAATCCTCACCGTTCATTTTCCCAACATGCATACATATATTGTAATCAAGACCGTTCATATATCTATATAAATATATTCTATAATAATAAAAAAAATATCACATAAAAAAATAATTGAAAATGCATCCTAATATTTTTCAACCTTACTACTTATTCAATCACTAAATAAATGTATATAGCAAACTAATAACTTTATTATAATAATAATATTTTTAATAAATAATAATTTAATTTAACCATATAACTATTTTATTTTGGAGAAGAGGTTATTTATCATTTCGAAAATGGCAATAAGAATGTCGCATACAAAATAAATAAATAAATCGAATACAAGTGATTAATGTTGGAAATTGGTCAAAAGTCCACGTGAAGATGGGGCCCACCGCATCCATTTCATGTGGGCGCTGGAACCACCGGCCAATCGAATATGGACACGTGTGACGAAGCGCGTTGCCTTCACGTGTGCGCGTTGCCTCTCATCAATAATTGAACTGAGCCGGCTGAGCCGGAAAATGACGTCAGGGGAGCCGACAAGCCAAGCCGACGAAACGGTGAACAAAACACAGGAGCATTAATTATCGGATTATGACGGCTACGACGACAATGGGCTAAGGGAGCTGCACCCCTCTCCTTAGTGGGCCATATCTAATTTAAATCCGGCCCAAATCCACTCTCAATAATATTCTAATAATTTTGGGTGTTCTAGTCAGTGACTTTTTATTGATTTGGATTTTTTTTTTTAAATTATTTAAATAATATGGTTGTGATATTTAATAATTTCTTTTTATAAAAAATTAAGAAAAATATTTACATCAAATTTCTTTTATTTATACTTTTTAGTCTCCTCTGTTACCATTTTTTAAAAAGAATATATATTAAATCAATATTTATTTTTAATATAATATTAAAAACACTTCAAATATAAATATTAAAAATTATGTAAGATTGAGAATTGGCTTGAAAAATTATAATGAAATTAAATATCTGATGTATTATATGAATAGATCTTTGATATGAAAATTGATTGCTATCCTAATTTTCACAAAAGAAAAAGGACAAAATTGACAAGGTATTATGAAATTCTAAAAATCACAAAATAATGCTACTAGGATACATATATTATATCAACATAATTAATATATATATATATATAAAACAAAACAATTATGCATGTAGACTATATATATATATACACACACACATGCGTATGTAAGTATAAACAACAAAAAATTGAAATATATATAGAGCACATCTTCCAAACATACCTTAAACCGAATCCCAGTTTGCACCTATAATTCAGTTCTTCATATATTTCCCCAATCATCAGACACAAAGTGCAGTGTTTGGAGCAAATTCATCAAATTCTCCACCAGGTGAGCTTTTCAAAATCTCCCAATTTATTGAATCTCAATTTCCTGGATAGATTAAGAACAAGAACTCGTTTTGTTCATACCAGGGATCGCCATCATCGAAAACAAAAATGGAAAGTCTTGTTTGGGACAGGCATGGTGAAGAAGATGAGGAGACACTGAAGAACCCTGCATATCCAGATTCAAATTCAGATATCAGTGTGTTTCCACCATGGAATTTAAGGTCAGGAGTAGTTCTTACCAGCTGGGGACAAGAAATTCATCCAAACAATGCCTTAATCCTCGACCCTGGAATCTCAAACTGCTTCTCCCCACCCCTGATTGATGATGGAATTTCCAGGTTCTTCTCAGACAGCAAAAGCCCCTGGAATTTCCTCGAACCTGTCCCTGTCCCTGTCCCCGTCCCTGTTCCATCCATGTCGTCGCTGTCAGGTAACCCGAAGAATACCCTGGAAACGGCTAGAACACCATCACATACACCAGGGAATCAAGATTTTCAAGGGCCAAAAAACTATACAGCCACAGGCTGTCATCCAGGAATCCATCCAATTCCCAAAAAGCCGAGATTGGACAACCACATCATTCCATCACCAAACGTCGATTTCCAGTCCAATCCTGAAACACAAACAAATTCACAATCAAAAGAGATGATATACAGGGCAGCTGTTTTCAGGCCAGTGAATTTTACCATAGGGTCTGAGGAGAAACCAAGGAGGAAGAATGTCAGGATATCAAATGACCCTCAGACGGTGGCTGCCAGGCAGAGGAGAGAGAGGATAAGCGAGAGAATTCGGGTCCTGCAGAGATTAGTCCCTGGAGGAAGCAAAATGGACATGGCCTCGATGCTGGATGAGGCTGCCAATTACCTGAAGTTCCTCAGAGCGCAGGCCGAGGCACTCGAAGACATCAGCCACAAGATGAATGATCAAACAGTGACTGATCTCCCTGGAAATGTTAACCTGTCATTTTCACCATTCGGTACATTTGCCATCCAAAATCAAAGTCCAGTTAACATGTCCTAGAGTTGAATAAAAATTTCATATTAAGCAGGGACTCGTTGAATTACTTTTATTTCGTAATTTCCAAATCTTATTTTCCAAGGACTACAAAGTGACGAATCTAAATATGTCTTTTGGATCCAATCTGCACCATAGTGTACAATGGTGTGGATTTATCCGGGAGTGCCAAGATCATATTTTTCTGATGGCTTCCCTTAAGCCCATGATGTAATCAATACTCTATCGAACTTGAGTTGTTAAATAAAGCCGGTAACACATAATTTAAAGCTTTTAAAGAAAGACTATATTACACTCAGGGCCGCTCCAGACTTTCGAAGGGCCAGGGGCGAAATAAAAATCAGGGTCCTTAAATATATATATATATATAATATTTTTTACCTATAATAAAATATAAATAAAAAAACATTTTTTTAGCATAGATTTAGTTTCGAAACTTAGCATAAATTTTTCATATACTTTACAAATTGCGTAAAGTATAAAGGAGTTATTGATAATTTTGCCTAATAATAATAATAATAATAATTTTGTCTAATATTTATTATTTTTTTAGTGCAAAAAATAATTAAAACAAAAATAAAAAATCCCTAAATATATATAAATAATCTACTCCTAAAATATAATGTAGATAGAACTTAACCACCAAGTCATGCTCTTCTATTAATACATTAATGTCAAATAATTTATATATAACATAAATAAATAATGGCCCAAATTTAGATTGGACCCTGGGCGGACACCCCTTTCGCCCGGGTCCAGGGACGGCCCTGATTACACTACGGTACTAATGTAGGAACCAGCTATTCTTTTAACTAGAACACTATCAGTGAGTGGTCCTGCCCGCCCGCCCTTAAGATTCCTCAATCTAAAATATACGGTAATTATGCTAAGAACATGCTATAGCTTTCTTGCTTACCATTTTCTGCAGCCCAACTTGCTGATATACGTCTAGTTTTAATCATAGTTAGCTCACAAAATAGCAAGGGGGGACATGAATAAATCCAGCATAAAAAACAGTTTCTTGGAATGAAAAATAGTGCAAGCAAATTACAGCTACTCACTTCAGAAACGAATGTTTGACCTCAGAAGGCAAGGCCGTTGTGTTGTCGCTATATACTGTGGCTACTTGCCTTACTAAAATTTGATAGTGTTTCTCACTTCAGATTGCTCAGATTGTCGATTTTGTCAACTTGTCTCTGATAATCCAAACCATCGAAACAAAAGGTTTTGGTGACCATGTTGGGCCTTTTTTTCAGCTACAGTTTGCAGTTGAGCAACTTCAGTTTAGAAAAATGACATGTTATGATGGTAATAACTAGCCAAACACGATAACCTACCCAACACTCACAAGCCCAACAGCAATATCCATTATCGATAGGTTTTGGATAGACTAAACCTAAAGAAACATGCTCATCAATGTTGACAAAGATCACAGATATATAAGCATACATCATCATGGTACAGGCATCTAGCATAAGAAATGTGCGAAAAGGGTCTGGAATCATGTTGATAAGTTACAATAACATAGAGGAAAGCTGCGCTTAAATTCATATACGTGTTACCATTTAATGCTTACCTCAATCAGCAGGTAATGATCTTCAATTCAGTTTGACACATCTTGTAGAGGCAAACTGCATAGTTAAGGATGTAAAGCCATCGCTCTACTGCATAGGAAGCAACCCGGATTGAGACACACCTTAACCGAAGACCAACGGCAAACACGAAGCACGAGCAGTGGAATCTCAAAACTAGACAAGTTTTTTGAACAGACAGAGAAATATGCGAAAGAACTTGAATAAGCAATAGAAACAAAACTAAAAATCACCTCATTAACATCTGTCTGCAGTACAAGAATACATATGCATAAATTGCATTGGAGGGGTATGTGTTGTTTACCCCACCATTGATTCAAACAATTCAACGGAAAATTTGGAGTTATAAATCAGTATTGACAAATGTAATCAGGCTTTACTAGTCTCATTGTCAGCACTGATAAAAACTTCGCGTATTCAGATTCTTCAATTCTAAGCCTCAGCTTGTATACTAAATAAGCATGCCCCAACATCGTTATCTTGAATGGCACAACAATAATTGTTTACAAGTAATAAGGATGCACCGTTTTTTAGGGTTCCATGGCTTTTCCTCACTCAATCTTCCAAGCATAAAGAAAAAGACAAAACTGCGAGGTGTTTGAATTACTTAGTATCGAGTAACACTTGCTATGGGTGCCGTAATCACTTTCTTCATCTTGAATGTTATCTCCTACATCACTTTCTGCTTCTGATGTGCCGGGGGTGAAGATGAAAAAACCATGGCTTGATCCTGGGGGGGAGAACAACCAAGCATGCACATCCCAGAATACGTGAACCGGTTGGTTGTCGACTAGTACAGTATCATTGCCCCTGAATTTCCACTGCAAATTACAAATGTGTATCAACACAGTACCGTCTACGCTAATCTGCATTTCGGGTTCTCCAGACCCTGAGATCAAGAATTCTACAACGATATCATGCTCCTGTCTTGTTTGATCAAACTTCGCCCTTGTGGGGAATGCTCTCTTTCCAAACACATGTTCCTTCTTGTAAAGCATTACAGCACGCATAACCGCAGGGCTCGATTTTGTTTTCTTGTAGGCCTTTTTCTCATTGTCTCCTAACAATAGTACCAATTCTTGTTTAGAAACTAGAGCAACATAAAAATCGGCACAGGGCTCTGGACTTCCAGAAAATTTTGCTGATCTGAAATCCCAATAGACATCCACTTGGTTCCCATCAACCACAAAGCTCTTATAACCTTTCCTGGCCCAAAAATGCCAAGGCTTAGGGTCAATTTTGCAAATGTAAACTCGACCACGATCGAGGCTTTCCACAGATATGGTTAGAGAGTAATTCATGAAGTTCTTGCTCCAAATTACAGTCACACTGCGCCAAGAACCAGCAATATGAGTCTGATACACGCATGTAACTGTGCTCTGCGCTGGTTTCTGTGTCACTTGTTCATCTTTATCTCTCTGTGGAAACTCGTTTGAAGAACTCTTCATCGTGGAAACACGATAAGCCAATCGTTCCTCTTCCCACCAATATATACATACATATGCTCTTTTAGTGAACGAGAAGACGAATGGTGATGAATTCTCAACGTAACTCGAAGTTTAGTGTGGCAACAGGATATTTCCCTAAATAAAATTTCATCGCAGACCTGGAAACCCTAGCGAAGGATACCACCGCAAAAATCCTTCATCGGCAACAATCAACAAACATGAAGCTGACACGTACCCAATTGAAGACGAATTTCGTGACTTATTCCATGTAGAATTCATCATACAAATATGGCTCACCTCATGAAAAAACAAGAGAAAAGAACAAACATTTGCATCGGAATTGAAACCCTCCGACCTCCAACAAAATTGATCATATCATTGGAAAAACATTCGATCAAAATTCTTACTCACAGCTTCCTATCGTAATCAATTAGACTAAAATTGATGATTGGAAACCTGATTCGAATTCAATTTGCGGGAAAAATCGGTCGTCCTTGGAGACCCGTATGGTTGGAGAAAGCAGCTTCCATCAAAGAACAGGTCCAAATTTAGAAAGAATCTACTGGCCTCAGGTGCTCTGTTTCAACCAAAATTAAAAATTACACTACAGTTTTAGAAAGCGCATTTATTACGAAGTCAATTAAGCCTAAAGTCGTTTTTGATTTTTGATTTTTTTATATATAAAAAAAAAGGTTCAATGTATTGATTGTCTAATTTTTACTGGGGTGGACACTTTCTTATTTGAATTGAATCGAACAAGTATTTAAAATTGTAAATTATATTTTAATCTAAAATATTTGTAATATTTATAAATAATTCGAATTAAATCTAATATAAAAATAATCATATATGTACCACACATTTCAGTAGCCATTTTTGCATCAATGTACATATCATCTTTGTGAATCAATACAATGTATAGAAAACTTTATTGTTGTTACGGAATATGTATAGTTGTTAAGATTCAATTTTTTTTTCCCTATTTTGCCATTGAAAGCCACAAATCATCATTATTTGTGTTCTTGATTTGATGATTTATTTTCTATAGCATAAAATAAATTTTGTGGTTTTATAATGTTATAATATGAAATTGAAATTTTATATTTCAATTATAAGAATTTGTACATATTTACAGTGATATACAAATCGTTTAAATAAGACAAAGAATCCTACAAATGTCTTAAATAAGATAACTACCATAAAAATAATATATTGTTTCTAAATATATTTTAACACACTTCCTCAAACTCAAGATATGATCGAACAAACTTGAGTTTTTCAGAAGTGACTGAAAAATATATAGCTGAGATCTTCAATTCACCAAAATTGGTTAAAGGTAGTGTAGCCATCCACTGGATCAGAGTCAGAAGCAAAACTCTCAACCCCTTTAAAGTTGGAAACAAGACTCGTTCATTCACAACGGAACTAGAGTCGAAAACATGACTCACTCACTCTATAGAGCTAGAGTCGGAAACAGGACTTGCTCGCTCACAACAGAGCTAGAGTCGGAAACATGACTCGCTCACTCTATAGAGCTAGAGTCGGAAACAGGACACGTTCGCTCGCTCACAACAGAGCTAGAGTCGGAAACAAGACTCGCTCACTCTATAGAGCTAGAGTAAAAAACATGACTCTCAACAGCATTAGAGTCGAAAGTAGAACTCTATCTGTGAAGATCGAAGTAGCAAAGACGGATACAACATGAAAATAATAGCATGACCGTTGATAGAAGAAGATACATCAATAAAATATAAAAATATATGAGATATAACGGGTTATGGATATACCCGGAGAGAATTTGGTTATGATACCATATTAAAATATAAAAACAAAATTATTTATTTCAATTATAAGAATTCGTACATATTTATAGTGATATACAAATTGTCTAGATAAGATAAAGAATAAAATAATTATCATAAATATAATATATTGATTCTAAATATATTTTAACACATACTTTATTTTTTAAAAAAAAGAAAAAACTCAATCCTATGTTAAATCTATTTGAATTGAAACATGTTTTTTGGACATAATAGCCCAAATAGTTAATATTTTAAAATATGACATTTTTTGTTCTTGCTAGAAAAATAGTCTGCAATTGTATGAATATATTTTTTCTATTAGCTAAAATTATGTAGCTTTGATTGGATAAAAAATAAAATAATAATATATTATTATTATTATAATATTAAAGTTAATTAAGTAAAAGAAAATGGGTAAGTATTATATAAAATTTATTAAATAAAAATATAGTGGATTAGTAGAATAAATAGAAACAAATTTGTTATTATTTGTTAAAATAATGATAATAAAAATATTAATGGATATAATTGTTTAATATAAATAAATTCTGTATAAATTTAGCTTATGATCTATAGAAAAAAAAAATAGTAATATAATTTTGATGAACTTATGAAGTATTTATCATCTTAAAATCAATTATTCCCTCCGTTTCAATAGAGTTGTTTTGTTTTTTCATTTTCGTCCGTTCTAAAACAATTGTCTTGTTTCCTTATTTAGTAATCGTGGTCCACACTTTATAAAAAAATTATTCATATTTTTCTAAACTATCCCTAATTATTACTTTAACCTACTTTTAAAAATCATTCAAAAAATAAGAGTATTTTAGTCTTTTACTTTCTATTTTATACTCACTTTCAATTAAATATTATTATTCCTTAATTATTGTGTCAACTTTCAATAAGATATTTTTTTTGGAACAGTGGGAGTATAATATTTAATGTATAAGACTATATCATGGATGTTATATCTGATGTTATCTTTTATTATCTAATATTGAAAAGTAATACTCTCTCCGTCCCAAACACTGTGCAACATTTGTATTTGGCATAGGAATTTAGGCGGGGAGTATTAAGTATGATAATTTGAGATAATTTGGATATTAATGATGGGATTGAAGAAAAAAATGATTATTTATTTTTTTTATTTGAGTGATATGATGGGATAAAGTGAAGTGTATATTAATATATGTATAAAATTATTATTAATTATATCTAAATTTAAAAATATTGCAGTGAATTTGAAAAAAAAAAAAATTGTTGCAGAAATTTGGGACGCGAAAGTACAATGTTGATAATAGTGTAATGTAATAATTAGAAAAGTAGTAATAAATTCGTTATTATTTATTAAAATAAAAATTATAAAATTATAAATACAAACAATTATCTATTATAAATAAATTATACCTAAATTAAATTCAACAAATAATAAAAAAATAACATATTTATAAAATTCATTATTATATCCGCGGTCGCCTATATGATAATATAAATAAATGAATAAATTTTATACACAACCAAAAATCAACACATATAGGATGAGTCATAACTTGGGGTGGATTGTGTGGAGCAATCCTAGCCGTTGAAAACTGCAGTTGCTATAAATAAACGGTTAGAAGGTCATCCACGCCGTTGAACACTGCACGGGTTGTCTTTTTTGGTATTGAATCTGAATCTGATGACGTGTCCTAATTTATTATTACTACATTCCGCATGGCGCACTGCACCGACATCTCTACTAATGCTTATCCTTTCCCCACCTTACTACTAATTTCATTAAAAATTAAATTTAATCATTTTTATATGCTTTAAGTAGATCATTTTATTATTATTATTTTTTAAATATTATTTAAAATTAAATTACAATTAAACAAACTATATTTGTTTTTCTTTGGTTTAGATTTGATTTCATGCCATTCATAAAATTTCTCTATAAATTATTAAACTAAATATTTATATTTATTTTATTTATTATTTATAAAATATTTATTTAATTTAGTTCAATATATATATATATAGTTTTAAATCTAAAATGTGAAATTCAAATCCTGTAAAGGAATACAAATAGTCTGACTTGACTGTTGTTTTGAATTTAGCCGGTCATATTCTTAATACATTTGTTATTATTTACTCAATATATTTTTTAAAAATATATATATATATAATTATTATTCGAAGTATTGTATTTAATTGTTATTTAATTAAAAAAAAAAAAAAACCTTTTCCATTCCATTAGTGACAAAATATTTAATATTTACCACAATAAAAAATTTAATAAATTGATAATAATAGTTAATAATAGTGACTAAACTAATAGTATATTTTAAATTAAAATTAGTTTCATTCACTAAAATAAAAAATATATCAATGGTTGTTATATATAACAAATTCTCCCTCCGTCCAGTTAGAAAGCATGCATATTTCTATTTTGGAACGTCCAATGACAAAGTAATCATTTTATTAAATACTCAATTTTTTCCACAAATACTCATACTTTGCATCACATCATTACTTTTATACCACAAAAGTAAGGGCAAAAATATCATTTTACTACTTTTACCGACCCACTATAATTAAAATATTATTATTCTTTAATCTCCGCACCAAAAATAATTATATACTTTTAGCTTGGACGGATTGAGTAATATATAGAATTAAATAACAAAGAACAAACAAAATACTCCCTCCGTCCCACATACCATGTCTACATTGTCGTTTCTATCCGTCCCACGTATCATGTCACTTTCTTTTTTGGAAAATAATTATACACTTTAATCTCATTTTAAACTTTTTAATTTATTTTTTAAAATTTTAAACTAATTAGTTATCTTAATTTTAATTTATAATTATTTATATTATATCATAATTATTTTTACTAATATATTTTTAATTATATACTAATTATATGTCTCCTAAAATATCTGTAGCAGACACGGTATGTGAGTAGGATGGAGGAAGAAAAATAGCCAAACCAGTTGATCTGAAATATCTTCCAACATATGTACTCAAATGTTATAAATTATTATTTTTTGTGGCCACAAAATTGACAAAAAAGCACATACAGCAAATAAAAATCTATATCCAAACTACATCTTCTTTATATAGTAGTAACAAATAAATAAGTAAATTAAATTAATTAAATACCTAAATCTTATCCATAATTACACTTACTTCATGTGAAAAAGATTAATCTACTACCAATCCCTACAATTAAACTTTATCCAGATATATTTCAATCTCCAACTCCCAGGACCCGAACTCCCGAAATCTCCACAGCCGCTGAGACCCCTTACTGGACTCACAAAACTCTCGAGTCCCGGCCCTCAATCTTCTCCTACCTCTTCACAGGAAAATTAGTCGTAATCTATGACGGTGATACACGTCATCTGGGCCCACCAATCCAACGCGGTGCTGAGTCACGTGCAGACCACGCCGTTACGGGATTACCGACTCCGTTACCGTTACCGTAATCTCGTAGATTGATACACAAAGATTATACGTACTTTTTAAGAAAGGAAGGTATAAAAGAGAGAAAATTTTCAGGAAAGGACTCGTTGCCTCCGAATTCTCAGGGAAGGACTTTCCGGCGGTTATAAATACGCACATTCTTGTTCTGCATAATGCCAGAATCGATTGAATATTCTTCTTCTTCGTTGTCGTCTCGAGTTCTGCAGATCCGGTGTTTTCCGATACGATGACTATCGCCGTAGAGCAGCCTGGTTTTGGTAAATTTAATGTTGTTTTTTTGTGATGATTTTTGGTTTTTGTAGTTGGTTTGTGGATCGGGTTTGGGTTTATGAATAGCTATGGTTGTTTTGTTTTGTTCTGTTTATTGAGATTGAGGTTATTTTGTTCGATGTTTTTTTAGGGCAGAGGCTTTCGTAATTGAGGTTTTGGTGTAGCTTTCGTTTATTAAGGAGGTGTTGATTTCCTTTATTGTTTGTCCTTTTGCTAATCTTTGTATGGAAATCAGGAGGTGAAGTTGAGGCGAAGGAGATTCCCGGGAATGAAAAGGATTTGGTTTTGGATGGAGGATTTGTGGTGCCCCATGCCAATTCTTTTGGCCATAACTTTAGGTGTTTTTCTACTTTCATAAGTACTTGATAACGTTTCAATTCATTGTGCACTTAGAACTTTGTTAATTATTAGTTATATATATATATATATATCTTATATTAAAGCATCAATAGTCGTTGAATTGGATTTTGGACTGATGATTTATGCACACGGCTGGCTCCTTGATGATTGGAACAGAATTTGTCAGATTACATCCATCCAGAAAAACATAGAACCATGAAATTTTGTTACTGATCTCTTTTCCCTGTCAGTCGTCATATTTGATTCACCCATGATCACGAATTTCCACAATTAATTGCTTTAGGGTCTTTCATAGTCAAGATCAGTATTATGGGATATTTCAATATATGTTATAGTTTAACCTTTAATCAGTTATAGAGTTTGATGATTCCTGCTCCATTCAAGATCCTATTTGCATGAAGACCAATGAACTAGTTTTCAATTAGTTATTTTAATTTTTATTGATTCGCTGGCCAAATCCTTTTTCAAAATTTCTGATTAATTACTTCTGTGATTGCAACACAGGGATTATGATGCTGAAAGTGAAAGGCGGCAAGGTGTTGAAAATTTCTACAGGATCAATCACATTAATCAAACTGTTGATTTTGTAAGTTTTATTTCAGATTATGACATGGTTTCTTTTTATTTCCTTATTTTCCCAAAAAGATTTTAGTGATTGGAAGTGCATGGATTACAGGTGAGGAAAATGAGGGAGGAATATGGGAAACTGGACAAGATCGAAATGAGCATATGGGAATGTTGTGAACTCCTTAACAATGTTGTTGATGAGAGTGATCCTGACTTGGATGAGCCTCAGATCGAGCACTTGCTGCAGACTGCTGAAGCCATCAGGAGAGACTACCCTGATGAGGATTGGCTTCATTTGACTGGCCTCATTCATGGTGTGATTTTTTATTTTTTTATAATTTCTTGATGATCTTGAATAAAACTATCTTGCTAATTAGTAATTACTGTAGTTGTGGTGTATATATTACTATTCTTATGTTTTTAGATTTTTGTTTAGATCTTGGGAAGGTCCTTCTGCATCCAGACTTCGGGGAACTCCCTCAATGGGCTGTTGTAGGTAAGAAAGTTCAGATATACAACACAACTGAATGTTCAGAATTTGTGAGTCAGGTCTGTAATTTATAATGCTTTGCAGGGGACACATATCCTGTTGGATGTGCATTTGATGAATCCATTGTGCATCACAAGGTCTTATTTCTCCCCAAATTTAAAATCCATTTTCTTGACATGATTTTAGGTATACGTTCTGAAGCTCATTATAACAAATTGATTTGTTGGTGCAGCATTTCGAAGAGAATCCTGACTACAAAAACCCTGCGCTCAACACAAAATATGGAATTTATTCAGAGGGTTGTGGCCTTGACAAGGTGCTCATGTCATGGGGGCACGACGACTATATGTACTTGGTAAATACTACTACATTCGCCAAACTTAATTCTACATTTTAAAATCATAAAGATGTAATACAAAGACACTCTAGGTTGCCAAGGAGAACAAGACAACACTGCCTTCAGCTGGGCTTTTCATCATCAGATACCACTCTTTTTATGGTAACTCCAAACACACATACTCTTTTTATGGTAACTCCAAACACACATACATATAATATATATATATATTATGAACACATTACATTTGCAGCATTACACAAGGCAGGAGCATACAAACATTTGATGAATGATCAGGACAAAATGGATCTCAAGTGGCTTCAGATCTTCAAGTAAATACAGTCACTTTCTGTGTTTAAAAATTTTCGCCGAAACTCAAATTCATATGCATGTGTGTGTTTAATTATTGATAAAAATCTGGAATGTGCAGCAAGTATGATTTGTATAGCAAGAGCAAGGTGAGGATTGATGTGGAGAAAGTGAAGCCATATTACCTTTCCCTGATTGACAAGGTAACAAAAGTTTGAAGCAATGACACAAAATTCAATTATCAATTAATTAATTAATTCATTCCAAAAAATAAATTAATTATTTTGTATGGGTGCAGTATTTTCCTGGAAAGCTGAGGTGGTGAGGGAGTCTTTGAAAATGGCAGTGCTGGAAAGAAAGGAAGTTGTGTAGGATCTTGGATGAGTGAGGGGCAATGTTGCATAGATATATATATATATATATGGATTTCTACTATTAAATAATAATAATAATAATAATAATAATAGCTGCTACAGTTAGTGTTACTGTTGTGGTTGTGTTGTAGTTGTATTGATTTCTGGCATTTAATTTGTTTGTTGTTTAAATGGTGTTGTCATGTGTAGCGCAGAGGTGAGTGGTTAATGTGGATTGGATATATATATATATATATATATTTATTTATTGTGTGGTGAACTTAAAAAAAAAGAAATTGGTGAATGAATATTGAATAGTGTTGAGTGTATATTATATTATGATATGTAATATAATAATATTTAGGTAAAATTTGGTTTCGTAAAATGTCTGTATTTTAAAAATTGCATGATACTACGTTGTATGAAATCCTACCACCATAAAACTTTTCTCGTGAAGATGATTTTCTATCTATATATTTTGCATGGTAAGGGGATTTTATGCAATATTTTTTAAAATATAAGTGAGCGTAGGGATTTTTTAAAGTAAAATGGGGATTTATGCTGAGTATCGAAACCACAAAGTGGTTACATGCAATATTTTTTAAAGTGTAAGGGGACGTCACGCAATTTTTAATGTAAAGGAGAATTTACGCTGACTTTTGAAATCACAAGGGAGTAATGGACAATTTTGCCTAATATTTATCGAAAATGTGGTCCTTGTTTGAGTTAGCAAAAATCCTACACTAATTTGCGCTCAAATTTTGTCAATGCCTTTTTGGTTGAATATATTTTATTTTTTTATAGAGCTTGGGAACCGCAGCCGTACTAGTTGAATCATGACTTGAAGGTGTGAAATCATGATTTTACGACTATTTCTTACTTACACCACTTGTTTATTTGATGAATGTATTTTTTTATATTAAATATAAATAATTGTTCATATAAAATTAGTTTGGTGAACAAACCGTTAAGAGTTTTAACATTTTTTGCTATAAATTTTTTACATTTTTTAAAATGTATTAATATTATTCCATCCATTAGATTTTTAATAAAATATATTTTTTTGTCATTCAAAGTATGTTTATTTTTTTGAAAAAAAAAATTATACTATCATCTTTGTATTTTTTTTATTATAGAAGAAAAAGATAACTATTATTATTTTTTTAAAAATATTATTTAAATTAAAATCTAAATCAAACAAATCTCAACCTTCAAGATAAATGTTGCATTATTAATAATAATAATAATAATAATAATGGTAAATTAATATTTTATTTATTATGTGAAATTCGGACACTGTTTATCCGACAGCAGCACGGCGTGGATTCCAGGCTGGAGGAGCCGATCTGAGAACGACGGCAAGCCTCGGCTTCAGGTCATTCTATTAAATTCGAGTATATAATAATAATAATAATAATAATAATAATAATAATAATAATAATAATTTCTAAAATATTTTTTATAGTTTGGGGTCCGTTTAAGTTATATAAAATTAATCAGAAAAACGTGCTAACTATTGATGAGCAAAAATTAAAAATATTCTAATTCAACTTCTTTTTTTTAGTCCAATTCAAAAAAGTCCATCAACTTAATAGAACTAAAAATGAAAATTTGAATTTGAATGGAGGTGGACTTATCACCGTGAAGTCATGGCCTAATGTGACTTGTTTGTCGAGCCTAGTTCGCAGGGTATTAGGTTTGACCAGGATTTACGGGTGCATATTTTCGGGTAGCGACTGCAGATTCTCATGTAAAAAAAAAGAGACTATTTTATACTTTTGCTCTCTATTGATTGTGAACATATTAAATTATTTTTAATCAGAGTCGACGATTAGAATTATTAATTATAATATAACTAATTAATTATAATATAATAAGAGAATATTTATATTATAATGTGTTAATAGTTAAATTACATAAAATGGAACAGTAGGTTGTTGAATATATCATTATCATCCAATGGGTGGATGCTTTTCATTTAGTTGAGATTTTGTATTAGTCTTATCTGTCATTGACTTTGCACTCTCATATATACATAATAATAATAATAATAATAATATAAATTATTATATAGTCTCTCCTTCCCATGTACGGTGTCTGCTACACTGTAAATACGGTAGTTTTAGTTTAGGAGGGGTGTAATTAGTATATAATTAAGAATGTATTAGTGAAAATAATTATCTTATAATATAAATAATTATAAATTAAGATTAAGATAACTAATTAGTTTAATTAAAATTTTAAAAAAATAAAATTAATAAGTTTAAAATGAGATTAAAGTGTGTAATTATTTTTCAAAAAAGAAAAGTGACATGGTACATGGGACGGACATAAACGGCAATGTGAATTTGGTATACTGGACGGAGGGAGTAATATATATAGTTGTCATTGACCCAAGTCAATAATAATAATAATAATAATAATAATAATAGAAATATGGTTAAATGGGTGATTTAGGGTAACACCACCGACAGAAGGCAAAAAAAATAAAATAAAATAAAATAAATAAAATAAAATGGCTAGGAATTCATATGTCACAAAAAGAATAGATTTAATTTATTCATTAATGTAATTATGTGCATTAATGATTAATTAAATAGACAGTGTTTAATTAATTAGAAAATTAAATATAAGTTGCATTCTCTAGTTTAATGGCCCACGATTAGACTGCCATTAATTCCCAATTAATTAATTACAGCTCAAAACCTCCATATAAATATACTTAAATTTTTACTCTATAATGACCTAAAATTAAAAAATAAAAATAAACGTATTAAAAAAAATGAAAATAAAAAGGATATTGATCGGTGTTAATGAGTACTTTTTTTATATAATTAATGACATTTCATATATTAAACAATTAAAATATTGAATTTAATGGATATAAAAAGTACATAATGATATAATGACATTTTGCCTATACAAAATAAGCAAAGAATATAGATCGATGCTTTATTGAATTTGATTTTGAACAACATAAGATTCATGTTTCCACGATACGATTTGTATTACAATTTTTCGGAAATATTACATTTATACTTTCTATTAAAAATATATTCCCTCTGTGATAAAATATATTTGTACCGGTTTTTTTAAATAATTATTTTTTTGTTATGAATTGACAAATTTATTCAGATTAAAAGTAATAATAGAATAAAGAGTAAAAAAGTAAAATTTATGTTTAAAAAAAAAACAATAGTTATTCGATGTCCCAAATAAAAAAAATAGGACATTAGTTTGTGGACGGAGAGAGCACTGGTATTAACATGTTCAACTTTGAAAACAATTGATTTTGTGCATATTATTAAAGATGTGAGTTTTTAATTTTAATTTTAAATAAAACATAAGTTTAGGATGCAATAGTTACAAAAAATAAATAAATATATATTATAATGATATTCTTAATGAAAAAAAAATGCTATTATTATAAAGCAAACAGAATTTTTTTTTTTTTAATTTTATTTTTTCTGCAGCAGCTAATATAACTAATTAATTAAGATCAAATCAATGCAATTAGTGCAATAATGCAAATTTAAATTAATATCGTCATCATTTATTATTACATCACCTTGATTACCAGTTAAATCCCTCTTAACCTACGAGGACAACAACCTAATCTAGTATTTATTTATTTATTATTATTCTTTTTATTAAAAAAGAAAACTCTTTTATATTTTGATGGTTTGAAAATTTAATATTTTTATAATAATAAAAAAATTATATTTAATATTATATTTTAAAAATAAAGAATATATATATATATAGTATTAATTAAAAATAAATCTTGAGTGTATACAAACAAAGACTTTGTTTACATGTGAATTTTTAGTCATGATTTTATTATTTCAATTTTTTTTTTCTCTAAAAACATCAAATCAAATACTCAATTTTCATTTATTTTATTACAGTAAAATATAATTTTACATTCAAAAGCATCGCATCAATACATATTTATATCAAATCAAACAACTATTTTAATTTAAAATTTTACTATTCAAATTTGTTGGAACCCAATTTATTTTGGTATATGAGCTTCCTACTTTCATACTGCTGCTTTTTATAGTTTTCATTTCGAATAACTTGTCTTATTAACTTGTCCCAGTATAGTGATCAATTGAATAATAGTTATATTGTATTAAAATATTATTGTAGTCCCAATATATATAAAAATAAAATTGATTTAGTAATGAATACATAAGGTGATCGGGTCGATTGTAGATATTTATTAATTTATGTTTATGGTTGACGTTTTTTTGTCAAGAATTTATTTCTGTCACATGCACTGCATTACTACTCTCATCTTCTTCCTCATCTAACTATATATATATATATATATATATAATTGTGTGTGGCCGCAGCGCAGACCAATGCATTGCATTAATTTTTCTGTATCTATCTATCTATCTATCTATGTGTCCCCAACTACCCTTAATTTTGCTGTGTGTGAGTGATATGTATATATATATATATATATTTTTTATAATGAATGAAATTGCAGTCGCTACCCGAAAATGCGCAGTGGGTAACCTCTGATCGAATTTAATATCCTTTAAACTAGGTCGAACGAACAGGCGATCTGAAGTGAGAATGATTTAAACCTATAATCTCACGGTCAAAAGTTTAACCCCACGCCACCAAATATATATGTATTAAGAGAGAGGGGGGGGGGGGGGGGGGAGGGGGGTGTTGTAAATGCAGCAGCAGATGTAGCTTTGGAGCAGATCAGTGCATTAATGTCCATCCCAACGCTCTTCCTCCCTTATTCAATGTCATCACTCAACCTATCTGTTTCCATTTCGATTTCGATTTGATAATCATATAACAACAATTAGTTTAATTTCAAGGTTAAAAAGTTATATATTTCAATAAATTTTTACTCAAGTAAAATAATATATTTAAATAAGTTTTTTCTTTTTACTTTTATAAGTTCAATAAAAACTTGAGTAGGGCAGGGCATTCATCATTCCACTCATCTTAAATAATAAGAATATATACATGCAATCTAGTTAAGGATTAAATTATTTCAGTCAGTACATAAAAATACTATAAAATAACATATTGTATAAAATATTAATATATATTTTATTTGTGTAGTATAAATATATATTAGCTATTAGTAATGTAACAATCGCTCATGTATATAACACAAATTCAAATACAAGTTATAAAATTATTAAATAAGAAAAGGGGGTACATATATATATTATTATAGGGTGTGTTTAGTTTTGGATTATAAACTAAAAAAATCACTATTCAAACTTATATGGTCATAATAAAAATATATTTTTTTACAAAATATATATCAAAATACAATTTTAAAACATATTTTAAATATCAAGTCATAGCCAAATAAACTCATACCATCACCTAAATAAAAAATTAGCACAACATTGTAGAGGAATTTGATATAATATTTTATGATGAAAAAATAATATAAAAAAAAAAAAAAAGTAGTAAGCAAATAAAAAATTGCCAAAACTTACTTAACTCGATAATCTTTAACTTATCTTTATTTTATTTTAGTAACTTTGAACCTGCAATCACTATTTTGCAAATGGGCAAGGGTGTCTTTGTTCGGAGGTTTGGATTAGGATTTGAATATTAAAAATTTTGAATGTAAATAGTTATATGATGCCATATAAATAGGTTTGATGTAATGTTTTGAATGTAATATTAAATTTCAATGTAATATATAAATTAAAAAATTAAAAAAAAAAAAGTCACAGTAAATTTATCTTAGAAGTGGGGGGTGGGTGGGTCACTATATTAATAACCTATATATCTTCATCTTCCTCTACATATACACATACCTAATTACCACTCCATTATACAATCCAAGTTACCTCTCCAACAGGGACTTCAATTAATTCCAATTCCAATATATATATATATATATATATCTTCCAAACCCCAAACCATAATTAGATCATTTTCATAAGTTCGGATATTATCAAGGATCGTCCAAACATTAATCATGGGACACCTAATTCTTGCAATGGCAATGGCAATGGCAATGGTGGCCCTGTGGTGGAGCTCCGCCGCAGCTCAGTCCACAGTGACCTTGGTCCCGGCCATCGTCACATTCGGCGACTCCGTTGTCGACATCGGCAACAACGACTACATCCCGACCGTGTTCAAGGCCAATTATCCGCCCTACGGTCGCGACTTCCGCAACCAAGAGGCCACCGGAAGATTCTGTAATGGCAAATTAGCCACTGATATTACAGGTTTGTTTAGACAGAGCTTTTTGAATTTTTTTTATAACAAATAAATATTTGATGCAATATTTTTTAAAATAATAATATATTTTTAACTTTAATTATGTAATGGCAGCTGAAACTCTCGGATTCACGAGCTACGCGCCGGCGTATCTCAGCCCTCAGGCCACCGGAAAGAACCTTCTCCTTGGAGCTAATTTCGCCTCCGCCGGCTCCGGTTACGACGACCACACCGCGCTTCTTAGTGTACGTTAAATGTCGTAAATTTATGTTTTTTTGGTTTTGTTCTTTTACTTAAAATTTTTTAACATATTTTTCTAAAAAAATATTAATATATTATACATATTTATTATTTTTATATTATCTACGCAATTCTCTATATTTGGCATCATAAAAATATTTTCAAATCAAAACACAAACTAAACACCCTATATTTTTCGCAAAAAATTTGATAAAAACTAAAATATCCGAACCACAAAAAAAGGCATGTACATTTTTAGTCTATTAATTATTTCTATATAAAAACGTTTTGTTAATTAATGTTACCTCCATAATTTTATATTTTTTTGGGTTACATTTTCTATGTTACTTTGAATGAATATAATTATATGGGAGTATTTTTTTTTTTAATTTTGTTATTATTATTTTCTTTTTCACTATAAATAGTAATTGTGAACTATAAAAATTTACATGTATTAATTTTATCATTAATTATAAAATATATATATAAATAGTATTAGAATATCTATTTTTATTTATTTTAAATATTCTATAACAAACTAATAATTAATTGAAAACATAGCTTGTGGAAATAACAAAAAATAGAAAAATAAATACAAAACTGGGTATACATTAACACAAGTAATAATAATTATATAATTAATTGAATTTGGGGTTGCACGTGCAGCACGTGATTCCATTATCACAGCAGCTTCAGTACTACAAAGAGTATCAGGGAAAGCTTGCGAAGGTCGCCGGAAGTTCTCAGGCGGCGGCGACGCTAATTAAGGATGCGCTCTACCTGGTCTCCGCCGGCAGCAGCGACTACGTCCAGAATTACTACGTCAATCCGTTCATCAACAAGGCCTACACTACCGATCAGTACTCTTCTTACCTCGTCGGAATATTCTCCAATTTCATCAAGGTACTGTATAAAATCAATTACCAAATCGAAATCGAAACTGAAATTGAAATTGAAATTGGAACTGGAATTGCATCGATTGTAGATAATCGATTTAATTTGGCGTTGGTTGAGCAGAGCCTGCACGGTTTGGGGGCGAGGAGGATCGGCGTGACGTCGCTGCCGCCGCTGGGGTGCGTGCCGGCGGTACGGACACTGTTCGGATTCCATGACCGGGGATGCGTCTCGAGGATCAACACGGACGCACAGCAATTCAATAAGAAGCTCAACACGGCCGTGTCGCAGCTGCAGAAGCAGCTCCCTGACCTCAAGATCGTCGTCTTTGACGTCTTCAAACCCCTCTACGACATCGTCGCCAATCCTGCTAAAAATGGTATAATTGCACCTCTTTTTATTTATTTAATTATTATTTAAGAAATATTATAGATAATTATATAAATAGTACTATCTCCATGTCCATCCAAATTAATTTTTTTTTAAAAAAAAATAATAACTCTCAACTATATATCAAAATATTTTATTTTTTTATTTTACACATTATTTTCAAAGATAAAATCAGACATTATATTACTTTATTTCATTATACATATAATATTAATTTACCTTAATCTGCATGTAAAAATCAAATAAAAAATATATTGGTGGACTAAGAAAATATAATAATCATGTGAATGATATAATTTAATACTTTCAATTGAACATGTGATCAGAGTGTTAAAATAATATTATCTACTATGGTACAATTATTTCAAATTTTGATTTTGTTTTTTCGACTATGAAATTTAATTCAAATTAAATTCAAAATTTATGCAAGCAATTTTATTTTTCCCCTCCCGCCACCCAATAATAATAATAAAAAAAAAAACTGTTGTCGTAATATTTAAATGACTAAAATGATAACTAAAAAAACATTTTTTTTTTACATATATCGATTAATTTTGACATATATATATGTATATATATATATATATCTTCAGGGTTCAAGGAGGCGACGAGAGGGTGCTGCGGGACAGGGAGAGTCGAGACAACCTCGTTGCTATGCAATCCAAAGTCGATCGGGACTTGTAATAATGCGTCCGAGTACGTGTTTTGGGACAGCGTCCATCCCTCGCAGGCTGCAAATCAGATCCTCGCCGACAGCTTGATTGCTGCCGGCATCGGCCTCATTGCATGAACGAATTATAGGCCGGGCCGGGTGACAATGTCATGGTCTGATGCATGTATATGCAGCCAGTTATCTTCTTCTTTTTTTTTTTTTTTTTTTTCATATGTGAAATTTACAGTACAATCGATTGATCGATCATCTTTGGTTCTATCTTTTGGTTTGTCGCATTTTATTTTGTTTTGATCCTTCAATTTGTTGTCATGAATTAGTACTTTTGATGATGATAAATGATATGAGTACACATGTTGTCCCTTAGCACAAATCTTAATTAGTTCTATTTATACAAATTTTCAATTTTTAAATGGACTGAAAATAGTCAATTTTATTTAAAATTATACAATGTAGAAAAAAATAAATAAATAAATAAAAATTCAAAACTACATAAAGTCTAATGTCCGAATATAAAGTTACAAAATAATTCCGCTACATATCTTAGATTTGTGTTGATCCGGCCAAGTCAGTATGTTAATACATATCTCAATATCAGTATATATTGCGTTATAAGATAATATAATTTTTTTATTTTTTTTTAAACAAATTTATTACTTGCAATAGTTATTTTTATTTAAAAGATTATATGCAAAACCGATTTTTTATAGATAAATATTAAAATTGAAAATTCACAAATATAATGTTAATTTTTTTATCGGAAAAATAAACATGTTACTTTCGTTTATTTAAGTATAATAAGGTGAGGCATGAAAGTGAGGGACGTGATTGTCACGTACTTACTTAAAATATAATGTCCTATAAACTATAGTCATTTTCATAAAAGATTTTATATTCTTTCGATCCCAATTAATAATTTAAATTTGATATTGATTTCAACCTTTTTTTATAAAAATAATATTTTTATTAAAAACTATATAAGATTATTAGTATTAATTTTAAATTAAAATAATAAAAAAAACAAGCCCTTATTTGATAGTATTTGCATCACACATTCACACCCATTTTTATATTTTAATTTTTTACCAATCACATGATACACGTACGATTCGTATCTTTCGATCTTCACAAAATCAACACCAATAATATAATATATTAAAAAAGAAATCATTCTTACAGATTTTGCAAAATCCTGTCTGTGACAGTGTGACACTCTAATATTATAAAAATAATAATAATAATATTTTTCAATTAAAATATAAGTGCAGTTATATCATGTGCAAATTTTATATAGTCCCAAACCGAAGGGCAAGACCGTAATTTCCTTAAAATAAGAAGGGCACATCCGTCAATCCGCGTCTATATAAACGGCCCTCAATCCTCCCTCAAAAAACCCACCAATCAAAATGAAGCTAGTAATCCTCCTCATTTCCGCAACGGCTCTCCTCGCCGCGAACGCCCGACCCGACCCGGATTTCAACCCGATCCGGCTCCGGAGCGAGGGTCGGGTCGGAGCCTTCGTCAACAACTGCGAGAGCTGGCGGTTGGCGTCGGAGGTGAACAATTTCCGAAGCTGGAAGGTGGTCCCGGAGCAGTGCGTGGACTACGTGAAAAGCTACATGACGGTGGAGGTCGGAATCCAGACACAGTACGAATACGACGTCGGCACGGTGGTGCTGGAGGCGATTGAGTATCTGAACACGGTGTCGCCGGCGAAGGGGAAGAATGACACGTGGCTGTTCGATCTAACCGACACGTTGCTCTCCAGTCTTCCGTACTATAGCCGGCCCGGTGCCAATTACGGGTCTGTGCATACGACGTCGTTTTAATCTTCACCTATTACTATTTCTCTTTTATGATTTAAAATTATAATTAAAAAAATGTTTTACAAAATCCCTTTAAAAATTTGATGCATGGAATTCTATATAAAATTTTCTAAAACACACAAAATTTCTTATAATATTTTGACTTATAAAAGAATATAGTGTAAATTTTATAAAATGAACGATTCTCTTATATTTTAAAAAATATTTCACATAATTTATTTAAACATGAAAGAGTTTTCGGCAATTTCTAAGAGTTTTCGGCAATTTCTATGAATTATATGTAATATTTTTTAAAATACCAAAAAATTTGGTATAATTTATTACTTACAAGAAAGAACAGCGCTTATTTTACAAAATTTGAGTAAATTATAATTAATTTTTTCTATAAATAAAAATTATATATCAATGGACTTGGGCCGGGCCGATCCATTTGGACAATCTAACGGCAAGTGTGGAATTAATTAACTTAACGGTATTTATAATGTGCAGGGGAAATCCGTTCAATGAAACGGCGTTCAACGAATACATTAAGGAAGGGAACTCACCGTTGGTGCCCAACGTTAACTATTTGTACAAAGACGCGCAAGAGAAGGGGTTCAAAATCGTCATCCTCTCGGGGATTAGCGAGGATCTAAGACCCGTCGTAGAAGCCAATTTGAATAAAGTTGGATTCGCAAAATGGGATAAGCTCATCCTCAAGTATGCATTCTACATGTGTTTCGGTTTTCAAAGTTTATTTGAATCTGTCTATTAAATGATCTGAACAGTTTAAGCTGTTATGGATATATATATCATTAATTTATTTATCTATATACGGAAGGTAACCGTAGACATATGGCGGACGAGGACAGTGGAACTCGAACTCGAGATATATGTCTTTGATATCATATTATGATATCAGTTGACTCCCGTGTGTAGATAAACAAATTAATGATAGGTATTACTAGCAACTTAAGTTTCAAGGTGAGACGGTCATTTCCATAATTTAATACTGTTTAAAGTCGTCATTGACTTTAGAAAAATTCTGATAAATATAGTGCACACTCGAACAATAACCGTAATAATTTGAATGAACATATGATAATTGATTAGGTACAAGCCGGGAATGCCGACGAAGGATTTCAAAGCAAGCGAGCGAGCACAACTTAAGAAAGACGGGTTCAAAGTGATCGGGAATGTTGGAGATCAATGGAGCGATTTGCTAACGGGGACAAACGCCGGGAAGCGAGCATTCAAGATCCCAAATGCTTTATACTACTCGTAGTGAGACGACGGCGACGGCGGTGGCGGTTTCGAGCCGGACCGGCCACATTCCGGTCGACCGGCCGGTTTGTGATCTTTGTTGTTGAAGTGTTAATTATGTTATGATATGAATAAGGTGTAAGTGCATGGACTGCAGGATAATAAATTTCAGTGGAGCACGTGCCTGCCTATTAACAAATTCAGGGCCCATTTGGTTATTATTATTAGTTATTTAATTTATTTTCTCGATTCAAACGAATGGATAAGATCAATTAATAACGAGTTCGGAATTGTATACAAACTACATAATTTATAAAAAAAAATTAAAAAAAAAAACCATTTAAAAAATAATGACACATTCCTACGTTATTAAAATAAAATAAGGATTATTTAGCTTGTATTACAAATTTTCTGTAAAGTATTTTTTAATAATCATATAAGTACTTTTTTGTTTTTGTCACAGATTTTTTTTTTTTTTTTTTTTTTTTATCGGTCGATGACTCGTTTCTATTTTTTTTAAGTGAATTTATTTATTTTAAATATATTTAATAAATATTTCGTCTCATATCTATCTATCTGTATTAGATGTAGTATAAATAAATATAAAATGACCAAACTAACCTTATTAATATTGTATAATATAAAAGTAATGACATGTTGTAAATTAGAAAGGTATTTGTAATATTAGATAAATAGTACAGTTTACTAAAAAATAAAATAAAATTTTATTATGGGACTGACAAAAATAGAAAAATAAATAGATTGTTAAGAGAATAAAGGAGAATAAATCAATTTAATTAAATATCTAAATCTCACTATTTCTATTTCTCTTTGATAAACAATTTTTTTTATTTATGTTTAAAAAATTTATTTTTATAAAATTAGTTTTAATTTAATTATAATATTTTTTTTATTTGTATATATAAAATTTTACTATTATCTACAAAGATGATATACATATTGTATATATTTTATTGAGATATTGCTAAAAATATTAAAAATACTAACAATAATACTTATATAAAATATAATAAAATAATATTATCAATTATTATTAATAAGTTACTAATGTATAGTATCTAAAATACGGTCTCTTTAACAAAATTGATCTGATCAGAAACGAAGGAAGTAATTTTTTATGTTGAAAATTAATAGTATTATGTGTGGATTATATTATGTGTACTATAATTCATGTATTGTATATATGGCCTAAACTGTTTTTTCAGTTTCGTAACTGACCCCTTATCATTTTAGTCCAGTAAGTGGAGCATGTCGCAAATTATATTCATAAATGGAAATTTTAGTTGTTTTAGTCCTCCGACGCCGGGTCTCGCCCGCATGGCTCGTCGGAAGCCTCGTGTCCGCCAGGTCAGTAATACCTTGGGACACTTGGATTTTTAATTTTTTTTTAATTTTTTTTCAATTGGACTAATTAAAAAAATTAAAAAATACAAATAAAATTAAAAATAAGTTTTTTTTTTTTAAAAAAAAAAATACACGTGTCTGCCAGTGTCGCTGACCTGGCGGACGCGTGGCCTCCGGCGAGTTACGTGGGCGTGTTCGGTGCCGAAGGACTAAAACAACGAAAATTTTTTACTTATTGAACCAGTTTGCGACAGCCTCCACTTACGGGACTAAAATGATAAGGGGGTCATTTATGAGACTAAAAAAACAGTTCACCCATATATATTATGTAAGTATAAAAATTGTATTTTTTTAACTATTATATAGCCGGATGTCTTTTATTACGTGCAATGTTATAGTTATTATACTGAATTTTATTAAATGTCAATATATGTTTGAAATTTTAATCAATTAATACTATGCTGGTACCGGAGGAAATGTTCATTTGAATTTTTATAATAAATTAAAAAAATAATATTATTATATTAGTTTATAAAATATGTAAAATAATTTTAATTTTTTTAATTTTTTTTTTATTTTATGTATATATGTAATAATTTTTTGTAATTTAAATAAAAATTTAACATATTTTTATATTAATATATAATTATTTTTATTATAATAAAAAATAATATTTTAAGTAAAACTAAAAAAAGTGATAACTAAATACTTTTTGTTGAAATAAAAGAAATACTACTGCATCAGTTTCATAAGAAGACTATTATAAGTTGTTTATGTGTTGATTTTCAAAATTAATCATTATATTAATACGTGGTACAAATAAATAAAATAACAAAATATTTGTATTAATCCATTATAATACAAATATAATAATATTTATGAAATAAATTATACTAATATAATAATATTTTTAGTGTTAAATATAATAATTAAAAAATAATATTAACTTTTTAAAGAAAAAAAATCAATCTTCATAATTCTTTTATAATATTATAAAAAAAGAAAAAAAAATCAAATTAACCACGTGGGATCTAATGATTTGATTTGATTTTATTTCTGTTTCTAATAAATCTTTTAATAAAGTCCTCACATTTCTTATCTCTTCCCGCTACGACCGTACAATAAAACTTTGTCCATTTCTGCCACGTCCTTACTGCAGTATTATCCTCTCTCGGTGCCATTTCTTATATCCATTTTTTCATTTTCATATGGCCCCATTTATTTTTATTATTTTTTTATTTTGAAAAAAATTATACACTCTAATTTTATTTTAAAAATTTTAATTTATAATTTTTAAAATTTTAATTATACTAATCAGTTATCTTAATTTTAATCTATAATTATTTTCACTAATATTATTACAAGAAAATATTATTTTTGTAACAAATTTTTTTCGTTCCTAAATCTACTATTGCCATTACTAATGACATTAGAAACGGAATCAGTGATAAAATTACGTTAGTTACGTAAACTTTAGAAACGAAATTCCTTTACAAATATACTATTTTTTTTTTGTAATGTACATTTTAATTATTTATTAATTATAATCCTCTTAAATTCTCATTTCTACGGTAAAATGGACAACATATCAAGAACGAAGGGAGTAGTATTGTTCGTCCATCAGTATTATTTTTTATTTTCGTTTGTTCCAAAATAAAGTTACTAGTATTTTCTAATTTAGTAATTGTCCTACTTACATAACATTATAAATATCTTTCCAACTTATACTATATTACAAAAATATCATTAGTTTTATATTATATAATACTAATAAGAGTATTTTTATTTTTTTCACTGTAACCAAATATAATACTAGTATTAAAAAATCTACATGTAAAAAATAAACGATAATCTTTCTACAGGACGGAGGGAACATTTTTTTTCTTGTATAACTAGTCATAAATTTTTAGTACGTGTTCATTTAGCGTTTTTAGAATAATTGATTTTTTTTTTTTTTTTTTGTAGTATGAGAAAGATTTAGAAAAAAAAAATTGTTTTATTTAATTTATTTATTTTTATGATTTTAAAAATTAGATTATTTCAATTTTAAAAAATCCAATTTAATTTATTATGTTAGTATTTATTTTTTATGATTTTTTAAAATAATTATACTAAAATATGACCTTACAAAAGAATGTATATAATTTATAACTTTTTTTTAAAAAAATTATCAAAAATACTTTTTAATAAATTCTAACTAGGTAAAAGTTTCTTTTAGCCGATCAATCATTTATTTTTATTTGATACATCCCATAGCTATATATTTTTTATATTTTTCAATTGAATTATATATTTTTTAAATAAAAAATAAATTCTTTTTTTTTTTGCAACTCTATTCTCTATTGATATTTCTCTGCAATTATATTTTTTATACCAAAAATCTCTTTTAGTGTCTCCGTCCGAATTATGTGTATTCATTTGAGTTTTGGACGTAGACATAGATATATTAGTATTATAAAGTAATAATACAATAAAACAAAAAATAATTTTGTTATTAAAGTAATTTATCTTTTAATAACATTGTTTGTAAAATTGTATAAGGTATAAGGATCTGTTTGGTTGATGTCTTCCAGCGAGTTAATATTATGTTTTCAACTTTTTTTAAAAAAAATGTATTTCCTACGTCCCATAACAAAGTATCAATTTTTTCATTTTAGTCCGTCCCATAATAAAGTATTTGTAAAAAGCAAATAGATATTTAGTTTTGGGACATTTAGTTTCGGGACGGATGGAGTATATATATTAATACATCATATAGAATTTATTCAAAATCTATTCATTTTATCTATTTATTTATGTCTCTCTCTTTAATAAATAAAATTTCTGTTTATTTGTAAAATTAATTTATTTAAATTACAAATATATAATTTTTTATTTATATGTATTATATAAAAAATTATTTCTACAAAATAATAAAATATAAATTTTAATATTTTTAATTTTATATGTATTAAATTATAATCAAATATTAATTATTTTTAATTCAATTTTTAACTAAAAAATTCAACCGTAACCAAACATACTCTAAATTTATTTTTTATTACGATAAATTTGACTATATCAATTTTTATCAAAATTTCTTGACTTATATATATTAGATATTAATTATTTCTGTGACAATTACGTTTTATTTTAAGCAAAAAATAAAAAATAAAAAATTAAATAATAACCACACAAGTACAACAAAAGAAAACATCTAAAACGAAATTGCAATAATTTCACCGACGAAATAAACCACGTGCGCATTAGGAATTGGGCCTGGTGGGCCCACCGACACCCAGTAATTTTCGAAAAAACTCAAGGGCAATTTAGTCAGTCCGTGTCTATAAAAACCCCCCTAACGTCCGTAGGAACACATCATCACAACACAAAATGAGATCATCAACGATCATTCTCATTCTCGCAGCCACACTCCTCCTGGCGGATGCCCGGCCCGACCCGGAATCCAACCCGATCCAGCTCGTGACGGACGGCCGGGTCGGGTCCGTCGTCACCAACTGCCGGAGCTGGCGGTTGGCGTCGGAGGTGAACAACTTCCGGAACTGGCGAGTGGTGCCGGCGCAGTGCGTGAAATACGTTAAAAACTACATCACCGACATCGTCGCCGTCAAGACGCAGTACGAAGCCGACGTCGCCATGGTGGTGGCGGAGGCCGTCGAATTTCTCAACTCCGTCCCGCCGACCGCCGGAAAAAACGACACGTGGCTCTTCGACCTCACCGATACCTTGCTCTCCAGCATCCCTTACTATAGCAGCCCCGACGCCAATTTCGGGTCCGCACGTTCAAAACGACGTCTTTTCACATACATATATATATATATATAAATATAGATACAGAAGTTGCAGAGAAATTAATTAATGGTGTAATTTGCAGAGGGAATGCGTTCAATCGAACGGCGTTCAACGATTACATAAAGGAGGGGAAGATGCCGGCGGTGCCCGCCATTAAAGAGCTGTACAACGAAGCTCAGAAGAAGGGTTTCAAAGTCGTGATTTTGTCGGGAACAAGCGAGGATCTCAGGGAGGTTCTGGAGGCGAATTTGAAGAAAGCAGGATTTGAAAATTGGGAGAAATTCATCCTCAAGTACGTCAAAATCGATAGAAATTACTCAAATTAGGTTAATTTGAAATTAATTGATTTTGTGATCAGGAAAAAGCCATCGATGCCGACGAGGGATTTCAAGGCGAGCGAGAGAGCACAGCTGAAGAAAGACGGGTATAAAGTGATCGGGAACGTTGGGGATCAGTGGATCGATTTGCTGACGGGGAAGAACGCGGGAAAGCGAGCTTTTAAGATTCCGAATGCACTGTATTATGTGAAGTGAGTAGCAGGCGCTGTGAAGACGACGACAGCGACGACGTCGTTTTATCGTCGAGAGGTGTATTTTTATATAATAAGGTGTAATTGCATGTACCGTAGGAATGACGTACCGGAGAGAATTGAAGAGGCATGCAAAGCACCATTGGCATGGCTCTTTGTCGTTCAGTACTTCAATGCTTTTTCTCTTTAATGTCATTATCTTATGATAAAAAGAGTTCAAATATATTTATGTTATATGTATAATTTATTTAATATATGTAAAATTTTATGGATTTTTTACAAATATATATATATTTAATAATTAATAATATTTTCTATTACAACACAGAAATCAAACTTGCCAAATATTATTGGATTTGTGGTATGTTTCATTTTCTCATTTTTCATATTTGTTTTAATAAATACTTTAATTTAGTGTCTAAATGGTGTATTATATCACAATATTAGAAGTAATTTTATTCTTATAGTCATAACCATAGCAAATAATTATTTTTGTTAGAATATATATATATATATATATATTTAGTATTATATTTCTAAAACATCAAAACACAATCAAATAAATTTATTATTTTTAACACTTCTTAAATTCATACAAAAAAATAGTATTGTATCATTTAATTTTTGAATAAAAAACATTCAAATCCAAAATAAATTAGAGGTTCCATTCACATTTATATTTTCTATTTTGTTATTTTTATGAAATATAGTTTTTGATAAAATAAAACATATAAAAAGTATACACATTATTGCCAATGCATTTTTCCGGCAGCTGTCGTATGATTGAAAATTACAATTAATAAAGTAAAACAATAATTTTTTTTTTTTGTTTTTTGTTTTTGTGATTTAAAATTGACTTGAAATGAAGATTGATTAATTTTTATTTAAATAATATTTTAATATAATATTTCATGAAAAAATTAGTATGTTTTTATTAGAATACAAAATAAATTATATTTACGTGATAATCTGTATCCGTTATTTTTCTAATACAATTTTAGTAAAAAAGTCGTGCATTCCATCTCGAATTACCCATCATTTTATTTTATTTTTCAAAATTATCGAATCAAATAATTGATTTTTACTTAATATATTACTCCATCCGAAAAAAAAAATAAATTTAAGTGGGACATATAGAAATAAAAAAAATTGATAAATTAAGTGGGAGAGAGTTGGTATTAAAAAACTAGTATATCATTTAAAACATCACATGCATATATATATTAAATTTTATTTTTATATTCTTTTTAGCCTTAAAATTCAAATTCAGACAAAACAATTCGAATAATAAAAAATGTTGTCGGGATGAAATTTGGGGACCAAATGTACAGACAAAATATGTGGCACAAAGAAAATGCACTGTCTGCTGACGTGTCAGCTGTGTACTGATTCACTATTTATGTACATATTTTTTTAAATTTTGCTGATTCTTTCTATCCCATTTTAGTCGGATTTCATTTCATTTTATTTTTTGGGGAAATATAAAATTTAATACTTTTTTTATCCCAACTAATTTGTCTCATTTAAATTAGAGATAGAATTTTAGATATTGTTTAATTAGTAAGTAATTAAAAAATATATTAATAAAATAAATTATAATTTAATAAAAACAATTATAAATTAAAATTAAAAAGACTAAATAGTTTAATTAAAATAAAAATTTAATTAAACAAAAGATTATAAATTATAATTTTTAAAATGTGATTGAGCGTATTATTATATTTTTTTAAAAAAAAATTGATAAATTATGTGGGACGGAGAAATAATGGACAAATTAAACAGCATTAAAGAAGTATATGATTAGTTCAGGGTGTGTTTGTTTGAAAGACTTTTACTATGTACACAAAATTTTTCTTTCGAAATATTAAATTAAATATATATTTCTTTTTTTAATTTAAAATTTTTTACAATTCAAAATTCGATCCAAACCCCAAACAAATACACCCATAATGTTTGCAGTTATTTTTATTAATATATTTATTAGATATTAATTATTGTGTAATTTAGTCCCGTGTATTATAGAAAGGTGAAAGTATTACTCCCTCCATTCACGAACTAACGTCCTACTTTTTTATTTGGAATATTCAACAATTATTGTCATTCTTTCTATTTTTATATATTAAATTTACTCTTTTGTCCTTACTCTATTTACTCTTTTATTTTCTATACACAATTTATTATATATATATATATATATGATCCCACAGGTAGATAAAAAATATAAGGACGAATTCAATTCTATTTCCCACGTGATCTTATAAGAATTTTCCACTTCAGTTTTAAAATTATGCTATTTCATAAAAAAAGAGAATTTTATTATGATCAAATATCGTTTTTTCCTATCATTGTTTTTGGTATAATTTTATTATTTTCAATATCATAAAAATATATTTAACTCCTTCACATAAGAAAAATATGATTTGTTTTATATTATTGTATTTGATATTAAAAATATTCTTATATTTTATATAAATTATTTATTGTATATCTATTACTCCATCCGTCCACAAACTAATGTCCTACTTTCTTATTTGGGACGTCTAACAACTATTGTATTATTTTCTTTTTTAAACATAAATTTTACATTTCTACCCTCCATTCATTTATTACTTTTAATCTCTACCATACAATTAGGAACAAATTTGCCAATTCATAACAAAAAAGACAATCACCTAAAAAATCGTGCAAATATATTTTAGAATAACAAAAATTGGACGAAAGGGTATAAAAGATAAATAGAAGTATTTATATATATATATTATTTGTACTATTTATTAATATAATATTTAATATTAAAAAATCTATATATAAAAAATCGATATTAATTAATATTAATATACGTTTTATTCAAAATTAAGAATTTAATATAGTAGACAGTGGAAATATAAACCAAATAATCAATTGTGCAGAGAGTTTGGCCTTTTGGGTTTGTTTATCCAATTTTTTTGGATGACACGATTGATAATTGTAGTAATTAGTTTTTTAAATGATTATAAAATTTAGTTTATTATTTCATTTTTTACAAATATCTTGGGTGTGTCCTTTTTTAAAAAAACAAAACAATATATTTTTTCAAAAATAATTAATATATTACACATTTATTATATATATATTTATGTAATATCTTATATCTTACATAAAAATATATCATTTCAAACTATTTTATTAAACAAACACACCCTCTTTATTTTATCATTACATTATTATTTTTACATAAGATATAATGGCAAAATTATATTTATAACTGTCTACTATAATTAAAATACTATTATTTTTAAAATTTTGTGTGGGTACTTAAAATTAATGTAGAAATAATTTATCTTTAATGTAAAAGTAACGATATGATAGTAAAATAAAAATATTTATGAAAATAAATAAATATTTTTTAAAAAATTATTTTGTAATTGAATATTTCAAAATATAAAAATATGAGTATTTTCAAGATGGGAATAAAAATGAGTATGCAATTAAGAAATTTTCTTCAAATTTTTTAAAAGAAATTTCTGCGGGTTGACCCGACCTAAGTTCTACTGTTCAGAGCGGATCCGGGTCGGATCAGAGCCCAAATGGCCCACATTATCTTATTAAAAGTCTCGGCCCAATACAAAATCAAAAGCGTTTTCTTCGCAGCTGTGGTGAACCATAACATTACTGCGCCAATTCTGCGGCGTACGGGCGGAAGGGTATGGCGTTCAGAGGCCGTGGTCGGGGGCGCGGCGGCTTCGGAAGAGGCGGATTTGCGAAGCAAGTTCCCTTCGAGCTTTTTCCGGTAAAATATTACTGGTTTCTGTATCTGTTTCTGCTAATCATTCTGGTATGACTGAGTTGTTGTGCATAATTATTTAGGAAATTGAGGATTTAGGTACTGCTGAATATTCTCAAGACAATTTAGAGTTGATCAGGTGGTCTTCGAATCTGCAGAAGTTTTGTCAGACTTCCTCCCCTTACTATTACGAAGATAGAACCGAACGCCTTCAGAGTAAGTTTTCCCTGCTTTCCGTAATATGCTCAATCATCGTTCGTGTTGTTGATGCTATCCTATAATTTCCACAATTGGAACATCCTTTCCTATTTACAATGGAATTTATGTTTACATAATTGATTCAGTTCGACAAGTGCGTGAACTCATCAAATTGATATATATTTGTTAAATCCAGTGTTCTAGTATGCTTGCAAGATGTGGATTCATGTTTATTTGATAAAATTCTGGATGCAGAGAAGCAAAAGCAAGATATTGAAACGTATTCAAGTAAGAATTTGGGAGCAACTTACAATAGGCCTCCACTATGGGACTTCATTAAACTGGACAACGATCATATGCCGGCTGAATTAGCCCGAGGTTGATCTCCATACATATGGTGGAAATTGTATCACTTTGTTGGTTCATCTTGGTTTTCTTGTTTATGTCTTCCTTTTTCGCTGAATGTAACAGGTGAGAACAAGGGAAAGCGGACTAATAAGAAAGTCCGGTGGAATCCGGAATCAGGTATACCTTGAAGAAATAATTTTATGATTTTAGTGGGGGGGGGGGGGGGGGAAGGAAGAAGAGAGCATTAGCAGAACAATGTAATTTTTCACTGTGATTGTATAAGTTTGTATTTTAAACTGTAAATTTTGTTTGTACAGACTTTCAGAAACTGGATATGTTCGAAAAGCTTGAACAGAAGTTTCAGGTATTTTCTCTGCTTATATATAGTGTAAACATTTATCCTTCGATAATATGATCGACAGTTGAAAAAAATTGCTTTAATGGTTGTTATACTCGTGATTTTGTTATTTGTAGTGTCTACTAATGAATATTTTCCAAATATCTAATACCTTTTGTGAATATGCAGGGCGAAGAAGGAACCGAAAAGAAAGAAGATGAAGAAGAAGAGGACGAAGAAGATGAAGTAAATGAAGAAGATGGAGAGTTTAGCGATGAGGGTGATTACGAACAGGTATTTTTCTCGATATAATACAACCATTTAAATCATACTTAATTTGTTTCTTTCTATTTGTAAAGTGAATGATCCACAGACAGGAATTTGCCATTATCTTGCTCGATATTTGTTATTAATTTCAAGATAAGTAGAGATTCTGCTAATATCCGTCTAATTATACAGGCTGAATATTTCGATGACGATGAAGATGATTACAACATTGCCGATGACAACGATGGTATGCTTTCCTTCCCCCATTAATAACTCCCCATTCACACACACACACATACCGGTCATCATTCTAACTGTGTATCCTCTTTGACCGCTGGCATTGCAGATGAACCAATTTTCTGAGCTTCTGTACACACCTTGATTGTTTTTTGCCTCGAAAATCCTTCGCCAGTTGGTGCCGGTTAGATCAATTTTTGTTAGGTGCACGTTAATAGCAACTGTTTCGTTTTCTTCGTTTCTTGCCACATGATCTGCAGTTTAGACAATTCTGTGTATTCTATAAACATTATATAGAGCAGAAATAAATGAATTTTGATGCTTAGCAAAAGCAAAGCTTTTATAACCATCATCATCACGCACACACATGGAGTCGTCGAGAGATTCTTGACAGGTTTGATGAAATCTTGATTGAAAAGTATCCCTTGGAGAGCAATGATGGCTCTCACTGAACTCCCACATGGAGGGGATGGATTTTGCAACGTGAAGGCCACTCATTCGATCTCGTCACGCCAAATTCAGGTTCAATCATCTATTTAATCCGTTATCCTACGGCGCAATTGCTTAGAACAGTCTCCTGATTGATCGATTTTTCGATGCAAGCAGTGGAATCTTGGAGGTAGAAGGATTGCCTGATTATTCGGTTGATTTCGTCAGCCATGTCGTGGCAGAGTTACATCGACGAGCACTTGATGTGCGATGTGGACAGCGCTCGTCTCACTTCCGCAGCTATCATTGGCCTCGACGGCAATGTTTGGGCTCGGAGCAATTCCTTCCCTCAGGTAAAAGTTTGATTTGAAATTTGGATTATTTCACACCTATCGTTCTATTTACGAATCTCTCAGCTCGTTATTTTTTATTCATTGAATTCCTTAAAAACTTTCTTACAATCGACTAGCCCGCGTTGAAATCTCTTACAAACTGTTGATGTATTAACAGTTGGATTTGAGATTTGGATTATTTCAAAGCTATCGTTCTATTTACGAATCTTGCTCGATATTCTTTATTCATTGGATTCCTTCGAAGTCTCTTACAATCGACTAGCTGGCATTGAAATATCTTACAAACTGTTGATGTATTAACAGTTGGATTTGAAATTAGGATTATTTCAAAGCTATAGTTCTATTTACGAATCTTGCTCGTTATTCTTTATTCATTGAATTCCTTCGAAAGTCTCTTACAATCTACTAGCCGGCATTGAAATCTCTTATAAACTGTTGATGTATTTACAGTTGGATTTGAAATTAGGATTATTTCAAAGCTATCATTCTATTTACGCATCTTGCCCGTTATTCTATACTCATTGAATTCCCTCGAAAGTCTCTTACAATCGACTAGCCAGCATTGAAATCTCTTACAAACTGTTGATGTAGATTTGAGATTTGGATTATTTCAAAGCTATCGTTTCTATTTACACATCTTGCTCGATATTCTTTATCCATTGATTTCCTTTGAAAGTCTCTTACGATGGAATAGCCGGCATTGAAATCTCTTACAAACTGTGTGACATATAACGACAACCTTTGAATGCAGCTCAACCCCGAGGAAATCGCAAACATTGTCAAGGAATTCGACGAGCCCGGATTTCTTGCCCCGACTGGATTGTTCATTGGAGGTGCAAAGTACATGGTCATTCAAGGAGAGCCCGGCGCCGTCATCCGTGGCAAGAAGGTTCGACTGAATTTAATTTGTTAAACGACTATCTCGTCTAAAAAATTAATTAATTATTATATATTCAACCAACGGCTAATTTACATTACATACGAATCTTGGATTAAATTTGTTCACCATTGATGGCAGGGATCGGGCGGTGTGACGTTAAAGAAAACAGGGCAGGCTGTGATATTCGGGATCTACAATGAGCCGATGGCGCCGGGACAGTGCAACATGGTGGTGGAGAAGCTGGGAGACTACCTAATAGATCAGGGGCTGTAGAATATATATATATATATCCGCCATTGTTGCCTGGTATGGTTTGTGTTTTGTGCTTTTTGCAGGGACGACTGGAGACAATAATTCATTAAAAGTTCATGTGGGGGATGGAGATTGCTTTGTCCATAGGATTCTTTCTTTGGTTTGATTTGATTTGATTTGTAATAATGGTTTGTGTTGGTGATATATGGTCTTTGCTTATTCTATAATTTTAAATTTTTTATTGCATACTATATTTGAAAATTAAGCTCAATTAAAATGAAATATTTTGAAGTCAAAACATTGACATTCAAGAACGTAAATATAAACACCCTGTATCTTACAATACCACATAATTTGATTTTTTTTACTATTTAACAAATCAAAATTCATTCATTCATTATATTTTTATTATATTAATAAAAAAAGTTGTCAATTTTTAATTTATTATTTTCATTCAAATTTATTTTTATTAATATAAATACTATCTTTTCTGCTTTAAAGAAATTCTTTTTTATCCCTTTTTTTAAAATTCAGTACCCGACCAAACGAACGGATAGAGTAATAGATGCTAGATATAAATAAATATTGATAAGATATATGGAATATAAAATTAATTTTAATATAATATAACAAATAAAAATAAAAAATAAATTTGTTGATATCTTTTAAAAAAGTTTTTTAATAAAGAATAAAAATATAAAAATTTTGAATTTTTTTTTAAAAAATACACCTAAAAATTACTTCGTCTAAATGCATTTTTATTTATTTTCTCTGCGAGCATCGAGGCGAGGGTAGTTTGGTAAATAGCCAGGGGAAAACCCTAATCTGAGACTTTCTCCTGTGTATAAAAGCCACTCAAAATACTTCTAGAATCATACCGCAGTTTGTGCGACGGCTTCTCGTATCATTCTCTTCTCTTTTCTTCTCTTGCGCTATGTAGCGTGGTAATTTTTTTATTTTTTTTGGTAGATAAACAATGGCAGATGCAGAGATTGTGTGTATCGACGTTGTGCGATTTCGGTCAAAATGCACAATGCTCGAAAGAGTTCTCTGCAATATCAATGTTCTCAAAGGAAGATGGGCAGTTGTATTTCAACTTTTTCATTGAAATCGTTCAACAATCATCTTCCTTACATATTCACTGTTTTATCTTTTTCTTTTTCGTATTGTATTGAATCATGTTCCTTCTGGATGTTTTTTGTTCTTCATACGCGTGGATTTTCAATTTTTTCGGATTATATGTTTGCCTTAAAATTTGAATTAACGCATTTGCTGATCTTGTTTCCGTCTAATAGTTATCAATCTTTTACCTGATTATAAAAATGCTTTGATTGTTGAACTGAATTTAGGCTTCAAAATATTTGGATTCGGTAATTTTGCTAGAAACTGCTAGCGGATCTATTTTCTGCGTATTATTTGCCCCCAAAGTGAAAATGTAGTACGGAGAGCCTTTGTGCGTTAAAATAGGATAAGCTTGGGGGCATAAATGCAATTTTCAAAACCTGGTTGGCTCTTTTCCGTCTTTGGAAAACCTAGGGGATAGATTTGCGATTTTTCTTTATGCGAGCTGTTGGCTTTTTTTCACTTTTGCTTCAAATAAGCATTGGACATTGTGATAATACTGTGGTTATTTTCACTTTCATGCAGCCCATGTGCTGTTGGGCATCTTTAAAATAGTAATTAATTAAATTAATAATAATAATAATTAAAATTGTATAATAATTTTTTTTTGTAAGGATGAAAATAAATTTAATGGATAAATAAAAATAAAAACAAAAGCCATTTTGATTAAAATTGGAGTGCAGAAAATTTTTTTTTTACTACTCTATTAAATATAAATATAATTGCTATGGCTGAAAATTTTTAGTTTTCTAACCTATTCAAAAAAGTATCGGAATTAGTATTGCATTTGATAATAAAACATATTGTTACCATTAAGTTATGTTGTAATTTTGTTATTTGCTTAAAACAGTAATATATGTATATATATATAAATTTTTTAAATTTTTGATATTATCATCAAACGTAATTTTTCAAAATTTTGATATACTATAAGGATATGTTTGTTTGAAAGGCCTTTAACAAAAAGTATTACAATTCATAAAATTTCTTTTCCTCAAAATATAAATCAAATATTTATTTATTTTTTTTATTATATAAAAAAATTAATTTTATATTTAAAATATTATATTTACACTTCACATTATATAATTATTTGAATTAAATTATTTTACTATTTAAATTTAAAATCTAAAATTCAAACCTCTGTACCAATACATCTTTATTGTATATGCTCTCAGTTCTAGGACATGGCATGATCATTCTTATAAGAAAGTCTTTCCCAAAGGGTGTGTTTGTTTGGGGTTGGAATTTTAAATTGGAATTTGAATAGTAAAAGTTCGAATTCGAATAGTTATACGATGCGATATAAATAGATGTTGATATGGTGTTTTGAATGTAAAATTGATTTTTAGTATAATATAAAAAATGAAAATAGGGGTTTGATTTGATATTTTTTTGGGGGAAAAAATGGGAAGAATAGTGGATTAAAAATCTGATCCCCAAACAAATACACCCAAAATGTATTTCAATTTTTGGTCCAGTTCTTCAAATGATCGAGTCAATGCAAAAATCGATATTAGGGTGTATTTGTTTAGGAGGCTTTTTCAAATTCCTACTATTCAACAATTTTTTTTTAATTTAAAAATTCAAAATAAACACCTATATATATTCTTTATTATGTTAAAAATTAATTTTATATTTAAAATATTACACAACATCTATTTATGTCACAGTGTACTGTATTTTTAATTCAAAATTTTTACTATTCAAATTTTAACAAACACATTGTTTGGGGATGAATTTCCAATCTATTATTCATCCTATTTTCTTCTTCTAAAAATATCAAATCAAATACTTATTTTTTTTATTTTTTATATTATACTAAAAATTAATTTTACATTCAAAATATCTTATCAATATTTATTTATATCACATCGTATAACTATTCAAATTCAAAATTTTTACTGCTCAAAATCCAAACCACCAAACAAATACATTAGAGTAATTCTAAGGTAGGTGAGAACAAAAACACATTACCCCTATTTACATAAAATTTTGAAAAATCGTAACATTATTTATCCATAAATAAAAAATTAAATTAAAATTAAAATTCTCTATATATAAATATATATATATATATTCTCAGTCTCATCTCAAAGTACCATTTTCATCCGTCTCATTTCAAAGTATTAATTTTTTATTTTAATAAAAATAATTATAAATTAATACCAAATACCCTTAATTTTCTATTAATTAATAAAATAATATTATTTTTTAATTCAGTACAAAACCCCAAAAGACCCTCTTTTGTACTAGGACTGGGAGTACACAATATATTATGCTTCATTCCCAGAACTATAGTTTAGGCTGGACTTGAAACGATATTTAAAGAATATTTATATTATAGTGGTAGTATGTAAAAAATACGTGTAAAAAACTTTTATGGTAATTGTGAAATAATAATGAAAAAATAAAAATAATTTTATAGTGATATAGTTATTTATGAAAATAAGACTATTATTTTGAAATAGACAAAAATAGTAAATTGAATTATTGTATCGGAACGGATAGAATATTCACTTTTTATTTTAAACTTTTTTTTCTTTAAATTCTTACACAAAAAAAAAAAAAAAAAAAAAAAATGTGGTCAGAATTGTTTAGAAAAATTGTACCCCAAAGACATGTAGAATTTACATTATCAGTCCCTATGTTGTCTCTTTATTTATTGACAACCAAAGTGGATTTCACATTGTTAGGTTACACATTTATTACTTGCTACAATATATATATATCTATATATATTTATAGATATAGATACACGTGTATGTATGTATATGTCGGGGTGGAACTGAATGGATAAGATAGTGACTAGGATATGGATGTGCTTCCCTTTCGAACTTATCTTGTTTCCTTGTGGGGCCCACCTCAAAATAAAAAATAAAAAAAAAGTCAATAATTCATTTTAAACCACGAGAAAATAAAAAATAAAAACAGAAAAGATAATGCAGAATCTCAGGATAAGGCAATTTTTATTTATTTATTTATCTATCTATCTTATATACAGAATCTCGGGATAAGGTAAATTGGCTATGTTTAATTTATAGTACAATACTTTTAGATATTTGGGACTATTTTATTTTATTTTATTTTTTTAAATATTTAATTAGATATATATATATATATATTTATAAAAATACTTTCTCTGGCCAAACAAAAAATATATATTTATTTTTAGTATAAAGTTTAAAGAGTAATATTATTTTAATTATAGTGGATGGGTAAAAATAGTGTTATGATATTTTTGCTCTTACTTTTTTAGTATTGAAGTAATTATGTGATGTAAAATATGGATTTTTGTGAAAAAAAAAATATATATATATATTTAATAAAATAGTTACTTTGTAATTGGACATTCTAAAATAAAAATATGTATCTAAATTTAATACTATTATTTTCAAGTATTCCACTCTAAGTATCTATTTTAGTAAATATTAATTATACATTAACTATTATTATAGTGTTAATTTTTACTTAAATTATAAATATATTACTAAATTTACATATAAAATACAATGAGCAAAAATATAAAAATAATCTTATTTATTTTAATAAAATATTGTTATTATTTTACTAATTAATGGAAATATGAAATATAGTTTTTAACAAATTTGCTCTTGTAATTTATTTTTAGGGGCGTACACATTTCTGATTTGTTAGTTTTTTAAAAATTTAAAAATCAAACTCCAAACAAATACACCTTAGTTTTGTTTTGAATTAGATTTAAATTAATGTTATATAATTCTAAAATAGTCTCTAAAATATTATGCAAAAATATTTTGGAATTTTAATAAAAATAGAAACTTTAATTTTATAGGATAAAAAAATGCAGAAAAAATTATATTTCCTTCGTCCCATAAATATATATCATTTTATTTTTTACACGGAGTTTAAGATATTCTAGTATTATATTGATATATAGTACAAATAAAATAGAAATGATTAAAACAATCTTATTATTATTGTGTGATATAAAAGATATTAATTTTTGTGTAATTTATTATAAATTGTAACAATATTTGTAATGTCAAATCGATAGTACAGTTATTAGAAAGAAAAAAGGATAGTTTGTTATATGACGGACAAAATTAAAAAATGAATAATGAAATGAGAGCATGATAAAATAATAGACAAACAAATCCTCCTGAATTTATTCTCACTTTCATTTTTAGCTCGTCCACTAAATTTATCGTATTATTAATTTTGACAAAGTCAACAAATTAATATTTAATTATTATCATATATTCAACACTTATTTACAACAAATACCACTAACTTTATTACTTCATTCGTCCAATTGAAAGAGTACCATTTTCTATTTTCGTCCGTCTTAAAACAATGTTACAATTTTCTAATTTAGCAATTGTACTATCTATTTAACATAATAAATGTCATTTTAACTTACAATATATTTCACAAATGTCATTACTTTTATATTACACCATACTAATAGAGATATTTTTGTCTTTTTTACTATAGTCCAATATAATACTAATATTAAAAAATTTATATGTAAAACGCAAGCAAACCCTACTCTTCCTATAAATAAAGTGAAGGGGGTACATTATTTTTTCTTATTTATTTTATTTTTTAATTAAATTTTTAAAAATATCTCTAATTATATATTATTTTTTTAATAAAATATTTATTTATTTTTATTGGACGGATGAGTATTAATAGTATAAGTTGTGAAAGAATTTTACGATAAATAAAACATTATTTCAAAATATAATACCCAGTTAGGTTTCACCACAAGCGTGCACCTAGGTCCACGTGGCGCCAAGTCGACCAATACCAAATAGCTTCCCAGGTTTATCCGGTCAAAATTCCCTTCTTGACCGCCACGTGGCGAGCATCTAGCCGTTGGATGCATAGAGATTCTTCCCATCCACCTGAAGGGTAGAGTGTTTGGTGTTGTTTCTGCAGCAAACAACCTAATCCACCCATTCCTATCCCCACTCTCTCTCCTCCCTCTCTCTTTTCTCTCTCTCTCTCTCTCTCTCTCTCTCTCCACACATACACACAATTTTTGTATCTATCTACCTATACATACACATACATACATATATATATATATAAATGTTTGGCATTGTCTTGTCCGAAACTCATTTCCGTTCACTGCAAAAAAAAGGGTTTTAAGTTTTCTCCCAAAATGATCAGATCAGACGCCTGCAAATTACTTCAACATCCATGGCTTCCAGAAGAAGAAGATCTGAAGAAGAAGAAATCATTCCACAATCACGACGACAAATCGTGCTCCTCCTCTTCCTACACTTCATCAATCGGTGAAGAATCCATGGAAGAAGACGACGACGAAGACGACGACGACTCAGTAACCTCTCCACTCAACACACCATCATCGTCGTCGTCTTCCTCGTCTCCATCCTCGTCTCCGTCGTCCCCGTTTTCCTCCGTTACCGGCCGCCGGAATCTCTACGACCTATCGGAAATCATGGCGCAGCTCCCTATCAAGTAAGCCCTAATTTTTACCCCCCAAAAAACCCTAATTTCTTCAAATCAATTTCGTCGACTGAAAAATTAGGGTTTCCTAACTTTAACCCCCCAAAAAGCCCTAATTTCTTCAATTTAATTTCGTCGACTGAAAAATTAGGGTTGCCTAATTTTGACCCCCACAAAAAAACCCTAATTTCTTTAAATTAATTTCGTCCACTGAAAAATTAGGGTTTTTTTTCTGCAGGAGAGGGCTGTCGAAATTTTACGAAGGGAAATCAGAGTCGTTTACGTCACTCTCTAGTGTTACTAGCACTGAAGATCTTGCTAAGAAGAACTCAACAATGGCGGTTCCGTACAGTTGCAGGAGGAATCTGAAGCTGAAAGCTTCTAAGAGCTGTGGGAATGGTTTGAACAGCAGCTACAAAGCCAAGGCTATTATTTCAAAGAGAAATAACAGTAGTATTCATTCTAGGGTTTCTTCTCTATCTTCATTTTCGACCAAAAGAGGAAGCTTTATCATCTCCACCAAACCTCCAATGGTTCCTCCTCTGCACAAGAATTAATTTACAGTGTTTGATTTTACCTAATTTCTTTTCTTGTTTTCCCACATATAGAGAGAGATCTAGAGAGAGAGGGATTTTGTAAAGGAAATTGAAGTTTTGTTCTTTCATTCGGTCAAAGTATGTAAAGTTAGAGAGAGAAAAAGGAATAGATCAAAGATTGAATTTTTTAGCCCACTTTGTATGATTCTTCTTTGAATCATATCTTGGAAGAGATCAGAATGGATGCCAAATCAAGAATTAACAGCAAATTCATGATCAAACAGATTAAATAAATTTCAGATCCTAAAGAACAATCAAATTACCTTAGCTGCAGCAGCAGCCATTGAAGAAGATGATGAAAGAAAGGGGTCTCAGAAAGAACTGAGAATTGATGATCATGGAGACGACGACGACGCCGCCGCTGCCGATCCGCGGCTGCGCAGTCGATTCGATCGCCTGAGGGGCGTCGGCGTCGACCCCTGCTATGTTAGGAAGAGATCAGTTTAGTTTACACAAAAAGAAAGATCACAAAGAGTGATTGAAGATGAACACACCTCTTTCCTTCTTCGATGCATCGAATGCTCGATCGTCGACGTCTGATTCGGAGTCAAAATAGGCTGAGATTGCTGCAGAGAAGTCGGACTGAATTCAGTCCTCCGGAATGTTGTGCTGCTGCCATGGCTTCTCCTTTCTCCAACGACAATTTCGCCAATCAGTTCGACAGTCGGGGCGCGAAGATGATGGTGGATGAGCTCTGCTGGAGCTTCCATGGCAGAATGAAGAAGCGAAGGTCTAGCCAAGAACTCAACTTTCTTCTCCATTGTGTCTGATTGTGGCATTGTGGCTGCCATTGCCACTTTCTTCTTCTTCTTCGTCGACAGTTTCGATTTTCTAGATTTATTTTTAGCTCTGTAAAGGAAACCTGTTGCTGCTAACAGAGATGATCCGGCAAAGGCTCCAACCATAGCTAAGATACTCAATCTCAGTTTCTGCATTTCGCGGTATTCATCCCTCGAATCGCTCGACGTTTCGGCTGTTTCCGGAAGTTCTTCCCATATTTCTTCAACCTCGAAATCCCCTGCTTCGACATTCTCCACCAATCCATTTTCGGCATCAACATCATTGCTTTCGACTGTTATCAACTTCTCGGAAAATACGGGAAGTTCTTCCCATGCCAATCCATTTCCGCCATCAGCATCATTTCCTTCGACTCTTTCTGCAACTGTCGGTTCACTCAAGCCTTCATCAACTGTAAGGTTCGCGACAGTCTCATCGAGCCACTCCAAAAGTTCCTCATTAGCTTCAACCATCTCGTCACTATCGATGCCATAACCTTCGTAAAATTCTGCCCCCACAATCGCCCCATCAACGCTACCTCCCAAGAAATCAACATCCTTCATATTCATACTAATACTCATGAAATCAAGTGATTGTTTCTGAACCATGATATAGCCATCTGTCGAATTCCAAGGGGCTTGTTTGGCCGGCAATGGAGTGTTCATTGGACAAATATACGACATAAAAAACAAACAAGCAATTAACATAAACATATGTTTCAACACTCCCCTGATGCACCATCCCCTCTCCCTCTTAGGCTCTTCTTCCTCATCATCTTCCTCATTAATAATCTCATTCACTTCCTCACCATTTTCACCGATTTTCAGCTCTACTTCGTCACTAACTTCTTTACAGCCTATGATCCTATTCAAGTTCACCTCCTCACTACCTAACCTACTCAGAATCTCGGCACGCCGGTTTGGATTAAACCGAAGATATTTAGGCCGCCTAGGGGAGAGACGACTCAAAGGATCATTCGAAACAACAGCATTCATCTTATCACAAGGCTCAGAGATACAATTTTTCGACGGACAGATAATCGGATCCACACAGCCTTTCTTCTCATTAAAATCAATCATTTCACAATTTTGAGCATCGGATATGACTGAATTACCATTCCTTTCGCCGAGGATTTTCTTTCCTTCAGCTGTTGGTGACGACTTCGATTGTGTGGCGACCATTTTCTTTCGATATGGACTCGAACAGTTTTCGTCGTTCTCCCCAAAACCTAACCAGGTAAGAAACACAAATTGGAAACAATTAAAAACAAGATCAAGATCTGAATCTGCTTTAATTAATTCCTCGCTTATCTTCGAACTGTAGCTGGAAATCACAAAACCATACCTGGGCATGAAATTCTAGGGTTAGCATTGAACTTACCATCCTCCATGTCCTCGCTTCTACAGAAACTCTACGGTTCCACAACCACAATTTCTTCGGCAGCAAAATACAACAATGTTCGCAATTCGGATTTCTGCAAAAGAAATTCGTAATCGAAAGAGAGAAGTACAGTAACCGTTGTGAGAATCAGGATCTTCAAATATATTCAAGGGATTTAAAAGTGACCGTTGGGGTTCAGATTTTGAATTTCATAACCGTTACAAATCTGCAACAAACACGACGACGGACGTCATATTCATAATAATTATGACGTCATAAATGTAAATATTCAATGGGCCAGTAATTAAACTTTTTAGGCCCAATATTATATCGGGCCTTTATTGAAAGCCCAATTTTTATATAGGGAAACAAAATATGTGAAAATCACAACTTCCATGCGACGTGGCCACAAAGCAACAGTGAATTCTCAATTTTGCCCCTCAAATAGCGCTGATTTAAATACTAATAAGAAGGGTTGTGATACAGTACGACGCGGCGTTTCAACTCCTGTCAATAGATAGATATTTTTGGCAAAGGCGAGGCTCCAACTCATTGCCACTTATGCGATAATCTTCGGAGTCGGTTACCTTCGGGAGTTCGAACTCGGCCCCAGAATTCCTTGTCCGTGTTGTAGATCTGCCTGGCGTCATCGTGTCGAGGGTTCAATGTGCCCCGATTTCTGGGTTTTGTGCGTTTTTGATCGATTTTGAGTTTCGCTGGTGGACGAGGAGTATTCTGAGGGTTGTGATCTTAGTCTTGGTGGTATATATATTTGATTCCGAGGGAGAAAGTTGTTTTTCCTTCATTTTATATGGATTGTAAATTTTGATTTGGTTCTGCGTATCGGGTTTAGGATTTCAATCGGCGGGTTAGGGTTTTAGTTTCCGGTTATTGATTATCTGATTTAGGGTAGTTGATTTGGGGTCCGGGTTACGGTTCTGCGTGGGATTGTGATTGTTGAGGTATGGATGGATCAAGAAATTTGAATTCCAGGCTTTCGACTTCGCCGCCATCGGCGGACTCAAAGCCGCCGCCTAAGCAGTGGGGAGTGGCGGAACCGTTGTCGCTGGCGGGGCCCTCCGATGTGGATATTCAGAGAACTAAGGAATTGGAGAAGGTTCGGTTTTTTCCCCTTTTTTGGGTTAATTTTAGTGTGTGACGTGACATTTAATTGAGATCGAACGTTTTTGTTACTGTGTTATTAGGTTTTGGTGAATGCCGGACTGTATGAGAGTGCAGAGGAATCTGCTAAGCGGGAAGAGGTTCTTGGAAGGCTCAAACAGGTGTTCTTTTATTTTAGATCCCTGCTATGGTTTTAGGCATCAATTACAAAGCTGTTAATGTAATTTTGGTAAATTGTATATGCAAAAGTTACATCATGAAGTTGAATGGATTTTGATTGCAGAATTGGCCTTGTGAATATTGTTTTTGTAAACTTTGTTTCTTTGTTAAGGATTTCGATGCTAAAGTATAGTTTGACTCTCTTTATAGCGATACTGTTGTCCTTCCATTCAATTGGTTGTTTGCAAATGAAGTATGGGTGTTTTTGTTTGAAGGTTTGGATTTTTTAGTTGGGATTTGAATAGTAAAAAATTTGAATTGAAATAGTTGTATGATATGATATAAATAGGTAATAGGCGTTGATGTGATGTTTTGAATGTAAAATTGATTTTTAAAATAATATAGAAAATGAAAATTAGTGTTTGATTTGATGTTTTTTTGGGAAGAGTTTTTTTTGGATGAATAGTGGATTTTTTTGCAAAATCTCTCGAACAAATACACCCTATAGATTTTTGAGGTGAAATAAAAATGGGAAAATCTGTGAAATTTTAACTGGCAGCGTTTACATTTGGGATGCCAGCAATCAGCTTTCATTCCTCATATGATTGGGAATTTAAATTTGAAGAACCTATCTATGGGCCTGGACCTGGGATTATTTATTCTCTTGTTTCATGTAACATGTGAGTTGGTTTATTAACAATGGCTCATGGTAGGGAAAGCAGAGATCGTGTGTATCGAATTTGTGTGATTACAGTCAAAATGCACTCTGCTCGAAAGAGTTCTCTGCGATATTAAAGGAAAGATGGGCAGTTGTATTTCAAATTTCCATTGAAGTTGTTTAGCAATCATCTTCCTTACATGTCCTTTTTGCCTGTGTGCTTCTTTTATTTTTTTCTCTTAATCGAACCCCCTTCTCAAGACTTTCTTTTTCTTCATCCTTGTGTGCAGTCTAAATTTCTGTAGATATTTTGTTGGCTATAATAATTTGTCAAATTTATTAATCATTTTAAACCTAGGAGTATTAGGTTTCGTGATGTTGCTGAAACTGATGTTTTTGCCTTTAATTTATAAATTTTTTATGCTTTAGATTGTGAAAGATTGGGTGAAAGAGCTTACAAGATTGAGGGGATATACTGATCAAATGGTGGAAGATGCCAATGCTGTCATTTTAACTTTTGGTTCTTATAGACTTGGAGTAAGGATTTCATATATTCTTGTTTGTCTTTATTCTTTACATATAATAATATGTTTTATACTGATTTTTAATGCGTTGGAAGGTACATGGTCCTGGAGCAGATATTGATGCATTATGTGTTGGGCCTTCCTATGTTAGTCGGGAGGTACAAATTGATATATTGTGCTATATCTTAGATCTAGTCTTAGTCATTCTGCCTAATTTTTATTTTCTACTAAATTTCCAGGAGGACTTCTTTTACGTACTTCATAATATCTTAGATGCAACAGAAGAAGTTACTGAACTTCAACCGGTACCTGATGCTCACGTCCCTGTAATGAAATTCAAGTTTGATGGGATATCAATTGATCTTCTATATGCAAGCGTTTCTCTCTTGGTTGTACCAGATGTAAGTTTTCTGATGTTCCTTATACATTATATTTAACTACATATAGGTAGGAATATACTTCTGGTTATCTTTATCTAGAAGCAATTATGATATTATTGTGAAATATGCTTTTTTGTTCATATTGGGTACAGTTGGTATTGTTTCACCGCCATAGATTGGCTGTTTTTTTAACTCTCCTCCCCATGTTTGTATGGTTCTAGTGTTCTCTAAAGAAATAACATCCTATTGCAAACTAAGTTCTCGAACTCTGCGACTAATTTTCGCTTCCAAATTTTTATTTCCATGCCTGATACGGTACAAATTTACAAATAGGGCTATGATTTTCAAAACTAATGATGTGATGGTTGACCACACTTGGAACAGCTCACTTTGATATCTCATTTAACTATTTTTGAGGTGTTCAAATTAAGCAAGTGGCGAAGTTTTCTCCTAAAATGTAACTATATAATTATACATATTTTCAGATGCTTCAATTGAACATATTAAATGATGTAACTACAATATCCATTAACAAGATGGTAGTTCCCCAGTTATGTCATTGTTTTCTCCTAAAATGTTCTATTATCTTGTTTAACACCATCTTTGGATAAGATGATTTTTTAAAAAGAATTTTGTGTGTCTGTGTGTGTGACAGGATTTAGATATTTCAAATACCTCTATCTTGTACAACATAGATGAGCCAACTGTAAGGAGTCTTAATGGCTGTCGAGTAGCAGATCAAATTCTGAAGCTTGTTCCAAATGTTGAGGTAATAATAATTTGCCTGTGATCTTAAATTGCCACCTTGTTGTGTAGGGTGAGATTTCCCTCTAACTATTTAGTTTGCCTTATATTAATCTGAAATTGCAGAACTTTCGGATCACACTACGTTGCATAAAGTTCTGGGCCAAGAGACGAGGGGTTTATTCTAATGTAAGTATATTTATGTCAGTTTTACTATATATCCATGTTACAGGTTTATGGTTTTCACAAAATGGCGTATTCAATGTTTATAAATTTCAGGTCACAGGGTTTCTTGGTGGTGTGAACTGGGCACTTCTTGTTGCTCGGCTGTGCCAATTTTATCCTATGGCAAATCCCAGTATGCTTGTTTCTCGCTTCTTCAGGGTTTATACAGTCTGGCGTTGGCCTAATCCGATCATGCTTTGTGAAATCGAGGATGATGAAATCGGGTTTTCTATATGGGATCCACGAAAAAATCCTTGGGACCGAAACCATCTCATGCCTATAATAACACCTGCATACCCTTGCATGAATTCTAGTTACAATGTTTCAGCAAGTACTCTCCGGGTTATGATGGAACAATTCCAGTTTGGAAACAAAGTTTGCGAGGTAAAAAATCTTAAAATTGTTTGGCATGCAAACCAGACCTTAACAGAGTAACATCGCCCATGTAACAGTTGTCTATTAGTGAATATGGCTATTGATTTTGGATATGATTTGGATATTGCAGGATATTGAGCTGAACAAATCACAGTGGAGTGCTTTGTTTGAACCCTATTTGTTCTTTGAGAACTACAAAAATTATCTGCAGGTCGATATTATTGCTGCAGATTCTGATGATTTACGTTCTTGGAAAGGTTGGGTTGAGTCCCGCCTGAGGCAGCTAACTCTGATGGTAATGTCTTCCTCTTTCGAATGATCCTATGGTTGTATTAAAATTTATTATTTCACGAATGTTTATGGTTTTTCGTACGTTCACTTTCCTGTTTTGGTTCTTTATTGAACACATGCAGATAGAGAGAGACACCCTGGGAAAATTGCAGTGTCATCCTTATCCCCATGACTATACAGATTCGTCGAAGCAGTGTGCTCATTGTGCCTTTTTCATGGGTTTACAAAGGAAGCAAGGTGAAGTCATTCAAGAAGGCCAGCAATTTGATATCCGCAAGACCGTTGATGAGTTTAGGCATCAAATAAACTCATACTTGTACTGGAAGCCCAGGATGGAAATATATGTTTCTCATGTTCGTAGAAAGCAAATTCCCTCTTATGTATTCCCCGAGGGCTACAAAAGAAGCCGGCATACTAGGCACATGAGTCAGCATGTTGACAGGACCTCCACTGAGAGCAGAGACTCTTGCAGACCAGATTCTGCTGAAAGAATCCCAAAACGGAAAACAGAGATTGATGGATCAGAACCAAAGGAATATCCGCAAAAGAAGTATTCTATTAGTCCTCCAAGACAAGTTTCTGATTCACCGGATATCGTCTGTTCAAGAGTTGGGAGTGGAGTGATATCTGATATGGCAATAGAAAAGAGCAATGATAATGGATCTATTAAGCATGAAATGACTCGGGAAGCAATCCCTATGGCTCCTGGATCCGTCTCTGCTCAATCTACTGGGAATGACCTGCAACTTGTTGATAGAGATAAAGAGATCAGTGATCAGGGAATGCCATCTTCTGGACATTCAGACACTGGTTTCAACTCAAGTTCCTGTAATGATGACCTTGCAAGTAACAGCGGGATTAACATAGAAACCAGCAATGAAAGGCCTTCACTGGATAGTGGATCATCTGAATCTGACCGACAGAGCGATGCTTCACGTTTTGGCGATGGATTACGGGAGAAGTTAGAGGTTTTGGATATAAGTTCCCTTCATCCCTCATCCTTTAATTTATATTTTCAATTATTTTATGCCTTGTATTAAATTAGCATTGCCCTCATTCATCTTTTTTGTGTTTTTGTTCTTGTGAAGCCTAATGCTGCTGCGCTTGCAATGGTTCTCAACGAGGGGGTCGGATCAGAACCTGTTCAGAAGAATGTGATGAGGCATGTTCACAGAAATCCGATAACTGGATGTGCTTTCTGAGTATCATTTTACAATTTTACGTCTTTATGCTTCCTATTCTTGGTTCTGTTCTCCCTTTTATGCAGCAGTAGGCCGAGTCTGACATCAACTGCATGATTGAGATGGTAGGGTTGCATCTGTACTGATGAATGGCAATATTGCTCGACCGTGAGCCAGCAGTTGGCCGGTAAGTACCCTAATTATTCCGCGGCTTTCACCATATCACTACTACTATTTTTCCAGGCAAATATAGCCACAGCTTTCAATCTTTTAAGAGACAGAAAGAAAAACACAAGCAAGCAGTAAATGTAGCATCCAGAGACCCCTCAAGAAAACACTTTGCATTCGATGTTAAGGTGCAATCCAAATTGAAAAGATTAGGAAGAAATACATATATTATATATGGGTATGGTTTAAGAGAGAGAGAGAGAAGAAAAGAAAAGAAAGAGGAAAAAGGGATTATGTTTGTTTGCTTTGCTTGCTTTTGATAGAGAGATGTGTGTTTTGTGGGTTCTAAATTTTAAGTAGTAGTAATTGTTACTCTTGTATGAATTGGATCCATTAACTAGGTAGGAGGAATGGTTTGTTAGTTTGCTACTTTGAACTCAACTAATTAATATATATATATATATAATCTGTTTTCATCATTTTGTTTATTTGATTGTGGGATCTTTTATTTCAATTTGTATTGGTGATTGGATATGTGAACAAGATTTGAATGTGTAAGGGCATGTTATGTGTTGTTCTTAGGGCATGAAATTTTTCATATTTGAATTTTGGTATTTCGAATACTTTAATCCAAAATGGAAAAAAATTATGTTTTGTTTGGATTGTGTATTCAGGTTGACTTGATAATTAAAATATAAAAATCAGATGTGAAATTATTTATTATTATATTTCAATTTATAAAAATTATGATGTGTTCGGACAGAGTCTATTGTATGTCAGATTTGTTAGAGTTTTGAATGATTTGAAACTAAATAAAGTTAACTTGAACTTAACTTGAATAAATTCATTTCATTTTTGGGTTGACAGTCCTTTTTTTTTTTTTTATCCTCATGGCTAAATTTCGACACAAACTTTACTTTCAAACCGATGTAGAGAAAAGAAAAAAACAATACAACATTAGTATAATTCAAAGACCAAGAAAATCTTCCAATTGAGCTGAAACATCCAGAAAACACAAAACCCTTGTTCCATTTACTTACTGCATAATAGAACAATACACAAATATATATATATATATAAGTGTTCAAAAGTAGATAAGATCGATTAGATCATAAATACAAAACAGTTAAAAAGTTCTTCCCACAAAGCCTCCTTCACTTGATATATATATATATATATATATCTTCAAGACAAGAGTCTCCCCTGTTTCCTTCCACCTGCAAATCATCAACAACCAACACTTCATACACTCATCTGTTAGAACCAAAATCCATTACACATTAGGAGGAAAATAAACTCACGAGACAACTTAGGAAGCTCCGAGCTTTTAAGCACGCGCAGCCTCTTCACGCTCGAAACAAACATGCTACCATCAAGTAAATCCAATCAAGACACAAATTTTTCTTCGAAAAAAATCCGAATAGAATCATATCCATGGACACAATTAACAAAAACATAAAATGCAAAGTGAGATGGGATGCTTACTCCCAAGGTACATCACCAACAAGCATCCTATCCCCTTCATTATCCTCGTACACAAGTGTATATTCTCCACTTCCATCTAAAATCCCTTCGATCTTTTCCCCGCCATCACTGCCTCCGACGCAAGAATCCCTTTGCGCTAAAAATTTCGAAACACAACAACCAATCAATCCATCTTTATTATCATATCATTAAATAGATTCCCAATTTGTTTATTGCATCAAGTAGAGAGAGACCTGCAAGAAGCCCTCTAAATAGCTCATCAACAGCATATGATAGCTTCTCATAACTGTCATAAGCTTTAAGATCAACTTTTCTACCAATTGGAATCCCATCCATGTTGATCTTCACAAAAGGGGTTCTTGTGGAGTTCTCAACAGGTTTTGGGGATGGATCTTTTGTTGGAGATTCCGAGGTTAATTTTGAAGAACTTATGTTCTTCCTGAATGAACGGACAGGAGGCCATCCCACAACTGGAGCAGGTGCAGTCCTAATTGTTCAAAAATCATTATAAAAATCAAGCTCTAATACTAAATATATATATATATATATATATACATGATGATTCAGATTTCAAACAGAAGCCAATCATAGGAAGATAAACAAGAATAACAATAATTAAAAAAAAAAGGAAAACAAAAAAGAGAATGAGGATATAGCCGAGAAAAGGTGTGCAGCTTTGTGAGGGAGAAGGGAATCAATCCAAAACAATCCATAGGGCACAGCAGACAATAAAGAATTAAAGGTAGACAAAATGTATGGACCACCAAGAAAATTACATATCATGTGCAGATGTTGAGCAAAACAGGGAAAAGCCACCAAGAACTTAAAAATATAGAAAATAAATAAAACACACAAACATAGAGAGACAACAATTGGTACTGAAGAAAAAAGAAAAAAAAAAGAAGAACCTTTTTTGTGCAGTGGTGTTTTCTGATGGCTTTGGGTGCAGATGTTGGAGGAAAGGAGGAGAAAGCTTGGGCTGCTGCTGCCATGGAGATTGGTTCAAGACAGGGGTTTTGGGGGAGAAGTAGGCCCTGTTGTTATTATTATTATTATTATTATTATTATCTGAAGAGGTGTTGTTCTTGTTCTTGTTGTTCATGGTGGTCCTTCTCCAATCTTCTTCTTCTCCAGGTGGCCCTAGGCTCAGCTCTAGCTTCTTCTCCTCTGATTCTCCCATTTTTGGGAGCGTCCAATCACTGCAATCTTTTGGAATCAAATCCAGCAAGTGAGGACACCCTCCTCCATCTTCTCTTGAGTACCCCTCCATTTCTGCTTTCTTTTTTCTTAATGTTTTAATGAGAAAGAAGAGAAATCTTTTGCACTGCAAAAACAACCAAATTTCAGAAAAAAAATGTGATAAAACAATATATGGATATGAAGTGAGGTTAATGAAGCTCATAATAAGAAAGCCAACATTCTTATGCACCACCAAAAAAGCTCTTCTTCTTCTTCTTCTTCTTCTTCAACTTTTAGAGAGAGAAAACTCAAGCTTAAGGGATCAAGAACCTAATCTTGAATCAGATGATGATATACAATACAAAACAATATTATTAGAGAAACAGAAATATGGAAGAAGGGGAAGGAAGATGCCTATTATTATAGCTTCTGGATTGTAAATCTTTGCTTTGCTTTTATGGCCCTTTTTTTATTTATTAGTATTATTATTTATTGGCATGCTCAGCTCAGACTGGGTGGAGTGGGTTGTCTTTGTCTCTTCCTACAACACCCTTCTCTCTCTCTCTCTCTCACTATATATCTCTATGTCTATATATACATACAGGCATAAGTATAACCCCACTACAGTTTCTCACTCCTAACCCTTTTATAATTAAGACACGTTTGTGGTACATATAAATGTCTATATATCTAATATCTACATATATAATAATAATAATAATATTATGAGGAACAATACCAACACAAGTGTCCCCAAAACTGGAAACCAATTTTCTTAAGCTTCAAAATCCCCAAATTTGGGAAATTAGGGTTTCATAAAATTTCTCAATAAATTAAATTAAATTCAATAACCTGGGCAGAAGAAGAAAAGCTCGATACTGAAAACCATCCATTCATCAGCCAGCATTGATTGCAATAACTAATAAATAAATAAGTGGTAGCAGACATACAGAAAAAGGGATTCGGGCGATCCATTTCTGGAGAAGGAGGAGACTGAGAGCTAGCAGTGTAATAAAAACATGGCAGGTCCGGTCCGGTCCGGTCCGATCCGGTCCGACGGTGTCTTGATCTTCTTCTTCGTCTTCATCTTCATGATTTTGTGTGTTTTGATGACTGAGTATGGTCGATTTCAGATCAATTTGAATGCGACAGGACAGAGCCTGACCTCACCCCCCGCCATGGCTAATGGCGAAAACCATCGGTCGATTTCCAGCCCTTGGATTCGATGATCCGACGGCTTGTGATCAGCCAGCCCTTCAAGATAAGTTGGTTGCTTTGTTTTGAGATTACAATATTTTTTAAAAAAATTAAGAAAATATGAGTATAATAAATTTTTATATTATAAAATATGGCATTAAATAATTGTTATCTTCCCACAAGCCATTTTCACAAACTACTAAACAAAGGTTAAGTTTGGTCGGAAGGTGGAGATTATAGTTAGAATTAAAAAAATTATTTTATACTTGTGAAATAAAGTATAAGATATGGATCTATATTTTTATTATAGATAAATTTAAAATATTTTTAAATAATATATATTTTATTTAATAAAATATATATTATTTAAAAACGAATATTATATAATATATTTCCTCCCGATTATGAATTTATGATCGTTTTGGTTAGTACATTGTATTTCAGTTACGGTAAATTATTAAGTTAATAATAATAATTTGTGATATTATTTTATTATTTTTTTATATGATTAGTATGGTTGATATTTTAAATATTTTTAGTATTATATCTCAATAAAAATATATATAATATTGATATCATTTTGTTGATAATAAATTTGTATACTATAATATAAATAAAAAACAAATGTATTTATTTATTTATAATTAATTTAAATTTTAGTTTTTTAAATATATAGAATTTTGAGCTTTTCTTATTTTGAATTCGAGACATTTCAATTCGGTTGGAATTGATTTTATTCAATTGAATTTTCATGTTTGTTTGAATTTGACAAACTTTGGATAAAAAATCTAAATTGTTCACCCCTACCTAAACTTACCTTTAGTTGTTTAGGTTGTGTTTGTTTGGGGATTGAATTTTAAATACATTATTCATCCTTTTTTTAAAAAAAAATAATAAATCAAATACATATTTTTTATTTTTTATATTATACTAAAAATTAATTTTACATTTAACACGTATTTATATCACATCAGACAATTATTCAAATTCAAAATTTTTACTATTTAAATTCCAACTTAAAATTCAAACTCCCAAACAAACACACCCTAAATTTCCCAATTGGCCATTTGCAAATATTGAATTTTTAATAGCTCATACATCGAACATAAATAAATAAATATATATATAATGAAGATATTGTTTGTTTGGTGTTTTGATTTGGATTATTTTTAAAATGAAATATAAAGAATTATGACCATAATATGAAAAATTATATTTTAAATAAAATATTGAATTTTAGTAAAATAATAGAATATATATATATATTTTAACTGCGTTAGGTTAAAATAGTTAGACAAAGAAAGCATAAAGTTTTAGCAACACACTCGTACGTGCGTGCATGCATGGATGCTCGTATTCCGGACCTCCACTCCAGGACCTTCTAAACAATTTCAAAATGACGTAAGGTGACGCGGGTGCATGTGAGCCAGGGGAGTTTGGGCTCTCGAGGCCGGCTAGGCTAGGGTAGGCTTGCAGAAGCCAGCAGCTTGGATACTCTGATACGCAACTCAAAAGGCATCCCGCACCGCCCGTACGATGTCTGACACGTGTCGAAAATCTGGCCGTCGAAGTGGGCTCCAGCGAAGGGAATCATTAGCGGCGCGTGGACGAGCCTCGGCTTTCCGACGTCGGATCGGCTCGCCCAAGTCGGCGCCATTATTGCTTACTGTGCAGGTGCACCTGATTTGATGGGGCCCACCCAGATTCACCACTTATTAATTACGTGGATAATAATTATTTATTATTACCATTAAAATTATATTTAAATAATATTATGATTAATTACGTGGATAATATTATTATCGAATTTATTTTAACCCATTAAAGTTATATTTAAAATTTTGTGATTTAGAATGTGTCTCCATGTTGACAAAATTACATTAAAATTATTTTATTTTACTAATTGTAAATAAATACTGGCTTTGTTATTTTTATTTTTATATTTTTTATATATAATGTAAAAAATTATATAAATAATATAAAAATAATAAATATGTATAATATATATATATTTTTTTTGAAAAATTCTTGTTCTAATAAATTATTTTTTATCAAATTTTGATGATCCAATTTAATAATTATTTTCAAATGTACAGTATAAAACTTTAGAATATTACATCAATTAATTACTCCCTATGTTCCAAAAGTGTTGTTAGTTTTTTTATATTTGTACGTTCCAAAATAATTGTGTTGTTTTCTGTGGTTTCTATTTTATAATAAAATTACTCTTATTTTTTTAAACGTAACCATAATTATTACTCTAATCTACTTTTTAAAATCCTTCGTAAAATAGAGCATTACAATATTTTACATTCTATTTTATACTAATTTTTAATTAAATACTATTATTATTTAATTTTCGTGTCAAATCTCAACAAGATGACTCTTCTGGGACGAGAAGAGTATTATATATTTATTTATATATATATATATATATATGAAGTAAACGAATTATTTAAGTATTCTATTTGTATTTAAATAATATTTTTACAAAATATATTTTTATTAAAAAAGTATAGAATTAAATGAAAGAAAATCAGAATGAATAGAACTCGTTCTGTATCTACCATTGAGGTGTACGGCGTGGCTAAATAATGTCATTTCATTATCAACAATAATTTATATGACAAATTTTACGTTAAAACTAAAAATATTACTCAATGCTTTCAACACCAATATTTATCCATTTGCTCACATTTTTCGAAAGCTAATGATGCTTTACTTTTATTTTTAATTTTTTTTTCTACTATTATTATTACTTCGTTACACTTAGGGTGTGTTTGTTTGGGGGTTTGGATTTTGAGTTTTTGAATAGTAAAAATTTTGAATTTGAATAGTTGTATGATGTGATATAAATAGGGTTTGATGTGATGTTTTGAATGTAAAATTGATTTTTAGTATAATATAAAAAATGAAAAATAGGTGTTGATGTAATTTTTCAACAAAAATAAAGTAAAATTCAAAGATATAGAAAATATCCTTAAACTTGATTAATTAGTGCCTGAGATTAGGAATCTCTAAACACTGTATGGTACAGAAAATAAACTGGAAAATAAAAGACTGAAATTTAAAGTGGTGATCCCCAAATCTGACTTTGCTTTGTTGAAGTTGATTGAAGATGCCTTGCCAAATGATGATCCAAATCCTTAAATATTCTTTGAAGACAACGTTCAGAACCGTTGCACTGTTTCACCAACCGTTCCCACCAGTTACAGAACTCAGAACTGCCTCTTTCATTGACACATGTCTTTAACCGCCTCGCCAACCGCATAACCCAACGACCGACCAACCGACCAATCTAGATACATAATTGGTCGCCAGATCAAAAGACTCACTGGTCGCCCCATCAAACGACCACTATTTGGTCTCTTCAATCGTCTGACCTATCAACAGACCTTTCTTCGCCCGACTTCCTTTTTCGACCGACCCCCATAGCAGCCAACCTTTGTATCAACCGACCCATTTATCCGACTGCGGATAATCCGACCTGCTTGCCCGACTGCGGACCATCTGACTTGCTTATCTGATTGAGAACCCACCGACTGACTCTGGATACCTTATTATTATTATTATTATTATTATTTTTTGTGCGTAACAATAGGTGTTTGATTTGATATTTTTGGGGGGAAAAAATTGGATGAATAGTGAAAATCTACCAAAATCCTTCAAACAAACACACCCTTAGTGTGTCATCTTTTCATTCCGTCTATCTACTTATTATGTCACTTGTTTTTTTAAAAAAAAATTATTCATTTTAATCACATACTCCCTCCGTCTCGGTGAAAGAGCGGTGTTTGCTTTTTGTACGTATATTTTTTAATATTAGTATTATATTAAATTGTAGTAAAAAAGACAGAAATACTCCTACTAGTATAGTATAATATAAAAATAATGGCATTTGTGTAATATATTGTAAGTTGTAAGAGTATTTATTATGTTATGTGAGTAGTACAATACTAAATTAGAAAATGGTAACCTTGTTTTAGGACGAACGAAAATGGAAAATGACAACCTTTCAATGAGACGGAGGGAGTATTAAATTTATAATTTTCTTAAAATTTTAATATGACTGATTAATTATCTTAATTTTAAGCTAAAATTATTATTATTATACGATAATTATTTGATTAATATATTTTTAATTATTTATTAATTATATTATCTTAAATTCTCGTGTCTACCGTAAATGAGACCATATGGCCTAAAACAGAGTATTATTATCATTACTATTATATTTAAGTGTGAAAAGTACATCCTACTAATATATAAATTTTAATTACAATAAATTTCTTACTGACTTCTATTAATTAATAAAATATTATTATTTTTAATTTACTAAA